GAGGAACCTGCCACTGAGGAGCCCGCTGTCGAGGAGCCCGCTGTCGAGGAGCCCGCCGCTGAGGAACCTGCAGCAGAGGAGCCCGCCGCTGAGGCAGATCCTGTTGCCGAAGTCGCAGTAGAAGAGCCTACGGCCGAAGATCCTACGGCCGAAGATCCTGCGGTTGACGAAAGAGGTCCTGACGCTGCGGACGTTGCGGCTGCGGCTGCGGTCGTTGCTGGAGCTGCTGGAGCTGCTGGAGCTGCTATAGGCTCTGCTAGCAGAGGCCATAGGCGCCGTCGTACACGAAGGGACTCTCATGATGTTGATCTGCATGGCCATAAGGCGAAACTTGAGAGAACAAAAGACGAAGCCGGGCTTTTTGACAGTGCTCTCGCCCGACAAATTTCCAAGGCTAAGGAGCGAGAGCTTGCTCGTCACGATACTGAAGAATACAAGGAAAAGGTACGAGAAAGACGCGAAAGGCACGAAGCACGACGTCAAGCCGAACGAGCACAGCGAGAAGCAAAAGAAGCAGCAATGATAGAAGAGGAAAGACGGAAACGCCACGAAGATAGTGAAAGACAACGACTAGCCAATCAAATCCATGTAAGAGCAGAGGCTGAACGCGAACGGAGACGACAAGCGAGAGAAGAAAGGAAAGCAAGAGAAAGGGAGGAAGCAACTGCGGGAACCGATGAGGGAGGCGAGTTGAGAAGAACCCGCCGGCCTAGTCATGCAGGATCCAACAGTGACAGAAGCAATTCAGGATCCGGAATTCCAGCCCTCCTGAGGAGAATGGGAGCTGGAGAGAGCGACACCAAGCCTCTGTTGTTTCTCAGAGTCAACGACCCCGACCCCCCAAAAAGAAGTCACCGCGAGCATCGGCACAGGGCTCTTGATTCTGACCATGACAGGAACAGCGCTGGTGAAGAGGGCTCTCGTCGACACAGGCATTCGAGGGACCGACCGCATGTGGAGAGGCACTCCAGCTCACGAGGTCAGAAGTATTATCACGAGCCAAGGATGGGGATTATCGAGAAGGTGCTCAACACGATTGCCGGAAGAGCATGAGCAATGATTTTCATTTGTATTCAATGATACCAGCAGCGAGCGTTACGCGGAACAGATTTCTCACGAAGATTGGGTGTATCAACAGGGCGCATTCATTATGTTTTTCTCCTTGGGATCAGCCATGGCCCCGTTCTGGCTGAGGGAAGGGGTTTTTGTATGTTCAAGTATAAAACGGGGAGGTGATGTACACGGCACATAAAGGGACATGATGACAGCAGAGAGTTTCTTCGATAGATACCTACCTAGTCAATCGTTTGTAATATGGCATGTATTGGGGCGTGTTTAATCACCATCAGTAGGTATTTCTCTTCATTCTGGGAAGCACAAGTCTCAATGTTCACGTTCTCGGCGGTTGCCAGTCGGAATGGTGGTCCAACCAGATGCAGAGGGTGTATTGCGTCCTGTCGTGGATTATGGGTTGATGATCGGGGAGGTGAAAGTTTGTGTCGTGTAGAGAAGAAGTGCGCCGTTGGGATATCCGAGGCGTTTCTTTGGATATCTCTGTATCCGTAAATAGGCAATGTGTGCGTCGATGGATGAACTACCACTCCGTAGGTCCATTTGCCCGCATGTGCCCGCCGCCCTCGTTATCGTTATCATCCCACCTGGCTTTGGATACGGACAAGTCCTTCAGGCCGGGTCAGGCAGGTCGGTAACCGGCAAACTGGGCAGGTGGCCACTTTGGCCGCGGTGGTGGGGGATGGTGTTTTGTGGTGGAATTTGTTTTTCACCTGCCAGAAGAACACAAGTTGATTATCGTCATGGCCAATGAGTACGGCGTTGATCATTGGGATCCTCCCTTTGTCCAGCTGGGCACAGGGTTCATGTTGAGACCCTGGTACTTTATCACAATCAATTACATACATATTTACTCCTCACGCGTCATCCATTATTTATTCTGGCTGCGACTTTCGGCTTCGGATAAACAATTTGCCAACTGATTCATTTGCTCCTCCGTCCGTCCTGCTCGTTCTACTCGTGCTTGTTTGCCCAGTCACACACGGCGAGATACCTGTCGCCAAAGTGCTTGGACTGAGGGGTGCGCATCTAATTGTTCCATCGTGTACTTTACAAAACACCCAAGAACGACAGCATACCTACGACTTGCCGAACATGGGTTCGACTACTCAATCGTTCAAGGCCGAGGCCGTCTTCCCTAGCACTAGCCCGCCGTTTGTGCAATTCGCAAGCAGGCGCAGTGTGGTGCACAGTACCAAGGGCATGGTCGCATGTACGCAACCTCTAGCAGCCGAGGCGGGACAGAGGATACTGAAGATGGGTGGGAATGCAGCCGTATGTTTTCTGTCTTGGCTCCTCGTCCGGAGACCTGTCTAATGCTCGCATGTGCTGTTAGGACGCCGCGGTCGCAGTCGGTACGAGCTCTCGTGCACTCAAACTCTGGCATACCCAGACGCGACTAACCTCTGCACAGCCGCAGCGTTAAACATGACCGAACCCTCGTCGACCGGGATAGGAGGAGACATGTTCTGCTTATTCTTCGATGCCAAAACAAAAAAGGTGCACGCCTTGAACGGCTCCGGTAGAAGTCCAAAGAATACCACGGTCGAACAAGTGCGGAAAGAGCTGGGCCAGCAGAGAGTAAACATACCTACGCATAGTGCACTCGCCGTGACTGTCCCCGGTGCAGCGGCGGGGTGGGTCGACACTATTGCCAAGTTTGGTAGTGGGAAGGTCAGTATGGAGCAGATCCTCACGCCGGCCATCGAGCTGGGCGAGGAAGGGTTCCCCGTCAGTGAATTTGCGGCAAGCTTTGTAAGTCAACGGACCACCACAAGGCCAGTTGGGGTGGAACTGATGAGCGCGTCTGGAACAGTGGCAAGCAGGCGAGGCAGACCTGAAGCGGGCCTCGCCGAATTTCAGAGAGATGCTGAAACGAGACAAGAAAGCGGATCAGTTCGTCCGGGCTCCGAGAGCCGGTGAGATCATGCACAACCCTTGTCTGGCAAAGACGTTTCGGGCCTTGGCGGCCGAGGGCAAGAAGGGGTTCTACACGGGCAGGATCGCCAAGAGTATCGTCGACGTGCTTCAGTCTTCGGGCGGGTTTATGGAACTGTCGGATCTGGAAGACCATATGAACCGCGGAGCAGACGAACCTGAAGCTATCTCGCTCAAGTTCCGCGGCCAGAATGTGAAGAACAAAGGGCAACAAAGGCTGACAGACAGTGTGGGAGATTACTTCGTCGAACTGTGGGAACATCCTCCCAACGGACAGGGTATTGTGGCGCTGATGGCCCTGGGGATTTTAGAGGAGCTGGAACGGACTGGCAAGATCCAGACATTTGCGCTGGAAGACCACAACAGCGCCTCGTACTTGCATGCGGTGATTGAGGCCCTCCGGATCGCGTTTGCAGATGCAGCCTGGTGGGTGACGGATCCCGAGTACATGCCGGTCAAGTCTGCCGAGTTGATCTCGAGAGAGTACCTGGCCGAGCGAGCGAAGTTGTTCAACAAGGACAAAGCCGTCAATCACGCACATGGCAAACCCCGCAGCCCGGCCCAGAATCACAGTGACACGGTCTACTTTGCCGTCGCAGACAAGGACGGCAACGGGTGCAGTTTCATCAACTCGAACTACGAAGGGTTCGGGTCTTGTATTATTCCGCAAGGGTGTGGCTTTACGCTGCAGAACCGAGGGTCGAACTTTGAGTTGGGACCGGACGATCATCCGAACATCTACCAGGGCGGAAAGAGACCCTACCATACCATCATCCCGGGGATGATCACTCATGGGGATGGGGATGAGAGGCAGCTGCATTCGGTGTATGGTGTCATGGGAGGGTTCATGCAGCCCCAGGGCCATGTGCAGGTGTTGCTCAACATGGAGGTGTTTGGGATGAATCCTCAACAGGCACTGGACGCACCGAGGATCTGTATTGGTGCGGGAAATCCGGAGCAGGGAGAGAATCAGATGAACGTGGTGTATATGGAGGAAGGGATTGATGAGGGAGTGGTCAGGGTGTTGAAGAGTATGGGTCACGATGTCGAGGTCGTGAATGGATGGAGTCGAGGGAAATTTGGACGAGGGCAGGTTATCAGAAGGCATGTTGATGAAGAGACAGGGCAGGCTGTGTTCAGTGGTGGAAGTGATTTGAGGGGCGACGGGATGGCCATTCCTGTATAGATAGTGAGCTGAGCAGAACAATGCTCGAGCATGCCGTATCCGTGTGTCTGTATCCAGAGATGATGGAGACAAGGCTGGACCGCGCCGGGGACTGACTCGATTGCGTAGCGACAAAGGGATCGCGGGACACAAGCATTGAGGCTTGGACCATCCGGCGCCACCCGGGGAAGATCAGGGCCAGACCAGGATGAGGGAGTCGTCGACGACTACAGTATTGTGAAGCACGGTATCTTGGTGAGGTAAAATATTGCATCTCGAGCCAACGGATGGAGCAGTTCTTTATACAACAGTGCAGACCTACCCGTGTGCACATACAGGACAGTACCGTTCTTCTCGTTACTGTCGATCGAGCACGGATATTCCGGTAGCAGGTTGTACCACTTTCGTCGTCGACCTGCCTTTATCAGTCAAGGCTCCTTTTGAGTTTGACAGTAAGCTTGGTGAGCTTGAACAAGCTTCCCCCGTCTGGTAAATATCTCAGGCCCGGTGGGTGGGTTGCATTCTGCGTGGGCGGCCCTTATCTCTACAATCCTTACTCGTCCTTGGTACGTACAGTAGCCGCAGGATGGAGTATTTATCGAGCGCACGATCATACCTCGATGCCAGCAGCGACGAGGCACGCGAATCACCAGCGGCGATAAGCATCCCGGTTTCTGCTGTACAAGCTTCCCCCGACTTTTCCTTCCAACTAGTTCCTGATAGTACATACGAGTCGATATCCATCCATGAGGCGACGGTCAAATCATCAGTCATTCCGACCTCGCCCACTGCGTCATGGGAAGAGCCTTGTTCGTGATAACCTTGAACAAGCAGCTGCTAGTCACCCCATCCACCAAACTTACCTCGGTCGCTTGTACCTTGTGCCTCTCGCAGCATCAGCCAAGGTAGCATTGATGTCGGTTCCCATCAACCACTCACTCCGCTTGCTCTTCAGACGCAATGCTCCATTCGACCTCAAGCAAGGCAACTATTCGTCTCCTCCTTCTTCGCCTCTCGCTTCCTGCCGTCAATCGCCTTCCTCTCTGGCCTCCAGGTTACCATGAAGTGGAGCAAAGAGCTTCATCGTGCATCACAAGCTATCTGAATCAAGATGCCTTGGGTGACAAGGTAAGGCGACTAGCTACGTAACTCTCGATCAGCCATTTCTTTTTATTATTATTTATTTACCTGCTGAGGTCTTGTCTTGTCCTGACCTGCGCGGAAGTGGTTGGTTGCCTCCTTGTCCTCACCATGAAGCTTTCCCTCGTTACCTTGGCCTTGGGCCTGGCTTCATTCGTTACAGCACGCAGAACAGGCTCACATATCGGCAAACAGCTTCCTCAACCTAAGAGGAACCTTGCACCGAGATCAGCGGCTCCAGCTCCAGCTCATCCACAACTTGAGAAACGAGCGCCTGAGCATCAGTTCTTGACAAACGCCACCAAGAGTATGTTTTACTTTCCCACGAGATGTTGTACCCTTCCTTTTCTTTGTGACTAATGCCACTCAGAGTTCGCTGTCAATGGAAGCGCAATTCCTGAGGTCGATTTCGACGTGGGCGAATCCTACGCCGGTCTTCTACCCATTTCGGATGCCAAAGACTCCCCAGAACTCTACTGGTGGTTCTTCCCTTCGACCAATCCTGCAGCGAAGAACGAGATTCTCATTTGGCTCAATGGTGGCCCTGGGTGTAGTTCTCTAGAGGGCCTTTTACAAGGTTAGAAACGAAAAGAAAAGTCCATCATCGAGTTCTGCTAACCCAACAAACCCCAGAAAACGGACCCTTTCTATGGCAATACGGTACCTTCAAGCCTGTGCAGAATGTCTGGTCTTGGACCAATCTAACCAACGTGGTCTGGGTGGAACGTGAGTCGAACAAGGAACCAAATATGTGTCGACAAGAACAAATGCTGACACTCTCCATCCATCACAGAACCCGTGGGCACCGGTTTCTCTCAAGGCACAGTCACCGCGACTTCTGAAGAAGACGTGGCGTCGCAGTTCTTGGGGTTCTTCAAGAACTTCGTCGAGACCTTCTCCATGCAGGGCTACACGGTCTACATCGCCGGCGAGTCGTACGCCGGATACTATGTGCCGTACATCGCGGACGCCATGTTCAACGCCAACGATACCGAGTACTACAACATCAGCTCCATCCTGATCTACGACCCCAGTCTGAGCTACGACGTGGTTCAGGAGCAACTCCCTGCTGCGGCGTTTGCGAACTACTGGGCCGATGCACTGTACCTGAACAAGACGTACATGGAGTCGTTGAACAATATGTCGGACGTTTGTGGGTACACGTCGTTTTTGGAAGAGGCCCTGACGTTTCCACCCAAGGGCCCTCTGCCGTCACCTCCAAACCTCGACCTCGAGGACGACAGTTGCGACACCTTTGACTCGCTGTTCTATGCCATCTCTGAGGTCAACCCATGTTTCGACATCTATCAGATCTTCACGACGTGCCCACTTCTCTGGGACGTGTTGGGATTCCCCGGATCGTTCGACTACGTTCCTGACGGAGCCACCATCTACTTCAACCGCACAGACGTGCAAAAGGCCATCAATGCGCCGGTGCAGCCATGGGCAGAATGCGCCAGTGATCCGGTCTTTGTCAACAACACGGACCTGTCGACCCCGTCGGCGCTGAGTGTGCTGCCCGGCGTGATTGAGAAAGCGGACCGTGTCATCATCGGCCATGGAATCATCGACATGGTCCTGATCTTCAATGGGTCGTTGGTCGCCGTGCAGAACATGACGTTCAACGGAGCACAAGGCTTCTCGGTTCCACCGTCACAATGGGACGACTTTTACGTTCCGTACCACGTGTCGTACGATAACCAGCTGGGGACGATAGCCGGTGCAGGAGTCATGGGTCAATATCATACCGAGAGAGGATTGACGATGGTGACGGTTCAATTGTCGGGTCACATGGTTCCTCAGTATGCTCCCAGTGCGGCGTATAGACAGCTCGAGTTCCTGCTGGGACGTATTCCTGATTTGGGGACCGTGGGACCATTTACGACGATGAAGGATGGAAGTTATTGATGGGGGAGCTGTTGTACATAGCTTAGAACAGATCAATAATATGATAATCAAGGCTCGGTAACGTACAGCGAGTAAAGTGAGCCACTGCGAGGGAGGCGATCTGGTAAAATGTCCTCGCTGTAGGTGCGATAGATGTCGATTTAGTACAATGCAAACGTGTTATCTTATCGTATCGCAGGGTGATCTTATCATATCTCTTTTCACCTCGGCCATACCCCTGATGTCTTTGGGGATAGCCTGGTCGAGTCTAAACGCAGGACTGCGCCAGTCGTCCGCTCGGTGATCCCAGGCGCAGAGCTACTCAGCCGACTGCTCCCATCGAAAGTTGATGAAGCTTTTGATTGGATGTGTCATGGCGCCGTCCTTTCGTACCTTCATCATCCCATCTGCATATACGAGGTATCGCTAGCCTGATTAGCGTGATCAGCCTGATCAAACTACCTTCGCCTCGCGCTGCCCACCCTCTTTGAGTCCGTCTCTCCTCACGTCCCTGCCCTCAAATATTTCGGACGCTTCTGTTCGTACCAGTATACATCTTCTGGAACTTTGACTGATCTCCCTTTGTGGTTGACAAAATGAGTGCCAACTTGATACCGGCGAACGTTTCAAACTATCCCGGTAGCGATCAAATAGCCGAGCAGGATGCTGCTGAACACGGGACTATCTCTGGTGCAGGACCAGCGGCAGAAGCTGAGCCCAGCGATAACACGTCCCCTCCAGTCACGGCGGCGGCAGCAGGGCCGGAGCGGCTGACAGTTCCCGAAGTACCTAGCGGCTTTGGGGCAGATGGCAAAATGCCGGGGTCAGTCTGCCGTGATTTACGTCGCTTGATGGCTGGGTAAACTCACGGCGCTTTCCTATACTAACGGTTTCTCAGGAATGCAACGCAGCTCACCGGCGAGCAGTGGACGGAAATCATCAACGTCAACAAGTTACTTTGTGGCTATCAGATACGAGAAGACGTACGAGATATCGTCCGGGCTCGGTATCCTGGTACGCTAGCCGACCATGTGTATTCTTTCTTATTGCTAACCTAGACCCAGCGTTCACTTTACAGCGCGAGCCTGGGGGCGTCCATGGATCGTGGCCCGAAAAATCGCCTGGCAAGATTCGACACGGTCAAGACCAGACGACTGAAGCAAGATCTCGTGTTAGTCAGCGCGCTCGTGAAAAATTGCCCGCGAAAACGCCTGTGACAGCAGCTGGCGAGCGCCCACCTGCTCAAGACAAAAAGAATGAGGCAGAAGAGGATCATGGTGGTCCTCCCCTCTTTGTTAAAACGCGGTCAGGAAAAACTATCGAGATTAGTTTTAACTCAGTCAACACAGTGGGTGACGTGAAGTCAAAGATCCAAGAAAGGGAAGGGGTCCATCCCGATATACAGCGTCTGGTGTTTGCAGGCAGGCAGCTCCAGGACCACGAAAAGCTTTCAGACTACCATATTCAAAAGAAGGGCGTCTTGCACCTAGTACTAAGGATGCCACCGAACTCGACAGAGAACCCAAAGCAAGGTGGAGATCGTGTCCACTATATACCGGAGTATGAAGTTCTAGATGCATCATCTATACAAATCAAGGAGACAAACAGTGAATTCCAACAGTCACTAGCTATGAATGGATTCACTTCCAGATGTATAGAGGCTGGGTTGTAAGTAATTTGTATAACAACGCGATTATTTCAACTTACAATCCCTACCAGGTCGAGCGGAGCTTACGGTGTCTCTGCGGACGTGTCGTCTATATGGCAACGGACAAAGTCAGACACAACTCAGGCTACGGCTAAGGGGGCGAATAGGGAGATTCATGCGGTTTACAACGTAAGTGATCCTTTATTATGGCACTTCCATCTGACGAAATCAGTTTCCACGAGTACGAGTTTTATTGGACGAGCAAGATCTTGTCCTCTCAGAAAAGTGTCAAGCAGAGCTCCGGCGGATAGTTGAGAATCCGGCATTCGAACTAGTTCAGCAATTCTACCGGCGCTTTGGTCAATCCTAATAATCTGTGCTTTGGCGTGGCCATATTCTGACGACTGCTAACTAGGTCATTTCTTCGTCATTTCGGTTCAGCTTGGCGGCCAACAGCGAACTTCGCAGTATGCACAGTCAACCTCTTCCACGCAAAGCAAACAACAGTTGGATAAGCTCAGGACCGAGGTTGGGCTAAGCGTGAATGCACAATTTGCCTCAGCGTCAGCAAAATATGCCACTGAACGAAAAGTGTCCAAAGACGAAGCAGAACAGCTTTCAGCCGATCTTGCCTTCTTGGGCCTCAGTGCCTGTGGTGGCAATACGTTAATCGGTGCCAAGTGAGTACAAATCGACATTATACTCCGTCCACAACGTACTAATATTGGTGGTAGTATACCCGAATGGGCAAATACCCTCGCAACGCACGAAGGGTGGAGAGTCATTGAAGTATGCAACCATGTGTTTTGGTACGCTGCTGCTGCTGCTTACCATTGCTGCAGCAAGAGACTGTACAATCGTTGCCGGATTTGATCGGGAAGGTCGCCAGTTGGGAGTTCGTTCCCCGCCTGTTCGCTGAGATAGCAAATACCCGCGGGTATGGAGACAGGACGTGGACCGGCCGAATCAAGCTTATGCGGTATACCTCATCGGAAGAGGTCAAAGATCGAGATGATTCATCGACGGAGAGCTCGACTCAAAGTGGCCCTTCGAACTATGGCTCAGCGAACAAGGACGAAGAAGATCAACATGATTCATCGGAGGAGAACCCAACTCAACGTCAACCATCGAACCAGGGCTCAGCGAACCAGGACGAAGAAGATCAACATAATTCATTGACGCAGAACGAAATTCAATGGGATCCATTAAAATGGGACGAAGTTGACGGTGGTGCATTAGTTCTCCAGCCGAAAGCGAGCGAAAGGGAGGAATTGTTAGTTCCAGATCCAATTTTCGTCGTACGAAACGCTACCAGAAGCGACAATTCTGCCGATGGACGACTCCTTGAGGTACGAGGCGTACGTTGTTCCAAAATGGAGTATGTTAACCCACATCACAGTTACGTGCGGACTGTCCTGTTCATCTGTCGACCAACTATAACTTGCAACGCGACATGAATCCTGACAACCAGCTCACTGGGATCTTCGTGGCTGCCGACGGAACAATAAAGGACGACACACATGGGAGGTTTGTGTGCCGTTTTTCCTTTCGCAGGGTTGGTGAGAAAGGCACCTGGAAACCTCAGCTCCCAGGACAGGTCATCAAATCCGGAGAAAGCGTGAACCTCTACTGTCATTCTGTCGGATTGGGTCCCTATTCGGACGTCAATTCGCCGCCTGCTGAAGCTTCTCCAGTCTGTGTCACACCGAATGGGAAGCTCTTCGTTCCTATTCCCGGCTTCACGAAATCGGCAGGGGTAAGAAAGCTCATCCAGGACTATGACTTGGGCAAACTCGGCAACGACGATTACTACGCTGCTTTTGAAAAAATGGGATTTGTCTCCGACGCATCGTGGCCACTTTCCCAGTTCGCGGTTACGTCCTCACCCGAAGAAGCCTGGTTTACCCCAGCATCTACAACTACCTTCTGGGGCCGGGTCAAATCAAGATTTAAAAAGTCTCCCAGGGTGGACTACAAGAGTTTGCAGACACCAGAGTGGAAGGATCGTGACCTAAATTGGTCACACGTCCGCGAGCAATACTGCAAGCCAGGAGAATCGAAGGGCCACCACCAAGATGGCTTGGCTGGACACGAGCCAGCCGTATTCACCATTCTATTCGAGTGATAGATGATACAGTTCGTAAGATGAAACAGGCCTCATACGTCAACGACGAACTGATGTCTTTTTCACCATTGCTTTGATTTTCCGCCACGCCCGTTGAGCGTTGACTGCACCACTGTCAAGACCTTGATGTGTCACTCGGGGCCACCATCCTCGACACTAAATACTGTCAATTCGCACTATCTTCGGGTGAACTTGGTATACCGGGTTCTTTCAGGACGGATCAATTCTCGCATAGACTGTGACGAAAACCCAAGTTTTGCCTGTGGTTGGCACAGACAATCAGAGTCTCTTGGTAAAAAGCCTACCAAATCAACACACAGATTTATCACGGTGAGTCTCGGTACAAAGTACGCATGTGTGCCTGGAGTGTGGCCCGAAGATGGTGCGAAATGAGGACATACTACCAGTGTACTGTAGGTGTGAGGGTTCCGACAATGGTGCCTACATTATGGCTCCGCATATGAGAAGGTTGCGTGAGGGTAGAGAAAAGTGTCCCACACTGAAGCCAAGCACCACTCGGTCGCAAACTGACAACTGACCCCACATGCAGCTTCTTAGGTTTTGCCTGTGCAGGGGTCCTTTTTCGTGGGGCTGCTGTATTCTCACGCGGGTCTGACTGTACGAGAAACACATCATGGTGAGGGTGAGGAGGAGGGACGTCGGGGAGGGGAGAGGGGTGAGGAAGGATAGTGAGAGTACAAGAGAGTTGGACAAACTGACAAACTGACAAACTGACAAACTGACAAACTGACAAACTGACAAACTGACAAACTGACAAACTGACAAACTGACAAACTGACTATACACGTAACTCTCCCTACTGTACTTCTGTGGTGGCAAGGACTGTAATCGCACCAAAGTCTTCATTTGACGCTGTGTTAGTGAGGGAGACTTGGGGGGGTAATCCCGAATAAACAACCCAAGCACCTGGTGGTAACTAAAGACCTACATACGAATAAATGGAGACGGTAAAGAACGGCCTTTCTGATAATCCGCCCAACACCTACTGACCACTGGCCATGGCCGACGAGCCGTGTTGACCGAATACTGGGTATCTAGGTATAGGTAGATAAGATACCTACACACTAGCGAGCAGTGAAAAGGACACTAACGTAGCAGCTGTAGGACGAGGTGAAGAAGAAGAGACGAGGAGGGTGGGTTCAGTCACGACTGTACCCGTCCCTTGGTGCTCGTAGTAAAGAGTGCCAGAGACAAGTAATAGAAGTCTAGTTAGTTCACTCACGTCTGTGTCTCTTCCGCCCGCTCGTGTCTCTTCCGCCCGCTCGTGTCGTATTTTGGCGTCCGCATTATCCGTTTCGATTCCGTCTGGTGGTGTCGAGACTCGCTCCATGTTTTGTGGGGAACCCGCTTTTCTCACGCACTCGGCCTGACACTCTCTCACTCCATAATCATCATCCTCCTCATCCTCATCATCGTTAGACCGACAGACAGTATTAATCTGGCCCGTCGTGGACGTTGGTTTTTGCTTCCTAAATTACCACCTCTTCAACATCACCGGAATCATATTTGGTACAAGAAGAACCCATCGCTACTTTTCAAGTCTGATCTGTCAACACTCCAGACCCCCATTACCCCGTACCATACCCTCCGGTGGCGGGACTAAATCAACTGCCGAACAACCTACAGGTTCATTTTATTTACCTTCCCGACCACTGACGACCAAACACTCAAACACTCAAACACTCAAACACCAAATATACACATCTCGTGCCCGCCACAAAGGACGACAACACAGGTCTCGAGGATACCGACAGCGTTGTGCTCAAGCGAACTCGTTGCCGTTAACCGCACACCAAAATGAATAACCTCGACGACCTCAAACATAATCTTACCGAGGATAAGGTTCAAAATGAAAAGGTATGAATTCATCATGTATATATACGTACTTCCCTACCCTTATATCGGTTCTTGTCTAACTCCATACACCTCTTTCTCATTTATCTCAAACTGACATTGTTCAAATTTTACTACCTATGCAGCCCTCGACTGCCGTCATCTCGAGAGGCCCATCGCCAAACCGGGGCCAATCACTCCGCGACGTCGACGCCGTAGGCCCCGACCGCGACAACAAGAGAGAATGGCAAAAGAAGCGAGGCATCGACCGATCCAAACAGGTCAGGTTGGTCAAGTTGAGCCACATGCGGTATCAACATCCTGATTTGAATGCGATCACTACATTCTTGAGAGGTAAGTTTGACCTGACACAACTTGGACAATTTCACGCCGCCACCGATCCGTCTCCGGTGTGAATTTTTCCAAACGATAAAGTTCTGACGCCATCATTCTTGTTCCGCCGGAGCATTGTAGATTTCGGAATGCACGTCACCAAAAAGGGCGACGGAGAACGGTGGTTCCGCGGCTACGGACCGGACCAGTACGTGTACTACGCCAAACAAGGGCCGAAAAAGTACCTGGGCGGGTCGTTCGAGGTCGAGTCGCGCGAGGACCTCGAAAAGGTGCTCAAGCTGCCCGGCGCCACCGTCTTGAGCGACGGGGTCGAAGAGATGAAGGACGCTCCCGGTGGGGGATACATCGCGACCATCGCCGACCCGGAGGGGTTTCCGGTCAACTTCATCTGGGGCCAAGCTGAGGTCAAGGAGGAACGCGCGAAGCCGGCCAAACTCCAGATCAACGACGAAGTCGACAAGCCTCGACAGAAGGCTTTTCAAAGGTTTGATCCAGGACCGGCTGAAGTTCACAAGGTGAGTAAACTCGATAGTCCTCTTTGCACTCTCGCTCTCAACTCTCGCTCTCCCTCTCGCTTACGTTCACATACACGTTGACATTTCACACCCATACCCACATTCATACTATACTTACCTGGTCACTCACTCACTCACGTACACTTTGCTAATCCGTCCGACCCTCCCTGGGGTGTTTGCGTGTCCTGTAGCTCGGTCACTTTGGTCTCAACGTGCAAGACTTCCCCGCGCAGATGACGTGGTACACGACTCACTTCAACATCGTGCCGTCGGACATCCTCTACGTGCCGCTCGACAAGATCGACCCGGCGACCGGCGCGCCGGCGCGCAAGGAGGTGGCGCTGTTCGCGCACGTCGACCGCGACCGGGACCTCGTCGACCACCACACCTTCTTCATGACGACGCTGTCGCCCGGGGTCGAGAAGCACGTGCACCACTCGTCGTACGAGGTGCACGACTTCGACACCCAGGCCCTGGGCCACCAGTGGCTCGCCGAGAAAAAGTACACGCCCGTCTGGGGCGTCGGCAGGCACATCCTGGGCTCGCAGATCTTCGACTACTGGTGGGACATCAACGGCTTCATGGTCGAGCACTACGCCGACGGCGACCTGGTCAACGTCGACACCCCCATGGGCTACGGCCCCGCCGGCCACGAGGGACTGGCCGTCTGGGGTCCCGACGTGCCCACCGAGTTTCTGGAGTAGCCCCCCCTCCTTTTTTTTTAACAATACTTGTTTCTTGTTCAGGCGGCATCTCGATAGTACATGTGTTTCAGTTAAAGATTACCTCTTAGGCACTCGGTAACTAACTACCTGGTTGATACTACATAAGAATTGTATTGTGTCCTCTTTTGCGCACCGCCTACTGGGGGGTTTTTTTTTGGGAGTACAGCTGCACATACGTTTACCTCGCGACTTACCTACATCACCTACATCCCCACACACCTAGAGGTAGGGTTTCAAGTATTACGTACCTTCTATCCCCGTCGAGGGTTTCGGAGTAGACGTATCCCGTACATTGTAGCCACTGTAACTTTACAGTGGCTACACAACTGCCTGGAGGCATTTTACCCTACCTGCCCAGCCAGCACTCTCTCTCCAATTCAGAACAAAGACGGACACGGAAGGTCAGTACTCAGAGACACTCATCTCTCGGTGCGTAGCGTTCTAATCACTTCTCCCCATAAGCCGAACCGAGTCGAGAGTCTGAGACAGAGTCAGAATCTTTACCACCGGTCTTTTCATTCTGTCATGTTGACCGCTGGCCATGATGACTTGTCATTGATACCGCCATTTAGAATCCAATTCATCTTGATTTGATACTTGTCTACCATCTACCGTCTACTTACCAACCATCCAGGCCACCTCAAATCACCTCTATCCCCGAAATCACCACTGTTCATAGTGGACCTTGTTGATCAATGTACCGATCTTCTCAATCTCAACCCTAATGTCCCCCTTGTCCTCTAGAACCACTCTGGGTTGACGGAAAAATCCAATACCAGCAGGCGTACCGGTCAAGAAAATGGTACCAGCCTCCAAGGTAGTTCCTTGGGACAGGTAGCTGATTTGCTTCTTGATATCGAAAATCATATCCCTGTAGAAAAAACGCCACTCAGTCAGAACGTGTCTAGTCGTCTCGGCAAACAAGCACAAAAACTCACTTGGTGTTGCCATCTTGAACAGTCTGTCCGTTGTAGATGGCCTTGATCGTAAGAGTCTGGGGATCAGGGATGACGTCCTTGGTGACCAAGACTGGTCCGAGAGGACAACTTCCATCCAACCCCTTGGAGAACGACCATTGTGTGGTCAACATCTGCATTGTTCGGGCCGAAACGTCGTTGCTGCAGGTATATCCAAGAACGTAGTCGAGGGCCTTCTCTTCTGGAATGTCACGACCAGTCTTGCCAATCACGACGCAGAGTTCCGCCTCGTAATCCGAAGTTCCATCCTGTGCGGCCTTGGGGACGGGGATGACGGCTGGGTATGGGTCGGCGAGGGCAGTACGGGGTTTCGTGAAGAGGATGGGGGCTTTAGGGAGGGCCATCTTTGCTTCCTGTTTCGTCGAATTTAGCAACTGGAATCACTGCACACAAGAAGTACTGACATTCGCATGGTCCTTGTAGTTCAGACCCAAGCACCGGATATAGTTGCAGTCTTCTCTTGACACGGGCGACAACAGTTGCTTGACAGTGTAGACGATCGATGTGACTTCAGGCGTGAAGATCGAGCCATTGATCAGGTATGCCTCAACCTTCTTGCCCTCAAAAGTGTCGAGACCGACATCTCGGCTGGTGTCTACGAGTTGACCGAGATGGACTCTGTTGTCCTCGTTCGCGATGAAGCGAATGATATGAGTTGCCTTGGTCATCTTGAATCCGACTAAGTACGCGTGGTTGCTCGTTGAATTCTATAGTAGGATTGGGGGTGAGTGTAGGAGGACGAAAGAGCAAGGAGACGAAGTCAAACCAGGTGTAAAACGAATTTGTAAACCATCCCTACCTCAACTGTCGCCATTCCGTGATGGCCCCACGGTGTAGATTTCGTTGTCGCCGCTGTTCGTCGGGATTAACACTTGGACCCCGAATCACCCCGCGGTTGTTGCGGGAAAGGAGGCTCTCGATATGGAGACAAATTGGCGGAGTCTTCTCCGAGTCCCCTTGAGTGACACCGAGACTGCGACGGAGATTGTTCAAATGCCGACGGGGAAGCGCTCGAGGGGGTTGAAGATTGCGTACTCGTACTTGTTGATGGTGGGGGGAACTCCTTCGCACCCGGTGATGACGAGTTCCTACGAGTAGGGTGCCGTCTTCGGGGGGGATGACTCAGCGGTGCACGTGACCATCGGACGCCGAGACTGACACGTGATCTTCTCGCACATCGGCCTTGGCTGTCGTGGCTCGTGCCAACCATCCGTCCTGTCACGTACGTTCCTCGCATGATCCAAGAGAAATCCCCTGCCTAGACATGGTCAAGCGAAGTTTTGCCGATGACTATGGCGAGGGTGCACATCCCAGGATCCTAGAGGCCCTCGCCAGAACCAACCTCTCCCAACAGCCCGGGTATGGCAATGATGAATTTTGTGACAAGGCGAGAACACTCATCCGAGAGAGTATTGGTGTTGACGATGCCTCAGTCTTCTTCGTCACGGGAGGGACCCCGGCCAACTTGATCTCGATTGCGTCTTGTCTCCGGCCACATGAAGCCGTCATTGCAGCGACCTCGGGCCACATTTCAAGCAAAGAGGCGGGAGCCATTGAAGCGACAGGCCACAAAGTCATCCTCGCTCCCGCGACAAATGGCAAGCTGACGCCAAAGTCGATTCAAGTGGCAGTCGATCAAAACTCCATGTTCCCTCACAACGTCAAGCCGCGAATGGTATACATTTCAAATGCGACTGAAACGGGCACAATATACACTAAACAGGAGCTGGAAGTCCTCGCCGACCTTTGCAAGTCCCTTCGCCTCATTCTCTTCATGGACGGTGCTCGCCTTGCAGCTGCTTTGACGTCTTCAGCGAACGACATGTCCTTGCGTGACATTTACGATCTCACCGACATGTTCTGGATTGGCGGCACGAAAGTCGGTGCACTACTAGGCGAGGCGGTTGTCGTCAAGGATAAGAATATTGCTGCGGAGTTTCCTTACCATATGAAACAGCATGGATCGTTACTAGCCAAAGGCCGGGTTCTAGGCATCCAGTTCACCGAGCTCTTTCGCGATGGTTTGATTTTTGACCTTGCGAGGCATGCCAACAACATGGCTGCTGTGATGTCTTCCCACTTTGTCAAGGCTGGTGTCAAGTTACAGGCGACGACCGAGACCAATCAAGTCTTTCCTATTCTACCCAAAACAGTTGTCGATGCCCTGCAGAAAGATTTTGTCTTCTATATCTGGGAACAACTTCCAGACGACAAGGTTGTCATACGACTCTTGACCTCATGGGCCACAAACCTAGAACATGTGGAGGAGCTGAATGCTTGCGTCAGTCAGCTAGCGGGTTCAACAAGGAAACGGCGTCGCACCATGACTAAGCAGGGACACGACGACGGTTCTCAGGGAACAGTAGACATTTTCGAGGAAGAAAACCTCGCTAGAAAAAGTCGTTAGAAAACGCTATTAGAAAAAGTTATTAGACCTTAGAAAGCTACTATAGAATTGGTTTAGGTATCCAAAAGTTGACGCGGTTCCTATAGGCCACAATATTTCCCTGACCGGATGGCTCGAGGCAGATAGTCAGCAAGTGCATCAGGCGATGCCACTGTGCACCGAATCCGTTAATGAACACCTTCCAGGACGGGCATTTACCTTCCAACGTGTTACCTGAGACAACGCACTCAAATGATGATAACGCAGGTAACCAACAATACATCCGACTGTTCCTTTCATCCACAACGGGGTGCTAGGCTGCCTCACAGGCCTCTTCGCTGGGTGTCTCGCTGAAATGGGCCTATTCGGGTCATGTTCAGCGAGCGACCTCCAAATGAGGTGATTTTTGGCGACGAGGCTTTTGCGACGGCGGGTGCGAGTTTGCGGCGATTGCTCAAATCGCTGTTTGGCCATTGGCCCATCTGAGATGAATGATGGACCGCGTGGATCTTGATCCCGCGGACTTCCATTTCCTGGTTCTGGACGACATGGATCCATTTGAGCTGCCGCTTTGATGATATCATGTTCTCCCTGCACGAGCATCGTTGCGTGCCCACCTACTCGCACGAGCACGAGTACCGACTCAGGTCCAGGGTCATTTTGCTTCTTCAAATCTTGATCTCTAAGCCTCCTGACTGGTGGTGATCAGATCAACGATCCCCAGTCTTTGTTTTAGGCTTTCTGCTCATTGGAAGCATTTTTGCCTAGCCGAAGCTTGTAAAACGTCATGACGCACGGCCAGAAGCCATGCTACAACGACTTGAGCGAGCGAGCCATGGATGCAAGTGGCGTGTGCGACACATAACCAGACGGCGATGCGGGTTTAATAATGGTAAGGTCCAAACCCCCTTAAAACCCTCGACGCAGACGGGTTGTCTAGCTCCATTTGCCTCTTCGCGAAAATCCATATAAGATACCCTTCTGCGGTCTATGGAATTTGTTCAAAGAATCATTCAAGAACCCATTGACACGATCAAGTCAACCATCATGGCCCCGTCTGCAGATACCTCGTTCGCCTCCCACGTCACCAACCAGTTCACTTCCTTTGAGAAGGACCGACAGGCTACCTCGAAGGACACCGTCTACGCCACCAGCAATGGCGCTCCCATGCCTCACCCATACGAGGCGCAAAGAGCCGGCGAGAATGGTCCTCTTCTTCTCCAAGATTTCCACCTAATCGACCTCCTGTCACACTTTGACCGCGAACGAATCCCTGAGCGTGTTGTCCATGCCAAAGGCAGCGGCGCACACGGGTTTTTCGAGTGCACAGACCCAGCGGACGATTTGACCCAGCTAGATATTTGGGGCACCAAGGGCAAGAAGTGTCCCATCACCATGCGATTTTCGACGGTCGGGGGCGAAGCTGGTTCGCATGATTGCGCCCGCGATCCTCGAGGCTTTTCGGTGAAACTCAGAACCGACGACGGCAACTGGGACATGGTGTTCAACAACACGCCGGTCTTCTTCTTGAGGGACCCTGCCAAGTTCCCTCACTTCATCCACACACAGAAACGAGACCCGTCGACCCATCTCACGCACGCCGACGACTCTACCATGTTTTGGGACTACCTGTCCCAGAACCCCGAGTCGATCCACCAGGTCATGATCCTCATGGGTGACCGAGGCATCCCCGATGGCTACCGGTTCATGCACGGGTACTCCGGACACACCCTCAAGCTCGTCAAGAAAGACGGCGAGTGGGTGTACTGCCAGATCCACCTGAAGTCGATGCAGGGCACCAAGTTCATCACCCAAGAGGACTCGGCCAACAAGTCCCCGGACCACTCGCAGAAGGACCTGTACGAGGCGATCGAGCGTGGCGAGTTCCCCAAGTGGTCGGTCGAGGTCCAGACCATGACGCCGAAGGAGGCCGAGGAGGTCTGGGAGAAGCAGGGCATCAACGTGTTCGACCTGACCCACGTCTGGCCCCAGAACCAGTTCCCCCTCCGCAAGGTCGGCGAAATGACCCTGAACGAGAACGCCGTCAACTACTTCGCCGAGGTGGAGCAGGTTGCCTTCAACCCGTCGCACATGCCTCCCGGCGTCGAGCCTTCCGCGGACCCTGTCCTGCAGGCCCGGCTCTTCTCCTATCCCGACACGCACAGGCACCGCATCGGCGTGAACTACCAACAACTGCCGGTCAACGCCCCGCGCACGGGGTACAAGTTTGGCAATTTCCAACGCGACGGGTCGATGGCTTTCTACAACCAGGGCGGCCGGCCGGCCTACCTCTCGTCGATCGACCCCATCCAATTCAGGGAGCGGTCCGTCGATCTCGACAGGACCCACGGCCACTTCCAAGGCAGGGCCATCACGTTCTTGTCTCAGATCCGGCCCGAAGACTTCAACGCCCCCCGGGCGCTGTGGGAGAAGGTCTTCGACGAGCCGGCCCGCGAGCGGTTCGTCAACAACGTCTCCGGCAAGATGGAGGCGTGTCGCGACAAGGAGATCTTGAGACGACAGATCGCCATCTTCCGCGAAGTCAGCGAGGATCTCGCTCAGAGACTCGAGAAGGCCACCGGCATCAAAGGCTACGACGGCATCAAGAACATGAAGTTCAACGGTACTCACAACGGCATGGCTACCGATCCCAGTGCAAGGTACGCAAATGGGGTGAAGGCCGCAACGGGTTATTCTTTGGCGGACAACAACGGTGCTCCTACAAAGGGCACGCACAAATGAGTTGAGATATGGCGGGGATTCAACGAAGGCATGTTATGAAATCCTTGTGTTCGTTTTTGAACCTTTGTCACAGAGCGATATGTAATAAAATCAAAATTGTTCTTCAAATACCATGAATAAAAAGAATGTTTTCAATACCATGGTTAAAAAAAATGTTTTCGTCAGAAATGTATGATTGGTGATAGATACCTGAGGCACCGGCGACGCCGGACTTGTTGAAGACAACTTCCACTTTGGTTAGGAGAGGCCGGGTGTCGAGTGCGGTCTCGTCCCCTCGAACCCACCTGACCGCCCGTAGCCCCTTGTTTTCAACCTAGCGACCATAGACACCGACAAAGTTCTCAGAGATGAACGCAATGCCCTCGGCGCGGTAGTAGTCGTCCTCCACATACATCAGGTTTGTATGGTTGGTGTCGAACACGATGTTTTGTGGCGTCGTGAGATTATACTTGGGCCAATGAACCGCGGTGGCTATTTTTGGACGAGACGAGTAATGTAGATAGTTAGTCAACAACGCCAACAACGGTAGGTAGGTGTACGTCGACAGCGAGGGGATTCATCGGAGGGAAGAAAAAACGGTAGAGTTGGACCGTACGAAAACCAAACGCAAAAAAAAGAGAAAAAAAAGGACAATACCTCCTGTACAGTTATGCGACATTTGCATCAAAGACAGCGAAAATGAGGACAAAAGAAGAAGAGAGAAAAAATAAAGGGAGCCAAGGACTCACCATTGTTCACATTAGGATCGAGATCGGCAATGAAACTCGCCCACATTCGAGACATGACATTCGCAAGTCGGTCATACGACCGAGGCATGTTGGCAAAGGGGTCCTTGGCGACAGAGTTGTTGTATCCCTGTCCGGCGGTGTTGTCGAACACAAACGCGACTTCCTGGAAATGAGTCGCCCCGATCTGCGGCGGCACGCCGTTCGGCACCACGTTGAAGTGGTAGCTGTACCCGCTGACGTTTTGGGCCGCCCAGCACATGGACGTGAACCGTCGGGGAGCGTGCATGCTGAGGTCCCCGCCGTAGGCAGACGCGCGCTTGTACTGCTTTCCCAGCAGCGCCCAGGGCCCGGTAGGCCGACCGTCCAGGGTAGCGGGGATGCCGATGCCCGGGATATCAGGGTAAAGGGCGGCGACTGTCTGCGCCGTGGTCGCGTTGGGACCGGTCGACGAGACATAGGCGAGGAATTGCTGGGTGGTGTTGATGCCCTTGCCGCCGAACGAGGTTCCCTCGTCAAAGTTCGCGCCCTGCAGGATGGGGACCTTGACGAACTTGCCGTCGAGAAGTTGTTGAGAGGCCGAGCCCTCGATGAAGTCACCGTCGATGTGCCCTCCCCACCCCGGGACCGTCGCCGTCACGCTGCTGTTGAGAACGTCGCTGAGTCTCTGAATGGGCACCTTGCGCAGGCAGGCGAGCGTGTCGGGCGCGCCGCTGCAGTTGGTCGCCTTGGTGATGTTGTTGTAGTATTTGTCCCACGCGGAGGCGTTGATGGCTGGAGCGAACGGGACGGGGCAGCCGCTCTCCATGATCCCGGCACGGAAGAGTTTGTCATCACGCCCGCCGTAGGCGATGAGCTGCGTTCCGACTGAGTTGCCTCCAGCGGACTCTCCCCAGATGGTCACCTGGGCCGGATCTCCGCCGAACGCGGCGATGTTTTCTTGCACCCAGTGCAGTGCCAGCCGCTGGTCACGGAAGCCCAGATTGGTGACACCCTCCTTCAGGACGGCGGTGCCGAAGAGATACCCGAATGCTTGCAGGCGATAGTTGATACTGACACCAATGAATGGTTTGCCCATGTCGACCGATGCCTGGATGATCTTGCTCAGGTTGTATCGTGGATCCCGGCCTCCTCCCTCGAAAAAGCCTCCGCCATGAATCCAAACTCCCACTGGCAAACTTGCATTCTGTCCGATACCGCTCGGCCTGACGACGTTGAGGGTCAGGCAGTCTTCACTGACAATGTTTCCCAGCACCCATTGGTCACTCCCGTACCCGTAGCATTGATAACCGTACTGGGTGGCATTCTTGGGGCTGTCCCACGTCGTGTTCAGTGACTTTGGCAAGTTGAAGCGTAGTTCTCCTACAGGCGGTTGGGCAAAGGGCATTCCAAGGAAGAGATCCTGATTGTATGACGGGTTGTGAAAACCATAGTAGCTGCCGTTCTTGACCTTGACCGTAGGAACATCGCTTTGTCGGCCTATGAGACCTCCATAGGCCGAAGAAGCGAGTAGGCTCACCCAGAGCAGGCCGAGAAATCGAAGAGGTGATGACGAAAGCATTTTCAACAGTATGTGTTCATCCAGGGGGAGCACATGAAGGAGAAGAACCCAGAGACCCTCGAGGCGACGAGGTCACAAGGATGAGCAGCATCTTGTACCTCAACGGCCACCTGGATGGAACACATTCCGGCTATGGCGGCGTGCAACCCACATACGACGAAGACAATGTGCTGCTGTTCATGAAGTCATCGGCCATGGAGGACTGGACAACTGCCGGCGATTGAAGCGTTCAACGGTAACCGAGAATGCGATGAAAATTCTGTCGATCACCCAACGTCCATTGTCCCGTCATGGATTCACCACGAAGGCGGGGTTTGAATGCTAGCCTTGAAAAGAAGGTGGAATCCGCGTGGTTAGAGGTCATGAGTACGACAAAATGAAGAGGAGAAGAAAGTTGAAGCTGGTACCACGGGGATCATCCTGACTTCGGCTAGCGACGTTATTGGGCTTCGAGAAGTACACGGAAGAGCTTTCTCGACAGGCATTATGGCAGCCGAGGGGATTTGCCGCTGGAGTCTCTGTAGTTTCGTATCGTGCAAGTCGTATCTGGGACATCGTCTCCATCACGACGGGGCAAAATAGCGGGGGAACGACACACCATCCAGTACGAGTAGCAGACGGCAGTGGACTTGCGAATAGCGGCCACCCACGTCACGAGATAGAAGCCAAGTTGAGTTAAGCATGAGGCAATAAGGACCAAGGACAGATCAAGACGAAGAGGAGGAATGTGACCAGGACAAGAGTCTGTGGTGCATCAGGCCAAGTGCCCACAGTCCTATACCCATCACCCACGAGTCAGTCACAGAGTCGCTTAGGGTATACACAACTCGTGTGTAGGGAGCCATACGTACGAGATCGGCTATCGAGACTTGATTGGAACAGGGAGTTGATTGTCTGCGTCCACCAAGTAACTAGATGCTTGCCTTTGAGCGCAAACCAATTGCCGGATACTCGTTCTGTAGCCCATCGGCAATTGGAGCTGCCACCTAAGTCTCTCTGCAGACGTTGCTTGGTCTTATTTACGTTCTTCCTTCTTGCCGATTGTCCCAGCCACGCCAATCGTTTACAGTGGCTTCCCATCCACCCAGGTATTGACTTTGTCAGGATAGAAGCACAGCAGGCCACTGATCTGTACACTCTCCAGCATGGGGTTCGGATACCACCACGCCACGTCCTTGTATTCCTTCCCGTTCACGGTGGCATTGTAGTAGCTCGCCTCTCCTTTGTACGGACAGCCCGTGTGAGTCTCGCTGGGCGTGAGGTACTCCCAATTGACCGCCGTTCGAGGAAGATACCATCTGCCAGGGAACCTGGTCTCCCACAGTGACATAACGCCCCCTTCGGAGCCAGTGTCCGCAAGAGCGACCCCGTCAATCTCAACACGTACTTTGCGTCCAGACGGGAGAATGTCCACTCGATGATAAGGGTCTTTGGGATGGTAGAGGACCTGTGATTGCTCCTCGTACCACGCATCGATGGCCTTGAAGTCGACCTTGACGTGGCTTGCGAGCTCCGAGTTGAACGAGTCTGGAACAACCAGCGCAGGGACGGACTTGTCACCGACCGACAGCTTTGAGGTTGACGAGTCTACGCCAGAGACGGGCTCGTCTTGTTCAAATTTTGCCGTCTCCAAGAAATCCGCCTTGGGGATCCAGTAGTATGGGAAATACTGGTGCTCCCATACCAATTTGGCATTGGTCGTGTCGAAGATGTACTTGCCGTTCAAAATGCCACGCACTCTTTTGGCCGTGGGTACAATCTGAGGGCGGAAGTCCGCATTGGGGTTGAAGAGCTTAGAAGCCAAATCTGCTAGACTGGAATCGAGCGCCGTGTTAGTGACAACAGAGGCAGCAGATATGAGCGAGTGTGAAAGTTCACTTGCCTCGACATTTTGACTGATGACGCCTTTAATTGACCCGACGAGGGAAAATGGCCCCGAGCAAGGAGAAGTCGTGATAGTGACCTCGACGCCAGCCTTGTTGTGTGCTGCAGGATGGTGAAAGGATTGAGCTTTCCAAAAGAGCGAAAATCGGTTTGAAGTCGGGGACGAGCACGCGATATAATGCTGTTGGTGCGAATATTGTGCCAATATTGTGCCGGCCAGACGAATTAGTCAGATGTGCTGATCTGCCTTTCCGCTCAATAGATATACGCGCTCTCCGGGAATTGCAATCAGCAAAGATCTGATCCGTACAACAGCTGTAAGTTGTAACTAATCCGACGTCCAGTTGCAGTAGCGCGATGGTGCAATTGGAAACGTGCTGACATACACGTCTCACTCAACGATGCGGGGACGGAGCCTCCGTCGGTTTCCTACTAGATCAACCAGAACTTCCTTATCCAGTCAATGGTAGCACTGGTATCTGCCTTCTCGCTGATCATCACATAACAATTGTTGTCTTGCGAACTCACGCGGGACAATCCTAAACATTGATGATTATCCAGAAATCTATCGTTTCATACTTGACAATGTGACTAATCAAGTCAAATGAGCCCTCCCTCGACATTCGCTAGTTGATCAGTCAAGGCTTTTCAAGGCGGAAGGTCATGTCCAAGCAGTCCTGCTGCCGCGTTACTCAGGCGCCAAATGGACCGGGACCACCAGGGTTGCCTCTGTATGTTTCTCTCTGACGCTGAGATGCCTTCTCGGGGTCAAGCTGGTCCTGACTGACGACACTTGCACTGCGTTCAGCCGTGCTGGCTCTCCGGTGGTGCTCCTCGGTTTCCTCATAATCAATCAAGACTTCACCGTTCTTGCCATAACGATGTGGTTCGTGCTTCGCTGTCCATACTACAGTGAATATGTTCTTGGTCTTGTGGAAGATTGTGTCCATCTCTTCAAGAGATCGATAAGCGGTTTCAGGGTAGAAGAAATAGACAACAGGGACAATGAAAGCGTTACTAAAGATCATGTCAGTACTAAAATCGTATACATCAGCGTACGCAAGCAAGTTCGACTCACATGACAGCAAAGATGATATACGTCTGGTATCCGATGCTGGAAAAGGACACTGGGGTAATCATCACAACCATGAAGTTGAACGCCCAGTTGGCGCTGGTACTCAAGGCGTTGGAAGGTGCTCGGATGCGCAAAGGCACAATCTCAGCTGGATATAGCCATGTCATACCAAGCCACCCAATCGCAAAGAAGGTATTGAAGACGAACAAAAAGGTCGCAGCCACAATACCACAAGCACTTCCGCCAATTTTCGTCATGACGGCAAGGATGACCATGGAAATAGACATGCCCGCGGCCCCGACCAACATGAGCTTTCGGCGGCCGACTTTTTCGATGATGAAGACGGAGATCCATGAAGCCAAGAAATACTCCGTGCCGTTGCATGCAGCAAGAATCCGCGAGATAAACGGCGTCAGACCAATTTCATTCTCGTAGATGGTGGCTGCATAGTACGTGATCAACTGGGATAGGTTAGTCATGGCACCAACATTCACAGGGTAACAGAGACTTACATTGATACCAGAGATCTGTTGGAACATTTGATTGACATATGCCAATACAACACGATGGAAGTGACGGTCCTCGTCCATGGTGAATAAGTCGCGGAAAGTTGCCTTTTGCTGTTCAAGCACGGTATCTTTGATGGCGGTGAATTCAGCGGCGATATATCTGTCTTCAACCGACTTCTCGGAGAGAGCGGCAAGCACTTCCACGGCCTCCTGTTCGTGGCCCTTGAGAATCAACCATCTTGGCGATTCTGGAAGCTCCAGGATGAAGGCAAGGATGATCAAGGCAAATACGATTTGGAAGGCGATGGGGAAACGCCACGAAGCCTGGCTGTCGAGGAAGGAGAAGGCGAAATCAATCCAGTACGAGAGGCAGATGCCACCAGTGATCAAAGCACCTTCGATCATGACAAGCTGTCCCCGACGGTGCGACTTTGAGCATTCCGATTGCCACGTGGGTACGGTTGACGTGTTGAGACCATTGCCCATGCCCGTTATGATTCGACCAACGATGAAGTGCGCCAGACTAAAAGCCGTGCACTGGAGAGTCGCACCGACGACCATGATGGCCGAACCGAGGAAAATAGTCTTGCGTCGTCCCAAGTACTCACCCACCCAGATACACGCTATCGCACCGAAGAAGCATCCAACGTTGTACGATGCGACCGAGATACCTTGGATAGTCGAGACATGGTTTGCCTCGCCCTTGGTCATGCCGGCTCTGGTCGTGTCAATCTCTGGAAAGACCGACGTGAACGAAGGTAGCGTCAAAAGACCTCCCATGACACCCTGATCATAGCCGAATAACCTATTGGAGCAGTCAGCGCGTGTCCACTACATCAAGCAGGTGCCTCCCTACAAGAAATCCAGACCAGCGATAATACCAATAGCGAAGTTCAATTTGGTGCCACGCAGGCCCAAGTAGCGGCTGCGACCCTTGAATAATTGCATGATGAGTTGCGTGGCAAGGATGATCCAGTATGATTGCTTCCAGAAAGACTGCCTCTTGGGCGAGGCGCGACTCTTATGTAGGGAGCGGACGGCGGTCAAGCATTCTCTGCAATGTCAACGCGATCCCGAGAGAAAGATAGATGTGGAGTTAAAAGCGGATTGACTCCATCACTCCGGGTACAAAGTGGAGAGTCAGTATCCGCATCGATGTCATTGTCCATCGGCCACATGAGCCCACAGTTACAGCAACTGGAGAAGAGATCGGCGTGACGGAGGTCTTCGTGGTCTCAGCATACCGAGTAGTCAACCCATGGAAGTCATCCGGGTTGCCCAAAGCGGAATGCCGTGGAGCGCCGCCGCTTTGAGTGCAACTGTCGTTGCTTAAGCCTCTCTAGGCACAGATGATTGATCCACCAAGTGCCCGCCTTAAACAGGCAAGGGAAATTTCTGACCCCTACACCGTCGGATCACGTTCGGCCTGCTACCGAGCAGCTCAGAGGGGTTTCTGTGGGTGTTGGTGAAGAATGGGGGGCTCGTGGTCAACTGGAAGATTTTTCATGTGCCCAAATGATGTATTTTCTATCCACTTGGAGACATTCACGTGTTCGGTGCCCACGATTTTCATGGTACAAATAGTAACCGGAGATAGAGGAGTGGGTAACGACGGCCGTCCTGAATGTGACAGCTTCTGGTTGGTAGGTCAAAACATCTCGAAACTAATCAGATGTGTACGAGTATGGATGGTACACTACTGAATTGGTGCCTGGACTCTGCACACCTTCAGCCATTCGGTGTAGTGCAGTTGGGGTGCGTTGCTGGGGATTTCCCCGAGTAAGGAGTCTAACCCAAGGTTTCCAGCCGGAGACGTTCGAGATCCCGGGGAAGGAAACAGATGTTAGGGTACGGGGAAAGGGTCTTCCACGTCCTCCTCTGTTTCACGATGGGGAATCCTGCGTGAAAGCTGCCGGCTGCGCAGTGTTGCGCGCAGACGTACCTGGGGCGACCGCAATTTGGCCTGACGGTTGATAGATCCGGCGAGGCACCTCGGACTCCTGAAATAGGAAACTCCGCTCTTGAGTCTTGACCTTTTGCACACGCTCCCCAGGAAGACACACCGAACTATGGGATAGGGCAAGTGCGGATTCAAACTCGGGGGAATGGGTCTAGAATGGTTAGAATGGTTCTGGATTCCAGATTCCATGAGTCCGTGGAGAAGGTCTCGATACTGGCCAGTGCGACGACATTGTGCTAACCAACACAGGCGATCCTAGGTAGACCAGGTCTTTCATATCCCTGCCGGAGGCTAACTTCGTCGGAGAGAGCTATCTTCTCGCAGGTCAGGCTCTCCTGGCTGTGATTCCATCCATCATCTTGATCCTCCAGCTCTCAAGAGAACCCATTCGACCAGTAAGCCGATATCCTCAGTCGCGGTAACGATACGGGAAACTTGCTCTCGAAGCTTCAACTCTTCGCTCTTGTCGCTAACTTGCGCACCATTCAAGTTCTTCACCTCAATTATCCCGTCGGGGCAGACATGTAAAGAGATGAATATGAAAGGACTCTGTCTTCCGCCGGCGAGGGATCCAAACAGAGGAACATAAATATCCAATTTGGCTTTTGGACTGTCTGACACGGTATCAAGGCTGACGTCGACAGGGACCACGTCGTCTCGTCCTTCTGGACTACCAATGCCCAGTAAGTCATCGAGCCTGTTTTTAGTGGCTTTGACATTACTTCGTCGCGAGGTTCGAGAAGGCCTCGCTGCAACCACATTCTGAGTAGAATGATCGGCCGCAGTCGCCATTGTGTTCGGTTCGGCGTCCCCATATTCTACAAGGCTTCTTAGAAGACTCCATACCAGAGCATACTGACGCAGGATTGGTATTGCTCCTGCCAATTGTCTGGGATGAATGAACTTCAGGCGAGTGACTGGATAACACCAGAGTACTGCTCCGGGCTGGACAGAATGCAGCGCATAAGAATGGCGGCGATACTTTAAAGGTCCACCTTCAGACGTGATTGGCAGACATCTGGGCCATCTCTCCTCAGAGGTACTTTGACTACCACGTGCTTTAGTGGTGTTGAAGTGGTCCTGTAGGGCTTTCTGGTACGTCACCGTCATCTCCTGGTTCATTTCAAACATGCCAAGCTCCACAATACTTTCCGCGATGTTCAGGGGCAGGTATACCTCTGGCACCAACTTGGATATGAAGTGCATCTTCAGTATGCTCGGTGGAGCGTCAGTCTTTTCGTCTCCAGTCGGGTCCATAGCGTCCGCTTTTTCAACCAAACTCAAATATTCGGCTTCATCGGCAGAAGCCTGCCAGTCTGGGCCCACTTTCGCGTTTTCCGAGTGATTCTCGCCTTGGGGTGCTTCGGTGAGAACAGACTCAGACACCCAGCCGTTTAGAGGCAACGTGTAAGGCTTGCCCTGCTCACATGATATATTCGCTGAGTAGACACTATGATCGGGGAAGGAGTCATCGTCTTCCGAAGACGGCTGCGAATCTGGTCTGCGGTTCCAATAATCGATAGCTAGACCCAGCTTTGGAGTTCGGTCCATGAATGGTCGACCCAAGGCACTGTGCCTTAGACGTTGTCGTGCGTTGGCGGATTTCAGTCGGTCTCTTTCGGCGTTCCATATCTTCTGGAAAGCATCGTAGAGGCTGTCAATGGCGTCGATGCCTCCTTGAATGCAATCCAATTGATGGAGGTAGTCCAGATTCGATTCATAATCACGTAGATCTGTCCATTGAGCAGTCCCGTCGACAGTGGTGAATGGCTGGAGGTTGTCCTTGAGAACTTGCGTTCCTCGCTCTTGAAACTGGGCTTCGGGCGCATCATTCTTAATGAGCTTGAGGTTGACCTCCCGAATCAAGTCTCGATCAATTGTATCGAACACAACCTCAAGATCGACCGTAGCCTTACCAGCGATCGAGAGGTTCCCTTCATCCAACAGCGTCGAAAATCCATGCACTTGTGCTAGTCTTTCAACTCCTTCTCGTGTCAGGCCGCGCCCTGCAACCCGCGTCTTCAGCGTGCTTGCCACAAGCTGTATTCTCTGTATTCGTTCCATTTCCGGGTTCGCAGAAACCGCACTCACTCTTGTTGCAGCCCCTTGGCCGTTGCCCGTGATACCCAGGCCGTCTGCGCCATTTGTCAATGGGGTCATCCCGGTCGAGCCCATCGAGGCAATGAGGGCAGCAGCAGGCGAATTCAGCGCGAGTAGGTCGTCGTGGATCGTGTGGGCGGCTAGGGGAGTGGAAGAAGGTTGAGAAGACACACTGACATGGTGAGTGTGACCTGGTATTGAGGCCGGCGTTTTGACAGCCGGGGATTTATAGGCCAAATTTCGATTTGCATTTCCTGAGGTACCAGGTCGCGGAGAAGCGTTGACTCGGTTCGGGGTGAACTGTGACTTGGGAGTCGAAACCGCCGGTGGCCTTGTAGGTGTCGCCATGTCGGGGCGCTCTCTTCGAGTCCTCAATGCCAACTTGCGCAGGTTTGTTCACAGATCATCTCGGCTTGGCTTGCGATGGCGCAACAATCTTTGTGTCTCGGAGGGCGGGAAAGCTTCAGACAGCAGATGCTACTGGTCAACCGCTCCGTCACCCGCCACTGTTTACTACGACGAGTTGTACTAACAGCGTCTACAGAGTGTGCAATGCTGGTTGGACTATGCGAACATTGTAAACAGAGCCACGCTGAAAGGCAGGTGAAGCGAGGAACTTGTTCAGATGCTCAGCCTCGCGCACCTGGGCACGTACGAGTACTCAGATTAGCAAGGCTGAGTACAGTATCAACAACGCGACGTCATGGACGGGCTGGTGCTTGTTCAAAAAAATATTCACGTTTGAAGCTCAAGACGAAGCCTTTTCGCAAGTTCGAATAGTGCTTACCACCAACACCCATCAGTCATGAATCCAGGACAAACTGCCAGAGCACTTCTACGACACGCCGCGCGTCCAGTCCTTCAACTGCGGGCTTCTTCGACCCTGAGCAACAATCGTCACATCGTAAGTGTATTCCGGGTATTCCATACGGCACCACCACCTCTCTAGGCGCCTAGGACTAACAACGGCCACAGTATGCATTGAAAGACCCCCAGAACCCCTCATCCCACGTCCTTTCCTTCCTGTCCACCGAACCACCCACGCCCTCTCTGGCCATCGGCTCAACAACCAAACTCCCCCCCACTCCAGCCTCCTTTACAGAGAACCCGAGGTTCCTTTCTATTCTCCAAGCAGTCATGGCCGAATACGCGCACGCAGACCCATTCGTCCAGTCCCAAGCTGCTGTCATGATGTCGTCCTCCGGTGCTAGCTTCTTGCAGGCCTCGCGCAGGCAACAGACAGGCTCGTTTGGCGCGAGCGACCAAGGCGGCTACGGCGGTGCAGGTCGAGGCGGATGGGTGCACGTCTACGATCAACGACGAGTCCCAGATTTTGGCCGCATCCCGGACCCTGAGGACATCTTTGGGAGCATCGAGGTCGACGGGAACGGCGAGTTTGTCGACGGCCACGGCAGGTACGAGCCCAGCGGGACGTACCGTGTCGTCACCAACGACGGAATATTGGGTCTGTCTGACTTTATGAGAGAGAGGCTCATGCAAAGATTGAAACTTCACGAGGCAGCAGAGAGAAACGAGAAGTAAATTCTCCCTCTTCTCGCCATTCCCCTTTGCGAGACTACCTTACGCTCGAGCCGACTAGCCTGGCTAAGATTCAAGTTTTGCGTCGAGAGCTCAGGTGCACGACAGTGAAATCATGTCACAGCACATCTTGCAAATGGGCCACGGTGCTCTTCAGGACTATACATCTATTGACTGGCATCCTCCCTTATCAGGCACGGCTTGATGGGAGGGCCGTAGACACATGGTCTGCGCCTTTCTCTCCTGTGCCGTCTCCAAGGCAGGAAGGTTGGATCCATTGTGGCTTCTTCTCCAAACGGGAGCTCCACACTCGGAAGCTGAAGCCTTGATCCAGAATGCATGGTATACATAACATGGCCAATCGCGCATGAGTCCCAGAGACCTCGTCGACCACGACCTCCGACACTCCACAGGGCGGTGTTTGTTGGGAGTGTCGGTCAAGGTGGACCTAACCCGAAGGTCTAAACACCTACTCACCGGTCATCGGACACACCTAGTCCGACAAAGGTATTGCTTAGACTCCGAATGGCAATCGTTGGATTCCCGTTCCGTTCTGGAAGAAGGGTCCCTTGCGATTACGATCACTTTCTTGAAATAACAACACTCGGCTGCAATAGGCCTAAATGTGGCGGCTTGTGAAATGGTCAACTACATTAATGTACCGATGTTATACACCAGAAACCAAAACAGTCTACCCCATTTTTATTCCTAGAAGATCCCCCGCGTTTGCTGTACCTGATAAACTCCGCCCTGGACCATTTCATATTCTCCAGCTCAACGACAGATTCATCTGCTGATCCTCTCCATCAAGACAGCAAAAGTTGCCATCCAGTTGAATCAGACTACTCCAGTCCATTTCGTCAAAGTAGTCCAGTAACGGACAAGAATACATGACATCCTGCTCCCATTCTCCCGACGCTTGCATGGACTTTGAAAAGTAGAAGCCGCCATTTCCATTCTGGTTGGGCAGTGTCATCCGCAACATGATCTCCATCCTCTTCTTGGCCGAGTCGAGCTGCTCGCGGCCACCGTGCCAAGACTGGGACAGTGCCTCCAGGGTTTCGAGGCCCGCCGACATCATCGACATGACGCGGCTCTCCTCCCCGTGCAGATGGTACATTGTGCCTCTGGCGGTGATGATGTCGAACGCCTCAAAGATGGCGAGGCCGATGAACGGACACAACATGGTGAAGGCGGAAGCATCCTCCGTCCTCGAGTTGCTCAACTGCTGGGCGACGCGGAGGATCTTGCTGGCATTGACGAACGCCTCGTGGGCATAGTGTGCCTGGGCTTCGGGCCCGGACCACGGAGGACAGGCTCGTCGATGGAGGAGAGCCTTTGCGAAGAAGTACAGTATGTCGACTTGCTGGTCTGCGGAACTTCGACGTGCAGAGACCTGTCCTCTTGCACGATTGCCTTGGAACGCGACGTCCCAGGTGTCAAGACGGCTTCTGATCGTTTCGAAGTTGACGTTGGTCTCGTGCTGCCACAGAGCCCTCGGTGTGCCAGCCATGACGGCGACTTCCCTCAACGCCGTGGCGATCAGAATGAGATCCGGCCGCGACACTGTGCTGCCGTCCAACGAAAGAGAGTCGTGGACGCTGTTTTGGTGGGCGTGTTGGATCTCCCACATCGACTGTCTCTGGGCATACGGGCATCGACATGAGCCCAGGCACAACATGACGTCTGCGAGCCATGTGGCCCGCTTTGCACACTCCATCATTGACCCTCTGTCCAGTCCAAAAGCCCACGGAGGTGTGGCCGTGCCTTGGTCCGCAGGTCTGCTCGACAGTTCCCTTTGGCCCATCTTGTACACAGAGATGTATAGTTCCGCCGCTCCGTCGTAATCCCCTTGCAGATGGCGAAGGTTGGCGAAGAGTAACGTAGTCAGCATCAGATGCAGCAGGGATCCGCCGAGGGCATCTATTCCAGATGAGCCGATCTGGGAGAATTCGGACAGATGCGCAGCTGCCGCGGAGCCGTTGGCAAACACCGATCCCACGGCGAGGACTGTATACAGCACCGTGTTATCTCGAGGCCTCTTTGAGCGGTCTAGCATGATCCATTCCAGGAATGGGCCCTTTGGCAGCACTGATAACGCAGGTGTATCAACATGGGCGAAGTATTTCTCGGCATACGACATGGTCATTTCCGGGTAGGTCTGGTATAAGTCGGTCTGTAACGAGAGCGGTGACATGGCTGAACGACTTGTGTCTATCCCCCATTGAGGGTCTTCAGGGAGAATGGAGATTTCGTGTAGTTCTGGAGACGTCGGTGTGATAATGCTCGGGATCCTCATCCTTTTCTTGCAACACTCGTAGTGCTAGAAGCAGTTGGTGCGATGGTGGTTCGATTGGCACGTAAAGCAGACGAGCCAGACGATGCCGACTGATTGAAGACAGTGTTGGAGGTCTTCCAGGGCGAAACTTCCTGTAACGCTCTTGAAAGCAGTGGTAACAGGTTTTCGTCTGTTAAGTCTCCGAGCATCAGATATCTCTACTTCCAAAAAGTCTGAATAGTGATCTTGAAATGGGCGGATGCCATGATAGATGTGGGTTGACTTAGTCCAAGTCCGTCAGGCACCACACACGCTTCATCTGGAAAGGCGTGCGATCAATGATATCCTTGTGCGTGGCGCCCACACAAGACCTGGCTAGGCCGCATTTCCTGGCCGCGATGGGTCTGTGAATAGTGCGTCTTCGGGCTGTGAATTCATGCCATCCGGGGTAATAAACGGTCGAGAATCGCCCTTAAAAGGCTTGGGGCTGCACTGCTGCTGCGATCAGCTTGTTGGATGCACCGCTACTGTACGTGCAATGCATCGTGGGCTGACGGGACGGCAGGGCCTTTCCGTTTCCGTCGAACCATGCGGTGAGTCTCCAAGCTTAACCGCTCTGACTAGCACCCACAAAGCGTAGATCTTTGGGGAATGTGCGTAGACGCTTGCAAAGAAGTTATCACAGCTTCAAGCGCCCTCATTGCCTGCCAGCCCAAGCAATATCATCGAGCTGTCACTGCTGTCCGGAGCATCAATATGCCACAGGGCACGCGTCGGCTCGATCCTCCCCCCTTGCTTCGATTGCAAGGGGGGACAATGTGACCCGTCCCCTGAGAGCTGCATGGTTCGGAGAGGATGCAGCACCACTGAGGCATTGCGAGGATCCCTTGAGAAGTGTGTGCTCCGTAGATGCATGTGCGTGTTATTGATTCAGTGGACGCGGTTCAGGAAAAGGATCCTGGCATGGAGTAGTGACTTGACTCAACTTTCAAGGCCCGGTGCAGGCGCCATCCAATGACTTGTACGTTTTTTGCAGGGATCCCATCGCTTGGAGCAATAGCTGCAGCCACCGCTGCTCGGGGGCGTCGCGCCGAGAGCGAGGGAAGCCTGGTCAGCCCTGGAGACTCGAGAGCGTTCTTTTAATCTCCCTCCCGTATCTTTGTAGCTGACAATCACAACCGTTTATTTCGTGATGGGACGACAAAATGTCACTCGGTAGGCTCAATAGTGTGCACGTCAAGTATGTCTGAGGTTGGGAGGGCCGCCAATCTTCGTACCCAACTCTGTGTGTCGGTCGCAGAGAGTTGATGACCAATGTGTCCGGAGAAGGCTTCCACGGTCGCACGGCGTCTCAGACAAGCAGCAACAAAACAAAGTGCCGTGCGCCACATGCCAGGCCAGACACGCCTTTGCGAGACTTCCGCTCCCACAGATTCATCGAACTAGAGTCACGCAAACCCTCAGTATGTAGGATCCCTGCCGTGATCGCTCCCTGTTCAGCGTTGTAGGCTGAGATTCCGCTCGTAGCAAGCAGTGTTGGCCACAGGGACTGATGATCCCGTGAGACGCCCCAATTGTAAGCCTTCCTGAAACGTGGATGTCCCTATTGCCTTGGACGCTTTTCGCAGCCTACTGTTGGCGTGCTCGAGGCCCTGAAGCCGACATCCCAGCAGCTCAGACTCTCTACGCCCCTGCGCTTGGAAGATTCCTATCTACAATGAGCTCTCGCTTGCAACCAGGGTTGACCGCGCCCAGTGTGGCCTTCATCCAGTGACAATGTCAATGATCGGGACTATTAATCCCCTTCGCTGCGGAAGCGCTCGAAAAGGGAAATCTAGGGAATGGAAGCCGACAGTACAGGTTGGCACCATGGGCTATCCTTGCAGCTGCTCGAGTTTGCCTCTCAGGACCAAGTAGGCATCGTGGCGAGCTGCGCTGCACCAACTTTGCTGCAAGAGGCTCTTTCAGGCCATCAGGCACTGAGAACGTTGCTCGCAGCCAATTCTGAAGGAGTACGGTGGGATTTATCGGACAGGAGTACTCCGTCCGAGGAGCAACGACCAAGAGAGTACTTTTGCTAATCAGGTGCCACACTGGCTACACCAGGGTCCAGACCTGGAGTGGCCCTGCTCGTACTCCGTACGGTACGGAGTCCTGCCCTGTAGACCGCAAGTCGCAAATCTAGCTTGGGTGGGTCGGTCGCGATTCCCCGGACGTGTCGGAGACGTCGAGGACAACTGTTCAAGGACGTTGGGGGCTGGCGGGAGCCATCCGAATCGTCGAACCTGATAGCGCCGGCAAGACTTGAAGACATTCTTAGTTCCTAGAAACAAGAAATACCTATCACACAACATCACATCCGACCCCAGTGAAGGCGAGATTAGCCCTTCGCAATTAACAGCCCTTGGACACCTGAATGGGCTGCAAACCAATTTTTTCTGTATATAATAAATTATATTAATTTTGAGCTACCGTGAAGTTCGACGCCATTTGTTGGCATTCCGACTGGGCTGGAGTCTAAACTTCGGACTGCCCCAAGACGATCAGTGTAGTGTGAACAGATACCTATTTCAGCCTGGCGCGACAGCTCTCTGATTCTTCTTTCTGATCAGACATGGTGTGAAATCCGTGACATCAACGGTAATGGATTGTAACGCCTTCAACCACCCTCCCAATTGCATGGAAATCGCGGACTGTGCATCATCTCAAGCGGATTTTCTGGTCTGTTCCCACAACCGCTATCCCGAGCGGATTATGCAGGAAGAAGCCTCATTTGACTCACTTTTTGTTCAGCTTAGCTCGAACTCTTGCTCCGAAGAAATAAAAACTGAAAGGAATCAAGGCCATGGCTAAGCCGATGAAAGCGAGCAGCCAGGAACTCCATTCGAGTCCAAGTTTGTGGTACATTTGCGTGATAAACAAAGGAAAAGCAGCACCGCCACCACTTCTCAGGAAGACCTTGGCCGCTAACGCAGAAGCAGCATACTTTGAGTATGAGTCGATGATGTAGTTATTGACAGAGTAATAGCAAAGAACCATTCCGAAGCCAAATGCAATGCCGGATGACGCAGGACCGACCCAAATAATGCTTCTTTGAGACGTAGCCCCAAGGATAAAGAGTGATATGGGGATGAAGCCGGCTCCAATCATCGCGCCGATCAGTCGATCCTCGGGTGTAGGACTGCGGCGTGCACATATTTTCTTGAAGTGGTGTTCAATCTGAGGTGTGACAACGAGGGCAAATGCCGCGCCTATCAAGATTGGGATGAGCATCAATCCAATCTGTCCGTCGTTGAAATTGTAAAGCTTGCCGAAAATGACAGGGTAGGCGAAAAAGAAGGCGTAAAGCATGGAATAAATCAGCATGATATACATGCACATCAAATCCAAAACAGGCTCAGTCAAGATCATCACGATAGGTCTGACCAAACTGGTTCGGACAATATCGCGGAGCGTGAGTTTGACTTTCTCCTGTTCTGTGATGATGTTCGGATCGCCGGTTTCCTTTCTCAGTCTCTTCGCTCGTCTTTTCAGAATAACGGGGGCATACGTCTCGGGAATAAGGCCCATGATAATGAGCATGACGCCGGCGAAAGCCATGTTTACCCAGAAGAAGAGATCAAGTCGATGAGACCCAACATTGATCCAGCCACAGACGATAGGTCCTGTGAGTAGTCAGAAATTGTTGTAGGCCGATGTAGTATGTAAGGACGGTTGATATGCTTCTTCAACGTGAATTGGAACTTACCAAGAACAGGGCCACAATACGGTGCAGCTGCAAAATATGCTACTGCCATCCCACGGTCCTCAATATCCCAAATATCGGCGATCGTACCACCGGCGAGAGACAAGCCCGAGCTGGAAAACACACCACAGAGGAACCGGGAAACAAGGAGCCCGCCAATGTTTGGTGATAAAGCGCACGGGATGTTGAAGATGGTATACAATCCCATGGAAATGATGTAAACAGGTTGTCGTCCGAATATCTCACTGAGTGGACTCCAGAGAAGTGGACCAACAGCGAAACCGCAGACCATGATGGAACATGTCAAGATGGCAACTTCTTGTGAGACATGATATTTTTCTTCGATCAATCCCAAACCACCGGTCACATTGGATGACCCAAAGGCAATGCAGACAATAAGAATGGACGCCACCATAGTTATATACCAGCGAAACATCTTCGACCAGTTGTGAGGATTTTCAGGATCGCCGATTTTGAAAGTGACGAATTCCACAGGTTCTTGGGCTCCTTTCTTTTCGAGATCTTCCTCAGAAGAAATGCTAGGTAGGTCATCTTGTGGTGGCCTGGAAGGTATGCTCAAAGTTCTGGAGCGAAGCTCTTCCAACGTGCGTTGGGGCACAAGACCAGTAGCTGTTTCGAGGGTATACTCTTCAGGGAAGATAGGATTTGACGGGCCAATCTCAGGGTAGTTGATGTCTCGACGAGGTTGGGACTCGGACAGTCCCAGTTCCTGAAGGGTCTGGCGAGTCTCAGTTCGCAGCAGACGTGAAGGGAAAGATGAATGACGAGCTAGCTCAGACTCATAGTCGTCCTGAGGCGCGGGAGAGTTTGTTTCCGACATTGCTGGTCGTAGACAAGCAGTTCCAAAGTAGAGCTTGAGGATACAGCCTTTACTGTTGAGATGATCCAGATGGTAGCCATATGCAAGCGGCTACAGGCTCTGTTATATAGTCCATGTCGAGTAGGAGGATGTATTCTATGGACCCGTCAATGTTGTTACGCTGGCCGACGATTCTCCGATCGATGGCCAAATCCTCCGGGCACGGTCTATTATGTCATCCAACCTTACCTGAATCGGCACACGCTCGTACGGTAAGTTCGTGTGGGAAGCACATCCGTGGTATCGTTTATCCGTGATATCATTTATCCGTTGCTCCCTTCATTGGCCAAAGATCCATGGTAATCCTGACAAAACTTGCAAGCTCGACTCGAAACTGCAAGATAGTACAGCAGCAGGTCGCTGCGAGACTTCCAGATGAGGCTTTTTTGACAGAAACAAGTACAAACGAAGCAGAACAAGTGGGCCGCGGCGGAGTTCACGTAGCCATCAGTCGTCGTCAAAAGCTCGTGAATATGAGAGTTTTCGTGGGTGTCCGGAGGCTGTTCGGCACCCAACGTACGTCATCAGGCTCGTCACTAGACTGCAATCTGTATGTCTGAGACAAAAGAGTACTGGGCATGTTAGGATGTCCCTACAATGAGTCAATGTAATCAAAAAGAAGGATGCGAAAAGACCAGACAACAGAGGTATAAGGAAAGCGAAGAAGTCCTCTCTCCAACAATGAGAGCATGAGCCAGGAGCCTCCAGATGGCGCCAAGATGGCTAGGCCCGTAATAGTTAACCCCGGGCCTTCTCACATACCAACATCACGTGCTCATCACGTGGGTCACGTGAACTCTGACGAACGTGAAACGCAGTCCCAAAGCCCGTTCAAGCGCGGCTGGAAGGGACTCGCTTGAATCGCATTCACGTCCGCTTCCCTCATGGTATACCGCAAACTCACAAACTTCGCCCTCGCGTAGTACCTCTCCCCCAACATCCCTTCCCACCAGCATGACAATGGCGTCTCGAAAGACACAGCAAGAGATCGATAAGACCTTCAAAAAGGTGGACGAAGGCATTCAGGCCTTCGAGGGCATCTATGAGAAGATATATTCTTCCACTAATGCTGCGCAAAAAGACAAGTTGGAGGATAACCTGAAGAAAGAAATCAAGAAACTGCAGAGATCGCGCGATCAGATCAAGACGTGGGCAGCCGGCAATGAGATCAAAGACAAGTCAGCCCTGCTAGAACAACGGAAACGGATAGAAAAAGTAATGGACCCGTAATTCAAGGGTATGATGATAACTGACATGGCAAACAGTGCATGGAGATCTTCAAAGCTGTCGAAAAAGAGATGAAGACGAAAGCCTTCTCGAAAGAGGGACTGTCGCAGAATACAAAGTTAGATCCGAAGGAGAAGGAGCGGGAAGAGCTCTGTGACTTCTTATCGGATCAACTTGAGGAGATTAACAGGATACTGACTGAGGAACTGGAACCGGAAGCCGGTAATCTTCAAGCCGCGCTCAAGAAGAAGCAGAAAGACAACTCTAAAGCAGACCGGCTGGCAGAGATCGAGAGCATGACCGAGACATACAAGTGGCATGAGTCCAGACTACAACTATTACTACGGTCTCTGCAGAACGGCAACGTCGAGAATGATGTGGTAGCTGCCATCAAGTCCGATGTAGAAGAGGTCGTGAGGGAAGGTCGTGAACCCGATTTCGATGCGGAAGCCTATGAGGGAATCTACGACGACTGCAACTTGGATAGCGAAGAAGCGCAGTTTGGATTGGCCAACGAGGTGGATCGAATATCTTCTCAAGATACACAGTCCATTCAGGAGGACAATGACCCCGAAGCAGTCGTCCCCAAGAAGACGAAAGCTGATCATGCTCCTGCCAGACGCCCGTCCACGCAGCTCAAGTCACCACTGCCAGCCCTTGCGACGCTCAACACAATGCCACCTCCGCCTCCTGTGCCCAAGGATAATACTATGAAACCAGCACCCTTACCCAATCGACCGGCCGGGGAGACTTTGAAGTATGCCTCGGCAGCTGCTGCCGCTGCAGCCAGCGACAAGAGCGGAGTGGGCATTGCACCACTTCCTCCCCCCATCGCGGCCGGTCCTGCGCCTGCGTCCCATCCTCTCCCAGCACCACTAAGGACGTCGACAACGACGTCTCCAGCTTCTGTTCCTGCCCAGCCAGTGGAAAAGACAGCGTCACCAGCTCCCATCGCCGCGAGCATGGACGGCTCTATCTCGCACGACCAATCTAGTCACTCCAAGTCACCGACACTCAGCTCCACTAGCGCCCCCGCGGCAAGCGTACCGAGCAGTATACCTCCAACTCCAGCCATGGACAAGTCTGAGGCTGTGCAAGAACCTGTAATTGCGGACGAATTACCTACGACTAACGGTGAAAGCCATGAAGACACAGTGGAGTCAATCTACCACTTGCCACCTGGCCTGCAAGACCTGTTAGATTCATTCGAGACGACCAAGAGTCGAGCGACTCAGCCTCCGTCGCAGCTCGCTAGACTGCTGCAGGCTTCACAAGAAACCTGCCCAGAACCATCAGACAGCGACAGGCCACAACATTATCGACCCACATTCAAGTACAATACCCCTGCGCATTATCCCCAGGACGTACTTCCCATCTTCGATGATCCGGCGCTCTACGACAATCAAAGATTGGAGACAGATACTCTATTCTACATTTTCTACTATCGCCAAAATACATATCAACAATGGCTCGCCGCACGTGCGCTGAAACAACAAAGCTGGCGGTTCCATAAACAGTACCAGACATGGTTCCAACGACACGAAGAGCCAAAACAAATCACCGAAGAGTACGAGCAAGGAACGTACCGTTTCTTCGACTACGAGAGCACGTGGTAAGACTCGTCGCCTTTGTCCCATGATGACCTTCTGTTTGCCTAACATGATGCAGGATGAACCGTCGGAAGGCTGATTTCAAGTTCGTGTACAAGTTTCTGGAAGATGATCTGTAGGGTAGCTACTTAAGCACGAACCTGGCAAGCTGTTCGGTTGCCTGCAGACATGACATTTGCAGATCGCAAAGGTCGTGTATTTGCTCTCGGAGGGTTTAACAGAGATTCATTCTCGGGCCCAGCGTGATGTTTCCAGAACTGCAGTGTTTTCCATTCCCTCGGGATTCGTGGTTGGCGCCATTTCGTGAATCGCTGTGTATGACTCCTGTGCCGCACGACTCACTAACCTAGGGCTCTGGTAGTCGACGGCGAAGTAGCCAACGACACTACTCCGCCTCACTCGTTCGTGTCACCCAGTTGGCCTGCTCACAGCCGGGTGGTACTGTCGCAGGGTGGCTGTGGACCGAAAAGGCAGCCACTAGACCCAATCGAGTTACAAAGCACCTGTGTCGAGCTCGACTGCAAACCATCCACCCCTTGCTCGCATCTCCTCAGCCTCACCGTGGTCCCGGGCAGCTTTTCGGCATTATTCCTCTGCGGACGACGTTTTCGAAAGGGAAAATGCACGGCAACGTGGAAAGGCAACCATGCATTTCGAAACAGCAAGGTAATTTTTTATTGACTGACACTGCCTCTTGATGCCAGAATCAACCCATCCTGCGGAGGCGGTAAGAAGATGGCGCCATTTAGCGGAGACGTCCTCTTGTCCGAGTACACAGCATTCGAACGCGCCTCGTGTGTACATCCCAACTAAGACGAAGGCGTGGACTGCATACCGACACTCGTTGCTTCGGTGTCCCAGGGCAACGATGGAATTGTGGCCGAGTGACCATCAAACTCGGGCAGTGTTACTCCCTTTTGTTTGCGTCTGTTGGCCAGCCGTGGCACACTGCATATCCCGTGGGTTCGAGGGGCACTGGAATCGAGGGAGGCAACGAATCTCTAAGTCTCCCTTCCCATCTGGGATCCCTTGATCTGCGGAAGTTGAGCCTTGAACATAGCCTTGCTATTGACCCAGTATGTGATTGGGCTCTTGACGCCGGCCCTTAAAGACCACCGGTAGCACCCGCTTGCGGCTGAACAACCTTGCATCAACACGTGGGGGTTTGATCATGACACCCATTCATGATATTCTTTGTTCCTTGGGGCGACATCATTCTGTGCAGCTACTCCGTACAGCCGTTGGCTGTATCCTTGGAGGTCTTGGCCCGTCGAATGTTCGATGCTTTCGCGCTCTCAACCATAGATTTCCAAAAGGCTATCTTGGAGACCTGGCAACTCTAAGATCCACTCTCTTGAGGACCTTGGTCAACTCGACTGGATAAAGTCGGAACATTGTCCATTCTGCAAAGTGGAAACTGATAGGCTCACTCTCTATTCTCATCACTTATTCCCTACCCTCGGCACGACACCTCTGCTACGAATAGGGAGCGCCTTTGCTATAAAACGTGCGTCTCTACAGCCCGCTTTGAAATCTACACAGCCCGTCTTCTGCCTTTTCTCGACTAAACGAGCTTGGTAGTCAAGCATTGCACCTGACAACAAGTCGACCACGATCTTCCTTACTTTGCAGGTTGCGCTCGAATCGTTTCAGCCGCACGGTGAGCGAAGTGCCAATCAGGCTGAAAGTTCTGACCATCAGGCTCTCTTTGGGCCGTAGCGTTCTCTTCTACTGACGATGCGTTCTGCGCTGGGTACATGACGCTTGCTCCCTGCTGAACAGCAACAGCAGACACGAACACAGACAAAGAGATAGCTTGATCGTCGAGCATGGCAGAAGTTCAGAATAATGCGTGGCCTGACGATAGCTTTTGGCAGGAAGATGGTTACCAACACGAGCAGTTGCCCATCTACTCGTATCCAGCCCGAGATGTTAGGACCTCTTCGGCGGCGGCTCCACCTTATCAGTATGGTGGTGGTGTCAGTGGCTTTGCATCGAGCCAGTCTTTCAGCAATACACCTCGTTATATCTCAGATCACACACCTGCACAACGACCTCGTCTGCAAGGATATGAGAATGAACAGCTGTACACGATGGCGAGCACACACCACACTTATAGAGAAAGAAGCAGCAGTGGCACTTCCTGCAACTATAGCCAGGCTAGAAGTGCGACTAACTCTCCTGCGTTTGCTCATTATCAACTCGCAACTGGTACTCATAACGTCGCCACTTTCCTTAGTCAAGGCGGATCCTTTGGCAACTCACTAGCACCTCATAATGGTTCGGCCTTTTCGGCCATCGAATACAAAGAAGAAGAACCCCACCAAAACAAGGATCGCGCGCAACGTACTGAAGACGGCGGGAGTGTGAACAAAACGTAAGATCGCATTTCCATTCTCCGAGACGTCTTAGTTTAATGATTTTGTGTTCTGCTGCATGTTCGTGATCTATTCGAGTACTGCAGTCCGAGACCTTTCATACTAACGGATCTTTATAGGGACAATCCTAAAGAGCGACTCCCTTGTCCCCACGTAGAATGCCGAGGAGACGACGGAAAACCAAAAAGGTTCTTCAGTCGTAAGGCCGACGTCAACAGACACATCAAGTCCCAGCACGACGTCACTCGTCAGGACTGTCCCTGGCCCAAGTGTACGAGAAAAGGCACACAGGGATTCGCGAGATTGGACCATCTCACTGAACACAGAAGAGGCTATCACTCAGAAGACATTCCGAAAAGAAACAGTGGAAATAATTCCGAGAGACAAGATGAGACGACTCCAATGAGCAACGCGGAGTCGGGTGCCGTCGCGCAACCAAGCGCTGGCAGTGTTAGTGTTCAAGCTTCTACTTCCGTCTCGTCTTCCTACCATAGTACGCCCACCACGAGTATGGCGGAGCTGAGTGATGGCATCCTCATCCAGCCTGAGACTTATTACACAGAGAAAGACAATGCCATTGGTTCTCGTAAGGCGGTCCGGAAGCACAAGGCCAGTCACGACCGTCTCGATGTGGATGAAGATCCAACGGGTGCACCTGCGGCATCTGCTGATTCGTCAAAACGTCGAAAGAGAGCACGGCGTCCGGCCTCTGCACAAATGATGGAAAGCATGTCTTCTTGGGAGCTAGAGCTGCTGAGTGCAGAGGCAGAGCGGCGACCTTACTATCAGGCTCCGCCGCCGCCGCCGCCGCAGAATACATACCCACGACAAGAATACCGTTTGTTCATGCAAGGTCCCGATGAGTCGATGATGTGTAGGCCACAAATTCACGCTCAGGCCCAGACTCGAGATCATGGCCAAGCCGAGAATTCGACGACCTCGGCATCGCTCTATTTACCAAGCCACTGCGACATCCAGGCCTATACTGCAGCACCGCAAATGCAGCAGTACTTTCGGGGTCGAAGTCAATCTATGCAGAGTCGGTTTGGATGAATTGGGGGGAGTTCTGCACACGGAATGAAGCGATCTATCTGGAAGCGGAGGGCGGAAGGCGACAGGCTTTGGACTGTCGTTATGACCTTTCTTCTTATTCTTCTCCTTTGGGCTTCTGTTCTGATGAGAGTAGTCCTACGGGCAAGTCACCAGGTTTGATCGGCGTACGTTGCGTCTTCTTATGCCTCTCTTCGCTCGGGTTGACGACTTTGTTAATCTTGGCAGCAGGCTCTTTCATGTTCAATGGCAGCTTACTTGGACTTGTTGAAGAGGCTGGGGCAGGTGTCACCGTCTATGCAACTGAGATTGTTCGTGGTTCCCATTTGGATTCGGATTCGAATTTTGCGGTCTGTTATGCTTTGCTGGGTGCTGTTTGCAGTATGAATGATACGCGACTACGAACTTTTGTTATTTCCCCTAATGGCAAGAATGGCCATGGGAGTCAAGATGATACGCATTGTTTTCTGTTTTACTCCTACGGCGAAGACTATGATTGCATGATTTTCTTGCTGCCTCTTTTTGGCTTTTGGCTTTTGACTTTTCTGTGTTGGCCTGTTGATTTTCCTTTTTTTCATTCTGATAAACCAATGCCAGGTTTATGATGTATGCTAGTTGACGACTGACATGACCTTTACGCTAAGACTTGCTGTTACACGTATCAGAAATCTTTCACGGGAGGTATATGGCTGGCCGTAAGCTGCGTTTCGATTAACAGATGTTCGATACTCCTGTGCATTTCTCTTGAGCGTAGGAATTTCCTCCCCCAGTTACCCGGGAAGAAAGGGGGCAGAGGCCGGCGCGGAGACTTTTCTGTCTTCTCTGGTCCAACATTCACCCGTACATCTTCATTTCATTCGTTCTCGACACAGACCATTTGTAAGCGGCGGACAGGGCCTCTTTGTCCGAGTGAAACCTTGGTTCCTCGTTTTGATTTTCTTCGCTAGGTAAATCGGGCTTTGGGTGTAGTCGGTATGACAATGACGAGACTGGATTGGTGCTCCGTGCCGCTCTCGGACACTTTTCAAGCTGGCCGCCGTTCCCTGTGGACTTCCCACCAACCCTTGAACCTATATTATTGTACCTAGTTTCAACTAGGTACAATGGCTTGTTGCGTGATGATGTTGACATCTCTTTCGACCGAACCAAGCGCAGCCTATTGGTCGGTCAGGTGTCTTTTATGACGTGATTGTCGGCGTCGATTGTGTGTGTGTGTGTGTGTGTGTGTGTGTGTGTGTGTGTGTGTGTGTGTGTGTGTGTGTGTTTGTGGTGGGTGGTGTGTGTACGTGTCGATGTGAAGAATAACTTACCTACCTACCTACCTTACCCGGGCACCTGAAGATATAAAGTCCCCGGGGACGGTACAGTGAGGTATGTGTGCATTCACTGTCCGGTCCGATACTGAAGAATCTCTTCTCATCTCCTTCTTCTTCTCATCATACGCAAAACACCAACCGGCCGTTGTCGTCGTCGTCGTCGTCGTCACCCACCCAACTTCCCACTCCCACTCCACATCCCCCTCCCCCTTTCCATGCCAGCCTCGCGCCTTTAGTTAACACTTTACTGGGGTGCTGCACTTGACGACGAGTTACTCACCTAGGCACAAGGCACCTCCTTTACTATTGCCACAGTCCCCCACTGTCAGGAACGAACCATGTCATCACCGGCGAGCAAAGTTGCACTCATCCTCGGCGCTGGCCCAAACATAGGCAAGCACGTCGCCGGCGCCCTCAGTGCAAAAGGGTACAAAGTCGCGCTGGCGTCTCGGACAAACCACGGCACGGCAGGAGACCAGATCTACGTCCCTGTCGATCTGGCCCGGCCCGACACTGTCGCCGGGGTGTTTGACCAAGTCAAGGATCAACTCGGTGCACCACCGTCGGTGGTGGTTTATAATGGTACGTGAACACGGCCTCCGACCTTCTTCTTCTTCTTCTTCTTCTTCTTCTTGACAGTGTCAATCCTGTCGATCCGAGTCGACCTGCTACTCGAGACTCATTTGGTTTTGTCTCTATCCACCGTTTTATTTTTCACTGGAATGACCTCCTCCGTGTTTGTTTCTCATATCCAATCCAGGAGCGCTCCGTATTCCCAACGACGCCGCGGACCCGTTGAGTACCTCCTCGTTCAAGATCCAAGACTACGACGACAGCGTGGCCGTCAACACCACGTCGGCCATTGTCGCCCTGCAACATGCCGTGGCAGGGTTCCGCTCCCTCCCCCAGTCTCCGAATGCCACCGCCGAAACCAAGACGTTCATCTTCACCGGCAACATTCTCAACGTGGTCCCGGTCCCGGGCGTCTTGACGTTCGGCGTCACCAAGGCCGCCACGGCGTACGCGATTCGAAACCTGGTCGAGACGAAGGCGTATGAAAAGGACGGCGTGAGGTGAGTACCCAGCTACTCTGGTTCACCGTCCGTCCCATGGCCTTCCCGTTCTCGCACACTGCGGCATTGCTCGGCGGTGTCAAAATCTCATACAACAGCGACGTAACGATACATCCTAATGAATGAGGAGGACTGACGCTGACGACCAAATCAACCATCTTTCTAGATTCTACTACGCGGACGAGCGTGCCGAGAATGGCGGTCCGGTGTTCAAGGACATCGACGGACCGGCCGCCGCTGTTGAGTATCTCCACCTCGTCGAACAAAAGGATCAAGGGCCGTGGTTACACACTTTCATCAAGGGGAAGGGGTACAAGGATTTCGGAGAGCGGCCTTGGACACCTGGACAGAAGTGAGCTCACTTCAGGTAATCAAGAGACACAAAGAATTGCAGGGCCTCAGTTAATTCGATTTTACGATCAGCGGGTTTAGTATACGGTGATCTCAACCCGCGTGAGCAAGATACGCTCTATGCTCTGCATTCAACGGAGACACGAGACTGTCAACGCAGTATCTGCAGATAAGTAGGTAGTCGTATCGGGCCACAATCAAAAGCAACTTTGAAGAATCAAGAGATCCTTATGGTCCATGACCTTTTCTCATTGTGCTATTGTCTTTCTGATAGAGTTTGGACCATTCTATCTTATCAAGCATCAGGTCGTTAAAGACACTTTAAGCATTTCTTCGATAATCATTCCGAATGCACCACTGTGAGTTCTATTCTCGTCGGCAATCAACGAGCCTGTGCTTCAAATCTCAGTACGAGTCAAGCAACAACCTACACAAAGTGCAGATAGTTGAGGGTCAGGTGAAAGAGAGTCAAAGGCCTTTTGGCAGGATTCGAGATGTTGTCACAGAGGTCGAGACACTGCTACAACCATCTCACACTCTAGAGCCTTACCAGCCGCCGCCTGAGGTCGTAGCAGGGACAGCATCAAAGCCACCACCGCCACTGCCACCGCCTTGCTCCCAGCCAGCCTGTGCAGAACCACCGGTATCGTTGCTCTCCCAACCACCGCCATTGCCCGCGTCGGTATCTGGAGCCTTATTCTCTTGGCCGCCGTTGTCGGCTTGAGCTTGAGGGCATCTACCGCGACCATGACCCTTCTGCTGGCTGCGGCGAGTCAAGTTAGCAAACGAACGGCAACATGCTGCCACCATCGGACGGAGTTCATCGACTTACCAGACGCTGCAGGTGACTTCAGCCCAGTTGATCTTCTTGCGTGGTTGCTCGCACTCTCGGGAGACATGACCTTCCTCACCACAGTTGTGGCAGGTCTGCTTGCGTGGATTGGGACAGTCCTTGGAGATGTGATCCTCCTCGCCACAGTTGCGACAAGTGCGCTTCTCACGGTTGGGACAATCTTTGGCCAAGTGGTCTTCTGCCTCACAGATCTTGCAAGCACGGCTGGGCTTCTTGCGCTCCTGAGTACAGTCACGAACACGATGACCCTCCTCTCCACAGAGGTGGCACATGACTTTGGGCTGCTCCTTCTCCATCTTGTCTTGAGGGCAAGCCTTGCTCTTGTGACCGACTTCCCCACAGTTCTTGCACATGTCGACACCACGATCGAGGGGAGTACCAGCGTCGGACAGCCGGGCGAGGTTTTCCTCGGGAGTTGCAGGCCACTTGGCGACGAGTGCAGGGCGTTGAGCTTTGTCGGACTTGAAGTAGCTGACAGCATACTTCTTGCCGATTTCTCCTTGAAGGTTGACATTGGTCCAGGTAGGGCCATGATCCTTTTCCTATGGGCAAAATCAGTTGGAGTGGAATGCTGCGCAGATGGGACTCTTTACCATTGCAATCAGGTAGATGTTGAAGCCACGCTTGCGGAACTGTTTCTCAAGACGAGGGTAGGTGTAATCGGGAGCAACCTTGGACAAGACCTGCACGGCCTCCTTGAAGTCACCAATATCACGCTCATCGCTGGCCTTCTTGAGCGACTCCCAAGCTTCATCCTCAGACATCTCGGCAACATGGGCATTGTTCATGACTTTGGGGTTCTTGCATTCCATGGCTGTGTGGCCTGTGTCTTGTCAACATGGAGTCCTTGTGAGCGTTTGATTTTCCACATACCCTCCTGCTCGCAGTTCTTGCACTTCGCCACATAGGTAGGACAGTCATCGATGCGATGGCCTCGTCATCTTGTCAGTAATTGCAGTCTTGTATCTTGCTTCAGGTCATAGCCACCTTCCTGACCGCAGTTGCGGCATTCACCCTTGAACTTGCGCGGATTCGGGCAGTCGGACTTGGACTAAGAGAGATTGATCAGTATCGACGGCGAGTTGGAGAAGTATTTGCCTACATGGCCTTCTTCACCCTGGGAAACGTCAGTACTGTCAAAAGAAGTGAAAGTGATACGAATTGGTACATACACAGTTGAAACAAGCACCCATCTTCTTGGGCTCAGGGCAATCACGCGCGAAATGGCCATCTGCGAATCTCAGTTTCGGCTTCAAAATATTGACAATAGAACTCACCTTGACCACAGTTGCGGCATGCACCTCCGGAAGCATCTTGGGCGAAGTTCTCATTGCCGTCATCCCCGAAGCCGGCACCATCAGTGGCTGGACCACCGGAGGAATCAGTGAAACCGGCAGCTCCGTTGCCAACAGTGTTGTCGTTCCAGCCTGCGCCGTTACCAGCAGCACCACCATCCCAACTTGGGGCACCTGGTAAAGGTCAGTCAGCTTCAGATTTATTTCATATCTTTGCAGGAAGGATTGACTGCGGTACAACATGGGTCTGGAAATTCTTCAATACGCCAAAGTTCAGACTGTTTCCAACAAGGAGTTGTAGCACGCCTTGTTCTTCTTCGATATCTTGTTATCCAATCCATGGTGTGTAGTTTCAAGACAAGGAGAGGAGGATCTGAGTGAGAAGCAGAAAGAAGACAACTCACCTGCGGACTGAGCTGGAGTGTCCCAACTCATTGTTGCTGATTTTCGGCTAGTTTGAATGTCAGCTTCGTCTCAGGTTTTGCCTCGTCTCTTAGATTGACTTACAGAACTTCTGGATACCAGCAGAGGTTCGAGCTGTTAGCGAAAACGAGAGCGAAGGATGAGGGTAGAATTGAGAGGTGAAGTGAGGAGATTTGGAAGGGAAGAGACTTCCAGTTGACGCGCTGAGGCTACAGGAAGGTGAAGCAAAGCGCAAAGTCAGAGCCCAACTAAGAGATTGGTGCGTTGGATGAGTCCTGATGTGCCTACACGAGACTGAACAAAGAGGTGGTCCTAATTCTCAAAACACCGCGAAGAAAACCAGGCGCATCGCCATCACCAGCGCAAGCACACCAAGGGACAGCATATGATCTTCACCAGCAGCCAGCAGACAGCAGCAATATCATATAATGCTCACGGGATTTAAGACAACCTCCCTTTCTTCATCTTTGTCAGGCTCAATGCAAATATTGACGTCTTTGAATCCATCCTTCGCAGTATGAAGCTGTGCCAGCCTTGTCAGTACCTAAGACAAGAGTGCCTTATCCCAGATTGCAGATTCCTGCAAGAACTGCCACCTGCAGAGTAAACATCTGGGTACAGAACGCGCTTGTCGGATGCCCGCAGGCTCCATTCCATGACAATTCGAAGCTTCTCTGGATATTGTATCGAGGGGGGTGTGTAGTCAAGTTTAGGATTTTCGAGTCGGGAGATTAATAAAGCAGACGAGGCTGACTCAGCTTGGAGCCAGAAGACTTGTCGACTTTGTCGACTTCATCCCTAGACAGTCGACCTACCGAGAATCTACTTTCTACAACACAGCATCTGCCTCTCCAGCTGCAGTCGGTGAGGACGGTAAGTGATAATTCATAAGCGAGGTACACCGACAGCCCAGCCATCAGAGGCGCGGATTGAAGCCCAATATGCACGCTGGGCCAATCTTTGCTCGCTTAATCTCAGCCTCAACGCAACGAAGGCGCAGTCGATTTCTCCTGCATGAGGCACACTCGTCTTTACACATCAGCCTATCTACCACTAAATCCCATGTCTTCCTAGAAATCTTTCTTCTACTTATCGTATCATGGTCACTCATCTTTCCCATCTGATCTTCATGTCCAAAGGAGCCTGTGGAAGCCGATGGCCGCCTTCGGATTCTCCGCGGGTGATATTATCACTTCTATCAATCTTATCAAGGATGTGATCAAAGCCTTACGATCCACGCGTGGAGCTAGCTGTGAGTATGTTGATCTCACTTTCGAGTTGTATGGACTCCAAGACGCGCTTCGGGAGATCCAGATTCTGCATCCTCAACTCGAGCAAGGATCTTTGCAGGCATCACTTGCCGCTGCAGCTCAAAAGTGCCAGGCGACAATCGACAACTTCATAGAGGGTCTGAAGAAGTACCAGCCATGTCTGGGCAATTCAAATGGGGAGTCACATTCATGGCGAGGTACATTGCGCAAGATTCAATGGCAAATATGCAAGAAAGACGACATCGTCAACTTCAGGGCAGAAATTGGCTCCCATTCTCACAGTATCCACATGTTATTGCTGAACTACCAAGTGTACGGAAGAACTGGAAACATGATGAGTTCTGACTGACATCTCCTAGCCAAACCGCACAGCTTCAACGCAAGACCTTGGAAGAACAAAATGCTGACCTGAAAGATAACACCGAGGTGTTGAAGCAGCTCGAGGTGGCCGTCCATGAAACAAAAACGGAATACGGAAACCTCTGTCGCGACGTCCAGAACTCCATGGCTGTAATTACCAACATTGAACGGATGGGACAGACCATTATGCAAGTTTCGTCCCGTCTTATTTTAGACTGTCAGCTAACGTAGAGAAGCGCTTCCGGCTACCAGACCCTGCATCTCCTAGAGTCTCTTCGCAATTCAATACCAGCACCAGTGCTCCTTCAGAATCCTATCATATTTAGAGACGCATTGGACCGGGTTGCACCTATTCATCTCGACTGGATCGACTCCTGGGAAGCCTTTTTGGCTGTATTGAGGCTGCGGTTTGAAGACGTCGGAGCGCAGAAGATTAGACGCGGAGAGTTCATCCTGCAAGACCCAGCGGCTGGTGATATCGACTTCTCACGGCCTTGGAAGGTCTGTTTCTCTCCTGGACAGCAAATTGAAATGTTCGTTACCTCAAAGCGCAGGGAGAAGGTCGGCAACGCGACCTGCCCTGTTTGCCGGCAGGAACATGTTGGCGATTCTTCCGTCGAGATCGAGTGGTATGTTGGCCAGTATGATTCAAAATCGTGACGCTTGGCGCTTTCTCTGACAATTCCTTCAGTGAGCGATGTCACAGAACGTTCCGTCGGGTGATCGATCTCGAGCACGAGATCCTTCACGGTAATTCAAAAGCCGAGAGACAGGTGTCTCGGCTTGATTCTCCGTCTCGGACCCAAGCACCCATCCCAGAATCTTCAACGATTAGAGGCAAGTGCAAGAGGGTCTATGACAGCTATCTGGACGACGTTGAAGAACCCCTCGGCGCGTTCAGACGTGTTCGTATCTTGTGTCGGAAGCCCCCAGAGCCGTTTACATATTCCGAAACCTTGCGGAACCCCATACGTCTTGATGAAAGAGAAGAGCTCGCTATCGTAGTCTTTCCAGGACCTGTCCGCATAATTGAAATTTACCAGGACGATGAACTTCGGGCGATCAACCGTGCTCATATCACATTACAACTTCTCTAGCGTTCAGGGGCAACTAATCTCTACCACGATGTCTGGAATGGTGCTGAGAACCCTTCGAGTTTTACATATAATTGAGATCTACCAGGACCTACATTCTAGCTTGTAGATACATCCAAACTCCTCTCTTCTCAGAACAGTCAACTGAAATGTGTCAGCACAATAAAGTCGATAAGTGGGCGGTGGATGGGCTAATCTGCGTGACTTGAGATGTAGAAAGTCGATCAGATTCACCTGCAGGTGTCGAAGAGTGTAAATGTATCAGGACGTGCCACAAGCTCGATCACTCCTTTACGTGGAGATCTTTGCAATGCGGCACTAAATGTTAAACACACCACATACATGAGAACGGTGTGACCATGGGTGACAATTGAGGTCAATGGGAAAAGAAGAAAGCCAGATACAGGACATGTGCATAGTTTTTATTCGCCCAGAACAGTACGTGGTTTTCTCCTCAAGCACCTAGGACACACCAAAGCAGGCCATGCAATTTCGCCTTCTAACTACCTTCCACGACTTAACGCCGGCGTGGCTTCAACAGTGGACTGCGGCAAGCCAATTCGTGCGATTAGCAATAAAGTGAAATATTCCTCATCATTCATACTCCCTGTTGCACAAGAGGCACATTTACAATCCTCGAACCCATAATCTCAGCCCACTGGCAGCAGCGCCAATTTCGCACACTTCGCAGATCTTGCAGACTTGTCCCTTGTACTGGCTCTGGTACTTCGCACCATCGAAAGGACACGACACACTCTGCGACCCAGTATAGATTGGCGTATAAGAAGCCGCACAAATTTCGAACTCGGCAAATTGATCGTATTCAATGTCGATCTTGTCGCTCGAGCCGGAGCGTTCAGCCTGCTGTTTGACTTTCTTTGCCTGTGACTTTGTTAGCACCTTTATTTATGACGTCGAGCAGTGTGTAATACTGACCTGTTCAAGCAACTTCGGAGCACCGCCGTTCGCAAGTACTCGGTTAGCAAAGGAGAGGGCACTGGAGAACTGTTTATTGGAGAAAGCCAGTTTCATGGCTGCCATAAGTGCAAGTTGTCGATGAGGAACGTCCAGCTTCGGCACGGTGAAGTATGCTGACAACTCCAATTGTCGCTTGAGCTGTTCTTCCGAGTCACCACCTGCCGTGGCAAGCTGTCTCCTCTCCAGTTCGATGCTCATGGCGAGGGTATACTCCATTGACTTTGCGATCAAAGCCTTTGCTTCATCCACTTCAGCTTCTGAACTAACTACATTCACCAGAAGTTTTTGCAGAATGGTTCGGAAAGTGACAACACCACTTTCAAGTTTGTTGGTTCGCATAGCAGTATAACCCTCCTGTAAGTCCGCACTGCTGAGAGAGTCTAGAGTCTTGGGAATAATTGGCAGCACCTTCCTGCTGTCTGTCTCATCAACGTTACGACGGACGTAATTGAGGATAGGAGGTAATCCGGTATTGGCGGGTAGATAGGTTTTGGAAGCTTGATAGATCTCAAAAAATCTGGGTTTGAGAGGGGTGAAGTTGACAGCACCAATCTGTCGGTTGAGCAATTGCATAGCGCTCTCGAATGAACCCGCAGCGACGTGGTCAGCAGCGAGAGGGGAGTTGCGTGCCCACATTTCGGCTTCCGAGCTACCGGGTCCAGCCGCTTCGACTGCAGTATCAGGGCTGTCAACGTTCACAAATTCGGAATCATCCCCGGTGGTATCGAGGCCGATGTCATCGCCCATGTCCCATCCTTCCCCGGCTTCGGCTTCATCTTCGATCGTAAGACCAGCGCCATCCGCAGTGGTAGGGACATCTTCATTCAAGAGGTCATGTCCGTCGTCATCCTCAACAGTGCCTCCAACCTCGCCGAGTAAGGCCTTCTCAAATGAGGAGTGAGAAGCCTCCTTAACTGGCCAATTCGCCTTGTACGTAGGCACAACGGCTTTGGGAGGTACAAGTGCTTTGCCAGATTCCGGCATCGATATTTGATCTTCAGTGAGGCCGCACAACTCAAGAATGGACTGGCACTCCTCCGTCAGGCCATGTGTCTTTGCTGTCAGATAAGCCAGAGGGTAGAGATCGATTTCCTTGAACATTTGGATGCGGCTTTCGACGTCACCCAGGTAAAGAGCATTTTGGAAGCGTGACACAAAGTCGCTACGATGCTCTGCAATCTTCGCCATTCTTGTAAGCTTCTCCTGATCACCAGTGCAGAGATAAAGGAAAGAAAGCTTGTCGAAATTTCGAAGTTTCTGGTATGTCATCTCAACGGTCTGATGGTTACCATGGATAAGAGCTTCAGCCCCGAGACGAGTCCAAATCTTCGGTCGGTCAAGCTCTTTGGCCATCTCGGTTGCGACCTCTAGGTTACCACACTCGATGGCCAGCTCGAACCTTGTCTGCGGGTCTTGGACGAACTGAAGTGCGATTTCAGGATAGCCCTTTTTCTGCACATAGGCAATGATGCTCTGTCCAACCAGGCTTGAGTTCTTGATAATTTGAAGCATTTCGTCGTAATTTCGTTTGACTAAGGCAAGCTTGAAGCGGTATTCTGTTGGGTCGATGCTCAGAACCTTAGGTTTAGCTGCTCGGTCGAGACAATACACGTTGCGACCTTTGACCTTGACCAGGTATACCGTCTGATCAAGAGTTCTCAGGATGCCATTATCACCATTAAGAAGAGTGTATTTGATGTGATTCAAGGTCGAGTAGAGCAAGACACCTGAGTCATCCCATGTTGCGCTCTTGATTCTGATGGTTTCATGTAATGTGCTGACTTGTTCAAGATTCTTGTTCACAATTGTGACGTTGTGTTTGCTGAGCAGAGCAGCATATAGACCATCGTTGGACCATGAGACATATTTGACCCCCGCCACAGCTAGCTCGGCGAGCTGCTTCTTCTGCTGGATATCGTAGAGAATAACGTTCGATGGACTCAGAAGTAACAAGCATCCAGTACCACCGTAACTGATATCGGTGGTCCCAGGTGTTGGGGCTTTGAAGGCCTTTGTGGTGGAGTTGCTCAAGTCTTTGATCTCCACCTGTTGAGTCGAGGAGCTGAAGACAGCGAAACGGTTGCGTGCGACAAAGACGGCAGCATTCCCGGATCCTCGCTTAATATCTGTTGGGTCCGAAGCACCGGTAGCATCTCGAGGAAGTCCAATCAGTTCGTAGCTACCACTGTCTGACGGTGATGTGACCAGTATGGAACGCTCTGCAGGGTTGTATGACAATGTCCGAGGAGGCACCCAATTGCTCCCAAACTTTCTAAGTGAGAGCAGAGAGGGCGACTCTGTGTTCTTTGTAAAATCGTAAGAGCGGACATGCTTGTCCTTGGTAACATAAAAGAGCTGGTTCTGATAAACTGAGGATGCTGGCCGCTCCCGTTCAAGCTTGAAGACCATAACTCCGTTGTCATGTCCGGCAGCAAAAAGGTTGATCTCCGGATGCGCAGCTATCACCCAAAATCTGTCGTTCTCTCTCTTAAAGGATTGGACGGAGGTTCTCTTATTTAGATCCCAAACTCGGACAGTCTTGTCTTCGCCCACCGACAGAATCAAGTCCTGGTGGGGATGGAAGAGACATGCTGATACATTCTGGAAATGACCTCGACATGTGTCAACTTCCCATGCCTTTGTTTCGCTCATTCTCCACAACTTGACCAGGCGATCATCACCGGCTGAAACGATCAGTGGAAGAGTTGGGTGGAACGCGACCCAGTTGACGCCTCGATCGTGACCTTCGAGGACGAACTTGACCACTGCATCGGTATTGCCAAACATATCTGCTTGTTGCTGGTTTGCACGCGCCATTTGATCTTCAAAGCTCATTGAGGTTGGAGCTGAATGCTTCTTCCTGAGACCTGAAATATCCCATACTCTTACCGACTGATCAAGCGAGGCGGAGACGATGAGGTCTTCCTTCGGGTGGAATTGCGCGCACATAGCGTAATGATTGTGACCGGTCATGGTGCAGACTGCAACTTGTTAGCTATCCAAGCTGAGGGCTGGAAGCATGATGAACATCGAACATACTCAGAGACCGATTCTGCCAATTCCAAATTCTGATCGTTTGATCGTCTGATGCGGAGAGGATCCAAGGGAGCTCATGATGGAAAAATACTGTGCGGACATAGTCAAGATGGCCATTGAGAGTAAACAGACATCTTCTCGATTGGTACGACCAGACTTTGATCTTGTAGTCATCTCCGCCAGAAACGAAGAGTGGTTGGGTCTTGTGGAAATCAATGCCGCGAACTGGTCCGTCATGCTCCTCAAACCGATCGATCAATGTGCCCATGCGATAGTCCCATAGTCTGTAGGAAGCGGTCAGTGTTAATGTTAAAGCTCGGTTGCGCGCTGGTGTATTTACTGGATAGTGCTACTGTGCAAGCTGACCAGGATCCATGGGCGTTTTGGATGGAAAGCAAGGCCCTTAGCACGACTGCTTTTGCTTTCAAACTATGCGGTCCGTCAGTTATAGAGCGTGTGTAACGGGACAATAGTGCTTGCCTTCGTGAGCATTGAAGGGGACGCCATGTTGACAGATACACAGGACCACAAAGAGAGAAACTATGGTAGCTTCAGGGCGTGCTCATCATCAACATGAGTGGGACGTTCCTTCGCCTTTGGAATGCCACCTAAAATAAGAGGTGACTGAGACTTGTAGTTTGTATCTTTTTGTCCTTCATTGGAAAAGGGCAACGTGTCTTGGAGCCAGGGGAATTTGGCTGCGGCCCGCATGGCGCATGTCAGTGTGGAGAATTGCGGAAGGTGTAGCGAGGACCTGCAACTTGGCCTTTCGTTCATTTCACCCGCCGACTCACCCACCAACAACACCGAAGTTGACAGGGTGGCCGAGCAGTGGCAAGTACTAGAGATTACTACTCGTGTTTCTTGATTCTACTGCGTTGTGTCTGTCTTGCCTCATTCTACACCGTCCCGCGAGCGATAACCAAAAGATCAGCTAGTCGCCTGACCGCACACTTGAATCACCATTACTGCGACCTCCAGCATGCATTGTTAGACCAGACGTGACAAATAATACCGGAACAATGGATCAAGCACAGTACGATGCGATCAAGGATAACTGGGCGGAGGTTGAGGACAGAGATGGGGTCAGACTTAGTTGGAATATTATTCCTTCTACGCGCATGGTGCGTACCTGTCTCGCGGCTCGCAAATGGTGGTACTGAACTTATCTAGGAAGCGAACAGGCTGGTAGTGCCTGTGAGTGTTATGCTCACACCTCTCAAGGTTGGTCGACCCCGAAGTGCTGTCCGGTAGGCTTGATATGCTAATCACTACGCAGGAGCTCAATAAGCCCCTCCTAAACTACGAGCCTGTCACCTGTAAACCTCCATGCCGAGCCGTCCTCAACCCGTTCGCGAATGTTGATGTACGGGCAAAAATATGGATTTGCCCCTTCTGCCTCCAGAGAAATCAGCTTCCTCGTCATTATGGAGATATCAGCGCCGAGAATGTGCCTCCAGAAATGCACAGTCTGAACACGACCGTGGAATACCAGCTCGCTCGACCAGCGCCCACTCCACCTATTTTCGTTTATGTTGTTGATACTGCAATTGAGGAAGATGGATTACAAGCCCTGAAGGAGACGCTTGTCATGAGTTTGTCTCTCCTCCCAGCCAATGCTTTGGTAGGTCTGGTTACATTCGGAACAAATGTTGCTGTGCATGAAATTGGATACACGGAATGCCAGAAATCCTATGTTTTCAGAGGAAGCAAGGATTACGCTGCGAAACAGGTCCAGGAAATGCTTGGTCTATCGGCGCCAGGTCTAAGACCAAATGTCCCGCCTCAACAAGGACGGCCTCCTCCACCAATGGGACCGGCAGCACGGTTTCTACTTCCTGTTCAGCAAGCAGAATTCCAGATCACAAATGCAATCGAGCAGTTACAAAAGGACCCATGGCCTGTTGCGAATGACCGCCGACCACTGAGGTGTACTGGTGTCGCCACGAGCATTGCAGTTGGTCTCTTGGAAACCTCTTTCCAGAACGCTGGAGCGAGGATCATGCTTTTCGCTGGCGGCCCAGCAACCGAAGGACCTGGTCTTGTGGTGGCGCCCGAACTGCGAGAACCTATTCGATCACATCATGACATTGACCGTGATAACGTCAAATACTTCAAGAAGGCGCTCAAATTCTACGAAAACCTTGCTAAGCGAACGGCACACAATGGTCACATCATCGATCTTTATGTCGGTTGTCTCGATCAAGTTGGTCTGCTTGAGATGAAGAACCTCGCAAACTCTACCGGCGGTCACATGGTCTTGACCGATAGTTTTACCTCTTCACAATTCAAGCAGTCTTTCGTCAGAGTCTTCGACAAGGATGAGAATGACAATCTCTTGATGGGCTTCAACGCATCCCTTGAAGTTGTTACCACAAAGGAACTAAAGGTTACTGGCCTTATTGGTCATGCTGTGTCACAAAATAAGAAGTCAAGCTCAGTTGGCGAGACCGAATGTGGTATCGGAAATACCTGCTTATGGAAGATGTGTGGTATTGACCCTACTTCAAGTTATGGCGTCTATTTCGAGGTCGCAAACCAGGGCGGCCCGACCCCAATGCAGCAAGGCCCGCAAAGAGGCATGATGCAATTCTTAACGTATTACCAACACTCTTCGGGTCAATATCACCTGCGTGTCACTACCGTCGCCCGCAATCTCAGTGGACCTGCTGGGGATCCGACCCTGGCACAATCATTCGACCAGGAAGCCGCTGCTGTGCTCATGGCTAGAATTGCAGTCTTCAAGGCTGAAGTGGATGATGGACCAGATGTTTTACGATGGGTCGATCGAATGCTGATCCGACTCTGCTCGCGATTTGCCGACTACCGCAAAGATGACCCGACGTCGTTCCGTCTCGACAAAAACTTCACCCTATATCCACAGTTCATGTTCCATCTCCGCAGATCTCAGTTCCTCCAAGTCTTCAACAATTCTCCAGACGAGACGGCTTTCTACCGGCATGTGCTTAATCATGAATATGTTGGAGACTCATTGATCATGATACAGCCAACGCTAGATTCGTATGGCCTTGAGCACGAAGGCGGAGTCCCTGTTCTGCTTGATTCTGCATCGATTCAACCTCAGACGATTCTCCTCCTCGACACTTTCTTCCAGATCCTCATCTTCCATGGCGAAACCATGGCTGAATGGCGAAAAGCAGGTTATCAAGAACAGGAAGGTTATGAGAACTTCAAGGCAGTCCTCGAGGCTCCAAAGGAGGATGCTCGAGAGCTGGTCCAGGACCGTTTCCCTCTTCCCAGATTCATCATTTGCGACGCTGGTGGATCTCAAGCCCGTTTCCTGTTGTCTAAGCTCAACCCATCGACCACTCATGCCAGTGGTGGATATGGAGGCGTTTCCCAGACCGCACAGACCATTTTCACAGACGATGTCTCGTTACAGACATTCATGGATCATCTCATGAAGTAAGCTCTCCTTTGTCTGTATTTGGTTTTCTTTGCTAACCTTATTAGGCTCGCTGTATCCGGGTCCAGCTAGAGGCAACGTTGCAGAAGACATCATACCAGGTACAAGGTGCGATCATCGGGTTCGGTGGTCCGCAATATGTGACGAGGGGACCGCCGTATCCTCTATTAGAAAATCATGGTCTGGTCAGGTGCCTTGGAACAACTGATGTATGGAGGCAAACTGGTAGCAGACAGACTTTGTTGAATGATACTGATGGAGACATAAGATCTACGTCTCCTTTCTTCCACTGACGAGTGCCACACCGTCCGATAAGTGCGAGTCTGTTCTATTCGCATTGTCGGTGTAGTGCCTTCTACATGTCCGCGTCGTGTCATCAAGATACTTCGTAGCACATTGCCATTGACAAATTTGGTCCTCAAGCTTCTATACTCTTGGTGAGAGAACGTAGTGAGAACACTCGGGAGGAGTTCGAGTCAATCTTACAATATCATGGGAAGATCAGAAGTGGCTACAAGGCCTGTGTGGTTTTTTCTGCGCTAAGTTACTGAGTACACGTCACACTCCTGGACAGCTTTGGGTACGACATCTTGATCAAGTCCTATTATTTGGTGATACAGAATATAGAACTCTATGGCTTCTCACCCAGGATAAGCTGCCGTAGAGTCTTCTCAGCCTGGGGCGGTTCTATTTCGCTCCTCCGTGGATGTCTCATCATTTGACCCATTAAGAACTGGAGTTTCCCAACTTTGCCCTTCTGAACGATCTCTTTGACAGTGTCGGGGAACCTCTCAATTACGTCGGTGGCAATGACCTCGTACTCCTCTGGCGACATCCTAGTGAAGGATAAATTTTCGTCTCGGATAATGGTGGAAACTGTACGTCTGTCTCCTTTGAAGAGGAGCTTCAGTATCAACTTCGCAGAGGGCCCCTTGATCTCGCCTTTCCGTAGGTGATGGATGATATGTGCCAGAGATCGGGTTGGAACTCTACGGCTTGACCAGGGACTCTCATCTACTGAAAAGAGGGAGCCGAGTTCGTGTAGGACCCAATTCCCTGCTAGTTTACCGACATCCCTAGGAGATTCGGTTTTGAAGCTGAGATTCAACAGCTCATCGACAACTTCCTGGAAATAAATCAACCTTTCACCGTCGTCAAGGGATTCGAGCGTTCTTGCGTCTGTGAGTGAAAGTCCATACTGTTTGATGAGACGGCGAACAAGAACCTCGGGGGTCGGAGGCAAAGTCTTGGAAAGGTAATCGACAAGTTCCATGTCAAAGCACAACGGAGGGACGTCAGCGTCAGGCATGTATCTATAATCGACTTCGCCCTCCTTGCCTCGAAGCCTTCTGGTTTCATTGGGGTGTGTCATCGACCAACCTCTGGTTTCCGGTTCAACCCTCCCTCCGGACTCCAGCAGTTTGATTTGGCGGTCTCTTTCTGCGGTGATGGCATCCTCAATGCCCTTGAAAGTGCTGAGATTCTTGATTTCGGTTCTTTGCCCAAGGCCAGAAACACCGCCATATGCAAGCCCTTGATCGCTACAGGTGTTGCGCCGCCGGACCGACACGTTCACGTCGGCTCGTAGTCCACCTAGCTCCATTCCAGTGGTGACAGCATCAACAGCGTACAACAAAGCCTGGACCTTGCGGACGTATGCAGCGGCATGTCGTGGGGAGTGAATGTCGGGAAGGGATATGATCTCGATTAATGCATGACCGCTTCGATTGAAGTCCAACAATGTTGTATGTTCGTCTTCCTCCTGACTTCGTGCCGTATCTTGTTCCAACTGCACCTGCTTTATGCGCACGTTGATCTGCTCTCCGTCTGGCAAGCCATCGTCCGATGATAGAGTGATCCGACCATGTCTTGCGAACGGGTGGTAATATTGAGTTATTTGGTAGCCTGCAGGCTGATCATGGTAGAAGTAGTGTTTTCGATCAAAGTAGCTGACCGGTTCGACGCGGCATCCTAGCACAAGGGCGGCTCGGAGGGCCGGGAGCACGACAGCTGGTTGGAAGACAGGCAAAGTCCCAGGCAAAGCAATGTCGAAAGCCGCAACATTTGAGTTGGGCTCAGTGCTTGGTGTTGTTGACGCAGCTGCTCGGAATCAGTATAAGTTTGACTTGATAGAGACTGGCAGCACATACAGGAAAACAGCTTTCTGGCAGTATTCAACTGGGCATGAATTTCAATACCAACAGTTAGTTCCCAGTCGTTGAGAGTGTCGTTACTATTGAATTCTGGAGAGCTTCCAGGTGCTTTCGCCAACTTTGCCGATTTCGCAGCTTGCTTCAACTGCTTGCGAAGAGGGGCATGGGCCTCCTCCCACGGCGCATGGAAAGCATGAAAGGTCCGCAGTTCAAGGAAAACATGTCTGCTAACCAGAGGCCGCACGCTCAGTTCACGACACGGGAGGACAGGAAGAGAGCGGCGTGCGGACAATGGACGCATACATGCCATCCATCTTCGCTGCATAGGCTGTCGGGACTCCCAACGGCGGCGAAGTCAGGGCGGTGGTATACCGATGCAAATAGTAGCCACTGCTAAAGCAAGAGATATTTCTCGACAACTTGCACTGGCGTGTGATATGCCTCGCCATATGACGACCTTCTGGTTCACCGTAGGCGCCACGTTCAAAAATCGGAAAAATATCCTCCGAAGCTCCGAATTCGCAGCGATGACAACACCGACAACATTTCGTTTCTAGGGCATGAAATGTTTATAAACGACGAACACCTGGTAGATACCACGCATTTACTGGAAGAAGCAAGCCAACGAAGCAGCACAGTTTAGTATACCAATCTTACCAACCATCATCAGTATCCTGGACGGACGCGCAACTATATCTTGCAAGTCCTAGGTGGGTTGTGCTCCAAATCACAATCACCATTGGCCTGTTAAGCAATCACTATCCTCATACACCTTAAACGGTCACACTTCTCTGCGACGCATAATCAGATTTTGCTTTTATTCTCTATCGGGGTATGATGTCTGGTCATGAGTTTGACGGCTCTTTCCCCTGCTCAACGCCTGATTTCATTCCCTAAGGTCTTGCCTGGACCAGCATCCAGGTCTTTTGCAATGGCTACATCACTTGCTATCGCGTTGCTCCTCGGCGCTGGCACGCTTTACATATCAAGGTCTTATATCTTTTCAAATTCTGAGTCTGATGACAAAACAACGACATCTGAAGAAGACGACCATTCTTTGCTCAAGAACCATGTTGCGTCTCGCTGCTATGAGACCGAGCATGCTACCTATCCTTCTATCAGAACTTTCTATCACCCACACGCCCATGCTGAAAAACTTCAGGCTATAGCGGACTTGCCTCTACTAGTCTTCATTCATGGGCTGGGTGGTTCTTTGCCTCAATTTACGCCGCTTTTCGGTTCGTTGGTCAACGTCGGCCCATGCTTCGGCATAGAACTACCCGGTCATGGTGCGTCCTCGTTCGCTCCCCGGGACTACAAAGCGTACTCATTTCAGGCATTTGAGGCCTTGTGGCGGAAGGCAATTACAGATATCTGTCGTGAGAAGGGTCACAAAAAGGTTGTATTTGTGGCACACAGCCTGGGTTGTTCCATTGCGGCATCTCTTGCAACAGATTCAGAGCTATCCATCTCAGTTGAAGGAATCGTTGGAATCTGCCCTAAGGCGTGTCCACCAACGCAATCTCAGGTGGTCTCGGCCCGCAAGTTCCTCTCTCTGCCAGACTTCGCTCTGGATGCACTGCGATTCCTCGACCGAAAAGGGGGCGTCAATTCAAAGAGCGTTGAAAGGATGGCTGGTAAAGGCGCTAAGATCGATCTTCGTCGTTTACAGTTGTCCTTCAACAAAAGCTTCAAGACTCCTGTATGGAAACGCTCAACACTCGGCTGCCTGCCGCAATACGACGAGGCTGGTATTCCGCACGGCGGAATACCCGGTGAAGAAGTATGGTCACGGATCAAAGTCCCACTTTTCCTGATTGCAGGCGAGTCCGACACAGTGACAAAGGCAGAAGAAGTGCAAACAATAATTTCATACTTGCGCAGGCCATCTCAAACCAACATCAAAATGACCACAGCAGCGAAAGCCGTCCCAGTTGCGGACGATTCAATAACGAACAAGACCATGTCAAGCGTTGATGAGTCTGACGCCAACGCCACTGCCACCACCTCCACTCCGGAGGATGACCAGACAGCATCTGACCACCACTACGGGACTCTCCCGTCAACGAGCGAAATGTCTAGCCATAATGCCGCGATTGTCAAAACAGCTGTCCTACCCTCTCCAGCCGCCCATGCTCTGATGTATGACCATAGCACGTACCGCACTGTTGCAGGGCTGATCGAGGACTTTCTTTCTCGTTACGTCTCCCCACAACTCAGTCTAGGCTGGCAACTCCAACAACTCACAACATCCGGCAAATGGGACGTCAAGAACTTACAGAAATGGCAGAACGTGATGCCTGTGTCAGGACCCATAGGTCCAAACGGTCTCTTTCGCGCGCTCAAGACATTGCGCGAACAAGATCCCGTACACACACCGAGCGTCTTTCTAAAGAACTGGCGCGACCGCATCTTCGCCGTTATCGACATCTCCCACGATAGTCCCGTCTACGACACCCAGGCCCTCGAACGCGGCGGCATAGAGTACCACAAGTTTCCGACAGTGAGTAAAGTGCCCCCCACGCCTGTCGAGGTTAAGGACTTCATTGCCCTCATTGACCGGCTACGGGGCGAGCCAGGCCACGACGATAAAGCGATCGGCGTACATTGCCACTACGGGTATAACAGGACGGGGTTCTTCATTGCGTGCTATCTCATCGAACGAGAAGGGTACAAGCCGCAAGACGCACTAGACGAGTTTGCCACGGCAAAACCACCCGGAATCAAGCATGATCATTTCATTGACACTTTGTTCATGCGTTACCATGTCGGACTGAGACGGGCAAGTACGATAAAGTAAAAGACAACCAGATATAGAAATCTACGATCCTTTTCCAAAGGGGTATGACTGATCTAGGGCAAGAGAACGAACACTACGAGGATGAGTGTTCGGCGTTTATGCGAGGATAGCCGGCGCGTACACAGCGATACTTAGTAATATGATTAGAGAATTGTGAATTCATGACTGTTGCGCTTGCGGACCAGCGATCTTTCCGACCCTGAAAGCGATTCCGGTGTACTATCCACATCAATGGTGTTGATGACAATCATTTGACCCATGGTTGCGGTCCTCAGTATCTCGAGCAATACACAGGCTAGATTGTGAAGCCCCGATAAATAAGACACGCCTCATGTACCTGTGCCACGCTGAATCAAAGGAGGTTGAGTGAAAGCCTTTCGCTGCGACCCTGGTCGCTGATCAGCATCATCTCGATCGTTCCGAGCGATCAAAGTCTCCCAGCACACCACTGCTACAACAGCTTCAAATCGACAAAAGACTTGAGCACGACCGAGTCGATCCGGGACAACCACTCCTGCTCGAATACCTGTGGGCCGCCGTTGCGGTCTATGGTCGCGCGCAGCGCATTCGCAATGAACTGCCTGATGTTTATGCCGTAGATAGGATCAGCATTACTAATCACTCTCTTCCGGCTGTCTTCAGGGGTGTGGTCAGGCCACTCGGGCACATCTCCGGGCGTGTTATGCCAGAGATAGTCGCCCTGGCTCTCCTCGGCGGCTTCCTGGCCCAGCTCGACGACGATATCGGTCCAGATGGTGAGCAGAGACTGCAGGTTTTCCAGCATGAGCGTGGAAACGGGAGGGCCAGAGACGGCAAACAGACTGGTCAAGGCAATGACCTGCAGTTTTTTGCGCAGGATGTCCCCTATACTGTCGATGGACTGGAGCCATTCGGTCAGGAGCCAGTGCATCGTTGTGGGAGAAGAAGTCGTGGTGACGTTCGTCGCAAGAATGGCCTGTGAGGTTTGTTCTGGTAAGAGGATCACCGCCCGCGAGAGCACGGTGAACAGTGTGGTCTCACCTGGCCCAATGATATCTGGAGGTCGTTTACTAGGTCGAGGATCCTCGTGGTACTCGTACGCTTCTTTCAGTAGACCAAGCAGGGACGAAAGATAGCCGGTATTGAGCATGGAATCAAGGGCATGCATAAGGGCCTGCCGTGAATCGTGCTGGCTATACCCTTCCACTGAGACAGTCGCGATCAAGTACTCGATGACATGGGGAGCCAAAGCCGCATCGCGAGCACGGCTGGATGCCAGCATCGGCAAGAGGGCTTTTGACGACGTGAGTAGGGGCGTTAAGAATTCCGGCGCTAGGATCGTGGTCGGCGAGAGGATGGTGTAGGATTCGATGAGCTCAAAGATCTGCCGCAGGAGCTCGCTGCCAATGTCGAGAAGAGGTAGTAGAGAGTGAGAGAGCTTCAGTAGCTCCGGCGATGCCTGATCAGACGGAGTCTGTTGAAGGATAGCGGCCCACAAGTCGAGTGCTTCCTCCAAGAGATAGACAATGGCTTCAGACTCGGGCTGTACTGAGTCGTGGATGATGGGTAAGATGGCATTGTGGTAGGACAGGCTCTTCCGTCCTAGACTGTTGACGATAGCAGTAATCATACTCAGGATTGCCTGTTTCATCAGATGCTCGTCTCCTGAACCAAGCCATAGTGGTGGCAGCATGGACATTATGTCCTGAGCGTATGGCTCTATTTGACCTTCCAGCTTGGTCACAGCTACCCTTACGGTCTCAAGCAATGCCATCTTTGTCTCAGACAAGTCGGTCTCTGCTATCAAAGACATCAAGCCTTTCAGGAGAGGGTCGGCGTATGGCTGGAAGTCAGTGAACTTGAACTCAAAGGGTTCCAAAACAAGGCGAAGCTGGCGACCCGCGGTGACCCGAACAACATGATCGTTAAGCTGCTCACCGCTCGCGATCAAGTGGGTGAATATCTGATAGACGGCGACTCTGTCAATCGTCTCGGGCTTGATCGGTACCCACTGACCAAGCAATATCGCTATCCGCCGTCGTAACAACCTATAGTTGGGTTGATTGATTTGCACTTCAGGGACGAGTGTCGTCCGGAGAAAGGTGTTGAAATCAAAGACGTCCTCCAAGCAGGCAGCGGAGATACCAATAGCGGAATACAGGCTGTCCTTCAGGAGGATGTTGGTGTTTGTCGTCACCGCGTATTGTCGGAACACATCGAGTAATCGCGGGACAAGCAACTCTTTGAAATTGATGACAAGGTCAAGAAAGAGTTTTTCCGCACAAGAGCGGCTAGAGAACTCCCATGCATCAGCGATCTCCTCCTCTCTTTTCTCCCATTCATCGGGTTCTTCCTCCCACTCCCTCAGATCGGAAGGGCGCAGAACAAAATACTGCGTAACCAGAAGTTCCATGAGCTGAATAACAAATGCATCAGTCAAGACGCTACTCTTGACAAACTCCACAGCCTGTTTGCGTTCTTCCTTGTCTTGTGGCGTCTGATATTTGAAAGTCTGGACTGGGTGGAAAACCATTTTGCAGCAAGCGCGGAACAAGAGCAACGCTTTCAACGACAATTTCTCTATCGGGGATTCGTCCGTGACATCTCCGCTACGATACACCGCCCAGTCGAAATTGCCTTGAAGAGCGGGTTTGGCGTCATTGTGGTTAATGACAAGCCAAGCATGATCCAAGATATCCGCGCATCCAAGCAGTACGAATGAGGCCGGGTGGTTGCGCGCCATCTCGAGATAGAGCTTTGATAGTTGTAGAAGATGTTTCAAACGCATGGCCTTCATCTCCGAGGATTCTTCAAGATTCAGTTCTTTCCAGAAAGCCTTCTGCTCAGAATGCAGGATCACCCACAGGTGCTTGACCACGTCGTGTCGGTGAGGGCTCTCGAAGCCTACAACCACCAAACGTCTCAGGATTTTTAGTCCTGAATAGCTGTTGGGATCGGCTTGCATGCTTCCCAGGCTAGTGTGCCAGCCCGACGCCAAGGAAGTGTAGACGTTCAAAAGGTCGCTCACAAGTCCATCTGACTCTTGCTGGAGACTTTTCTTGGTACGCTGGAGCCTCCCGGACGCCAGCTCCTTGACAACTTGTAGTGTGATCATAAAGATGTTCGAGGTGTAGAGGTTGTCGTGGCCAGCTGACCGTATGTGCTGTCGGATGACTTGAAGAATATCGGGCCAGTCATGAGGAAATTCATACCGCACAATTTTTGCTACCATCAGCGCGTTCTGGAGAGCCAGAGCTGGCACCGGCTCTCTTAACCCAGCATCGATTGACCTTGTTTTGATCTGCTGCTTTTCATCCTTGTCAATAGAATGTGTCGCAGTCTTTCGCCAGTATTTGTCAATCCCATTCTTGAGCTGGATAATCGCTTGAAATCTGACATCTTTGGGGAGAGCGAGATCGGCATAGATGTCTTGAAGCATGGAATAGTACATAGGTGTCTTTTCCCAATTCAAAAGCTGCTGTGTAGAGACTTTCAAGGCCTGAAAATCATGATGTTGAGCACTGAGGAGGGTGCTAATTACCAGTCCCCTGGACAGAGGATTGGCCTCGCCTTCGGCTTCAATGGTAAAAGAAGGCATCTTGATATTCGATTTTCATCAGACATCAGGATAGCGCAGCATCCGTGCCAGAATCAAAAAGAGAGAGAACAGCAAAACGCCTAGGCATACGATTTCGAACAAAAGTGTATCAGAACAAAAGGCATCAAAGGCTGATGTTGAAACGGCTTCAATTCCTTTTACTTGGACGTTCACCAATAAAAGAGACGAGCCTCGTCAGCCTAGTAAATGTTTTGCTGGCGGGTAAAGATTGTCGTCATACAAAAAGTTTTCTTCTCTGAATACACTCATTCACCTGCAAAAGGGCCCGATAGATGTCGGTCAGACTTGTTGATTTTGCAAATATTCCCAACCTCGGTTCAACCCTGCGGTCGGTTTATCATGGCTTCTCTCTTTCGTGTACCGATTCCTTCTTTCAGGCTCTCCCTCATGGGTTCTTGACCATGTCCTCTAGCAGCTTTGCCGCTGCCCAAGAGCGGATCCTCGCGCGACAGCATGTCAGACAACAAGAGTCACAAGCTACGAATTCCCGAGCAATTCCTCCTCCTGTTCGTTCCTTGACTCGGCTCACTCATTCCTTGCGCCCCGAGCTGTCAGCTTTCTGGTCGACATTACTGGACTCCGAGGGAACCCGCCCTGCCTTTCGAGTGGGCCAAGTGGATGCTGAACTGCTAGACGAGGAACTGTTGGGGTTGTTGAAGACGCAGGTCGGAGATGCCTTGAAGTATCTAGGACCGCATCTCCAGGATGACTGGTCGCAAGAGATCCTCCTTGGACTCAGAGCGGTTTTATTCAAACTTTCTATATGGGATAACGATGCGTCGTACGGAGCTGCACTTCAGAACCTGCGCTACGCTGATGCCCGTAATTCGAGTCTCGCCCTTCCGAAGCCAACGCGATGGCAGAAAGCTCTCTATGGAATGGTAACGGTTTTTGGGAGATATGGGTGGGACAAATGGGAAGATTGGCTCATCGACCAGGAGCGAGGATACACGGCACCAAGTGAAACAGTTCAGCGGTTGATGAGGTTGACCTCTTTCGCTTCAACGGCTCACTCGATAGCCGCATTCTGTTCCTTTCTAGTGTTTCTGGTCAACGGGCGTTACCGTACTCTCACAGATCGCTTGTTACGGTTGAGGCTTGTTTCACCTTCCAATCAGGTCAGCCGAGAGGTCTCATTCGAGTATCTGAATCGCCAGCTGGTCTGGCACGCGTTTACGGAGTTCTTGTTGTTCCTGCTACCGCTCGTGGGAATCAGTCGGTGGCGTAGATGGTTAGCGAGGGCTTGGAAAAAGACGAAAGATGCGATGCGGTCAGAGTCGACTGATGAAGACGAAGGAAAAATCAAAAGCGGACCTTTATCGTTTCTGCCAGAGAGAACTTGTGCCGTATGTTACGAGGAGCAAAATCCTACATCGACATCAGAGGCAGAAATTCTTGGGGCCAACACGGGTGCTGGAGGCGGAGTCGTGGGCTCAGCCACAACAGATGTGGTCAACCCCTACGAGACAATTCCTTGTGGCTGTATCTACTGCTTTGTTTGCATCGCTAAAAAGATTGAAGCAGAGGAAGGTGGTGGATGGACCTGTTTACGATGTGGTGAAATCATCTATAAATGCCAACCCTGGAATGGCGATATTGTTGTCCCAAAAAAGACCAGTCAGAAGAACGGAAAGTCAGTCGGATTCTCTGTCAGCGAGCAGGTCCATTCCGACGAGTTGGAGGAGGAAGAATCTTTGGATGAAGCCCCAGAAATGATGGAATCCAATCTCATCTCGAGTCAGTGGTCGATGCCAGAAGAAAGCTCTTCATCCGGCTGAAAGGCGGTGCTGCAAACGAAACTGGATGCAACACGACAACAAGGCAAAGTCCCTAACTCAGGCTGTGAACAAGAAGATACTAGCCAAAATAACTCCTACGGGAGACAGTCCGGACAAAATCGGATCTCGATTGCGGTCTTTCCAACAACAATGGCCCTGGTTCATAGCAGTGACAGCAGCCTGGCTATCCTCCAAACTCGGCTTGAAGCTTTGAGAAGCTTCGTTCAAGTATACACGGTGCCATCCTTGATGAGACCCAAATAAGTTTCCTTGTCATGTCCGGGGATGACCTGGCCTTTCGTCGTCCTCTCCAGCTGCTTCAGTCGTTGCGTGCTCTGGAACCACGCTGGATGATCTCTTGCCAGCCAACCCTGTGGGATACCATCGCGCCACTGACAAGCTGTCAATATCAAGGGGAACCCGACACGGCCCACAGAAACTTACATTCTCAATGACGTGGCAATGATCACTAATGAAGAGGAAAGTGCCACTGTCTGGCATGTTGATTTGCATGCCAATCAATCCTGGAAAATCTCAGTTCCAGCCTCAGAGTGGAGCTTTGATACATACCGTCTGTATGTCCTGGCAAATGGTGCAGGGTAATTCCTTGACAGAAATCGAATGTGCGCTCATCGAAAGTCTTCCAGTTGCTAGTTGTTGTCAGCGTCCGTCCTGACTCCCGGCTTTCAAATCCAGGACACTCACAGGCTCAATTTCAGGTAATGCTCCATGTACACCCCAACATCAGCACCAGTTGCAACGGACCAGAAAGCGGCTCTCAGTTCTTTGTCGTGGACCCAGATTTCGACGTCTTTTCTGTCGAGGAAGACGTCCAAGCCCCCAGCATGATCTAGATGCAAATGGCCTATGATGATTTTCTTGATATCCTCCAGCTTATTGCCTGTTGCTTCGACGGCGGCCTGTAGCTCATGGCGAGGCTCGTATTTGATGCGGGCGAAGACATCTGCGATTTGTGGCCCCCATACTTCCGGATAGTCTTTCCCGCATCCCGTCTCCCACAAGATCAGGCCTTCGTGGGGGTGTTCGATCAGAACACAGAACACTGGCAGTTCTCGACGCTTGTTAACAAAGGATTTGTCCTTTGTACTCAGTGTGCTCGTGTTCCCGCCTCGCACTACGAAGGCTTCATCGCATTCCAGCCAACCGACCTCAAGGATATGGAACTTGGTCCCCTTGGGACATACGTTAGAAATGTGGTTTGGCACAGCCCCACGGTCAAGTTGGGCTTGGATGGCAGCCATGATGAACCAGATTCGGAGGATTCGGACAGGGTAGAACAACAAGATAGCTTCCAGGAGGCTACAGGGGAAACGCTTCAAAACTAGAATTGCTTCTATGCGAGGATCCGAGGGAGATCTTGTTATACTGAGAACCCCCGCATTTCTGCGCTTGCGGCGCCTGGGTGAAGGATTTAAAGGCGGCAGCCGAAAGCCGGCGGAAGACAAACTTGTGGCGTCTTCCGAAGGCGGATATAAGGTGGAGAAGCTCAAGGCAAGTCAATGAGCCTCATTAGTTAGAGCGAACTCGGTAATGTCAGCAAATCTGACGACATCGACTGATCGTCTCGGCTTCGCACCAAAGGGAAGATGGGAGAAGGAATAGGAGGAGGAGGAGTGGCATTTGGGGGGGATCGACGAGGAGAGGAGGAGTAGGAGGGGAAGCAGACAGAATACTCGTTACCTAATTAAGGTAATGTACCTAGTGTACCTAATGTTTCTAATGTACTGTGCGTACCTGGTACTTATCATCTACCTCACCTGGGATACCCTTTCCGTGTACATAGGTACGTTTCTCTTCTATGGTGGTCGGTGTCATTTTCGAGGGCGGGGAGACACAAGGTACATCAAATCTCGTCCTCATACTCGTACTCGCACGCGACACCAGTAGTGGCATACAACCAACAGAGGCTTTTGTCCGTTTCGCCCACACGGTCGGATTGATCATCAAATCAAGCTGCCAAAGTATTTCTGGACTCCGGAATTCCAACTGCGGTTCGTCGTGTCTTGCAATGTTCATCAAGTCGCAATATTGTCAGGGCACTTTTGTCTGAGATGATTGCTCGTCCCCTCGCACCCATCTAGCAATGTACTAGGTACTATAAGGTGCTACCCGTGTCGTACCCGTACAGCTGGTGTGAGAACACATCATGACCGAATAAGGGGGCCAGGGGGGTACGAGTACGAGCACCGCTGATCTAATATCGAGGAACCGCCATTCCAGGACAACACGTCCACGAGTTTATAAAACCCACCTCTTTTTGATGCCTAGCTACGAGTATCTGCTTCCGTTTGATGTGTAAGAGGTGACTCGATCCATGGCAGATCAACCACACTCTCGTCAAACATGCTCGACGTCTCCAAGAAGCTCGACATCGTCGTTGTCGGCGGCTCTTTAGCCGGGCTCATGACGTCAATCCCCTTGAAGCGTCTTGGGCACCGAGTCACGATTCTCGAACGCTCACCGGACCCGTTGCTGCATGACCAAGGTGCAGGCGTCGTCGCGGGCGGAGAGACCCAGGCGTTCTACCACAGGCATGACCTGTCGAAAAGGCCCATCGCCGTAACGTCACAGGCACGCCTCTATCTCGACCGCGCTGGAAACATCATCGATCGCGAAGACTATCAACAGCGGATGACCAGCTGGGATCTGCTCTATTACCTTGGCCGAGCCAACTTTGATGGCGTCGAGAGTGACTATCTGGAACAGGCACCCCGTTCTTCAGAGGGGGACGGGAGAGTAAGTTACGAATATGGTCGACTTGTGACACAGGTCCGCGACGCCGGTGATCAAGTAGAGGTCACATACAAAAGTACGAGAAGGAGTGACAGCGGAGATGATGATGGCGCTGGTGGTGGTGGTGGTGGTGGTGGCAAGCCAAAGACCATAACGGCGGACTTCTTGATCGCGGCGGATGGCCCTTCCTCACGCCTACGAGGGATGCTATTGGGTGATCAAGCGGCAAATAGGACATATGCTGGCTATGTAGCCTTTCGAGGCACGGTGCCAGAGACGGAGCTATCTGAATCAGCGGCGGCCGTCTTTGTCGAAAGGTTTACCTTCTTCCATGCCGAAGGGACACAGGTTCTTTCGTACGCCATTCCAGGCAAGGCTGGGAATCTCGCCAAGGGGCATCGCCTGGTGAATTGGGTCTGGTACTGGAACGTCGACAAGGATTCTGAAGAGTATAAGGAGCTCATGACTGATACCGATGGAAATCTGCATCACTATACCCTACCGACTGGAGGGAAAATGCAGCGGCATGTATGGGACAGGCAGGTTGCTCGGGCCCAGAAAATTCTCGCACCGCAGTTTGCCGAAATTATCGCTGATACGAAGATGCCATTTGTGCAGGCAATAACTGACGTCGAGCCACCGGCAAGGGGAACGAAGGTGGGAAGGCTTCTGGATGGCAAGGCACTTCTGGTTGGAGACGCCCTTGCTGGCTTTCGACCACATACTGCAGCGAGTACAAGTCAAGCTGCGTTCCACGCCTTGATGCTCGAGAAGGTGTTCAGAGGTGAGATCGACTGGGACGAATACGAAGAACAGGTGCTCAACTTCGCATGGAGCTGGCAGCGCAGAGGAGTGATGTTGGGAACCAGGAGCCAATTTGGTCATCATCCTCTAGCTTCGTGATTCACAAATTGAGCCAGGCATTGGCTATCAACTGACCTACCGAGGATATGTGCTTGTAGAGAGGACGTTCCTTACATCTCGTCTGGGCTCAAGGAAGTGTACTTGACGGCGAATGAGTCTCGAGTGCCCAATACAGAGAAAGCACTTCTGAGACTGTCATGTGAAAGCAGAAGGAGATGCATACCATTATCTACGATGACATGATTAGCAGGATTTGGCTGACTGGAGGCAACGTGTGAAGCATCCTTTGATTCGGCCCACCTGCCATATTGTCCTTCTTAATGTCTCTGGCGGGCTGGACCGCCTGCTAAAATTCTAGCGCCGACGGCTTAACTAAAACAAGAGTCAGTGCTGCGCTCCTTGTGAATCATCGACTTTGACTCCTCCATCCTGCCTCTCACTCCCAGATCACAGTGACACAACATCAAATCTCCCTCATCTTATCCGCTTTCTTTTCCCTTGACACCTGGGGAATCTACTCTTCCTCTACAACCCTTCCAAAAATACCAGCGAGATCGAAGATATGCATCGTCGCGCCTTGCGCTTCTACCTCCCGATCAAACTCTCCCCTCTCTAATCGCCACACTACCCAACGCTTGACGCTTGAGAGCAACGTCTCCGTTTAGAGCCTCGTATGGCGGACACCCAGGATCCCCTGATATGGGATCTTGAATCTGCCATCGGTCTACTCAAGAACCTCTCCCTCAAGTCCCAGGACATTCCTCCAACTCCTTTGTCTCTCGTTGCGACCTTCGACGGAGCTCAGGATCATGAATCAACCAGCCCGTCACTTGGTGACTTCAGCAGTCTTTGGGACTTCCTTGGTCGCCCCCACGCTGCTGATGAACAACAAGCTGCTGAGCTGGTAAAATATCAAATCAACGACGAGCCGATCGCTGAGGTCGACCTCAACCAGCTGAACAAAGGGGTTCGGTGGCGAGACGAAGTTGATGGAGCGGATTTGGAAGACAATGTTGAGCCCGCCAAGGCCACAGCATCATACATACGCAACAAGAAGCGTGCCGAAAGAAGGGCACGCGCAAAAGAAAGAGCGGAGAAGCTCGCCGCTCAGAAAAAGTCCACGTCGGATTCAACTGACCTCGAATCGGGAGAGGAACTGGAGTCTTTGAGAAGATCCCCAGACCGAAGAGCGGTCATAGACGACATCCTTGGTCGCTCAAGGCCTTCAGTGCGAGAGACTTCTCCGCCGACCTCACCATCACCCCCCAAGAGTGAAATCAGAACACCAAAACGAGAGTATCCGATCTCCCATCCGTTTCTCTGGCAGGACCCTGACAACAAATCACCCTTTAAACGGACGTCCATAGCTCCACGCGATGGCCGTTCTCTACGACAACGAAAGCAAGCACTCATTACCGAACTATCCCGTCAGTTCCCTGACGAGAAGAAGTACCTAAAGAATCCAGGTTTGCTTGAACCAGCATTTACTCCTTTGAATGTTTCCAGCATTGGCATCCACGTCTTTGTTGATGTGTCGAACATCTCTATCGGCTTCCACGACTGCTTAAAAGTAGCTCGTGGCATGCCGCGAGACACGCGCTTGAAGCGTGTCCCACTATCCTTTCATAATTTCTCTCTCGTACTTGAACGAGGCCGTCCAGCCGCCAAGCGCGTCCTGGTTGGGTCGGACAAGTACGCCGCGATCCAGCAGGCCAAGTCGATTGGCTACGAAACCAACATTCTTGAACGTGTGCACAAGGCCAAGGAGCTGACGCCGCGACAGCGGAAGTATCAGTCCGGGGAGACGAGTGGCTCTGAGACGAACAACTCTCTCTCGATGCCGACACACGCGGCTGAGAAATGGGTCGAACAGGCCGTGGACGAAATTCTACACCTGAAGATCCTCGAATCGTTAATCGATGCCGAGAGACCCAGCACGATTGTTCTTGCTACAGGCGACGCAGCCGAGGCTGAATACTCGGGTGGGTTTCTTCGCATGGTTGAACGTGCATTGGAAAAGGGATGGTCGGTTGAGCTGGTTAGTTTCAAATTGAACACCAGCAGTTTGTATAAGAGGAAAGAATTTCGACAGAAGTGGGGACCCATGTTCAAATGGGTCGAGTTGGATCCCTTTGTTGAATACTTGATTGATGAAGAGGATGATTAAGTGAGCATGTCGCGTTTACAGACGAGCTCTCACTGGAGGAATTCTTGATGAAGGAATCGGTCATAATATTCAGATCCTTCTCACGGTAGGACAATATGGAATTATAAGGACCATGATCATGACAAAGGTGACATGAGAACAAGATTCGAGTCATCTGGCAAAAAAGCAGACACGACTGACTGACAATACGGGTTCTGGAACCAGCTTACTCAACTTGTTCTTGGATTGTCGAGGATCAAATCAAGATTTTCTGAGTTTTTGAATCCAGATCTTCCAGAGAAGGAGAGGAAAAGTATAGCGAGGTCATGAACTTGTTATTGTCAGTGTACGTGATGTCTTGGTTTTTCGCCGAATGTCGAGTTTTGCAGTTCTGTCAATCGGACTCTGGTCGTGGTCGAGATAGTCTATCTCTACAAAGGTGTCGAGGTTATGTACTCATAACCGGTAGCTACCTACGTTGAATGAATGGATTGGCAAATATCGTCGATTCAAGGTTGCAGTCTCCTACATATGGTTGTCTCGTCTTCGTACATGGACACTGTACGGAGTACGAGTCCTGAATGATTACACCAACCTATCTCATCTATCCTCATGACGGTATTCTTCTAATTGATTCCCTTGCTCTTCCCTGACGTCGTACAGTGATTGAATTCATTCCGGTTGATAAAGTAAACACATTGTAACGATGTTGAAGCTGCGAGTGTCATTGCGAGCCTGGACAATACCTAGGTGAGTAACGTTGGTCCGCTTTGTGTGCTACAGTGCCAGAGAGGATGGAGAGTTTTGCACGATACCTACACAACAGTGAGGACGGAGGTAATACTTTGTTATACTTTTCTCCCCTAGGTAGGTAGTAGTTAGTCCGGTGGAAGAAGCCAGATTAGGCTCCGTCCACTTGGCTCATAGAACACTCAGTGAGTTGCTCGAAAACTAGGACAGGCAGAACAAATCATCAATCCACGTACGGTTGTTCTAGGCATAAAAGAGACCTGGGTGGTTGGGGTTTCTCGGTATTCAGCTCTCACTCGCATTATGATTCGCTCAAGCAAGATCACACGAGGCACAGGGTGCAAGGTAGCGGAGTATAGGTATTGACAGGATGGCATGTAGGAATAGTATGCGCACTTTTGAATTCAGAAGGCTTTGACTAAATTTATTGATCGTGTGCGTATCTGCAGATGTGCTCTGTATCCTCTCTACTCTCCTCTACGTATCTAGCTCCGTATCTTCGTGTACACTGCCAGCGGAAAGAAGGTAGGCTAGTACTGATAACAGAGAGGTTGGGTTAAGTAGATCAAATCCATGGCTCACATTTCTTGAACGACACATCTCGAACTCGAACTCGAAGAAGACGAAGAAGAAGAAGAAGAAGAAGAAGAAGAAGAAGAAGAAGAAGAAGAAGAAGAAGAAGAAGAAGAAGGAGAAAGGGGGACAATGATGTACATTTGAATAAAGTTGAAAACGAGAGGAGGGTGATTTTCAATATGGTAACAAGACGCTGTCACTGTTACAGGTAGTTCAGGTAGTTCAGGTAGGTAGGTTGGTAGGGTAAACAGCGGGTAAGTGATAGTGAATGCTGTTAAGTTTTAAACTTTCTTCCCCTTGATTCCACCCAGTCTGATCCAGAGAAGGATCCAAACCAAAGAACCCCCGGCGAGGGTGGCGCCTCCAAAGGCCTGCATGCTTCTGTACCCCGAGTTCGAAATGATCTGGCCTCCGATGGGAGATCCGATGAGGGTCGCCACGGCGGCCACGCTGAACAAGGCACCCGTGCGCACGCCGATCTCGTGGATGTTGGAAAACTGCGCGATCACCGCGGGCAGGATGCTCGCGACGCCGCCGGAGCCGAAGCCGAAGATGCAGCAGTACACGACGGTCGCGGCGGAGCCGCTGCTCGGGATCCACAGGGCGAGGGTGATGACGGACGAGAGAATCGACATGGACAGCAGGACGTTGAGACGGCCCACGCGGTCGGCGAGGAACGGCGGGATCGTCCTGCCAAAGGTGCTCGCCGCGTTCATGATCGGGACGAGGTACTTGGCGAGCGAGTTGGGGACGCCATGCGCCCGGCTGGCGAGGATGATGAACGTGAAGGGGATGAAGAGACCTGAATGGAATCGTGGTCAGAGTGGGTCATTTTAAAGAAAGATACAGGATACAGGTAGACGTAGAGGCATAGGGACAAGTACATGATGACGACGACGGTAATAAAAGAGAGAAAAGAAAGCAAAGATTCGGACTGGTGGGGATAATGGACATACCTAGCCACGTAAGAAAGGCGCCAATAGCGAGCGTGGCGAACGTGGGTTCAGAAAAGGGCCGCACAAAGTCCATGGGCTTGACGGGTCTCGGTTTCGGCGGTATGCGACTGACGACGGTGATGTTCGCGAAGAGGCCCAGGCCCAGGATCAAAAAGGCACATATGCGCATGGTCCAGCCGAAGCCGACTTGCGGGATCAGTCTCTCGACCATAATGGGGAAAATGACGCCGCCGATAGATGAGCCGGCGGCCGTGACGCCGAGAGCCAATGCCCGTCGCCTGAAGAACCACGTCGTCACGGCCGACATTGAAGGGTAGAAGAAGAGAGAGCAGCCGATGGCAGAGCATATGGCTTGCGCCAGGAAGAACTGGTAGTATTTTTTGGAGATGGAGGTCATCATCAGTCCGAAGACGTGGAAAAAGGTACCGGCCAGGAGAAGGTATCTAGGACCGTAGTTGTCTAATGATGAACCGTCGTCAGTTTGCATAACAAAAAAAACCAATATACGCGACGTGGAGAAACGACGGCGATGCAGGCAGGTACCATACCGTAGAGTCTTCCCACCCAAACGCCGCCTATGAACATCATGCAGGACTCGGTGGATGGGATCCATGCCACTTCCTGCGAAGAGTATTGTCTGAGTTGGTGGGTCTCGTAGTATTCTTGGAACACGCCAATGCCTGGTTCATTCACATTCATAATTGCGTCAGTAAAGGGAAGACTTTGAACGATGAGAATGAGGGATACGGCATGCGGTGCTCCACTCACAGTTGATCCAGCCGAAACTGACGAAAAGACTCGCAAACGCTCCAGCTACAACGGTCCAGGCCTTGAAACCTCCGTCTGGAAAAGCAGAAGGGTCAAACACTGGCTGTTGAGGCTGCGGAGGAGCTGGGACAGCAGCTTCATTGTCGCCAGACTTTTCCGGAATGTCTCCAGCGCCAGCGCCCCGTTCCGAAGCAGAATATTCAGCAGGGACATTGCCGGTGTCGACGCCTTCCTTTTCGACATCTTTGCCCATGATGCTGGATGAGGGAGTGTTGGCGGCAGTGGCCTCTCGTGATAAGTCGGCCTGAGGCACGATCAGTCCCGACTTGAGACTCATCTGTAATGGTCTTTTCCTTCAAGGGGTGAGGTGTGGAACAATAGGCTCACTAATGAAGGACTGGGGAAACTTGCTAGCAGGACGTGGTAGCCGGACAACAGACTTGGGATATACTGACAGAGGAACAATATATTTTCTTTTTTAAATCATTCGACAATAGGTCTCACTCCTTCGGTGTTGTGAGCAGAACCGAATACTCGTCGGCTCTCAACAATGGTACGAGGATGCGATGTCCGAAGGAAGCGATGACCACCGCTTTTTTCGTTCCGCTTGGGAGAATTCAGAAAGAGATGTCTGGAGGTCGAGGATCATCCCAGAGACCCAGTTGCAACATGACCAATCGTGGCAGTCTATGTTGCAGTGAAGCTGTTCGTTAACTCCATTAAGCTGTAGTAGAACGCGGATTTGACGGACGAAAAGCCCGAGCATCAGGGACGGTGTTGTACGAAGCCAGATCTTACACCTTTTCCCACCCTCCGAAAGGCACGTTGTACGAGGGAGCATCGCGTCTTACCAGTTCATTCACGGAGAATCGGGCCAAGTGAATCCCTGAGACAATCTCGGTCATGAACAACGTGAGATGGGACGTTCCTAGGAGTCATCTCTCACTTCAAACCTCGGTGTCTTCTCCTGGTCTCATCACCGGAAGGCGGAGAAGACCATATATCCTAGGTACGAGGACGAATGAAAGACAGATCCATCGACGGACGGAGGACGTAGAGCCACGGAATCAACAAATACCCCGTGAAGTGTATAAATCATCAGGCTTTACAAATGATATTGCGTTGCGAGTAAAACCGTATGTCGTCGAGTGTCTAGACAATGTTTACATGCCTGGATTGATATCGAGTACGAATACGAGCGTTGTCCGGCGCCGCTTTTAGATCTGGAAATGTCGACACACCATCATATTTTGCTCATACCTGACAACTGTCATGTCGTTTCTACATTTGAATGAGCATAGTCTCGATCCAGAGTCTGTCATCATGCAGTCGCTTCTGAAGCTATTTGCCAACGATCTATTGCGTTCGTAAGGATCGTCCGACTATAGTAAGGATTCAAGACCGAGCTTCCTTCGCCACCAAAAGCGACAGACATGAAAGCAGTCTTTGGCTATCACAGCAATCCCCGCGGGCTTTGGCCATACTCATTGGGGGATTCACTCAGTGCAGTGCGATAGCTGCCACAGCAGACCGGCTCCGGCTGCTGATCGAATTGATCTACTGCCATGGCTGTACAAAGATACTCATATACCAAAGGCAAACGACGGCGTCAAGATTCTTTTGACCATGAAATCCAGATTGAGGAACTGTCTCCAGATGACATGGCATACGATGGAGACACTGAAGTGCTTCGGCCCGATCAGTATGAGGATATTGATTCTGATTTCGAAGATGATCGAGCCTTGAGAAGACTGTGGCCGGATACAGATGATGAACTTGCGGGACGACTGCGACGTCTATCGTGTGATGCCCGCAAAGACAACCCAAAAGACCCCAGCGACGAGGCTCGTGGACAGAAGCGCCAGTCGGCAGAAATGGATTTGGAAAACGAGCCTTCTCCCCACAAGCGAACCGAAATCGAAGTATTGGAAGTAGTAGATGGCCAACCTGAACAGCGGCCCATAAAGCGAAGAAGGAAGCGAGCGACCAAGTCCAACATTGCACACCGTTTGGTCAGGAAGCCAGCACCAGAAGACTGGACAGATAGTTCAGAGAAGACGGACGATCAAGAGGTGATGGAATCTTCGAATGCCACAAGCCCTGCTCCTGCAACTCCGGCCCCCACAACTCCGGCTCGCGCTGAGAGAAACGAGGATGCCATGGATATCAGCTGAGCATCCGAAGGAGTCCATAGAGCACGGCAACTTTGCTTTTGGATTCTCTTTCATTTGCAATGGCCAACATTCACCGTTAGATCCTTCTCTATCTAGTACCTTGGCTTTCCTAGGCAGCTACAGCACGAGATATTGGGGTTGCTTTCATGTGCATTTGACTCTCTGTGGGCCACCTGTTCCAGCTCGAGGTGTTAGGGTTTTGTCCATGCGTTGAGCGCCATCGTCTCGAGTACAATACAGGACTATCGTCCTCGTTTGGCCGGAGCTGAGAATCCGTGCCCCGTACCTGGACTAACGCCTTTGGTGCTAGGGTGATCGGGATCTTGCAGTCACGTCATTGTTCCGCGTTGACGTGCCGTAATTCCCAATGTCGATACTGTGGAGAGGGAGAGAGTGCGGCCAAGTGTGAATACTCTCGTACCGTCTCACGGGCGCATGGAACATGAGAGAAGCCCCAACCTTGATCTCACGTTGACTCCTTTATCAGTGTCTCTGAGACAGAGCTTCAACCCTCACCTTAATTTTGTGACCTTGCCTCGTCAAACACTCACATCAACATGGGCGGAAGACGAACCTCGGCTCGACTTGCGGCTAAGCAGCCTGAAAAGTCGTCTCCAGAGCACGAACCAGTGCAGACACCTTCGACTAAGAGGCGCAAGGATGGTGGCCTTGCATTTCCAGAAGCAAAGCGTGCCAGGAAGACAAGCCAGGGGGGCCAAAAGACGCTAGAAGACACTCTTAGCAAGTATGAACATGTCCATGTAGGCTCTGTCGCCCAGACATGCTGACATATCTGCCAGCGACACCAAAGAAGAGAATCCTGCAACGACAAAGGAAGACAAGAACACAAGCCAGCCCTCCAGCGAGGAAGAAACAAAAGATGGGTCAGAACCACAAGAAACCAAGCAGGAAGATGAATCGGGAAAAGCCGAAGAAGATACAAACATGACCGCTGCAAGCGATGAGAAGAAAGAGGACGTCCCACAGAAGCAGGACGAGTCGCAGTTTGCAGAAGAAGACGGCCCTGGCAAGGAGGGAGAGTCAAACAATGTCCAGGCCAACGGCAATGCCGTTGAATCTGGAGAGCGTGACCATGTCCCGTCAAGCATTCTTGAAAAAGGCATCATCTACTTTTTCTTCAGGCCAAGAGTCAACGTCGACGATCCCCAAGATGTCAAGGACATTGCTCGCACGTATATTGTCATGCGCCCGATTCCAGTTGATGCGAAGCTAGGAGAAGGCCCCATCGGGGACGATGGCAATTGTAGACTTGTCGCGGTGCCAAAGAAGGTTCTCCCCACTAGCGGCAAAGACCGATTCCTATCGTTTGTCGAAAAGGCGAAAACCACATTTTCGGACTTGAAGGACTCATTCATGCCGGGTTCGGATTACGAGACCAAGACTCAGGGAACCAGCCATGTCCCTCCAGTCACACCACTTGCTGAGGGAGTGTATGCAATCACTTCCACTGGGCGAGAGTCGCACCTCGCATACAACATCACGATCCCACATGAACTTGGACAAGTTCAGAAGGATCTCGGTCTTCGAGAGAAAGGGAGCTTTGTGACGAGCGTCAAGAACCCTGCTGCACCGGCCCCGTCCAATGCAAGCCTCCCTCAGGGTCCAGAATATCCGCAGGAACTTCTCGACGAGTTCAGGAGCCTCCGTTGGAAGCCTCTGGAACCAAAATTCCTCGACTACGTGAACGCACAGTTTCTCTTGATTGGCGAATCCTACGACAAGGCTACTGAAGGACGACCAAAGGATGAACGTGAGAACAATCGCCTGCCAGAAGAAGAGATTGAGAAGTTGGAAGGCGAGGATGAGATTCGAATCAAGCATCTCAAAGGTAAGCCGAGTACCCTTTCTATTTGTGGGATTTCAGAACTCATTGCGTTCTAGGTGACGATTCGGTCTTTGTTGACCTTGGTGTCGCAGCCAAAGATTTCCCCAAGGTCCCAACAACATGGTAGAAAGAGTTGTTGTCAAAGAGAAAGTCAGTTATAAGTTAAAAGTTTCACTCATCTCCTTGATGTTTGTCATGAGGATGTATAGATGCGTGGCTGATGCCAAATGGTATGAGTGGTGGTACATGTTTGATGATCAACTGGGGAGGTACTTGTGATAAGTGGTGGTTGTGCACCTGGTACTTGGTCTACCTTCTCCCTGACATTGAGACACGAAAAGTCTTTGTCGTGTGTACATTCCTTGTAGATTATATTACCTCCTGGGCCGTTGGTGTTTGGATAGGATTGAAAAGTACCTTATAAGTAAAATCCAAGTAACAATCTACAAACAGTACTGTGATATAGTTTCTCTGGCCATACAGATCTGCCTTCGTACCACTCTTCTTCTCGGTACCTGAGACGCTCCCACCTTCTCCGTGTTGTTTCTCCATCTTCGTCTCCAACTCCAACTTCCTCCATGCTCTGCGTTCCCCAAACGAACGAAAGTTCCAATGAACTAGTTAACCCCGGTATAGTAATATCTTGGGGGGCCAGGGTAGTTAGTACCTCTGACTACCTAAGGTACCCAACCAACACACCTACGGTACTGAACAGTTTTCGCGGCGGCGACGGAGTCTGCACCGGGCTGAACCCCCTATACCTGAACAGTGGACCGTGATCGACAGAATCATCCTAGACCACTCGTACTTAGGGAGTACCGTACAGGTGTTGTGACTGTCCTTCTGCTCGACAAAGAAAAAGCAGCACTTTAATTCCAAGTTCAAGATCGGTGTAGAAGGTGGTCGGGGCTCGACTCTGGGCTTTTGCCGTCTTGGGGACCTTGTGTGGTTGTCGCGCGCACGATGTCCGTTTCAGCACTCGACTCTCGAGTCTTTCGCAACCTGTTCGGCACCCAGGAGATCCGGGGCGTCTTTACCGACGAAGCATACGTGTCGAGACTGATTGAGACCGAGGCCGCCCTCGCACGCGCAGAGAGTGCGGTCGGCGTGATACCCGGCGATGCAGGGGGTGTTATAACGCGGGCGCTGGAGAATGTCAAGATCGAGTACGCGGCAAACTACTTCCCTACTTCCCTACCTCCCTACCGTGCCTACTGCCGTCTAGGTATCTACCTACTCGTTATGTCTTGTGGTTGCCTTATCCTGCTCTTCCCACCATCCCCTCACTGCCTTAGCTTGCCCAGTCCCCCTGCTGCCCTTTTGTTCTAAACCTGACTTGACGCTCCTTCAGTTTCGATCGTCTCTCTTCCGAGACAGACATCGTGGGATACCCTGTACTCCCACTTGTTCGACAGCTCGTGGAACAAACACCACCTGAACACGCCAAGTATATCCACTGGGGTGCCACGACTCAAGATATCATGGACGATGCGTCGGTGTTGCAGATCCGTCAAGGCCTGAAGATTGTAAGGAGGGAATTGGAGCTTCTGAGGGATGTTCTTGCCAAGTTGGCCGAGAAGTACAAGGATACGTATGTTTGTGTCCCTTTTCTCCCTCACCCTACACCCAACAAAACAACTCGCCTTGCGCATTACACTTCTCTCGCATGCCGTATCTCAAGCAATACCATCTCATATCGGCAAGATCCTTGCTCTTGTCTGTCATCTCTCGCTTCTAGCGAAGAGGAGAAGCAGGATCACCACATCCATCAACGCTAAGAATGCTGACTTGATACGTCAGTCCAATGGCAGGTCGTACGCACCTCCAACACGCCCTCCCGTGCACATTCGGGTACAAGTGCGCCGTGTACCTCTCTTCCATCATCCGACACCTCCAACGGTTGACGGAAATCGAGTCGCGGGCGTTAATGGTTCAGTTCGGCGGCGCAGCAGGAACGCTCGCGTCGCTGGGCACATCGTCGGACGGGATCAAAGTCCGCGCCGCGCTCGCGAGGGAACTCTCCCTCGTCGACCCGCCTATAACATGGCACGTGGCGCGGGACAATGTGGCCGAAATCCTCAACTTCCTCGCCCTACTCGGTGGGACCTTGGGTAAGATCGCATACGACTTGATCGTCATGTCGTCCAACGAGCTGGGCGAGGTGAGTGAGCCCTTTGTCCCGCACAGGGGCGCCAGCAGCACGATGCCCCAGAAACGGAACCCGATCAGCTCAGAGGTCATTCTGGCGGCGAGTAAACTCCTGCGTGCGAACGCCGGGTTGGGCTTGGACGCCATGGTTGTCGATTTCGAGAGGGCGTCCGGCCCGTGGCATCTCGAGTGGGTTGCCATTCCAGAGGCGTTTGTCCTTGGTGTCGGCAGTCTGCATCAGGCCAACTTCGCGCTGGGCGGGTTGGTTGTTAATGCGGGCGCGATGAGTAGCAATCTACATTCAACGCGCGGGTTGATCGTCGGCGAGGCCGTCATGATGAGTCTCGCGCCACGTGTGGGCCGACAAAAGGCTCACGATATCGTGTATGACGCCTGCCGGGTTGCGATTGAAACAGATACGAAATTGGCCGATGTGTTGAAACAGGATAAAGACGTCATGGTAGCTTTGGATGCCACGAAAGTTGAAGAGTTGTGTGATCCGCTCAATTACCTTGGGGCAAGTCAGCTCATGGTTGATAGGGTTTTGGAGGATGTGAGGTGAAACTATATAACAATATTCAGCACTAGGTATGTAGGTGGTTACTCTCGAAGCTAGTTTAGATCTCAATTCACATTAGAGCGGCGACAGAGCCAAATGGGGCTTGAAGCAGTTCAGATATTCACAGTGAATAGGTGGAATGGATCGACATGAAATAAAGATATATTGGCAGAATTGTTTTGGGGGATTTTGATTTTGATTTGTTTTGTTGGTTTGTTTTTTCATGGTTGTAGACACAGATAAGATGGACCACTGCATTCATAATCGTTTGATCTCGAAGGATCAAACGATCAAGTTTTGCAGAGGTGAGTAACGTGTCAGAAGAAGTTTGATCTTCTTTGCACCAAAATAGGCCTATATCCTGGGACAGTTCCAATCGCAGTCGAAAGGAGGGATAAAGGCCAGAGTGTTGGCAAAGGTATTTATTTTTCAAGGCATGGACTGTCGTGCTTATGCTTTTGCTTTTGGTAGGACCGGATCATAGCAGACAAGAGGGCAGAAGAGGACAGGGAGAGGAGAGGGGAGAGAAGAGAAATGCGGGGAGCGAAAAGGGAGCGGTGTTCCTCCGGGGGGAGGAAGACGGCAGCGTAGGTGAGAAAAGAGAACGAAAACGACTTGCGACGGGATAAGATGGGGATGAACAAAAGTGACGAGGGGGAAAATGTACAAAGCGAAGAAAAACGTGCAAAGGAAAGAGAAGAATGTCGAATGAGATGAGGAGGATGAGAAACTTCGGATTGATATTCTTTTTTCGGTTCCTCTCTTTTTTGGATTTCTCCTTTTTGAAAAATGTTCATGTGGGTTCAGGACATGATCATGGGTATCATCACGCTGGGTTCTTTTTTCTCCAAAGTACATCATACGATAATGATCTACTCCTCGGGAACTGTGGTCACCGAACAACGTCAGTAAATTCAGTAGATGGGAACGGGGCAATGCATGTTTCCGAAAAAAAAAACCGAAGTAGGAAGGGGCCGTGGAGACTCTTTTTCCAAAACGCCCCCTTCCCCTTCAAAAAAGAAAGAAATCGACAAAACGTACCCTCGATGTTGCCCTCCTTGATCTCGTCGCTGATCTCCTTGGGCGATCGGCCATCGACCTGGCAACCGACGCTGAATGCGGTTCCGAGGATCTCCAAGACCGTCCCCTTGAGCTCACGGGCGAGGGACTTGTTGGCACCGCGCATGGTCCGTGCAATGTCGAAGATCTCCTCGAGAGGGATCGACTTGCTGTGCTTGATGTTCTTCTCCTTCTTCCGGTCACGGGGGGGCTCCTTGAGGGCTCTGATGACGAGGGAAGACGCAGAGGGGACGACCGACACGGCGGCTTGTCGGTTTTGGATGGTGAGCTTGATGGTGACACGGAGACCTTTCTGTTGGAAGAATCCAATTTGTCAACGATCGCACGTCCCGCAACCCACGATACACACGGAACGGTGTGTGTCTGATTTCCGCACACACACACCCACAGGGAAAACGTACCCAGTCGCCAGTGGCCTTTGCGATATCTTCACCGACCTTCTTCGGGGACAGACCGAGAGGACCGATCTTGGGAGCGAGGGTTGCCGAAGAACCGACCTCACCACCGGTGGCACGGAGGTGGCTAAATGCGTTCGTACCAGTCAGTTTGCGTAATCTTCGAATTAAATGAACTTGAGCGGTGGTGGTGGTGGTGGTGGTGGTGGTGAGGTTGAGTCCTCGCACAACAAAATACACTTACATGATCTTCACCTCATTGGGATCTAACTTGGGAGCTGAAACACACAATGCATATTAGCCAGGGCGCCCAGACTTCTCAAGAAGACGATACTTACGCATGGCGAGTGCGAAAGGTAGTCTGTCTTTCTTGAGGTGTCGAAGAAGATATTGTCTCGCTGCAGGAGGAAAAGTTCAAGGCTCAGACGAGTTCGCAGTTTGGTTTTGGTTTGTGTGCGGAAATAATTGTGGACTAGCCGTGTTTGGTTAGTGCCATTTTCGAGCGGTACGGTGGATCCTTGGTTCCCAAGGGCTATTTCACCCCCTGGTGCTTTACTTGTCACGCCGGACTACGGAGTACCCTTACAAGGACTGCCAACTCCGACAAGGCTGTGCGAGACGAAAGATGCTAAATATGTATGGGGTACTCGATGGAGACAATTGTGCTGTAGGAAACCAATGGATACTTCAGGGACTATTTGTAAGGCTTGCAGCGACAGGAATTCATATGACTAGCATTATTCAATCTGTTTGGAAACCAATTCCCTTCCCTTTTATGGTCATCCTTGGAGACCGACTACAGCTCAAACTTCACCCATTAACCTCAAGCAATTCTTCCCTCGTCCTGTAGATACCGAATAACCCGTATCCGTATCTACGGCTGGACACTCACTGCACCAAAGAAATTCGTAACCCGACTTGCCTCTTGTCACTCATTGGAATTGCGTTAGTATTGCTGTGCAAATCCGCGAGTCTGAGCGATCTGCCTCGCATCTTCCATCATAGTAGTGTGTCTCCCAACGCACATCTGACGAGACTGACACCGGCTCTAACAGTCTCACTAGCTCCCGCGACCTCGAGGCTGGGGTTGACCTCGACCAAATCCATGGCAACAAGTTGACCAGTTTCATGTACACACTCTGCAATGTAATCACCCTCGCGTAGTGTCAATCCTCCTCTGACGGGCGTTCCGGTACTAGGAGCCCACATTGGATCCAATGCATCGACGTCAAAGCTCAGATGAATCGGAGTATCTGCGCCAATATGCGCCAAAGCCATCTCTACGACACGGCCAATACCATGACGGTCAATATCGTGCATACTGAAAGCCCTGATTCCATTGTCACGCAGGATTTTCTTCTCTCCCCTGTCCACATCGCGCAAGCCAATGTAGACTAATTTCGTGGTGCTGATACGCTGATTGTCGTCAATCCATCCGAAAATGTCTTTCTCTTCGGACTTTGCGAGGCCGGTAAGAAAAGCGACAGGCATACCATGCACATTTCCACTCTCGCTAGTCTCAGGTGTATTGATGTCTGCGTGTGCATCAACCCAGATCACACCAATCTCTTTGCGTCCGTTATATCTCTCTCGGATCGCCTTGGCAGTGCCTGCGATTGTACCAATGGCTATACTGTGATCACCGCCCAGTGTCAAGACCATTCTTCCTTCGCGTGCCTGGTTGTAGACCTGCTGAGCCAAGCCCTGCGTGACAGCCGAGACTGCACGCGGGTTCTTCATCCCTCGGTGGTCTGGATCCGACTGAGGGCGTAGCTGGTCGTAGTCGTGCACCGAGTTGTCGCCGTGGAGAGTGTATCCCAGTTCATCGCGCATCTGCTCGAGGATGCCTGCCGACACGAGGGCTGTCGGAGCGGCGTCGACGCCAGGCTTGCATTGGCCGCCGGAGAAACCGACAAGGACAACGCCTAGGTCTGCAGGAGAGGTAAGAAATTTCTGATGGATTGTGGATGGACTGGCCATATCGTAGCCCTTCGAGTGTCCATTCGCAGAGTGGCCGTTGGTGTGGCCATTGGCAGGTGTGTTCTTTTCAACGGCTTTGGGTTGCATGTTGTCAGTAGTAAGAGGTTGGGCGCCGGCGGGGGTGGTGATTCAGGCACTGGAACAAACGAGGGCGTCTGAATGGCTGCTGGTAGGAATGTCGATTCTTGTAAAGGGACAATCGCCACCCAGAAACAAACACAAGCACACGAGAACAGACAATAGGAACGATGAAGACAGAGCCTTTTGGACACCGAGCTTTTGGATGGTAGACGAACAGGAAATCAAGGAAAGAGACGGAAAGTGATAGGAAAGGGAGAGGAGGCGAAGGATATATGTACTCGCCGTTGAGGTCTTTGATGTGTCACGTAAGATGGCATGCGCAGGGAACCTTGAATGGAGGAATTCGTCGACCGTGCCTCTCCCTCTCTCGACAGTAATTGTACCGATGACGGCGGTGGGGATGGCGTACCTGAACTCCGCCCTCGCCGTCACCGAGATTCCCCTAAGTGCAGGATTAAGCGCTATGTGGAACAGACGAATATCGGGCTAGATCGTTAAGTGACAATGCTTCCGACCTTATCATCCTCATTTCCCCTAAGTACAGGTGTTGTCGAGCTCGCCATATCCATTGCTAACAGAAACTTCTCATCCAGTTCTTTCAGAAAACTCTGCGGACTTCGGCATCACATGGTCAGGGGAACAGTCTTTTCCTTCCATAATCGTTCTTGTCAAGTTAGACGTGAAACTTTGGCTATTTGGGCGCTGTCGTAAATAGTCGGTTCCGCTAATCGGGCGATAATATATTGTTACAAGGTGACTATGGTTACAGCACAAGTGCGCCCAGCTGGCCAGAACTCCACAACTTCCCACCACTCTGATCGGCATTTAGATACTTTTGCTGCCCTTGATTGTGCTTGTCTCCGATCTGTGCGGGTGTCGCAGAGAAGTATGTCGCTGAACAAATGTCTAGACTGCCACGGTGGACGTAGGTTGTTGTGAGTACCCGACTCCATCCAGGAGAGATTGCTCTCGATCAGGAACCTCTTCCTATGTATTACAAGTTGCCGACATCAACAAGGCCATATCTGCAATGTCGAATCCAGCTGATTTCATACTGATTGGCAGTTCAGCCAAGGAACTTCTTCAATGTAAGGCCAAGCTTTTGCAGCGACAACGGCTTCGGCAAGAAAGCATCAGCACCACTTGATATGCAGAGCGAAGCAGCATCGGGACCAACGACTGCCGTGACCATAATCAACGGCCTTGACCTGGAGAGACTTCCATCTTGCTCCATCGACCGGATCTCCTTCAATGCGGTAACTCCGTCCTTTCGCGGCATCGACTGATCCATAAGGATGAGATCGATTTCTAAATCGTGTTCCACAAGCTTCTCCACGGCATCTTGCCCGTCATTAGCAGTCATCACATTATACCCCAGGGCCTGTAGCATCTTCACCCCGAGCTTCAAGTTGATTTTGTTATCCTCAACAAGAAGCACAGTTGATCCACTGAGTGCTCTTTGCTCCGTTGCAGGACCCAGCGGAGCGTTCTCGACCATGTCGACCATCGGAGCAAATCTGACAGATTTGTTGTCGGTGCATGATCTCCCCAAGTGCACAACAGAGACAATGTTTTCAACCATCCGATGCCATAATAGCGGTCGTCGAATGGGAATGACGTGCGAGGGAGGGGCCGCGCCGATGGTTCTATCCAGCAGGGGCTGAGAGCCATAGGGTAGAATGACGAATTGACTTCTAGGTTGCAGTAATCGGCCCAAAAGCTCGGATTCGTCTTTGATATAGTCCAAATCTGCCCAGATATAACCCCAGTCGTCGGATATATCACTGTGGGGGTCGGCTGGAAATACTTCGACGTCGTAGGCTGCCCATGCCATCTTCAATCCTTCACTCAAGCGGCTCCCCTCCTTCTGATATACGGCCATTTGACGCTTATGCCCTAAGGCCGGTAGAGGTTTCGCTCCCGCCAGGAGGCCTGACGTTGGGATTGTAACTGTGAAAGTGCTTCCGGATTCGGTCAAACCTCCTCCATCAATATTGCTGCAAGTACTTTGAACAGAAATGGTTCCTGATATCTTCTCCAGGAGGTGTTTAATAATGGCTAATCCAAGACCAGTCCCTCGTTCCGCGCCACGGGTCTGGGCTTGTTTGAAGGGTTCGAAAAGGTGAGGTAGGAATGTCTCTGGTATGCCAAAGCCAGAGTCCTTGACTGTTATGACCAACTTATCGTCGGTGCAGTCAACGAAAAGGATGACATATCCAGAATGGGTAAACTTGAGTGCATTGGTCAATAGGTTCATGAGGATCCGTTGTAGATATGTTTCGTCCAGGAACACAGACTGCGGCACCTTTGGAGCAACTACGATCATCAGTTCTGTGATGGTATCGTCATCCGTACTAGGTAAGATGTTGACAATAGACTCGCACGCTTTCCGAAGGTCAAGGCTTGTGGGTCGGAAGACAGCTTCGCCCTTTTCTAGTCGTGACCAGTCAAGAACGTTCGCTGTGATCATCGACAATGATCTGGTGGCTTCCTGGATTGCAAGAAGGAGCAGACGTGATTCGTCATTGAGCGCCGTGCGCGACAGTAAGTCACTGTAACCTTGCAGCTGATGGAGAGGAGTCCGGATCTCATGAGACGCTGATGCAATGAACTCGCTGCGCGCCCTTGCAGCAGCTTCTGCGTTCTCCTTTTGTGCTATGGCTGCCCATAGCTTCTTTCTTGTCTGAACAATCTCGGCCAACTTGTTTCGAGCAATAGTGGCGGAATGGGCTAGAAGGCCATTAGCAAGCATGCAAGTGAGAATGGCAATGCTAGTAACAGCAACAGGTAGATCGGGTGGATAACCTCGATCCGGACTTGGGTCTGCCTGTGACCAAAACGTCGTCGCCCACATGCCGGTGAAATGCATTGCTGCCACCCCTGAAGCAGCAATGCAGGAGAAAAGCAATTGCTGTGAAAGGTTGATCTCAATCTGTGGGATGAGGATACAACCTATTGTGCATACGACCCAACTAATCAAGGCTGACAAAACGACAATGTATGGGTTTAACGTGAAATGACCCCCTGAGATCTTCATAGCTAAGACCCCAACATAATGCATGCTGTCGATCGCTAGCGACCATAAAAACCCTTTGCAAATCTTCTTAAGCTTGACGCCATGGACTAGAAGTTGCGCAAACCCCGTTAGACCAGTGGCAGTTGAAGAAGGTAATCGGGACATCCTGAAGCTCATAAAGGCCGGCAGATTTAGGCCACTGCCGTCAGAGCTGTGAGTCGTGGAGGAACGTCGCGAAAGGTCACCGTCTATTGAACTTCTCTGAAGGCTCTCCGTGTCGCCTTCAGAGGTGTCCCGGTAGTGAAAATCGGCCTGCTGTTTGGGAGGCTGTCGAAATGGTGTATGTGGATCCTCTTCTAGATCCAGATGTAAAGCACTCCCTCTCACAGTTGTATCGAGTCCGACAAAATGCTGTTCGAGCGGTCCAAGCCCACTATCAGTCCGAGAGGGTCGGTGCGGTGTTCGACCTCTCTGTTCCAATTCTTGGAGAGAATCAAGAGGCTCTTGGTCTTCTGACAACCGTGGAGGGAGAAGCGCCTCCGTACTGACGTGCTCCTCATTGTCCGATAGTTCAGCATTGTCCTGGATATCGCTCTTAGATCCGCGTGGATTTGTGCGCTTCATCCTCTTCTTCGTCTTCTTCTTCTTCACCAACAGGCGGATGTACCGATCTTGTAGAAGGTCAAAAGACAATGCAGAGAAGGTGAACAACACTGCAAGGAGTGCGCTGACTATAGTCAGGGGGACATCCAGTCCGATTCGCACGTCGAGTTCGCATGCCAACATGGCGATAAAATGGAGACTCCATATTGAACAAAAGCCGAATGTCAAGCTACCAAGCAGTGTCCACACCAGCACACCACTGAAGTACCTGGCAGTCCGTGCTTGACACATCATCTGCGTGGAGGTGAAGGCCCCCAGCAGAGATACTGCCACGGAGGCTGCAATGAGGCCATAGTTCCAATGCGGCTCAAGTTTCCTTAGAGCCGGAGATCCTTGCACTGTTTCCATGTCTGTTTAATGGTGGGAGCCCACGGCGTCGGATATGCTATCAGAACTGGTCAAGAAGCAGAGTCCGGCATCGCATCGTCGCAATGTGCCTCGATCTCATCCTCTTAACCTGTCAAGGTAAGTTGCGAAGTTCTCCTTTTGCAACACGTCCTGTTCAGTAATGTCAGGGCCTGTGATCGGCTTATGTATGAATTGCACCAGCACGGAGAAGACGCGCTAGGAGAGGCTTTGCAACTGCGGCAATCAGGCGTCCCGATACCAGACCACCGCTTGAATGAGAGACGACTTCGGGGGATAGGCCTATTGTTCAGGACAGAGAGGTATATGGGAGAACGCGCAAAAGCGAGGTATTGGATGATGTGGATTGAGAGGAAGAACAACAAGAGCAACAGGCGGCTTTATGCGCAATCGTATCTGATGGATGGTACCGCAGGCGACGAAGTTTTGGCGACGACAGGATCGCGGCTGGTTGGAAGTTGTGCTTCTCAGGCCTGTCGATTGTGTTTGTTCCGGAAGTGACAGGAAACGGGGATCCGCTGGCGAGGAGGCCCAAGCGTTTAGAGTGCTGGTCCCTGGAGGCGAATTCTGCGCAGGTGAGGCACTACCGCGTAGTTATACAAGGACAACTTATACCTGCATTGGCTTGCGGGGAGATTTATTAGTTGGTGGACTTGCAGGGCCCTTGCGGCTGGCCTGGTCTAGTCGAAGCCGTGGCTGCGCTTAGGCTTGACTAGCAGCTGCTTTGACCTGTTAACGGCGCAGGGATCTCATGTACGAGGGAGTCTGTCCCTACTCAGGGTCAGATAGATTCGACATTCCCATGCAGTAACCCCGCTCTGCCCCTGCTGTTCTTACCTCAACCGTGGCAAGGATAGGTAGCCATCCTATCAAAACATCCCCGACTATCGCTGCTTTTTTCTGGACTTGCTTTTCGCCATTCACCAGGAGGAAAAGCCTCCAGGGTAGCCCTGAGACCAAGCCTGATGTTGAAGTTCGGATGCGGTCCGCAGCAGCGCCCTCGGTTGTTGGATTTACAAGGGTTTGCAGAGATGGGTTGGCATACTTGGACTCGGGTACACTGACGACTCTCTGCTGGACTCTTCGGAAAGACAGAGACCTCTCGAACAGCGTCGATGAAGTCGATCCGAACGGGTGAGCTTGTAAAAGTCTAAGGTCCTTAAGGCGGCAGCTGTCCTCGCTGTGGAAACATCAGCAACTCCCCCTCTACTGCGTCCTCTGTATAGGCGCCCAACTTCGTCCCCTCCAACCAACCACAACTTCCTGACCTTACAAACCACCCAAGATCATTCAAGCCAACCGTGTCGGTAAGATCTGACCCTGCAGCATGAACGGCGCCTATTCGGTTTGTTAACTAAATATACCTCTCCTATAACTACCTGTCTGTCTTGACACGAGTATCTGCTCAGCGTCCTATGAACTAGACATCTCCATACTTGTGCTTTCCCCCTTCTCGCATATACCAAGAGCGTTGCTGTGCGTCGTGCTGACGAGCGTTGTGTATCCTCTCTTCCATCATTTGTGTTTGCCTCACAGCGCCTTATATCTCTTCTGAATCGTTTGAAAATGTCGTATCCCCCACCACCAGGCTCCGGACAGCCATATGGAGGTTACTATCCTCGTACGCTGATCTCCCTGCAGCCGACATCAGATCATGCTAACACACCGCACAGCACCGCCAGAAAACACCCAAGGTAGGCCTGGCTAGGAACACAGAGAGCTTGGTATTGAGACGATATAGCATACCCTCCTCCGCCCATCTCACCCCCAGCCAACGCCAACTACTTCCCTCCACCGCCATCAGGACCGAGCCCTCCTCCCAACCCAGCGTTCCCTCCACCACCAATATCGCAAATATCACAAACCCCGTCACCTCCACCTCTCCGACAGCCAACGGCCCAGCGTCCCTATAACTATGGCGCCGTGCCAGCTTCAGCACCCGCACACCGAACAACATTCGACCATGCGGCGATCCACCAACGACAACCGTCTTATGATGGGCCTCCCCAACCCGAACCAGAAGCCTCTACTCTGCAAGAGAAATCTGCCACGTCGCCCCAGCTGCGAAAGTTGACGAAAGAGATGGGCAACATGTTGAAGGCGCCGACAGGACCACGCATGCCAGGAGTGCCCGAAGGAGGTCAATTCGTTGGCGTCCAGGGCACTAGTGCATCAGACGACGTGGGAACATTCAACGGCGGATCGTACCGCATCTCGCACCGGGACACGAACTCGATCATAACGATCCAACTAGCCATGGGGTGCCCGATCACGGCGAAACCGGGCGCCATGATCTCCATGTCGCCCTCGGTGACGCTGAAGGGAGCATTCAAGTTCAGCATGAAGAAGATGCTGATAGGCGGCGAGATGGCCCATTCCACTTTCACGGGCCCTGGAGAATTGCTGCTTGCTCCGAGCACGCTGGGCGACTTGACCATGCTTCGACTGTCCGGCAGTGAGACGTGGAGCGTAGGACGTGATGCCTTTCTCGCGTGCACCCAGGGCGTCATCAAGGAGTACAAGCATCAGAGTTTCAGCAAGGCAATGTTCTCCGGCGAGGGTCTTTTCGTGTACAAGATATCCGGCACAGGTTTGCTGTGGATGTCGTCTTTTGGCGCCATTCTGAGAAAAGATGTGAGTCTAATAATAACAACTAAGAAAAGGAACTGTTGAGAGAGGAAGCCATCATCTCGTCTTGCTCGTACCATTCACTCAACTGCCTAATCCCCAACGAATTGCGTCGATGGCTAACCCCTTGTCTCTTTTCTCGTATAGCTCGTCGAGGGCGAACGGTACATCATCGACAACGGCCACCTTGTCGCTTGGAATTGCAAGTACGTGCTGGAACGAGTCGCCAGCGGAGGCATCATCTCCGGCCTGTCCAGTGGGGAGGGCCTGGTTTGCAAGTTCTCAGGCCCTGGCACGGTTTACATGCAGACCAGGAACCCCTCAGCCTTTTCAGCATTTATTAGCGGGTCATCATATCGGGAATGAGAGCGGTATGTATCTTGAATTTGGCATCTCGAAACAGCAACCCTTGCAAGCATAGCCTTTTGGGTTTGGAAACAAAAGACATGAAAGGAAAGTGCAGTTCTACGGTTTCATTCATGATGGTGCTGGTGTATCAGACTGATTATTTGGTTTTTTTCCTCTTTGCTACCTCGGTCTTGCAGGATCTTGGCCTGCCCATGCAGGGCCTCTATGAAACTGGTCTGGATCGCACTGGTCTGGATCGCACTGGTCTGGATCGCACTGGTCCTGCACACTACTTAATTTCGATCACCCAAAAGATGAACTCGTTCATAATCTCATGATAAAATACCATCTTCATCATTCTAGTAGAAAGCGTCCTCTCGGCCCCTCCTTCAGCACCTGTCCCCATCACCGTCGAAAGCTCGTGCTCAGTACACTTTTTAACCATTGAGCCTCTTACGCTTGCCGACTTGGGCCGTAAATCCAGATTTGATGGCCGTGACCGATCTTCTACTTCCGCAACTATTGCAGGTAACAAAGTACAATCTGTTCTCGCCCTTGCTCAACTCCGTGTTAGGGGACCGGCACGTCTTGCAGGTGACGTATTCGACAATGTACCGTCTGAGCACGTTCTCAATCTGCTTCTGCTGGAAACGACCTTTGATAACCAGACGCTTCGATCCGTCGACACTGCCGGATGTACCCAATTCGGCGAACAGGAACTGCGTGACGTGCTCGTCGTTTCGGTTCATGCGCTTGCATATCTCGGCGATGTTGGCGAAGATGGTCTTCTTGTTGCCTTCACGTAGACACTGTGGCGGCGGGATCTTGTATGATTTGGAGCCTGATGAGAGAATGTCTGGGTTGTGCTCGTTGACGAGGAGGAAAAAGCGTTTGAGAAGCAGATTGTACGAAATCGGAGTATTCGCGTCGTGCGACCAAATGCCAGTGCCGGTCAGCATATCGCCCGACTGCTCTTGCTGAGGTTGCTCGGATGTGGCTTGATCTTCGGAGCCTGGTTCGAGGCCTGCGGAGGCCAGTTTGGCCGCGAAGTCCTCACCGCCCTCTGTCTTGCTCTTGGTCGACTTCTTCTTCTTCTTTTTCAGGACCGTTGGGTCAAAGGCTTCATCGCCGGCGGCGGCGGCATCGTCGGCACCAGCCTCGCCGTCGGCTGTCTTGGTTTTGGAGGACTTCTTCTTCTTTTTGTTCAGGCCCGCAAACATGTCAGTCATTTCATCGACGGCCTTGTCATCGGGTGCTGCATATGCTGCGTTAGTTTCGGTGGCGTCTACGGATGATGACGGAAGAGACATACGTGAAGAGTGCTTCTCAGCCGTGGGTTTGTCTTCGGCCGTATTGGTCGGGGCCTCTGAGATCTCGCCGTTCTCGTCCATGATTGTGTCGTCGCCGGAGAAGGCCACCGATTTGCGTGGTTTGCGAACGTGTGGAGGTTGAGGTGCGTCTTGCTGTGTGGTATGAGGGTCAGTATTGTTTGTCTGGAGAAGTGTCTGCGTGGCAATATTAAATGGATTTGATTTCTGCGCAGTGGGGCGAGACGCAGGAGGTTTCAGTTGTGACCCGGCTGCTACTGCCACTGCATGTGGGGAGTGTGTGACGTTCTGCTTGCTTACCACTTCTGCCATATTGATCGTGATGAGGGTGTTTGGAATGTGAGGTGTGGTTAGAATGTGTCGCCCTTTTTTGTACGAATAGACTTGTTATGCGCCGAGGTTGTGGGGAGAATGTTCAGGAAGTTTGAAATCTCATTATTGAACATTTACAAATTCGGCCCAGGCAAATGAGTCAAAGCCCAAGTGACGCAGGAAGTCACGTGTAGAGATTCGAATGTTCTCCGGCTTTTTCTGTCTGACAAATATTTTCTATGAGGATTGATGTGGAATTTCGAAGTAAGCATCGCGGCCAGACGGTCATTTAATCGACATTAAGCAAACAGCCTCGCCCGCAAGAGTTCGTAGTTGACTACAAGCCAACTACAAGCACCAGCGGAAGCAGAACACAGTCAAGCTACACGTAAGCCATACACAAGTGTTGGGCCACGATCAACCTTCGTATGGCTTGAGCTTCGGTAATTCCCGGCGAAGTCTCGCTAGCTGGCTCTCCGTCCATCACAAAATGTCCTCCGACATCACAGATTCGTTCGTCGACCCAACTGCAAACATTGATGAGAGCGACCTCGACGATCTACCGAGCGAACCCGACTCGGATGAAGTAACCGTCAGTGATGAAGACTACGAGTCAGATGCCGAAAGAGAATGGAACGAGAGTCTACAGCAGCTCGAAATGCTGCTGACAATGGTCCTTGTGCCGTATGCCGGTAAATACTTTGGAAGGAAGTTTGCTTATTGGGGTATGCTTGGGACTGGTGCTGGGTGGATATGACTGACTCGTAGCAGGCTGGAAAAGATTCATGGAATGGAGATACCCAGTTGAGATTGTGGTAACAAACAAGGCCGCTTTCAAAGGCACCGGAGCCATCGTCGCTGCAGCGTCATTATGAGACTCAACACCGCGAGAATATCCCGAGAGCAGAACGCCATAGGGGTATTTGCTTATTTGACTGTATGAATGCCACACAGAAGCGCAAGATCCCGAAAGAGAGATATCCAGATTCTGGATACTCGGCGAGGGAGTCAAAGCTGATTCAAGCAACAGTTTGCGACTTGCGACAAAACATGTTCTCCCAAAATTCACTATTGAAGATATCCTATCTCCAGCAACTCAGGTGGTCAAATATCAATTAGAATACACACGAAGCGAAACTGGAAAAGCGTTGGAGAGTCACATTCAACTGCAGAAGTTGTGTTTGCCGTCTCAATTCAGTCATTAACAACCTTCCACGCATTGAGTTGCGGACGGTCGAAATTTCAACTAGTCAACCGTTTACATAAATGAATATCCAATATGCCCAATTCCAAACCTGAGAATCTTTCCAACTGCCAATGATCTGAAGTGCTTTTGTCATCCAGGTCGGTCTCCAACATCCTTCGGAATCGCGTCCTCCACGTCGATCTGTCTCCCCATATGTGCCACGCATGTCCTCGAATTGGACGCCCCGTTGGCGTCTACCTGCAACAACCATGTAACATTAGTGTTCTCCCCCCAGGCTCATCAAGCTCCAGAGCCATTTCGGTGGGTCCAGCCACCTGGCGCGCTCCGACTCCTCGAAGTGCGAAACACTTGGTGTAGAGGCTGTTCGCGCATATGGTTGTCAACCACTGAGCGAAGGTCATGTTCTCGGCACAGACCACTTTTTCTTGATACCCAGGGATATAAACACGAACAGGTGAAGCTACTGTTGTTCTTGACCACTCCGCCATCGGTCCACCAACCCAAGTATTCATCAGCTTTGTCAAAGAGGCTTGAAACACATGATGAGCAAGAGCCGTGCCCCCTGCGCTTAAAGCTGTGATTACAGCAGATTTTGCCGGCACGTAGTTGTCCCAAGCCATCCTCAGATGCGTATTCACTGCTACTGCGATCGTCGACGTCGTGAAAACATCAGAGAACTCGTTGTGTTCACCACAATACACTCTCAGCCACCGCCAGTGGTAGACAACGCCGCAGACCCCAGTGAGGTCCCAAAATGGGATGATTCGTGGCCGTTGTTGAGAATCCTCCGCCGGTGGATGACGATAGTCGGGGCACATCCAATCAACGTCGTGAACAGCAATCCGAAGGCGAAGGCCGGGGTGTTTGAGGGAAATGCTGCGCATTATTCCAGATACGAGAATGGCAGCTGCCTGGTGGGACACCATGACTCGTCGGACTGTTGCGTCGTCCTTGTCAGCACGCGGGGGACACTTCGGGTCGCAAGGTGCCCAGTTGATGCCAGCAGGGGGGTACTGGCTGTTAAGCTCGGGGAGAAGATTGATGAGTACTTGGCGCCGTTGTTTCTCGATCGCTGGCTGAAAGTGTGCCATGAGCAAGGACGTATAGTACTTGTGGACCTGCTTCATGCTTTCTCTGTCTTTTATAGGCACGGGCCCGACTAGGTTCACGGTGACATGTCCTCGTTTGCTCAATGCCTGTAAAGAGATACAGTGGAATCTCTTGCATGTCAGCTGCAGATCCAGTATGGGCCGTGGTTTCTCCAGGTAAGGGGTGAACTTCATGGCTCCAGAGCAGCAAAGGTCGATTGAATCGAGAGCAAAAGATATGATCTCCGTCAGTATTTCTGTTGGCAGGTGGAAGATGTTGGCATTGCTGTTGTCAACGTGCACGACGGTGGTGGTGGTGGTGGTGGTGGTTGTAATATTCTTCATTTCAATGGATAAGGAATTGAGCTTGTTGATCAAGAGATCTTCCATAACGACAAGGAGCTTCGGAGCAAAGGGGTTCAGTTTTGGAGACAAGGAAAGCTGTGAAGCAAAGCCGTACGAAGAGCAAAAATCTACGTGTCTGGTCTTGATCGGGCAGTTTGGAAGCTTTATGGACAACTTGAGAAAAGGTCCTCAACAGGCTGCAGTGACCGTATCCAGAGTTTTCCTCAGCATGGATGGTACAATCGGAAAGGTCCTCAAACGCCGAGCGGCCTGCATTGACCAAAGCAGCTCATCCTTGGTTCCGCTGGCTCTATCGGAGGTCCTCGAAAGTATGGAATCTGTGAAAAGGAGCACCCACGACTTTCCCACTTGAATCGAACCTCACGCCCTCACTTCGCAGCAGCTCGATCTTTTTATTGGCGTATTTGCCGTCCTTGCCCCAGTCACCATGAAACCCACCGATAGTGCCGTTCGCTGCCAGGACACGGTGACACGGTACATCGGGAGCGAATGGGTTGTGTCGCATTCCGTTTCCAACGGCTCGTGCAGAAGAGTTCAGGTAGTCCGACATAGCAGCGTAGGTAGTATAGCGACCCCTCGGGACGGATAGGAGGGTGGTGTACAACCTTTTTCGGTATGGGGTGAGCGTGGGATGACTCCGTATGCGATTTATGGTCTCCTCGATAAATTCGATGGTTGCTCCGGTTTGCCACACATCAGTGACACTAGGCTTGTCCTCAGGCAACTTGGTCTCTGTTTGAAAGTTCAACTTCGTTTGCTGTTTGTCAAGCCGAGGCTTCTTTCGTGCAGATGCCTGATCTTGATTTGTATCCTCTGCAAAATATTCCTCGCCGCGGGTCAAAGGCTTGTTGGGACTTTGAGCCCTTTTATTTGGGGTGCTTCGATATTTACCTTCGTTCTTCCCTCTACATTGCAAGCTGATTTCATCAAGATCACAGAGATCAACCTTCCCCGTTTCAATATCCCTGCCGAGCGAAATAGCGTCATGAAGTTGCTGCTCGGTCATATTCCTGATTGCGGGTTTGGCAATGATCTTGTCCCATTGCTTTTCACCGTTCCCTATCGTATTATCAAGGATAATGCGCGCAAAGCAATGGTCGAGGTTCACAGGCCACCGTGATTGGGCAGGATCACGGGCTTTTGCGAGGGCTGGAAGCGTTCTCGTGTAGAGTGTATGCCACCGTTCCTGGAGTGCCCCGAGATTCGACATGTTCCGCCAGGATGCTTGGGTCCCGACAACGGAACGTATCCCCAAATGATGCTGGCCTCAGCTAGAATTGGCGCAATTGTCGGCGTCCCATACTGTTATCCAGGGACAGAGAGCTCTGACATTCGCTGTCTCGAAAGGAAGCAGAAGCACCTTTTGACTCGGTACCAAGGGCTTCGATGAGCCGCACTCTTCCCTGCTCCGTATTCGTATCAAGTTGGTGATTGAGGTGCAGTTCTGGCGAATGAGGCTGAGTCTCGAACCGACTTCACGTCATTTCGCGTGGCTCCACATCCAACGCGTCCCGCGGCGCGTATCGACCATTACACGGTGGTCTGGCACCTCTGGTACTACTGCCATTCATAGCCCGCTTCAATGTATCTGGACGTTCCTGTTCCATCTTCTTACCGCTGGTTATGGTGTTCCCGGGTAGACTTGGTGTTGCATCTTGGTTGATTATCTCATGACGAGACTATGTCTTCACCCCCAGGATCACCCTTTTCTATGGGCTCACCCATCAGTCAAGCCTCAAATGTCCTGACGCCCAGTCGGAAAGTGCAGGCTCTGCTTGCCCAGTTCGAGGATTCTGACTCTGACTCGCCTCCTATCGAACACGACACCTCACCGCGCAAACTAAGCCAAGGACACAATGGCCACTCATCATTCGACGGCACTCCTAGCGTGCAAGAGGAGGGTACTCGAGAGGAGCACCAGGACGAGGACGAGGATGAGGACGACTTGCCAGTAGCTCCACGGTCAAGGATGGCTGCTCGCTTGCTAGGGCCTAATCAAGTGCAATTGTCAGGCGAGATGGGGGATGCTACCACGGCTGCAACACAACTGCGTTCAAGCACTCTAGAGTCCGAGAAGGGAGACGTTGCACGACCAGAAATGAAGAGGAGACTCCTTACGAAGCGCAAGAGCAGTCCAATACGACGACACGCCTCGAGATCACCGACCGCTGCATCCCCTGCATCTCTCCCATCCCCTCCTATTCGCCAACAACCCTCGCAAGCAGATTCTGACCCGGAAGATGGAGATGATCAATCCAACGTTGGCAAGTCGAAATTTTTGGCTCTGGTCGAGAAGCATCGTAAGCAACGTCTCGAGAAGGAAGCAGAAGAGGTGGCCAAGCGGAAGATGCGTGAAGAAAAGCTCAGATCTCTCGAGAGGAACAATCGGCATTTGCGAGGCTCCAGCCCAGCAGATGATACCGAAGAAGAGACCGACAATTCTGGCAATGAAGGAGCCAAAAAACTCTCAACGCAGACCCGGCCGATGCGCAAAGCAAGCAAGAAAGCGTTGGAGGAGATGAATCGAGAAACCCAGCGAATGAGCCGGAACATGCAGTTGGCGCACCAAGCGCGAACGAAGAAGAAGATTACGAAGGACAGTCTACTGGCAAGATTCAACTTTCTCGTCGCTGGCTCCTCTTCGAGGAATGTGACTGATCAAGAGACTGATCGTCCTGCGACTGGTAGTTCTAGAGCCGGATCAGTCAACGAAGGCTCAAGTACCCACGATACTCCACCAACTAGCCCTATGAACGAGGAACATAGAGACATGTTCAAAGAGAAGCTTAGTGCCGTTGATGCATCAGAAACACCCGCTCCCACAATTCCCCTGGATGCCGCGAATTCTCAGCCCGCTATCGCGAACCTTGACAAAGGCAAGAGAAGAGCTCGGTCAGAGGAGCCCGTGCCAGAAGTTTTACTTGTCCGACCAGGAATGGAACACCTCACCCAAAAACCAATGCGAGAATTCAGCCAAATTCTTAAGCCAACGATCAAACCGTATGAGCAGAAAAAGCCTTTATTATCTGTGTCCAAGGCCGACAACGATGGGTCGGACTCTGACCTTGAGGTAATTACTTCCAAGGGCGACGTTAGAAAGTATGCTGCATTCGAACATCTTCCCAAACGGAAAGCGAAGGAGGCTCCTTCTCATCTTGCTCTTCGATCACTAGCTCATTTGATTGGTGGAGATGAGCGGAAGCGCGCAATGAATGCAGCAGAACTGGAGGTCTCCTTGCGTAGAGCCGCTCGTCTCCAAGCTCGACAGGAACGGCAACAGAAGATTGAAGAGCTCAAAGCGAGAGGCGTGATCATCCAAACCTCTGAAGAACGCGAACGTGAGCAACAAGATGTCGAAGATTTGATTGAAAAGGCTAGGCAAGAAGCGGTTGAAATTCAGAAGCGAGAAAAGGCTCTTGCGAAGAAGGAAGGAAACTACGTCAAGGGAGCTTTTGACGACGATGATAGTGATGACGATGAGGACTTTGAAGTCGACGACGGAGGAGACGCTAGTGAAGAGTCCGATGAAGAAGAGAATGACGGTGAGGAAGATGATGCGCACGACATCGGTAACGAGAATCTGCTGGATGACGAAGCCAGCGAAGAAGATTCAGATGATCAACAGCAAGCTAGCGATGGTGATCCTGTTGCGGAAGATGTAGTTGAACCCGAGGAAGTTGGAGTCTCTGTTGCTAGAACGAAACGACGCGCTCGTGTACTGAGTGACGATGAGGAGGAAGATGACGACGACAAAGGCAACTCGCTTGAACTCCCGCCTGCAGCCAAAACGCCTCAATCTGTCTTGCGCTCGGCAAGAAAACAGATCCCCGGCCTGCAGATGTCGGATGACCTGCCGATGGGTTTAACACAGGCGTTCGCTGCGACGATGGCGGACTCTCAAAGCCAGGGCCTGGAGGAAGAACAGGACAGCCTGCGCATGACTATGGACCTCCCCTCCCCCAATATTGCAATGGCTCCACGAGTGCAGCGCCTTGACTCGATCGATGTCATTACAGACAGTCAACCGGCAACCCAGACCCAGCCTCTCAACGTGAACCTTTCCTTTTCGGAATCTCAGAACCTACCTCAGTCTCCAATAAGTGCAGTCGAGATACACGGTCGGCAATTTACCCCTTCTCAACCACAATTTGAGCCGACCCAAGATGAAGGATACATATTGAGTCCATTTGCTGGTAATCGATTTGCCCAGGAGACCCCCCATGATCTTGGACCAACTTCGACGGTTGATACTGTGATAGTACCTCACGACGTCCAAGACAGTCCCATTGTGCAAAGAACGGTGCGTCTAAGACGAGGTCGTGCACAGGCCGACGACAGTGATGATGACAATGTTAGCGCAAACGTCTCTGCTTTTGAGGTTATGCATCGTGCCGCCAAGAAGAAGGAATCCGAGATCTTCGATAAAACAAAGTCAAAAGCACGAGAAATTATAGACGAAGCTGCGGAAGAATCAGAAGACGAGTATGCTGGCTTAGGCGGGGCGAGCGACGACGACGTCAACGAGGAAGAGAATGAGGATGACCGTGCCATGATCGACGAGGACACTCAGGTCGGGGTCGGTGACGAAGCGAAACTGGCCAAGCTCTTTGCGGACCGAGAGCGGGAGCAAGACGAAGCTGCCGTGTCTAAGTTGATGAAGGATATTACGACTGGCGCGCTGCGACGAAAACGTGGCAACGACGACCTAGATCTCTCGGATGAGGAAGATGCTGCAAACCGACGACGCGAGGCCAAGAGACGAGAATTCGCCAGGATGCGCCGAGAGCTTCTGAAAGATGAGGCGGTGGGCAAGATTGCCGAAGACAAAAAGAAGGAAGCTTTCCTGCGAAGCATCGAAGATCGGGACGTGAGCGACGGAGAAGACGACTTCGACCTGCCAGAAACCCAACCTGAAGACGATTCACAGGAGCAAGCACCAGAATCTGGAAACGAAGGAACGAACCAAACAGGACCACAAACTGCAGACCGTTTCCCTCAACCACTTGAGCAGGCCAGAGAGTCTCGAATCAACCAGGCAAAGCGTGTTATTGGCAGTCGTGCACCTGTTCATCTCACTCGAAAACCGGCTACGTTGGCTGAGATCCGCGAGTCCGTATCGTTTCTGATTGAAGAGCCCGATTCGCAAGCAGCCACGATCGATCTTGGTCTGTCGGATTCTGAAGACGAGCCAGAAGCATACGTCAATTTAGATCGCCACTTTCAGGAAGCCGAAGCCGATGAGAATGCCGATGATGGCGATGACCTAGGTGATTTTATCGTCGACGACGACGATAGCCAGGCCAAACAAGAAGACAACAACGCGGCTGGCTCCTTCAAGAAGCCAAGCGTTCCCTATAGCAAGACTAGGGCTCCGTACTCGGAACGGCGTACAAGGGAGAGACCCAACGTAGTCAACCGGCTGAGCATGCTTCGTCAGGCATCTTCGTCGAGTTCGTCAAGCTCGTCAACGCCCCAGAACAAGATGGCGTTTTACACGTCCACTTCGTCGACAAGTCTGTCTTTTGCTGGCAAAGTCCCGAGTCTTCTTCGCCGAGCCACGACAAATTCCAGTCTCGGCAGTATAGCTGAGGGCGTGTCGGCAACTGGGGTTACTGTTGTGAACAAGAGCAAGCCTGAACGTGGCAAGGCGAATGAGGAAAAGGAGTTTGTGAGGAAGGCTGGTGGCGGGCGAAGAAATGCAGTCAACTACAGGCCGACAATGAAGGAGGAGAAGATGAGCCAGAGAGCAGGGATCGTCAAGAAGAGTGCCGTGAAGAGTAATAAGGGCGGTGATGGCTTTCTGGGCGGGTTGTTTCGACAGGATAGTTGGGCGTGATCTGATTCCCGACCGGTCTTGTCTTGATGAGTGTCATACATAGAAGTAAGAAGTATTGTTATACGGAGTAACGTGGTGCCTCGAAGGTCAGCTAAATATGCCTGGTAGTTTCCAAATTTCAACATGAACATCAATTTTCTGAGCGTGCAGAATGGATGGTGTCACTGGCGTTTGATAAAGGTATAACAGGCACAGACTGTGTACAAGAATATAACATCAACACCCAACGGCCCCCTTTTCTCTATCTCCTCTACCCTGTTTCTTCCAGCTCCGTCATTTTATCTTGGACCCCTTTCGTTCTCAGCGCATCCGACCCGAAGCTAAGTCTGCAAACGTCCAGTTCTTTCCCCTTCCACTTCACGGCCTGTGCGTAATCACGCTTTCTCTCGGCCCACTTTGCCAGACTTCGGTACGTATTGGCCAGCGGCACACCCGCAAGGCACTCCTTGAGGAGCAACTCCTCCAACTTGACCAGCGTACCGAGCGCGGCGTCTGCAGTGTCCCGGGACACGCCGGGCACTGTCTGCGCCGCCGATTCGCAATCATCGAGAGAGCCCGACCGTGCCGAAAGAGAAAGAAACTCCTTTTCGCAGGCCTGCACGATCTTGAAGGCATCGTACATGGCCATTCTCCTCTCGTCGCTCCTCGCCCAGAACTCAGTCTTGGGCTCACACGCCTCACAGCGACATATGAAGCCGTAGTAGATCTGCTGCTTGCGCTGCCTTTTACTTCTGACCTCGAACACGGCCTTGTCGTAATTGCTGCACAGCTCCTTGCCGCGCGGAATGTCCCTGATCGCGTGGAACCGCATCTCGTTGCTCGGTTCGTCGTAACAGAACTGCACGTTCGGCACGCAGCCGTGGTTGATTCGGCTGGCAAACACGCCCACGGCCGACCCTCCTTGTCCGCTGGCCACGTAGCTGTCGCAGTTGTAGCAGTTGCTGTAGTAGATGGACGCGGCGCGGGCCATGCGGGACTTTTGGGCGTCGAACAGCTTGAGGAAGACTTTCTGATCGGCACGAGACAGGAGGGAAAACTCCCGCGCAATGGCTTCCGGGTCGTCTTCTTCGTGCTTTTGGAGCCGGATGAGCGGCCTCTCTGCCAGTAGCAACGTGCCGGCTTTGATTTTGCGCGTCGTGAACACTGCCTGCCCACGATCTGGGGTCGACACAATCTCGAGCAGATCCTCTTGTGGTGGCTGGGCATCGCGTGCCTCTCCTTCATCGAGGTCACTAAGATAAGGCGAGGCACTAGCCGTGTTTGTGAAGGAGCTGGTATCAGTGTGATAAATATGGCCGCTCCCCTCCTTCTTGGATGAGCTTGGCGTCTGGTCTCCCAGAGACAGAATGTCAAGGTAGTGGGAAAGCGCCTGTCGACATGTTGGTCCTGACGTGTTCCAGGTCATGGTATGTAGGCTTGTGCTTACTTGATCCAAAACTGCTTTTCCTGGTGTTGTTCTGACCGTATTCTCAGGGGACACTTGTTTCCCGCGAGACTTGGTTCCTTTCCTGCCCATCTTCGCTTCAGGGTCACTCTGTGGCGAGGGAGCATGGAGCTGTCAGAGACGGGACATTTGGGACGCGGGGACCATCATTGTGGCGTCCATGGCTGCGAAGGCTGTTTGGCAATACATTGTCTGACGATTACGTTGTGAAATGCAGAAAACACATCTGGAGAGCAGGTCTTGAGGATGGAAAGGATAAATATTTTGGTCAGCGGCGGAAGATGAGAGAAACATAACCCAGATAACAGAGGGAGTTGCTAGTAGCTTTTTGTGGATATCTGTCGGGACCCCCAATGGACGCTTCGAAACGACACTTACACTCCACTTTTTCCCGGCCCGAGCGTGCCATGCGTGCATAAAGGCTCAAATGTAATAATATATTCAGTGCCAACAGAGATACGGTCAAGAAATATGAGCAGCCGCGATCAGGGGCTGTTGAGCGTCATCTTCTGAGAAAAGGCACCACAGATTAAGCTCACCCAGGTTATCGATCTGCGACAATGTACCAAGACTACGTTACTCCTCCTCTGTCGAGCTGCAACACCCTGCACGATGCTGTGTCACGTACTTGCATATATCACGTACATACCGGCGAGCTGACCACTGACCCAATTTGCCTTGCGTTGTGTCTTCAAGCCTTACACGCCCTTCTTTCGGGTGCTGCCCGCATACAAAGATACCATTCACAGTCTTTGTATAGCAGGTCGAAAATCCTAGAACCTCCGCGGAGGGCCGTCGAAAGAATTCCCAAGGGTCTGGTCGATGTCCTTCAAAATTTCCGGTGTCAAGCGGCTAGAGAGTTCGACAGCTTGTAGGTTCTCCTGGATCTGTTCTGGGCGTGAGGCGCCTGTGATGACAGAGGATACGTTCGGATTCTTGAGGACCCAGGCGAGGGATAGCTGTGCGAGACTGGAGTCCAGCTTCTTCGCAATGGGCTTCAGCTTCTCGACCTGCTCGAGCTCGAGTTTCCATGTCTCATTGCCAAACGTCTTGCTGTATGCCACCGTGTATTTATCTTTCGCCTGTGAGAGTCGGCTGTCTGGCGGAGGGCTATCCTGTCCGTTGTATTTTCCAGTAAGGATCCCTTGCTTCAGAGGAGAGAAAACCGTCAAACCAAGACCGTATTTTTCATAAAGCCAGCGAAATTCTTCTTCAACTTTTGTACGAACCAAGAGGTTGTATTGAGGTTGTTCAACGACGGGACCAATTAGCCCTAGCCGGCTGGCTACACCCCAGGCATCCGCAATCTCAGTGGCCGACCATTCGGATGTACCCCAGTAGAAGACTTTGCCGGTGTTGATCAAGTAATTGAATGCTCTGACTATCTCCTCGATAGGCGTGTTCCGGTCTGGACGATGAGCGTATACAATATCCACGTATGGCAAGTCCAGTCGTTGCAAAGAGAGGGCGAACCCTTCCAAAATGTGTTTCCGCGAGAGGCCGTTATTATTTAGTGGCCTCTCTGGGTGAGCAGAGTTATTGAGCCCGAAGTACACCTTGAGAGAATGTGTTAGCTCTGTACTCGGGTCAAGTGGGCCATAGAATACCGTTTACCTTCGTTGATATGACGAGATCATTCTGCTTCCATCCAAATTTCTTAATGGCCTTTCCGAGAACTATTTCCGCTCGCCCAGCTGAGTAGTTCTCTGCCGTGTCAAAAAAGTTGATCCCTGCATCATATGCAGTTTTGAAAGCACGAAATGCTTCCTCTGTGTTCATGAAAGTCAGTCGGTGACAACTCTGTGAGAACGTCCGAAGTCCAAATCTTACCTTCATCAACATGACCGCCGTAAGTAATCCAGCTGCCAAGCGATAGGACAGAGACTTGAAGTCCAGTGTGACCTAGATAGCGATACTCCATGCCTGCGTGAAGAGTTTGGAATTGCAATACAGGCAAGAAGAATGGAAGTGAAAGAAATTTAAAGAGAATTTTCTTTATCATGCCGTGAACCAAGTCTAGGAACCAACTAGGATGGCGCTACAGCTCTGACTCCATAATGGCGTGCGACATAGGGTCAAGAAGTCTTGATCTGCCGTGCCATTTATGCGAGTCTTGTATGTTTTGGCCGGGACGGTAATAAAAGTCTGATTCGGGTACCGGGTACTAAGAGCACGAAACTTCAGGTCTCCAAGAATCCAACCTAGACATCCCATATCGAATACAAAATCACCCATGATAACCACAATTTCCTGTTTGTCTTAAACCCCAGGATCTCCGAGTCGCTTCGTCCACTGTGTCTACCTGCGCAATAGCTAAACCTTGCTCAAACTAACTGGGACGGTCTCCACTGCCGCTTCTTCAACACCCCCAGAATTCTCTCGGCCCCTTTGGGCTGCGGACACGCCCACTTCATAGCCTGGATATTTCTGTGTCCTTTTATGCTGGATGTATGCCAATGCTATAGCCGTGCCGGCGAGCAAGAACAAGAAACCTGCAGCGGTGTAGTTTCCAACAATCACCGCAGGCTGATCCGTAGTCTTGAAGGCACCAAGGGGAATTGTTGCAATTGCAGTCCATGCCCACACGTTGAGACCTGCAGAGCCCCAGGCCCGAAGGCCTGGATCGCCTGCTAGAGTATCCTGTGTCCAAGCCCAGAACATACTGTTACTAGCTTGAGCCCATCCGCAGTTGTAATAGAGGAACCATCGGAACGCACGATTCCTAGGGAAGACTGGAGTGCCGGCCAAGATGAGGCAAACAACTGCATTTTGGACACCACCTAGAACAAGCATCGGCCATCGTCTGCCTTTGAGCCAAGTATCACTGGACCAGCACATAAACAACGTAACGACAATGATCACGGCTTGAATTGGTGTTGTGTAGTTATCTGGAAAGGATTAGCAGGTTTCATGATATCGTGCCAAGTAGTATAACGAACTGATTTGAGCAACTGAGTAAGAGTTAGGCTCGATGGTATTCCACGCTTTCAGCCAAAAAGACATGGAGGGAGCAACTTGCTGGCCGACAGAGTTGCAACTGCGCTTCAAAGTTAGTTAAATAACATGACAAGAATTGCGCGATACTTACATCGAAATTACCCAGAGCATCCATATATCCGGAGTCAAAAGCCAGCGTTTGACCTGCGCCCAAGTAAATTTACCTTGCTTAACTCTGCCTTCCTTCGGGTTTCGGTCTCTGGCCAGCTCAATCTCCTGAATTCTAATCAGTACAGACATAGAAAGAGTGTTGATCTAGAGTCGTTTACCTTCTCCGTAAAAACGAAGTCCGGCTTTTGTCGAGCCGGGACGTCAGGGAAAAAGAAGATCTGCGGAATGATGATTCCGACCGAGATAACGCCATCTATGATGAACAGCCACTGCCAGCCTGCCATGCCATGGACACCATTCAACCCTGTATAAGCAGCCGCTTGCAGGTAGGAACTGAACATTGGACCAATAGCTGTAGCGCAATTGATTATGGCAAGCCGTCGAGCAAGCTCTGTCTTCTGATACCATCCACCACAGAGGTATACAACAGCCGAGTAATGTCCTGTCTCAAAGAGTCCGAGTATGAACCGTAGGACATACATGTGGATAGGTTTGGACATGGCTGCCTGGACGAAAGTGCACAATGTCCATCCTATTTCGAGCATGGGAATAAACCATTTCGGATTTGAGCGCGTGAGTAGAAGATTGCAAGGCCATAGTCCTAGGATCTGCCAACAGTTACACAGGCGCTATCAATCTGGAGATGATGGTTCTTACATTCGCGACAGCAAAAGCTGTGTTTGCATAATTGAGTTCCTGACCAGGTCAGCCACAATCGACATCAAGACCAAAGTATACATACATTGCCATAAAGCGATAAATCTTCCTTCATTCCGGAAACAAATGCTGAATTCAAGTTTGAGCTAGCTCGATGGTCAGAACGGCGAATTTGGGCGCGCTTGGGAACTAACCGGTCAATGTATTTGATGAATGTTCCTAGACATCCAAAGCTCATCAAAGTCAGGTCAAGCTTCTGTTGTTAGCAACAAATCAAATTGTTATATAAGATTCTGGTTTACCTTGAATATCAATCTTCTCTCCTATATGCGAAGAGTTTTAGCGAAGTTCAATCATTAGTCTTTGCCTATTTTACCTCTGGCGATTTGTCCCAAGAATCCCATAGATATGACCTCCATGTCTGTCTCTCGCCCGACGATGGCCTGACATATTCGATGTCCTTGCGTTGCACGTTGTCTTTTACTGACTCGAGTGGCATTTTTCATAAGATAGTTTCTCAGCGCTATTCGTGCTGTCTAGCATAGCTGGAGTTATACCCAGATATATTTATACATATCCCTTTATCGCCACTGCCCACGGGATTTCGTCCTTGTATCTGACCTCTACCGAACCGAGAAAATGGGTCTCTAGAAAAATTAGTTCCTTGGGTCGACGCTGGCTCAATGCAATCTACCACCAAAACGGCAGGCTTTGACATAGCTAACGAATTGCACCATCAGCCAATCCCTCGGGAGACACATTGAAGATAGCGAAAACAGATAAAGTAGATATTATAAAGTGGAATTAGCGCGGCACGTTAGGGTCTTGGAGATATATTGTCTGCACTGTCATTAGCTGAGAGGCGATTATGCCATTTAGGCCTCGAATTCATCATTTCGACCACATTTGAGGTGGGATGTTTCGTCGGTCGCACGGCTGATCCTTCCGAGACTGACAGAGTCCGTAATAAAATGAATCGTATATCCACCAAAACGGCAGGCATTGATATAGCTGATGGATTGCACTATCTAGTCCCTTAAGCCTTGGGAGACATATTGAAGATACCGAAAACAGATAAAGTAGATATTATAAGTGGAGTTAGCCCGCAATTATTCGGCACGTTAGGGTCTTGGAGATACATTGTCTGCACTGCCATTAGCTGAGAGGCGATTGTACCATTTAAGTCTCGAATTCACCATTTCGACCACGTTTGAGGCGGGATGCTTTTTCGGTCGCCTGGCCGATCTTGGAAACTCATAGAGTCCGATGAAACGATCGCAAATATAGAAGGTGAACACGATGGGGTCATTAGTTATAACTTCCTCTCACAAGCTACCCCCTAGATATCTACAGCAAACCATCCTCTGCTAAGGACTGGCCAAAATGGGCAGCTTAGGGGAATTCAACGAGTATCGTGGTGGACGAGATTCTGAGGCGTCTGTTCTGGGCCCAGACAGTCCACTTGAGGTGTTCGAGATTCCATCGTCACGTAATGTTCACGGTAACTCGTTTCCTCTCGGCATCCGCCCAAAGCCTGGATATGAATTTCACACGATCGACGAGGCCGTATTAGCCATTGAAACTTTGTCAAAGAAAGGAGCTTTCAATAAGCTTCTGAGAAACCGTGAGTAATGTTCCATATTCCTTTGAGGTACTGTCTAAGAAATTGGATAGACGGCGCACTGTTACTGCGAGGATTACCCACCAAAACAGCAGCGGATTTTGCAAAGGCTGTCAAAGCCTTTCGCCTCCCTCAACAACATCGCGAGATTGGCCTCGCAGGAAAGAGAACATCGGTGAACGATACTGTGAAGACTGCCAATGAAGAGCCGCCCGATGTGAAGTTCTACTACCATTCTGAGTATGGCAGAAGCGCCCATTTTCCAGGAGTGCTGTTCTTCTTTTCAGAAATTGTCCCGCAGCAAGGTATTTATTTCATGTTGGTCATTAACCTGTCACCATTAGCTAATATTGCAAGGCGGTCAAACTCCTCTTCTATCCTCTCTGGAACTCTACGACCGTCTGAAAGCTGAGTTACCAGATTTCTTGCACAATCTAACAACGAAGGGTGCGGTGGCGAACTGCAAACTTGGTATAAGAATCTCGTTGTACTAATGGGAACGCAGGTATTATTGGGCGCCAGTATTTTCCAGCCAAGGAAGATCCAGAAGCTGAACACATAGGATGGAATTGGAAGGTCAGTTCTTTGAAAGACTGATTTTCACGGCTGACTCACCTCTCAATCTTTAGGATTCGTACGGTTTCGACATTCAAGAAGGAGACTCTCAAGAGGTTCAACGAGCCAAGGTAGAGAGAGTTTTGAAGAACAACCTTCAAGCTGATGCCCAATGGCAAGACAACGGTGCTTTGCACGTCCTCCAAAGGCTACCCGCCATTCGACGCGTTGAGTCGACGGGCAAGCCATCCTTTTTCAATGGATTTGCCGGTGTATATGGCCGTGCAAGGGATACCAACGGCCTCGAACCTCCATACAAGGGATCTGATAATAAGTATCATCTTCCCACAACATATGGGGATGGTAGCCCTATTCCGACAGCTTACCTCGACCGCCTACTTGAAATATCCGACGACATCGGATTTTTGGTGCCGTGGGAGGCGGGCGATATTGCCATGATTGATAACTATACGGTGCAGGTGGGTCCATGAGAAGAAGCGCCTTTGATCTGCATATCTAACCAAACTTTCTAGCATGCTCGTTCCCCGTGGGTGGGAAAGAGGTCCCTCCTTGTTAGTCTGTGGGATGGTGTCGAGAAGTTTGTGCCCTATTGACAGATCTGGGCCATTTCTTCCTAAAGGAACAGAACTTGCGTATCACTATTTCCAGAAGTCTCTTCCTATTCGGGAGACTTGAAGAACTACACTACATTAAAGTAGGCGCACTTAAATGCGACATCGCATGTGCTCTGGCACACATCATGTACATTCCTGTAACCACTGGTATCATCGTCAGTATTATAGATGAAGAACTAGAAAAGCGCGTGAGACGCAATGAGTATGGTCAAGAAGTGGCTCAAGGTTCATTTCTGGATGTTCCTGTCAACTGATCTGCTACTATGATGTGCTTCGCAGCACTTGTCAATGGTTGGTAAAAAAATGAAAGAGCTCTGTTTTGAGCTACTAGGGAAATACCCATTCTTCTACTCTTCGCTGAAGAAATTGCTGGTTGGTCAACGCTAATACTTGCTAACTACCTCTGCTCATAGGATGATTGTTTTGCCTATTAGCTCTTCTGTGGCCTTGGTGTCCGGAATTTCCTCACCACTAGCCTACTCCTCGGACACATCGCGCACTTCCTGTTGTTGTTATTGTTGTTGGTGCTGCTGCTGTTGTTGACGTGCTGAATATGCTTGGCGGGCATCTCGAGCATTTCGACAACGACTGACACTGTGAGTAAATTCTCTTTCGCACTTAGTCCTTCGAGTTTGGAGGCGGAGAGTAAGATTTCGACTGTATCTTTCCCAGGAGGCGGTGCTAGGCCACTTTCTGTAAACAAGCGTAATGTCTGATGTAAGGGGTGGAGCACTTGTCTTCCATAAGGAGACCTTTCATGGTCTGAGTACGATGAGGAACAAGGATAAGATGAAAACTCACATAGAATCCGCATCTAAATCACGCGGAAAGACATGACAACAAAGTGTAAACGCTTAGGAAGCCCAATAGTCTTTCTTTTGCCTAAACAATACTCGACTTGATTCATCTTGACGGAAGTAAGTTCTGTCGTGTAAACTCATTTGAGACCTCGAGGTCAAAAAATCAATGGCTTGCTTGAAGACGGCTTCTTCTTCCAGTAGATCGGTAAGGTCTCCTTGTCAACACCGGCCGCCATTTGCGTTACTTCATCGTGTTTGTCATGCATATCGATTCGTCGTTGAGTAATCAACGCACGATCAAATAATATCTTTGGAATGCGGTGAGCACAGGGCGGCATCACCACGTTACCAAAGGAGGGTGAGCGGCTGTGGAATTACCTCGTGCTGGCACCATTGCTGCTATACACGGGACCACAACTGATATCTTGATATATGTCACCCTGCAATACGGTCGATAGTGCGGCCCAAGTGCAGCCTACCTCCGTTCAGGTGGATTCCGTCTTGGACAAGTAGTTTAGAAAGCCGCCTGGGTTGCCTCGCTGCATTGCTAGCCCTGTGCGTTGCCGACCGACAAGGCCTTCCAAGATCTGCCTCTAACGAGATCGGAGATTCTTAATCTCCTAGGTACTTTGTGGACAATCCAACGAAGCGTCATGCATAACCTTGGAAGCGTTGCCCACCAGGGAATATAGGACGTCCCGTAACTTGTCGATCTGCGAAGGCATGCTGACAGCGAGAGATGGCATTAAAGCACTGTCCTCGTAAACGTTTGGGTGGATCGCCTCTGGAAGCGAGTGGTTTGGAGACACGAGGGACGCCATCTTCGCAGAGATTTGGGAGATCTCTTTCTTGACGTCCAGCTCGTCCGGGCAAATTTGGACCTGTTGCCACGACTTGACAGAGGTCCTGGCTAGCACCGCTGCAATGCCATTGTTCCATAATTGAATACCAAAGAGCGCAAACAAGACACATCTCAAAATGCCTTGCGGGATATCGATGTCTTTAGTGCTCAAGCGAGGTCCATGGTCTTTAATGGCCCAGCCATGAGGTTCCAAATTCCATTGGTAATTCGATAAAGTAGGGAAATGTGCAATCGCATTCCCATATGTAGGTCGACTTCCATACAGCTCACTTGTGAGACAGGCGCCATCCACAGAACTACGTCGGAAAGACACCAAAGTCGTACTATATAAAGGCCAAGGCCTTTACTACCTTCGGCAGCTAGTATTGGGCCTAGCTTTTGAAGGGAATAATAGAATAATCGCTTCACACCGGTCTTCGGTTGGAACAAAAAGATTTGAGACTTCTGACAAGGGCATTTCGGTTCGGACAAACAGCAACGGATGTCAGGGGTGCCGCGAACCGATACTCTAGGGCTAGAGGACTTTGGCAGTGACGCTTACCTTCAGCACACTGTCCACAGATGGGCTTCCATTCATATCATTTGATGCGTTTCTTTCTGCACAATACGGCCACTCTATCCATAACAGAATCTCAAATATTTGGTTGGGGCAATGTATGGTAGTAGCGGGCGCTACGACCAGCAAGGACTTGGCTCTCAGGAGGTAGCAAGAGGATAGAGCCGTTCAGAGCTGAACAAGTCCACGTAGAAGCCCATTCTGTATTCTGACGGTGGTCAATACGCCGAAACATGAATGTTCGCATTGCCGATAGCATGTCGGGAGAGGATTCAGCAGTGCCAGTCGGTATTGAACATCTGCATATGTGGACAAAGATACAGGCGACGTGAGGGGGTCCAGGATGCTGAGAAAGCTGGCTGTAATATAGAATCAGAACGAACGAAGCGTTGGCAGTCTTTGCCCCTGAAAGGCCCAAAGTGATGCCAAGCACTCACGTGCTGCTGTGATTTCGGCCCCTACACATAGTATGTAACAGCGATCAGCTTCGAGGTAAAAAGAATACACCATCTGCTCCCAGGCTCGCTGAGGTATCTAAGGATCCCCTACTTGAAAAGTTCTTCTTCTCTTGAAGCATACTTGAAGTGCTCTAGGACTAAATTTCTGTGCTGCTTGTCAGAAATCTAACATAGCTGAATTTCTGAGCTCTCCAGTCACAACACAAGATCTCCTGCTCAACATGAAAGCAGTATTACAGCGGGTGCTGTCAAGCTCTGTCGCCGTCAATGACCAGGTTGTTTCTGCCATCGGCAAGGGCATCCTAGTCCTGGCTGCAATCGGTCCCCACGACTCCAAGAAAGATGTGGAATCCATGGCTGCCAAAGTCCTCAAGATGAAGCTGTGGCCCGATGAAAATGGAGTCAACTGGAAGAACAGTGTCCAGGACATAGAAGGCGAAATCCTCTGTGTCTCTCAATTCACACTGTTTGCTTCAACCAAGAAAGGCAACAAGCCAGACTTCCATGGGGCAGCCAAGCCAGAGATTGCGAAGGAACTGTACGACTATTTCGTCTCTCGAGTTCGCGACCAATACCGAGCAGAAAGAGTCAAAGATGGTGTATTCCAGGCGATGATGCAAGTCAGTCTTGTCAATGACGGGCCCGTCACGCTTGAGATCGATACAAATTCCGCAAAGAAAGAATCCGCCGCGAGCACCAAAGAACCGACACCGATATCAACCCCTGCGCCAGAAAACGCCAATTGATGATGGCCGTGTTATTCCATACGCCCCGGGCATCTTTTCTCGTAGTTCGACTTGCAGACGGCAAAGTCCACCAAGGAGAAGCCCGCCCAGGCCCGAGCTCCATGTCCTGCAGATACCCGACTGTCAGCAGCCATTAGGCGTATTGACTACGTAATACGGGCGTCCAGCATTCGGCCAGTAACGGCGGAGGCTGCAAATCCGTTCGTCCAGCTTTGGATAGCTGCCATTCCTGGCCTAAAGCACAACGGTGATGTGCACCACGATTGGGCCTGGGATGAGGAGTTCTTATCAAAAGCCCAGCGCCCAGAGCATCGCCAAATCAATGACGAGCATCGCCCGACAACTGCCTATCGCTGTCCATGAGGGGTAAAACACGATCGCCGAAGCCCCGCAGCCAAAGTAAACAATTTCGATATGATGTGCATGCTGCTGCACCGAAGAGCTGCGAGTACCTGGCGCACTCCTGCTCGTATAGCCACACCATAGCCTCGCCTATACTTGACCGCGGAGTATAACCTTGTCGTCGAGCCAAAGTCGAATTCGGGTCTCTGTAAGCAGCGTCGATCAACCATGCCCGGCAAGATCAGAACCGCGCTGAAAGTCGACCTCGACACGCCGGCCAAAGACCAGCCGTATTTGCATGTAAGCCAAAGTCACAGAAATAGTACAGGACTTCGCTGACAAACACCCAGAACAGATGGCACCCTGATGGTAGCGCCCATGCAGTTCTTCGCTCCAAACCCCGCTGACCACGCCTCCAGTCCCCTTCTGTGGCACGATCAAGAATGGAGAGACCGTCAAAATCGAATGTCTGGACTGGACAGGCGGACAGATCAAAAACAACGACAGTGCTGACGATATCAAGAATGTCGACCTGACCCAGATTCACTACCTCTCCGGCCCGTTCGAGATTGAGACGGCTGAGCCCGGAGACGTTCTACTGGTTGAGATCCAAGACGTCCAGCCCTTCCAAGACCACCCGTGGGGATTCACAGGCATTTTTCACAAAGACAACGGGGGCGGGTTTCTAGATGAAATCTACCCGGAGGCGTATGTCACTTACCTTCAACCCCCCTGGACCCAGCCTGCCCCATTGCACATGTCCACATACTGAAAGGATAGGTAATCTAGGGCGAAGGCCATCTGGGATTTCGAAGGCATATTCTGCTCGTCCCGTCACATCCCTGGTGTTCGTTTCGCCGGCCTCATCCACCCGGGTATCCTGGGCTGCGCCCCTTCGCACGAGATCCTCGCCGAATGGAACAAGCGGGAAGCCGAACTCATCTCGACGTCGTCCCTGTCGCGCATCGTCGCTCAACCGCCCCAACCGATCAATGTGCACGCCGGAACTGCCGACGAAGCGACCAAAGAGCGTATCGGCAGGGAAGGAGCCAGAACGATCCCAGGTCGTCCTGAGCATGGCGGGAACTGCGACATCAAGAACCTGTCGCGCGGCAGCAAAGTCTACCTGCCTGTTCATGTCAAGGGTGCCAAGTTCTCCGTGGGCGACTTGCATTTCTCTCGTATGTTCCAACCAACCCACGCCCGCACCTTTTGCTGTAGCAGTTGTTTCGCCACCACGGCTTCTCTGCCGAACGTAGCAATGATATGTCGACGTGTTGTTTTTGTGTCCTACTGACATGCCAATATAGAGGGTGATGGCGAGATCTCCTTTTGCGGCGCCATCGAAATCGCCGGCGAAATCACCATCAAGTTCGAAGTCATCAAGGACGGCCAGAAGAAACTCGGCATGGTCGGCGGCAAGTCGCCCATCTATATCCCCGGGCCTGTGCAACCGCAATTCGGCCCCGGTCGGATGATCTACTTTGAGGGTTTCAGCGTCGACGAGAACGGCAAGCAGCACTACATGGACGCCACGGTGGCGTATCGCCAATCGTGCCTGCGCGTCATCGAGTACCTTCGCCGCTTCGGATACAGTGACTACCAGGTCTATTTGATGCTGAGTTGCATCCCTATCGAGGGCCACGTCGCAGGGATTGTGGACGTAAGTACTCCATGTTCAAAAGTCACCGAGAAGAGCAAAGATGACTGACTGACTTGCCCTTTTCTTGATGCGGCTGATAGATTCCAAACGCGTGCACCACCATCGGTCTGCCAATGGATATTTTCTCGTTTGACATCTCGCCATCTGCCGAAGTGAAGAAGTTGGATCTGGGGGCGTGCGCCGTGGCGAGCAAATAGGGACTTTTGACGCGGAGAATGCCTATGCGTGCCGTTGGGACGAATGATTAATCAAGGTTAAGTGCAACAGCTGCAAAGGTCACGTTGGAGATTGTGGTCTTGCAGCACTTGTTGTTGGACACGAACTCGTTTTCTTTAGTGTTGCAGCTGTCGGTCTTTTTACTTTGTACCTTCAGCGTGGCCCTTAGCAGAGGAGATGCGATTTGAAGCACCCCAACTAACGTGAAATATATAATTTGAATCCCGGGGAACCAACGCTACTTATAAGTAGAAGCGCTGCTCATCCTCTCAAAAAGCTCAGACCGTACACCGTGCCCAGTTTCGCGCCCATGGCCGTCCAAAACCAAAGGCTCCTCAAACTCTGCGTAGGAGAGTGCATTAACCCATTGATGTGCCACGCCGATGTAGCAACCGCGCCAACCCATGCAACCGTGGTGTACCATTCAAGGAGACCGACGTACCCCAGCGCCAGACGATCCGCAAGGAGGACTTTGAGACACGTGCGGTCGTAGATCAGGACCTCAGAGGTAGTAGAGCAGGTGGCTTGGACGAATGAGTCGAGATGGCCAATGCCTTGTTCGTCGCCCCCAGAAGTAGCCCGTCCACGAGAAGGGAAGACGAAACTTTGTAGCGCTTCCATGGCGACGAGAAAAAGGCTGCGTCCGGACCGAAGGCGGTGATTCACGCGAGCGAGCCGACTCTCTCGGACTGGCACAGACAGCGCAGGGAGAGGAGGCGGCGCTTTCATCGCCCCGACAAGCGCTTCACGAACGCTACTCACATCCGAGACGTGGACCATGGCCTGGTCCTGTTGCGGACTGAAACAGAAGCGGTCGAACGTGGTGAGGAGATCCGGCTCACGGACCATTTCGGTATAGAACGCAGGCGTGACGATTCTGATCTCGACATGTGCCGTTCCTGATGCACCAGCAGCACCATTCGCACCGGTGTCGCTCTCTTTGACGAGGTGTACAGGCTTGCCTCGCCCTTCCCCGGCAGCAGGGATATACGTAATCCTCCTCGTTCCCGATCTCGACGCCATTTGTTCCAGAACGCGACGGAAGAAGGGTTCAAGGATTCTCTCCTCGGCCGTCTCGTTGCGTCCGATGCTGCTCTTCTGAACCTCGGGCCGGTAAAAGACTTGTAGCTTCTTCGTCCATAGTTTGCGCGCTTCTCGCAGGATCCGCGGGTTCGTCATGAATCCGACCCACCACCACCGCGTGACGAAAACGAGACTCTGCAAACGCGACATCCGGAATGGATCGAGGCCGGCGGAGGTGGAAAAGACTCTGGCTACAATCTTGGGCTTGCCCTCCTCAGAGTTGAGCACGATGGTATTGTCGATTTCGACACCGGTTCCATGCGCTCCAGAAGACCCGGTCTCGGTCTCGTTCTCGTCATCAAAGGGATCGGTGCACGTCAGGCTATATGAGCCATGTCGGTCATTGAAGGGCGAAACGTGGAAGTCCTTCTCCCAGTGATCCGTGAACTTGGATTTCGACGTCGTCGCGCTTTCGTCGTCGGCGTTGCGTGGCAAGTAGTAGATCCTCCGCTCGTCGAATGTGTTGTTGACTTCAAGGATCATGGCGCCGAGACGACCGTGGTGGTCGTACAGATACCAAAAGGACACCGGGTTGAACGAGAAGCCGCAGAATCTGGGCGCCGTGACGAGATACGCGGAAGGATATCGTGTACGTTCAACGCCTTGACTTTCCAGGAAGTTGTCAAGCTTTCCACGAAGACCGTCAACATGAGGCCGCCCTCCTCGTCCCAGGTAGTCGTCTGCGTGGATGGAAAACCACCCGCACCGGCCTCCGTGTCCAGCACCAACGGCATCCTTGGCCTGATGGGAGCAATCTGAAGAAAGAACGTGTCCGGCCGAGCCATTCCATCCAACGGGTACGCCGACGAGTAGATACGAATAAGAAAACGAGTGCCTTGCAGGGAACAGGCGAGTGTGGGTTGTGCGACTCTCGAATATCCTCGGCGCAAGACCAGGCTTTTTGTCCCAAGAGCATCCCGCACCAACACCGTCATCCCCGTCTTTGATTGCCAGCGCCGAGGATATGCTGGTAGAAGCGCACCACAGGCCCGATAGAAAAATCACGCCCAGACCTGCTGGGGAGACTAGGTGCCTTGAGACGGTCAATGTACATATCCCTGACCAGATTTCCTTCGAATTGAAAACGGCCAGGGCGAAGCATATTGCCTTCAGATTTCGGCAGATATGTTTGAACTGTGGTTTGCGTTGGCAATCCTCATGCTCGATCGGCCCAGCCATCTGCGAGCGAGACGACGCTCCTCCGTCTCCTCCAGAGCCTAAAGCTCAGCCAGCATCAACTCGAAGTACCAAGCTCTCAGAGTATATGCCATCATTGTCACCTGAAGTTGGAGCAACAACCGTTTGGCGAGAGTTTCAGGCCTGGCGGCAATGTCTGATGGATGGCCGGCCAGTGGTGGGACCCTTTTGCATCCAGGCTTTGTGCGTTAGAGGCTGTCACAGTGATGATTTATCGGACAAGTTCTGGAACGAGAAAAGATACAACAGAGGAAAGCTAGATATTTTACACGAGATATGAGCATGGGCACGGGATACGACAATCTGCGGTTATCAGTGTTCAAGTGTTGACGTCAACACTCTACGGGTCTCACAACAAACATAACAAGCCTTGTATACCAGATCGTTAACCAAATTCCACCTAACATCTAGTCGAGGATTGTCATCATCGTATTGAAGAAGAATCTAGGCACACGTAGCCGAAATTTGGGTGCGGATGGGCCGAATGAGAGTTACAGCGTTTTACCCTGGTGCAACGAGTTCCCAGTAAGCGCTGACAGTGGTGGCTTCAACTTCTTCAACGTCAGGTGGGAGTGGCCACTTTGTAGCTTGGCCTTTCAAGAGAAGTCGAGCGCCAGGACGAACATTTGTCATATCAAGCCTGTGTTCCAGGCCGGCTTTCTGCTGTTGTTCTGGCAGAAGCCATTGTTTTCCAGCCGTGTCCGTGACAAACAAAAATCGCCCGCTATCATCGATTCTTGCTTGAGAAATAGTGATGCTCGTCTCTGCAAGTGCGACAGACTGCAAGTCCTGAGCAGCAATCCCAAGCACCCACCGTCTCACCTGTTCTGCAATCCCGCCAGGAATGTACTCTCGTTTTCCTTTGCGCTTGGAGGGAGAGAAAACATCCGGGAGGAGAGAACCGCTAGCTAGGTGTGCCGAGTGGTCTTTCTGTGGTTCTACTTTGAACGCATTCTTAGCTTGCGCAGACGACTCTGTATGTCTTGGTACCTCAGACCGGAAACGAGTGGTCTTCGATATTTCCCCATAGGGAGGTTGGATCATGCTATCCTCGAAATCTTCAAAATCCGAGTGCGAAGCTTCAGAAGATGGAGCTCTTGATGCGTGATCATCACTTTCAGACCCGGGAGAGGACGAAACAGTGATTGGCTCTACGGGCCTTTGACCAGGGTGACTCGTCTTGCGCTTTTTCGCCGGAGGCGCAATGATCTTGTTCCGGTAGAGCAGCGGTGATGGAACTGGGAGGACATCCTCATCCACATCGATCAGATCTTCCCCGTGAGTATTGACGAATGTCCCAGAGATGATTGGCGACTCCGTCTCGTCTTCGAAACTAGTGTCTATCTCATCTTTGTCCACAGGCTGTTTTTGAAATCGCGGAGTGGCAGGACGAGAGGGGTGGGAGGAAGTGAGTTGGGTTGAGCGCGAACTTTGGAAAATGATCCTGCGCGTCGATGGATGGGTAGTCGACCTGGAAGCAGAGGCTGTGGATGGTGGGAGAAAGCGCTTGGACGAAGGCGGAGGAGTCTGCCATGCCATCAGAACAACTTCAGACTTACCATGACGGCAATTACATTAATGTCTTCGGGCATGTGTCAGGGTGAGCTGATATCAGAATGCAGCTATCTGTCGAATACAGGGGCGGTTCTGCAGTCATCAGGAAAAAGATGTTCAAGCTGAGTTCACAGATACGAAATCCGTTGAAACTGCGTACATGAAGTCGATTCACATCACAGCCTTGTCTATTGACAGCCTCGTCGCGACCACAAGCCTTGGCATTCTTAAGTGCCTGATCAGCCTGATAACAAATTCTTACTGAGGACGCCTTGCATGTACGGATCGGTTCCTGACAGATTGCATACATGCATACTACCTAGCGTTACAGAAATTGGCTAGGAATACACCAGGCAAGCAAGCAAACCTCACCACCAAGAGAGCGACAGGAATGCTGTGAGACATGAGGAATGTGGACTCCAACATCCCTAACGCTGCCTTGAATGTACGGATTGGCTCCTGACAGACTGCCTACATGCGTGCACCCCGGCATTACGGGAACTGACTACAAATGCACCAAGCAACCCACGAAACAGGCAGCCAAGCAAACAAACAAACCTCACAATGTACGAAGCCTTGTCAGGACAGGAATGCTTTGTGACTCGAGGAATGTGTACTTCAGACATTCCTGACGACGAGTCGGACGGTTGCCCCACGCGTCACTCACTATTGTTTATGTATACGCCGTCGATAAGTACCTGCCTCTGGCCCTCACTCCTTGCAAAAATGCTTGTCCTTTCTCATGCCATCCCGCAAGAACGAGAAAGGTGTTGTCGCTGGCTCACCAGGGCAATCATCCTTTAAACCTTGGCCAACCCCCCGTCGTCTTCTACCAGCTCCAGCTCCTTATAATCGGTCAAATCATCGGTCAAGTCAGTCTTTGAAAGACGATCAAGGTCTACTGTTTCTCCAACAAAGTCAAGGCTCCCAACAACACTCCCCGTCAGCTCCACGAACATGTTGCAGAGGAGATCAGTTTTGCCATCCGATCACAGTTGGAAGCCTTGAAAAACAACGCCCAAGAGAAGACGGCTCAGCTTGCCAAGACCATCTACGATATCGGGTCTGCGAAGACTTCCTTTTCCGAGTCGTACCACGGGAAAGAATAATGAGAAGAGACCTGATAAATCGTATGGACACAAGCCATGTAAAGGTCACCCTGCTCTCGTTGTCGGAGTGGCATGGTCTCAAAGACGATTAGATCTGCCGAAATTGGCCAAGCGATATATTCAGGGCAGCAAAGGTAAGGTTCGAACCGTGGTCGGAATTGATCTCGAATATAGACGTGATCCCGAGGCTGCGATACCTGCCAGCTACTCGGTGTGGAGGGCGGGCAGGGACAAGGACAAGAAAGGCTCACCATCAGTTGGGGAACCTGAGTTCAAGGTAAGCGGCTCAACCCTCAGCTCCTCACTCTCTGACGAGTAATTCCTAGCAATTTCGGCAAGGTGGCGGCGAAGTCATTCCCCTGGCCGACCTGCACCTTCCGCTGGCAGATTTCGTGTGTCAAGATTGCGCAGACTCCTTCGCTGATGTAACAGAAGAGATTGTAATACCGGTGACCCTCCTCTGCGAGGCTATAACCTTTGGAGAGGAGCTCAACCTTGACTCCAAGCAGGCGTCAAACACTACTACGACACCGGCGTCCAGGAAGCGCACCAAGGCCAGGGCCTCGATCGCAAATACTTTGCCCAAAATCACACGAAGCATGTCAAAACCGAGAAGCTCTGCGCGGCTTCAGACTGCCCAGGCTGAAAACCAACGTCCCACTTGATGACCTTTCTCGTTAAAATGAAGAAGGGCTCCGAGTAATATACTACAGATGCAATCCCCTGTCTCAAAATGGGACTCTGCTTCATTGTTTGCTTCTGTGCTTCATACCTATGAAGTTCACCCTCGTCGTATTCGTATTGATGCCACTATTCAGAGTGGAAGGCCTTATATCAGATATAGAGACCTAGGTATATTTGCCCCTCCTCCGTCTTACATAGCCCTCAATGCTACACCGGTCTTTCCTTTGAGAAGCTCATCATAAGTCCTACCATTCCTTCGGGAAGTGAGCTTCACTGTTCTGTGATAACAGTCGGTAATCGCGCGTTTTGATATCATCTCTACCAGTTAAAGAGTATCCACACCGGTCCCAATCTTCTGGACAGTGACGACAATGGACAGCAGCATCCCTTCAACGAGCACCATCCCACCAGTTCCACATCTGATCGCCTACGCCATAGCCGTGATGCTCATAGGCGTCTTCATCGGCGCCCTGGTCATCCCCCACACGATCGCCGCCGCCGCATGTTTCCCAGAGCCCGCAGGCAAGCCGATGAATGTCTTCTTCTACCTGTTCGCCGTAAGGGAGTTGTGTCTGGGTGTGGCGTTGTTGGTTTCATGAGCTACAATGACTGGCGATCGGCGACAATCTTGCTCGCCTGTGTCGGGGTCAATGGCATCTCGGACTTTTTGATCTCAGGGCTCCATGGCAAAGGAGGCTGGTGGGAATCTTTCTGCAAACACGGCATTCCCACGCTCGTCGGGTATTGGAGTGTCTGGAAGTTGTGGCAGGAACATTTCTAAGAGTTGAGTGTTGACGCGGGCTGAAGAACGGCAAATTGGGATGAGGAGTGTCTGAAGACGAGCTGAGTGCAATCAATGTCGAGATGTATTACCCTGGATACTCGGAAATCGGTAAGATGAGAGCATTCGAATCACGAAACGTTGGATGTCATAGACCTTGTTGCTATTCCCGCGAGCGTTGTTGAGTCCGGATGAGTAACTGGTGTTCGTCTCATATGTAACTTCAATACAACCATTGACCCTTTAGCTCAGTGCCTGGCTAAGATACTGTAATGCCAGTGAAAAGTACATGTGAGGCCCAGCGAGTGGATTAGCACACGACAGACTTCGTTGTCCTCTCCAGGGCATCTCTACCCGGGAATACCAGAGGCATGTGCCCGGCACCTTTTCCAGAGATCCGCACAAGCAGAAGCAATGCAATGCAACCGCTTCGTCTCAAGGGGAATAACGTCAAATTAGCCACCAGGACTGCTCCCTGCGTACCAATGCAGGCATATGTAAGCGGCCAAGCGACCAGGGAACAGTCTGCTCCAACCAAAAGGCCCAGAGTCCCGAGCAGCAGCCTCACCCGCATGTGGGCGCTGTTAGCCTGGTGTTAGGTACCACCGCTGCAGCTTGATCGACCAGATAGTGTTGCAGAAGGTCCAGGTGTCACGGTTCAAAGGAGGATCCCTCCTCCACCTACGCAGCCACGAACGATGGTGCAATATCTCGCCTATCGGCGGGGCCGCAGAAGGAAGATCAATTTGAAGCCTTGAAGTATTAATACTATCGAAACCATGGCTGTTCGTTGATCGTCTTCACACCTGTGCGATCTTTTGTGTTGTTTCTCGCACCTCCAGGATGGCCGACGACTCCAAAGTGGCGGTCGATGCCTCGCCTTCAAATGACTATCGCAACAGGCTGGGGAGTGAGATCGCCGTTGGTATCGACGACTTGAGCGCCATCCCCAAAGGCACTATCGATCCAGTGTACGAGGCGAAAGCCAGGGTTCTTAACCGAGCGATACAAGACATTGGCATGGGATGGTATCAGTAAGTTTCACTCCTCTTCGACGCCCGTATCTTTCAAGCGGCATCCTCGACACCCCGACATTGTTATGCTCTTGGTACCAAGCTCTCTTTTGCGCAACCAACTAATGCACCCTAAAGATGGCAATTGTTCATCGTCGTCGGCTTCGGCTGGGCGAGCGACAATCTATGGCCCATTGTCACGTCGCTCATTTTCACCCCGGTCACCAACGAGTTTGGCCCAAGCAGACCACCGTTGTTGACTTTGGCGCAGAACATTGGTCTCTTGGCTGGAGCCATGTTCTGGGGATTCGGATGCGACATCTTCGGCCGTCGCTGGGGGTTTAACCTCACACTCGGCATCACGAGCGTATTTGGTCTTGTTGCTGCGAGCGCTCCCAACTTCGCGGCCATCGGATGCTTTGACGCCCTGTGGTCGTTTGGCGTGGGCGGAAACCTCCCCGTCGACTCTGCCATATTTCTCGAATTCCTCCCCGGATCACACCAGTACCTCCTCACCGTCTTGTCCATAGACTGGGCACTGGCGCAACTACTCGCGACTCTCGTGGCGTGGCCGATTCTAGGCAACCTGACCTGTCAGGAGGACGAGGAGTGCACGCGCTCCAAGAACATGGGCTGGCGATACTTTGTGATAGCCATGGGAGGTCTGGCCATGGTCATGTTTTTCATTCGGTTTGTCCTATTTACGATCTACGAGTCACCGGTAAGTCTTTGCTTTCCTTTCCTTGGTCGTTCTCCTATCTCATCCCGTCGTCATCCTCATCCGGAGCAACCAAACGAGTGTTTCTGTGTCTGACGCGTCCAATTTTTATTTCAGAAATACCACATGGGTAAAGGCAATGACGCCGAAGCGGTGCGCATCGTGCACGAGGTCGCGCGACGCAACGGCAAAACGTCGCCTCTGACCATCGAAGACCTCAAGGCCTGCGAGGTCCTCGGCAACGGACGAACGCAACAAACCACGGCGACAGCCGCGATCAAGCGCAACCTCGAGAAATTCAACCTGACACACGTCCGCGCTTTGTTCGCGACCAAGAAGCTGGCGTTTTCGACCGGCATGATCATGGCCATCTGGGGCTTCATCGGGCTGGGGTATCCGCTGTACAACGCGTTCCTGCCGTACCTGCAGGCCATCAAGGGCGCCGAGTTCGGCGACAGCTCCACGTACATCACGTACCGCAACCAGGTCATCATCGCGGTGCTGGGCGTGCCGGGGGCGCTCCTGGGGGGCGCGATGGTCGAGATCCGCGGGTTCGGCCGCAAGGGCACGCTCTCCCTCGCCACCGTCGCCACGGGGGTGTTCCTGTACTGTTCGACCACGGCGACCTCGTCCGACGCCCTGCTCGGCTGGAACTGCGCCTTCAACTTCACGAGCAACGTCATGTACGCCGTCCTGTACGCCTACACGCCCGAGGTGTTCCCGACAAAGGACCGCGGCTCCGGCAACGCCCTGTGTGCCACCGCGAACCGCGTCTTTGGCATCATGGCCCCCATCATCGCCATGTTTGCCAACCTCGAGACCACGGCCCCCGTGTACACGAGCGGCGCCCTGTTCATTGCCGCCGGCCTGATGGTTATTGTTCTGCCCTACGAGTCTCAGGGGAAGGCGAGTTTGTGACACCCCCTCAAACACATTTGGTGGACGATTATCGTGGACTGGTATCCCCCCCCCGGCCCGCACCCTTCAACTACATGTAAACGAGCATCAAAAGGGCTATATGGTTCTCCTTCTACCCGTCTGTCGTCTGGATTTTGTCTTTTTGGGAAAGAAAAGCAACAAAGACATACCTGAGGCAGGATGTAGCATTGCTTCCTACAGGCAATTACTCCTCACCCGCACGGCATTCGCGGCCCATGAGAACGGTTCACGGTCTTTCTTTGGGACGCACAAATAAAAAACATCATAGGTAATCAAAATATACATTGAAGCAATCTTTATCTCTGCCTTTTGCCGCACTTACATTACTCATACGAATCAAGATAGGAGATGAGAGAGAAATAATCCCTCCCCCGTTCTGCCCTCACTCCATCGTGACTCGCTTGTTGCCATCCCGTATATATATCCCGTCTCATGGTAGTTCTGTCTCCCCCTGCGCCTTGAGACTACAGTTCTACCTACCTAATACCTAGTAGGCAGGCAGGTAAGGGGTGAGTCCGTGACCTGTTCGTTGTTCATACTCCGTTAAAGCCTCGCCCTGGGCCTTTCCAGGAACGTGGAGTGTGGCGATTTGAAAGCCCATCATTTCTTCCGAGTGTCTTTGCCTCCTCGAGGACCATAAGTCTCGGTTAGATAGGCATCTAGCCCTGACTGAAACGTCCGTCTCCGAGATACTTGCGCCGAGGTCTCTGGCTCTGGGGTCGTCTCCATCCATTCCCTGTGTCGTCTCAGACTAGTCTCACGGTGAGTAGTGGTAGAACGATTGCTCCCGTCGACCTCGTAGGCGTCGTCTGAATCCTCCCCCGTGTCAACATGACGATAGTACGAGTACCGACTTTGCCCTCTCTGCTCCTCACCCTCATCATCAGCAGACATGTTACCTTGAGCCGGACTGACCGGGTGGAGATGTGAGTGTAATGATGGTGGTGGTTGTGATGACGGCGGACATCGCGTCAAATTCGAATATACGTCAGGACTGCTGACGGAATCCGCAAATATGCACTGGACGCCAGCGAAGATGCAGCGGTTGAAGTACTGATCACCCTTGTAGCTTCGGTCGCCGATCCCACCTAGTCTCATGGGCCGGAGGACTCTGGCGGCAGCCGAACAGCGCGCGCAGTATTTGTACGCAAACCCAAACACGGGCTTGCTCGGGCCGGGCAACGGGTGTAGAACGGAGACGGTTTGGAAGAAGCAGGGGCACGTGTGCCAGCTGGTGCGCTTGTATAGTTTCGCCGTCTTGAGGGCCAAGGGTTTCAACTGTGCTTGATCCGGATCTGACGAGTTCTTGTATGGGTTTCTGGAGAGGTATGAGAAGAGAATCTTTGCGTCTGGCCCGTCGTTGGCCGGCCTTTGGCCCTGTCCTGTGGCGATCGAGTGCAGGACGAAAGGACACAGAGGGAGGAATAGATTGCACATACTTGAGGATCGTCAGTGGGTTGAAAAGGCTATACGATCATGTATACAATTATGGGTTGATGTGGAAATGCATACAGTGTGATGATGAAGTCTGCGTGTAGTTATCGCTCAAAGGAGAATTGGGAAGGGCAGAAGAACTTTCAACGAAATTTCGGCTCCTCTCCTTTGGAGGGGATTTGGCCTCTTGGTTCATGCTTTTCTGAAAGTTCCTCTGGGTTTCCAGTCCCTCGATATAGTCAGGCAGACATTGGACTGAGACGTCAACACCAGAGCCAAGGATGGATCGCGCAGAGGAGGCTCAGCAACCTGGCGCCCGCAACCGGTGACTGTGCGACGGCAGAGTTTCATTGGCCAAAATCAGCATGGCAAGGCAAGGCGAACGGTTGCCTAACTTTGCCCACTGACTTGTCTCAACGGCAGACATCATATCTCGTATTGGGCAGCTCAAGAGCTGGGACGGGATGCCGTGGTGACAGACGACGACAATGCGATGAGCTCAATGGCGCAACACTCACCAGATCATCGGCTAAGCACCAGTCGACCATGATCTCTGGGTGAAAGACTTGAGCTGCAGAACAACGCGTCATGCATCACTCGTGCCCAGTTTCTGTGGCTAATGATGAGGGGACACGATGGCGCAGAGGCACAGAAGCACAGCGGCCTCAGTTCAGTGCTGGAAAGACGCGAGGGCCCAAGAGCCTGGTGTGAGGGTGCTGAGATAGATCCTGCTGCGAGACGAAGGGCGAGGAAGAGGCTCGGGTGTTACTGGACAGTCACTATTTTTACGGCGCAACTCACGGCAGCGCAAGTTTGGGTTCGCCCAACAACACCAACACCTGAGAAACTCCCAGACTCACCCACTCGAAGGTAGCACTCGGTACTTTCAATATTGCACGATTTGGTGAATTACGCGTCCCTCTCCTCGCAGTGGACATCATGAGGTATTTACGGGCTCGAACTCACTCGCTCCTCCGACAAGTGGCAGGTGAATCCTTCTCACCATCAGTCGACTTGTACACCGTCCCTCGCTCAGCACAATAATTGAACCTACTCAGCGATCGACAAGCAATTTCCATCGCCCTCGCTTGTGGGCGCCCTCGCATTCTCGCTTGGCTGCACTTCGTATCTTCGGTTAGATGGGCGGACAAGGCTGCTGTTGCCAATGGCGCCCTCTGAGAACCGTCGGCCACGCATGCCAGTGGCATCGCTACCGGCGACCGCTATTGATACAGCAAGCCCGTCTCTATCAGACTATCGGCTGCTTGGGTGGCATCCGGCATCCCCGCTCGAAGCGCTAGAAAGCTTCGGCCAGGACGGCTGCTACAAGGCTTATCTCCCCGCCATTCAACAGGTCCCAGTCTCTCCTCCAACCATTGCCCTCCGGGCCATGCTCAATCTAGAAGCTGTTTAAACGTCGACCAATCTCTACTTCTGGCTCGAGCGGTTGCTTCCCTTCGGTCCTGGCCCCGATCGACCTGCATTCGCCCTAATGCCAGGGCTAAGCAAAGCTTCTATAATGCGATGCGACCTTGCAGAGCTGTTTATCTGTGGTAGCTCGTCGAGAAAGGCAGTTCATCTACATCGCTAGCCTAAAGAATGACGTTCATGATCTTGGTGTTCTTTCAAATGCGCGTCCTCGGCAGAATCAAGGCAAGCGGCGTGGGAGGGTTGCAGACGATGCGAAATTATATATATCTAGCTGGGTAGGACCGACCTGTTCTGAACTTCTGAGGTACCAGGTCTATCCTTGAGTCCTTCGTTGTTCAAATCTACCTCGTGTTTGTGGGCTGGAAGCATGGCACTGTTCACTTCGCCCGTCGGGCTCACAACTGCGTTGTCCCTGTGGGCATGCTTTTCGTCTCTCGCTACTGCTGGGCCTGTTGTCCGCCGTTCTGATCTCGCTATCAAAGACTATCATCCGGCACCGAGAGCATGGTCAAATATCGGACCTGCTCCTGAAGACCACTTGATTCATCTGAAGATAGGCTTGTCGCAGGGACGATTCAACGAGCTCGAACGCCATCTCCATGAAGGTAAGCCTGTGCAATGACCGTCGGGTGATGGACCGACCCTAACTCTGCCCGCAGTTTCCGACCCGTCCCACGTTCGTTATGGACAACATCTGTCGGCTGAAGAGGTTCATGAGCTCATCAAGCCTTCCGACGACACTTTTGCCGCCGTCCACGACTGGTTGGAAGAATATGGCGTGGATCTCGGGCAGTTGAAATATAGTCCTGCGAAGGACTGGGTGTCCGTGACACTCCCCGTGCACGAAGTTGACACCCTCCTCAACACCGAGTACTCGGTCTATGAGCACCTTGACGGATCGACGTTGGTCCGTACCGAGGGCTACTCGCTCCCACTCCACCTTCACAAGCACATCAGCACGATCCAGCCGACCAACTCATGGGCGCGACTTGCAGGAGGCAAGGAGAGGAAGAACGAGCTCCGGAAGCGTAGCACTGGTTTGGCGAAACGCACGTCTCATGCCCAGGTTGCCGCTGAATGGGGACCTCCCCCAGCCCCAATCCCCCTTCCTACCAACGCGACAGTTGAGGCCGTATGCAACTTCACCGCAGTGACGCCAGACTGCTTGAGGACGTTATATGGCACCATCGATTACGAGGTCAAGGCTGCAGGCAAGAACAAGATGGCACATACCAGCTACCTTGGGGAAGCTTCGAATCGATCCGACATCAGTATCTTTTTGTCCAAGTACCGTCCAGAAGCCCAATCATATGCATATGAATTTCCGGAAATCTCAATTGCAAACGGTGCTGTTGACAACGGTACAAACGTGGCGGCCGACGCTCTTGACAGAGAAGCAAACTTGGACTCTGAGGTAAGATCTCCGGGAGTGCTCCCGATTCCTGCCTTCACACACTCACTTCTCGATAGTACATGATTGGTATTGGCTACCCTACTCCGCTCACGACTTACAACACTGGCGGCGAGCAACCAGGATTCACCCCCGATCTCAATACTCCGACAAACAGCAATGAGCCGTATCTGACATGGACCACGTACATGGCTGGCCTACCTGACTCCGAAATTCCCCAAGTCATTTCGACATCGTATGCCGATGATGAACAGACTGTCAGCGAGTCGTTTGCCAAGACCGTGTGCAACCAATTTGCCCAACTTGGAGCCCGTGGTGTGACTATGCTCTTCGCCAGTGGTGACTTTGGAGTTGGTGTTGATGGTACCTGCTACAGCAACGTCGATAACACCACGGCCATGTTCATACCCAATTTTCCATCATCCTGCCCCTACGTGACCACGGTCGGCGCCACGAGAAACTACCCCGAAGTCGCGGCCGATAGGTTGTTGCAGTCAGGGCTGACCTTCAAGAGCGGCGCAGGGTTCAGTAACTACTTCCCTCAGCCCGCATGGCAAGCAGCTGCAGTTGACAGCTACGTGGGCAGCCTGGATGGTCTCCACGACGGCCTGTACAACAAATCAGGTAAGCTCGTATTGGCAACACGGCGTGAAGCATTACCAGGACTAATGATTTTGATACAGGACGTGCATACCCCGATATCTCGTGTATTGGACAAGTCTTCCCTACCATCTGGAACGGCTCGACGCTCGGGCTTGTCGGAACATCGGGAGCTTCGCCCATCTGCGCTTCGATCTTCACTCTTTTGAACGACGCGTTGATCTCAGAAGGCAGGCCCGTTTTGGGTTGGATCAACCCTTGGCTGTACAGCAAGGGGTACGAACTGTTCACCGATGTCACGAGCGGTAATTCTTCAGGCTGTAACACAACTGGCTTTCCTGCCACGCCAGGTTGGGATGCTGTCACTGGGTTCGGAACGCCTTATTTCCCCAAGCTCCTTGAAGCTTTTGGTCTCAAGAAGGATTGAATTTCACAAGTGATGCGGGTGGATTCTTGTACATAATGTCAAGGAGAGGGTATGACAGTACGTCTAATGAGGTGAGGGGACAAGATTGTCGGAGTGAGGTGACAGGATATCTCTACCTACCTTGTAGGTATGTATATATTTCAAATGTTATTGTTCAGAATCAGGCGGATGGTCTGGTCCATACAACACAAGCGACCCGTACCACTATGTGGCCATGTCGAAGCATTCCAGGACCGAGAAGTAAGTACGGATTGGCGATTCATCATGAGAAAGCACTCGCATGGATGATGCGCATCGGGGCTCGCCGAGGGAGCCACCCGTCGTACAGTCCCGCTGATAACCGCCAAAGTGTGGGGTTTTCTATCTGTACTCATCGTGTGTTGTCTCGACACGAGGTTGCATCGAGTATGTACTGTACGAACAAGGACTGAAAAAAGATAGAGGATGTTGGAGACCCAACGGCGGCGACATCCACGGTTGTATTTTACTTTCAGAGACACCACACATACATAAGGTACCTGTATGTAACGCCATGCGCCATTTCTGACCTCAAACTCCTGCTCGCTCAGACGCAAAAATAATACAGAAGTATACAGCAACTACTTTTTATGGGTACTCCAACTAGGATCTGTCTGTATTTGTAGACGATAGTTGCCTCGACCATGCACATCAAACACGCGACGCCCGTCACCGTGTCCCTCTCCGACCTCCAATCCAACACCATCCCTTTCTCGACCCTCACATCAGCATTCGGCCCAGACTCCCTGGGGATCCTCGTGGTCAAAGACCTCCCGTCGTCGTTCTCACAGTTGCGCAGCCGCGTCCTCTCCCACTCTTCGCGGCTCGCTCACCTCCCCGGGTCGACGCTGTCGACTCTCACGAAGCCCAGCGCGAAGTACCTCGTCGGCTGGTCGCACGGGGTCGAAACGCTCCGGCCGGGCGTCGTCGACACGGCCAAGGGAAGCTACTACGTCAACTGCGCATTCTACCGCGACCCCGCGCTCCAGGGCGCCGACGGGACCAAGTTCCCCGGCTTCGAAGAGTACACGGCGCCGAACGTGTGGCCTGACGACCGCGACGTTCCGGGGTTCAAGAAAGATGCCGAGGCCCTCATAACCCTGATCATCGACACGGCGGTACTGGTGGCGCGCGCGTGCGATCGGTTCGCGCAGGACGAGATACCGGGGTACACGCCGGGCTATCTGGAGCGGGTGGTCCAAGGGAGCACGACGACCAAGGCGAGACTGTTGCATTATTTTCCCATGCAGGACCCCGAGTCGGAATCCGGTCGCGACGGCGGCTCACGCGACTCCAAAACCGCGGCCACAGAGGTAGATGAGAATGGAGATAGGGATAGGGATATGGAAAAGGAAGGTGAAGACGAAGTGGACGACTCATGGTGCACGACGCACCTCGACCACGGATGTCTAACGGGCTTGACGAGTGCCATGTTCATCGACGAGTCAACCGCGACTGCGACCGCCGTCCCGACCTCCTCGTCCGATTCCACATCCACATCTAGCGCAACCACTGCCACTTCTTCTTCGGACTCTGGCCCAGTCGGCGTCCAGCCGTCATCATCCCCGTCGCCAGAACGACTTCCGCTCGACGAACTACCGTCGTCGCCCGACGCCAAGTCGGGCCTCTACATCCTCTCCCGCACGGGCGAGACGTACAAGGTCTCGATCCCGCGCGACTGCCTCGCCTTCCAGACCGGCGAGGCGCTCGAGCTCATCACGCAGGGCAAGTTCAAGGCCGTCCCGCACTTCGTCAAGGGCGTCGACCCGAAGAACTGCGGCCCCGAGAGTAGGATCGCGAGAAACACACTCGCCGTATTCACCCAGCCGAATCTGGACGAGCCGGTGGACTTGAAGACCGGCCTGACGTTCGGCGAGTTCGCAAGGGGCGTCGTGAAGAAGAACACGCTTCCTGCCACTGCGTAGAATCAATCCTGCCGAAGTACGGATACGTGGTATATACAGGTCCATCCATGCCTGACCTCTAACTTTGGTAAGGTGCGCACAACCTACCTGGCCTCTCTGGTTACCAACCCCCGGTCACCGCACCTGCGGGTCCCTGTCCGATCATAGAAGACGCTCGCTCGCAAAATGAATGTAATTGTTCCAACCCCTCCCGACTCTATCGAAGTGAACAATTCACCAGGTGACATCAAACGGAAACGGATCACACATCGTTGATAAATCCTCATGTTACTTGGATTGAATTTGCATCTAACGTATTCATATGTCCTTATGATCAGTACGAAAAAGCCCTCACAGGCACTTCGATCGAACCCTTTGGACGAAAACATCGACACTGATTATTATTGCTCGATCATCAAGAGAGCATTTCCATTTCCATTTCCATTTCCCTTCCCATGCCGTTCCCATGCCGTTCCCATGCCTCTCCATTGCTTGCAGGAATGCCATACCTACGCCCTTGAACTCAAAGCAAGCCATCCTTGCTCTCAAAACATGCATTGATGGAATCCATACGCCGCGCTCAAACAAAAATGCATTCTGCCTAGTCCCCCCAATCATTTGTCAAACTCATACTTTTGTTTGGAAACGAAACTCAAATGCCGCACCAAAAGCAAAAGAGCCCTCCCACCTATGCATGTGCTGGAACCCACGCACCAAGCCTCCCCTTTCTACCTCGCAGCCTCGGTTTGTGACCTTGACAGAAACAGTGCCATCGCCGCATTATCTTCCGCCAATCGTGTGTTGTTGTTTTGCAACTCGTCCACCATAGTATGCAGGTCATCGTAGCTGCGTGTTTGGCCGGCATGTGTCGGTTGTGAGGGTGACAAAGGAGGAGTAGTAGCAGGTGTGAGTCCGACCGCAGCGTCTTCTTCAACGACAGGTGATATCATTTCAAAGTCAAGGCTCTGTATGGCTGTCAAGACAGAATCGACGTCCATCTCGTGTCGTTCCAAGGCCTCTTTCAACCACTGCTCCCACACTTGATTGATGATCAAGGGTGTCCCACTAGATCTGGCTTCCATTCTTGCTTGCATGGCATCTCGGACGAGCCCCATAACATTGTCGTCTGGCGGCTCATTGGAACCGTGGCGGACGGCAGGACTTCCGTCTTTGTGTTCTCTCTCCTCCAGCTCAGTTACCGTGTCATTGTCTGAAGATGTGCGACTAGACCGAGGTCGACTCCAGTCCTCCCAGATTGCTCTAGGTCCACTGCCTTGCGGAGCGGCTTCGACGTCCGCGCCTGTCGTAGACTTGACTTCGGTCTGTGCTTCTCGCTCGTATCTTTCTTTAGCTGCCCTGGTTCCCTCCCATTGGCACAGACTCAAAACCTCGTCATCAGTCAGGCCCAGCTCGTCAATTACACGGAAGAGTCTTCTATGCCACGGGTGTCTGGATAGTCGACGGCGGTGAGGAGGGTAGGTGTAGTCTAGACCTGGGTATTGGGCTTCTAGGGTGTCGATGGTCCCGAAAAACGTCTGGACTTCGACTCGGATCTCAGAAACGATGTGCCGGTGAATGTGTGCGAAGAAAGAGCCCGGATCGCCTTGCTTTGGTTTCGGGAATGTTCTCTGGTATATCAGGTCTGGTATGGAAGGCTTCCTCATCCTGTCGGCGGGTGGCCTGGACCAGTCAAGAATCCGAATGTAGCCTGTGGCTTTTTGGTCTCTTTCCTGGCGTAGAAGTCGGTCGAGGGTGTTACCTGGGCGAAATGGGCCGGCGGCTGTCTATGACGGTCAGGAATCTGCGCTCAGGAGGTTGCGGCTGAGACGAGTTCTAGGGATCGTTGTTGGGAAAGAGGCAGGATCTTGGATGTCGGGGTGATGTTCCGGAGTAGCTGTCAGGTGGCAGAGGACGACGAGACGGTAAGGGGGCCTAGGCAGGATCGTATTCAGCAAGATCGTGGGCATTCAATAATGATGACTTGAAGTTGGAGGTGGAGCACAGGGATATATGTCTCGTTTTAGGGTGCAGGTACCGCCTATAACAAACTTCTAAGCTGTCCGACGTCAACTGCGGATAACAGTGCTGACTTTGCTGTCAATCGACGCGGCGACTGAGACAGACGTGAGGGCTTCGGCTGCCGATGGCATCAGTGAATGAAAGTCTGGGTAAACGGAGGCGTCTATCTGAAGAGAAGAACACCAACACAGTCAAACAGCCGGTCGAATATTGGGTCGTCGCTTGGTCCTCTTTTCACTGCATGCCACATCATCAGCCAACAGCAATTGGCGTGTCATACGCTCCCTTCGATGCGCTCTTGTGTCTGTCCTCGTACCTAAAATCTCCATCAGCAGGCCAAGTCATCGTTTGATCCCTGACCACTATTGTCGGGCCTGGAGCGAATGAGCAACCCGTCGAGGCACCCCCCAAGCATCGTCGTGGCCCCTCGCTGGCCAATCCGTCCCGCGAGCATCTCCGATACGGCTGGCTAGTGGTCTGCCCCAGAGAGCCTGGTGAGCGAGCTCAACCGCCCCTGCAGGTCATAGCTCTCGTGCTCAGGACCGTAGGACAGGGTTTTTCCGGAGATGCACGTCGAGTGATTAGCTCTTCCTTAGATCATCTCTCAAATCGCTTTCCTTCCGCCCCGACGCAGATCTGGGGCAAGGGACGACAGTCTTGGGTGGTACCCATCCCGATCCAGGCTTGCAATGGCAGGAGAGTGATCGCGGTGCTTAAAACACCATACAAAGATATGTCGACCTTCAACGGTATCGTCAGGGAGTTTCCGACCATTAGGATCGACTATTTCAGACCACATCTGGACCAACCTCCTCCGGAAGCGTTGTTTCTCAGCCATGTCCACAGTGATCATCTGCTGGGACTGGAATCGGTCAAGATGCCTTTTGTATACTGCTCGGCCACGACGAAACAGATCCTCCTCAGGCTGGAAAAGTATCCCTCGCGAATCAATTTCGCCAAAGGCATCCTAGAAGCACGGAAGCTCCATTACCGCCACCTGAAGACAGTGCTGAGAACGTTACCTCTGAATACTGCGGTGCAGATTCAGCTCAACCCCAAGCGCACCATCAACGTCACTCTTCTTGATGCCAATCATTGTCCAGGTGCAGTCATGTTTCTTGTCGAAGGTGATGGGAAGGCAATACTGTACACGGGAGACGTTCGTGCAGAAACTTGGTGGGTGAATTCAATCGTCCAAAATCCTTTTGTTCTCCCGTATGTCTGTGGCTTGAAGACCCTAGACTGTATATATCTGGACACTACGTTTGCGAGCCATGACGAACCATACAAGGACTTTCCCACCAAAGCAGAAGGCTTGAAAGAGTTGTTGGAAAAAGTCAGTCAATGCCATCCAGACACAATCTTCTATTTCAGAGCGTGGACGCTCGGCTATGAAAATGTCTGGATCGCCCTCTCCAATTTCTTACAGACGAGAGTGCATGTGGACAAGTATCAGCTCAGGATTCTCAGACCTGTTGAAGATCACGGCTTTAATCCGTATCCTGAGGGGGCTGCACTAACCGGGTCAACAGTGGGAAACCAACAAGTATCCGGATGCCTCACAACCGATACACACGTCAAAATTCACAGCTGCGAGCCAGGACTGCCTTGCCATGCAGAGTTGAGTAGGCTCAACAATGTCAAATGGATCACTCCAATCATTTCGAGACTGAAAGACGGCACCGAGATACTTGAGCTAGGCGCCGGAGGTGGCGGAGGCGATCTCTATCAGTCATCAGAGTTAAGCCTTGGCGATTCTGCGTCTCTAGAACAACTAGGGGCTCTGTGCCTGCAGCTGACCGACGACGAGCAGGTGAAAGCTAAGATCACAGCGGAGGTAGAGCGTGGCAAACGATTGAGAGACTTCCACATACATATTCGAGGGCTTCCTCTACCCGATTCCCACGACACTCCAACTGTTGCACTGAAAGATCTTGTTGCGAAGTTGGCTAAATGCGATAGCTGGTCTGATCCTTCGGGCTTGATTAAGGAGCATGTTGGAACTCACAACAAGAATAACACCATTCACTTCCCCTATTCTCGACATTCCTCATATCATGAGCTTCGTCACTTAGTAAGGGTGTTTCGACCTCATGACATTTGTGCTTGTACAGTCGATCCAGAGACTTGGACAGATGAAGTGAGTATGGAAGCTCTTTTCGGGGATCTGTGTTCTAGCAAATATTTCTTCTTCGACAAGATGGTGAGGAATGCAGTTGAGGAGAAGAAAATTGTTGCTCCAAGCTATAGCGGCAAAAGAAAGAGAGATTGGATAGCAGAGGCACAGTCTCAGGAAACACAAGCATCTCATGAGCTGGACCATGAAGATGCCTTTGAGACGGCACAAGCGGAAGCAGATATTGAGCAGAAGCAAAATCTCGTGTTGCACAATACTGGCTCTACAGCAACCGACCTGTTGAACGACACATTGGACAAGATACGGGCAGCATTCCTTCAAATCAATCAAGGTCGGACTCGAATTGACCTCGAGGATGATCGTATTGATTCTCTGGCCACCTCTGATTTCGAGTCCCAGACTGGCTCCTCGTCAAAGCTGCCAAGGAAACAGAATGAAGGCATTGTCCTTCAAGTGTTGCCAGAAGCCAGCACTCACCAGGATAATGTCCTTCCAACCGAACTCGAGACAAGTACTCAGGGAGTATTTGGTGATGATCAGTTAGAGAACGATCAGAGAAGTCGTGCTCGTATGGAAGCTTACATGGCTGCCAAGCGTTGTCTACAGGACAATGACAGTAGCGAATGGGATGATCTGCCTTTGCGGAGCGTTGGGCGTCAAGGGCACCAGGAAAAGGAGTTCGAATTGTAGCCACGGATTGCATACCTTTGCGATTCTGTGATGGCTGGACCGACGGTGATGTGCTTTTGATACCCAATATGCAGTTGGTTAACGCAATATGGAGTATCCGTACATGTAGCTTGTTACGTACCTACGGTACACCACTGGTGTTACTCGCCAGGTGACTTTCGAGGACAGGATTCCGCCTTAGCTAATCAACCTGACCCTGCTGCATTTGTCAAGTCCGGCATACAGAGAGACCGACGACGTCAGTTTGATCGAGCTCCCCGATCCCCAAGACTCCAACTGACGCCATTAATAATTTATATTGCATGCGCGTTCATCTTCAGCTTCAGCTTCAGCCTCAAACCTCACACTCATCTGCAGTCTCTTCCGCGCGTAGAATTCGTCTTGTCTCAGCCGTCAATATGTTTGCTAGAGCTGTTCTGAGGTCCGCCGGACCTATGCGCCAGGTACGTGCCTATGCGTCCACTCATGCGCATGAATCAACGCGGTTGTCGCGATGTCGCTGAGTTGGTTTATCTGATCTCAAGGTCTTGTGCTAACTCATTCTCCTCCCACAGAGCATACGCGGATATGCGACCGAAGCCCCTAAATCATCCTCCTCGACTCCCTGGATTGTTGGTGCCGCAGCCATCGGCGCAGGCGCTGCCGGTTACTCCTTCTTAGGCTCGAAGAAAACAAGCGCCGAGTCCGCTCCCAAGCCTTCAGAAGATGCTGCTCAAGCAGCAAAGTCGGCCCCGGTGGCCAAGGCTTTCCAAGGTGGCGACCAAGGTTTCCTGGATCTCAAGCTGGCAGAGGTCATTCCTTACAACCACAATACCAAGATCTTGCGATTCGAACTACCGGAGAAGGACCAGGTGTCGGGGCTGAGCGTTGCGTGTAAGTCTCATTACCGCGTGTTGAGGTGGAAGACAAGCAAAATTCTGATTCGTTTCGGCAGCTGCTATCATCACGAAATACAAGGGCCCCCAGCACGACAAGCCGGTCATTAGACCTTACACGCCTATCAACGAAGAAGGTATGCAGCCCCAAGATGTCGTATCGATATCACTCGCTGCGTGACCCGACCAACCGCTGATTCTGCGTAGATGAAAAGGGATTCGTTGAGCTCCTGGTCAAGGTTTATCCTAATGGGCCCATGTCGGAGCACTTGCACTCGATGACCCCTGGACAGACGCTCTCCATGAAAGGCCCCATCCCCAAGTACCCGTGGTCAGCCAACAAGCACGACCACATCACGCTGATCGCCGGCGGCACCGGCATCACGCCCATGTACCAGCTGATCCGTGCCATCTTCAAGAACCCAGAAGACAAGACTAAGGTTTCGCTGATCTTCGGTAACGTGAAGGAGGAGGACATTCTCTTGAAGGAGGAACTCCAGAAGATTGAGAACGAGTTTCCTCAGCGTTTCCGCGCATTTTACACGCTGGACAATCCGCCTGAGAGCTGGCCGTATGGAAAAGGGTTCATCACCAAGGAACTGCTCAAGGACGTTATTCCGGACCCAAAGAGCCCAAACATCAAGGTCTTTGTCTGTGGACCACCGGGAATGTACAAGGCTATCAGTGGCGCCAAGGTCAGCCCGACCGACCAGGGTGAACTGAGTGGCATTCTCAAGGAGCTTGGATACACCAAGGAACAAGTCTACAAGTTCTAGACAAAAAAGCGTGCCATGGTCGTGACGGACAAAGACTTGTGAACAAAAGTTCCTGCGAGTATAGAGATGTGTTTTTCTGCTAAACATAGAGAAAGCAGCATGCAGTTCACAGATGTTCAGGCTTGTACTGTAAATATTTCTACTAGGCGAGGAATTGGAGATCGTAAATATAAAAATTCAAAAGTGAGAACCGAGAACCGAGAATCGAGAATCGATACCGCGAGTTCAATTGTGCTCTTGTGGAAGTAAAAATATACTAATTTAGTATGTACCAATGTATATATATTGTGAGAGAAACTATAGATCAAGACAACTCTGGATTACCAGCAGTAACAGTCCAAAGTTTACATCAGGTGCAGTGACTAGGTGTGTATTTTTGTTTTGGATGCTTCTGTCAGATGGAGCCTGGAGCAGAAGGGCAGGTCAATGACACAGGTAAGGGGAGTACTCGTACCATGTAATGGTATAGCTGGACATGATGGGCACCATGCGTGCAGAGTCCAGCCTCAGTAGCTATGCATGGACAGGTGCTCCAACGAAGTGGAAGGAGTAATCGTAATAAGTGGTGGAAGGGGAAGGGGAAGGGGAACAAGTAACAAGGTGACTTAGTGCTCGTACCACTGTGGCCCAGAGTAAAGGCACATGTAGCTTGGGTACCTGAGTTTACCTGTAGGGAGGATGACTTGTAGGTAAGCTGCTTAGGGATAGAATAAGGGGGGTTGAGATGCGTTGACAAGATGAGGGAAAGTCAAAGGTCAGCAAAATAAATATCGAACTACTCGTAGGCCATACATAGATTGTAGGTACTCAGTCGAAGGTGTTCAGCAAGACTCTAGGTGCCAAATTAACCAAGGTAGTTAGTTATGTAGAACCTTATGTATTTATGAGAGGCACTGCCGCCGGCACGATGAGGGAGAACTTGAGATTTGCACGGCGCTGACTTTACGAACCTTCAGTGAAGGGTTGGGCTCTAGGTAAGGTAACTAATGCAGGTACCAGACGGTGAGCGCTCTTAGGCTTCGTAGAGAGCGGCAGCGCTTGGCCCAGGGATGCCGAGGATGGAAGAGCCATCTGGCCCTCGAGACCTAACAAAGACTTATCACCACTCATCTCTGGAGGGGCTTCATGACATGCTGAGATGGGGGGTTGTGGTAGAGAGTCCAATACCGGCAATTTAGGCCACAAGTGCCCTGGGATGGTAACGCGAGTTACGAACGAGATTGCGCGAGTCAGGCACGAGACACTCGTAAAAAGGGCACGATAGCCGGAAAGAATCCCGCAGCCGGTCACTGAGAATCGTCCCTGGCCGCCCACCGAGAGCCGCCCAGCTGAACCTCTAACTAGAGTGTACGAGCCTAAAAATTAGGCACTGACAGACAAAGACGCGGTGTCGGGGGCGTGCCAAACTCGCACCTTGACCACCGGGAAATAGGAATTGGACGCGTGTCAGACTTCCGGGTTTATGGGCAGGTAAACGCCCAGAAGCGCTTACCCTGCAGCAGGGAGGGTTTTCGTGGGGGCTTATTAGTGATGTGTCCAGTGTCTTGTCCCCATCGCCCGATCCGGGCGTGGGCGGTAACGGTGGTGTGATGGCCAGGCTCACCGGGCCTATAGGCTCTGCAAGTTACTGTAACAAAAGTCCGTAGCCTAAGGAGGGCAAGGACCTGAGGTGATGCTGGTGACTCGGAGGGCAGCGAGCCGCATCAGCTTATTACTCCGCAGCACCACCCATGAATGCCAATTTCTCACCCGTCGGTATTTTCCAGAGGAAGGGCCCCTGTCAAAGTGTTTCACTATTGGGCGTAACCGCGAGAGGCGTTGGCGCGGCGCTCCGACGTCTGAAATTACCTGTACCCAGGTAATAGCTTAGGTGACCCTGATGAACAAACAATTATCGCGACTCATTCTGTACTCACTCCTATGCCAGCAATGCTTTTTGCCGTCTCACTTCTTTTCTCTATCGCCTTTCCGAATGCCATGGAACAAAAGCCGTGGAAAAGAGCAACTAATGTTACCTAAGAATCGAGATATATCATCACAAGAGAGAAAAGGTTCTGGAGGTTTATACAGCGTGTCTGGAAAGTCGTAGGCGTAGCAAAACATCCAAACACTGAATTGTTCGTCGGGTTACTAAGTAAGTGAATCGAGGCAGCTGGGTGCCTCCCTACTGTACCCTATTAATTGACGAGCGGCGCCCGTGTTCGCGTTTGTTATTATTTAAATGGTCCTGGAATGGAGGGGCCCCCGCGACCACCACCAAAACTTCTGGGCGGGTTTGGCCCAGAGCGAACAAACAACGCGCCCGTTTGGGATGGGTTAATGGCTCCGTGGTCGCTCACACATGCCGGCTTAAGCAGGCCTTGCAGGTAGGTACTAGGTACCGTACAGTGACTAACCAGTTAACTAGTGGCCTGCAGCAGGCCACGAAATAGAGCTGGAGCAGCAGCTGCGCCAGGCCAGGTCCAATTAACTGGAGGGAGCCGGTGCTAGTGGCAGTGCCGGTGGAGCCTAGCTGCAGGCGCAGCGAAGAGGGCAGGTGCCGACTCCCCCCCAGGGCCCTGGAAGTGCCTGTCTGATCATTTTTCCTGCCTCGAAGCTCGAGGTTGATCCCAGGTGCCAATCTTCCCTCGGCCGCGCACTTATAGGAGGCCCCTCCCCGTCCCTCCGTCGTGATCCCCCAAATTTTCTTCTTCATCTTTCTCCTCCCGCCAAAATCTTCTTCTTCCACCTCGCCTTTTCCCTCTCGCGTGCCGTCCAGGCTTCTTCTTTTAGTTAAACCCCCCGATCCGCCGTCCTTGACAGGCCCAGTACTTTGTCGCAGCTACCAACCCATCCTGCACCTCCATCCTCTGTCCTCAATAGAAGCCACAACAACCACCCCGTCGTCGCCATGGCCAAAAAGTCCCTTGACCCCGAATCTGCCACCACCCAGGTGAACATTGCTGACTTCCAGCGGACCCGCGATTCGGTAAGTCGACTGTCCCGTAGTCGGTGCTTCTGTTTCTATGCTATGCTTCTGCTGCTGCTGCTGCCGCCACCACCCACTTCTTCACACGTTGTTATCACGAACCCCCCTCCGAATTCACAACCCCGCCGCGATGTTGCCCTCCCCCCAAAGTCAACAACAACATTCCCCTCAGTTAGGCGAGTCGCCCTATTCGTCTACAATCGTCCCGCAAGTTTAATGCCCATTATGCCCACCACCCCGGCGGACCCGCACATCTCTCGCGAAGACTGGTTATTTCTCAGAACGGTCAACAGGACTGTCGTGTTTGCCATTCGTACCCTGACTGCTGATTTGGATTCAATTGCACAATCTGTCACCCGTGTTCAGAATAAACCAAAGGCGCTTGCTCACTCTTACAACCAGGTCATCGTCGCCCTCGCTACCTTGCAATCCTCGGTCCAGGATCTCTCTCGCGCCTATATTCAGCATGCAAACACCGTCCTCACTCCTGGAAAGCACGGTCTCAATCCGATCGATGCCAACCTCACCAGCATCTTGACCGAGTCTGGTCTTTTGGCTGGCCGACCAGCTGATGCGCCTCCTGCCGCCGCGCCGGAAGTCGAAACCGACGGAAAGAAGAAGCGCAAGCGAACTCCTCATGACCCCAATGCGCCAAAGCGTGCTCTCACCCCATACTTCCTCTACATGCAGAGTGCTCGCGCTCAGATCGCCAAAGAACTAGGTGACCAAGCCAAGCCAAAGGAGGTTGCCGATGAGGGAACTCGCAGATGGACGGAGATGAAGCCCGCAGAGAAGAGCGTAAGTCCACGCCGCCTCTCCTCCAGTGTGACTCAACTAACATACGTGTAGGTTTGGGATGACAAGTACCAGAAGAACTTGGCTGCCTACCGTGTCAAAATGGCGGCCTACAAGGCTGGTCAGCCGGTCCCTAGTGACGAGGAAGCTGCCCGTCTTGTTGAGTTGGGCAAGGCCCCAGACCATGTCGCAGGCATTGATGCCGAGGCTGAGACAGAAGAAGAAGAAGAGGTCGCTGCGGTCGAGTCCGAAGACGACTCTCCTCAGCCCGTCAAGGAGCCATCACCACCAAAGTCGTCTAAGCGCCGCAAGACCAAGGATGCCACTCCAAGCAAGCCAACGCCTAAGGCCGAGGCCACCAAGTCTCCCGAGAAGAAGTCGAAGAAGGGCAAGAAGGATGTTCCATCGGCCCCTGCCTCGACCAGCAAGCCTGAGAAGTCTCGCAAGGCCAAGAAATGAAGGGTGTAAAAATTGGGGTGCGGGTTTTGCCTTTGTGGACGGTTGATATGATGCATGCATGGTTTTGGGCTTTGGCTGGGGGGTTTGAAGATATCGTCCATGGTGGACATGGAAGTCGGCATGTCTACTTTTCTCATGTTGATAATGACTAGGCGTCTCATCGGATACCTCAATTGCTGCTGTCATGTGGTGGAATGAGCAATGCCAGTATATGTTTTGTGTGTAACGCTTCATTTTCTCCTCCAGGTATTTTAGTCTCCCTTGGTGACCACGATACAAACAATGACCTCAAGGGTCTCCTCATTCGAAAATGTTCTCCGCGTTCTGCAAGGCTTCGCTAAACCTGATCCAGGCTGCGTATGACAGCTTACCTAGGAGTTTTAGCAAAATCTCGAGACTGGCATGCGTACAAGTTGCTGTCTGCTTATCTCTGCCCGTTGCGCAGCCCCGCACTGCCGCTCGTCCATGATAGGTCACGCCAACCACAATCTGCTAAAACCACATACAAACGACAGCAACCCGCGAAATGCCGTACAAAATCCCTCCATGTTTCCTTTCGAGACCTGGAAGTCTATATTCGCATAGGTCTTATCCTTACGGGTTCAGCACACCATGCAGCTTGTTCCCAAGGAGGTAAGATATTGCCTCGAGGCAGGACATGAAGCAGAGGGGCTAACTCATGCGGTGGCCAGATCGATAAGCTCCTTACAGCCCAGCTGGGCTCCTTAGCACAAAGGCGTCTTGCCAGAGGCGTAAAGCTGAATCACGGTGAAGCTTGTGTATGGCAAGACGTTCTCAGTTGGAGAAGGTTTCAAATGCTGATATGTTTCATAGGCTCTCATCGCCAGTGTCTTGCAGGAGGTGAGTTTGTGCTCGCTACGACTAAAGCTCTCTCTCCGAAACAACCCTGACAGGCATGTGAACAGCTCGTCCGCGATGGCAATCACACCTGCGCCGATCTCATGGCCATCGGAAAGCAGTTGCTTGGCCGGCGTCACGTACTGCCAGCAGTCGTAGCAACATTGCACACGGTCCAGATTGAAGGCACTTTCAAGACGGGTACCTATCTCGTCACTGTAGACCATCCCATCAGCTCGGACGATGGCGATCTCGAAAAAGCCCTGTACGGCAGTTTTCTCCCCGTACCGTCCAAGGAGGCCTTCCCCCTCGCGGACGCCGGTGAGTACGAGGACGAGAAGATGCCTGGCGCTGTGATTCCCGTCAAGGAAGGAAGGATAGTCCTCAGCGAAGGCCGCAAGAGGATCAAACTCAAGGTCACCAGCAAGGGTGACCGACCTATACAGGTCAGTCTTTCCTGTTTCAGCCATGACGGACTGCTGATAAATTCTGATAGATTGGGTCGCATTATCATTTCATCGAGACGAACCCGGCTCTTGATTTTGATCGGGCAAGGGCATACGGCTATCATCTCGACATCCCCGCGGGCACATCCGTCAGGTTCGAGCCCGGCGACACCAAGACAGTCACTCTGGTCGAAATCTCCGGCAACAAAGTCATCCACGGTGGCAACAATCTTGCTACGGGTGCGGTGGATCTCTCCCGTGTCGACGACATTATCACGAAACTCCAAGCGGCAGGTTTCGCCCACACGCCCGAACCAGCTGGTGACATGGCATACATTGATGCCGCGTCCTTGACGAGGGCAGATTATATCGGCATGTTTGGACCTACAACTGGGGATCTTGTTCGCCTGGGTACTACGGATCTCTGGGTGCGTGTCGAAAAGGACTTGACAAGCTACGGCGACGAGTGCAAATTTGGCGGCGGCAAGACCCTCCGTGAAGGTATGGGCCAAGCCAGTAACCGGCGCGACGACGAGGTTCTCGACACTGTCATTACAAACGCTCTCATCATCGACTGGACAGGTATCTACAAGGCGGACGTTGGCATTAAACATGGCGTGATCAAGGGCATTGGCAAAGCCGGAAACCCCGACGTCATGGCCGGTGTACACAAGGACCTCATCGTTGGCAACGGCACCGACGTGATTGCTGGAGAAGGCCTCATCTTGACAGCCGGCGGTTTCGACTCACACATCCACCTCATCTGCCCACAACAAGCGTACGAAGCCATCGCAAGCGGCGTAACGACGTTCCTGGGTGGAGGCACGGGACCGTCATCGGCGACAAACGCCACGACGTGCACGCCCGGCAAGATGCACATGAAGCAGATGCTCCAGGCGGTCGACAGTCTCCCCGTCAACTACGGCATCACGGGCAAAGGGAACGACAGTTCACCCGTCTCGCTCCGCGAATCCTGCGAAGCAGGGGCGTGCGGGCTAAAGCTGCATGAGGACTGGGGTACGACGCCTGCGGCCATTGACACATGCCTGAGCGTGTGCGATGAGTACGACGTGCAGTGCCTGATCCACACCGACACGCTCAACGAGTCCGGGTTCGTCGAGTCGTCGATCGGGGCGTTCAAGGACCGCACAATCCACACGTACCACACCGAGGGCGCCGGCGGAGGCCACGCGCCGGACATCATCAAGGTGGTGGAGTACGAGAACGTCCTGCCCTCGTCGACCAGCCCGACCCGGCCGTACACGCGCGACACGCTGGACGAGCACCTCGACATGCTAATGGTGTGCCACCACCTGTCCAAGAACATCCCCGAGGACGTGGCGTTTGCCGAGTCGCGGATCCGCGCCGAGACGATCGCGGCCGAGGACGTGCTGCACGACCTGGGGGCAATCAGCATGATGTCCAGCGACTCGCAGGCCATGGGCCGGTGTGGCGAGGTCATCATGCGCACCTGGAACACGGCGCACAAGAACAAACAGCAGCGCGGCTTCCTGCCGGAGGACGCCGGTACGGGCGCCGACAACTTCCGCGTCAAACGCTACGTGAGCAAATACACCGTCAACCCGGCCGTCGCGCAAGGCATGAGCCACCTGATCGGCAGCGTCGAGGTCGGCAAGGTCGCGGACCTGGTGCTCTGGCGGCCCGCCAACTTCGGCACCAAGCCATCGCAGGTCCTCAAGAGCGGCCTCATCGCCCAGGCCATGATGGGCGACCCGAACGCCAGCATCCCGACGGTCGAGCCCATCTGGAGCAGGCCTATGTTCGCCCCGCTCGTGCCCAAGACCAGCATCACGTTCGTGAGCCAGAAGAGCATCGACCTCGGCATCGTCGCCGGCTACGGCCTCGCGAAACGCGTCGAGGCGGTCAAGGGGTGCAGAAACGTCGGCAAGAAGGACATGAAGTTCAATGACGTCTTGCCCAAGATGAAGGTTGATCCGGAGAGGTACACCGTCCAAGCGGACGGGGTGGTTTGCACGGCTGAGCCAGCGACCGAGGTCGGATTAGGTCAATCTGCGTATGTGTTTTGAAGAATTGACTCTTGAAGAAGAGAGAAGAGAAATCCATACTTTTTTTCGATCGGTGTTTTTATTTGAGCATCAACGACTCTTTGGAAATAAAATAAAATGACCTTTTTTCACTTGACACGCTTGCTGTCTACACTCAAGATATGAATGATCCTTGTGGTGGTTTGGAGAAACGAGTAGAACGGGGGATCCCCCCTACGGAGTACAAAGTATACGTGTACGGATACTACATACAGACCTTAGGTGCACAGCGCGGATCAGGTACTGTAGGTTCGTAAGTCTCCCACCAGACAAACAATACATCCAGGGTCGACTACCTACGAATAGCAGTGAAGATAGCTGGCCAGGTGTACCGAGACCGGCCGACCGACTTGTCACGCACAGTGACTGACTAGTTAGTTAGTTAGTTACCAGCTACCGTGGTCCGATGGCACTGCCCCCGGCCCCCCCCCCCCCCCCCCCCCCCCCCCCCCCAAGCCTACAAATATAATTGAGGCTCCAGAGGGCTATTGTCTATTGTCAACCCACTATCCGGCCGTCGTTGCGCCTGTCGTTGCCGCTGCTGCCGCCCCCCCCCCCCCCCCCCCCCCCCCCCCCCCAGACGGGCGGGTAGAAGATCCGGGGTTGCCCACTCTTAGTTAACTGGCTAACTCAGTAGGTACCTACAATACCGACCTGACCACTCCGTACTCAACTACTAGCTAACCTACATGCCTGACCTGAATTACCTACCTCTTAAGTGAGGTACCTAAGTGACAGTCATCCCTTTCGACTAACTAACTAGTGCTGTAGTAGGTCTACAAGTACATAGTTCATATCCGTATTCATCTTCGTTCGTATCCTATAACCACCGCATGTACCCTGAAATTAAACATACCTCCTACCCGAGTGTGTATACCCAAGGTACTTACCTATCTACACATCCTCCTGCTCAAGACAAGACAGAAATCAAAAATTCAACAAAAACCAACAACGCAACTGGTACTATTCAACTTTACTTTCTATGCCGGACAAGAAATGGTCATAAATCCTTCATTTCGTTCATCTCCCTTGACGCACAACATATAACATAATAACATACTCGATTGCATTTCATAACCTCATTCAAGTCGTCATGTTGGTGTTCGTATGAGTTCTTTCCACAGCCCTCTCCACCGTCACTCGTTCAGGGAATCAATAAAAACAAATCCAAATCACTCGATAAGTAAAGTGCCCACCCTGCCTTTTGGTCACGCTCCTCAAGTCTTACCCCAAGGCAGTGACACCACCTCGAGAAGGAGCAGCATGACTTCTCTGACGATCGATTGGACTCATCGGATCCGAAGTGGGATATCTTCTCCCTTGCACACCCGTGAGGGTACCGACTCTGAGAGGTGCGCCTCCCCGTCTATGTGAACCACCTCTCTCCCAGTCTGACGAGCGATGTCTTTGTTCGGTTCCACTCCCGCTACTGCTCTCTCGAGTCAACGGCTCGAATGAGCTTTGGTCAGGGTAACGAATAGCTGGACCTCGGGGGTCCAACTGTGCATACCCCTGGGGTGGACTGGCCACTGCAGCATCGCTGCCCCAGTCTGGGTCACGCCATGGAGGGGCACCACCACGGTAAGGTGCTTGCGGGGGAGCATTGATGGCCTGCGGTTGACGATACTCTGATCGTTGAGTGGACTCTTTAGCAGCATTTGCACGGTAACTTGCATCGGAAGAATGACGCCGCTTGTGCGACCGCATAAATGAAGGAACCCACAACGAAGATTGTCGAGTCTTTCGGTCCTCGTCTGATCGGCGATGACGTCGGCCGACGTGGGAAGTTTCCGAGCTTGCTTCACTGCCCGTGTCTTCGTCAACAGTGGAAGGTGTACGAGCTGGAGAGCGATAGTGGAATGTCGCATGTGCCGACGAGCGTCTAGCAGTGGGATCGTTGGGGTCAACATTGTGTCTGCTTTTGACGGGCGGACTAGACGGATTTCCAGATGCCGTGTAGGATCGTTGACGAGAAGGGGGGTGAGGAGGTCGTTGTGCAGAATGACTCCGCGTTTTGTGTGCTCCGGTACTGGCCCTGACATCCGGACGTGCCCCCTTATCATGTGGTGGAGACGGGAAATCAGGTACACTACTTCGGCGGTGATGTGAAGCAGCTCCGCGGTCTAGTTCGTCTCGCGAACTACTCCTCGAGTATCTAGCAGGTCTTCTGAGCGCAGCGCCTGAGAAATAGCCATCGCGACGGTCGGACGGCTCGATATGAGGAGACTGATGAGGTGAATTCTTCAACCGATGCATGTAACTCTTTTGATTCAACTGCCCGGTGACCATCCTGTGCCATTTCTCCATTTCCTCGTCGGGTTTGGCGGGAAAGGAGCTTTGTGGGATATATTTGGGAAAGACTCCTCCATTGGGCATCGGGACGTTCCATTTCTGCACCGCCTTTTGCATGAAACCAACATTCTCCTCAGGACAGAGCAGTATCTGGATTGTCTGCCACCGGGCAAAGCCGGTAGGCGTTAGACAGGGGACTCTTGGTTGCTCGAAAGGACTGCAAGTGGGTTGGAGGCTGTGAAAGCACCCCAGGGTCTGGTACATGAAAGAGAGACCTCCTTCAGTGGTGCGAAGGAAGAGCGAGTCATAATTCCCGTCGACTGCGCGGTAGAAGGCCGCGAGGCGCTGAGGAGTGAGCTCTTCATTTGGTCCTGGCTCAAGAGTGGGCTGCCAACGTCAATCTTTGTGGTCCGAGCCAACGACAGTGGGCACTTACAATTACTTTGGCCAGTCCCAAGCATAGTTGTTCCAGTCGCGGGGATGCGCTCTTGTCGGGGTTGATCAAGTATCCCCAGAAGCCATGGTCGGCGGTTTGAGAGGCGTCCATTGAGCAGTCAAGAGCCTGCACTGCCGCAAATGCCGTATAGAGCTACAGCATCAATCGCTTCGGCAACAGCGTTTGCGCTCGCTTTCATAGTCAGAGCTGAGCAATTGGAGGTGGAAGTTGGTCGACGTAAGGTAGAAGAGGCGGCTAATTCTTAAGAGAGCAGTAACACGGGCAGACGACTAGGTCAAGCGCAAGCGAACCAGGCAACTGAGGTCAGTGGCTGTAGCTCAACGACCGGCAGAGAGGAGGAGGAAGAGGATGATGCAACAGATGTAGACTCAGATGCAGGCATAGGCAGGCAGGCCATGGGGAGGCCTGGTGGTGGATATAGGAAGTGTGTAGTGTAGGGAGAGACCAAGACAAGCGGCGCAGGCACACGGCAGCGGTTGGCGAGTTTGCTTCACCGCTTCGTCCCTTGGTTCCCGTGCCTTTTTGCACTGTGCCACTCACCACTCGCCGCCACTCGCCAACTCCCTTTCGTCGCCGCCTCTCCCTGTCGTCCTCTCCACCCCGCGATATTCTCGTGCCCTCCCTGGGTGTCGAAACCCGCACGGGATCTGCTTCTCTGGGCCGTCCCCAGTTGTACCCGTGGCATGGCGCAGCTTCTGTCCGGCTGCCTATTCGTTCAATTCCCATCAAATCACAGACACAACGCGCTCTGACTGGCCTGGTGAGCCTCGATCTTTTTGTCACAAGGATGATGCTGGAGGGCGTTGGAGCCTGATCAGGCCAAAAATCCCCTCTCATTTGCCGCACCAGAGGCTTGTGCCCTTTGACTCACAATGGATGGCCCTGCTAGTCCTTGGTACCAAGACATATTGCCAAAAGACTGATGATGTCGCTGCGAAACAAGAAGATGCAGGTGTGCAGGCAACACGTACCTGGGCCTGATCCCGACAAGCCAATATCGAAGTGCGCGAAACAAACAGCGATCACATACGAGTAGCATACGACACTCCGGCATGGATCTCGGACCCTCATCTTCTCTTGCTCGGCCCGTCCGTGTGACAGATCTCACAAGGCTCCCGCTTCCCAGGGGTCGTGGCACCAGGCCCAAAACAAGAAACTCATGACTGCAGATGGCTTCCCATAACGTCATTGTTCAGGTGCTTCGCTAACTTAAAGAGTTTCTATCAGGTTTTCAAATGCCTGCAAGCAATATGAATCGCCTTCAGAGTCAGCACCGCTGAGAATCTCTCAGTCTCGACCAACTGTCAGGGCACTAAGGCCGAGTAATGTGATTTGCCTACTCTGCACATCGCCAACATGGCCCACCTCATGCGGACACGCAACACTTGGGTATGGAGGTCTCCCGACCTCTTGGTCGGCATTGTACTCGTGCTCTGGAAGCGAGTCTGGACATGGATGACGGGAAGCTTGATATTCAATATCAACCGCATTGAACAACTTGATGGACCATGACCATGGTTCTAGTTGGCCAAAGATGGTAAGAGTCTTGGAGGTGCTTGATCTCACACGATTATGGACCCGTTTTTGGATGCTTCACTGCAGATGGGCCATATGGAAGGCCGCACTTTCGTGTTGACATGTTATGCATCGTGTCGACTATGGCATAGGTGACTAGAACAGGATCAGCCTTTGCATGACCTCAGTTTCACGTCTTGGATCAATTCTGCAGGATCGAGATTTGGGCTTACCGAGAAAACAATAAACCCTTGACCTCCGTGGACTGGGTGTACTAGGTTCTGAGCATCCTGTATGCGCGGCATCCTCACACCTGTGGGTTGCTTCTCTTGTATCCTGTTTACATGGTCGTCTCATCTCACCTCACTTTGATCGTCAAGGGCAATCATTGAATTGTTCGCCTCGCTCCCTCCCTCTTACATGTGATCATTGGCACCATTTGAAGGTCTCTTCTTTCCTCACATCTTCCACTTCCAGATCATCACTATCTCTCTTTCACTCTTCCCCGTCAAGGATCACGTTCTCTCTTATCCTACCCCCTCCATCTGTGTACCACTTCGTTCACAAGCGCCCAGCTACTATTCCTTGATCCATGCCTTCAACCTTTTATGGCAATCCTCTTTTCGAGCCTGACTTGACTACCGTTTAACGACATCTGGCTCATGAAACGATGCCGTTCTCTGGATCTTATGTCAGCCCTCTGCCGCGATACTCTTGGGTATCAAGCATAGGCCGGGTTCCGATAAGACCTCAACGTCGTCGTCACCATGATATCTACCGACCACAGTATTCACGAACTGATCCAACTGAAGATGCACAAAGCCATCGAGATGAGCCTCAGCAACCTCGGGTCCTAGGCCCTGAAAGACCGATGGCAGACTTGGACCAGCACCCTCGAACAGGAACTGCTGTAGATCATCCTTCAGACAGTTTGGATCGTGGCAGCACTGAAAACGAAAACAGAAGTTACTCTTCAGCAGTAGATCAACAGACATTGCTAGGTGTTGAGGAGATTACAGTCAAGAGAGAGGAATCTCACAAAGCTGTCGATGGCGAATATTCACCTTGCAGTGAGACCAACGAACGATCAAGAATTCTCGAAGACAAGCCAGAAGCCAGGATCTCTGATAATACTGATCATGGCACTACGACTGCTACCATTTCAACTCAACCGGCGCCCCCAAGTTCACCTCACATGGCTAGCCGTGAAGAGAAGGTGTGCTATTGTCCAATCTCTGAGAAGTGTCCCGCCAGAGCTAGTAACCTTCATGACTGTCGTCAATTGGTATTGGAATGGAAGAAATGGGAGAAACGCGAAGAGAATAAGCGCCCCGTGTGAGTCTACGATTTATCAGAAGTCTTTGATTGATTTTATTGTTACTAATATCTAGTGCAGTCTACCTCTAGATCGAGATACAGAGAATGAAGTCTTTGTTACGCTTGACGAAGCTATCGTCATAAACAAACTTCTAGAGCAAGTGAATACTAGATCAAGACTCTCGATGCGCCTTCGATATACCTTCGACAAAATTCGTGATTGGATTCGAAAAATGGCACACAATTCTATCTCAAGAGAAGTTCTGGATCAAGGCGACCTCCTGCGACACCTGAAGAAATTTCTTGGCGAAGACAACGAAGCTTTACGAGAAATAAAGAAAGTGCCTGTCGATATTGTTGAAGATCTGACGAGTCTCTATCGTAAATGGGAGCTGGGCGACCTCAGTGTATTGCCTCGGAGAGGCTTACTCCGGTCCGCAGAGAGAGCGCCCTGGACTGTTGATCCTCAGTACCCTTATCAAAGATCAGCTAATTTCTACGGTCATGGCCATCTCGTCAACGGACAGACCTGGATCTGTCGAGCAGCGATGAGACGTGATGGTGCTCACTCTGCCCTTCAAGCAGGGATATGCGGAACAGTTAAAGATGGGGCCCGCAGTATCGTGATGGGATACTACATTGAAGACACCAAGGAAGGTTACGCTGATCGCGACTTTGGCGAGACGATCGAGTACATCGGGACCGCTCGAAGACGACAACCTGATGATGAAGAACCCACCAACGTCAAGGATCCAGCTAAATATCGCTCATCCCGAAAGACCAAAAACACAGCTGGCGAGGGGCCAACGTGTGCTACCGAGTGCCTGATGACAAGCTTTCGAACTGGAAAGCCTGTGAGAGTGTTTCGGTCTTACAAACTACCTCCAATTAATTCGTTAAGACCACTGAAGGGTTTTCGATACGATGGCCTCTATGTGGTTAAGAAGTATGAGCTCCTAAAGAAGGAAAGACAGATTTACAAGTTCATCATGACGAGGATGAAAGAAGGTCAAGGTCCGTTGAGGGATGTTATGCCCCCATTTGAGCCAGTGAAGAAGAAGCGAGCGAGAGAGCCTTCAACTTCAAGTTCAGGTCGTCAAAAGAAAAGAAAACAATAAGCCGCGAACGGAACATGAGCTGTTGTTTGCAACTTGGAGCGGTCCGTGGCAGAGACGTGCAAGACGACAGGAGAGACGGGGGGAGGGGGGAGGCCCGAGAAACTGGAACGAGGTGTGCTATTCCATTCAACATGGGTCGAGGACCAGGAGCTGTAACTGTGGTAGGCGACTGAGCGAACGGAAAAAGCACGGCATTTTCGATAACTGGCTGGTTTTGGTGCAGAGTGCTGGTTGGATATGTGTCGTGTGGAGCAATCACGCAACGACATCGACAAAGGGGTGCTGGAAATTCAATACGAGAAACGACTTGTCGTCGTCCAAAAGGTGCTAGGTTGTACAAGGCCAGTACATTCCATCAACGATAGTTCTAGCCTGAGCCGGAGCTTCATCAATTCCACTTCCATTGTATTCCGCTCATTCTAGCCAATTTTAATGTTGGGATGTTCGCTTGAAGTGGGAATAAGAAGTAGGGTCTCGCCGAGGGGCTGGCTTTCGTTAACAGTGTGTTTAGGAGCTCACATCTAAAGAGATTGAACGGAACGTAGTAAGGGAGAGAGGAAGACAAGGAGAGGTGGTGGTGGTGGTGGAAGAGGAGGAGGAGGAGGAGAAGGAGGGGGAGGAGGAGGAGGAGGCGGGAAATGCGCGAACTATAGGAATTGAAGTATGTACACTTTGACCTTTCTCGATGTGCCGGTTCATGAAAACCAGTCTCTCGTCCGGAATAGTGCAGACGAAATGCTGCATTTTGAAGGGTTTGGGATTTCACGTGGTGAAGAGACGAATTGAACATTGGGAACGGGTGAACGCGACATGGCGCAAGTGACTCGGTCCCGCAGGTGAGAAGGGAGCGGTGGATCGACGATAGAGACGGATAGGAGGAGGGGGGAGAGGGAGGGAGGGAAGGGACGGGAAGGGAAGGGAAGGGGAGAAAAAAAAAGAAAAAGACTGGCAGAGAAAAAAGTGAAGTGCGAAATGGCACGCTTAGTTACTATTGTGTATATACGGTGTATATGCCTACGTACCTACGGAGTAGAAGGGCACAGATATAGATATTGTGTTCCCATGTATGGAATCCGTGCCACTCACTCATGCACCCAGGCGCCGTGAGGGACGATGAATCTCCGAAACAACACACCCTTCCCTCGCGTCCTCCCTCCCTCTCCCTTCCTCGACCAGGGGTAACCCGTGCACGACCTGTGTGCAACGGTACAAGCAAGCAAGACAGGTAAAACGAATAGTACCCTCTGCTTGGAAGGCCGTGTCATCATCACGTGTCCGCCGCCGCAGAACGAGGATTCGCTGCTGTGACGGGGTACCCTACCCTACCTATATACACTTTACATGGACGAGTACGTATCCCACCAACTCGGACCGACTTCAGTATCCGCAGGCAGTCAGGTACTGTACGGGTAGGTAGGGATACCTCGTACGGAACGGGCAGTTCCGTTGGCGGGAAGTACCTAGGGCAGTACCGTAATGTAACTCAAGGTAATGTCCATAGAAAAAGCACGGAGTGGAAACGAATACTGTCTTCTCCTTTTTGGTACTCGTACAGAAATACTCTGGACACAAGAACAAAATACCGGGAAGTCAAGCCCCAAGGTTCACCCACCAGGTTGACAAAGGTCAACCAACCCAGGCCAATCAAGATATTTTCACAGTATTATTCTACTTAACTCGGGACGTCCAACGAATCCTTCTGTTCAGCGCCTCTTGTCACGGCCCTCAAAGTGCCAAAACTCAACACATCGCCTATCCTCTCCCGTCCGGTGAAGAGCATGACGAGCCTGTCGATTCCGCATCCCCAGCCGCCTGTGGGCGGGAGACCCCATTCGAGAGCCTGAATGTAATCTTCATCCACGAGCATCGCTTCCTCGTCGACGATGTCTTGATCTTCGTTCTGCCGGGCCAGGCGCTGTTGGTCGGTAAACTTTCTGCGTTGCTCGAACGGCGAGTTCTCCTCCTCGTAGCAGTTGACGACTTCTTTACCCTGTATAAAAAGCTCTGCCCGCGCGGCGACGCGTTGGGAGTTGGGAGCCGAAGGATGAACGTACGACTTTGCGAGTGGAGAAAGGCACTCGGGAATGTTTGTGATCCATATCGGCTCGTCGAGGGACTTGGGCTCGATGTAGATCGACGCGAGTTTGTCGACGAGTCTTGGGACGGTAGGGTTCGAAGGGATGGGGAGGGACTTGGTCTCGAATATTTCGATCAAGTTCTTTTGCGCGTCTGGAGAAGAGAGGTTGGGTAGGTCACTGCCCAGTTCGGAGTTGAGGGTGGATATGAAGTCGAACTCGGCAAAGTGCTCACCCTCACCGATCTGCTTGATCAGTAAGCACGATTGTTCCGAGCTCGGTGCCATTGGCAGAGTTTGAATGGCGTTTGCAATGACTGTGAGTAATTGATGCGTATACGCCTTGAGTTGGCTAAGCTCGTGGTCGACGGCGTAGAACTCGCACGTGTAAAATTCCGGATTGTGCGTCTTATCGACGCCTTCATTGCGGAAGGACGGCCCGATCTCGAAGATACGGGTCATGCCGCCGATCATGAGGCGTTTGAGATACAATTCTGGCGCGATGCGGAGCGCGAGCTTCCTGTCGAAATGAGTCGAACTGGTCTCAAACGGTTTCGCCGTCGCCCCGCCAGCGGAGGCGGAGAGAATAGGAGTGCTAACTTCGACGAAAGATAGCTGTTCAAAAAAGGAGCGCATGGCACGTATCAGCGCCGACCGCGCTTTAAACGTCGAAATTACCTCGGGATCCGTGAGCATTTCTACGTGTCGTGGGGTAAAGTTTGACTCCGATGTCTCACTCGTGGCGAAGCCTGGCTGTTCGACGGGAAACCGATTCAGACAGGGAGACAAGAGTACCGGGAGCTCGGAGGCTTTGATTGTGATTTGACCATTCTTTGAGCGGAACGGGAGGCTGCCCCGAATGGAAACGTAGTCGCCGCGACGTATCAAGCGCGTTTGACGTTTGAAAGCGTCAAGGGCGATATCGGAGGCAAGGGAGGCATGGGATATGGTGACTTGTATCTTCGACTGGTCCTTTACAAGATCGAGAAAGACGAGTTTCGATCCAGATGAACGAATAGAAGATATTCTCCCAGCGACTGCGTCTGTTAAAAGATGGTACGTATAATCAACGTAGAAGCTATACCTTTTATGTCTGCAGCTGAATCATTCTCAGGGATGGCGGCCCCCTCATTGTCTTCGAACTCGCTCACGAGCGTCTTTATGTCCCTTTCCTGTCCAGCAGGTGCATATCGTGGGTGGAGATTAGTACCGACGGGTGCCAATTCTCGCATACGCTCTTCCACCTCCTTGTTTGAATACACCAAGTCCCGATCTGGGACTTCATAGTTGGAAGGCTTGGGAACCGTGGTGCTGAACTGGGCTGCTGGGAGCCATTGTAGGGTGGACGCAGGCTTTCGGTGGTGCCTGAGCTTGTGTATGCTACCGGCTCGGAACCCTGGAGATCTAGGCGGAGAGCGTTGTCAGATAGAAATACCAGGTGACAAAAGGCACATGGAGGCAAAGTGTGCTGGTAAAATCAGATATTTACTGGAGATGTAGTGATCATTGCACGCCGAAGCGAGCGTCACTCGCAGCGGTTCTTCTCGGTTTTCTCTTCATCTGGGGTCTGTTGGACTACACAGAACAGAACTTACCTTGCCGGAGCCAGCAGGCGGGACGTCTGCCATATCTGCCATGCTGATCTGCTGGACATCAATGTAGCAGCATGACCAAGCGTGATGAAGAAGTGGTGTGGAGGTGGTGTTGGGTGAAGCTCGCCTGGAGAAATTTCACCGTGTCGTCGCTTAAGCTTCGGTAGAATTTGGCGTCGAGTTGAATTCATGGAGAGCGTAATTGCGTCCGTAATTTCAAGTCTCAGCACCACCATCCCATTGCTTTCACCACCACACGTCTCTGCAGCATCCAAGTCCCTCCCTGATCACGAAGCTCATAAGAGAACCGACATGTCGTTCCTTTTCGGCGGTGGGCGACCACAGCCAACCTCCGCAGAAAAGATTGCGGCGGCCGAGCAAGAAGTAGAGTTGGTCTCAGATATGTACAAAAGGTATGTATACAGCCGGCAACGGCTGTCACTGTCAAAGATGAAGATCTCAAAATGCATTCGTGTCTTGCTGACCTCTTTCATTTCAGACTGACGAAGTCGTGTCTGGCAAAATGCGTCCCGGCCGACTACCGCGAAGCCGAACTCAACAAGGGCGAAAGCGTGTGCCTCGATCGATGTGTCGCCAAGTTCTTCGAAGTCAACATCAAAGTCTCGGAGAAGATGCAAGGAGAAGCCGCCCAAAGAGGTGGAGGCGCCGGTGCCGGTGGCATGTTTGGAATGTAGCGCTGGCATCATGGCTTTGTACCATACACCTCTACTCCCTTACTTCGGCCATGATCATGGGGAGCAGATGGGATAGCTTGGACATACGAAACATGAAGTTTTTGAAAACGTCAAGCAGCAGCGGCGTTAGAAGCCGTCGAGCTCTGTACAAATATCCTACCCTTCAATGGCATGAAGCTATCAACAGGCGACTTAGGTAAAGGAGTATTATGCTCCGCGAACTCGCATTCTAGGTGCGCATGTCGAACGGGTCTTCTCTCGAGCAATATCTCCAAACTGGCGGGATGAAGAGAATCAATACCATCTCACCCCCTCTATAATTCCATCCTTTGTGAACCCTTGACGCCTCGCTAAAATCAATCATAGCGGTCAATCAGATTTGGATCCTCTCCTTGAGCCCAAGATATTGAACATGCGTTGTATCCAAGGGAGCGAAGCTGTCTTTCCTTCGCCTATCAACTGCTTCACTTTGTCTTCGATAGCGAGAACATTGCGCTCAAAGTCGTTGACCCCGTCTTCAACCTCCTGTAACCTTGATTGCAAGGAGTCGAGCTCATAGTCCATTTTAGCCCCCAGCATTTCAATCCTCCTTAGACTTTCAGTTAATCCTGCCTTTTCGTGAGAAACAACGTCGGATGACGTTGCTTGCAAGGTCTGGTATTCCTCCAATCGATGATAATAAAGCTCGTGTAGGTGTTCTAGATTCTGATGAGCAGCGTGATCTAGTGCTTCCACATGGGCGACTCTGCTTTCTGTAAAGGGTATAAGTGCTCGCTGGATGGCTTGTATTCGTCGTGACTTCTTTTGCGCAGCAGCCACCAGGGAATCACGCTCAGCAAGAGCATTGGTGAGATCACCTTCAATTTGACCTTGGACAACGCCCTCTTCAGCTACACTTTCTGGCATTCTCAAGACGGCATTTTCGAGAATGCTGAATGACAAGTGCCGGTTGAGCCTGTTCGCTCGAGGGTTGTCGACGTCCATTTGGCTTGTGAGTGCGACAGCGCTAGCAGAGCGTCGCAGGACTCGACTGTGTAATCCCCTGTAGGGCATCTCGGCCGAGAAATTCCTGTAGATGTCAGAGTTGAACTCGTTGCGCAGCTCGGCCAGTTCGGCATTGACTTTCTTCCTTCTTGGAGAATCTCCCGGCAAGATTTGTCGCAGTTGTTGTCGATGAGAGGGGATCTGTTTCTCATGAGCAACGTCTACGTCTTCGAGACGCTGCCGACGCAGATCCTTTGGTGGTGTAGTTCCGGCTTCCCGCAAGGCCATATCAAATGCTGGTGGCCCGGTTGGTCTGGAGCCCAACAGAGGACGTGAGCTATAATCACGATGTACATGACGGGTTGATCTGGCATCCCCGGCATCAATCCAGTCTTGGACATCTTCGCCATCCCTTGAAAACTGAGAGCGATGGGTCTTCAATCCTCCCACGGCATCTCTTATGCGATTGCGATTGGATTTCGCATCAGAGGTCTGGTTTGTCATGCCGGTATCCATCCTCTCAAGCGTCACACCTTCGAACATTGAATCGGACCGTTCTCCAGTCCAAAGGAAATTACCCTGGTCGTCGGTCTTGAATACTCGGCCGTTCAGTGAGTCAACGGCAGACACAAAGTCTCCAGACTTTATTGGTTTGCCCTGCCATAGCCACTTCAATGTTGGACCAGTGACAACCTGGGCAAAGCGCTCAATGTCAAGGGTCTCTGCTTCAGAGATACCGACCTTGTCGCGAGCTCCCACAATGCCCATGACCATCTCGCCACCTTTTCCGCTCAGCTCAGCTACAGTCGACTTAACGGCCTTTGGAACGGTCCAGCCTTCGCCAGCAGCACTCTTTGCTGTTGTCCGGTGCAATCGATCGAGGGTTTCACGATCCAAACGTCGCGTCTTCTCCATTTTAAGACTTTTCTGGAAATGACCAATGGCACGTTTCATCTGGTAGATATCAAGGACGTCTTTGCCGACTGTGCACCCAAAAGCTTTCAGACGATTATATGCGCCGATCAGAAGGCCCAGAAGAGCTGCCACGCTGGTTGGACCTAAGACGCCATCATTGGGTCCAACATTGTAGAAATAGGTGCCAATGTCAGTCCACCAATCCTTGACGGCATTCTCAGTAACATCGCAGAGAAGTCCATCAACATATGCTGGTTGTAGTTTGCCGTACATCACTAGTGCAATCTGACAGACGCGGACCAATTCGATAACTGATTGATATAGCGGTACGCTTTCGCTGGTTCGATATAAATGATGAAACTTCGCAATAGTGCTTTGCTGAGGAGGCTGGAGATTGAGACCGCCCCTTCCCGAACAGCCCATACGTTTCAGGTTTTCGTTGACAATGAAGTCGTCCTTGTGTTTCTTGACATCACCATCTGGAATAGGGATTACCGTCAGATTCGATGGGAAGCTGCTTAAATTCGTGACCATGAGAGTGCCCAGTGGCGTGTCCTTTTCTTTAGCATAGGACTGGGTCACTGCTTGGAAGTAAATTTGTAGTCGAGGAGACCAAGAACTTTCGTCACTTGGTACTGCCAACACGTTGACCAGAATAGAGTGCGATGGGTCGCCGGTGTAGGTACAGATCACGATTGTTGGGTGAGATCTTGAGCACGCCCATTGTTCCACAATGTACAATTCGTAGCCTTCCAGTCGCCTCCAGCGTTCGATAGGATCCGTTGCGGGATCCTCTTCCAAGTAGCGGAATGCAATGTGATCCGAAAAGACCATCCGCTTCTTGCGGCTCAGGCCAGGACGACCCTGTCTTGAACCGATAGAGGTTGGGCTGGAAAGAGTGTTGCCATCCTGGACGGGCGTCTCTGGGTCACCACTGGGACTCGACCTTGAAGGCTTTTCTCCCGGCGAGCCCATATAGGAGTGGTAGGGAGATAAAAAGGTCGGGGTGCTAAAGTTTAGCCCGCTCATGGTTCTATATTGTTGGCATGAGCTAACAAATTAGAAAGGATTCATCCAGGGACAAGGTCTCGGCCATGGTCTGTGGGTGCGTGATGGACGAGGGACGAGGGATGAGGGACGATTGCTGATCCGTTGGCCTAATGTTTGCGAGCTTCTCGAGGTTCCGAAGTCACTGTCGACGGCGTCATTGGCAATTGCCCGGATTCTGCGGGGGAGTTTCCGCCCCGACACCAACCGCAGTCCTCACGTGCCCAGCCTACTCGTCCTCGCCAGCACTCACTCTCAGACACCATCATCCATGAACTTGGTTCTATCTGCTGGCCCTGGTGGTGCGGCACAAGCGATTCACTCTTCCCCCAAAACACTACATTGATGCACAGTTCCCAGTGACGACGCTTCACTGACCATGAACATAGCGAACCCAATGCGCAGTTGATAACCTCTGAATCCGATGTCCGCCATGGACACCATTCAGAAAGAGCACGATAAAGTTCGGAATAACAGCAAGCAGTCGCAGACCCTACAGAATGTCGACGACATTATTAAACAACTTCAGAGTGCCCGCGAAGCCATCGCCGAAGACCCCAACTCACGGCAGATTACCCTCGCGAAATTGCAGAATCCGGTCAAGGCGTCCTTTGATGGTATATTCACTGGACTAAAGGATACACATGGCCTTCACAACAAGTACACTCGCGCTTTGGATAAGGTGTTCAAGGAGAAAGTGCCCAGCAGCGACATCGATGCCCTTTCGTCCCAGCCCACGCTGATCAAACGATCTATATATCTACATCTGCTCCGCGAGGGACTTTTCGATGTGGCCTCAACATTCCATGCCGAAGCACTGGAGAGACAAAATCAGCAGCACGAGACTGCGGCCAAGTTGGGCTTGGATGTCTCCATGGAACACCCTCTAGGCCTTGACAAAAGCTCGGAAGAGAATATGCAAGAGCAGTTCTCCAACATGTACCGTATCGTCAAGGAATTGAAGGACAACCACAACTTGCAGCCGGCTATTCAATGGGCACGAGCGAATGCTGCAGCGCTTGAAGCACGAGGAAGCAATCTAGAGTTTGAACTCTGCAGGCTGCACTTTGTCAGTCTCTTCTTGGAAGACCAGGACAAAGATCCTCATGGAATCGATGGACCGATGCGTGCTCTGCAGTACGCCCAAGCAGAGTTTCAGTCTTTTCGTGGACGATACCTTGTGGAGATCCAACAATTGATAGGCGCCATACCCTTCTACTCGAACCTTGAAGAATCCCCATACCAACTCAGATTCGATAACTCGACCGCTTGGGATGATGTGGCGACATCGTTCACCCGAGAATTCTGTTCCCTGCTAGAACTTTCCGCAGACTCACCACTCTACATAGCGGCAACAGCAGGAGCCATTGCTCTTCCAACGTTGATGAAACTGCAGACGATACAAAAGCAGAAACGGACGGAATGGACTTCGCAGAACGAATTACCAGTGGAAACTCCTCTGCCACCCTCTTATCGATTTCATTCCATCTTTGTTTGTCCTGTATCCAAAGAGCAAACAACTGACCAGAATCCTCCGATGATGCTGCCCTGCTGCCACGTCATTGCACAGGAGTCTCTACAGAAGCTGAGCAAAGGTTCCAAGCTCAAGTGCCCTTATTGTCCCATAGAGAGTCATCCCAAGGACGCAATCAGAGTGTTTTTGTGAAGAGTGAAGAACCAAAGCTGATACAGGGCAGCCCTTGTTGACGGTCTCTCTCTTATGGCGTCTGGAGTTGTGGTGAATTGCGGATCCGGGTAGTATAGATTCAATCATGACCATTGGTCGGGTATGTAGTTGAACCAGGACATGCAGCACAAGAATGGTGGCCAGTCACAATCGCTCTGTTTCCAACACCAATCGTCTACACCTCGTGAATGCAGGTGCAAATACGAGATCGACTGAAAGCTCCAAAAAAAACCCCAGGCTTCAAGTCTCTCTGTTTCCACTGATGCCGCATCGTTCTTCACACCATCTTCTTCGAAGTTGGATGCCTCTTCGTGGGTTCTAGCCAGACGACATATGTGGTAGCCTGTTTCACGCCACACCCGCTAGCAAGAAGAAGCTCACAGAGGCCCCCACTTTATCTTCGGCAAAGCATGCTGTACGGTACCTCGAACTCTTTAGTCTTCTTCCTCCATCACACATCACACCCACACGCAGCTGGGCTTAGGTGGTTTTTGTGGTGGCGAACGACGGATGGCAGGTTGCTTCGGTTAACGACAGCTTCACACCCATGTCCAGGCCCCAGATTTCCGAGCTGAAGGAGTCAGACCTAGAATTGACTAATCCCGCGGCCAGTCAGTGTCGAGGACAGAAGGCGACGACCCTGGCAGTCCTGATAGCCCCCTTTAAAGTGGTTGCATGGTCACATGCCTACGTGCGTTAGTCGCGCCCTCAGTCGACGCGGATGCGTCTGTAGTTTCCGCGCGTCGTGATGCCTTGCCAAATACAGCACGACTTCCAAGTGATAAGCACCAGCACCTTGTCCCTCCCACCCATCAGGAACCTACTAGGCCTGCAATTCCGGGATTGTCAGAAGGACCTTGCCTGCGCCGTCCAAATGTCTTCTCTCAACCTGTGTCGTTTCGCCGTGGTCAACCCCGTCAATGCCAGGCAACTCTGCGTGCGCTCGTGTCCTTCTTTCTTCCTGACTCCCCAGTGTTCTTTACAGAGTTTCGATCCTCCTGGTTTTGAGCCTCTGGACTAACCTGATAGTAACTCTATCGTCCCTTCTGCTGTCTACAGAGGCAATAAACCACACCACGCAGGGCCGGGACCTCAACATGTTTAGCAGCAGAAGACAGCCAACTTCGAACAGCTTTTCCTCCAGATATGGAGCGAGCAAAGCCACAAAGAACAAGGGTCCAAGTTCTTTTAATGAGCAGTCCATTACAAGAGGGTTGCAGAGGTCAGAGTCTGTCAAGTCTTCGAGAAGGGGCCATGCCACCAGCACATCTCAATCAGCCGGCAGGTTAGTGCTACAGACATATCCTCCATGTACCTTGCTAACGCGGTCCTACAGCTCACTCACTTCTGCCATCATTACCATCTGCGTTGGTCCTGACCAAAGGCTTTTTGCTGGCCATGAAGAAGTCCTCTGCCGATCCCCCTTTTTCGAGTCCCTACTGAAGGGACAATTTTTCGAGAACCATTCCAGAAGGATCAATCTACCAGACGAACAACCCGAGATCCTATCAGCGGTTTTGGAATATCTCTACAAAGGGGACTATTACCCCAAACTGCTTCACAACAAGAGACGGGACACATGGGAACTGGAAGATCAAGTCAATGCCACCGTCCATCACCACGCTGCCAAGCAGATTCTGATGAAGGACACCGTCATCTAGTATGTTGCCATGAGGCCTCTATTGATGACGGCAATACTGACAATGGTATTAGCTGTTCAGCCCAGCAATACGGCCTTGATGATCTGAAGCGTCTTGCTCTTCGTAAGCAAGGATTTCGGTCGGGCGTGGCAATATCCACCATCCTTGCCTCTGCACGATTCGCTTACAACCATACGCCAGACTCTGACTCAAAACTTCGAGCTCAATATCTCACGCTCATCATTCGTAGTCGCAATGACTTCAAGAAAAGCGGCCACATGAAGCTAGAAATGGAACAGGGCGGCACGGCTTTATTCTTTGATCTCTTCGTCGCTATGTGTAACCATATGGTAAGTTTGCTCGACTCCAGTTCCGTAACGTCTCGTCGCTGATGTTTTCCAGGATGACCTCAAAACCATGCGCTCGCCATTCGCATCCCCATTCACTCGCTAGGTTCGCGAGCAGTGTCGTGCTGTACTATCTCAACTACCAGAATGCCAGTCAGTCTCGGACTGCTCATCTGTTTGCTTATGTGGGAGTCGTTGGATGCTGGGGTTTGCTCTATTTGTACTACTATTCTATGATAACCAAAACTCTAGACTTACTGATATGGACTGGACTTTGCTGCCACAAGGATGAGATTGTATCACTAGACATGTGGCTCGTCCCTCCGATACCTGCGGAGGACCGAAACGGCTACTTGGGAAAATGTCTACAGGGGAATGTTCAGTGGCGATTCTTTGACTTGGGTCTTCACCTGTCTACAATGCTGATATCACTTTCATTTAGGTAGGGAAGAATGACTGAGTCATCGTCGATTATGCGTACAAGCTATGGTTTTCTTTCTCTCTTTCACTTTTGTGAGAAGGAGAAGCTCATGGCCGCTATGGAATGCAGAATGCCGTGTCCTGGGACGCTAATCTACGAAAGATCCTTTTTCCCATCTAGTCTGGGTAGTTCCCTCGCTGCGCAAGGCGACCAGCTGCCTTTTTCTGATCTGTCCATCAAGGCGAGGCAGAAAGGTTGCCTTTTTGATGGGATCAGCAAGGTATAGATCCGAGGGCGGTTGTAATGTATGTATGTTTGGCCGATTCTGATGGTCTCATTGAGCGTTGCACGACTCAAGCAATGATGCCTGGCGTACAACCTGAGCTCGGACCCTGTTACCTCTGCGCTACCAGGCATGTGAGTCACAAGGAAAAAAGAGTCGGATGGACTCGGACGTAAGAAAGCTTTCGCTCGCTTAGCATCTCTTGAAATGTGAAAGTAGGTGCGACGAGACCGCGAGCGTCATGCTTGTGTATTGAATTCCATGGTTGATCCGGTCAAGGAAGGGGTCGGTCAGAAAAGGGCGGATGAGTTTCCTGGAGGCAGGCGCTGAAACATGCCCAATTGGGGGTTCCGGGGCCGAAAAGAATATTGTACGACCTGGCTAGGTAGCGTTTAGGTAGGGTAGATTGAGTAGCGATCCGTCGGGTATCAGTGATCACGGACACAGCAAACCGGACCAAGACAAGTTCCTGGTCCGCTTGCATGGTGCAAAATCCGGGCTAAAAAATGATGCTTTTGAGTTCCCCGGGGGATGGACACTGGCGTAGCTTTCTGAGAGTGACTCCTGCCCAATCGTTTCTCGACCGGGGTATTCTGGCGATAGGGCATTGGCGACTGTCTCTGACTCTGTAACCGCCGGTGCACGGAGCCAGGATGCCGTTGGATTATGCTTTGCACTTGTCGTAGCCGAGACTCTGGAGAGAAGCACATGGTTCTATACAGGCGCACATGCATTACTGCCACCCGCTGACTTCCCGGGAGGGTTTTGGGCAATGAGCAAGTCAAGGACCAGGAAGACGGTGGCGCTTTTCCCGGTTCGCACGTCGGTTTGTTCGACCTTCACCAAGAAAAAGTCGTGGTTACATTGAGCCTGGTTCTGGGATTCTCCTCCGTATTGTGTCGTCTAGTTGCAATTGACATGTGCATCGTAGCACCACTTTCAGACCCCTGTGCCGGGGAATGCGCCGGCCTTGCTGAGAACAACGATGCCTCTGTCTCTGGCGATGTAGCCTTTCATCAAGTTCTGCAAGTGAGTTGAACAGATTTCATGTCAGCCTGTTTCATCTTCTGATTGCCTTCTGTTGCCAAATACACAGATGTGATATGGAGGATGATGGTGTTTGTGGTGGGAGGGTCAGAATATTGATAGCTGTGCAGACCCGCGCGCCAAGCATCACATTTCCCACCTAGCCTACCTAGCTAGGCACCCGTGTGTCACGAAGATAGGATCGACACGGGAGTGGCAGGCAGCACTCAAGTACTGTAACAAAACGGCTAAAATGACAAACCGGCAAGAAGACACAGGGAGAATTTAAAGCAAAAAACTGCCGAGACATACCTTGTAGATCATGTTTGCAAGAAAACACTCCACCTCGTCACGGTCGATCATCACATCCGTAGCGCCCTTGTAGCCAACGCGCATGCCGGCTTCGAACTCTTCGACTCGGATTCTCGTTCGACGGATTTGGGCTGCCCCTTCTGCTGGAGTAGCGCCGTCCTTGGGCTCTTCGTAACCTGCGGCCAAGAAGACTTTGCGGAACAGGTTGCGCAGGCAAATGTCTCGCGTGCGCTCGAGGGTCAGATATATTCGACGCTTGACCAGCTCGGGCTCGGCGGTAGATAAGGCGTCATCGAACTGCGACAAGCTTCCTTTCCGAATAGCACTGAACAATGGCGCAAACAAGGAAGACAGTTTGGGGTGTGGTGCTAAAAGTTCGGCGGTCGGTAATTGGTGGCTTGTTATGACGTGTGCTGGGATGAGATAGGTTAAGATCTGTTCACGATTGCGAAGGGAGTCCTTGTGGCATAGTGTGAGCGCTTCGGTGAGATTAGCTTCAGCCTCTGTGTAGTTCTCTTGTAAAAAGTCGATGACGCCGCGATAGTACTTGAAGGTGCAGCGGTGGGATTTGGGGAACAGCTCAAGCGGAGGCAAGTCTGACTGTGCTGCTTCGAGGGCTCGGATAACATTACGTGTCAAGGAGATGGAGTTGAGCTTGAAGTATGTCTTGAAGAGGAGGTTTGTCGTGCTGTAGATACCCCATTTGCGCGACTCGGCAAGTTCGGCTCGGTCGCTGAGGCAGACAGTGAACATGCGATTGATGGTCCAAGCTGCCTGCTCGAGGGTCTTGTTCTTGTCAGTGTCACTCATGATGTCGTCCGAAAGGCCATTGCTGAAGGCATCCGCAGAGTCCTTGGGCTTGTCCTGGCTGTCGGCTTTCAAGGCGATCATCCGCAAGTATTTGCCAGCAACGTACAGACATGGGATGGTCCAGGACTGAAAGCCGAAGTTAGTATAGCCCCGTACGAGGTGGTTGCACATTTTCTTGTAGGAATCGAAAACCTTGGTCCAGTCTCCGGTGCCGCTGGCCTGGATGGTGACGAGCTCCTTGACGGTCTTCCATAGTGCGACGAATATTTCAACCCAAGCGTTGGCTTCTGGTTTGGGGAGTTTGACAGCGTTGCGATCTTGTACCAGATGATAACGCACATCTGCAGAGACGGTCTGGTAGTTCGACAGTTGTGCGAATGATTGTAACCGTCGCGGGTCATGATCGGTGTCGATGGGGGCCAAGCACGCAGCCAACATCCTTCCATCTCCTACCCTTTGGGCTTCGTGGAAGTCTGCAAAGATGCTCCCCATCTCGAAGATCACCGATGTCAAACTGACTGAGAAGCAGCGTTCGCTGTCGACAACATTCAAGTGGTTGTTGTCGTTGGGCTCACAGGCAAATGAGAATGTAGAATCCGGCCAGCCAATCAGTGGCCGGCGGCACCAATTTTCGCCAAGCCACCTGGCTGCGCACAAATCTCAGCCTTGGCATCAATTGGAGTTTCATCGTCCAGGGCAAGATTTTGATTATCGCAGCAATTCCACATCGAAAATCGACAACGACAACTCTTGAGGCCGGTCAGAAACAGTCAAGGTATGTTGGACATATCGCCGAGTCCGTCCGAATACTAACATGGTACAGATGGGTAAGTCAGCCTTCATTTCTACATGCACGAGTCACTCCCACGACCCCAAGCGAAACATTCCTTTGCGAGAACGGCGACCCAACGGCAACGACAACAGCGACAGCCGCCAGCACATTAGGGATGAGGAAGAATTCCACTACCTGGTGTACTCGGCCGATCATGAAGAGGAGGATCGCATAAGTTGGTCGTGTTATGTCACTGTTGTCCGATGGGACTAAAGACCAGAAATCTCATCGGCACACAAGTCGATTTCTTCCTCGACTCGCAAATTCCACGACGTTGAATTTGACAAACCACGTCCAGAAATGACTGACAAATCTCTCGTCCGCAGGTCGTCTTCAAGAATACCAGGTCATCGGGCGCCACTTGCCCACGGACGCCAACCCGACCCCCAAGCTGTACCGCATGCGTATCTTCGCACCCAACACCGTGGTCGCCAAGTCCCGCTTCTGGTACTTCCTCATGAAGCTGCGAAAGGTCAAGAAGTCCAACGGCGAGATTGTGTCTCTGAACGTCATCCACGAGAAGCGCCCTCTCAAGGTCAAGAACTTTGGTATCTGGATCCGTTACGATTCGCGCTCCGGCACCCACAACATGTACAAGGAGTACCGTGAGATGAGCCGCACCGATGCCGTGGAGGCTCTGTACCAGGATATGGCCGCCAGACATCGTGCCCGTTTCAGGTCCATTCACGTACGTTTTCCCCCTTCCTCAGGCCCCCCTTACCTGCGAATATGCGATGGAGGGTAAAGGGCTATCGAGGAAAATTCCAGCAGCGAGAGAAGATTACAATCAACTTGTTAAATTTTGTCGATGTAACTAATCACTGACGATGTTGGAAAATAAACAGATCCTCAAGGTCGTCGAAGTCGCCAACCCCAACGACGTCAAGCGACCATACATCAAGCAGCTGATCTCCAAGAACCTCAAATTCCCTCTTCCTCACCGCAGCACCGGCTCCAAGAAGCTGTTTGTCCCCAACCGACCGAGCACGTTTGCATAAGTGCGAAATGCGAATGTGATTGGGCGTTTGCGTTGGTAGCGGCGTGGGTGCAGGTCGTGGTGGTTATGGAAATGGCTTGCCGCGGCCTTCGCATGATGAGGTGTGGGTGCGAGGGTGAACGTCTCGTTTTCACGAAGGGGTGCGTCAGGCAATCGATATGACAACTCTTCCGCTGACACAGATTCACGCACGAGCCATGAAGTGAAGCAAAGCAACTGGACCAGTTCCTTGGGTTGAGGTTGAGATTGAAAGCGAAATGAAATGCGTATGTCACAATCGGCTCGATTTATTAGGAAGACAACAAAAAGAAAGGGTCGAGTGGGCGCTGCAGAAAAGAGAGTGTATACTCGGGCCCGGCACTAACTAGAGTCTCTAAATGCCAAAAGAAAATCCTACATTTCATCATGGTCATCGTGGCCTTCATCGTCATTAACGTTCAGCGTGTCCTGGGGTAATATATCTCTCGACTACCTCCGTTGGGAGTTGGATTCTGGAATGGATAACTTTTCGGGACATGTGAAAGATATGGGAGAGGGGTTCCCAAACAAACCGTAGTCAGAAGATGGCAAGTATCCCCTTTTGATGTTCAACGCCCTGCGACGCGAGCTCGATATTGCCCTCGTGCCGTATGCCACACCGGCTATAGATGATGGTGACTTTGCCCGGGAACGGAGTCCATAAGTCAGACTTCCCCCGAAATTCAAGCACCGGTGTTGGTGATGCGGTCCCACCGGATGGCCACGGACTCACTTCTTTGGAGGAGCTCGTGCGGTCCAAATGTGCAGATTATTGTAAGCATTTACGGCAGGGTGCGCCGCGTCTTGACTGGCTTCCTGACACAGTCGTCTCACATGCTCTGCAGGCCAACCGTTCAGACTACACAACGGCCGGAGGCTCATAGCTTCCATGCCGCATGTGAGGCTGCTGTCATCTCCAGACGACATGGCGACTTGCCAAAGCAAGCCTGCTTGTCGGTTCCCCTTGGCTGTCGGACTCAGAGGGATGCGGTACATCTCGTGCTTGATATCTTCTTGTCTGAACCCGACCGCTTTGAGCATCTCCCCAATGTTAGGGTCGTATGTGATTCTTCGCCCTATGATATCATAGGATCCTTTGAGATATCGGTGCCACCAATCCACCAGTCTTGTGTCTGGCGCAAGGGAGCCGTCATCACATCGAGGTTCAAAGTCGATCTCGACCTGCTCGAAGATGCCCGTACCCGGAACAAGATGGCGGATGATCTTCTGATACAGGCCCATCCAATCCGCTACGCTACCCAGGCCCATCTGGAGATGGATCATGTCCCATGATTCTTCTCCCAATGCCCATGGAGCTTCGTAGTCCCACGGCGCTCTTATTGAAACGTTGGGCGGTACAAAGTCGGCGGCCTGGTAATGAATGTCGAGACCGACGATTTCAGCATTAGGAAGGTGTCTCGCCATTTTGTTCATCCATACACCCGAGCCGCAGCCTAGGTCAAGGATGCGCACCCTCTCCTCGAGCGGCTGCACGGCCCTCCTAAGGGGCTCAAGGTTGACAGAGGTGAACCTCGCTTCGCTCGGGGGCCTGCATAACGAAATCACCTCCTCCATGTGATCGAGCCTGTCGGCTTCCATGCGGTCATGAGGAAGCATATACTGACCTCTGGGACGCACATTAGCACCCACATACCTCACCATAGGGGTAGTCATTGCTCACCTTCTGAAAGTGCCATAGAGTCTCCCATACTCCTGGACAGTCTGCCTGCCAGGCATGTTGGCCAAGAATCCCGCCATTCTTTCACACTGGGTGGGCCGACCCTTGGAGCAATGAGATAAGCAGTTGGCAATCCTTTCCGGTGAAGCTCTTTACTGTGCCACGAATGGGCCACAGGCCGGCAAAGGACGGCCCTGGAGGTGTCGAGTTGAACCTCCTGCCGATGGTCCGAGAGGGCGAATCGGTGGTTGGTTTAGATCAAGCGGACGTTAGCTGCCGAAAAGCTGGGCAGAAAGCGAATCTTGTCGGAAGACGCTTGCCGCAGTGTTCGCCAATAAGTGTCGTACATGTAATGACTCGCTTTGAGCGGGCAGGGTGGAAGTCCTAGTAGACCGGGCGGAAGCAGTGAAAGGATCCGTAAATTCACACCAGGGATCGATTGGCATTTGCGGCAGTTTATGTTCGGCGTAGTGGCCAGCGGAGTGATACCGATAGTGGATCCTGGATGGAGCTAATGGAGTACGCAATAGTTCTCCTGTATAGTCCTAGCGGTGCACAGTCTATCGACGTTGAAACTGGGACTTGTGGATAAGTCAAAATAGTTGGGTGGAGTTGATATAGAACCCAACTTGCTGGAGGACGTAGACGATCTTGGTAGATCTGCTCATGTAGAGACACCCTCCCACTAGAGCCGTGACCCGAGATGTTGGGACTTGAAGCTCTTGGAATCGGGGTATGGGAAAACTCAATGTTACCCTAACTGTGGGTTATGGTTCGAGTCAGGACTGTATGATGGTGTTGGTCCTAGCTTAGAGAAACTGGTGTCGTGCAAGACAATGTGCCAGAAACAGTCTGTTTCAAACAGCTGACCGAGCAGAGTGCAGGAGCAAGGTCCACAGAGCGACAGCCCGATACAAGGCGGCACCGCCCATGTAGGATATTTTTGTAGGCCAAAGCTCGTTACGGAGAGAAGTGAATAGTTGGACTTCGATAGATTATACGATAGGTGGTAGTCTTGCTAATTAATATTCGTGTCAAGACACCTTAGAGGGACTGTCCGCATAGACCTCACCGCCGGATTGCGGCGACGAGGGTGCAACTCAAGATCGTCCTCTTCTCGCTATCCACTTTCAATTGTTCATTTGCTGTGGGGTGATACGAAGGGACCAGGTCGTCGCTCGACAAGGAGGAAATGGGAGAGACATTGTGGGCGGGCAGCATCGCGCAATCGAAGGGTGTTTCGAGGTCGTTGATCTGCCCAACCTCCAGGTACCATCCCGTCACACTCGCTTAGCATGCGCGTGTCCCTTGCCAGGGTGATTGTGATTGCAGAAGACCAGTCGAACCACTGCCTTGGAACAAAGAAGCAGATCGGATTGGATGGTGTGGCAAGAAAACGGACGATGCGCCTGGGGATTGGAAAAAGTGCCGGGAATAGGCGAGGGTGAAACTTTAGGGGGTTCCCTTAAACAGCCTAAAGGAGCAAGTGCATCCAAGTCTCTTCTTCAAGCTGTCTAGGCGCAGACTTAGGGGGCGTTCCATCGCCCTGGGCTGCAGGGAACCCCTCACGATTAGCTCCCCGGCGATTTTCAACTGTACAATACAAGTAAGTCCCGCCCGGCCTTAGGCGCTTCCGTTGCCTCTTGCGCCGTGTACTGCAGGCCACCTGCATCGCGAGGACTCTGTTTCCTAGCTATTCTGATACGCCCACTGGCTGCTCTCAAATACCTCAGGCCCAATGAAACAATCGATCTGCATCCAGCGGCCTCGTCATCCTCGTCAATAATCTGGAATCACGCCTAGAGTTATCAACCTCTTTCAGAGGGTCCTTTGGCCACCTGCTGCGTGGCAGTTCACCTTTGGATTCAGACCGACTAGTGCCATGCAGTCAACTATGCCGTCGACACTGTTCCTTACAGACACTTCCCTACTGCGATCAACATGGACTTCATGAGCAATGACTGCTTCCCATTCTTTTACGAAGCTGCCGCTCTGCCTCCGAATTGCCAGACAACATGATTCGAGTCCTCACTATCCGAATCATGACCTCTCGTGGTTCGCCAATGCACTGCTTGGTTACCCGAACACCTGCCTCGCTTATTGGGATAGTTGGCGCGAATCAGGCTTCAGAGTCTGCTCTTGTGGCACCATCTAGCCTGGATGATTCCCAGGCCAACCTTGTCAATGTCCACGTCGACATTGAAACATCCAACTGAGCGGAAAGAAGTCGGACTGGACACACACCGAAGCGTCTGCATTTCCATCCAGTTCGCGCGGCTACCACCAAAGGGGAGAGATAGGCACTTTGACCGCCTCAACCCGCACCGACAGGATGGTAGCCATGAGCGTACCTTCATGGTGTGGCCTGGTATGCTTGAGGGTCAATGAAGGATGCACCTGATCCCTTGTAGTCGTCGTGTTATACAGTCCACACTTCAAACAGAATGAACCTTTCCATCGGCTGGTCCGTTGGATTTGCAACGGTGAGATCGGCGAGCCGGCCCATCTCAACCATCCTCACAGCTCCAAGGTAATGCATCGAACTGGAAATGGCGAGATATCTACCTCATGTCGCCCGAATACGATGGTTAACGAGTGGCGTTTGACGCCCTCGTCAAATCTCATCTGTTGTTGGACACGTTACCCGAAATGGCTTGATCCAACTTGGTGGAACCGGCAAAACAGTGCCTCCTGGATCGGATAAGGGACTCACATACTTTAGGACATTGTTCTGTCCTTCCATCAGTGGGAATTTGCCGGCCGAAAACTGCCAATTACAGAAAGACTTCGAGCAAGTTTCGAGGTGGTATCCTCGTTTGAACGTCCGGACTGTCCGGCGTCTGATCGCTGATTTCTCCCTTTTCTATTTTTTGCTGATCATGTTAAAAACTACACTTGCTTCAAGCCTGACGCATATGCAGCCATGGGTGGCTTCGAAAGGCCATATGCCCCATCCGTTCTATTTGAAGGATTCCAGGTTGACGATTGCTATTTGATGATCTGGTTTTTTTGTTGAAGCACGCTTGACAATACAGTGATGGTTGAATCTTGCCTCGATGAACCAAATTGAATGCGACCGTACTCTAACTATGTAACATTGGATACCTACTTCCTTTTGATAGACCGAATAGAGAAAACTGCATGCGGTACTATCAATTGACAATTAGTAAAAGCAGAGCCTACTCGTACTATAGTATGGATCGGCCAAACCGTCGTGGGCGGTTCGCTACTGGACCGCACTAGGCCAAACGTGGCATCATCAACCAATGTCCAAAAGATTTTCCAACCAACATCGACTCGAGCCCGTGCAGTTAGACACCCCCACAGGAAGATTGACACTCCTTGCCTACACACTGTACGGTCGGCAGACGAAGACCAGGCTTCTCATTCTGTCCCGGTGCCGTCGGCCACGATGCAAGTCTATCAGGGGCTCGCGAGCCGCGCGCCATCCGCACAAAAGGATGTCTACATTTTCGCCGTCACGCCTCTTGTGGATCAAGCACTGGCAGCCATCTCTTCAGCAGACGAACTACTGATCTTGCGGGACAGGGGTGCCTTGGACACCTCTCCCGTGTCCGCGGTGCCGGGCGTGCCGCAAGGTGTCACGTCGCTGGTCTCGTCGGACGCAGGAAGAATCGCCGTGTGCGCCGGACGCGATGGCAATGTCATCCTCGTTGACACCCGCGCGCACACCACGGCCGGGCATTTCAAAACAGGTAAAGTACTTTCGAGACCGCCGCTCTATTACCATCATACTTTGATGAAATGAAAATCTGCTCTGCCCTGCGTCTATGTCTGTGCTTTTACTGACGCCCGTGGTTCTTTTTCCATTTCAGGCAAACCAGCTCACGCGGTAGCATGCAGAGGGAACGACGTGGCGGTAGGCAGTGACGCCGTAGTCTCAGTGTGGTAGGTTTGGTTCCCCGTTGATGCATGCGCGTATGCATGCACACCCACATACACACAACATAAACCACGCCCCCCACACTTTCTTTTTCAATGCGGTTACCATTTTCGCTTCGCAAAGGAAAAGGAAAAAAGCACACACACATGCCCTGCTCCATGTGTGGGTACGACCAAAAGGCTAGGGCTAAGAATCTCTCTTCTGGCATTGGCAGGGATCGAAGACAGATGCGCATGCGTTGGCAAAACACCGAGCTGAACGACGAGATCACCGCGCTCGATTTCCATCCTACAAGAGACAACGTGCTGCTGGCCGGCGGAGACGATGGCCTGGTCAGTCTGTTCGACACGAACATCGTCGAGGAGGAGGATAGCCTTCTACAGGCCGTCAGCCACGGACCCATACACAAAGCTGGCTTCCTGGGCCCTTCGGATCTCTACGCCCTGAGTTCCGACCAGAACCTCTCCCTCCATTCCCTGACACTGGACGACGGGACAGACTCGGCCGAGCCGGCTCCAGACCAATTCGGCGACCTGCGCTCCGCCATCCCGTGCGAGTACGTGATTGATGTCTTTCCCACGGGCCTAGACTACGTGGTCGCCTGCGGTTCGCACAGGTGAGTTTTCGTCCTCCTCCTCCTCCTTCTCCTCCTCCACGTCTCGTATTCGTATTTCCCCCCACCCATGACCTCAACCATTTACGAACGTTCTACTGACTTGGTCTCTTGTTAGTAAATCTCGTGTCGACCTTGTCAAACTCCAGCGTGGCAGCCCAATCGATCTCGATCAGAGAATCGTGCTTGACAACGCCCACGGGGGAGAGGTTGTCCGCTCCATTTTTCCAGACGAGGCGGTTTGTACCAACACCGTTCTTTCTGCGTCCAGGCCCTCTTGCTGACCTGTTTTACATTAGAATGGAGTCATCTTCACCGCTGGCGAGGATGGGAGGATTGCGGCCTGGCGACCCAAGGACACCCACCAGACTAGCGTGTCGTCACCTACAGTCAAGACTCCAAAGTCCAGGAAAGGAGGATCGGCCGATGCAAGGTTTCGGCCGTACTGACCAGGTACCAACCTAGCCTCTTCTTCATCCATACTCCCGTCTGCCGTGGTCGTCGTGGTCGTCACAACCTCCACCACCACCACCACTCGAGTGCGGTAAGACTCGACAAAAGCAGGGCATGCAGGGTTTCAGTTCGCCTACCACATAGCACTAGCAGACTGTGCAATTTCCATGCCGGCGGTCATGTCGAGATAAGAACCGGAACGCGTCTCCAGTAGACCTTGCTTATACGCTCTCATCCGAAGTTGGCTTTCTCGGATTAAAAAGGTACCATGCATATTCAGCCGGTGTGCGCTGTCATCTCATCATGCGTCACCGTCACCGTCACCGTCATTCTGGCAATTCTATCCGCTAAGCCTGGTTGTCAATGCGACTATGACCTTGAAGGAACAGGTCGCTCACAATCACCCCGGCACTCGCTGTCTAACCTATTGTGGCTGTCAATGCGACCATGTCTCTCGTGGATCATCCTATCGCTACCACACTTGACCGAGATTAGGCAATGTACAGGCTTAAACGCCACGACAAATGATTAACTGCTTTCTGTATTTTTTGTTTTTAAATGCTCCTCAACACAAGCCGTGTACACCACAAATCCGCTAGCCCACCCTCTAAACGCTCAGGACTCATACAGCTCTTTAAACCAGCTGTTTTGCAATCTCAGGAGTTGCTGAGGCTCGCCGACTTCTACTACTTGTCCTTGACTTAGCACAATCACACGATCACAAGTATCAATGGTGTTCAGACGATGTGCCACGGTAACGACGGTGCACTCCTGGAACCGCTCGTGGATGAGCCTCTGCATGAGTTTGTCGGTCCCGACATCCACATGGGCGCTGATTTCGTCCAGAACCACTACTTTGCAGCGTCTGACCAGAGCTCTGGCGAGACAGAACAGCTGTCTCTGGCCGTGGCTCAGGAAATTGGGAGTCATGATCGCATCCAGGCCTCCTTGAGATTCTATCAAGTGCCAGATTTGACATTGTCGGAGGGCCGAGATGAAGGCTGCGTCGTCTAGTGTTTGTTGGTGAGCATTGTCGCCAGGAGCCGTGGTAGACGTGGCTGCAGTCCACGGGTCCATGTTGAACCTCACACTTTCTGTAGTTATCCACCATGGTTCTTGGGGAATGACATTAAGTCTTGAACGCAGCGTTTCCCTCGGCACCGTAGATATGTCGACGCCGTCGATCTCGATGTATCCCGTTCGAAACTCAAGCAGGTGAAAAAGACTGGAAAGCAGGGAGCTTTTACCGCTTCCAGATCTGCCGCAAACGCCCACCTTCTCACCTGGTCGAATTTGCAAATCGACATTCCTGAGGACAAGCTCGGAATCTTCAGAGTAGCTGGCTCCAAACCTCGAGAGAGTGATGCCTCCCTTCGAGGGCCATTGAGCCTCGACATTGTTGTTCTCACATGCTCGATGCTCGGGTTGTGTGGTTTTGGCAAACTCCTTCAGGCGAGAAATGGCACCGAGACTCGTTTCTAAATGCGTCCATTCCTTGACCACATAGGTGAGGTTTTCGCCCAGGTCGACCGTACTCAGGAGACCAAGCCCAACAAGCCCAGGTTGAATGGAGTGTCTTTTCGCCACTACGATCATCATCAGAATAGTGACCATAGCGGCAACCATGATGTCCAAAACCAGAGCTAGCCATCTTTGAATGCAATACATGAAATAAAACGGACGCTGGCTCCTATCGAGAAGCTCCAAGTTTCGGTCCGAGAACTTCTCGCTCCAGGAAAACGCACGTATAGTTGCGAGTCCGGAAGATGTTTCGCCGAACCAGGTATATAGCGGAGCCTTTTCCTCGAGATCAAGGAGTCTTATCTGCCGACTCGTTCTCAAGTAATATTTCTGAAGTGTGTACAGAGCAGCGAGTAAGGCCGGTATCACGGGAACGAAATAGGCCGATCCCGAGGCGACCAATATCCCCAGGCCCATAAGGCAACCGGCCAGTGAGATGACAGTATCAGCATACGCAAAAGGCAGATCGTTGTCCACAAGCGCCATGTCCTGGCTGAAGCGATTGATGATAGAGCCCATATCAGTCCGTGTGAAGAAAGCAAGAGGTGCGTTCAGAACTGTGACGAGCAGATTCCAGTGGAGATTGCTCGCTGACCTCGGCTGCATGTCGAGAAATATCTGGTATGCAGCAAGTACAAGAGACGCTGCTGCAACGAGCGTTGTTGCGGCAAATACCCAAATAAAGAGCGTTGTTTCACCATTGCTGTTGCCTGTGAAATACTTTACAAGGATTCCTGGGGTGTTGATAGCCAATGTATAGGTCATGGCCCATGTACATGATAGGAAACTCGACATGTAGCCACAAGAACCGAAGTAGTGTTTGTAGGTGCGCCACTCTCCGGCTCGCCTTGTTGAATCAACAGGGTCTTCGGATTGACCCGGCATAGGAGTGTTGGCGTCGACGATGGGCGGTATGTCCGTTGTTTCCATTGTTGATTGCGACTCCTGAGGAGCTATCTTTCCAGGTTGCAATTTCATATGAGCTTCCAGACTGCGTACATAGCCATTGCTGCTGGCCAGAGCTCTGTAGCTACCTTGTTCGCATACTCGACCATTACTAGCGAGGCAGACGATCATGTCTGCGCCAGGCAAGCGGTGAACAGCATGGGTAGCCAGAATGACTGTGGTCCCCAATCGCCGCAACAGACCTGAGGGGCCAAGCAATCTTCGGAATACCCAGTCCTCGGTATGGTTGTCAAGACTGGAAAATACATCGTCCAGGAGGAGCAAGCTCGCATTGGCATATATTGCTCGCGCAATTCCCAGTCTCTGTTTCTGGCCACCACTCAAGGAGATTCCCTTGGAGCCTATGACGGTACTATCGCCATGGGCAAACATCTTGATATCTTCAAGCAATCCACAACAGGTGATGACTTCAAGATACCAGGAGTCATCCTTGGGCGAAATATCGCTTGAATGAGGCCCCCGGATTGCATCCCTGACTGTGGTGTTTTGAATCCAGGAGGTTTGGTCGGCAAATGCGATAGATTGTTTCTGAAGATGCACAAAGCCTTCTATTGTAGGTGTTTCTCCAAGTATACCCTTTAGCAAAGTGCTTTTGCCGCATCCTACTGGCCCGACGATCATCGTGATGGTACCCGGAGCGAGCGATAGATCAATATCATGCACAACAGGTTCAGTATTTTCTCTCCAGCCGAATGAACAGTTCTTCAGTACTACCACTTCGTCAGACTGGTGACCTGCATGACCTCCGAGTGACCGCATCTCGATGGACTCTGGAGCTGGACAGGCGTCGTCGGGACCACTGGTGGATTTGATTATTTTGTCGGCAAAAAGTCGATTGTCGTAGCGAGAGGGTGAGAGCAAATATTGCTGGATTCTGTCGACACAGGAGAGCGAGGACGACAACTTCGGTATCACAAAGTAGAGTAATGACAAAGGACCTTGCACAAGACGTAAGATTGTGAGAACGCTGAAGGCAACTGCTAAATCCAATTGTTGTCCGGACGTTTGTGCTCGGAGGTAGTATAAGAGAAAGGTAGCGAAAGGTGCAAAGACGGACGGGCCGTTCTGGATGACGATTTGAATGTTGTTGATGAGCCTGAATTGCTTGCACTCGCTGATTTCTCTCTCACGTAGACTCTGGGTCCGGGATTTGATGACATCTGACAGGCCTAGAAGTTTGATGTTTCGAATCGAAGAGAGTAGTGCCGAGGTGAACGAAACCCGAACCTCGATCGCTGCAAGCCACCTTCTTTGAAAGGAGGAGATGATTTTCGTGATCCAGGTGGTAGCCAGGGCAAGAACGAAATACACAACTGCGGGGGCATAGCAGGCACTCCCAAGATTTAGGTAAAGCAGATACATACCCAGCGCAAGGTCGACAATGCCACCCCAAGCGTCGTGCAGATATTGCAGAGGGCCAACAATCCTTTCAACATCGGATGACATCAAGGTCAGTGATGCGGATGGATCGATAACGGTTATACTCAGATCCAAAGTTTTTTGGTACAGGAGAGAGATGAGCCCCCCACGTACTTGGACAATGCATCGATTGAGCAAATGATTGTATGCTGCTTTGCACAACGCCTGGACAAGGTAGACGAGAAAGTATGCTCCAGCAAGGCCCCACCCAACAGAGGCCGTTCGAGTATGGCTGTCTTTGACGAAGTTGATGGTGTCTTGAATCAAGAAAGGTTGTGCAAACATGACTGCACTTAGGCAAAGCCTTGGAAGAGCCGATACCAAGAGCTGCCATTTGAGGCTTCTGACCACGGTGAGCAGCAGGCTAAGACGTCCCGGCTCATGTACGTCAGCCCATCTTCGGCTAAATATGCCATGGACACTGGCAGACGAGAGGGTGTCGTCTAAACCGTACAGGTCATCAAGTAGCAGAGTTTTGCCAAACCCTATCCTGAACAATGGGTTCAGCCACCAGAAGACGAACCGATTATATATGCCGCTGGTGGCCTCAGGGGGAAGCTCTCGATATGGCTCCAAGAGTATGCTTCGCTTCTCGACTGCCTCTGTGACAAGCACCAGTGATTTGATGGCTAATGAAAGCGACATGAAGTTGGCAATTCCGTGAGCGGCATCGCTGCGAATAAGAAAGAAAGTCCTTAGCCGAACGGCATCAAAGGGAAGAGAGATCAGCAGATATAGCCCGATGATGGTGGAAGGAGTTATCGACCTCGAGTGTTCATACAGGGACAGTACGAAGAGGACACAGGCGGCTGAAAAATCAAGTGCTGCAGCTGCGATCGAAGCTCTTGTGGCGACGTCTAGGTTTGTTGCTCGAGCCAACAGGACTGTCAATTGATTCGTGGCAAAAGCTGTTAACAAGACCTGGAGAGGTGAGTTGCCCACGTCGTGTTGAGTGGTTAGGACAGCAGCGTACCAATTTCATCAGGCGACTGAAGGATGGCGAGACCTTGTTGGGCTTGGTGTTCAGCCATATAGTCCTTGTCCCCGCGGCTACTAGGAAGATGGAAGCAGGCGCGATGGTGAGAATGGTGTCCTCGAACAACAGAGTGAAATCGAAGTGTCTCGATGTCCCAGAATAGGCCGGACCGAAGTGAGCATCCGAGTCATTGGACGATGTATGATGCATGGTTTCCAGTCGTCGTGAAAGATCAATTACTGGCAGGTCAGAAGGGAGTAAGGACGAAAGAGTCTATAGGGATATGAAGGGGAGAGAGATACAAAGCTGGGGAATGGATCAATATCATGCATGGCCGGGAATGGTGCTGCCTGAACGTGGACATAAAAGTGATGCCTGACGATCGACCTGCACTGGATACTCGTAGGAATCTCAGTTGATCTTGACTGAATTGGATCTAGAGACGTTACATGTGAAGAAGGCAGGAGAGATGGGAGAAATGAGGTGATTCCGGTACAATCAAGAGAGTGAGATGGAGAGGTTGAGGAAGAGAAGATTGGTTGCCCGCATCTCGGCTAGGGCGCCTTGATAAGCATTCTGTGAGTCCCTACATGTTATATGTACATACATATCTTGCAGGATGCGCAGGCAGTATGAACAGGTCTTTGATCGGTATCCGTATCGTAGGCGCAGAAGGGGCAGCAAACTTGTACGTTGTACAGAGAATCTGTTCTTTTCAACTTTTTTCTTCCTCCCGAGGACTCGCTTAGCGACAGAAAGCAATTAGTTTAATTTCTCACCGTAGCAGCGCCGCTTTTATCATACAATACATCTCCCTCACCCCGCCGTCACAGCACCTTCATACTGAAAATTACATCAGATAAAGAGTTTGATGAAGAAAAATAGACTGTACACGCCGACCGCTAGAAGGAGGTGGTGAACACCCACCAGGATCTGCGGTGTGTTGTATACTGCACGAGCAATCACCCACGATTCAATTCCTGCACGAGGGGCTCCGTTAGTGAAGTACATTGCTCTCATCATATCGTACGCCATCACCTGGGCTTTGTGGCCTGTCTTGAACAGATCAGCTTCATACACTGCCACTCTTTTGTCAAGGTTGGTAACTAGATCCCTATCTCGAGAAGCTTCGATGATTGCTCTGCCCAGCTTCTGGGCGTCTCGAAGGGCTAGGTTGACTCCTTCTCCTCCAAAAGGTGTACACAGATGTGCCGCATCCCCGACGAGCGTGATGCCTGGCTTGTGGTCCCATCTGAAGCCGAGAGGCAACATGTAAAGTGCAGAGATCCGAATTGGTCCAATTGCGTCCACGACCAAAGTCTGCAATTCCGGAGCCCAGTCATTGTAACCGTCGAGTATATCAGCTGGCAGGGGGGACTGTTCTCGGCGGTCCGTCATCCAGCCGTCACCCTGCCGGCTCCACACCGAGACCGAAATGCTTCCACTACCGAGCTGCTGGCCGATGATAGACTTGCCGTTCGCAAATGCAAAGATTGTTCCGCCGCCCACCAAATCTGAAGAGGCCGGAGAAATATTCACTGCGTCTGGTATGTTTAAGTCATAGCCTGACACGCCAGAATACACCGGAAGCTGATTGCTGAGGGCTCTCCGAACCTGACTCCACGCTCCGTCAGCACCCACGATCAGGTTATAATCTGCCTCTGACTGGCCGTTGTCAAAAGTTAGGACACCCGGAGACGGAATTTCTTTTAACTTGTGGCTCCAGCGGATGACCTGGTCGGGGATTGAAGCTAATAGCATGGTGCGTAACTGCTCCCGGTCGATTTCCGGGGCATTGTGCAACGCTGACGGCAGGTAGAAGTAAGTTTGAAGCCTTTGATCAACGACTTTGAGACGGGATCCACCGCAACGGAGGAGCTTCGAAAGTGCGACACCAAGTCCAGCTTCCTCAATAGCGGATATGCCAGTGTTGGGATGGAGATCTAGAGTGCCACCTTGAGATCGTGCTGTCGGAGAATCTTCAGCTTCAAAGATGGTAACCTCGATGCTGCCCTGAATCAAGTATGGAGCCAACAGACAACCTGCAGGGCCAGCACCAATGATGGCTATTTTCAGGTGTGGCATGCTATCGTAGCCTTGCCGGATCTTTGTATTCTGGACCTTACATGGGCTTGGGAAAGAACTGTTAGGTGGGAGCAGCCACCAATATATTCCTGTGATCCAGAAGGTGTTCACTCGTTAATTCAGTGCCATGCCAAATCTGGTGCGGACACCTGCTACGGCCGTAATGCTGTAGCCTAGTCGAGATGCAACTGGAAAGACCACGATTCTTCTTCAATCCATACACCCTAGCCAGGCGCTCTCGGGAAGCTATGCAGGGTGTGACTGTAAAGCGACCCTACCAGGAATCTCCTGGGTTTGACTTCCAGAATACAAGCTGTCCTTGTCACGACGAAAGCAGCCTCAGTCTTGAGAGTGACCAAGTTTTCCGCAGTCGCCTGATACAGGATCGCTCGGAACAGAAAGGCCTGAGTCCAACTAAGATTTCCTTGACCACTTTAGTAGGTGTATCCAAAGCAAACAAAACACAAAACTTGAGTCTAGTTACTAGGTAGCTTTGGGCTTTCGATTAATTTAATCTACCCGGAACGGTGAGGTCCCTCGAGTACATAAATTGTGAGGTCGAGGCTAGTGGGCTACAGAAAGTCTCGCCTCAAATCCTCGACATTATAAACGAGATCTATAGGTCCATATCAAGAAATCTGATCTTAAGCTTAGACTACCGAAGAAGACACCTTTTATCGTGTCTGCATTTTCTCATTCTCTAAGGCCGAGAACGCTCTAAAATGATGTGACCGCTGAAGAGTCTCGGGGAGGTGGCTTGGTCTAAGGCGCGATAGTGACAGTTCCCCCAAACCACCCAGGTCCGACCTGTTGGCAAGCCAGATCATTCCTTCTCCCGGGATGATTCTGTAAGCGTAGTTTCGGGGCGTGAACCTTGGTCATGGACTTTCCTCTTTATGAGACCCATCGTCGGCTGAATCACCAGGAAGGTAGCCATAGATATAGTCATCGGAACAGCATCAAGGCCCACCACAAACCTCTCGTGCGTGATCAGGTATCCTCGCCATCCCTGAAGAAGCTCTATCGATCGATAGACATTGCGCATGATCATCATCGAAATGGCAGTAACAATGGCTATAGTGATGTGCCAAAGTTTTCTGTTACCAGGGTCTCGGAGTTGTGTAGCACCACGGTGCACCACGACGGCAAACAGGAAGCAGAAAACAACCGCAACTCCGAGTTGAGAGATGATGCCGGCGACCATCGTCTTCGTTCCAGGGTCGGTAGATTCGTGCTTGGAGTACGCCGATCCAGCCAGACCCCCGCCCGTCGCTTGCAAGCTCAAGCACACGACATCGGCCACGAAGCACCCGAAAAGGTAAACCGTGGGAGAGAATGGGGAGGTTTTCCTGCCCAAGCCTCGAACCAAAACCCACAGTGCAATATATATTCCTGCCTGAGTCCAAGACGGCCCTGGAAAAGCGCAAAACACTCTCAGTTAGCCATTTTTGAGAAGTCTTCTCTTGAGAACGGCGACAAAAACCAAAACGCCTTCGCGGCCCAAAAGAATGGAAATGCGGTTCGTTCCTTCTGGAAATGTCTGGACACGGAATGTCACTCACCCATGATCAAAGTAGCTGTCTGCATCAGAAAAAGCGAGCGCGAATAGGGACAGTGATATCCTATGGCCCGACCTACCCAGCCGATGGTTTCGATGGTTGCTCCAATGCTGAATAACACGATCCAGTACACTCGGGTTCGCATAACAATCACAAGGTGGCCAATTGCGATCAACCCAAAGATTGTTGAGAACACCACTCCTGCCGCCAGGCTAGGGTGATACCCATAGTTTCCAGGGTCCAAGGCCCTGTTGTAGGCGGCACACGCTGGAGTATTTTCTCTGCGAGTGCTCATGGTGGTAAGAATCCCAACCGCTGCAGCCACGTAAGCGGAGGGGGGCACGCCGACTTTGTGCAACTGTTCGTGAGTAATCAGAAAGATGTCAAATTCCAGAAGTAACAATTATCTCTCCGAGAAACCAAAAAACTGTCAAGCAAGCAGAGAGATGCGACACAGATCTCAGCCTGAGTCGGTTCTTGAGGCCAGCCGTTATTGCGGGCGAAGCACGGAAAGGTCCGAATTCTTTGCTTCTGTAACATGCCAAACTCATGATGCATTAATGGTTATGCGGTTTTTCAGGGACATTTGTAGAAGACTGGAAAACACTCTCTGAACCTCTGCCAATTCCGCACCTCGCGCATTTATCTGTATAGGGCAGTCACTATGTCCGTAAGTGTTGAACAGGCCGAGTTGCGGTCGTTTGCAATGACCGTCTTTACAACTCAATACTCACGCCTAGTGCCTAGCGTCCCCAGCGGAACGCCGACGTCCTGACGCTCCTTACGACCTTTGCAACATGAAAGCCCTGTGGAGGTTCATGGAACGGTTGCAAAGGTCCGCATAGTCGGCCCCAAATGACCGGTGAGGCGAGGGTGCCGAGCCAGGGGTTGCGCAAGGGCGGCATGGCGCAGTTTCCTGATCCGGGCTGATCTTGGCATGGACCACAATAATCTGGGGTTCGTTGATATTGATAAATTCACGGCCGATACCGGCGACGGCGGCGGCCCTGATTTTGACCCGCCACTCAGGCCTTGTGTGTTTCCAACCCGATCAGTTGAGCATAAAGATATCAAAGACATCCAGGTATCTCGTTGCTTACTTGGACAATTTCCGTCAACAGACGCAACCGCAACGACAGCAATAGAGGAAGCCCGCCTTCACGATGCCGACCTTCAATATCGTGGTGTTTGCTGGAGACTACGCTGGCCCAGAGGTTCGCTCACCACCCCATATACCTACTACATGCCGCTAGTTTTTGCTTGCCTGATCTTACTCTAACCCGACATCTTGCCTTGATCTAGGTGACCAAAGAAGCAGTCAAAGTATGCACTCATCCCATATCCACCCGCTGTTATTGCACTGTTGCGCCAGATGAATCCCACTATGTTGTCATTAGGTTTGACACGTTACGGAAAAAGACCAGACTCGATGGCATCCATTCACTGCACCTTTCTGTCGGACTGGGAAGAACTTATGACAGCTAACAAGACGCCTCTACTACCCAGGTCCTGAAAGTCATCGAAAAGTGCTCAAAGGATGTCAAGTTCAACTTCCAAGACCATCTCCTCGGAGGCGTAAGTCACACAATCACCCTCCCTCACGCACCGACCAAACTACACTACGACGCCAGCCCATGCGACCTGCCTTGTACTGATGTCTTCTACTACCTCACAGTGCTCCATCGACGCCCACGGCACGCCATTGACCGACGAAGCGCTCGCGGCCGCGAAGTCCGCACACGCCGTCCTCCTCGGCGCCATTGGCGGGCCCAAGTACGGCGTGGGCAAGGTGCGACCGGAGCAAGGCCTCCTCAAGCTCCGCAAGGAGATGGGCACGTTCGGCAACCTGCGGCCGTGCTTTTTCGCGTCGCCGTCCCTGGCGGCGCGGTCGCCGCTGAAGGAGGAAGTGTGCCGGGGCACCGACTTCATGATCGTCCGCGAACTCACGGGCGGCATCTACTTTGGCGACCGGGTCGAGGGCAACCCGGCCGACGGCGCCGACGAGTTCGCCGAGGACCGCGAGCCGTACTCACGCCGGGAGATTGAGCGCATCACGCGCCTGGCGGCCTACCTGGCGCTCGCAAAGTCGCCGCCCAGCAAGGTCTGGAGCCTGGACAAGGCCAACGTGCTCGCGACGAGCCGGCTGTGGCGCCGGGTCTTCACCGAGACGATGCAGAGGGAGTTCCCGCAGCTCGAGTTCGAGCACCAGCTCATCGACTCGGCCGCCATGATCATGGTCAAGAACCCGCGCGCCCTCAACGGCGTCATCGTCACCTCGAACCTGTTCGGCGACATCATCTCCGACGAGGCCTCCGTCATCCCGGGCAGCCTGGGCCTGCTGCCCAGCGCGAGCCTGAGCGGCGTGCCCGACGGCAAGGGCCTGTGCAACGGCATCTACGAGCCCATCCACGGCTCCGCCCCGGACATCGCCGGCCAGGGCGTCATCAACCCCGTCGCCGCCATCCTGAGCGTCGCCATGCTCCTGCTCTACAGCCTGAACATGCCCAAGGAGAGCGTCCTGGTCGAGCAGGCCGTGCGGATAGTCATTGACAGGGGCGTCGTGACCAAGGACATCGGCGGCACCAGCTCCACCGAGCAAGTCGGGGACGAGGTCGCCAAGGAGCTGGAGTCGTTGTTCGCAAAGGCTTGAGATTCATTTACACGGCACACTCACGCCCTCACAGGTACCTACCTACCTACCTACCTGCCTGCCTGCCTATCTACCTGTTAGATATATGCATGATGAAACTGTATGTATGATCCGAAGTAGCCGCAAAAGGATGCGGCGGGCTCGTTCATGAAAAGTGAAAAATGGAATGGAAACTCATCGGGAGAAATGTGATACAAAAAGCGGAACAATCTTATCAACATGAGATAAAAAACTATCTAGGTCATCAAGTCATATACAATTCTCCTCGTCATCAGGACAGACGCCACGCGGCTTTCTCCTGAAGGATCCCCTTTCTCAGCCTGCGAAAAAAAGAGAAAATTCGCCTGGTTCCCATATCGGTCATCGTTATTTTCGTCCCGTTCCGTGCCATCTCAAGGCTATAAAAACCAAAGACAACATCCAAAATATCCCCGGCCAAGAAAGCTCCATCACCACAGACCAATCACAACCAGCTCAGGTACGTAGTAAAATTGCCAGAGGAATACTCTGCACATATGTGTTATGTGTAGCAAAGTCACGTCACGCAGGTGCACTGTTTGCCCAGGCTCGAATTCTCCTCTCCTCGTCGGTTTCTGTGTTCGTAGCGTGCTCGCCGCCAGCCTCCTGAGCAGCGTGGCGCCTTCTCGCAGTACCGCGTCGCCCAGCTCGTCGGGGACTATCGCCACCGTGGTCCTCCTCTGCAGGGTCCCTAGCGCCACGCTGTCCGAGAAGTTCAAGCATCTGCTCCATTGGGAGCGGAATACCGCCGGGCGTGCGGTTCTCTCTGCCCATGACCAAACCGTTGATCAGGTCTCTCGCGGCCTGTCCGGCCTGTGCGTAGTTTGCCGTCAGGGCTTCGCGGGCCTGTTGTATGAAATTGCCATTCATGTGGTGGATTGCAGCATTGCCAAACGCGTCGTCCCTCTCGGCGTCGTTCCCGAGGCCGAGCTGTTGCATGCGTCGAGCCAAGGCCTCATCCCGTTCGACCTGGTCTCTCCGTCTGTCCATCTCCTCTTGATAGCGGACAGGGTCTCCAAGGTGGGCATCGACGGCCTGATAATTGAACCACGGGCAGTCGCAGGACTTCCACTTGAGGCCACAGATCATGCAGAACTCTGCTGTGCAGCGACACGTCATGTGGTTGCAGCCTTCTTTGAGCTCAACCATGGCAGAGCAATTGTAACACCGTTGCCACCCTTTCTCTTTGGCAACTTGGACAAAGGCCTTCGTCTCGGGATCTTTGGGGCAGTCGCGTGAGACGTGCATCTTTTGCGAACAAATCCCGCAGACCCGCGTCTTGCATTGCTTGCACTTGCCGACCTTTCGGCCGTTCTCGATCTTCATGTAGTGTGGTTTGATCCATGCGCCGCACTTTCTCGCAGGGCAGTATATCCTGTTTTTCGTCTTAAACTCGTCATATTTGCGATTCCACAGGACCTTGAATTTCTGGTCGAATAGTTTGTCCACATGTTTCAGATCTATGTGCTGATCCGTACAGCAGCGGGGTGGCATATGCGCAGGATCTTTGACCGACATGGTGAATATCCGCTTGAGGCATGAGTGACACATGCGATGGGAACAAGGGAGTTTGGCTGACTTGACAATAGGAACGTCGTCTGCTCCACATGTCAAGCAGGAGACTTTCTTTGGAGGTTCGTTGTGTGGGAGAAACATTCCACTGAATAGCCCGGCCGCATTTCTCTGCCCGTCGGAAACATGCGTCAAGTTGCTGGCGCCGACTCCAATTTTGGATTTTAATGTTGTTGTTGTAGTTGCATTGCGCTTCAATGGTGGCCTCTGCGACTTGTCTGCGGACGCAGTACTTCGCTGGACCATTGTCGAGGGAGACCGCGAATCGCGCTGTTGCCTTGAAGTGGCGCGCCCAGAATCTCCACGTTCTGCGTCACGGTCATCATTGGACGTTCTTCGCGTTATAGGTTCTGTGTTCCTGCGCTCGGGGATGTGTCGCCTGGCAGTTGAAGACGCATGGTCTCTGACCGACGTCTTCGATGGTGACTTTGTCGCAGGTCTCGTCGGCGTGTCTCTCCGCACATTGTCTGGCCTCCCGTAAACGTATTCAGATTCGCCATCATCGCGACGCATGCGCTTCTGCGTATCGTTTGTGCGCTTCGCGGGTTTCCGTGAGGGTTTCGTATGCTGAGAGTCTGGACTGCGTTCCCTCATTAATCTATATTGCCGTTCTCGGTCGGCAGCAGTCTGCGACACGGTTTTCGTGCTCTTAACGTATTCATATTTCATCTCTTTCCGCTTCTCCCCAGGGGGCTTTGCTAGATATTCGAGCCTGGCCTTGCGAAGAGTCTCGACATCGAGGGGGCGATCGGCGGCGGCGGAGGATTTCGTCGTTGCACGGTCATCATCACCGGTTTCTTTGAATGATTTGGAAGCACGAGTATCACCATGATCGCGGTGGGACTTCTTCTTTTTCTTCTTGATATCCTCTATTGCCATGGACAAAGCTTGCCTGCGTCAGCAACCACCACTTGACTTGCGCGACCAGCGCAAGAATGTGCGGGCTTCTTGGGCCGCGATGCGAGAAATGTGGCCAATCACTAAGTTGCACACAACTGAATGGAGTGACAGAGAGGTTGGCGACCGCCGGGGGCTTGGTTCAGAATGCTTCTCATGATGGGATTTGATGAGAAAGCACACTTTTGAGAGGCGAGGCAACCAATGGAGGCTGGCCAGCTGGCCTGCAGCCTGAGGCTGGGATACCATGCACCCATGCAAATCGATATGGTGCCAGTCCGGCGACGTTGCCATCTGAAGCCCCGATTGGTTGACACGCGTTAAGATTGTTCCGTGCCGAACTTCAGCCCTGGTCGACTGGGTTCAATACAGCTTGGTAGGTACATCAAATTGTACGTGACACGGTCGCACGAGGTCCAAGGAGTCATGGTTCGAAGGTATACCTCAGACAATTCCTTGAGAGCTTAGCTTCGACTAGTAAGAGGGCCATCGGAAGGTGTGAGATAGCGCGCCCTGCGACAATGTCCATAGCCTTCCTCTACTTGGTCAGTACGCCTATCTGACTAGACTAGAACAGCACTATTACCAAGTCTACAATAGTTTCCTCCACGAGGAGTAGCTCTAGCATCTTTGCGTTGATCTGGAGTCATGTCGGCCTCTGCGATGTATACGAATTCTCAAGCACAAACCTGGAGGTACGAGTACGAGGCGGACATCGGCCTTGCGCAAACGTTTCATGAACGACTTCCCGGATATTGCCCAAGTCCACTGGTGTCCCTCGAGGATGTGGCCAAAGAGCTCGGTGTGAAGGCTGTATATGTCAAGGACGAAAGCAGTCGTCTTGGCCTGCCGGCCTTCAAAATCCTGGGCGCCTCATGGGGCACATTTCGAGCAGTCGCAGATCGTACTGGACTTCCTCTTGACGCGAGTCTCGAAGATGCGGCAAAGGCTGCCCAAGAGTTGGGTATCACTCTCTTTGCAGCAACGGAGGGAAATCACGGTCGAGCCGTAGCGCGAATGGGCAAGATTCTTAACATTCCCACCCGAATATTCATGTCGAGATTTGCCGACCAAGAGACTGTTCAGAAGATCGAAAGTGAAGGTGCTAAAGTCACCGTGATATCCGGAGACTATGATGCAGCGGTTGCGACAGCTTCAGCTAAGTCCAAAGAGGAGCCTAATAACCTCCTCATTCAGGATAACGCATTTGAAGGATACGAGCAGATTCCTGCATGGATCGTCGAGGGTTATTCGACTCTTCTCGCTGAATCCGAGCAGCAGCTAGCAAAGCAGGGACTGAGAGCTACACTGATGGTAACCCCAATAGGAGTTGGTTCATTGGGCCACGCCGTCGTCGCGCATTGTAAATCTGGAGGAAGGCAGATCAGGGTGTTGACTGTAGAGCCCGACACGGCGGCTTGTTTGCACCACAATCTTCAGTCACATGAGTGGAAAACTATCGAAACATCAGCTACGATCATGAACGGCATGAATTGTGGTACTGTGTCACCGATTTCATGGCCGGCTTTTACGAAGGGTGTCGATGCAAGCGTGACGATCTCAGATCTCGAGTGCCACAAGGCTGTTCAATACCTGCAAGCTCACAACGTCAATGCTGGTCCATGCGGAGCTGCTTCTCTTGCTGCGCTACGAAGGGCGAGCACCATCAATCCAGCTGCACTTGGGCTTGATTCCAATGCTGTGGTTGTCCTGTTGAGTACCGAGGGCGCCAGAGGGTACACGCTGCCTCCTGGGGCGTTCGACACTTAGATTGGGCATGTTTCAGCATGGTTTGAATATGCAAAGTCTATTTTGTGAGACTGATTGATCAGTCACCGTCGGCTGGCCATAAACTCGCAAGAGACAGGTATTCTGTATGAGTAGTGGCCACCGGTCTAGGGGACGAACTTCTCCAACGCAGTGGCAGGAGAAAATGCGCTGTATCTCCAGGCATGTTGCAAGCCGAAAGGGGTTCTGATAGAGCTTGGTATTCTCCTTGATTGAACAGTGCTATTTGCATCTAAGCAACAGCCTTGGCCTTAATCATCTATGATCTGCTTTGTGTTGCCCCAACTTGCTGAGCCTCTAGCATGGACTTCATTCTCACCTGTTCAGAGACCATTCCGTAAGCAGCTGAAAGCGCAGGGTGATTGGTTCTAATTATTCAGCACCCTCCCTCTTTGAACATCATTCTCCATCCAGAAGACTGCACTTGCCGGCACCTTTCCCTCCCGAGTTCCTTACATCCATTTCCAACGAGTCAGCCGGCGAGAGACCAAATGCTGTGTACCGTCGTTGGTGATATTTCTTGAGTCCAATTCATGATCGTCAATGGACGAACCATTTAACACTTTTTGGTCATCCTGTGGATGTGCCACTTGCATTTTGCCTTCTTCTGCTGCAAGGGCAGCTTCGTGGCCGTCTCGGGATCTGCAAGGCATCTGACCAGATTTTCTGCGAACTCACCCCCGTCCCGTACCATTTGAGACAGCTCGTGATTGACCTCCTGAATGTAACGGTCCCAACCAGTTTCGCGGATTGACGAGGCTAAGACCCTCATGATCAGTGCTCGCAGGCCCTCATCGCTGGACTGAACAGATTGGAGCGCATGCAGGTACTTGATCCAGGGCATGTCTTCCAGTGCCACACTGCAGAAAGAGTCAAGAAGTGCATTTGCCCAGTCTTCCAGCTCAACCTTGACAGCAAAGCAGTATGCATTGACAATTTCGGTGCCAATTCGAATGCCTTCATCACCAACTTTTGCAAGGTCTGCATAAGAGTAGGGCAAATTGTTGAAGTAGAGCCAATTAATGAGTTGCTCTCCCACCCCTTTTCGCTCGTGGCAGATCAAGACAGGTCCATCCTCTTCAGTTGTGGGTTGTCTCGCGAACCACTGGCTCTGGTAAAGGATGTCTCTGTGGACGATGAAGTTGTTGATGCTGATTTTTTTGGCGCTCCCATCGACGGCACTTAACTCCACAAACTTCAAGGTGACCGTTTCTGTGGGGAAAGAAATGCTGTTATACTCAGTCACCAATATGAGACTCAGAGCATGAAGATGCCCTTACCTTTTCTTACGATTCAACGCCATGGTTGCACACGGGCCGCGCGCCTCGCGCCTCTGACCGGCACCGATATGAATCTGTCGGAGGAAGAGGGAGAGATAGTTGTCGAGGAAAGAGAAGTACAATTGAAGACGACACAGGAGGAGTGCAAAATCACCAAGCCATGAAGTGGAAATGATGTGAGTAAAGATTCATGGCGGCTCTGGTCAACCAGCCGAGTGAAGTCACCGACGCGTGACATTCGTTCTAGTATGCATTCACTTTTGAATTCTTTAAGATTCAAGAGTTCAGGCCCTGGCTCTTCGGTATTGTCGCATTCAATGACTACATAGCTCCTCGAGATCTGTAGATGCTGAGAGGGTAAAGACTTCTGGCCAGTTGGTGGGCCAATCACGACGTGTTCCCCCTTTCTCTGGAGAGCCTCGTTCAGAACGACTACCATTTCAAACATCCCTAAGGTTCCATATAAGCTTGCAGATCGACTAGTTGAAGCTTCAGACATGGCTGCAAGCACCAACATGGCCGAGCGGGATAACTATAGACTCGAAGTAAAAGTGTTTTGCCCGTCATCAGGACGGAGCGGTAGTACCAAAGCGGTAGTACCATCTAACGTCTCAGTTGAAAGTCGCAGCCTCGTCACATGACATACAGCCTCGTCGACGTCATTTATTTGTTGACATTGACATGTTCCGCTCCTTAAACTCAACGTCCTCCAAAGTTGCGGCCAGATGATCTCTACACAACACCAATAAGCAGAGAGAGTAGAGTACTATCCACCATGACATATTCCTGTACTTGAATCATAGATATACGATATATCATCCTCAGGCCACTACTCCCAGCCAACCATCAGACATGGCACCATCTTTAATCCAACTGCCATTCATCTCCTCCCTGCTACATCTGCTTCCAGGGACACCTCCTGAAACTACCTCAACCGCCATCTCTACCACCACTGTTCAATCATGTCCCAATCCACCGTCCCTCTCCTGCCCGTTCCCTCCACCTCGCGAGATCAATACGTGCTGCGTGAACCACCCGTCAGGCCACTTTCTCCAGACCCAGTTCTGGGACACCTCGCCGGCCCTTGGGCCCAACACGTCCTGGACGATCCACGGTCTCTGGCCAGACCTCTGCACCGGAGGCTTCGACGAGTTCTGCGACTCGACGCGCTCTCACCCTCCCGGCGCAATGCGCGAGTTGATCACCACGCTCCTCAACCACACGCACTCAGACAGCAGCACGGCGCTCCTGGACTTTATGGACGAGTACTGGCTCTCACTCAACTCGGACCCGGCACACCTCTGGGCGCACGAATGGAACAAGCACGGCACATGTGTCTCGACTCTCGAACCGGGATGCTACCCAGAAGAAGCGCTATCAGGAGATCATGTTTCTGAAGGTGATGGTAGTGGTACCATTACTGGTGGAGGAAGTAGTAGTATTGGTGGTGATAGTGGCGGCGATCTCGACCTGGGCATCCTAGACTACTTCATCCACACGACATCCCTCTTCCGGACATTAGACACGCACGCCATCCTCTCCGAAGCCGGCATCGTCCCGTCTCGCGACGTACGCTACACGCTACAAGACCTCGAAGACGCCGTCTCGTCGTCACCACACGGCCACGCCGTGACGTTCCGCTGCACGCACTCTGGCGAACTCAATGAGATATGGTACCATTTCTCCGTCAAGGGCCCGTTGAGGAACGCATACGCCCGCGACGACGACGCCCTTGCCACCACCACCACCACCACCTCCTCCTCCCCGGCACCACCACATCAGCATCACCTCCACGACAGCAACAGCCTTCCGTTCCTCCCCGCCGAAACTGTCCGCGAGATATTCGTCCCCACGGACCCTGACGGCGCGAAATCCAACTGTCCAGCCAGCGGGATCAAATACTTGCCCAAAAACGACAAAAGCCCCGATAATCCCGGTCCGTCACCGCCTACGCGCACATCAACCGTAACCGCCACGAGCACGCCTACGAGTACATCCCCGCCGTTCACGGGCAAGGGCCATCTCGCGATTCATGTTCTCGACGACGCCTCGAGTTTGACTTCGACTTCGATATCTGCAACACACGACGACTCCGCCGCCGATGACTCCGTACGGGCACCGGCAGCACAGAACCAGAAATCTCTCGCCGCGCCGGTTGCGCCACGCGCCCCATCATCATTGAGCGAGAACCCACCATCGGATCAAAACTTGGGTTGTCTCATCCGTCTGGGCCAGTGGTACGTCTCGGGAACCTGCGCCACCTTCACGGCACAATCCGACGTTGTCGATCCAGGCCACGCACCGCTCTTCTCCCTGTCGTCCAGCTATTCCCCGTGCCTCATCGATAGAGCCACGGCCAGGTTCGAGTGCACCAAGTCCACCTCTGTGCAGAGCATCTTCTCTTCGGACCCTCAAAACCCTCATGTCCTGTCCTACCAAAACAAGACGACTTTCTACGCCGACCACGTGCCGAAACGGTTCGACAAAGTCGACGTGTATGCAGATGATGCTGATGGTGCAAGAAGTGTTCGGCTGGAAATTCATTGGATACCTACATAGAACCGTTTCGCACAGCAAGAGGTTCCTTGCTGCCGTTTAAACAGCTTGAGTTCCATGAGACTTGCAGGCAAACATCTATCTACCTTCGTTCTATTCGTGCCTCGATGATGGCAGATCCTCACTGCTTCCTATGCTCATTGCTCCAACCCTACGCCCCATCTTCTTCACTTCTCGCACCCCAGCTCCAAACAAATTCCTCAACATCTCTCCACTGGACTGCCGCTCTGACTTTCTCCAAGAGCGAATCACTTTCTCTTTCTCTCCCTGCACAGTGACCATTTGAACTCGCGGGAAGAAAGGTTGCGACTTTCTCTCACAAGGGGGTATTGTATGGCCACTTTCCATCATAGCGCAGTCAAGGCTCCTAACCACTTGGTCTAGCTTTCGGACTTTCTTCCCAAATATCAGGCTTCGATCTTTCTCGACCATTGTTGTAGTCGTAAGGGTGGACTGCGATTCGGGACTGCGGCTCTCGCTGTTGACGAGACCGGGAGAGGACATCTGTGAACCCGACCGCCTGTGCGTTGATCTATTTTGGCTTGCTGAAGGGGGTTCTCTGTCCCCAGCAGTAGACCCTGCCGATTCGGGAGACAGTCCGATGTATGACACTCGCCGCTGGTGCGCGTTCGGCGCCGTCGAGTTTGATTGGTGGTTGGTCTTGATGTATGGTGGCAGTTGTCTGCTACTGAACTTTGGAATGAATGACGCCAGATTACCGGTGGTCTTGCTCTTCGCAAGAGCGCCTTTGCCCTCAAAACTCCCGGAAGATATGCTCATCGCGGCTTCGGCGTTGATACTGGAAAGCCACCTGTTAGGCGTTGAGGGGGTCCACAGCAGGTTAGGCACATTCAATGCGTCTCCAGATTTTCGACCACCGCCACCAGTCGTCCTTAATATTGATCCCGTATCGGAGACTCTTGATAAAGAGTTACTTTCTCGGTAAAGACTGTGGTGAGATGTACCAATCTTCTTCAGCAGACCGGTTTCGAAATGCTCGAAGCTTTCAAGTGCATCATGAGTCATGCATGATCTTCTAAGCTCGTCTAATGCCAGCCGGATTCGTGCTTTTTCACACGCATCAAAGACCATATCCATGGCCTGAGTAGAAGACTCTACCGGTGGAAGAAGTTTGTTGTTCTTTAAAGGTTCACTTCGGATCCTGTCACACACTGACAAATAACGACCAGACCAATACTGGGAAGACTTGGCACCATGATCATAATGCCTCTGTAACCAAGTTAGCTGAGCTAAGAGGCACAAGTTACAGAGACACTAGCACACCTGCTGGAGCCTCTCGAGAACAGGTCCGCTCTGATTAGACCTTGTATCACTTGTTGTTGTTGTTACGCTCGAAGGATGGTGATCGACACACTTTTTGTTGTTAGCCAGAGTTGGATCGATCGGGTGATGGTGGTTGTCTGTGCCAGTCCTGTCAAGATCTTTTCGTAGCGTGTCAGATGCGCCCAGTTGTATCGGAAGTGTGAGACTCGGTGTTGTTTCGTTCGTTTCGACAGTCAGATATTGGTAAAACCGGCCTGAATCACGCCCATCTCTTGATCTTTCTTTCAGTCGGACACGGTTGACAGCAGCCTCCATTTGTCCTTGTCGCATCATCTCCACCTCCTCATCTGTCATTCTACATTCATTTAGCACTGTGGCAATGTCTAGCTGGCTCGTATCTTTAGGAAATCTCTTGGAGTGTGAGAGCTTCACTGAAGTGGGCATTCGAGGAGAAGGAGTCGGGTCAGTCGATCCAAAGCACGTTATGTTGCCCAGAGTCTGTGTTCTCGGGAGTGGAGGTCCTAGTGGCTGGAGTAAACGCCTCGGTCTGATATCACGGGGAAGGTTAATGAGATTGGATATGGTGTTCGACTTTGGAAGGCCAAAGCTATGCGTCGCTTGATGCGATGATGCCGAATCCGAAGCCTTGAGGGAGCCGCAAGACAAATGACGGTCATACGGTTGGAGTCGAACAACCGGCCCATCCTCAGGGTGTCGCAGACTATACGGGGAGTGGGTTGCCGAGCTGGTGGCAAAGGGTCGGGATAAAGACTTCGAAGAAGACGGAGGGTCTTCGGAAGCGATCCAAGACTTCGAATGATCATGCTCAGGGCTGAAGCCTGTTCTGCTGAGATCTGATCCCACTCTATTCCCCCTAATGCCACTTGACGTAGCGCGACGGGCTGTACCTGCTGTAGGATGAGGAATGGCAGAAACTGATGATCGACAGCTCCGGGCACTGATAGCGGCTTGGTCAGGCGAAGTAGGTGTACGTGCTTGCGCATGTGTGGGACGCATGATTTCCTGTGATACACGACGACTGGGCTGACGCAGTAGTTCATCCTTTGGCAAGCGAAGAAATTTCAGACTTGAGTGATGCGGAAGTGGTTCGCAGGAGGAAAAGTCGGCGCCGGTTCCTGCCTCACCGTCTCTCGCACAAGTCGTGCCTTCCATGTCTGCGCTCAACGAGAAGGGGGAAAGGAAAAGAGATCGTGTTACGGTCAGCTCAACCAACAGACAGGACTTACTGGACTTCTGCGGATACGGAGTATTCACAATCAGCAAGTTGTGGCAGACAATGCTGTGGCATTAACCGCCAAAGGGTGGCCATTTCACTGATGCACAGAAAGTGCGCCACTCGAGGCGTGTCCATCCGAACGCGACATTGCGTCTTCCTACCTCAGGAGACCGTGCGAAGAGAAGTCACAATAGCAGGCTCGAGTTCAGTCCAGCTACAAATTCTATGCCGACATGTCGTTTGGTGATATCGGGAGAGACATTCCTCGACGCGCTGGTGGCGATGTGCTTCAGCCTTGTTGAAGTCCACTAAACTGCATTCGGCCAAGATGTATATCACAGCATCGAGTCTCCAGCCTTGTCCACAATGATGTAACTTGGGTGCTTGTGACATCACGGAAGAAATTGATATTTCTGCTGGGTATAAGTACGCAGTGTGGCCTTTGAGTTGAGCTGCTCACTGGACTATTTCCTGTTGTAAAAGATTCGCAAGGGCTACTACACTATCACTTCCAACAGCCATACCGAAATATAGCCAGCCAGACCTCCGTTAACCTGCTCCTATCTCCAATCATCACAATGTCTGGACAGGACAAAAGCCAGAACCTAATGGATATTGCGAAGCAGGCCGAGAAAGATCTTGCGTCCGACTATCTGAAGCATGGAGCCGGAGACGGTGGTTTCGGAGGGAAGACTATCCCTGGAGGCAGTCTCAGCAGTAAGTGCCTTTCATCCACCGCCGCAGTCCTCGACTCACACTCTTCAAGCCGTCGAATCTGGCATTGACCAATCCGTTACGAAGAAATTCCCTGGAAGCACCGCCGAATACGGCAGCAAGGTCTCAGGAGCAGGGAACAACCGCGAAATTCCCTTAGAGGAGGGTGGCGACATTGTGAAGGGTGTAGGGAGACTCACAAAAGCTGGGGATTTTGACCAAGGAGAGCCGGGTGAAGGCCCAGAAGATGTTGCTGCCAAACGAGCCCAGGAGCGGCCCGGAGACGATGATGTACGAACCCACATCAAGATCACATAGGCCGGAAGGGGAAAAGTAAAAAATTGGGCTTTGTATTATAGCACTCAGGCATGATGTGGAGTATTGTACATACCAAACGGGCGAACACCGTGTACGCAATGTTACAAAACCTACCGAGCACACCTTTTTCGTGGTAATATCCTCATAACAAATGTTCCTCGTCACCAAACGCCATGCTCATAAACATTCGACGCTGTCCCAACGACGCTTCACAGCGCCTTAACAGACTGGAAGAAAGGGTTGGCCATCAAAGCGGAATCGGCTTTGACCAAGTCCCTCATGAGCTGGAGCTTTTGATCCTTGCTCATCTCTCGTCCCTCGACTTGGCTCTTCCAAGTTTTCAGCATTGCCTTCAGCAGCTTACCTCCTTCCTCAGCGTCTTCCTTGGAGTACTCCTCTTTCTTCTTCTCCCCAGTCGCCGTCGTGAAATCTTCGAGCTCTTCAGCCTTCCGTCGCGCCATGTTGACCACCTTTTCTGGGAATCTCACAAGTTCGGCAACGTGAATACCGAAGCTCTGGTCGCTGATTCCAGCTTCAACTCTGTAGAGCAGGGTGACCTCTCTCTTTTCAGAGGTGTCGCCGCTAGCTTGGTCCACAAAGGCCACGACGTGTAAGTTCTTGACTGCCTTTGGGTACTTGTCCGCCAGAGCAGTCAATTCATGGAAATGCGTTGCAAAGCACCCGAAAGCGCCAATTTGAGCCACAATTTCTTCGCTGATGGCCCAAGCCAGACCGAATCCATCGTAGGTGCTTGTCCCTCGACCGAGTTCATCAATAATGATCAGTGAGTCTCTGGTGGCACTTTTCAAGATGTTCGCCGTTTCGAGCATTTCGGCCATAAATGTCGAGACACCTTTGAGTTGGGAGTCAGACGCTCCGACACGGGCGAGTATGCAATCAAAGATGGTCAGTTCTGCCTCGGAACACGGCACAAAGCACCCGATTTGAGCCATCAAGGCGATACACCCAATGGTGCGAATATAGGTAGATTTGCCGCCCATGTTTGGACCGGTAATAATCAAGAATCGTGACTCATCTCGTTTCAGTTCAACATCATTCGTGATGAAGTTGATATCATCCTGGGCCTCCATGCATGGGTGTCGGGCTTCTTTCAAGATGGTGTCACCGGTTCCACGCTCGTGCATCTTAGGCCGAACATAAGCGGTGGGTGCATGCACGGACACATGTGCCAGGCTCACGACTACATCCAGGTGGGCGATGATAGCAGCAAGTTGTTCGATGACTGGTGTGTACGAAGATGCCACGGAGACCACCTCAGCGACAAGTGAGCCTTGCGTGCGGTTGTATGCTGTTGAGAATTGGTCATGTTCTCGTCTTAATTCTTGCAGCTTCGAGGTCGTAAAGTAAACTCCGTTCTTTTGAGTCGAGATCTCTTTGTACAATGGTTTATTGCGTATGCACCCAGCTTCGGTACGAGTAAGTCTGAAACAATAACCATGGACTCGGTGGTTTTCCAGGAAGAGTTTCTTGTCCAGATCCTGGTTCAGGTCTTTGCCCGCTCGACGGTGCTCACTATCCATGTTATTCTTGAGTTGATCAAGTTTGCTTCTAATCATCCTGAGTTTGTCGTCAAATTCCGGTTTGATTATGAACTCGTGTCGGTCTAGTGCATCAAGATCGACTGTGGTCTCGACCATCTCTGCGAGCTTGCCTAGAAAGTTCGACAACTCTTTCAGTTTCGAAGTATACTGTGCTTCCAGCGGTATCTGATATTGCTCGTCCACGACGGTCTCTAGAGCTTCGATGAACCCTGGGAGCCTAATCACGACTTGATAGGCACGCACAACGTCTTCAAGGTTGGCCATCTTGCGTTGGAATTTCTTTGCGAGACGATACAGGTCAGGGATGGAGCGCAGGTGTTCCTCTTGCATCGTCTGCCGGAGTTCAGTGTCTGTCACAAAAGCCTCTACAAGTTGTTGTCTCGTCTCAATCGCCTCCAGGCTCATCAGCGGCTGCTTCAGCCACTGTGCCAGCAGCCGACCTCCAATGGGTGTCTTACAATGATTGAGAAGACCGAACAGACTCATGCTCTTAGCGCCATCGCGTGGACCAGGCATCAAGTTGAGGGCTCTTAGAGCAGCTGCGTCCAGCTTCATGAAGTGGCTCAGGTCGTGCTGGTAGAGTCGATATTGGCCGAAGTTGTTTGGATCTGTCATAACACCAAGGTACTTGATCAGTGCAGCAGCGCTGCCCATGGCAAGCTTGAGGTCAGTCTGTGGCAGCAGCCCCATGGAATTTTCGCCTTTAAGCAATCGAGACAGGTCTTGCTCAATATCTTTGGTTCCGTAGTCGCCAGCGGCTCTTTCAGAGATTGCCACTCCACATGAATCGGCTATCTGACGGATTTTTGCGAGTTCAGGGTCTTTTTTCTGTCCGTCGCTCGCCACGACACATTCTTTGACACCGAGTTGAATGAGCAGGCTTTCGAAGTTTGAGTAGAGATCGTTGTCGAGGAATTCGCTCACACCAAGCTCTCTGACGCTTGCATCCGCAAAACACACTCCAACATTTCTGGCTTCCCCCGTCTTCGCGCTGACTTTCACAGCGAGAATGATCGGTGCACTATCACCTTGGCTGTCTATGCCTGAACCCAGCTCTTCCTCGACAGCCTGTAAATTTCCAGGGCTCGCTTCTCGAGCCAATTTCCATTGCCCTTTACCGCTGGCTTCCCAGATCTCTACTCTTTGACCCAACTTGAAGAGTGCTTCGCGGAGGAGGTTGCGGAAGACTGTCGTGGTCATCGTAACACTGGGTAGCGCATTTTCGCTGCGGCCCAGGTTACGGAGGACGGCAGTGGTCTTGTATACTGTGCGTGCAATGAATTCTGCATCTTCGCCATGAGCCGAGTACCAGTCTGCTCTGTCAAAGACACGAATTGTACTGGTTCCCTCTGGTTTTGCTGGTAGGGAACGAAAGGTGCGGATGAAGCCACCTTCATCGTCGACCTGCGGCGTGTTAGGGGTGACTATCCGGAAATGAGGCCGGGGCGAAGGATACCTTGAGTTCTGGTCTCGATGCCATGTTGATCTTGTTACACTGCGACTTTGCTGTATCTACAACATGCACAGCAGATGGAACGTCGCCCTGTAGACTTTCGAACACGCGGACGCGTAAAGGGCCATGCGACGCGATCTCTTGGCATTTCAACTGCGGAGTCGGTGACATTTGTTATCGACAAGCCAACCGTGAGCAATTCTCGGCGATTGATAAGACGTTGTCCTGCTTCTTATGTTAATGAGAGCACCTCAACATGCATCGTGGCTATGGACCATGAAGCTTGTAAACATCGACAAACCGGCTCATGGTCAATGAAAGTCTAACAATGCAGGAGGACGATCAAGCTCCTCGTAGACGGCGTTTCAAGATACAAAGTGAGTTTGGCAGCTCTAGACAGTGGCGAAGTCGCAAAAGTCGTCCTTGCGATGTTTGTCGAAAGCGAAAGACAGCTTGTGTCATAGAGGAGCAGCCTCCATGTGAGTAGTCTGAGGCATCGAGCGTTTTGATTGGAGGCTTACCCAGGGTTGGGAAGGTCTGTTCTGCAAAGGAAGAAACATAACATGCGAGTTCACCCCTGAATCACTTCAAGAGCGTCAGCCTAGCAAAAGGAGCAAAGCTCATGATGAAGAAGCATCGCCTGCGGTGGTGTCAGACGGCAACTCTACTTCTCCTCTCGAAAGCACCCCATCGATGCATACAAGTCCCAGTGAAAATGGGCGCACGTCTCTCCATTCACCAGTTGCATACCTGCGGAACATAGACATCCGAGACGATCAGCAGAGAAATGGCTTCATGACTATCAACAGCCATGATGGTCAACCCGCAGAGCCCATAGTCCAGACCCTCGAAGATGGGAAGGACATGACTGCTCATTCTTTGGGCCTTTGCTCAGAACAAGACACAAATCTGCTTGCTTCTTTCCGCTCTGTCATCATGAATGAGACGAATCGTGTCGCTGGAGACATCATGCAGGTGCACCCGGGGAGTTGTGAAAGCGGTACACCTCCAGTACATTTTTTCATCCTCCGAGATTGGTTTATGCCATACGACAATCAGATCAAGGACGAAGCTTCTCGGGTGATAGAATCTACGGTAGAGCCGTACGGTCCCGACCTGGTTCGACTATACTTCAAGCACGTCCACCCTGTCAACTGTGTTGTATCGAAGGTGCGTTTTCTTCGAGCCTATAAAGAAGACAAGCTGAGCATTCCCGCATCCCTTCGCGGTGCGATCTATGCTATGGGAGGTGCTTTTTGGAACCAAGATCCTGTGTTGAGAACAGTACCTCGAAACTTTGAACAATACGAGCTCTTCCAAGCCGCCCAGGCCTCTTTGGAAAGAGAACTCGAAGCGCCAAATCTGTGGAGGACTCAGGCTTGCCTGCTCATGATTCACGAGAGGGCAGCTAACAACACTACATTCGAGACGCCACGGTTATGGACACTTTCTGCCCGAGCCGTTTCATGCGCACAAATGGTTGGTCTTCATCGGGACCCATCAGAATGGAATATTGCGCCGTGGGAGAAAAGCCTGCGGAGAAAATTATGGTGGTCAACTTACGTGACGGATATGTGGACATCTGTGTCGCACGGGAATCCACCTCATATATATCGAGCTTCGTACACAACCTCAGACCTGAGTATGGATGACCTGCGAGTCGATGAAGATGTTCCGGAAGACCTCGCAGATATGGTTGATGAGTCGAGTAGTTGTTTCGACGCGTCCACTGCAGCACGCTTTCTTGAGATGGTCAAACTAACGCAGCTATTGCACACAATACTGGAGACATCCTTGTAATGACTCTTGCATCGCCCATTATACGAAAGAAGGCTAATCTTTTCGTGACAGTTATGATGAGAGTTACCGTAACACAATGCTCAACCCTGCAGTGCAGGAGATCAAACTCGTCGACATTCAGACGCGTCTCGAATCCTGGCATTCTCTCATTCCCCACTGTGTAACTATGGGTTACAATAGCAGTATACGCAGCTTTCGAAATAATGGTACGTTCTCATCGGTATCGTGAGAAGTCTTCCGTCTCAGGCTGATGTTGTTACAGGGCCGCTTCATCTTGCATACTTCGCTGTTCAAATCATCCTGTTCCGAGCTTTGATGACACCGGCATCTATGACAGCAAAGTACAGTCCAAAATCATCCCTTCAACGCTACTTTGGTGCGGCAATGGATCAGGTCGAAGTCTTTCTTGCTTTTATGGATGGTATCACTGCAGAAAGTCTTCGAGCGTTCTGGGGTCGACGTAAGCCTGCCTGCTGAGTCTCATGTTCAAACTGGCGACTGCGCTAATAGCATCTAGATGGTCGATCCCAACTGATTCTGATCGGCAATTTTTTGATCTATCTATTCCTACTATCTTCTAACCCGGAGCAAGTCCACGCCACTTTCCGACTCCTAGAGCGTTTCCACGAGTCACTTCAACGAATTGGCGAGCACGTGGATGAAGAATCAGTATGTCTGATCCGACCAGTGGCGCTGCGGATCGATTCCTTCTTCACCCAGGCAGCAAAGATCATGAGAAGAGCTTCGACCTCTGGATCATATACAGCCGGCAGCGCCGTAAGCACGTCACCTTGAGTGTAACACAAGCAATAGAATCTTGGTGTGGATACATCTACAGGCCCTGCTTTGCGTTTAACAGGTTATGGCTTTGTGATGGCATGATTTAATGAGACAATGAACATGACTATGCATTCTTACTAGCATTCCTCTTTTAGCCGTTGGGCTTTGGGCCATATTCGCTGACAATCGATTTGGCCTCAACATCTTTTGAGGCAAACATTGAGCCACCTCGAACCAGGCTGACTACCAACAGGATAGCGCTTGGCAGGAAGTCAATTCGTCGGACTAGTCAAAGGACATGGTGGATCACACAGCCATGTGAGAGATGAGGTCTACAGCCGGCGAGTTTGTCCTAAATGGTGCGTTGAAGAATCACTCATCATCCCCGAAGAACACCTTGATCGGCATCCAAGAATCATTAACGACCTTGAACCGAGTCTTGATCCCCGACAAAGCTTCCATCTCACTCTTGGTCAATGTCCAGCCGTCCAAGTCGAAGTTTTCTTCAATTCTGGAAAAAGTTACACTTTTCGGAATTATGCTCGATCCTCTCAGCAAGCTCCACATAAGTCTTTGGCAATTGTCAGCGCGCTCTAACTTATGTCAAAGATATCATAACTTACAGAATCTGGGCTGGCGTCTTCTTGGTTTTGGCTGCTATCTGAGATACCACAGGTTCATCGAAAAGTGGATTATCAGTTGCTCCTCCGAGGCAGGAGTATGCTGTGCAGTGAATCGACTTCGATCGGCAGTACTCCAGTAACTTAGACCTGTTGAACGGGTTAAATTGAAGTTGCAGACAACAGAAAGCGTCAACATACGATGGATTCGCTGGATGCAGCTCAATCTGATTGACTGCCGGAACTACCTTGCAGGACGGGTCGTTGAGAAGCGTCTCAAGGTGACGGATCTGGAAATTCGATACACCAATGTTCTTGACTTTCCCGGTGTCCAGAAGCTTCTGCATTTCCTGCCTTTATACAAACTCCAGTCAGCTATGGAGTAACGCACAACACAGCACAAAACTTACCATGTCTTTACAAAGTCCCAGTCCGGCAAATGCTTAGAAGGGTCGGAAGGGTCAGTCGAGCACGGAAAATGTACCAGATACAGGTCGATGTAATCGATTCCGAGATCGCCCAGTGACTTTTCAAAGCCTTCACGCACCCTGTGATGCCAGGGATTGTCGAGTTTAGTGGTCACCCAGAGTTGATCCCGCGCCACTCCCGAATCACGAATGCCCTGGCCGACCTCGATCTCATTTTGATAATTCAACGCGGTATCTATGTGTCGGTACCCTTTCTGGATCGCATGACACACTGCTTTCCGGACCAAATCAGGCGGAGATTTCCAAGTTCCCAGTCCGACCGCTGGAATCTCAGCTCCAGTGTTTAAGGTGAATGTCTGCGACGTGTGGTTCAACGAGGTCATGATTGCCAGCGATACTGAATGATTTTCCCTGGTGAATACACAATTATCACCAGAGTTGCTACATACACACATGTATATCTTCGACAGCGTCGGCAAAGAACAAAGTATTGGACTTGAATGATCACTGCATCTTCTGAAGAGCCCCACGCGGATCTCGAGTTAGTGTCGTCTTGTGGTCCTGATCTCCGTAAAGCCTCCACCCGAGATAGCCCTTTCTCTCCAGATGGTGGAAACCTGTATGCGTACGATATCAACAATTTCAAAGGTATCTTGTCCGGCCCACCCTCCCATTACCGATATTGGCACCATACTAATCGACCAGTGCATTTGGTCGAAAGTCCGCAAGTGGCACGCTGACTGCGGAGTACTCTAGTTCGGCGACGTCCTTGTTCGGGCCAATCAAATACGCTCCTTAGCAGTTGAGAAACCCTGATCGGCCAACTCATGCATTGGCATTGCGATCGGTCAACTACAGCGAACTACGAGTAGTTACTGCTCCCTGTCCCAGTGAATTAGGGTACTCATTTGGAACTTATCATGATCGGCCAACAATTTAACCACCCACGCGTCGACCGACGTTTGGCATGGGTACGAGTTGGCGGACAGCCCGCATACGGACTTATGTATAAGCAGGTCTCCCCAGGGGATTTTGCCCCATCGAGAGTCGACTTTGACAACGCTATTGTGTAACGCTTTTCATAAGAGGATCTCTCGTACCTCTGCGCAGCGCCCCAGCTGAACTAGGCTCCGTGCGAGAATATCACAATTATGGGTCGCAAGTGGGAGCAGTTAAAGGTGCGGCTTCAAGTGTAAGTTGCGATCACCTTCAACAACCTACGGATGGGTGCAGAGGCAACACTGGACGATACTGACTGGTATCGTTGTCGCTAGGCCAAAGGATGAAGACTCTTACTACGAAAACACCAGATGGTGCAATCGAGACTTGATCCCTATGCCTCCGGAGAGACGAACCTGGGGTATATGGGGGTACTGTGGTACGAAGAAGTCGATGTTCACAACGCTGAATGCTTTCAGGAGCATAATGTTGACGATGAGCAGGATACTGGACTGTCTCTGGCTCATGCATCTCGGCATGGTCGACGGGAAGTACTCTGCTCGCCTTCGGGCTCAGCCCACAGCAAGCCATCGGCGTCGTGGTCCGTTGGTTACCATTTCTACCTTGCTTTGCAGTGCGACTAATGCAAGATTTTAGATTGTCGGAGGTATACTCACCGGCCTGTTGGCTGTGGCTTGCGGTTGGATGGGTGAAACCCATCACATTGGCTTCACAGTGTCTTCTCGGTTCTCGTGGGGTATGAACGGGTCTTATTTTCCTGTCATTCTTCGAGTGTTTGTTGCTTGCATGTGGTAAGTCGCTGTGCTTCCTCTCTCCGTTACCTTTGTCGACGCCGACCGAGTTCAATTCAGCGTACTGATGGACATTAGGTTTGGCATGCAAGCTTTCTGGGGCGGTCAAGCGACACGGGTGCTATGGGGCGCCATCATTCCAGGTACGAGCCTCTTTCCTTCCCACGCAAACTGAAATTTCATGGTTCGCTCAATATGCTAATTGTGGTCTTACAGGCTTCGCCAACATGAGGAACTTCTTCAGCGCAGGCTCCCATCTCCTGACCAAGGATTTCATCGGATTAGTCATATGGATGATCGCGTTTATCCCGCTTGTCCTCGTACCTCCTGAGCGGCTTCAAGTCCCCTTCGCCATCTCCTTTTTCTTATTTGCAGGATCCTGCATTGGACTACTGGTCTGGTAGGTGGCACTCTTTCACCTACGACTGCCCAAGGAAGGTACAGATCTAACAAAACTATCATAGGTCCGTCCACAACGCTGGCGGCGCAGGGAGACTGTTCCACGAGCCCGGAAGTGCCGAGAACACTGGATGGGCATTCATGTTTGGGATCACCGCAATTCTCGGTGCCTGGGGAGCCGGCACACTAGGCCAGTCGGACTGGACTCGTTACGCCAATCGCAAATTTGCACCGACCGTATCTCAGATGGTGGCTGCACCCATTACCATCGCGATCACCGCCATCATTGGCATCATTGTCACGAGTGCCTCAGCCGATATCCTGGACGGTCAACTCGTGTGGAATCCAATCTACCTCCTCGCCGAGATCCAGGACGAGTACCACTCCAGCCCGAGGTCCAGAGCAGGAGTCTTCTTCGCGAGCCTGGGGTTGGTCAGCTCACAGTTGGCGGTAAGTACCCCTCGTACCATGGTTTCCCATGTGACCAGCAGCCTCATAGCTTCACATGACTTTAATTTCTGTCCTGAATCCGTTGATGTTGGGACCGGTCGTTGACCCTCTCTGACACGATCCCAGATCTCCGTCGTGCTGAATTCTGTCTCGTGCGGTATGGACATGGCCGGTCTCTGGCCCAAGTACATCAACATCAGAAGGGGCAGCTACATCATGGCTTGCATCGGCATCGCCTGCCAACCGTGGCAACTGATCAGCACCGCCGACAAATTCCTCAAGGTCTTGAGTGGGTTCGGAGTATTCATGGCACCAGCTACGTATGTGGTCCCGAAGATCCTTATTTTTCCCAACAAAAGGTACACTCCAAGCTAACGTGGGAACTGTTCGCGCTGTGGTAGAGGTGTCATGCTGGCAGACTACCACGTCGTCCGTCGGCGGAAACTGAAGCTCAACGATCTCTACACCGGTAACGCGTCGTCAATCTACTGGTTCAACAAGGGCGTCAATTGGCGTGCAATTGTTGCTTTCATCTCTGGCGTCTGGCCATTATTGCGTAAGTAACTAAAAATTGCCCTGTGACGAACTTCTTCCTTTTCTTTTTCAGTGTTTACACATCAGGATTTCGTTCGACTTTAGAAAGAATTGCTGCTGACACCTCACTTTTCTTGCTTCACAGCCGGTCTAGTCGGCACGGTCGACAACTATACCGACTCTTCATTCACGGGCTGGATTCGGCTGTACAATCTCACCTTCATCGTTGGCGTGGCCATGAGCTTTGCCATCTTTTGGGCCCTGAATTACTTTTTCCCGCCGCCCGGCCTGGGTCAGGAGGCTCCGTTTGTGGACGAGGTTCTCTCCGGACTCGAGGATCCCGGATCAGAGCCTGGCAAGGGCGAATTTGATCCGGCCTCGGAGAAGTCAGGCGCAGCTGCGACAGTGTCGGTTTGACCGGAATGAACTCGGTAGTTGAAGGGGTACATTCGTCGCGGGCAGTGGTGGCCACCCGTGTGGTACGGGTAGCAGACATTTAGTAGTGCTCAGTCCCTTAGTTACTACTGTGAACTGGTACGAGGACTGCTCTTTCCACATCTCGAGATATATCGATACAGGGAATAATGCGCGTACAAGCCTCATGTATACATTCCTGTTCAGCTCATTCACGATATTCATTTCGTTAAGATTGAGATACCTGATGAGATTCTCGGATCCCTTCCGAAGGATTACGATCGTCATGTCATAAAATACATTTTGCAACTTCATGTGCTCACGTAACTCTCGTGACGCGGTGCTCAACAAACTAGGAGACCACTCAAAGCCATGGTACGAGTTGTGAGTAGCATTTTCTCTTTTCCTCCTTCTCGCCGTCCGTCGGACCCTCGCTAATATGTAGCATTCAACCGCATCTCAATGTACTCCCGCGCGTTAATCGGTTCGTATTTCTTCGGCCTGTCCTCGCCGCAACAACCAGGCAAACAATCGACAGTCTTGTCTCTGTCTGCTGTGACGAAATACGGGATCGAGTACCTCGCCTTCGTCATCCCTTCCACCATAGGCGGCGCCCTCACACGGTGCAGCGTCGACTTGAGCGTGTCGTTGCTCCAGCGCTGCAGGAAATCACCAATGTTGACCACGATAGTGCCGGGGACGTACGGCGCCGGGTTGAATTTGCCCTTCTCGTGCATGTCCTCGACCTCGAGCCCTCCGACTTCGTCCTGGAACAAGAGCGTCATGGTCCCAAAGTCCGAATGCGCGGCGATGCGCTCCATCTTGCCGTCGCGGAGCAGCTCGGCCTCCACGGGAGGGTAGTGGAGCAGTCGGATCTGGTTGTCCTTTTTGGTGTGGTACCCGCGGAAGAAATCCTCGGGGAGGTCCATCCCCAGTGCAATCGCGCGAAGAAGGTCGAGTTCGACCTTGTAGCATGTCTCGAAGAACTCGGTCATGAACTTGCGGAAGCCGGGCAGGACCTCCTCGGGGAGCCAGATGTTGGGGGTGTGCTCGTCGTCCTCGCGGCCGAGTTCAAACGACTCCTTGAAGTCAGGGCGTTTCCGTAGGTCGGCGATCGAGTCTTGATCGAACACCATCTGGACGACTTTCTCACGTCCTATGCCGGAGTAGCCCCGGTGCCACCAGCCGTAAGGCGGGTGAGGCGCCTTGTCTTTGTCCGCCTGAGGGAGCGAGAAGAATTTTGAACTCTGACAGGCGTGGTCATCAGACGAGGTACAACTTCGGGGGAGCAGGGCAAAAGGAATTGCTACGTACCCATTCAAATGCTTGGTCGAGAATTGCTTGTGGAAGGCCGTGGTTCTTGATGTATGCGAAGCCCACATCTCGAAAAGCTTCGTAGACCTTCTTGCCTGTCTCCAGGACCTGCTCGGGATTTCCTGAGCGCACAGGCTCGAGATCGATAATGGGGATGGCAAGTTCGGCCGGTTTGATGGCCATGGTTGAATCTCTCGTGGTCCTCACAGAGTTTCGTGGCGAGAATATGGGTCAAGTACTTGGGCCGTAAGACCAGAGACCCTAGCGCGCACTTTTATGTCGACGTCGGCTCAGTTGTTCGAGGAGTGGTGGACAGTGGTTTGATTGCTCCAAGGTTGGCCGACGCATCGTCCAGAGTCGGGGTTGGGGCACTAGAACGTGCCCAGTCCGGTACATTTTGATACCAATTGATAATCAGCCCCGGATAACACAAGATCATGCGTCCAAAGGTTTCAGTTGGCCGATCTAGACTGAGGTACTCGTGCTGACCACGCGACTTTTGGCATTCTGGCTTTCCGAGACAGGATCGCTGCATGGTCTGGACTTGCATCATAGACTCTGGAGCTCGGCTGTGATAAGCAGATGCCGCCAGAATTCCCGACTTGATGGAATAAGGAGACTGATTTGTGGAATGCCGTGGGAAGTGGCACCATTGATCTGCAGGACCTCTAGATTGTTAGCCGACCGTACACCGCCCTCTATTCAGGCCCGCCCTCTGGTGGTTTGGCTTTCTCCGAGAGCCCTGCAGCACCCCAGGGCCCACTAGGCCTGACAATCCCAGTTGCACCTTGGCTCATTGGTGGCTTTGCAACGGTTCTGAAGTACCGGCCATCGCTCAAGTCCGACTATTGATCCCCTGGGGGAATTCTATCTCCGCTGGCCTATCTAAGTATATCGGCCAACATTCGTTGGTTGTCGCTGATTGATGGACAGAGCGACTCACCTCGGGAACGAGGACTCTACAAGAGGAGAGAGGATGAGACAACATAAACATGTCATGCTCAACAAACAATTAGCCAAGTGAGAGAAGGCAGCACGCCACTTGTGAATCATGGGTAGTGTAGGCGATGTTGATAACGCGCTTCACAAGTATCGTGTAGGGATCGATGTCGGAGGTGAGACGAGCCACCTCCAGCCCTCGTCGTTTTGCTCACGACCTCGTCCTCAGGTACCAATACTGATGCCGTACTGATCTCACTGTCGCCGACGAAGATCGTCGCCTCACATAAGGCACCCACAACACCAGATGTGACGACAGGTATTGCGGAAGCAGTGCGCGCAATTGTCTCGACAAGCAATGTCCCTCTTGAAACTATCAGCTGCGTTATCATTGGGACTACGCATTTCGTAAACGCTGTCGTCCAACGATCGCCATCTCTTCAACGCGTCGGTGTAGTTCGCCTCTGCGGGGGCGGCGAGGATGGGTTCGGACTCGGCATGCCGCCATTTGTGGACTTTCCCAAGGACTTACGCCTGCTCATCTCAACCAGACCTTTCTTTTGTCAAGGCGGCCACCAAATCACAGGGACAGAGATCTCGCCACTCGATGAGGCCGAGTTGGACCGCGTAGCCGAGGAGTTGGCGACTGCTGGTATCTTCAATGTTGTCATATCAGGAATATACTCACCTCTGAACTCGGCGCACGAGAAAAGGGCGGGGAACCTCATTCAGGCCAGATTGACCGACATATGCACCCGGTCAAATCTCAATGTTCGCCCAAGGGTCACTCTGTCGCATCGGATCTCGTCAGTTGGCTTTTTGGCGCGAGAAAATGCTGCCATTTTGAATGCGGCTCTCCGGCCCCTCGCCGAGAAGACTATCTACGGGTTTCAGAAAGCTATGAGAGACATCTTCCAGGGGAGCCCTTGCACTCTGTATCTTACTCAGAATGACGGCAGCGTACTTAGTGCGCCAGACGCCATTGACCTTCCAATTCGTACATTCAACTCTGGGCCAACAAATTCGATTCGTGGAGGCGAGTTTCTGTGGAATACCGCTTATTCCGACACACAAGGACAAGATACCGGACGCAAAGATCCTCTTGTGGTGATCGATATTGGGGGTACCACCTCAGATAGTGGTTTGCTGCTTCCTAATGGTCTTCCCAGAATGAGCTCACTGATGAGCCTGGTCGGGGGTGTGCGCACGAACTTTGCTCTTCCCGCGGTAGAGAGCATTGGGTTGGGAGGGGGAAGCATCGTCAGGGAACTGGGGGAGACCCTCACGGTTGGCCCCGATAGTGTTGGCTTTGAACTTTCACGAAAAGCCCGTATGTTTGGAGGCAACATCTTGACGGCCACCGATATCATAGCCGCATCCCAGTTACACGCGCCTTCGCCTTCAAACCCTCTCGAAGGATTTGGAGAACCTGGTCTGTTGAAGGACATTACCCCTGACACAGTGAAGATGGCCAAGGACAAGATGCGAAAGATCGTGGAAGAAGTGGTTGATCGTACCAAGGTGCAGAAAGGAGACATCGATGTTCTCATTGTGGGAGGTGGTGCCCTTCTGATCGACACTGACAAACCTCTCGCTGGAGTTCGCGCTGTGCGGAAAGTCAAGGGCGGAGAAGTCGCGAATGCCGTAGGCGCTGCTATCTCTCGTGTCTCTGGTGTCGTGGATACGGTTGCGGATACGTCCCATCAAACCTTGAAGCAGGCACAGGACACGGTAATCGACATGGCAATCAGTGCTGCTGTCGAGAATGGAGCTCGGAGGGATACCATGGAGATTGCAGAAATCACAATCCTCCCTATTCAATATGTTGATGGCAAGGCACGAATAATCATCCGGGCAGTCGGCGTCCTTGACACGGTCAGAAGTTCAAAGCTAGAGCCCATAGGAGAATACGATGTCAGAGAGACCATGGACGAGACCCCGAGCGGGGAGGCGACAGCGGCTGCAGCCTCAACAGATGCTGTTGACTCAACCGATATCAGCAGCTATCAACCGGAAGTCAAGCAAGGTCTGTGGACAATATCGAGGACTGATCTTGGGTGGATCTCAGACGGATGCAAGATTCTAGGCTGCGGTGGAGGAGGGGAGCCCTATCAACAGTATCTCAAGATCAGAGCACTCCTTGAAAAGTCCCCAGGGTCCGTGAAGGTGATCTCGCCAGCAGGCCTTCCAGATCATGCCAGAGTTGGTTGGACAGGCTGTCTGGGTAGCCCTGAAGTCAGCATGGAGAGAATGGAAGCCAATGAATGCAACAAAGCTCATGATGAGCTAACACGGGTCATGGGTTACCCTCCGGTGGAAGGGTTTCTAGCCCTGGAGATCGGTGGTGCAAACGGCCTGGTTAACCTGGAGGTTGCGGCAGCCCACGGCGTGCCTTGCGTCGACGCCGACTATATGGGCAGAGCGTACCCTACAGGCTGGCAGACCACCGTGAATGTCTATGGCTCGCCTCGAGGAGAAGCACTTTTGCCGGCGACGATTGCAAGTGGAGATGGATCGTACATGACCATGACCTCCAGCAGGACAGACAAGCTCGTAGATGCCACACTTCGTGCCGCCACTGTCGAGATGGGCTGTCGAGCAGGGAAGGCCGGACCCCCCAAGACGGCAAAGGTGGTAAAGGAACAGGCCATCGTCAACACCGTCTCTTTGGCCTGGTGGATTGGAAGAGCAGTGGCCCTGGAGAAGAATGTAACGGACAAAGCGAAAAGAATCGTCGAGGCAGTCGGTGGGTCTGAGAGCGCCAGGATCCTGGCAGAGGGCAAGGTCACGAGCGTTGAGCGGGTTCTGAAAAAGGGCCATACGTACGGCATTGTTGAGGTTGATGGTCTTCTCAGCGACGGGTCACCAGCTATCGTCAAGGTGCCATTCAAGAACGAAAACGCATTTGTCGAGGCAACCACCCCCGAAGGTCGAGTTTCGGTGCTGGCATCGGTGCCAGATCTCATTGCTCTTCTTGATTCCGAAACAGGGTTCGGTCTAGGCACACCTGAATACAAGTACGGTCTGAGGGTGACAATTGTAGCTATTGCAGCGTCTCCCCGTTGGACAGACACGCCCAGGGGATTGGAGCTTGGAGGGCCGTCTTCGATGGGATTCGATGATATTCGGTACGTGCCCATCGGAAAGTACTCGAAGCCGCGAAGTGTGATTGAAGCGTATGGACGAGCGACGGCCTAGACGGTAATGTGTACTGTACGAACAGACCGGAATAATGAATTCGTGCTCAGGCAACTATAGGTAGACGACGATCATGCACAGGTACCTAAGGACGAGCTGGGTTAAGGACGTGGGAGGAGCCTGGGCTCACGGCGGTTAGGGAGTTAACTACATTAGGTACCTATGGAGCCTCGGAACCGAGCCTAACGCTCAGCCCTCTAGGGGCTGGGCTGACGGCTGGCAGCGCTTCTTAGCTGCTCGTTAAGAGCTTGATGCCCGCCTAGACAAGGTAACTTAGGCATGAAGGCCAAACCACCCCAAGGGACGTGATGCAGGGCCACTAGGCAGGCCTAAGCACCCAAAAACTGGAGAATTGAACGTTCTCAAAACGACGCCCGCCGGGGTTGATGAGTTCTTCATATTTGCACTCAATACCGCAGAACCATACACGCCAAACCCGTCTCCGTGCACCTATCTCGAAATCAGGATGACTGCGCAACTCAACGAACATAGATGTTAGACATTGTAGAAACTGCACAGCGTAGACAAATTCTATGCTTACAACATCAGACCGCGGCCTCATCTGGTATCGTCAACGTTGATTTTCGTGACCTCCCATGACACGAACAACCTGCCTCAACGCTCAGGTGAAGCTGCCATCGTTACTAACAGATCATTTCCCATCATCGGTGTCCTTACGCTTCCCTTTCGCCTTGCTCTTCTCTTTCGCCTCTTCCACTTTCTGCTGTTGGCCCTCAGGTGTTTCTTCAGATGTGCCATCAGCTTTCCGCGCCTTGACACCAGCCAGCGACCCTTGCCAGAGGAAGAGACAGAGCCCGACAAAGGACGTTAGCAAGACGATTCTGAGCAACCATTTCGCGGGTCTCCCATAGGCGTATACCCAGCTGGCCAACCAAACCACAGACGGCGTCACCAGCTCCCTTCTCTCTTTCTCCAAGTCTGGATTCATGGTGATGATCAGGGCCAGAAGAGCAAAGAGGATGAATGCCAGGAGAGTGACAGTCAGGACCTGAATGCAAGCCAACAGGATCGCAATGTCCTTTGTTGTCTCAAGGACCTCGAAACCCGCTGCCACCAACGGAGTCACCTGCTCAAAGGCAGCATTGATCTCTCTGCTGTACGGGATGCCCATTGTCCTCGGCGTTGTTTCGTAAGCACCTGAGACTGTAATCGATTGGCCACAATGGCGCTCGAGATCGATTCATGCTGATATTTGAGACAAGTCGAGCTGGCTCATCAGCACATCTGCCTCGTATTGTCGGTGATGTCATGAGCAGCAGCATGGTGTTGTGTTGGTGTTGTTCCAACAGGCCAATCAACCCAGGATGCTGCGAACTTCTGCACCGTCTCCTCTCACTCCGCCAACACCCTGGCAGAGTTAGACGCCCATGACAAGCTTCCCGGTTGTTGATGACCTCTGTCTTGCCCATGCAGCATCCGTCATATGTGCAGCGACGTGGCGCCAATATTGGTAGTGCTCTACAGTCAATAATCGATGGCCCACAGCCCAGTTGCAGAGTTTCTCTCGTACCTGGTTCCCCGGACTTTCACCAGCCTCAATTGCACAAGGTCTTGATATCTCACTGCGCCAGCATCCCGTCAGACATGATTCGCGTGAGACTGGGAAATCTGGCGAGTTGTTGCCCTCGTCCGCCCACCTGCTCAGCTTGCGCCTGCTGACCTTTTTTGGCCTTATACCTTCCAGTCGGTCTCGTGCTCAGCGCCTTCCCATGACCAACAGACTGATACTTGACCCGTCATGGCTCCCAAACTTCCTTCACTCTCTTCATATCGCTCAGCATCCATCACCATACCTTTCGTAGCGTTTTGGTACTCCTATTGTTACCACAGTTGCCTTCGTCTTTCATCACAAGCCCCAGTTACTACTAGTACTCCTCAGCCGCCTGATCGTCTTCGACGTTCTTTCCACATGGGCAAGTCAAGAGCCCGGTCGGCTCGTGTCGACCGGGCAGATCAAAAACTCCATGAAACACCGCTTGAGGCCGAATCCCGCAAGGAAGCCAATTTTGCCGAAGTCGAATCTAAGCTGCCAAAGCGCTTCGACAGATCTGAGATGGGTTTCATCGACAAAAGCACCAGTAAGCAACGGCTCTTTCCAGCCCGTACTTAGCTCTGACAAGTCCGCAGGCATTCTTGGTCACCGAAATCCCTTCGGAAAGAAAGCCACCCCGAAAGACAACATAGTATGGCTTCTTGACAATTCTGCTTACGCCCCGGTCAACCCAGGCAAAGCCGGTGCCCAAACTTGGGAGGCGGAATTTGTGGCCTGTTTCTTTCGAGCGGGTCGTAAAGATTTGTCCAAATATGTCAGCAGTCTCATGGACCTCATGGGCATCGATGGCAAGGCTGGGACTGACCCGGAAGTCACCAGGAGAATTGAAGAACGGGTGAAGCCCTTTGTCATGGCGATCGCACCGGCTCGCACTATTGAGATTGAGGTGCCTTGCCCAACTCCGCAAGGCAATCCTCACAAGCGGCTTCTCGGCCCGTCGAATCTCAATGGCATCAGTAGCCAGGTCATGCCCGTAGGAGGTGCAGATGATGCCGACGGTAAGACGGTTATTGGCTCGAGCGCCGATGGTCTGTTTCCAGATCTCACATTCCAGACGCACTTTGTTGGCCCTGAGGGATATGCCATCATCTCTGACATCGACGACACCATCAAAGTCACCAAGACTCCAAATCCTACTGGGATCTTGTTGTCCACTTTTGCGGATGAACCAAAGGTGACCTCCGGAATGCCAGAGTTCTACAAAGTCTTGAACGAGGCCTTCAAATCTCCAGCTTGGTTCTATCTCTCTGCCTCGCCATACAATTTGTATCCTTTCCTGCATGGTTTCGTTCATCAGCACTATCCCGCCGGAACACTGATCCTTCGGGATGCGTCATGGATGAGCCTTGGAGGTTTGCTGCAATCATTCACACAAGGTGTGCAAGAGTACAAGACGGACCGAATCGACAAAATACAGTCGTGGCTTCCCAACCGCAAGTTTATTTGCATCGGTGATTCGACCCAATCTGACCCTGAAGCCTACGCCCAGATGTACACCAAGTATCCCGATTGGATCAAGGCAATCTATATCAGAAAGGTCGTCGACGCTCCGAATATGGAGGTCAAAAACAGAAATAGTCGCTTCGCAGAGGCTTTCAAAGATGTGCCTGACTACGTATGGAGAGTGTTCGTGCAACCAGAAGAACTCGCTGATCACGTCAAACATCTTGCTGGTCAGGCACATCCCGGTCTACTTGGCTCATTGCTCAGCGTCTAGTGCCAGACTGAGCATGGCATGCAACCTAAACGATCCAAGTCTCAGCTCAGCACACCCCGAACGCGTACTCCACAGCCTCAGACACCAGAAGCCAGAACACCGCGTTCTGCAAGCCCAGCACCTTCAGCTTTGACTCCTGGCGATAAATCTCTTGGCAAGGACGGAAACACGGCGTCAACTTCCCCCTGAGACAGATCATGAGCGGCATCTTGTGTTGGCAGGAAGAGTGTCTGAATAAGATTGTGGGGATACTAGAATGCATCCAACAGATGTCCGAAGACGTTTTGGGGAGCAGTGCTGGTATCTTTATCCTTCGGTTTCACGAACCAACCTAGACCATACCTCCTCGGTAGACCTACATCATTCACCAAGATTCTCTGTCTAGATCGGAGGACCTCCCTAGCCTAAGTGAGAGGTTCCTTGGTTCTGCTGAAAGTGTAGGCTAAACACAGGGCCACTCGAGAATCGAGTTGGCAACGTAATATCCGCGTTTTGGTTTGACACTTCCAAGTACCAGCTGCACTCAATTCGCCCATGCCATTATATCTGGCTCTTACGGGATCGAGAAGACAGATGGGGATATGAGCAACAACGCCTTGTAACCCAGGCCGAGCACCACCCTCAAGCTCTCCGTGGCTCGGCCATGCTCTCCCCATTCAACCAAACTCTCAAGGCCTCGCCTGAGAGGGAGTCGTACAGCTCTGTAGAAATCGTCGATCTCTTTTCATGGCTCGCGATTTGTTGATTGGAAATGGCCTCCGCAACCATGTCAAAGAGCCCCTCTAATCCACGTAGTTAGAAACTTTCGTAGCTAGAAGACGTTCAGCAACCCAGCCGTGGTGAGGCTGAACCTGACCCCGCGAGCCCAGGGGCGAGCATAGAGCGGCGTCACCCTCGTCCTGATCTGGGGCGAGGCACGAGCAGTTTTTAAGTACATACGGAGGAATCTTGGCAAAACCACCGCGGAGCGAGCGCACTTGGCTGCGAAATTCCTTTCCAGAGAAGGACGACGCTGGACAGTCGAGGAACAACCAACATCCTTTTGCTGCGTATCTCCAAATCACCGTCACAATCCTTCAAGATGCCTCAGGGCCTCGATAAATGCAAAGAACGACCGGAAAGCATCGATAACATCCTTAACGGCCTGGATCGATACAACCCCGAGACAACCACTACTTTCCAGGAATACGTTAGCCAACAATGCGAGGAGAAATTCTTTGATACATATGCGTCGCTGGCACTCTTGAAACTGTAAGATCCTCCCTAGGTGCCCATGGGTTCTGGCTCTGTGATGATCGGAATTTTTCTACCACGTTTCCTATTACCTGACATTCCTCCGGGAACTATGAAGTCTGGAATTATTAGCTCTATCTGAAGCGCCGAAAGATACAACATAGCGTCGAGTTTTCTTGATCAAAACAAGTGACTGATATCTGAACAGGTACCAATTCAATCCCCAGTTGCTGCACCCCGAAACCGTGACCAACATCCTCGTTAAGGCATTAACTGTCTTCCCATCACCCGCCTTTTCCCTCTGCCTCGCCCTCCTCCCACCCTCGACCATCCCATATCAACCAGGAAACACATCCATTCCGACAACAGACTTTACCGAGTCGATACAAAAACTCACTCGCCTCAACACATTACTCGAATCTGCTCAGTACGATGCATTCTGGTCAACGCTAGAATCGGACGACTTGTACGCGGACCTGTATGCAGATGTAGCCGGATTCGAAGATCTTGTCAGGATAAGGATCGCTGGTGAAGTTGGAAAGACATTCCGACAAATTGACCTGAGCGTTCTGAGCAGCTGGCTGGATCTGCGTGGAGAAGCATTGGTCAAATTTGCGCAGACAGCCTGTGGGTGGAAGGTCAACGGTCAACAAGTTGAAATACCATCCAACGCCGAGAACGAGGCCAAGAGTGAAATCAAAGGTGAGAGAGTCGGGGTTGATATGTTCGGCAGAGTCTTTAGAAGAGGCTACGAAGCTCCGGCATAATGTACCATGCAGAGCCAAGGCGGGTGGGGAATAGGCGTACGGCGCAAAGACGCATTCGAGACCCAGTATTCTGACAATCGGCGGAATATGGCTGCTCATTCACGGCACACAATGAGATTGATGAGGTGTGACGATCATACGATACCTTATGATTACCATCGTTCGGCTGTTTGACGAAATGGATGACATTGACCATGATGGTGCGTGCTTCGCAGGGATCACTGGAGCAGGCGTCGAGGACATCACTGGCCTAGGAATCGCCGGCAAAAGAGAAAACGAAAGGAAAGAGTCGATACCAGGGGCTTCTGTTTGCACAAGCACAACTCGCTCAAAAAAGATTTTGAAATAAGAGCAATTATAAGATGCTGGATGTTTGAGGTTACGGCTGCCTCGGTGTCAGTGTTCTCGAACCACTTGTGAAGCCGCATCATGATAGAGAAGCAGAAACAACACTGTAATCATGGATTCAAGCCGCAAAACTCTAGCCCGGGAGGCCAGCTGCACGCGAGGCAACTGACGTCCATACCGAATGCTGCAAAAGTGATCAATAGCTGTTGGATTTTGCTCTGAATTAACTGATGGCCGCCTTGTTCAGGTCAGCTACTCGCTGCGTGACGTGACACTGATACTCCGCGCTGGCATCGGTCGTCTTCGCGCGCGCTGGGGATGCTCAATACCATGTCTCGACTTCTCTAAAAGCTTCATTACATAAGCCCTTAACGCTGAAAACTACTGGCCCGTGATCTCTCGGTCTAACCCGATTTGTCTTCTATCACTCAGCTATGACATCGTGTGTCACCGCCGCCTCTGGTTGAACCTTCACCCTCCAACATTCAACCAACACGACTCTTACCGACTCCGTTGTTCAATCCCATATCCGTGTGCATCGAGACTATCCTCAATCTCCCGGCTAGACTTGGGCAATGTTGAGATAATCTTTCCTCCGTCCCCCCACCCTCAAGTTCCGCCGTTCCCTACCTCTCCCCTGGGGGCCGTCATCATGATCGCCTCAATGCCAACTCCGCTTCTCCTCCTCCATCTGCCTGATGAAGTTCTCATTAATATTTTCGACTTTCTGGACTTTGAGACGCTCCGTAAGGCTTCGCTGGTTTGCAAGCACTTTCTGGACTTGGCTGAACCTCTGTTGTACCACACTGTCAACATCCTCAGTGGCGAGCAGGCTGCTGTTTTTTCCGCCAGTCTCTATGCCAATCCCCGCCGTGCTACGTGGGTTCGGTCTCTTCTGGTATCGACCAAATTCGGAGAGGACGAAGGCTTAAGCAGCCTGCCACCACACATTGGTCACATGCGTCATCTCCAGAATCTGTGCCTCGAGACTCCGGATTGCAATGCCAAATTCCCCGAAGAGAGAGTCGCTTGGGTCAATCTCCAGGATCGATATGAACGGATCTTCGAAAGTGCCTCGGCCGTCGCCCCAGGAGGTCAACGGGTGCTCCCTAATCTCAAGAGCTGTAAGTCCGAATCTACGTCATTCAGATCACCGTTGTGTGTCTAACCTTTCTTCCCTGTAGGCACGCTGCACTTTGTGGATGCCCAGAAAGAGATATATTCTATGACCAAATACGCCATGTTGTTTCTGCATCCGAACTTGCGCTCGCTAACCATGTCTTGCGCCAGCACTGATTTTCCTGATCGGTTGTTGACGCCGTTTCAAGGGGACAAGACGCTAATGAAGTCAACGAATCTTGAGCACCTGCACCTGGAGGAATGCGATATCTTTGAGCCCTCCCTCGCGATCCTACTAAGCTTTCCTAAGGCTTTGAAGTCTTTGAAGATCAGCGAGGGAATCCGGTACGACGGAATCTTCAGTGCTAGAAGCAGTCGCATGCATGGGAACGTCCATCCTGCACTGCTAGTTGATGCAATGGCCGAACATTGCGTTGACTCACTCGAGTATCTATCATTGAGCTTGGGACATCTCAGACAGGCATTTCAAAACATCAATCATCCAGGTCACCACTTGGACCTCACTGCATTCCAAGCACTCAAACAACTTGATTTGGACGTCCGAACGGTGAACCTGGTTAGGATCAGAGTGCCGTGCGATCACGCTACTTGGCGCAGATTTCCTCCCAACCTCGAAACACTGAAGATATTCGGAATTCCTTTGGGCGAACGACCTCCTTTCCAGGCGAGACGACGAGTCTGGTTCCCCTTTGACAGTTGCCTAGCAGCTGACAAGGCAAAACATGGTCTCAAATCGTTGAAGAACCTGATCTATTCATATGAATACTACCGTGAAGATGACGAGATCCCGAGAACAAGCGTATCTGACGACGAAAGCGTTGACGAAATCAGCCAGGTATCTCTAGCACATCGAAACATGATCGAAAAGTGTAATGAGGTTCTACCGCAATATAGGAAGGCAAATATCAGATTGGAAATTGAAATGGTCGCGTTGCCGAACGGGTTCATTCCACCATATCTCTTTCCTGAGGATAAGCCCAGAAATTTCAAATTGTGGGAATCAGCACCAGAATGGGATTAATGCGATACCATCATGGAGCCAAAACTTGGTTATGGTGGCATTTATGCTGAAAAATAGGCAACATTCTCACCACGGCGAAGATATTCGCATCCGTTCGCACGTAAGTCCACAAGTTCCTTGCAGTACGTTGTTCGCAGAGGGCTGCAGCCTTGCTGACATTGATGACGGAGTGTTCTCATGCAGTGTTATTAATCGACTTGGTACCAGTGTTGAGCCATCTTGCAGGGGTGATGGAACCCACAGTTTCAGGGGTCGCGAATGGTTTCTTTTCGAGAGACTACAGACGGAAGCACGAATCATGTCCGTCTTTCGCGACATCCGGAACTTAACTGGCGGCTTTCGCACGTACAACAAATATAGTGCGGTCAGTAAGTTTACTGATCTTTACGCCCGGGTTTCGGACCATCAATCTAATCAACGAGCTAACACAGTGCGTTTTGTAAGCAGCCAGGACCTGCGTCTGTGGCGTTTTCACGTGACCATTCCTAAGGCGGCAGTTGATCACAATCAGTGACAACCAACCATTTGGCGAATGGCTTCGTGTTCCAACATGATTTGGGATAGTGAGGATTTCCCAATGTTTACTCGCTCTGACACATGCGAAAAACCATGAGTGGTCGAGGAGCAACTTCAGTCCGTTTGCACCGCTCTAATGACTTTGTCAGCCTTCGCTAGCGAATAAGATGCTCTTGGGTGCATAGACCCAGACCTCTCATGCGAATGGCGTTCACATTCAGATGCATTTGCTAAGCTGATGCAATCACAACAAGTTTGTGGTTTCGAGACTTTAGTGGCATTAGTGGTGGTGGTTGAAGGTCCGGGGTCCTTCGATACAAATAGATACCGTTAACTCGCTCTCTCCATCTGCTCAGCCTTTTCCCGAAGTCCACCTTTGTATCCAATCTTTCCTCGGGCAGACCTTCGTGTCGAAAGAGAGAAACTGGCCAGCAGCATGAGCAACTCAATCTCCGATATCATACAGGACTCACCTTTGGGACAAGCCTTACGCTTCGTTACCAAAGGCAAACTTTTCGCCTTTCCCGAAGATGACCCAAACTTCAAGATCCCGTGGGAAATAGCCTCTGTCAGTGAGAAAGAGGAGGAAATCGAAGCAGGGTCCGTTCTTCCCGCCAGTCGAGTAGCCAGTCATCAAACCAGCCCGCCTCTATCCCACCGCCCTTCGAATGTCGATGAAAAGGACGACGACATCGAATCTCGCGTCCCTGGTCTAACTACGATACCAACGACACACTCGTCCGCTGCACATAGTGCCATCGGTCCCATCACCACGCGCACCCTGACACGAGAGAGGACGATTCCATATTCTCGAGAACGGTTCGAAGTCGAGGAGCAAGAAGCCATTGAGAGGCGTGAAAGCAGCATCATCGTACCGCAGAGAACATCCGATGGAGTCATCCTGGTCGACTGGTACACTACAGATGATCCAGCTGTAAGTCAAGTCTGAACGAAAACCACATGTTGATGTTGTGGGAGAAAAGAGCACGGCAGTTGCTGATCTATTTTCGTTCACTAGAATCCACAAAATTGGAACAGCTGGAAAAAGGCCTGGGCTGGTCTTATCATCTTCCTGTACACTTTTGCCGTGTACATGGCTAGTGCCATCTACACTTCCGCAGAGGGTATGGTCATGGAGAAGTTTGGTGTTGGCCAGAGCAAAGCATCCCTCGGGTTGAGTATGTACGTGATTGGCTACGGGATAGGACCGATGGTGAGTCTACGCTGCTTCCGCTCTCTTTGTGGCTATGATGATGTGACTTGTCACTGACCCTCTTTTGTTTTTCGCTTGTTTCTTAAAGCTCTTCTCTCCACTGTCGGAAATTCCCATCATCGGTCGAAACATCCCGTACATCATCAGTTTCGGGTTGTTCGTGATCCTCTGCATTCCCACCGCTCTTGCCAACAGCTACGCGACACTTTTGGTCATGCGGTTCTTGACAGGATTCATGGGAAGCCCGTGTTTGGCTACAGGAGGTGCGACCATGGGCGACATGGTATGTTATCATGCTCTTTGAAGACGACCGTCAGCGATACTAATGTCTCCTTTTTGCACAGTACGGGCTCCTCAAGCTCCCGTACGCACTCACCGCGTGGGTCGCAGCAGCGTTCAGTGCCCCTGCGCTTGGTCCACTGTTGTCTGGCTTCTCCGTTGTTGCCGAGTCATGGCGCTGGGCACTCTGGGAAGTATCGTGGTGCGCAGCGCCAATCTTCGTCATGATGTTCGTCTCCATGCCCGAGACATCGGCTTCGAACATTCTGCTCCGTCGGGCTCAGCGTCTTCGCAAACTCACCGGCAACCCGAACCTGAAGTCCCAGGGTGAGATTGATCAAGGAAACATCAGTTTCAATGAAGTCGCAATCAATCAACTTTGGAAACCCATTGAGATCTGCATCAAGGATCCAGCGGTGCTGTTTACGAATGTCTACACGAGCTTGATTTATGGTATGTCACTGTGTGTGTTTTTATGCCTCCTTTATCCCGCCGCAGCATTCTTACTCTGCTGCCATGAGTGGCCATCTGTTTGTCTGTTTGTTTTCTTTTTGGGTCGGCATGAGGCTAATACGGGTCCGTTTTACACGGTACAGGAATCTATTATTCCTTCTTCGAGGCGTTTCCCCTGGTCTACCTCTACATTTACGACTTCAACATCGGCGAAATGGGCGTAGTCTTCACTTGTATCGTCGTTGGATGTATTTTCGGAATCATCATCTACGTGTCGTACGTCTACTGGTATCTCGAGCCGGATATCAAGAAGAACGGACTACGCGCACAGGAACACAGATTGGTCCCGGCCTTGTTCGCTGTCACGCTCATGCCTGCAGGTCTGTTTTGGTTCGGGTGGACATCGAAAGAGAGCATCCACTGGATCGTGAGCGTGATCGGAATTACGTTTTACGCTGTCGGGGCCTTTATACTGTATGTTTTGATTCTCTCCCTCCCTCACACCTTTTTTCTTGCCCGCCCTCGGTTTTCTCCTCCCCCTCCCCTGAATGTTCCCTCTGCGAAATCTCTCGACAGATACGACGAGAAAAGTTGGCGAGTTTTGACTGACACTTGTATTACTACTCTCTCACAAGGTTCCAATGTATATTCATGTACCTGCCCCTCACGTACCCTCAGTACGCGGCCAGTTTGTTCGCGGCCAACGACCTGAGCCGGTCCATGCTCGCGGCCGGAGCCATCATCTTTGCACACCCGCTGTACGAGAATCTGGGCATCGGGCGCGGAATCAGCATCCTGGGAGGCTTGCTCGGTGGTGGTGTCCTGGGCATTTGGGCCTTGTGGTACTTCGGTGCAAGCTTGAGGGCAAGGAGTAAATTTGCCGTCCAATAGACTGGTTAGCTAGACTAGCCTCTACGGACCGGACGAGACAAAACAACAAGGCAACGAAGAAGCCAAGACCGCGGGGTGTGTGTGTGTGTGTGTGTGTGTGTTAGTGTTTGTGTGTGTTGTTGTTGTTGCTTGCCCCTGGGAAGGAAACAGGTGACTGATGACACGGATAGAATTTTTTTATGGAAAAGGGCTCGCAATACCTTACCTGTGAGTTTGAGACTTTTGGTATGGTATAGTTTGTGGTAATCAAGGAATGAGAGCATGGTATGCTAGTGGTGGGACAGTATAATGTAGCCCTTCGATCTGGTTAGAATCGGCGTGTGAATGAACAAATCAATCAATCAAAAATGAAACACAAAACTTGTGCGAGTGGCAGAGTAGCAGGGCGATAACTGCAAGGACGGGTATGGAGCGGTGGTGGTGATCTGTAGAGTAGATACAGTACAGGGAGGCACTCGATATACATATTATGTATACACACATTAATTACATCTGGCCCGAACTGTGCTCTGTCCCTTGGGCATTTTCGTTCAGGAAAGGGAGCGAGGGCCGCTTGACTCGGGCACGTGTTGTACTCAACGTTCAACCATGCGACGACATCCATCCAAACACACTCATCCTTGATCTCGAACTTACTCAACGACAACCCCGTTAACCCCCATGGCGGAGGGCGCGGAATGGATTAACCTTCTCGACTGTAGCCGCATCGCATCGCACGAGTCGACTCGACATCTAACATTTTCCAGGGCGAGAAACTCGCTCTTGTAAACACTGGTCACGGAATTTTTATATTTTTATATTTTTTATTTTTACAAAGAAATCACGAGTCCCCTTCGTTATAAACTTGTCATATGCTCCCTGAGCCTGGCATAACCTCGAGTTTTCCTAGCCCATCGTTCCTGTCCACCGGCCTCGAATCCATTATCGTACGTCACAGGCCCAATCGTCTGGACAATGCTTTTCACCACTTTCTCGTTGTTCACGCCGTCATTCCCCGCGGGTCTCTTGTTCATCTTTTCTCGCAGTGGCTGTGCAAGCAGCAGAATTGCCGTGTACAGGCCCATATTCCCCCCATTTTGGATGGTTGCGCTGCTCATGCACGCCATCGACCACACCACCAACATCGCCGCCGACCAGAGAATCTGACAAATCACAATGAGACACAACAGCTCGTACGACGCACCCCATTGATACCGGTTGCCGTCGGGGATACAGACCATTTGGTCTCCGACCAGAGCGCTGACGCCGTGGTTCTTGGTAGGGTCGATCGGGTAGAAGACGCTGCCGTAGTAGAAACCCGCGTCAACGAGTGTGGAGTTGCTGATGGTGTAAGTGGTGCTGTTCACCACAAGCGTGTCGTTCCGATCATTCCCGCTCCAGTTAGTGCCGTCGAGGTACATGATGTCGAGATGCTCTTCGCTGACCTTCACCGGTAGCTTGTGGATCTCCGAGACGTAGACGAACCACGGGTCCGGTTTGTCCGCGAGACCCGAGTTTGCGAACTTGTACGCCGCGCTGTCGAGGTATTCGAGAATCGGCACGGTCGCGTTGGTGGGGAGCTGAATCGCGGACACGGTCGCACTTACGAGGGACGTGGATGCCGAGACGACCGTGGGAAAGGCCAAGAGGTAAGAGACAGTCCCGATCAGCCAGAGCAGCGTCAATTTGGAACCTCTTTTGGAGAACAAGGCCAGCAGGTACGTCTCGAGTGACGACAAGCTGGTCGGATGCACCGTGATCGCTGTGAACGTGGTATACGGGACAGGTTGCCTTTCGGCGAGGAAAGTAAAGACGTCGGTGTAGACGCGATAGGACAACCACGCCAATGCGGCCTGTCCGATACGACCAACAACCAGGTCGAATGCAATGTCGACGATCTTGGCAGTTGTGAAGGACAGGTCGCCCGTGCGGATGTTGATTTGAAAGAGGGTCGACCACGAGGTCCAGACCTCTTGGACGTCACATGCCGCAAGCTGTCGCTGGCCGTAGTACACGTTGATATCGTAAATCAGGCGATTTATCTTGAGCGCATAAAGAAGGTGCACCATCAGTGGCCCGGTGACGCAGAAGACAGAAAACCACGCGAACGCGTGGAGGAAGCGCCACGACAACAACCATTTCATCTGGACGCCAGTCGTGGTGGTCGACTGCGGATAAGATCGCAAAGCAGGCTTGGTGGTACTCGCAAGGCCACCGGACTCATCGCGCGCGCGCTTTTCATATCAATGATTGCATCTTCGGCATCAACTGCGCCGCTGTCTCCCATCAGGCTGTGAAGTTCGGTATTGTTCGGCATTGAGTGTATCTACCGAAGGATGGAGACCTTCGCGCTGGGCTTCTTGGGTTCGATGCTGGAAAGGAGTAGCTCTAGGTTGCTGCCAAACGAGAGCGGTAACGACTCCACCAACTATGTGTTGGGTGATGTCGCGCTCGGCAGCGATGGACATACAATAGCCTCCGTGGCCCTCGGGTCGCATTTGAAACAAGGAGATGCCAAAGAGATTAAAGGCGACTCGGCTATCGTGTTCGCCGTATCAGCACCCTTCTCAGACACAGACCAGACCCGGAGCAGGGGCGATCTGTTTAATTTGTCTCCTTGTATGGACATCGACGTCCAGGGTGTGCCTGCGGCACTGCCTATCGCGATGAGAATCCGTATTTGCTCTTCCGTGTACTCGTACATTGTATCGTGGGAAGGGCTACCGAGCAACTGAATAAACCTTTCTCCTCATACTTTTAGAACAAGTGCATGCTGAACCCAGTTCTACCTATGATCACAGAGAGTGTGAAACGTCTTCATTAATCTTATCGAACGCTAAGATATATGTTTTCGAATTGGAACCGAGGTGTTGGTGTGGTCAAGGTCTCCTCCGGCTCCTCCGGCTCGTACACCTCCTCCTTCTTGCCGGGCATCCCAGGTCTGATCTTCAGCTTGATGACGAGACTGTTGAGGCACATCGGCATTCGTCAATCGTTCATTTCTTGGCCTTTTCACAGCCTTTGCAACACGCTTCATCCATTCCGATTCGCGAGACAGAAACATCTCGATCTCTTGGTCAGATGGCCACTTGAGACGTCCACATGCATTCTTGGCCTTCTGAATCACATACGCAGGCACAGTCAGAGGAGTCCCAAAGTGATGAAGCTGTTCGGCGTCTGCAGTAGCAGGACACCCTTCCAGGAACAATCGCACTATACAGAGAACACATCGAAGTGACACTGTAGTTTTGTCTCGAGTGATAATCTCGTCCCCTGCATTGACTTTTGACCCATATGATTCAGCGTGGGAATTGATCCATTCAACCACGGCGACGAGACCCTCGGTATCGCTGACAGAGACGAGTAATCTGACCACCAATTGCAGATCACTGGGCTCTGGAAGTCTCAAAACTGACTCTGAGCGTGAAGGTAGAAAACGTGGAAAGTTGCGTCCATAGACAGCCCTGAGAAACGTCGCTTTGGCAAGGGACCCAATTTCTGTGCTGTCAACACGCATTCGCCCATGATTCGCTTCCTTGATCATGAAAATGAGGATTCCCGCCATGAGACGAAAGGATTCAAGGTCTGGGTGTATCTCGAGGTCCGTCTGTTCGGGGTTGAACTGGTTCCGTAGAAAATCCCAGATTTGGTGATCCATGTGGCGCTTGTCTAGGTGTGTCAAAAATCCATCTCTGACCTTGACATTGTTGTTGCGAACAGATGCCCACGCCCCTCTGACAAAAGCATTCCAGACCAGAGTATTCTTGCATTCTCCAACCCGCAGCAATACAATTGCATAGGTTAGAGGATTGACAAATCGCTTTGCTTCCATCCACTGACCAGTATGCTCGTTGTACTTTTCGCTCATAACCGCAAAATCCGGGGCACTGTCAAATCCGTGTCTCGACAGCAGATGTACAAAAGCTGCGAGACAGAGATGAGGCACTCGGCCAAGTGTATCACGTATGATCATGGGGGTATAGTTCTCCGCATGTCGCAGAACATCCTTAGTCACTTCGTCCCAGCGGCTATCCTGAATATAGGCGAACCCAGCTTCGATGTCGGGAGCCTGATCCAGTAAATCACCGAGTAACCTGCCTCCTGGAACGATGCCTACTTGTAGCATGTCATTGTAGAATTCGCTGAGTGAAGGCACTTCTCGGTCCACATACGTTACATCTCGAGGACTAACGGGCTCTTCAAATACCTCTTTTATATCTCCTGCAAGGTGCCGGGAACCAAGAACTGAATCAAAGGTAGCAGTCGAGGCCAGTAGTTTGTGGCACATGGCGAAATATGGTTGATACCGTCTTTTGGATAGCTCAGTGTTTCGTTCATAGGAAAGGAAGCACGCCCATGCCTCTCGTTTAGTTCTCGTAGCTTGGACCCGTGCTGCCCAGATCTCCGCAGCTTCGTGAGATGAACTGTCAAGAGCGTCGATGTTTTGCTTCTTAATCTTCCAAGCTTGGCGCGGCAATCTCAAGTTTGCCCTGGTTTGGATTGTTGGACTTTTATCTGTGTCCCATCCTGCCAGGATAGCAGCACTCTTCTCCCATGCGCCATGGCTATACCCTGCTTGATTCATCCGTCTGAGCAGCTTCATCGCTCGGCTTTCTTTGCCAGGGTACTGGAGATCCTGCTCAATGCCGGAATTGATTCGTCGCCATGGGGGCCAAGATAATGATTTAGTCTCAGCCCAGGCACGCTCTTGTTCAGTTTTTGGGTGCTGTAATTGAACCGTGATAAGAGCTCGGTAGCCTTCTCTTGTAAGAGGTATCTGAGGTTTGAATCCAACCATAAGTCGGACAAGAGATAGTTGTGCATTCTGTTTCACAAGGTACGAACTGAATGTCCTAGACGATGAAACAGAAATCAATGTCAAAAAGCGGTTGAAGACGTGGGACAGGCGTTTCAGTTCTGCTGCCTCAACTGAGCGGCCATTAATTTTGTAGAAATCCGAGAAAAGGTGTTCAACAATCATGCTGATATCCTTGAAGCTCTCAGGTGCCACCTGGCGAGCATGCCTGAGTAGTCGAACCACAAGGCATACCCTTGTAGTCCAGCCCCATCCAGGATATCTTTTTGCGGCTTTGCATAGGTGAAGCTCAGCTACAATGCTTTCAATCAGCTGTTTGAGAGCGAATGCATTGACTTGTGGAGCGCGTAGGATCTGCAACAAGATGAATTTTGGAATCTGTCCACTCTTGGCGACGCGTTGTGTCGTTGCCAGCGTAACGTACTTTTGAACAGCAACCTCTATACTGCGAGACGTGAAGATCCAGGCCCAGGATACCACATCAGTCACACTGTATCCGATTGTGTTCAGTATTGTTATATTTTCCTCAGTGAAAACAGTTTCCAGAGCATGATCTAGACGGCTGTCGACATTGGGCGAGCTTTGAGAGAGAGAACCACCGATATATGGCTCTACGTGGAGGAGGTATTCGAGGAGCAACCTTCGAAGAGGGGTCGAGGACCTGAATTCTAAAGTCGCCGGGCTTTCGAGCTTGCGAAGATTCTGTTCCCATTCAATCGGATTTTTGTATGACAGATCGATTTTTTGACGAGCGCGCGAGGGCATGAATATAGAAATGAAACTGTCAAGCCGCTTCCGAAGGAAATTCTGTTTGTCCTTCTCCCCATTTTCGGCATCGAGGTCCACTTCAGTAGCAGCATACGCCTCTCCTTCATCGCTTCGAAGGCCGTATTCAGAATCAGGCTGGGCCCTCAATTCCTGTATTCCTGGCCATTCATGGAATGGCTCGTCGGACAGACTGATCGATGAGGTGGGTGCAGTGAAGCCCTGCTTTGGTCCTCTGGACGACGCTTCTCGAGATTCGCCTCTGCTCGGATGTTGAGGAATCGACAATGGGGAGAAGGCTGTAGCCGGACTATGACAGATGCCGCGTCGATGAATTACTCGTCTTCGTGAGAGGTTCGCAGCAGGAGGCTGTCTGAGAGCGGAACAGGTTGTCGAGAGCAGCCTTCGGCCGAAGGTCTGGGTGACCGGCACCAAGGCATACTGGGCACTGGTCATCCATTGATGCTTCAAAGTAGAAGCAACTGGGCCGTCCGTTTTATCGTGAGTACTGCGCCTGCGACGTGGACGCGTGACTTCCTAGTGTTGTACTGCGTAGATAGTCGGCGCTTGAAGTCCGTCTTGTTGTTGGAAAAATGTGTTAAAGCGGCGATCGACGGCGCTGCGCGCCAAACCAAATTGGGCCAGGCTTGCAAATCGCTGCGAAAAGACCAGCAACGAGACACGATCCATTCGCGTACATCGCATCGCATCCCGCAAAGGTCCAAATCTTGAGAAAGCCGGCAGGCTGTTCGCGACACCACATCGCTAGCATCCCGCGTACTGCCCGATGCAGTCAAAATAATTCTTAATACTTCCGGCTGAACCTTACGCGTCCGACACAATCGAAGTCTCGATCAACCCTTGCGATCCCTTCCCCCCCTCCACTTATTTGCGACCTGATTGGGACCAAAAAGATTCCTGCAGACATAAAACGAAAGCGTAGTCCAGCAAGAGGAACACCACAAAGCCGGGTCTCAATGAACCTTAGTTGAAAGCCTGATGCCATCGAAGAATCGACAAATTGGCCCTTCTACGATCACGATTACTTTTTGGTTCAGGGAACTGCGCTGACTACTACGGTACCATAATGGCTGAGGTAAACGGGGAAGTGAACGGAGGCGCAAAGATGGAAGATAATAACTCAACCTCTCATCTTGGTAAACGAAAGCGCACAGCAACACCAGAAGCCACGCATCCACCCGCCAACGCAAAACAACCTTCACTGCAGACCTCGCTGAAGGACACTCTGCTATCGATCCGGAAGTATGTATCTTCTCTCCGTTAAACTCTGCATGTGGCTAATTAGGTGCTTCAGGCACGATACAACTCCTTCGTTACTCAAATTCCCAATACCGACCTCCAATTCAGAAGCCCCAGACGTAAAGCGGGCGCGTCTCGCTAATATCGAATCCACCAATGAGACAATTGAAGAGAAGATTCTCGCCGGTACCTATACATCTTTTGATGCGCTGAAGCAAGATGTCAACGTTGTGAAAGCCGCGCTGCTTAATGATGTCTCGAGCTCAAATACGAACGGAGATTCAGATGGCCACTCTTTGTCCAACATTGAAGAACAGCTGGACGAGGTGTTCCACGTGTTGTCAAAATGCGAAGGAGGTAACAATAAGCACGCGAACGGCGTCAAGGTCAAGACAGAGACTGAGGAGTTGGCAAAAGCAATTCCGATTACTCCAGCTCCGAAACATGTCATCACCCTACGCAGCTACCTTCCCGGAGTCACCCCAGCACATAGCACTTCTAGTGTATTGTTCTCGGGTCTGGAACTGAATCAACAGAATGATGACGTTGACGAATCTATCCTCCCAAATGGGATTCAGCTTACCGACTTCACGGTTGTTGGGACCACCGAATCCAAACCCAAGCGGACCACAAAGGTCTTTGGCGAGTTTGCCCGACCACCGAATCAATACGCAAAGCTCCAGCCGCCACAGCCTTCCTCTAACAGAACTTTTGGTACTACCTCTCTGAGTTTCACACCGTATCTCCCACGCACTAATACAAACCTCCCAATACACGGAGATTTCAAGTTGACAAACCTGAGTACAGGCTCCTGGCTCTCGTATGGCGCTGGAGGCGCTCGCGACAAAAGTCAGATTAAAGGCAAGCAAGAAGAAAGTGAAGCCGGAGATGCATTGTTCACCTCGGCATACTCATCCTTTGCTCCCAATAAAGACAATTCGACTGTCAGGGGATACCTGATACCCGAACAAGACAGAAGCCGCTACTGGTGGCACAAATATGGAAGGCACAAAATGAACAGAATATTCAAGGAGCAAGACTCTGAGGAACTGGTCAGCTCAGATGTCGTTGCCGAGGATGAGTTTGCAGATATGCCTGGTGTCATTGACAACTTCCAACCTGAACCATTGGAGGATGCCAGGGACGAAATTGAAGATGCGGACGCTCTGCTTGAGGAGATCTCTGGACTTATTGAGACCTTGAGTTCATACCAACGAAATCGGATGCTCGAGCTGAAGGTCAATCCTACCAACCCATATTCTGTCAACTTGCCCCAACCGAGCGAGGCTGAGTTTGATGTCTTTGAGATGCTACGGGACCAACTCAAGATATTGATTTCGTCGTTGCCTCCTTTCGCAGTGGCCAAATTGAACGGTGATCAACTAGAAGATTTGAATATTTCCACCAAAATCCTGGTCGAGCCGGCCGATCAGCCGGGTACGGGTCGATCGACGGTTGAAGATTGGAGGCCACAAGTTGGACGACAACCTGTCGCGGCTCCTCCTGCTCGTCCTGCTGTTCCTCAAGGCATACCCCGTGCATACCCTCAAGGGAACGCGACGCAAACCCCATACAATACGCAGGCTCGTGCATACAATGCTTCGGCGCCAGCCATTCCCAGTTATGGCATGAGGACAACGACAACGCCGAACTATCAGACTCCTGCAGCACCACGACCCACGTACGCGTCGACGCCGTACCAAGCATCCAACACGCCGTACAACAACCGTGCTACCATCCAGCAAGTCCAGCGCAACATGCAAAACGGGTACGGCAACTACAGCGCTGGGCCTGCTGCAGCAGTGCAGACCCAGACTCCCGCTTACGGTCCCCGCCCAAGCCAGCCAGGCTACCCGCAGCGACCGCCTCAGGAGAACCCTCTCTCGATAGCCGGGCGTTCAGCGTCGCCTCAAAAGCCTTTGGCCAACGGGCAGAGTTACCCACCCAGACCGTATCCAGGTCAGCCCCAGACGCCATATCAGCTGCCGAGACAACCATCAGGAGGAACTCCTGGACTGCCGAGTGCGACGCCTATTCCGGCGGGCCCGGCTGTTGCAAGTTACGGGCGGTACTCGAACACGCCGGATCGAGCCAGTAGCGAGGCTAGTGCCTCTGCTGCGGCTGTCGCCGCTGGGACCGCGGGCCAGACCGTTGAAGTTTCTCGTTGAGGTTGCTCTTCTTTTGTCCTGGTGAACTGGCTTAGGCCCCGGCATGATATCTACCAGGGAAGAAAAGAGACTGCGGACAAATATTGCGTTCATGTATGATTATGAGAAACTTTGTTGGTGCTATAATTTCTTTTTTTCTGTCTTTCTCTTGCCTGTCTTTCAAGAAGAGACTCGCCAGTCGTCCCCATAGATTGACGACATATTTGGAGAACAAGCGATCCCATTACGCGGTGTGAGTTGTACATAGGTAAAATTTTAATTACCTTATCTCTCTCAGAAGAGGAGCCTTGGAACTTGGTCTTTTTCTTTAGTAGTGATGACAGGAAAGGAAAATGAAAACTCCAGTGGCATCCTTTTAGTAAGCACTCACTCTTGTGTGTGTGTGTGTGTGTGTGTGTGTGTGTGTGTATGTGAGCGACACTTTGAGACCCCGGATTGGGAATCTCATCACCGGCCAAACTCGGTGGCTTGGCTTCATGCTAGCAGTACCTCCGTGATGGGTGAGTGCGGTTGACAAGCGAAGTACCCAGACCGCGCATGCGCACCTGTCGAGAGGGTTGAAATCGACCCGTAGGCTGTAGGACGCAGTGAACGCTCGTGGGGAAGTGCATACGTACGAGAATGGCCTCGCCTTTGAACTTACTGTGCCATGGCTGGGGAGAAGCGGGCGGCTGATGTCGTTGATATGAGAACGAGGAAGAGCCCACATGAAACTGATCATTCCCGGGGACTTTTCAATACTTTTTGACATGTGCCGAGGATGCGAGAAGGACGGAGGAGGAGGAGGACGAGGAGGACGAGGAGGCATTGATGGATAGGATGCGAGTTGAGACAGGGAAGGCAACCTCGTCGTCTTAGCCGTAGCTATCGGTTTATCTATCTACCTATAGACAGTTCACGGTCGCAGGTAAGGGCCGAGTCCGCTTCCGCGAGCATATTTACTCGCATGTACCTCGTGCTTTGGAGCGGATGGTGGACGATGGAGGGTGGATGGGATTTTCCCTGTTCCTAACTTAGGGAGGTGATGGATCTTGAAGCTGATGATGTCGCCCAAGACCTGTTTTTGCAAGGGTAACGAGTCGCGCTTCGGCCAACTATTTTTAAAAGATGCACAAAAACAAGGCACCGTCACCTCCCAGGCCCTTAGTCGCCTTTTGTCTGGGACGCGACTACCAAGGTATAAATGATGATGGTAAGACACCTATCAGCTCGCCTATCTCCAGTACTTTGTGCCCTTCCAAACTCCTTGGGTTGCGTTCGTTTAGATTCACCGGTCAATCTGTTCTGCCTCGTTGCCTTTTTCTTCCCTCCCTTCAGGGCTGTGCAAGATCATCTGACGCTAAAGAGAGGATAACGCGGATATATAAACCTTACTTGGCTACCTGGAGTGTCACATTTCTCTACGCAGATCAACGACATATACAGTACTCTGACACAACCGACCCCTAAGGCGCGATAAGCATCGGCCGAGAGGGCCAGAGTCCTACGAACCAAGCGACCCAAAAAAGCCCAAAATCAAATCTATCCGCAATCATGTGCTTTGGAGGCGGCGGTCGTGATGACGAAGCAGTCATTATCCGGAGACGGGAGAGAAAGCCTCGTTATTCTCGAGAGTATGTGTCTCGACCCGAGGTGGCCACCTACCGGCGCCAAACAGTGACCCGACGAGAGGCGTCTACTCATCGCCCGTCGCGAAGCTTCGACCACGGTTCCAGCCGGTCGGTCCACGATCCCCGACGCAGTGGCAGCAGGACCCGTGTGGTGAGGGAGGAAAGGAGGAGTCGACAATACTATGATTGAGGAGCCTGGCACTCAACACTCATACGAACATTTGCAAGTGACGACGGTGGCATGATATCATCATTTGTGAGGAAGCAGTGAAAGGTACCTGTGCTCTATACGAGATACGACGGTGCTTTGAGGTCCTCTGTATTCTGTTTTGGAGCGTTGGAGGAGCCGGAGGAGGTCTATCTCACAATGGTATTCGAGGCGATCCCTGTACAATCAATGAATTTCTCTCTGTTTCTTGTGGCTGGACCCCTACTCACCTGTATCTGGCACTCGTAGCATTATCATTGCCTCTTCAGGTGGTGGAGCAAGAGCCGATCGTCGAGGTGGTGATGGTCGGTGGCTTCGTGTTGATGCCCCTCCAACAGTGCCAACTGCGCCAATAGTGCCATTGACGTCACTCGTCTTCCGTGTGTCTTCTCAGCATTCATTCCCTCTCCGAGTACATGATCCTTGTCTTCCCCAGCATCTACTAATCTACTTTACCTGCCGCCCGCGTACGTACGAGGATACCTCACTGTGCGAGTATTTGCTGCTGTACGTCTGAATCCTTCGCCGAGTAGTCCTTACCTCGACGCCGCTGCCCCGCCATGAACCGAGCCCTGTCCATCCGCTCCCGTAAGAAGGACGACCATGCCAAAGAAGCCTCCAAGCACACCTTCTCCATTTCTACCCTCCGGGGAATGCAGCAGGCTGAGCTTTCCAAGAAGCTCTACAAGCTGATCAAGACCGAAAACCACGCCATCGGCGCATACGAAACCGCTGGTCGCGAGCGCCTGTCGATCGCCTCGCAGCTCTCTGACTGGGGCGAGTCGACCAACGACGATGCCGTCTCGGACATCTCGGACAAGATTGGCGTGATTCTCTCGGAGATAGGAGAACAAGAGGATCTATTCGCGCAGAATCTCGAGGACTACCGCGCCATCCTCAAGCAGATCAGAAACATTGAGAGCAGTGTACAACCCAGCCGGGATCAGAAGGCCAAGATCAGCGACGAGATCCAAAAACTCAAGTACAAAGAGCCTTCGAGTCCCAAGATCGTCACACTAGAGCAGGAGCTGGTCCGCGCCGAGGCCCAGAATCTCGTTGCAGAGGCGCAGCTCACCAATATCGTGAGTATCATTGACGCTGGGCCGCAGCCCACGGTGATTTAGTGCTAATCAATCCCATAGACCCGTCAAAAGATCAAAGAAGCATATGACTTGCATTTCGCGGCGACAATTGAAAGAGCAGAGAAGCAGATCATTCTGGCCAGGTATGGCCGTCGCCTGCTGAACCTGCTCGACGATACTCCCGTGGTGCCGGGAGATGTGCGCCAGCCGTTCGAGCACGTCAACGAAGCTAGGAAGGTCTTGTCTGATGCCGAACATGAGTTGCAGACGTGGGAACCTCACCTGGAACCAGTCCACTCCAATGCCGGCGGACTGGCACCGAACCTGATGCCCACGGGCGCCACCTCTGAGACTGCCAGCGCCGCCACCGAGCCAGTTGCCACCCCGACGCCGACTGAGAAGCCAGCAGCCGAAGCGCAAGGCACCCATCTAGAGTCGGCGACCGCTTAGAAGGTGATCAACTGGCAGGCACAGCAGCAAATGCCGGACTGCAATACGGCGAAGGAATGGGGCGAGGTGTAAGGTAACAAAGGTTCGGGTGATCTTTTGCCGTGTTGGCTTAGGTTAGTTTTCTGGTTCACGCGAGTGGGAAGCGCACGAATGACCGAGGAGATGGAATCCTCGCTTGGAAAGCAGCCCAGGTGTTTGACGACTTGTGGTTTTCCTGTATCCACTGAATACATCGATTAGTTTTGCATTCCCATATTACACCATACTCCGTGGGCCATCACGATCTAAGTTAGTGCTGAGGAAAGCTTACCGTTAGACCTCGCTTCGCGGGTGGCCGTAAATGCCAGAGTTCGACTCGTCTGCAATTGGTGGAGGAGCTCGATGCGACCTTGCGAGCTCGGCTCGGTTCGAGCTTGCGTTCTCCATCGGCGCGCTGTTACTCGCTGCGAGGGAGAGAAGAGAAGCTGGCTTCGGGAAATATCTTCACAGCATTGGCCGTCGTCATCTTCCATGTTCCTGTAGTCGAGGTGGAGGTGAGACAGGACGCGAATGACGCTGAGACTACGCACCGCCAGTGACCACGGCCGGGGCGTGTAGAACGGCGTATTCGACTTGAGATGGCCGTCGCTTCGGAGTAATCGCAGGGAGCATGTGGCTTCGTCGCCACAAGGGTCCAATGTCTAGTTAGTGTCTCTCGCCAATCATCAAACTTGGAGAGGGATATCGATTCCCCGTGCGAGATACGGCCTGGGTGGCATATTTCGAGAACCATTCCTTTCCTGGAGTTCAAACATTCGCCGTCTCACATATCACCGTCGAGGACATTTTCTGCGCCTCCCTCTTTCTTCTTTCTTTCAGCTCCTCCTGATGCCCTCCTGATCTGCCTACGATGCGCACCTAGACTTTTTCCTTCTCTTTGATTCTTTTCTTGTGATTTGTGCGCAGGAAGCCGAACAGCCACAATGCCTCCCCTAATATTACTGCTGGTCATTTTCTACCTAATCTACACCATATTCAGTACATTTGTTAGCCTCTTCCGCAACATCCAAAAAGCCAAAAGGTCAAGCATCGCATTCGTTGTCGTTCCAGTCTACTATCTCAACCGATTCTGGCTCATCACCCACCGGCTGTATCTCCCAATACTGGCCAAATTGCCCCGGAGATGGACGTGGTGGGTGGACTTTTGCCTCCCGGACTTCAACTTCAACTACAGCATTGAGATCTTCCAGCGGGTGGGACATGATACGTTCCTGGTGGTGTCGCCGGGCGGCATCATGATGCACACGGCCGATCCTGCAGTGATCCATCAGATCACGACGCGGAGGAACGATTTTCCAAAGCCCACGGCCATTTACCGGTCGCTTGACATCTACGGCAAGAATGTCGTGTCCAGCGAAGGTGCCATGTGGCGTCAGCATCGCAAAGCGACCAGTCCGCCGTTCACGGAGAAGAACAATCACCTTGTTTGGGCCGAGAGCATCGATCTGGCCAATGCCATGCTGTCCTCTTGGGTCGGCCCCGACGGCAAGGGCGACAAAACGGTCGACCGAGTCATGGACGACACCATGCGGCTCAGTCTGTATGTGATCAGTCGAGCAGGATTCGGCCGCAAGTTGCAATGGCCCTCTGCAGACGCAAAGGCCGATATCGACGTCAACTACAATGACGCTTCGAAGATACTAAACCAGCAAGACGATCGCGATTCAGGTCATTCTATGAGTTATACCTACGCGATACACTGTTTGCTGGATAATATCCTTTTCCAGTTCCTCTTGCCTCGGTGGCTGATGGAGCGCATGCCGGTCAAGTGGATCCAAAAGGCCAATGAAGCTTACCTGGAATGGGGGAACTATATGAAAGAAGCCGTCGCGTCCAAAAAGAAAACGCTCGGCCAAGGGGAGGAAAGTAAAGACCAGATGGATATTTTGAGCCAACTGGTGAAGAACCAAATGAACGAGTCGAGCAAGGATGTCCCTCTTACGGACTCTGAAGTGCTGGGCAATATGTTTGTTCTGATTCTCGCCGGTCATGAGACTGCGGCGAACTCGATTCATTTCTCCTTGCTGTACCTGGCGCTCTTTCCTCAAACCCAAAGAGCGGTACAGAAAGATCTTGACCGAATCTTCCAAGGCAAACCTCCTTCAGAATGGGATTACGACCGAGACCTGCCATCCCTCTTTGGCGGCATGGTTGGTGCCGTGCTGGCTGAAGAGTTGCGACTCACCCCTCCTGTGATCGGTATCCCGAAATCTACGTGGGGTGTTAGTGACCAGTCTCTGACCATTGACGGCAAACAGTGTACAGTGCCTGGCGGGATCTATATCAGTCTCGCCACCACCAATGTACAGAAGAACCCGAAATACTGGCCTGCCAACAAGCCAACATTGCCCGGCGGCAGGCCGGCCCATCCGGTGGCAAATATCGACAACGACCTTGAGGAATTCCGACCGGAGCGATGGCTGCTCGATGAGGATGGTGACGTTTCAACTACTGCAGCCAGCGAGAAGAAGGAGATGCCCAACGAAGCGGTCACGTCGGACGGTCTCGCTGTCAACGAGTCTGCCGATACATCAGACCGGCTCTTCAAGCCGCAGAGAGGAGCCTACGTTCCCTTTAGTGATGGGTACCGGGCATGCTTAGGACGAAGATTTGCTCAAGTCGAAGTCCTAGCTGTACTGGCGGTGCTGTTGCAGAACTACTCGGTCGAACTGGCCGTAGACCAGTGGGCGAACGACGAGGAAGTCATTGCTATGGATGAGAATGACCGGGTCGAAACATGGCAGAAAGCTGCTAATCGGGCGAGGGACCTCATGCTGCATGGTCTGAGTGTGATCATATCCCTGCAGATGAGGAAAGGCACAGTACCCCTACGGTTTGTGCCGAGGGGGGCAGAGAGATTCCCCAACGATGCGGACCAGCAATGGAAGGACAAGCATCCGGACCTGGTCGTTGGAGCAAAACCTGTTCCCGGTTACAGATACTGGGGATGAAGGACGGCACCAGGTATGCATGGTCTTTCAGGCAGTCAGTGCACACAAGTCAGACGTGGTGCCGAGCACTCCGTACCTGTGACCGTTTCCCTCACAGTATCTCATCTAGAGAGTTCGTTTTTGTCATGGTTGTTTCTCGTGCACCAACGCCCACAACTAGCAGGGGTTCCGTCGTCGATACTATTATATATCTCGAAGCTGTGTGAAACCAAGACTCCCCTCGGAAACGAAAGCCATGGAAATAGCTTGCAGCCTTAGCGGGCTTGCCTGCTTAGGTGGCTGCGCTGGCCCGACATGACTCGTTGGACGCTTGCATCGAAATGCTGTACAGATCCGTCTGATTTTATTTTGTTTTAGTTTGTTTTATTTTCACCTGTATTTTCTCCCTTTGCCCGTCTCGGAATTCGACGTGTTTCCGGGCGATTTCCACTCCTTGGCCTCTTCGCAGTACAAACATACGGGAAACACGACTGCTTCCGTGGCAGATCCAAGGCATCCAATACTGATGCTCACGAAGCCACGAAAAGGGATGGATCAGTGCATTGACCGGCGTGTCTATTGGTCTGCATGGTGCCTTTAGGTTGATGCTCCCTGTGAACGCCTTTTCTTATCCGACCTTCCCAGGCCACACCGATCTCACTCCACCGCCTTCTCATTCGTGTTGGTTTCCGATACTTGCATCCCCTGGATGATGCTTCTGCTGCCGGCTTCCGGCCACGATTGGACATCGATTCTTCGCTGGCGTCTGCTGGCTCGACCGGTGTTGGGCAGAAATTCCCCATGCTGAGCTCAACCCGCATTCGCCGTCGTCGAGGGTGGACCGCCGATTGACTGGAGCAGTATTATTACATCTCTCTGTCTTCTGGACCTCAAACACCTCTCTCGTCCAGCCTGTCATTCTCTCTTGCATTGCCTGTATCACACAAGAAGCAACGAGCTCCTTTCGCTTGTCCACGCTCCTTTTCATGGGGTATCGGAGCGGTTCGTTACGTGTTTGTGGCCCCTCCTATGGTTGAGTCTGTCTGTCGAAGCCCGCTCTGGTTGTCAACCTTGTTGCAAGGCACGACCACTGCCTCATTGACTCTCACTCTCTCCTTCAACCTGATTCTCTCCTTACGCTGGGCGACTTCTTTGATCTCGAATAATGGGTACTACAGCTGTTCTCCAGTCTATCATTGCTAGGTATCACTACTGTTTGCAGCCGCCCCTTCCACTAAACCATTAGACAAGGATCCCCGGGCACTTTCTTGTCTCCTACATGTTTGTGTCGGTTCGCGACCAAGGCCACCGACGCCGCAGTCATACCTTCGGCGTCAGTAAGGCTGCCCGTTCTTCCAAGCTATCCCTTCTCTCTGCCATCACAACTAGTTCGCATGGATCGAACGATAGCGCGCGCACAATCACCCAAGAATCGTATAGGAAATCGACGTCAGTCTCAGGAAAGCGACGCAGGTCGTCACACACCAGAGGTCCACTGAAGTCAAGGGACCGGAAAGCGTCTACAGTCAAGACCAAGCCGGGTCAACCCGAGAAAGAGAAGACCATGTCTCGAGAATCGGTCGATGTGTTCGCCTTTCTGGTGCAAGACGAAGAGCAGAATCCGACCTCGCTGCAGGACGAGGTTGCTCGGCCCATACAGGACAAATATCAAACCCACGAGGAATCAGACACTGAGAGCGTAAGCAGAAGTCAGCATTCAGATTCTGGAATTTCCATGGGAGAGAGTATTATTTGTCGTCCACACACTGATTCTTTGGTCGAGGGCCACCTACCTTCCTTGCCCGAGGAATCCCAGGAGACAGCCGAGTCAAGACTGCAGCTGGCAAATGGCTCGACGGACGAGAGACGCTTGCGGTTTCAATGGCCAGCGGTGCCCCGTGCTACTCACAAGCCATACTATAATAAAGCAGGCAGCAGGACGCCTAGCCCTGAGAACATTCGTCGTCACATGCCCTTCGTTAGAGAAGATGTTCCTCCACCGCCCAAAGAGGCGAGTCTCTCAGGGTACGATCTTGTCGCTCATAAACTCATGCACGAGGAACTTCCACCCGTGTTCCGACGATTTCAGAAGAGCAATTACAGAATGCTGCTCCAGTTACAGGATGAGATCTCTGAGATGGAAGATGACCTGGCTGCTCTTGATCTGAAGGATAGCAGAAGACGTCTCAAGGTCGACGGTAGCACGTCACCAGCATCCAGGCGCCTCAGCTGGGAATGGACACAGTCTGATCTCCAAAGCCATCGATTGGAGGTGCTCGGAAGACTTTATATCAAGCTCGAACAGTACTGTATGTGTTTGACAAGGTGTTGAAGGATACACAAAACTGACGGTGACAGATCAAGCTCTGCTTTCAGCTCAAAAAGTGCAAAGACTTTCTGCATCACCAACGCAACCAGACCTTGAACGATTCCGAACGTGGATGCGAGAGAAGAACCCTCTTTCGGCGCCGGAGTCCAAGTTTCTCGATCACGAAGATGACTTGATCTGCCTCACTAGCAACTCGACATCCTCGAGTGCTACAGGATCAAATATAGGATTTGTTCCCGCATGCATCGTGTCCACCTCGCTCCTTCCGCTCTTTTGCTTCAAGATCGTCACTGGCGTCCTCAGTCGGTTGATCATCCTGGTTGTGCTGCTGGCCGTGGAGTTGGGCAGTCTGGAAAAGCTGGACAGATCAAAAGTCGGTCAGCACCAACAATGGATTTTTGCATGTTTTGGTGTTTTGCTGCTGGTGGCCCTTTTCTTGTGATGATCATAACCGGCTTGGAATATGAGTGAAGGCACACTGGATCATAATAATGTACGCCACATGATACCCTCTCCTGAAATAGATTGCACCTAGAACTGGCCGAGAAGAGCATAGCTGTAGGGTTACATAGTCCTCCGTATGGGTAATGATGATACTGCTCTCAGTGTTTCGGCGCTCAAAGGCGTCTGTGGTTCACCTCTCCACCCTATGATAGGCCGTTGCAGGCTGGAGTGATAGGGTTGGACGACAAGTTGGGGGTGAGTTACTCCAGGGTTGCCCCCCTTGTTATATGGCCAAAGACTGAAGGCCTCTAGGTCGTGTACCTGACTGAGACTGCGGAGAAGATGCTGTGGCTGTTGTTGGAGACACCGAACTACAGCCGCCGCCCTCACATACGGCTTGTTCTCAGACATCACAACAAACAGCCCACATCTCTTGGATCTGCTTGTTGAGCGAAATCCCTTAGTGTCCCCTCTATACAAACGGGGAGCAGTCAATATCCGAGTCCTCTGGCTATCCACCTCCCTCTACCCCGGAGCCCCCGCGATCTCTGCCTGCTGAAGGGCTGTCATGTGCCTGCGCAAGAGCGTTCGCACTTGCATCTGCAGGCACAAACGGTCTCAAGCGATGATGATGTCGTGATTGTCTATGCCTACTTACTGTCATTCTCTTTACCGTCTCCCTTGTGAACGAGGGAACCAGGCTTTGTCAACGCTGTCCAACCGACCGACTTTGTCCCAAGCATTCGATGGCTTCCAACTTCATCTCGAGATTCGCAGGCTCGAACCATGCTTCGGCCTCCATCTACGAGACCCTCCGAGAACATGACGAAGATGCAGATGCTTCTGATGTGGAAGAAAGAGCTGGTCTCGTGGCGGGCCCTCACAATGTAAGAGATGGATTCCATGACATAGGCACAAGCAACGCAGCAATCGGTCAGAGTCGCGTTGGTCCTCGTCTTAATGAGGGCCTCAGCAACAGTCGCGGACATTCAAGAGGCTCAAGCAAAGGAAAGAGCAGGGCTACAATCAAATCAAGATACCCCAGGCCCCATAAGCTGTTGGATGTCGAAGAGGTGGATGATGATGTACCAGCGTCGCTGCTGATCGACCACAATGCTGGTACTCACGATTCTGACTCAATCTCTCTTCCTCCACCACCGAGTCAATTCTCAGACGGCCTCCCTTTACCGGAGGACATCAATCTTGACCGCTCCAGCCAACATCCGCACTCACGGACTCACGGCGGCAACAACCAGAGGTATGGTAACGCTCCGATCCACCCAATTTGGGGAGGAGGCCTCGCCAATGCGGATCCCAGAGAGAAGGCCATGTTCCGATGGGTCAACGTGACAGATTTGGATAACTTCCTGCTTGATGTCTACAACTATTACCTCTGCCATGGTTTCTGGTCTATGCTGTTGATGCGGTTTTTCAACCTCATTACCGTCGCCTTTGTTGTCGGATTCTCCCTGTTCCTCACCCAGTGTATCGACTACCAAGAAATCAAAGGCAGTACCAAGATGTCGGAAATACTCATCCCACGATGTGCCAGCAAGATGGGATTCATACCAAACGCATTGCTCTGGATATCGAGTTTTGTCTGGCTCTGGAACTTGGTTCTTTCCTTTTTCGATATCTTTCGCTTAAGGCAAATGCATGATTTCTACCTGTATCTACTCGACATTCCCGAAACCGAAATCCAGTCAATATCGTGGCAAGAAGTCGTCAGCCGCCTGATGGCGTTGAGAGACTCGAATCCCACAATTACCTCTACCTTTAGAAAGCCGGGTGGCTATCTGAGGTCCCAGGACAAACAGCGTATGGATGCTCATGACATTGCGAGCCGGCTAATGCGAAGGGAGAACTACATGATTGCTATGATGAACAAAGATCTCCTCGACCTGACGCTACCTATACCGTTTCTTCGCAATCGCAAGCTCTTTACTCGCACTCTAGAGTGGAACATCGAGTTGTGCATAATGGACTTCGTTTTCAATCGCAAGGGACAAGTGCGGCCGTTGTTTCTCAAGGACACACACCGCAAGAGTCTCTCGGATGCTTTGCGAAAGCGTTTCATCACCATGGGCATAGTGAGCCTTGTTTTCGCACCTTTCCTGGCGGGATTTGCTCTTACCAAGCACTTTTTCCAGAATTTCAATGAGTATCAGAAGAACCCCGCTCAAATTGGGTCTAGAGAATATACTCGATTTGCTCAGTGGAAATTCCGCGAGTTCAATGAGCTCTATCACTTGTTTCAGAGACGCATCAACATGTCTTATCCGTTTGCCACGAGATACCTCAACCAATTTCCAAAGGACAAGACCATCCAAACCGCAAAATTCGTTAGCCTGGTTTCGGGTGCCGTGGTTTCTGTGTTGGGCCTTGCGACCATCCTGGATCAAGAGAACTTTTTGAACTTCGAGGTGACTCCCGGTCGAACCACTATCTTCTACATTGGCATCTTCGGCTCGATATGGGCCGTGGCACGTGGCCTTTTACCTGATGACAACATGGTGTACGATACCACCTTCTCCATTCAAGAAGTGATCGAGTTTACTCATTATGTCCCGGCGCACTGGGAAGGCCGACTTCACACGGTGGATGTCAAGGATGAATTCTCACAGTTCTATCAGATGAAGGTGGTCATCTTCCTCGAAGAGGTCCTCAGCATGATCTTCACGCCATTCGTGTTGTGGTTCAGTTTGCCCAAATGCAGCGAGCGAATCATCGACTTCTTCCGTGAGTTTACAGTCCACGTCGATGGGATTGGATATGTCTGCTCTTTTGCAGAGTTTGGCTTCATGGAGAAAGCAATTAGACCACAAGCCGCGACAGCCACGAAAGCAGAAGAGGCGGCGAGGAATGCAAATGAGCCTGGCAAAGCACCCGGAGCTTATTTGAGAGACGACTATTTCGCGCCGAAGGATAATAAGTTGGAGCAGAGCTATTGGGGCTTCATGAACGATTACGCACGCAACCCGAAAACAGATATTCGATTTCCTTATTATCATCACCACTCACGTCGCCCATTGCACATGCCCCCACCGGTCCCTGGGCTGCTCTCACCCACCTTTCCTCCTGGCGAACAAGAAAATAATTTTAGCGGCAATGATGGTCATCGACGTGGTGTAGGCCTGGGGCTTTTGTCGCCACCGAATCGAGCTGCATTGGGTACACCCCGAGTCGGGGCTCAGCACCATGGAGGCCAAGGCCAAGTTCAGCTGCATTCCGCTCAGCCTCTCGGGTCACCCCTGCAGTCGTTGTTGCTCGACCCTCACCACCAACCCTCAGCCAGCGGATTTGGAGGTTCACCGCCAGCAGTAAGACATCGTTCTTCAGGCGCAACAGGCAAACCGCGTCGTGATCGTGATTCTTTACAGGATATGGCTGAGGAAATGCAACCCAATGGCGTCCGTCATAGGTGCGCGCAGGCTGACGATGCACCGTTAGCTGCAGTGGCTGAGCAACCTGTTTCTCTAAGCAGGACCAACGAAGCGGGAGAGCTTGGATCATGGAAATACGAGGTCGAGTCATCCTCGGAAGCAGGCAGTGATGATGAGGACGGCGACAATGATCCCAATGCGATTACAGCGCTGGGGGCGTTGGGGCCACTTGGATTGATTCGACAGTTTCAGAAAGCTCAGAATCAAGAGAGTGGACGAGCAAGAGCGACTGGTACGGGAATCTAGGTTAGTTGTGCGAGAAGGCCCTGGGCAAGAGATTTGTGAGCATGGCGCAGAAAGCGTCGGGTTCGGAGTAAGAGCATAGAAGGTGGCAACATGAAATGCTTGCATCTCGGTTGGGGTTTTGGGCTTTGGCAAGAAGATGAGCGTACATGTATCGTCCTGATGGCCTTGGGAGGATAGAAGGGCGTTTTTGATCATGACAGGTTGTTGCATTAGGTAGGTGGGTAGGTATAAAACACCGAGACTTTGGCCTACCTTAAGCTTTGAGTTGAGAGGTAGTGTTAAGTGTATTGTTGGAAGCAAACGTAGAATTAGAAGTAGTAAGAAAACCTGGAACTTGGTAACTGCAGACGGATGCCTTGTCTTGTCTTGTCTTGACCTGGCATGGTGGTGGTGGTGGTGGTGTCGTTGACGGTTTTTATGGTCAGGAGGAGGATTAGTAGGACTATCGTAGGAGGACGAGGTCATCCAGGTAGCTATCTCATGTACACACACATACTGTAGCTACATTATGTGCTTTTGACAAGTGGACTTCAAAATTAGACTAGATTTAGTCATGAAAAATACTACCTATCACACCGTCCTTGTAACTCTGCAATTAATAAGTCTACTCGCATCCTGCTGCTCACTGATTAGCAATGAATGCATCATCCATCACACCACAGACCTTGTCTATCTCACCTACAATACCTTTTACCTGTCGTTTGTACCTACGGTTTCCCCGACTAGTCAGTCGGTGGTTAGACCTCCTCCGTTGTAACCCCTAGCTAGTATGTTGATTGTGAGCCCCTTTTGGCTTACTTTTCGGTGGCTCTGCATTGCCCTCGTCTCGTCTTCCCTGCTGCTGGATTTTATGCACAGGCGAGTGTCCCGTAGGTAGGTAGTATTCCGGATTGAAAATATGCACAGACACGGGTATTATCTGTAGGTAGGTAACGTTCCAGTTTGGAAGCGGTGTGGATCAGCTAGCCATGGCCACGTTTAAACCGACCGTCCGTGTCAGATTCTGACTTGACCACCTGAGTTAGTTGGAGCTTCACCACCACCACCATCATCATCATTACCTGACTGCATATGCACATGATACCACTACGGCAGAACATTTTCAATTGGACATTTGGGGCCGCATTAATAAACACAGCAGGGCGAGTAAGCTGCAGGTCACATCCAGCCCAGCCCATGAAGCTAGGCGAAAAGGACCGTCCAATGGTCCGTCCCATCCTCCTGCAGGGGCAGGGCCTGCTTCCGTGGAGAAAAGAAACAAAGAAACAAAGAAACAAAGAAACAAAGAAACAAAGAAACAAAGAAACAAAGAAACAAAGAAACAAAGCAACGTCAAAAAAGACAAAAGCGACATAACACAAGGCGCGTTGGCTAAGCCAGTTTGGACCTGAGGTTATCAGCCATCACTTACCACCTACCTTAGCCTAAGGTAGGATTGATTGAATGGTCATGGGCTCTTACTTCGGCCCGACTTTCAGTTTCATAGTGACAGACATACCTAACGAACAATGGTGGTGGTGGAGGTGGTGGTGCTGGGAGGGCCAGACAAAGTTCCAGGCCCAGGATGAAAGATCCGGTCTGGGCCAGACTTTTTCGTTCCAGTGGTTTATTCGCTGTCTCCTTGAAACCCTCCTACCTTGCCCCCGTGTGTGTCACGAACGCTCGACGCTCGTACCACTTCAATTCGTATTCACGATTCGCGCAAGACGACCAAACCAAAAAGAGTGGCGATGCAGCAACATTTCGTGAATCGTAGATCATCGTCACTCCCCCGCCGTCTGCCCCTGGGGCGCGGGAAGAGGAAAGCTGAAGCCGGGCGAAGTTCCTCTTCCCACAACGCTGTGCCACGAACAAGGCAAAATCGGCGGCCCGATTCCAAATGGTCGGGATTTTTTTGGTTTCTTGTTTCTCGTAACTGCAGCTTTGGTAGACTTGGCAGCTGAGACGGGGAGGGTGTAGCGTGTAGCCTTAGGTTCGACTTTCCAAACAGGACACGAGGACAGAAAACTCAAGTGTGACCGAAGCGTAAACCGTGCCCTGTCGTTCCCATCGACGGATGTCGAGGTCGAGGGCGGCCTGTGGCATTGTGTGTTATCGCCGTGTCCAGAGCCCATTGCTCAGCGGTGACGAGTGAACGGCGGTGGCTCGTACTGACTGTGACTGTGACTGTGCTGATTGAGGAGGAGTGCTTTAAATAAACCGAGCTGGGGTACATTATCAGGTAAGCAATTTAGTTTTTCTTTTTTCGAGGCCCCCCACTGCATTTCATACGGTTAAGCCTCTTCTCCGTCTCTCTCTCTCTCTCTTTCTCCATTGTGGTTTTTTAGCCCGTGTGTCCGGAGTACCGGGAAGTGCCATGAAACTGCGGCTGAGTTGCGCCAGTCCCGCCCCGTCGACGACACACAACAGGCAAAAAGATTCGAGGGCACCGGATACCTGTCTCCACGGGGCCAAGCGAGAACAGTTGCTCGAACCGGAAACTTTTGAGTGCTGAGAAAATCAGACCCGGCAAGTGCAGGATTTGAAATTCATCTCGTCTGGCAAACTTGATTTCGCGGTTTCGTCCATAGGATCGAAGCTTCTACGTCCGGGGTACTAGTAGAAGTAGTATTTGAGTAGTAGCTTTAGGCCGGTGATGGTGTAAAAAGTACCTGAGATCGGCTGGGGGTCCGTACGACTTGCTGCGCCAGTGTAGACAAATTCATTTCTTCCCACTGCGAGAGCGAGTCTCGGTAAGTTGCCATGCGACGGAAACCCCCCTGTTTGTACTTGTAATTGGCAAGCCAAAGGTGGAAATATCGCTTGTTGACACCGGCGCCTCTGCTGGCTCATGAGGCCATAGTCTTCTTGTTTGGGATCCGAAGGCGATACTCCCATGGCTAAAAAGAGAACCCACGGGCGCGTGGCAGCCGGGTTACGCTCGTAAAAGGGCCTCTTGGGTGTGATGGGGGCGTGGGATCTCCCCGTTTCCGAGATTGCGGCTCTTGACCGCGTGTACACCCTGAGAACAGGGGGACATCCCTTTTGTGAGCGATGGGTGCTTGAAACCTGTTTGGAATACGAAGACGAGCCCAACGAATGAAAACCATGATCATGGACGCAGTCACGCCAGTGTTATATACGCTGTATGCGATATTCCGTAGTCCATGGGCTGGAAGGCTGAAGCCGGGACATAATGGCGTGGCAGACTCCAGGGGGGGACTTTGTTAGTAGGGGGTCTAGCGCCAGACGGTGGGTGGCCAGGGACGATAACCGAGTAACTTTGGCTTCAAAGATCCGCACGATGAATAGGGATCAGATTGAGAAATCAATGTGATAGGGGAAATACAGAGAGACGAGAGATCGCGGATGTCACCAACTTACGATACGACGACGATTGAGCGGGAATCGACACGAAGAAGAAGAACGGCGAGCCCGACGACGGATGCTGTTGACTACTCCATACATACATATGCATGTCAACAATAGTACAATATATTGTTCGACTACTGATTGTTCTCCTGTTTCTTCTTCAAGGAACAGCGCCTCACCGCTTACCATACGTAAAAGGAGTGCAAAGCCTTACATACGACATTCAGCCTCCCTCGAGCCTCATTACTGATCTCCCTTGCAGCTTCTTCCTATCTCAGACAGTCAGACCCCCACCCCCTGACAATCCCAGCGACCCTTTGGTCTCCATCTACGCCCCGATACGGCGATACCACTTCGAGGGAGGCGTTGTCTAGCCTCGCAGACCAATCCGAAGAGGTCAATTGGTCGTCAGAGCACCTCCTGGAAGAATGGAGCACGCACTGTTTGGGACAGTCTTCAAATCACGAAACTCGCAAAGGCGCCACGGTAGGGATCAATGTGTGATATTATCTTATCATCATCGACAGCCATGTACAAATGGACGACTGAACGAGTAAACGAGCTGTCCGGGCCAAATCTGGGGGCGTCGCGCGGTAAGGCTTCCCTTGGCCACTGATCAACGGGTCGCCTCGTTTACCCTACCTACATTCTCACCTTCGTCCTCGTACACAGTGCCACCCAGTGTGAGGAGACCGGAGTTGAACTAAATCAATCGCCAGAATCCTTCACCGACCACAATCGCTGAAGTGGCATCAGCATCAGCATCAGCCATGTTTTCAAGTTTCGTCAGACCGAGAAACTTGTACTCCCCTACGGTACTGAGCAGGGAAAAGGGATCCTCCCTGGTGCCGGGCCGCCGGGGACCCTGGTCGCTTTTGTCGCATCTGTTTCGTGCTGCACCATGCTGACAGCCATGGCACCGTATCCTCCTCCCACTAGTTCTACCCTCTCCACTGGTCGAAATGTGAATCCTCGTATCTCATGCGAGAGCTGGGCTAGCGGGCCTGGATACGAAAGTTGAACAGCACCCCTGTCAGTGATCGCTTTGCCTGCAGGGTTCTACAATACCTGCGAGTGGAAAGGAACGCCCATAAACCTCTTACTACAGCAACCCGCTATTCTCATTAGGATCAGAAGCCACGCCTCTCATGGCTATACAATATTGTGCTCTGTGCCACCTTCGTTGACTTGTCTGTCCCTTTGTCGTCCGAAAACCCCTTTTCCTCTTTTTGATCCCCCCCCCATGCCCACAAGACTCCGTATGCAGCAGAGACGTCTCAAAGCATTTCAACATTCGCTTCATATCACCCTCTGGTCTAATCGAATTCCTTGATCCTGTCTGTCTTGATAGACTTGGCTTCTCACCATGACGTCCAAGACAGGGTATGTATATATTTTGCATTCCCTGCACTGAAACATGTTCGTTGACAGATGCAAGGGCAACGACGACAACCACAACATCAGCAGCCGAGTCGACAACCACGACCACTTTGTCAACCTCAGAAGCATCTCCATGCACTCCCACTCCAGAGGTATTGCCGACTCCTCCTAAGAATGCTCCGAAGCCCATCAAGTTGAGGGCTGCATGTAACCAATGCTTCTCGGCCAAGGTAAGACCCGTCCTGCTGCCCTCGTTTCCGTCGAGTTCCTCATCACTCACTGTTGCAGGTTCGATGTGACGGGAACAAGCAAGGATGTCGCAGATGCTGTGAAAAGAGACTTTCTTGCATCTACAGCGAATCTCGGGTCGGAAAAGTGGTAGGGAAGCGAAGGAAGCGACCACTCCCCGATCAAAGTGCCAACGTCGGGTCCCAACCTTGGATCGTCAACGGCACAGCCTGCGCCGTACAATCCATCCCATCGCCAGCGGCCAGTCACGGGTCAGAAGAGTTCACCAAGGCTCATTGCTCTGTGCCCAGTTGGTCGTCGTCGTCGTCATTCAGCGCGACACCCGATCAAGGCCTCATGAACTTTGACGAGACCACCGAAACGCTGAATGCCATTGAAATGGCCAACAACCGTAGCTTCTCAATCACCAGCGAGGTCAGCTTCTTCACCAACAACGGGCTGCCGACTCCTGCCCTCAGCCCATCACAATTTGCGAGGTACCTCTCTCCTGCTCAGCTAGAAAATCAATCAACCTCAAATCAAGAACTCTCGGTACCGATAGACCCGCGCAGACTGTGTCCGCCTGGTCACACTGCGCCTTTCACCAGACACGCTGGGCTATCCTTGGTTCCAGAAGACGAAGAAACCATATGCATCAAGCTTTTAGCGCACCTGAAACGGCATTCTTCCGACGCCTCTCAGTCTCGAGAGATGCAACTCGAGCTCTTGAAGAAGTCCAATGCCGCCGTGAGAAGATTACTGCAAAGTAAGACCATCCGCACCGCCTATACCTGCCACCTACTACTTTCAAACATCCTCAACAACCTCGTGCATCTGTGTGAACGCTTGTGCCAGAACACAAATGAAGATTCGAGGCATCTCAGCGTGGAATCACAGTTCATCCAAGACCAAATGAATTTCGACGCGGTACCTGGATTCTTTGAGAATGGAACAGCCGCCGCTCCACAACCTATCCAGGCCCCTGACGCAGAGACACTGAAGAGTTTGAGTCGAGAAGTCATGTCTTTTACCTCCATGGTTGGTGACATGTTGAAACGGAAGCCTCTCGACGGGTTCCAGTGTCTCGGTAGGCACGAGACGTTCCATGTAGACCTGGAACTACGGCTCTCTAAGGCCATGGATCTTCTGCAGTCACCATGATCATATGTGTGTGTGTTCCTCCTTGTCGTCAAAAATGCAAATTGCGGGTTGCACATCGCACATACAATGAGTCTCACGTTGAACTTGTGGGCGGGGTTGTGGTGGCTCGTAAAGATGACCTGATTCTTCGCTGAACAGCAACTGCACCACCGAGAAACAAACGAGAATAAAGACGGATCTAATGGATAACCGCTGAAGGGAAGCGAATTTGGTTCGGGGGATAGGAAGAAGGATCAGAGCTGTAGTAGTTAATCCTGTGAGTAGAAAGGTGGGAGACTTTTGCCTCAACCAGTGGGCGTTAGTTGGATCATGTAGAAAGGTGATAGAATCCTGTTTTCTCGAGAGCAGGCGTTGGGAACAATTAAATGTACTTCATAAGGGTGATTGGATCTATTGATATCAAAACACCGCGTAAAAAAAGGACGACCAAGGACAAATGTTCATTTTAAAAAGAGTATAGTACGTATGTTTCTCCTGTATGTCTGCAGTCTGACACTCTCTCTCGTCGTTTGTTTCAATGATTGATTTCTCTCTCACTCTGCCAACGGTGACAGCGAGTATTTGCATCCCTGTATCTACTTATGGTTCCTGAGCATAGAGACGATTTCATCTACCATGGCTAGTTGTTGGAGTCTAGAAGCTTTCTGTATCTGTCTGTATAGATACGGTTACCACAAATGCGTAAATAGCTCCCTCCCGCATTCGTTTGTTCGTGAGCTACGCCAGTTTCACCCCCATACGCAACTCGACCCCACATGTGACAGACGATATATTTGTTCGCTCGTTCATCCGTGGGTATCACCTTTGTCGTTGTCGTTGTGTTGCTCTTTTCTTCAACCCGAGTATCAATGAGAGCGACGACACCGGGTCGGGTTCGTGTGCGCGTTCCCCTTGGACATGTCCGGGACCTTGGAGGTCTGTTCGAAAATCACCCTCTTTAGAGGTTGCGTAGGTGGTTACGATTCACCCGAGGAATTAGACTGTCAGACTGTCAGACTCCTGGACTCCTGGACTCCCTCCGTTGAGTGATAGTAACCAGTCGAGGGCTCAGAGCACACCACCTCCACCGCCAAACTTCCAGGCCCAAAATTCCAAGGCGGCAATATAGCCAAACACGCCGAGACCCGCAATGACCCCCTCGGCCTTGTCGCTCAGGTAGCTGTGATGGCGAAACGGCTCGCGCTTGTGCACGTTCGAGATGTGCAGCTCGACAAACGGCATGTTGAGCCCGGCCAGGGCGTCGCGGATCGCCACGGACGTGTGCGTGTAGGCGCCCGGGTTGATGATGACGGCGTCGACCTTTTGTTCGTACGCGGCGTGGATGCGGTCGACGATGTGGCCCTCGTGGTTGGACTGGAACGTCGAGAGCGAGAGGTTGTGCTTGGTCGCGTGGCGGTACAGGGACTCCTCGACGTCCTTGAGCGTCGTCGACCCGTAGATGGCCGGTTCGCGCGTCCCCAGGAGGTTGAGGTTGGGTCCGTTGATCACGAGAATACTCTTCCTGGACCCCTTGACTTGGTGCTCTTCGGCCATGGTGGGATGGTGCTCGATGACCGATGTCCCTTGAAACACACACGCACGCACGCACGCCGTCGGATGTATAATTAACTCGATGCTGGATACCTGAACGCCGCGGGGAGCAAGGTGCCGTCCTCGTCGATCAACGAATGGATGGCGCGGGTGGAACGAGGAGAAGAATGCCAGCAGCAGCAGTATATATACCCTTCTCGCATGAACCGAAGCCCAAGTGAGACTCCGCCATCTCCTCCAAGACTACAGCTATCCAACTAGTATGAGAACCACACGTTCGGTTTACCTTGGCCCAGACCGTGCGTGGTCCTCCTCGGGGTCTCGGCAGCTTAGGTGCGGCAAGGAATTTAGCCGGGAAGAGGCTCCATCGGGAGTTCAGAATGAGGACGAGGCTGTATGTCACTTGTTGGGGGGGGGAGGGGGGGGGGGGGGGGGGGGGGGGGGGGACCCAGAAACGGCAGAGAGAGCCACTACTCGAGTCACGGCGGCACAGAGGAGAGCAGAGCTCGGTGTCGCCGTCCACCTCTACAGCGGTGAACGAAAGTTACCAAAATCCAGACATTTTCTGAAGTACATTCTTTGCTTCGCTCCTCCCACTTACACAATCATGACCGCCATAAAACAACAAGGCATTTTGTTCGAGGAGGAAAACTCTAACCTCAAGACCCCAACCACCCGGGAGGTGATTGACGTCAAGGTCGAAAGGGAAAATTCCAAAGAGATGGGATTTTATTTTCTCGAGAGGCCGTCAGGTTACTCCCCAGCTAGGTGATTCACGCGTAGCCACGAGGAATCGTAGGAAAAGATTTGACCCTTTCGAAACTTATAACCATCTAAATATTCAAAGCTGTGGCACCCGGGAGGCCGTTCGACCAAAAATAGTCGTTGACGCGCACTCCAGGACAGGTCAGAGACTGGGTATCTCTAATTGTTTACATCTTGGCCGCGTTTCTCTTATCTAACGCTTCTCGAATCACCAAAACCGGAGCACGCCTGCCCGTCCACACTTCGAACTGGCAATATGCTTGCTCTTTCAACACAGCCACGCCATCTTCCACCTTCCAACCGGGTTGACGTGACGCGACCCGCATGAGGGCAGAAACTGGAGGGCGGTACGACATTTCAATCACCACCCCGGCGCCGCTCGCGAAGATGTGCTCTGGGATGTCGGCTTCGGTCACGTCGTCGGCGGGAATGCAACTGACGATCACGTCTGCGGGTGGCGCTTCGGCCAGGGACGTGTAAATGTCGATCTTGGAAGGGGAGAAGTCTGCCACCAGCCGTTCTGCCGTGCTCCTGGTTCGATTCACGAGAGCTATCTGCTGAACACCCAGCTGCCGGTAGGCGTACACAGCCGCGCGCGCCGCACCTCCAGCCCCCACCACGATACCCACGTCGAACTTGGTCAATCCGCTACCCTGGATGCACCTCATGATACCAATCCAATCGGTGTTCTCCCCCCGCAGCGTCCGGCGGCCTGTGCCATTGTCCTCGGCAATGACTGTGTTCACTGCTCCAAGTCGGGTGCTAGCGTCGGACTCGGAATCCAACAGCGGTTGGATGTTCAGCTTGTGGGGGAACGTGACCGACGCGCCGCCGAACTGAGGGCTCTGGATCAGATCGCGCACGGTATCGTCGATCCGCAGAGTTTGATGTATCGAATAATGATGTGGCAAGCCTAGCTCGGCAAACGCAGTGTTGTGGATGGTGGGACTCAGTGAATGAGAGATGTTGTTCCCGAAGATGTAAAAATTGCGTTTGGGCAGTTGACCCATGAGATGCTTTGCTTGGTTGACCTGTGCGAGGGAGATCTGGCCCGGTGCGGATGGCGCCGGTATAAGAGGATGCGTGACAAACGAGACCGGGCTGACGATGCGAGACAGTTGCCCTGCCGCACCCATGGACACTGAGATGATGGGTTTGCTCGATTGTGTCTTGTATTTCCGCTGTAGTAATGCCAGTTCATGGCAATCCTCAATGCTGGTAGCCTGAAAGCTGAGCTTCAGGATATCTGCAAATGTTGTCAGTGAGAGCATTGAGATAATCTCCTGCATTGTCTGACAAAACGCACCTCCGTAAGTATTGTGTTTGATGTAGTGCTCAAATAGTGAGTCTGACCATCTGATCTCTCCAGTCCAGTCGTGAACAGAGGCGATAAGTTTGCTACCCCCCTTGTGCTTGACGATCTCCTGCTTCAGAGACTGGGGCCAAGGAAACTCCACATCAATATACTCGCAACCATACTGGGCGGCGAGAAGCATCAATTCAAGGGCTTCCGGTGCTGCATCATCCGGGAACTTGCCTCCTTGCGAAACTGTCCGTATGGTGAATATGATGGGCAGATCCGAGCCTCGTCTCAACCAATTCAGTTGCGAGAGCACATAGTCCTTTGAGGGCACCTTGGTCAACTCGTCTGGCCTTAGCAGGTCGACTCGAAGCTCCCACACATCGCCTCCATAGCCGATTCTTTCGAGGTTGCTGCCTGCTTGTGTGACATCAGGAAATGTGAGGGGAATGATGAAGGTCTGTTTTCCTTGGGCATAGTACGACGATATCAGATCCTGCGCTGTGCCATTGATCACATGTGAAGCCATGTTTGGCAAGTGGCCTCCGGTATCCAGGTAGAGGGTGTCGGCGTCGAACGGACGGTCTCTGATGACCGTTTTCTTTCGCAGGGCGTTGCAAGCACAAGCTCCACTCACGGCAAAGGGCTCTGCCGGCACCTCACGTGACCGGGAGTCGCCCGAGCCATCCCAAGAGTCCGACCCATGTATCCGCCGGAGTCAAAGGCCAGTCGACATGCTCCGGTGACCTACTGCAGGGCTGAATTCACCAGCTCGTATTGCTGCCGGATTGCCCTCCTCATCACATGGACTGGGGCGGGTCTACCCGTGAGGATCTCGAACTGAGAAATGCCCTGCTCAACGAGCACGTCAAGGCCATCCACCACGACCCAGCCGGCTGTGACCCTCGAGTGCATCTGATTCATCAACCGGGTCACCAACGGCTTGTACGCCATCTATAAATAGTTAGCTAGATTCACTGATCATTCGCAGATTCTCTCATACCTCAACGAAGACGCCGCCCGTTCGGCTTTGCAACCATTGATCCGGAATCGTCAATTCATGGGCTGCTTGTCCAGAGATAGAGTGAGCAGGGATGCAGGATATGATCACCGTAGGCGGTCGTAGTCGCTCAGGCCATTCAGACTCCAGCGTTGAAAGCACCTGAACCTCCAGATTCTGTTGCTTGTAGTGGTTCGCCAGCGCCTCGGCATGCGACGCTGTTCGATTGTAAAGACAAATGATCCTGATTCCGAGTGTTCGGCAGGCATAGATCGCCGCCCTTGCCACGCCTCCAGCTCCTATCACCAGCGCGGTGCTGCCTTCGCGAATGACGTTGGCCGGAGATATCTTTCGCTCAATACACTTCCGGATCCCGATGTGATCAGTGTTGTAACCTTTCAGGATAGTATCATAGTCACCTGGCTGGTTCTGGCCCCTCTCAACGACTACGGTATTGACTGCACCGATATCCCGTGCCTCGGGGCTTATGTGGCGCAGCATGGGCAAGACCTGCATTTTGAAAGGCAAAGAGATTGCTAGACCACCGCATTCAGGATCGGTCAAGAGCTCGTGGATGCTACCCAGATTATCTGACTGCAGCAACCCATAAGAATGCGGCATACCACACGCAGCATATGCCGCATTGTGCATTGCAGGAGAAAGACTGTACGAGACGCTCTGCCCGAGGATAGTGAACTTCTTTCGGGACTGGATGAAACTGGAATACAATGCCGTTTGAGCTTGTTTAATGGTGACGCCCTCGGTAGACATGGAAGGAAGAACCACTGGTGAGAGGACAGGATTGAAACAGACCGAAGTCCGACCAAGAGAGCCTGTATTGTACGCAATAAGCGGCATCGTCCAAGTATCGCGAGCGACCTGGGCATTGTAGAGACGCTGCAAATTCTCCGAAGCTGATGCCGCTTGGTGAGTGATGCGAACAGCATGGCAAGCAAGTTGTGATGCAAGGTCGTGTACTTTAGTCCACGTAATTTCCTCCGCAACACCGGTCTGCTTTCTCCCCTCATAATGATAGGTTCCGACGATTTGAGTCGGCCCTCGAAGTGAAGATAGAGATCTCACCTGATCAAGGTCGACCTTCAAGCATACCGTCAAGAAGTCCGGAGAGCTCCGAAGGCAGAGTCGAAGGAGTTTGAGATAATTGACAGAGTCCTGCACTCCTAGATATAAGACATCGATCATGATTGGAGCCCTTGCGTGCCTTCGTAAGGTAGCCACTGCCTTGGGAATCAATTCAAGATAGTGGTCGGTAGCATGGTCCCTCGGATCGATGACGAGACTGACCATATCTGCGCCAGATTCGAGTTCATCATATTCCAAGACATGTGCATCCAACCAAGGAAGCGGTACCTGTAGTGCATAGGTGTAGGAGGCCGACAGAGCCCCGGCAGAGCACAGGAGCTGTGGCTGGCGTCCATAGATGCGGTGTAGAAAACGGACGAAATCCACCTCAGTCTGCTTGAGCTTCAGTGTCCCTCCCTGGTTTCGTCCATTGGGAGTGTCGAGAGTCCACGTGATATTGTAGAAATCAAAGTTCGAACACGAACGGTAGAAGGCATCATGGATTCTGTACAACTGCTCCTGGTTGCCTTGGTCCCCGAACATGTCGCCAAGGTCAGCTTTGTCTCTTTGAACGTAGATGACTGGATGGGTTTGAGCGAAGGCCTTTAATAACCGCTTTTGGGCGTTGCTACCGAACGCCGTCAATCCGCCAATCACGTAGTCTTCACCGTAGGTGTTGAGAAGGGACTCGGTTGCTTTGGTCTCAGCCTCGCGGTAAGCTGGCATTCCATGAGTGGCTATATAGTCGTACGGTGTCGTCCCCACACTCTTCTCAAAGGCCTTGCCAAAGTCCACATACTGGCGGCGCAGGACCACAGATGCAATGACAGATAATGTATGTTTGCCGGCTCGTGGAAACCCGACCACGAGGATGCTGGCACGGGAGTTGTACACTGTTTTATGGGTTGGTGTTGTCGGCCGTTCCAGGAAAGCGCCTGTGTTTGAGGCATCGTGGCCAGCGACTCGGCCTAGTGAAGATGTCCTCGAGCTGAAAACACCAGACACAGTCTCTGGGACAGAGGTCACCGCATAACCGTTGGCTTCCTGAAGATAAAGTTCTCGGCCGCTGTCAGGTGCCTCGGCCTTCCGCTTCATGGCCACTGAAGTGCATCCCAGAGTCCCCCTCAGCCTGCTGTCAGCATTGCGAGGGAGGTTTTGAGAAGAAATGGCAATGATGAGAGCGCCTTCTGCGCGCGAAATACGATGGCATGGGGAGCCTTTTGGTGGTGCTGACAGACAAATCCGTCTGTGACTGAGATTGCAGGGAACCGTTTTCGGTTAGAGACTTTGCCGATCACGTGATTGGAATACGACGACTAATTTGACGACAACGGGATCTTCATCGCATCAACCGTCAAAGCCGACCCCAGAGCAATTTCTCTCACAGACCCCAAAACGTCTGATGATAGTCTTATACGGCCGTCAAAGATATTCGCCTTATCCTGTCAAATGCACGACCAAAGCTACCTCCAAGCCACACCAGCGTAGCCCAGAGGAGACCGACAAAACTTGAGCAGCTCATGGACCTATGTCCGAACCGGGCCCACCATATCCGAAACGTCAAAGAATATCACAAGCCTGTAAGGAATGTCGAAAGCGCAAGTCAAAATGTGGAGGTGAATATCCGTCCTGCCTGGTCTGCGTGTCAACGAATCGTGTGTGCACCTACGACCAGAACTTCCGGAAGCGTGGACTTCAAGCGGGCTATGTGCGAGCTTTAGAAGCACTGCTAGGTACGATCACCCGCGACTCTCCCGACGCTGAGCGGAAGATCCGAGCATCACTCCGTTCGCCACACTTGCAAGGCGAGGTGGACGAGCAACGGGTCACGGATATCGCTGTTGAAGCTTGGCGAAAGTCTGGTCTCTCAAAAGACATTGAGCAACTGTTGGCAGCCTCCGAGGATGTTTTTAGGACCTCCAGTGTGGCCCTTTCGCCCATTGCCTACTCTGACGCCGAGGATGAGCAGGTTGATGAGGCTACAGGTCTGGAAGAAGCCTCCCAGCAGACATCACTAGATCTAAATGGTCCCCCTGCTCGGCATGGTCAAACACAGAGCCTTCCTGATAGCCCGCTGCCAGTCGAAACATCGAACATGGTTGAATTTTATTTCGCACAAATTCAGTGCTGGTTGCCAGTTTTGGAGCGCCGGGATGTCCTGCGCATTTTACATTCCGAGACCCTTCCTTCAGCTCTTACAATCAGCGACAAGGCTCTGAGATCGTGCCTCTGGGCTATATTTGCCTTTGTGACTGCTCAAGGACGCTTTTTCTCGGAGACCCATCTGACTTATGAGAGAGTTTTGGTCGGTCTTTGTTTGCAAATCAGTGAACACGAACAGCAACCAGAACTGGGACATATTCAGTCGAGATTAATTACTGCACTCCTAAAGATCGGTTTGGGTCAGCTTAATGCTGCGTGGACAATGATCGGGGCGACGATTAGAATGCTTCTCGGGTATCAATATCGCCCTCCGCGCTACTTGCATACGTTGTTGGTGTGCATAATGCTTGACAACTATCTCTCTTCTCTTCTGCGAAGAGACTCTTATTTTCCACCGAGCAACCGAATCTATCTTGCCAGGGTGGACGACGATTCAGTGGAAGAATGGGAATACTGGAATCCCCCCTCACCGTGTACAACCGCTGCTTCCGACAGGAGGAAAGGCCCGATGCGGTCGTTGAGCATCCTGAATTCGATGACTCAGCTTGTACATCACCTGGCAAAGATCAATGAACAAAACGTGGACGACGCAAGCCTTTTCGAAGGTCTTGATGCTCTACAGACCTGGAAGGAAAATCTGTCAGGACATCATCAGATATCAAGCTCTAGTCCCTCAAATCCACCTCTTCTGAATCTACATCTGATGTGGAATTTCGTCATGTGCTCTTTGCTGATGAAGGTCAGTACCCTTCAAGATTCTATTGTTGAACTGGCAGAACAATGCGCAACTTCTACCGTGGAGCTGCTAAACATCATTTCAAGAGACATGGGCATGCAGACCCCGCTGTTGCAGGGCTACGCATCCCAAGCATGGACCTGTTTGCATGTTGTCGTTCGCCCGGAGGCAGATAGCAGTGCATGTTCGGCCATGGCGCGGCTTCTCGAGTTGAAGCAAAGCTTTCGTCAGTATTGGCAAACAAGGGAGTGTGGCCCAGCGAACCAGCCGTATGAGGGTGCTCAAAACGCACGATATGACCCAGAAGTTCCAGGACGGTCGCTCTCACAGCTTTCTGGAATGGCGTCCTTATCTGCGGATGTTGCAAATCCAACTGCCAGTAATAGATTTGTCGGTACCGAGCGCCATTCGACAGCGCTTGTTCAACCATTTGCAGCGGCGCAAACCCCGGAAACTCATTTTCAGGGTGTCCCCACGAATCGAGCTTTCCCATCAGAGATCGAACCTGGTGGCGACCTGGAGAACGTTAACGTACCCAGCGCAGACCAATTCAGTGATGTAAATGATTTTGATGCTATTTTCAACCAAGGGCCGTGGATAGCGCCGATGAAGAGGTAAGTGACACACCATCTGTTCGGCCTTGTTCGTACTAATTTTGGAAGACCCGATGATCAATACGACTTCGCACAAAATCTGGGTTTTGTGGGTGGTGAACTTGATCCCGACTTCTTCTCAATCCTTAGTCCAGAGGCGAATCCTCTGTGGGAACGTTTGAATCGAGCGGCAGCTCCGAATCACCTATAAACTCAATTCTCGTGCCAGTTTCTGCCACGACTGGATTCCCCTCTGCGCATGCGTGTGAGGTACACTGGGGTCAGGATCCGACATGGTCCGGGAGAAAAGCTCCATTGATACCCATCCCTCGAAACCCAGCTCCTTTAGGAGAACTCGGGCCACCTCGACTACGGGAAGATAACCACCCTTGTCTTCTTCATAGAGGAATAATCTTGCATTTCGACTCCAGCTCATCCTACTGGGTTGACCATCGACATGGAATGGATGATCCTGAGTGAGGGGGGGATCCATCCTCTCAGCATCCACGACCTGGACATAGAAGACCTTCTTTAGGTCGACCGTCTTGATGAGTTTCTCCAGCGAAGCCTTCAGGTCTTCGTCCGCGTTGGGAGTTTTGCCTGAGGGACTGGCAGGATCAGCCCAGACGCGGCCGGCAATATTGAATGTGTCCAGGCAACAACCGAAATTAGGACGGTCGACACATGTAACTATCTCCCATAGTTTCTCCCATGTATCGACATGGGTGCCCCACGCCAGGTTTTCATAAGCAAATCTCACCGGCACGTCCTCTTTGAGACCGAGGTCTGCAACCTCTCTCATATCCTGGACGATCAGATCCATGTCGCCGGTAGTCCCGCCCTGCTGAAAGTTGGACGGGATCTGTATGATATCTGTGCCGAGAGCTTTGACAATTTTGAACCAGGTCTTGAGCTTCTCGATCCTCGCCGCATGTTCCTTTCTGTCGACCAAGCCTTCATAGAACAAGAACGGCTGCAGGCCGATAATGGTCAAGCCCAGGTTATCACATAATCTTCGGATCTGTTCCGCTGCTCGGACAAGGGTTTCTGAAGTCGCCTCTTGTCCGTCTTTCTTGGCGAGATATTCCAGGTCCTCGTAGAAAATCTCAATGCCCTTGAAGCCGGCCCCGGCGGCTTCTCGGAGTTTTCCGTCCAGGTCGTGCACCCAGGCACGACCGAGGGACATTGAGGCGATGGCTGGCTTGCAAGGCATGTTTGGCACGCGACGAAAGAAGACCTGCTGACGGACAGGAGACACAAATGTTTCTCAAGCAAGGTGAACCGCGATCATATACTGTCCCGCTTCTGGCGGCTAAACACTATTCCGGTTCCACATACGCTTCAAGGACCTCTTGGCTGCCGACGTGGTGTTTCTTGATGGAACATTACAAGGCCAATCTGCGGGGTGATTTTTATGACAAGTCCTGCTGTTCTTGCTGTGGAACAGAAATGTCCTAGAAATTGATCGCAGGACTTGTCTCCGCCGCTTTTTGGAGCACTGCCCGTGCAGCGTCCACGTCTATGCGTTTGGCGACCTCCTCTCCGACCCAGAGTCGGTACTGCTCTTCTATCTGGTGGCCGATGATCCCCGTTCCTTCGACTGTTTTCCAGCCATACTTCTCGGCGAGCTTTAACCACCTCGTCCGTCGGGGTTTGAAACACATGTCCAGCAAAACTCCCTTGTCGTCCGTGCCGGCCGATGACAGGAAATGTTCGACTACATCCCGTCCAGCAATTTCCTCAGGGCTTTGCGGTTCAAAGTCAGGTACCGTACCCACGATGTAGTAAGGCGCCACGAGGGATTTTGCTTCCTCGACCGAGCGAATCCATACGATCTTGACGCGGTTGCCGTAGACTTGAGCATCCTTCCTTAGAGCGTCGACCTCGCCAGCATCGCGGTTGACAATGTATATCGGATTGCACTGTAACTGATCGTACAGAGCGTAGAGTGCAGCCCTGGAGGCACCTCCAGCGCCTATCACGAGAGCCGGTCTGCCCTTTCCCCTGCCCTGCGGATCTCCGTCCGATAGACAGCCCTTAATGCCTCTCCAGTCGGTATTGGTCCCTCGCAGCGAGCCATCCGCGGCTCGGTACACGTTATTGCAGGCTCCTATGGTGACGGCATGCTCATCGAGCCCGTCAAGGTGGTTCTTTATCGTACCCTTGTAAGGCATCGTCACCACTCCGCCGGCGAATGCGGGTTTTCGAAAAAGAGCCACTGCATCTTCCACCGTGGGACATTCTTGAGCGATGAATTTCCAGTTGTAGCCGAGCGAGTGTGCGACAAAGTCATGCATTACCGGTGCAATGGAATGTGTGACGCCAATGCCCACCAAATAAGTAAACGCGCGCTCATCTCGAGGATCATTGAGCGCCATGGCTTAGAAAAGGTCAACGACAAATACTGAGACAGTGTAGTTTCCTGGCTGGCGATACATTCATTCAAGGTCTGGGCGATTTATTGGCCATGTATATCGAACAGATCATGGAGAATCCGAGACTGCTTTCCACCATTGGGACGTGGTCGCTTAGGCATTTATCCGGGACCTCCCTTTCCCCTTTTTGAGAGCCGAGCACCAGCCCAGTAGTATCCACCTAGAATGGGTCAGTGTGGCATGACACGGGGTTTGCTCACAGCTCAAGCCTCAGCGTTTTGATATTCAATACCGAAACCTCTACAGTCTCTTCTATCCGGTAAGACCCAACCCCCCTCCCATTCTATCACTATTGTATACATCAGTTTCGCATGACTCTTGACGTAGAAAAACCCAAACCACTTCGCAGTCTTCTTGCCACGCAGCCTGCCAGTCTATCCAAGTATTTCAAAATTCCAGGTCTTCAGCGCCCTCAACCCACTTCTTGCATTGCCAATACAGCAAGTCATGTTTATCTCCACACTTCTTGAAGCTCCCAGGTAAGTCGCTCTGCTCGCGCCTGTGCCCTGGCATGTCGAGCAAGACCTTGACGCCCATGGTCTTTTCTTGGCAGTAGGCCAGATACCGATATCCACTGGGAAACTTTTGAAGAGCTTCCTCATCCAGCGCGGGGACCCTGTTGGGATTGACGGGAATCAATTTATCCTGAGATTGTAAGCCATAAGACTGTGACAGAGGAGAGAAATGGAAACGTGAAAAAAAGAGCTGTACCTTCTCGTACCAGTGCCTCACATATCGTGCTCGCCATTCACCATCCTCGGTCTTTACCCAAAAGAAGCAAAAGCGACAATCGCTCTCGGCATCCGCCTCACCATCGTCAAAGTAAAACCGCTGAGTGATGGTGGCCTTCATCTTCGTCACTGCCCGAGTGGCTTCTACGTTGATGTCGGTGCTGACCCCGTGGCAGCGATGCATGATGAAGGCACCATTGTCCATTCCTTTCTGAGACGCCGCGATGAAATCAAGATGGTGCGTCTTGCCCGTCCAGGTGGTGTAGATGTATGCATCTGGGTGGAAAATGGATTTCAAGTTCTCCCATTCACAAGCATCGCTGTAGTAATCTTCTTCGTCAGCTTGAGTTCACGAGGCGCGAAGGATCAGGGGGAAACAAGGTACTTGCCGGTACGAAGGCCATCCTTCGGCCAGTTCTCTCAGCTTGTACCGCTCAAGGACAAGATTATCCGGTCCGTTGTTGCGCACAGCCTTGTCGGGCCTGGATCCCTCTGGGAGAGTGTGCAGATCAGGCATGTTGTATGAACGCGAGTTGGTATCCGTACCTCCTGAAGCTAACTGTGCCGTGTGCTATATAAACATAGTTCCGTCCGGTTGTTATATCCCGGGTGGATGGCTGGCTGTCCCACATGGGCGGCTAAGGTCTGTGCCGGGACAAGGGCCGTCGACACTCTGGGGACCGGGGTCGGTATGGCGGGGTGTCACTCCACGGGGGAGGAAAATACCCGCTTCAGGGACTAAGAGTCGAAGCGAAGACTATCAAATTACCGACTGCTACGATATGTTAAATACATAGACTACTCTGTCGCCCCTCGCTTCGAAGATTCTTCCAACCTGACCTCAGACGATACCCACACTCTCGTCCAGGGTCGTCCATCTACTGCCTCCTCGCATTTTGTCTTTTGTTTTCCGCTTCGTGCACTAACAGTTCCATCATGGGTATCCTTGCTCCCAAAGATCTCTCCTCTAACCCTGCCCCTCCACAGGTCTACAACTGGAGGGTCTATGCGTTGGCAATCTCTGCGGCGATGGGATCGTCGATGTTTGGATATGACTCCTCCTTCATAGGAGGGTCATTGGCTCTCCCGTCCTTTCGAGAGCGGTTTGGACTGGCCGATGCCAGCTCGAAGAAAAGATCTGACCTGTCGGCGCATATCGTCAGTACCTTCCAAGGTGGCTGCTTCTTCGGCGCCATCTTTTGCTACATCATCAGCGAGCGGATCGGCCTGAAGAAGACTCTGATGCTCTGTGGTGCCCTCTTCGACATCGGCACTATCTTGCAAGTTGCGAGCACTGGTCAACTCGGCTTGATCTACGGGGGCCGCGTCTTGACTGGTAAGATCTCCTTCATTTCCCATTCAGTCGCCCTGGACCCCGTCACTACCCTTAGGCGCGGTTCGAGGACTCACAAGTGAGCGCACAGGTCTTGCTGTGGGAGCCTCGTCTTTGATTGTCCCCGTCTATATTTCCGAGTGTTCTCCGCCCGCCATCAGAGGGCGTTTGATCGGCATTTTTGAAATCGTCCTGCAATTGAGCCAGATTGTCGGCTTCTGGGTCAACTACGGCGTCAACAAGAACATCTCCGCCTCGGACGACGCACAGTGGCGGATTCCGTTTGCCCTTCAGTTCGTCCCGGGCACACTCCTTGTCGTTTTGATGGCTCTGCAACCCGAATCACCACGATGGCTGGCGAGTAAAGGGAAATTCGCCGAGGCGCAACACATCTTGTCGGTTCTCCGGCGATGCCCCGAGGACCACGAGTACCTCGCTTGGGAACTTACCGCCATTCGGTCGCAGATCGAGGCTGAAAACGCCGAGAGCGCAACCAGCCTGGTCGCGAAGCTGAAGGAAATCTATAGCACCAACGTCCGCACACGCCTTCTCATTGCCATGGCGCTGATGATGCTGCAAAACCTTAGCGGAATCAACGCGCTCAACTACTACTCGCCCACCATCTTCAAGTCAATCGGCTTCACAGGGACCAACGTTGGCCTCCTGGCCACCGGAGTCTTTGGCATTGTGAAGGCCACTATGACGACCGTTTTCATGCTCTTCCTCGTCGACCGCTCTGGAAGACGTCCTGCCATGTTGGTTGGATCTGCCGGAGCCATCGTCGCCATGTACTATCTCGCCGGCTACACCAAACTGTCGAACTCGTTCAACGAGACGCCTCCCAAGGATGGCGGTGCGTACGTTGGCATTGTAATGGTCTATATTTTCGCCATCTTCTATGCGATATCGTGGAATGGTATTCCTTGGATCTTCTCGTAAGTCCGCTGATCTCGGAGAATCCATGTACTATTCCAACTTGATTGATCTAACCATTTTTCCTTTGTTTCCTCTCCAGGGCCGAAGTCTTCCCCATCGAAGTGCGCCAGGTCTGCTTGGTTTTCACGACTTGTACTCAATGGCTTGGCCAGTTCATAATTGCCTACTCCACACCCTACATGATCACAGGGATCGAGTACGGTGTTTTCTTGTTCTTCGGAACTTCCGTGGTCATTGGCGTCACGTTTGTTTTCTTCTTCTTACCAGAGACGAAGGGGGTCGCTCTGGAAGATATGGATGTCATGTTCAACGTCAAGGGCTGGGCCTGGCAAAAGAGAAAGGAGACGGATCGCATCCTTGCCGAGAGGCGCTTGCAGCTGCAGAATGACAACGTCATTGTCGTTGAGAAGTTCGATCATGCTCATCTGGAGGGAAACCGCGCCGAGGATGAGGTATGAGTTGATATATGCGAGACAAGGTGCTGGGCGCGGGAAGCTCGATGGCAATCATGGGCATGACCCATGCTTGCTAGGTACGATGTTTCTTCCTTCCAGAAGTCCTTGATCGGGGACTCGGTTCCCAAGGAGTTGGAAAGCGTTTGTCAATTTGGCCAATTTTTTTTTTCCTGAAGCCCGAAATGATAGTCGGGGCTGGACTGAAGCAGAATACTGTTAATTCACTGCAGAAAATATCGACTCTGCAGGATGGTGTCTCAGAAACCACGGTGATTTCATACGCTCTCATAATAAGAAGATATCAGTTCTTTCGTGCAATCCAGTTTGATTTCAAGTCCCGAGTTCGAGTTCTAGATCTGGGGGGGTTTTCAGTCCCGCAAGATAATCGGCCAAGGGGAGCCCTGGCAGCCCTGCTCTGCCCCGTCCCTTCTCCACCGATGCCGGCGAATGATGGTGATAATGCGCCCCCCAAACAACACCCCGGCACTGCATCCTCGTCTGTAGTACACTATCATCTCGCGACTTTGCTCCGGCCATGCAAACTCTGTCTCGTCCAACCTTGTCATTGAACCCCAGAGAGTAGAGATTAATTGCAATTCCTTTTCAGACCGATATCGATAAATCAACACAGCTTCACCGGGGCGACAGCATAAAGATGCAATCAGTAGAGATCAGACCCGTACTATACGACTACATCAGAAAGTAAGGAGAAGAGTAAGCCCTTAAGCAGTGGGTGAGTCGCGAGCGGGTCGATCGGCCTTGAAGCGAGCCGAGAGGGCAGAACCTCGGACGCTGGATGTCGTGATTGTAGGTCTATATGTTGTTAACCTCTGCTGACCTTCTCCAGCACCAACTCTGATTTATCACAACTCAGTCATAGAGAAACAGACAAAGGAAAAGGATGAAACTCGTCAACTACGCCGCCTGGATCCCCGCCGAAAGGGCTTCTCTGGAAGTTGCCACTGCTCCGTTCCCTGACATTGGGGCTGGAGAAGTCATTATCAGAAATCGCGCCGTCGCCGTGAACCCTGTCGACTGGAAGATACAGACCTCGGGCGGCTTCGAACTCAGATACCCGTACATCCTCGGCGACGATGTGGCAGGGGAGGTGATCGAAGTCGGCAAGGACGTCAAACACCTCAGGAAGGGCGACCGCATCATCGCCCACGCTCTCGGGTTGGGCAACGGGAGTGCCTACGGCGGGTTCCAGCTGTACCCGAGGCTCAAGACGGCGGTGGTGGCCAAGATCCCAGACAGTCTCGACTTCAGACACGCAGTGGTCCTGCCGCTGAGCATTTCCACTGCGGCCGCGGGACTATACTTAAAGTCTGGTCTCGGATTGACGTATCCGGTTCTGAAAAAGGCTACAGCTACGACTACAACTGCGACTGCTGGTAGGACTAAGACTAGTTCTCACGCCGCCATGTCCGTGTCATCGCTTTCACTAGACCATCAATCTCCTTTGCCCACGACTGAGGAGAAAGGAACGACACCGGTCCTTCTTCTTTGGGGAGGGTCTTCATCCGTCGGATCGTCCGTGATCCAGCTCGCCGTGGCGTCGGGATATAGCGTCGTCGCGACAGCGTCTCCCGCGAACTACGCTTATGTCAAAGCACTCGGGGCTACTTTGGTCCTGGACTACCATAACCCCGACATTGTGGCGATCTTGGCTTCATTACTCGAGTCGCATTCCGTCGTGGGGGCGTACGACGCCATCGGGTCGCCAACAACAGTCGGGCAGTGTGCTACTGTCTTGGGTTCGTTGCGGGGAGGAAGGATAGTCAGTGTTGGCGCGGCGCCAGACGATCTCCCGTCCAAGGTCGAGGTGAGCAGGATCTCAAGTGGTAACATCACTACTGAGGAGGACGGCCTAGTGGCCAGGAAGGTTTGGCAAGAGTATGTCTCTGGAGCGCTGGAGGAGGGCACTCTCAAGCCTGCACCGGAAGAACTGGTCGTCGGGAATGGACTGTACTATGTACAAGGTGGGCTCGACCGGCAGAAACAGGGTGTCAGTGCGAGAAAAGTCGTCATTACGCTATAGATGTGCTATCGATCTTGTTCGAACAAGCAGTACTCGAGTGCGTGTCGGATACGGACCACAGGAGAGCAGGAATCATCGGCCACTAGTGTGTAGGTTGTTGGATTTTGGGACCCTAGCAAACGAGTGCTGGATATTGATGATGTCGGGATTGAGGCGGGAAGATGCTCGACTGGTGATTTCTCGACGCATCATCGGAAAATAGGGGTCTGCAACTGCCCTGGCAGGAAATTGCCGAAACTGACGAGGCTCGCGTTGAGCAGTTCAACGAGGCAGTTTTCACTCTTCCCTGGGATCTGAGGATGGTGCCAGGATACAAAGACAGGTCTGCCGGTGCTCTGCCATGAACTTGCGATGGAGGCAGAGGCGCCTAAGAATAAGACCGAGAAGAGTTCAGAGGCAAATTTTACCTACCACATCGTGCTCTGAGATCCTTCGCAGTCGGTTGCTAATCTGGGAGGATGGATGCTTGTGAGAGACACCATCTGCTGGCAAAAGGGGCGCAGAAGAATCCTGAGCATTGTGATAATGACAACCAAATTGAAAAGACCATGTCTGACCACGGCATTCATCCACCAAAATTCCCCACACTTGCGGACACGGAGTCGGTCAGACGACATATTTCCATTTCTGGCAAGGCCGATCTTATGCAGTCTTGCGTGTCTGCGAGCCGCGTAACTCGTGCTGTATGACCTGGTCGTGCTACAACCATGACTTCCCAATGAGTTCATGATTATCCTGCCTTACTGAGCGTTCTGTCGCCGTCCCTTGTTGCTCGTACTGTCTTTGCTATTCATTTTCAGTATTCTGTTGTTCCTACGCTCAACCCCACGGACGTGTCGGCCGTCGTCATCCTCAGCACTCCTCTGACTGCGCTCCCTCCCGCAGTCCTCACTCAGATGCGGCCCATGATTCCCCTTTGAGTCGAATTCCTTTTGCATTCACCATGTTCCGTCTCCGTCGGTACAGGGTCTTCCTGATAGTCGCGGTCCTCTCCATCATCACAATATATGAACTCTCTCACCTGAGGCGCTGGGATGGCACTACTCTAGAAGGTCTCATTGGACACAAGCCAGAAGTAGACAAGACGGATACCCCGAATCGAGTGCTGCCAGACAGCCCTGCTCCTGGCACAGAGACCACACCCCCTCCTCCCGCCGCAGTGTCAGTGGAGGCGGCGGTGACACCTGTTCCCGAGGCCGCGGTCAGCTCTACCATTCCCCCATACTCCAGTCCAACAGTGACGGGAGAAGAGTTCTTAGCGAAACTGCCAGACTTCGATGAGGACTTTGGTGAAGATGGTCAGGGCCGTTACGAGGTCAAGCCTAGGCCGCCAGGCATAGGCAAAGCCATATGGAGATCTCAACCGGCACAGTTTCCCATCACCGCCGAAAGCCTAATCTCCCTTCCTAAGGGTAAACCGCAGACCTTGCCCAAGATACAACACAGTTTTGGTTGGGAAGCGCCATACACGAAGGCCAATCGGAAGAGGAAGCAGACAAGGATTCGTGAGGCTTTCAAGCATGCCTGGAATGGGTACAAGAATCACTCAATGCCCCATGATGAACTTAAGCCGTTATCCAGGAAGTCGGCAGATCCGTTCAACGGTTGGGGGGCCACACTAGTCGACTCACTAGACACTTTATGGATAATGGATCTACGTGGTGAATTTGAAGAAGCTGTGGCTGCTGTGTCACAGATTAATTTCAGGACGTCCGCCAGGAAAGACATTCCTCTTTTCGAAACTACGATCCGATATCTTGGAGGTCTGATAGCAGCTTACGATATCAGCGGAGCCAAATACCCGATACTGCTCGAAAAGGCAGTGCAACTTGCCGACGTCCTTCTTGGTGCCTTCGACACGCCTAACCACATGCCCATCGGATATTACAACTGGGCACCTTCCTATGCCTCGCAGCCGCACCGAGCAGGTGCCCATACCGTCATGGCCGAACTGGGATCCCTCGCTGTGGAGTTCACCCGACTGGCACAGATAACCAAGGAGCAAAAGTATTACGATGCGATTGCACGCGTCACTAACGCCCTTGAAAAGTGGCAAATGGAGACGGAAATCCCGGGACTCTGGCCCTTGAAGCTTGACGCTTCGGGGTGCAAGAAGCCCGAGGTCGAAAGGACTGCAGGGCTGGGAAGATCAAGTAATCCTAACCCCTTCCGACCAGACGAGGTTGGTGAAGGCGAAGAGCCAGCCATCAATCCGTTCAGTGAAAAGCCACAAGCGGATTCACCGTTGGAGCTGGAGAAAAGCAACACTCTCCCCAAAAGGGAGGCTGATGATGCTCAGTCGGAAAAACAGCCCAAGAAGACAGATCCTAAGCCTACCTTGGATAAGCCTGTGGCTGTGGGCAATCAGGATTGGGAAGAAGATTATGCGAGTGTTGACTGTGCAGCTCAGGGGCTCAACTATGAGCCTCACTCTACAAAGCATACCTACGGCATCGGGGCCATGGCTGATTCCACGTATGAATATTTGCCAAAAATGTTTGCACTTCTCGGGGGTCTGAACGTACAGTACAAGTCGATGTACCTGGATGCCATGGACGCCGTGCGTCGTGAGCTTCTTTTCCGACCCATGACCAAAGAAAATCACGATATTCTATTTACAGCCAAACAGGTAATTGCACCAAAATCGGTCGGCACTCTGAAAGAGAGGGTCACAGTCTACACAGGTAGCCACCTTGGCTGCTTTGCAGGCGGCATGTTTGCACTTGGGGCCAAGCTGTTTGGGATATCAGAAGATTTGGACCTGGCCGAGAAGCTAACAGATGGTTGCGTGTGGTCGTATGCCTCTACTCCGATTGGTGTAATGCCAGAAAAATTTGAGCTGGTGCCTTGTGATAGTCTTGCATCGTGTGTGTGGAACGAAACCAAATGGCACGAGGCACTGGACCCTTACCGGGAGGATAGGTTTCGAGCCGTTGAGGAGTATAACGCCATGCAAAAAAGCATCCATGATGAAGCGATGCACGCGGTCGAAGATGCCGCGGCAGAGCCGGTGTCAGACCCGAGCATGAAGAAGCGGGATGAAATTCCGAAGTCCGACGGGACCGATCCCAGCCGGACCATCTTCACTGATGATGATGACGATGTTGATACACAAGGTGGGAGAGAAGGAGCAGGTATACCCGCTCCGCCGTTCGTGCCCAGGGTGGCGCTCTCACATGAGAAATATGTGGCAGCAAGACTATTAGAAGAACGACTACCGCCCGGATACACCAAGATTGACGAGCGAGACTACAGACTACGGCCTGAAGCGATCGAGTCTGTGTTCATCATGTACCGCGTCACGGGAGACGAGTCGTGGAGAGAAAAGGGATGGGCCATGTTCGAAGCAGTCGAGCAGGCCACGAAAACCGAGGTTGCGCATGCCGCCATCAACGACGTCACCAGCCAGTTGGGCGAACAGTCGGACTCGATGGAGTCGTTCTGGCTGGCCGAGACGTTGAAGTATTATTATTTGTTGTTCAGTGAGCCGGAGTTGGTCAGTTTGGATGATTATGTTTTGAATACCGAGGCCCATCCATTTAAACGACCTGCAAGCCATTGGTACGGGTGAGGTGGTGTGAGATGAGGTAGGCTTTGGGGATGGAATGAACAGGTCAGGATAAAAGAAGGGAAGGGTTGACTTGGACTTGGGATAGCCTTGAATACATACATATCTGTAACTTGGATACCTACATATATTCTTATGACTGCTACAGTTACTTTACCTCCCTATAGGTACCTGGCTTCTAGTCCAGAAGGGGGGGACCGCCCCATAAAAAACAAAGAAATACATTTGTATCGTACCCTTTGAAGATGCCTTTCGAACAGATACGAAGCAGACGAAAAAACAAAAAAGACAAAAAGACAATCAACATTCAGGATTCCCACCTGGTCACCCGCGGTAGTACTGGCTGAACGGCACGTGACTTAAGTACGGCTGAGCGGACGGGAAGCCCTGTTCTAAACACGTCCTATGGTCGATTGCGAGGGTAAAGTGGAGAGATGTGCTTCATGTCCTGGTAAAACCGAGTTGGGTGGTGTGGGAAGCGGAGGTGGTACTGACGGACTGACGGACTGGATTTTTCCATGGGTGTCAACAACTGCCCCGTATCATGAGTGAGGGAGGGAGTGGGTGAGTGAGTGATTCTCGTCATTATCATCATCATCCTCCTCATCGCCATCATCGTCACCAGCGACCAATTCTTCTTGGTTTTCTTTTTTGTTTTTTTTTTTTTGGCTGGCTGTCTTTGCTTGCCTGCTTGTTCTGTGTGTTTTTACCCCTTTGGTCAAGGTCGGTTTCTCCCCTTTTCGTCCTTGGTTTGTCTAATAAGTACGTAACGGACGACCGACCGAACGAACCACCACTCGGTCATTCGACCTGCCTGCCTTTAAACAAACCAACCCACCAACCAACCAACCGATCAATCAGCCAATCAATCAATCAAGAGAAAACTGAATCAATCAAGGTAACTAACTACCTCGGATCAAGTAACGAGTACCTCGATCGATCCCTCCAACAGTCCAGATCAATCCTCCCAACTGTTTCGGATTAATCCTTCCATGTGATAACCTTTGTCCTGACCCACTCCTCCAAACCAGGTAGGCCATTGAAACGACCAAACCCAGACTTCTTGACCCCGCCGTGCGGAAGGGCAGCCTCGTCGTGGACGGTCATGGTGTTGATGTGGACGGCGCCGGACTCGATCTGGCGGGCGATGCGGAGACCCCTGCGCAGGTCCTCGGTGTAGACGGAGCTCGAGAGGCCGTAGTCGGTGTCGTTGGCGATGGCGACGGCCTCGTCGTCAGACTGCACGACGTACAGCGACACGGTCGGGCCGAACGACTCGGTGTGGTAAATGTCCATGCCGGGCTTGACGTTCTCGACCACGACGGGTCGCATCTTGGTCGCGCTGGCCTCGGAGTGCGTCGGGTCGCCGTAGACGGCCGTCGCGCCCTTGGACACGGCGTCAGCCAGCAGCGCCTTGTTCTTGGTCACGGGCAGCGCCGCCACGAGCTGCGGCACCCCCATGCCACCCTGTGCCTCGGGCCCAAACACCTGGTCCATGGTCTGGCGGAGCGCCGACCGGAACTCGTCGGCCACCTTGGCGTGCACCAGGATGCGCTCAGTCGCCATGCAAATCTGCCCGCCGTGCAGGAACGAGCCGAGCGCGCACTGCAGCGCCGCCGTCTGGATGTCGGCGTCTTCGCAGACGATGGCTGGCGCCTTGCCGCCCAGCTCCATCACGCAGGGTTTGAGTAACTTGCCGGCCTGCGACGCGATGATGGACCCCACGGCCGTGGACCCCGTGAAGTTGATCTTCTTGACGGACGGGTGCGAGATGAGCGTCGACGTCACGCTCGCCGCGTCCGCCGGCCGGTGGTACAGCGTGTTGAGGCATCCTGCTGGGAGGCCTGCCTCGTGGAGGATGGACGCGAGAGCCCAGTACGTCGCCGGCGCGGACTCGGGGCCTTTGAGAACCACCGTGTTGCCCCTTTTGATCTCGTAAGCAAGGCATATCGAGCACAGTAGAACGGAAATGCCACGATAGGAATAGGTCAGGGCAAGAGGTGCAACCTCCGCGAGGGTGAGGGAAAGAGGGGAGAAATGAAAGCGGGAACGCACATGGCAAGAGGTTGCAAAAAGGCACGTAGACCCAAGACGTTGGGGGCGTTCCACGGTGCGATTCCCAGGACCACACCGTACGGTTCCTTGACCACCAGAGCGCTGAGGCCTTCTTCGCCGGCCACGGGCATGGTCGATATACTTGCGGTCTGGATGAGTCCTGCGACGCTCAGGCACGCTTCGTAGGCGAGGTTGTGTTCGAATGCGAACATGGACTCGGCTGCGCCAGTCTCGGTGTATGAGTACTGTCTTTGTTCATCCTTTCTCTTCTTGAACCCCTCGGCTGCGCGGATGAAGATGTCTCTTCGAAATGACGGTTTCGTTTTCGACCACGACTTGAACGCCGTTTCTGCCGAGGCGACGGCCTTCAAGGCATCTTGTTCATTGGCCGCCGAGGCTTTGTACAAGGTCTTCTGGTCCAGCGGGGAGATCACGTCAAAGGTCGAGGAGAGGCTGACTTGTTTGCCGTCTAGCCATAGAGGAATCGTGGAGGAGGAATCGAAGGCCGAAACGGACTTTCCATTTACGCTGTTGCCGTTGGAAGCCATGGTGATTCGTAAAAAGGTTGAACCGTCGTTTCTTTTGGAGAGGAAGTCTGTCTGGGGATTGAGAGGTTGATGTTCTCCGATTCTGTTACTCTTGTACAAGTATAAGTATTACCTGGTAGGCTAGGCGGCCAGCTGCGCCCATGATGACCCAAAAACGGGCAAAAGGTGGGGGAAGAAAGGGAATGCCGCCGGCATGTGGATAAGGCAATGGTCATAATGGCCGTGAGGGGCTGGAGCACCACAAGCCGAAGCTGATGCGTTGCGCGTTGCATCGACCTCTATACAGCAGCTCGTACAGGAGGAGTAGGAGTAGGAGTAGGATCAGTTGAGGTCACTGAGTCTGAGGTTCTCCCCAATAATTGCGATAGAGAGCGAGGGAGGAAGCAAAACGGCCGGGCTGTCTTGTCTGATCCTCGTCCTCTCTTCATCCTCATCCTCATCCTCGCACGAGTCTGAAGAGTATACACAGTGCGTGTCCGCAGTCTCCTTACTGGTCTGGCGTTTCCTGGGTTTATCGTCAATTATCGTGATGTGCAATCAACGGCTCGTTGTACGGTTGACACTAGAGTCTCTACGCTCTCAGATTGTCTGAGGATTGCTGTGACCAGACGGGCGCGACAACTCACCTGCGCTGGAATCTCTCGCACCGCAAAGAGAACCAACTGCCTCCCAAACGGGATGGCACATTACAAGCTGTGGATTACGAGACTGCTTCTGCGGATTCTGCCTTGGAAGCGTCTGTCTTTCTCCACGAGCGCAGTGAGCGCAGTGAGAAAGGACCGAGCACCAGGAAACAGTGGCCGTGCTGGGGGCGAGGATAAGGGTAATACTTAGTAGCAGCTGAAGAAAGATACAATCGTGGCCTTCCGCCGAGTGTTCCGTTCTCTCATTCGGGCGGTTTTTTGACTCCAGAACTGCTGCGGCGTACGAGGACTGACTGTCAATTCCCGAGGGAGAAAGAGTGGAGGACGACAAGATGGGAAAACATGCCAAGTTGGAACTGTCCATCGGTTTCTGAGGAGGAGGAGGAGGAGGAGGAGGAGGAGGAGGATTGCACTATAGTTGTACTACTACTCGTACCTATAGTCACCGAGACCCTCGGGCGGATCCTGATTTCTTTCGTAGCCGGCGGCTCTCGAGTCTCCAGGCGCTGCGTGTTCTTGTTGATCGATGCCGCGACCCCAATGCTGCGTACTAGTTATTAGTAGAGGGCAAAGAGATGGAATGTCCAAGCGACAGGCCCTTCGTCGTCCTCTGCAGTTCTATCTCTTGGGTCCTGCCTTTCCAACATACATCATCAACTTGGGAGAGCATGTGCGATCGAATGGACAGGAAACCCGGACAGAGACTTCGCTTCGAATCTTTCTCTCTTGCTCTTTTTTTTGGTCGCTTCGTCCTTATCGTCACCGCGGTCATCAAGAGACACGATACAGTCATCAGCGGAAAAGGCGAATCCAAAGTTTCACCTTGGTGTACGCGGTCAGGCCACTTTCGCATAATCTCATCCACCCCAACACACGGATGCTGCTTTTGACCACCTTAGTTTCTGCGATTCTAGTAGGTCCTGTTTGAGGCCTTTTTTTTTCTCCCTGGTCGAGGTTCGTTCGCTCGTTCGTCCGTTTCGACGCGTGATCTAGGTTCCATTTGGAGAGAGGCTTTATCTATTATGACGATGAGCAATCATGATCGTATGATGAAGTCTTTTTTTGTGTGTTTCGTCGTATGCTGGGCGCGTCGGTAGCGTGGGCGTGGGCGTTCTTGTTCTTCTTATCGTCGCGGCTCGCCGAAGAGCAGCCGGCCAAGGAGAACAGACAGACACCCAAGGGGGACCATAATGAGAGAGCAATTCGAAAAGAGAGAGGGTTCGGACACTATTACGAGGAGATCCTTTGGAAAGGTAGCGTGTTGCGGGCTGTCTATCTGGGGACTTTCGTCCACATTTGAATCATCTCATCTTGTCGGGCCAGAGGCACAAAATTGAAGTATTTCTCTCGTGGTGGCTTTTCCGCTAGTCCTCCACTGTCATACGACTGTGTACAAAACGAAGCTGTAACTAGTGTACCACACCACGATTATGGCATTCGGCGGGGTAGACCAGGACCAGGACCAGGACCAGGCGAGGGAGCTGGCGTCGAAGAGGATCTCAGAGTCTCCCTGGGCTGGTCGCTGGCCTCAGTCACCTCCATGTCGACGAGCTTCAACCCCGCATGTTTTGCCTTCTGCCCATGGGATCCCCCTCTGAGACTTGTCCCTTTGGTCCAGATGGACTCTGTCTGTAGCCCGCACTCGTGGAGAGGAGGATGCAGGGCGGAGTACGGAGTACGGGATGACTTCTCTGATCCGTCGGTTCCTGAAATCATGGCTGTCGCGGTGGCTTTTGCCTTGCACCGAGATGGATCTGCGGCGTGGTCTGCTGGGTCCGAGCAATCCGGACCTCAATGATGATAGACGGCGTATTGGTCGCGTACCGGGAGCAGTGCATACCCTCCCCCCCCTCCTTCACCCTCCAAAATATACTTCCCTTTTCTCCATTCCCTTGCAGCGTTCGTTCACCGTCTAGACAACAGCTGCGATACGAGACGACGACCTGCTGGAGATGCTCGTGTCCGAGCGAGCACGGTCTAAGAAGGCCCCCGTTCGTCCACGCTTCATCCCGCTCCCTGAGAATTGGATCCCCCGTCACCAATCGACGATGGGTCTCCTTATACCCGTCATGAGATGTGACATTGATGCTTCCCTGGCCATCCGGCCCCATTGGCTGCGCTGGTCCACATCAGCAGCTTCAACCCATTCCACCCAGAAGATCCAAACTGACGTTAGGTAGCCATGCTCGTGCTCTTTTCTCGATCCATTGAGGGGTTTTCCGCTCATCCTGAAGGGTGATGGATTTCTCAGAGGTTCCTGGCCCTGGGTCGAACGGATCATGAGAGGGGTTGTTGTCCTTGCTCGCCGTCTACATAAGCACCAGCCCAAGCCCTTTTTCCCAAGATGAAGTCTCGACAGAGTCAACTCCTCGAAACAAAGTCTCCCTTCTCGTCTGCCTTTTGGAACACCTCCAGAAGACAAATCAACAACCTGGTCTCATTTTTTGATCTCCTGAATAAATAGAATTTCTTTCTCCCACCCACCCAGGTCGTCAATCACCACCACCACCACCACCACCACCACCATCATCATCAACATGTCTGCCCCCCAGATCCCAACCGAACAATGGGCTCAGGTCATCAACCAGACCGGAGGTCCATTGGAATACAAGAAGATCCCCGTGGCCAAGCCAGGGCCCGAGGAAGTCCTCGTCAACATCAAGTACTCCGGCGTCTGCCACACTGATCTCCACGCCGTCAACGGCGACTGGCCCATCCCGACCAAGCTGCCGCTCGTCGGCGGCCACGAGGGTGCCGGCATCGTCGTGGCCCGCGGCGAACTCGTCACCGACGACATCTGCAAGATCGGCGAGGCCGTCGGCGTCAAGTGGCTCAACGACTCCTGCCTGTCCTGCACCTTCTGCCAGCAATCCGACGAGCCCCTCTGCCTGACCCCCAAGCTTTCCGGATACACCGTCGACGGGTCTTTCCAGCAGTACTGCATCGCGTCCGCGAGACACGTGGCCCACATTCCCGACGGCGTTCCTCTTGACGGCGTCGCTCCCGTTCTCTGCGCCGGTATCACCGTCTACAAGGGACTGAAGGAGTCCGGTGCCCGACCGGGCCAGACCGTCGCCATCGTCGGAGCCGGTGGCGGGTTGGGTTCTCTCGCCCAGCAGTACGCGAAGGCAATGGGCCTGCACACCATCGCCATTGACACCGGTGACGACAAGAAGGAACTTTGCAAACAGATGGGTTCAGAGGTGAGAAATTTACTTTCTTTGATTTTTTTTTTGATTGATTGATTGATGCCTTTTTGTGTTGCTTTGGATACTAATCTATCGCCATGAAAAAAACAAAACAGACCTTTATCGATTTCGCCAAATCCAGCGACGTGATCAAGGACGTCAAGGCCGCCACCAAGGACGGTCTCGGCCCTCACGCCGTCATCCTGGTGGCCGTCAGCGAGAAGCCCTTCCAGCAGGCCGCCGAGTACGTGCGACCCCGTGGCACCGTCATCGTCATCGGCCTCCCCGCCAAAGCCTACATCCGCGCCCCGGTCTTCGAGTCCGTGTTGAAGATGATCAGGATCCAGGCTTCCTACGTCGGCAACAGACAGGACAGCGAGGAGGCCCTGGACTTCTACGCCCGTGGCCTCATCAAGGTCCCCTTCAAGACCGTCGAGTTGAAGGATCTTCCCAAGGTTTACGACTTGATGCACAAGGGCCAGATCGCCGGCCGATACGTCCTGAAGATGCCAGACGCATAGACATATAAAAAAAACCAAAAAGACCGCCGTCACGACATACGATTACTGGTACAGGTAGCCTCGGTCGATGATGGAAGAGAAGAAATGTCCAGCCAGCCACCCAGCCAGCCACCCACAGACAGGCAGGCAGGCAGGCGGGCGGGCGGGCGGGGAGTTTCTCTCTCTTAGAACCACGCGAGAAACAAAAAAAATCCGACAAGAAACAGAAGAATTATGACCCTATGAGATGACGATGATGGCTGGATGTATGTATGGATGGAGGGAGGGACCCATGGAATGCTGAGCTCTGCTCTCGGAACGGGAAACATTTCTTATTCAAACGCAGTAACTACTTACTTTTTGACTTTGTGGTAGCCATGAAATGTTGTATAGCTTTTTGATGAAAAAGAAAAAAACAGCCAATCAACCAACCAAACCCAAAAATTCATGACAATGAGGGATCCCCCCCCCCCCCCCCCCCGCGGTGTGACATATGAATAATGTACAAAGAAATCTGCCTGCCTGTGAAAGGATCGATCATTCAGAGTTGTAAAGAGTTCTCGTAGGGCACCTACCTGTCCATCTATCCACACAAGGTCGACTTCCTCCGGTAATACATACATACATACGTGCCTCCATAACTCGTACATCCGTAGTAGGAGGGTGCTGAGTAGTATTGAGTGTAGGTTTTTTTCCGCAGTCGGTGGTTGACAGTATGTATCATCGTCAACCCGTCACCACCTGGAGTCAGCATCATTCATCCCTCATCATTCCATCGAGCAGAGAACCAAAGGGGTCATCAAACTCCCAACCCAAAACACCATCCTCCTTCATCAAGGCTGGTCTGACCGCGTCCCAACTCCCAGCACCCAGCTAACAGCTCCCAACGACAGCTGCAGCTACAGTTCAAAAAAAAAAAAAAAAACCAAGGCCAAGAAACCTTTTGATGATGCAAGCATGGGATATATCATTGTCCGTGGTGATTGCCTGCAAGCTCGTCTGCATCAGGCGGATCACAGACTCCTGCTTGAGAGAGAATCCAGCTACAGCCAACTGAACTAGTTACCTTTGTGATTCTTCTCGTCCGGCACCACTGGGCCCATGGACATCATTGACCATCCCCCCCCCTCTTCTCCCTCTCTTCCCAATATCACTCACTCACACTCCTCCAGTTGATATGCTTTCGTGTTGGTATAGGCCGCTTCTGCCGCTAGCATGTCAACATGTCCGTCGGTACAGGTACCTAATCCCCCCATTCTGCCGATGATGACTCTGTCGTAGTCTCGTTCAGCTCAACTTCGCCCACGTTCCACTACTCACTCACCTTTGATCATCGTCCGACCTCTTCCTCCGCACTGTCCGTCTACCTCAACTCACCCTATCCCCGAGGCACTCTTCTTCTTCTCCTTCTTCTTCTTCTTCTTCTTCTTCTTCTTCTTCTTCTTCTTCTCCCTCTTCTGTCATGCTTGACCTTCTTTGCAAGCGACGCAGATCCCAGCAAAAGTCTCGGACGAGTTCGACTTTGGGCTGTGAACACCGTAGCATTCGTCCTGTTTGATGACGACTGGGGCCAACGTCCTGCTTGTCCTATTTCCTCTTTTCATTGCCTTGCGCGGAACAAAAGCTTCTCCTCAACTTCTCCGACACATGCAACCGCCGTTATTCTCCCATCCCACCAGCAGTTCAGTTTCCCATCATCTCCTCCTCTTCTCGACAACAACAGTCCTTCTTCTATCATCGCCGCCACTTCGTCCCTTGGAGGCATATGCTGTCGTTGTCCTTCCCGCACTTGCATGAGCTCTTCGGTACTTCTCATCTTCGCTCGAGTCATCTTCACTGCCTGTAGATGAATTGCACTCGGATGAGCTAGAACTCCATGCTCCACAACGCTTCCCTCCACAGTCAAGTTTGACGCGTTGTCCGGATCGTGTCACGCCATATCTCTCACAGCGACAGCTATGGTCACTCACACTGGAGAGACTGGAAGGAGAAGAGCTTGAGAATGCTTTCCCGCTAGAGGAGCCATCGTCGGACAGTTCTGAAGGCGATGCTGAGCTGTCCGCAATGCGGTATCCGGCGAAGCGTTCTTCAAGATCATCTATGGGCGATGCGTCATAGTCTGCCTGCCGCAAAGAACGAGATGCATAAGGCTTGCTTGGCTGGGGGTGTTGTATCTTTCCTGGACTCAAAGCGCGGCCCTGTGGAATGTCCCTGCTGTGGCGATTGCTGGGAAGATTGGTCGTCGTCACGGAGGGCCGCTGGACTCTGGAACCATCCTTGTCGCCAGAGGGCACGTCAATGACATTCAGTTTTCGACCGGTTGTCTTTTCAGTCACGTATTCCTTGGCTGGGTCGTGGGACACATGGTAGCCGTCCACGATATAGTAGTACCAGTAACGTGAGCCCAGCTTGAGGGCATTAGAGCCTTGAAAACGGAAAGTTCCCTTCCAGGACCCAGGCTTTGCGGCAGGATCCTTAACAAGCGACAGTGGAAGTTGCGATTTGTAGTTATCCCAAGAACCCAGAAGGTGGACGGTGCGGACATTGGGAGAAGTGCGGAGAGTGAATGAGAGCTGAACTGCTGGGGGCGACATATTGTCTTTGGTTTGGTGATTCCGTAGTTTTGGCGTAGTTTGGGATTAATTTATGCCTGCTAGGTGTTAGAACTTGTTCAGCTTTGGCATACAGATAGGGCATAAGACATACAAAGAGATAGAAAATGCTGTGTCGTTGAGACTGATAAATGGTGACAATGCGTGAGATTTCTCGTCAGTGTGCTGAATAGCTGTATGTCGTGGCTCGTGGTCCAGATTAGGTATACCAATGCAGCAAGCGATGCAAATGCTTCGTGACAATTAAAGAAGTATTAGAACGAATAACAGTCGATGTAGGCAGATCAAGCAACAAATTGAATCCACGTCTGTGGTGGTAGCCGGCCAGATACTGACGTCTGAGACGGGCAGAGCTTCCTCGACAGATATGTCAAGGTCGATTTGAGAGTATCCAAGAGGGTTTGAGAAAGATGCAAGTGAGTCAGTGTTGAGTGGATTGACCGGCAATCGTTCCAACACAGCGTGGTAAGGCGGTGAGACCGTGGTGCTTGATGCTGAGGCGACAAAGAGCAGCAGGCTGCAGTAATTATTGATTCGTGTTGAGAGCAACAGCCCTGATTGCGTGTTGACGCTTTTTGGTTGGACTTATGCGGCACAGTCGTGCGGCACAGCGTTCTTGCAGGGGTGGTAGAACCGAGTTCGACACTGCTCTCCGGGAGCAATGCAGGCGCTTCTTTTGCTTGAAAGATTTGAATCGACCGAGTAACTGCAGCCAAAAGGCAAGCAAGGCGTATAATTATACCAACAGCAACTGAATGATGCGCGAAATAGTATTAAAGTGTTGAAGCGGCACAGCAAGAATAGGTGTGCAGTAGGCGCGGATTAGCAGGTAGAGCTATTAGCGGAAAGAATGATCGTTGGCCAGCAACGACGATGGTTTCCTTTGAAATGCGTCGATTGAAGAGAGACTCCTTTTGTTGTCCAAGAACAGAGTCTGCAAAGAATGGTGTTGGCTGGTTGGGAAGATTGTAGCAAGGAGAGCACAGCTCGTAAATGCCACAACTCGTGGATATTGATATGAACAGAATTAGGCAGTTTCTTCGAGTCCAGGTCAATAGTGTACCAGACACTATATCTTTGCAGAGAGAGATTAGAATCTGAAACCAAAAAGCGAAGTCTTCAAGAATAGCTCGTTGCCACCGCACAACTAAATTAACAAGTCTTGCTTGCTTGGGGGAGAGAGAAGCATCGAAGACGAGTCGGGGATGGCAATATTTAGAGACGGCAACGAGTGGAGAGGCCGCTGGCCTCGAGGCTGCATCCATGACCGAGCATCGGGTTGGCCATCTGGAGAGAGTGTGATGTTGGCCTGCAGAGGAGGACGACGATGGAAGAAGATAGGCCAACGAGGTGGATGGTAGGCATCAGCCCGGCGCGTAGAGAGAGGTTGTGCTTGAAGCTGGTGGAGCAGAAGCGGACGCTCGTCTGACGTGGAAAATTCTTGGAGTCTCTGCCCACAGCTGGCTGGGAGTCTCGGCGCTTACACCGGGTCCAGACCCGGAAAGTCCGCCTGTCAGACAGAATATTTCTGCAGCCCTCACATCCGCTTACTCCATCGAGATAGAGGCATCGAGACTCGGCGCTTAAGCAGGCATTGATTGGTGTGATAAATAGACACCCTGGAGCATCGATGATTTGCAGACCGCCCAATCATGGCCGCATCTATGAATAGAGTGATACGAAGAAGCACCTCGCGCCGCCCGTTCCGTGCCTCGACCTTGACCAGCCCACTATCAGGCCGTGCTATCAAGCGCTGGCGAGCAAAAGTGATAAACAACGCAAATCGCTGCAGCAAAAATACAAACTATTGCATCGGTGCATTCATCTGCATAGTGGGCAGCTGCCGGTCTTCGTGACGTGGGCCACATGATGGATCAAACCGCATACTGCTTTTGCGGGAAAGTGGCGCTCGACGAAGAACTATTTGCATGCGAAGAATTGAGCGACGCATTCAATTTGTCGTCTGCCTCATGTCCATGATGATGCTAAGGGCTTGGATGCACAGCCGCTGTCGCCTTTTCACAGCTTTGGTGTGTCGGTTAGGTTTTCGTAGCCATCCTGCGTGATATGCACGTCGTCCTCGATTCTCACACCTCCAACGGTCCAATACTTGTCAAGCACGCTCTGATCGATGTACTTGCTTAACCCCGGGTCCTCAAGAACTGGGTCTAGGATGAACTTGCAGAAGTAGATTCCTGGCTCGACCGTGATCACGGCGCCTGCGGGAACCTCTCCCCTCACCCGGAGGTATTTGAACATGGTGTCTGGATCGTCGTAGTCCGCATGACCACCTGTGTCGTGCGTGTCCATGCCTAAATAGTGGCCCAGACCATGTGGGAAGAAAGCGACGCTGATCCGCTTGTCGAAAATCTCCTGCTCGTCCCCGACCAGAATGCCTGCCTTCAGCAAGCCTCGGATTGCAACCCAATGTGCATTCTCATGCACATCCTCCCACTTCACATTGGCGCGAAGCAACTTGAAGCATGACTGTTGCATCTCGTCCACAATATCATAGATGGTTTTTGACTCGGGCGTGAACGTGCCAGAGATCGGAAAAGTGCGAGTGATATCTGCGCAGTAGCATTCGTACTCCGCACCAGCATCCAGTAAGATGTTGAGACGTTCTCGCAGAGGCTGGTCATTACGAATATAATGCAAGGTCGAACAGCTCGTCCCGCTCGCACATATAGAGTGGTAAGCCTGCTCATGAGCGCCGTTTGATATGCAAGTTCCGATGAACGCGCCGTAGAGTTCTTGCTCGTTTGTGGCGTGCCGTACCACCTTGGCTGCCTCAATGTGTGCGAGTGTAGAGATCTCATTGGCCTTCTTGATCAATGCAACCTCATAGCTATCCTTGACTACGCGGCACTCATCAATGGCTTCTTTCAGGCAGGCGAACTGCGTTGCCGCAAATGGGAGGAACGTGATATGTTCCGAGACTTGTTCGGGGATAGCATAGACGGTGGTTGAACCGGATGGACCGTATGCTGCCAATGCCGCGTTGACTTCATCGGTGTATAGCACATGGTCAACATCGTATTTCCGGTATGCCTCCTCTTTTGATTCTGGTAGTCCGGCCCATATCACACTGTCCGGGTCGATGGGAGGGATGAAGAGGGTTAGCTGGTCTTGAGGAATGTTATATGTGAGATAGGCGTCTGGCAGCTTGCAGCCGGAGAGGTAAAAGAAGTATCTGCGCTGTCGGAAATGCATGGCCTGGTCGTCGTCCTCGACCATTCTGGTCTTCTGTGCTTCCAAATAGATAACGCCATCTCGAGAGAAGCCGGCATCGGTGAGGTATTTGGCAACACGGCGACAGTGCGCTTTGGCGGGATATTTAGCCTTGAGGGTTGCGTCGGTGGCAGACATGTTTGCAGAAGTGTCAAAGACAAGTGTTCTCGCTTCGTTGCTTGATTCACTGTGTCTCGAATCAGTCTGGGCTTGTGAGAGCAGTTTAGTACCTGGTCTTATTAGTTGCCGCAGGGCGGGCGAATCGCAGTCCGGGTTTGTGAATCCCCCGCTTACGTTGCGTACAGTATTTGGGACCAGGTGCACCAGGCACGTCTCTTGTCATACTCTAACGACACATACCTTGAGAATACATATGGATGCTGCTGACATGGAAATCTATTTTGCTTTAACCAGCCTGGATCAATGGTGGCTCGAAACCCTTACCCTGCTGCTACCTACTTAAGAAACGTGTTACTGGGCCTTCAAGCAGCCTCCCCCAGCTTACCTACAGTATGCGTGGTAGACAAGGTCTTATAGCTCCGCTTGAACCTTCTTTCGTGAGCTGTGAGTCGGCAGACACGCTGGCCTATGAAAACCGTCTTCGTGAAGTTGATGAAATCCGAATTCCCTCTAGGCTGTGGACGGCCAGACAACTCGAGGACGACGCAGCTATGGAACATGTCCACGTACCCGCTCAAAGCTCATCGGTAAGACAGGTTAGTAACCCCGGCGGTGTCAATGTAGCAATAGCTGTAGCTTCGACAACTATAAGACGCCCTTCAAGACTTCAGTAATCGGTCTGTCAACTGCAAAGAGCGTCGTCGGGTTCCAGACTACAGAGCCCCATCTCAGACTCAGGGGTCACCCGCGCATATCTACAGTCGATGCAGAAGTTACTGTCCCCCTGGGCCATTCCAGCTGTATATACACCGGTTACGACTATCCCCTTCCCAAACTCGACGTGTGCTTTCTCCTTCCAGCGATAACCACCCGGCGAGAGGACGAAAGCGGCCCCCTTCACAACGATCGACCCTCAGAGCAACGGAAAACAAACACGTCAAGATCGGGACGATCACTGAAGACTTTGTGCAATGCAGGATAGGTCGCAGGAGACGGCGCCCGAGGAGAGCTGAGACTCCTCGGTCCTTCTTTTGCAGGTCAACGTCCGCGGTGCTCGGTTGCCGACATCAGACATGCCTCGCACTGAAGCTCCAAACGGTGGATAAAAATCGAGTAGTAGTATAAGTGACCGCTTCGCCTCGTAGGTATATATCCAGCGTTTCTACCAACCATTGTCTACCAACCATGCTGGGGAACACCGTCTCATAGGATGTCCATACAGTCATGAAAAGTCGAAATGAAACTAGCACAGCTCTTTCTATAGCTGTTGTACAGTCTATATCTTAAGGTAGACTTCGAGTCCCTCCTGCATTTAGAGGTACCTAACTCAGGTAGCACCTGTCTTTGTACCTAGTATAGGTGTTTCCTGACAATCATAATTCATCCCTCTTTCTCTCATCGACCACAATTTCTTCAGCGGCCGCGTCAGCTTCGGGCGACTGAATCCTCCTCTTCCCCGCGGCCTCCTTCAGCACTCCGGAAATCTCCTCATCGTATTCAGTCCATTCGGGGACCTGTCTTCTCGCCCTGTCGAGCTTGGGCTCCTTTGTCAAAGGGTTGTTACAGAGGTCAATTGTCTTCGCCACGCCGAGACTCTCGTCACTACACCATGTCTCACACCAGAGCCACTCCTGGCTGAGGCTGTGAATAGGCAGGACGTGCTGCATATGATTGGGTAGATCCTGGTCCAAATTGCTTAGACTGTTTGGGTCCGATGATAGCGCTTGATACTGTTGTCGTAGCCGATCACCGGCGGCAAGCTGACGGAAACGCTTCAGATCCACGACATAGAGAGCCGAGATATGATACGGCTTGCCGCGGAGATACGTCTCCCAGTATCCTTGTTTCCAGAAACGGAACCCTTCCATCTCGGTGCGAGAGTCACACATCGGCGTAAACCCGTAAGGTGCACCTTTGAGGTCGACTCTGTTTAGTTCCATCATGTCGGTGCGGACAATCTGGTCAGCGTCCACGAAGATTACTTTGTCGAGGTCCAGAGGGAATAGGACATCCAAGAACAAGATCTTGTAACCCCAGATCTCGCGCTGTTTCTCCTTTTGCCCCCGTAGCCAGTGTGGCCATTTGTACGTGACCATCTCGTAATCGAAACCATAATGTCGTGCCAGGTCCGGTAACGTCGACTTGAATGATGGAGACAAGAACTGTTCGATGAACCAGAACTTGACGCTGTGCTTCGTGTGTTTCATCACAGAAACCATCATGATATTCAGCATACGTTCATAGAGATGGCCAGATGCGACTGAGAAAATGTTGATATCAGCGTTGTTTGACGAGCCTGTCTTCAGGCCAAGTGAAGACAGTGCTGAGGAAGCAAATGACGCCCCTTTGTTAAAGTAGTCCATTGCCCCACCCGATGCCTCCAACACATCTTCGTCCTCCATGCCAGGTTTGCGCGACAGCCGCGGGAACAATGTTACCCCTTGAAATGACAGCAGTGCAACTGAGGTTGTCTCGTCGTCAGGTTGAGCAGCATATCCTTTCGGACCTACGCTGTCAATATTGAAAATCTTTGAAGATCTACCAGGCTTCAATGTGATATGCCAGAAGCCCGGATTCGCTTTGAATTGGAAATAGCCTAGATTTGCCATGATGATGGTGTCCGTAAAGTGTGGCTCTTGTTCTGTACCAAGCAAAAGCTGTACACCCCGCGGAGGTGGACCAGTCGTTACATCCCGAGCATGCCCCTCGATCAATATATGCTCCAGCTCATACAATGCGTCGATGTTCTCGCCATCGGCCACGCTGCTAAGTTTGATGTTGTCGAGATCATTTGTACACTCTTTCGGCGCGACAAGCCACGACGGCGGCACCGTCATCCCAAGGTTGAAAAGTGTATCTCGGGGAATCCGCTGGAAGGACGCCGTGGGCTTTTGCAGAAATCCGTCAGAATCAAAGGTGGGCTCCGAGCCAATCACCTGGCGATAGAAACGTTTCACGGGAAGCTCAGTCAACCTGTCCTTCGGGTTCAGGAAGATTTTCACGTTGACTCCCCTGAGCTGAGACAGAGTCCTCAATAGCGGCACCCATTGCTGTACAATCTCCGACGCAGGATCAACCACAGCAACAACTTGTATTGTGGGATTATCGCCATTGGAAGTCTTGAAGGACGTGTATGTGTCATTCCAGACCTTGAAGCGATCCATCCGAATAAGTGGTGCGGACTCTCTGAGGCCTTCAGGCAGATCAGACTTGAGCGACCTTGCCACAAGGGACGTGACTTTCGCGACGTCCAGAGCGTCACCGAATCGTTCTTCAAGTCCTAGGCCGGTGATAGCAGTAGTCACAGGAGCGATCCTTTCTCGACGCTCGTATTCGAGCAGTGACTCGAAATCGGTGGCCTCAAAGGATTCATCTACCGGGGCAATGACACGTCCATTCAGCCACAACCCATTCTGGCCCGCCGCCAGACCTACTTCGTTCAGGAGGTTTTGGTAGGAAGCCCAGAATCTCCCAGCTTCTTCCTCTCCCTCCGATGAAGTAGTGTCTTGTTCCAAAAGGGTTCGTACTTGCTCAATTGTGAGGTCTCGACTCTGTCGTGTCAGAGCGTGCAATCCAGAAGCCACAGAAGTGGGCTCTGTCTTTGATGATGGGTTATGCAATAGCAGGAGATCAGCTTCGGGATGAGTTTCCCAAAAGTCAAGTGACTGCTGGAGAAAGCCCCGGCCGCCAGCGGTATTTAGATCAGTGACCACCAACACATGAGCACGGTCGCTCAGAAGCGCTGCAGCATTGCCGGGGACCCGTGGTAAGGAGGCAAACTGGTCTGCGAAGTCGTTCGTCAGGCGACTCACGTCCACAATCTCGACGTCCTTGGGATCGCTTGGAAACACCAGTTCATTGCGGCGTGTGGCAGCTGCAAATAGAAGTATTCCAGGGACCCACCCATCCTCTTCTATAGCACCCTCGTAGATGGCTTGCTGCAACAATTGCAGATCGGAAAAGACTCGCGAGCTCAGTACTTCGAACCAATTTTCACTCCGGGGTAGAACAACGCCATTCACAATAAAAGGTCGACTCGAACTTGCAAGAGCCAAGCGCTTCACATAGTTATCTCGTGCTTTGAGTTGGTCGTTTAGGGTTTCGGCTTTCAGGATCTCCTCATACGGTGTTGCCTGTTTGCCTTCGCGGACGGGGCGGTCCTTCGTTGTGGCCGTAAAGACCTTTTGCGGATTTTCTGGTAGCTTTTTGCTCGTAGTGATTTCAGTGAAGAACGACATCAACGTGCCGAGACCGTACGTGTCCAGGATGTGGTATGACAATTTGGAATAGGTATCAGCGATGGCACCAACACCGGTCGGAACCAAGGCAATCCTGATTGGGACTGATCTTTTGACTAGGTTCTGGAGTGCTGTAGTAACAAGTTCGATGTCTTTTAGATCAGTCACATCAATGGGGACGACCAAATTGTGAATGTCACGAGCTACCTGAGGGAGTTGTCCAGGATAAACTCGTCCAAACAAAGCTCGTAGACTTGAAGGCCAAGCAGCGTATCGTTTGTCTTGCTCAAGGTCATTCAGCCACATTAACACCTTGTTCTCCTCAAGGTCATCTCGCCAGTCGAAACGCTGAGGAGACTCATTGGCCTGAGTTTCAGCAATGACCTCGCTCGACATGAGGCTGACGGCCTCAGAAGGCGTCAGTCCGATCTTCTGCAAATTGCCAATGATGCGCCTCTCCCGTCGAAGATGCTCAAGCAGGGAGTATGCATTGATAAGCCGTGGCTCGATTTGCACACCATTGATCCAGAAGACGTTGTATCCGGACGGCAGAAATTGCTCACGATTAGCTCTATGCTCTGCGAGGAACTCTTTGCTGGCGTTGGTAGAAGCAAGGACAGAAGAGTATCGAGGGAAATCGGAAGTGATCTGGAGCAGTCTTTCCAACGGGTCGGGACTTGAAGCAATAAGGCTAGCAGCATTTACGCCTAGGCTGACAACTTCGGAGCTGGTCAATGGCTTCAGATCAGTAAGATCGTCATCCTCAGCTTGCTGTAAGGATACCTGCTCAGGTTTGGACGCTTCAGACTTCTGGGCATCTCGATCATCAATGACGATGTAATCCGTCCGCTTGAGGACCAACTCCACACCATAGCCGCTAACGTACAGAGGTTGACTAGCCGCAACAGCCGAGGGTCGATACCTCAGTCTATACGTCGACCGCCCTTCGCGGGCCGTTTGGCTGATTATGGTGTGGAACTGGCCGAACAACGGGTGGGTGACGTCGGCATAAAGAATAGAAGGCGGTGCTTCAATATTGGATCCTAGAACCCGATCGAAGGGTAGTAATTCTTCTGCTTCTGGCATAGACACGGCTTGTTGGGCTCGATCTAGCGCGGGCGAGCAGTACTGCTGGCCATCTAGATACACCCAGACCGGACAGGCGGCGTCCTGCGCAGCCATCAAATGCGGTTGGACCGAATGATTGTAATATTGAAAATGGGCCTCAACCCGTGGAGCCGCGGCATGGAGGGCCAGGGCGAATTTGAACGAGGAGAGAGACTCGGGATTGGAAAGGTGACCATCTTGTTGTAACACTTCTATGAACTTATTGTACAGCTGTTGCTCCGTCTGCAAATCGACAAATGCGCCGTCCGCTATGCGATCGAGGAGAGGAAAGTATGATGATGAATTCTCGAGAGCGGCTGTCTCCCTGCGAGTGTGTAAGCAACCTGCCGCAGCCCAGGGGTGATTGGGACACTACAGCAGCTCGACCAGATAAGGTGCAGCAGAAAAGGAGGTCTCAAGAGCGACGTTGATAGAGGGAGAGGCCCCTATAAGTGGCGTGAGTAAAGCCGCACATAGCAACCCTCCGGCAGCGCTTTGTCGTAGAAGACTTGGGAGTTGCATGGTGACAAGGCTCGCTCGTCAAGGGGGATGCGAGAAAGAGCCTGCTTAGAATGCGGACAACATCATCCCAGGATGCCGGTCGAGTCACGTATGGCAAACAGGCAATCCAGGGCACACTGACAGTATATGACAAGAGCAAGGAATGAGAAAGAGAGGTATGAAAGAGCGTCGAGAATGTTGTAGGGAAAAAAAGGCCAGGGTGTGCAGAGGGATGAAGAAGGAGTCGTCCACATGTTGCTATTTACTCCGTCTCCGCATCAGCCTCGTCGTCGCTCCGCATTGTATCAAATAATTTTATTTTCTTCCAGGTTCTCACTGCCAACCAGCACGCATATTGTACGGCAGCCGTACCTGCTATGCCTCCTGTCCTTTGCCCTATGGACAATCTCCGCTTTGCAGATCTCCCGGTCGAGCCTCGAGAGCTATCCTCCGATGTGCCCATGTCCTCATGTCCGTAATCCTCCCTCGCTCTCGCCAGAGTCTCCCTCTCCCTCGGCGCAATGTCTCGAGCATATTCCTCCACCACGCCTCCACGATGCGCCCGGCGAAGAGATCTCCCGGACAGAAATCGATTGAAGCGTTGAACCCCTTCCTTTTCAGAGACAAGCGGGCCTTTCTCAACATCAACCTTCGCCCGCACAACCTCGGAACTCAACACACGCCGACCCTCGACAGTCTGCGGCCCCCCAATTTCGAGTACGTCCAGAGACCACCGGGTGGTTTGTTGGCGACCTTCGGGTACTTCTTCCGATGGTTGAATGCCTATCGACGCTTCTGGGTCGCCTGTGAATTGAAGGCGCGGTCCAACCAAGCGGAAAGACAAAAGGTGTGGAAACGTCTGAATCTCAAGCGCCGGCGGGACATTGCTATAGTTTCCATGAGTGCTGGTCTTAGTGGTGTCCCCGACATCACACGGCGCGAGTTCCAACTGTGTATGAGGACCCATCACCACTGGTGGCGTCGCCCGCTGGGAATGCAACTGAGAGATCTGCGGAGTATCCTGAAGAGCTACGACACCTACAAGGCCGAGTTTTGGAGCGAAGCCCACGACGCCCTCACTCCGTCCGGGAGGTCGCTGTCCCTTCTGCACAACCTGTACCGGAGTGATGTGATGAGAAGCTGTGTGACACCGAGAGGGAGGCGGTTATTCTTCCCCTGCGTTCTGACAAAGTACATCAAGGCGTACTCGTTTTCGACCTACTGGACGGCGGCGGCTTTCCTGGCCGTCAGCGCGCGAGGCATGCAGTTGCGCAACTACGAGATCCTCACGGACACTATCCTCATCCTGCGTGAAGGAGGCTTCAAAAGGCTTTCGGCAGAAGACATTGCCGACTATTGCTTGCGATCTGGGTCCCCAAACTTCCTCGAGTACATTCGAGAAGCCGTGGAGATGGACGCCAACCCTGTCACGGAGAGCATGAGAAAATTCATGGTTCCGGTTCTGGAAGAGCACGCCAGGGCCTTGCTCGACTGCGACTGGCAGAGGATACCTTACAATCTACGCTGGAAGATCGAGGAACACGTTGCAGAAGAAGGCCACAAGTCTCCAGAGAGTATGTTGTACCGAGTCTGGGGTTGATCTGGGCTGTCGACACTTTTGGCTGCATGTCTGAAAATTGAACAGACCTGTGACCAGTACTGTGAAGACTACCCTCTGCCAGCGATGATGGGCCATGGGCTGGCCATTAAGACATACTACACGCTTGAGAGTCGATCGAGACCTGACCTTCTTACGCCTCTGCAACGACGTCTCCAAGGTCAATAGGCACGGAGACTGGTGGGAACAGGGTTATCCGAGGTGCCTCGAATATTGCAAGCGCATTGTACTAATACCACGTACAACGAATGTATACCTACCACATAACATTCAACACATCGTGTGCCAATTGTGCACACCCCAAAGGGACCCTTCTTCAAGCAAGATCAACGCACCTAAGACTCTAAAATCGTCAGAGTCTCCAACAAATCCTTCCTCAGCATCAACTCACCTGCTCTTAAAATGGGCTGGATTCTAGGCTTCAGGACTAGCTACCCTTATCACTGCACAGGAAGTGCGGTGCGGTGTAGTTGTAGGCAGATTCCTAAATGCCTAGACAGATATCCGGATACCATCCAGCACACAGCGCATGATCCAACTTATTCTCACCTAGCCACTTCAGGTAGATGATAGTTATTCCCTACCTGTAGAATTTAGGGGCCTTGCAAAACTACCGGCGGCGTAGGTAATCTAGGAAAGAAGCGAATGAAACTCAACCACGTTTCGTTCGGACCAGTACTATTTTATTAATATAGTAATAGCCACGTACCTCGTTTGCAACGGGAAGAGGCAAATGATGATGATGATGATGATGATGCAAGCCGTACTTCAAAGTCAACAACTTTTTCATAGACTTCCAGAGAGTAGGTATGCATAGTATGCTCAGATCAATACAACACCACTTCATACTTTTCATCCGTCGCTCTCGCTTGAACTCATACTCCATCGGTTGCGCCTCTTCAAAGACACTCCATTTGGACCTCCGTCTCTCGTCGCGGGTTGAAGCTTGAGTTTCTGATTGCTTCGTACCCGTTGAGCAGATTGCTCGATACTATTCATGAAATCGTTCCCGTCAAGTTCTTCGTCCCTGTGATCCTGATCCTCATCTGAGGTTTCGATTTCCCGGTCTTCTGCTTCACCGTCGTCTCGTCCATTAGTAAGGGACGCATCGCCTTGCTCCTCTGAGTCGTCCTCTCCATCTTCATTCCTAAGAAGATCGGAGTCCGGTTCGGATTCCTCGTCTTCGGCTTCTTCGTCAGATTCATCATCGTCCTCTTTGGCCACAATCTCAGACAGTGGCGATCGCACCGATAGTTGCTGTCGCTGAATAGGAATCTTGGGCGATGGTGCATCCTGACTTAGCAGGTGCCTTCTGCTGTCCGGAAAGACTGGTCGAACGACAGATGTATTGGCCTGCGTCTGTCCAAATAATTGCGTTGGTCGAAGTGTCTCGTTGGGCGTCTGTTCTTGTAACGGATTGCGATTTCGATGGGATGATGACCCTTCCGAAGAGTGAACGTCATCGTCTGCTCCATCCGACACATCTTCGTCTACATCTTCGTCAATAGGTGGCGAGGGAGTTCGATCATTCGGCTCATGCTCATCGTCCTCATCGTCTTCTTCGTTGACATACTCTTGCGATAATTGAGAACGACGGGCTGAATCGGCCGTTTGCCCTTTCAATCGACGTTCCATTTTTGACGGTGTTAGTATTCTGCTAGATCCAGGCGTCTTCTCAAGTCCGTCAACTTTGATCCAGCGTCCCTGCCTCTTTGTGCTATGAAGTACTCGGTAGTGATTCGAACACTGTAGCGCACTTCTCGTCCCGACTTTCTCACTGACTTTGTTCCAGGGAATGTGCCAGTCCTCAGCTTGTGATGCCAAGCCACTCGTTCTTCTCACCTCTTCAAGTGCTTTGGTGAATTTGTCTTCTTCTTTTGCAGTCCACTTTCCTAATTCATTATGCTTATGCTGTAATTTGTGCCGCCATCGCTGAGCCACAGCATCAGTGGTTCTCGTCAATCGTTGAGCGATCTCGCTCCACTTTGGACCGAGTTCTTTGTAGAGGCGAATCAAGTCTTTGTCATCATCTGCCGTCCAATTCTTCGATCCCTCCAGATTCTGGAAATTGCGTTCACGATACCGAGTCATTGACCGTCTGTTACGATGAGGAAGCACCTCATAGTATTCATTCAAGAACGCCCTCTTGGAGATAAAGTGCCAGTCCCAGCTTTCACCCTTTCGGCGCTTCAGTGTGTCTGTCATCATGTCGTTGAATTGCTCGACAGTGATCTTGTGGTCTGCGCAGAAAGTATCCCGCCAGTCTTGCAGTTTCTGCACTTCAGCTTCGCTGAAATGCCCAGTCAATCCCTGAACGCCATTCCCCCTGTCGTGACCAGTCTCCTTTTCGTGCTTGGACAAAAGATTCATGCTCCAGAATTGCTCCATACACTCTCCACAGCTATACAAATGTGCGTGGATCTTAGGATCTTTCAGGTGCAGCCTCAATGATTCTTCTGACCTGAAACCTTTGTGGCATTTCCGACACTCGACCACGTTGTTGGCTTGCGGCTTAGGTTCCCTGGATCCTGTCTTCTTTGATCTGTTAGTGCCGGAACCGCCGACTTGCGGTTCTTCCATCTCCGAGCTCGAGTCTTCGTTCCGTGAACTCGCACGTTTTCTTGGTCGGTTTCCTGACAGCGTTCTTCTGGCGACAGAGGTGGCAAAATTGGCAGGCCCGGAATCAGATTCGTCACTATCGGCTTGCTGGCTCGAGACTTTATTAGGAGAGACATAGTTGAGACCAGGCTCTGCGCGATTCTTGCCCTTTGGCGTCGTATACGCAGCATCGCGTACCCTCTGAAGTCCGAAAGCTTCGAGCCCGTTCGTCTGAAAACTCCCATTAGGCAGTTTAGTCTTGCCAGTCTTGCTCTTGGAACGCGACTTAGAGCTGTCGGAAGCAACAGCGACCTCAACACGTATGGCAGTAGAGGGCGGTGGGGACCACGAGGCTGAGATGGAAGGTCTTGATCCAGATCCTGGGTTCGATCTCTGAGCCCAACTATCGATGGTACTCTGTCGCGTTCGAAGGGAGGGGACAATTCTCTCTGTCACTTGCTGCGCTGATTCGGAGGCAGAATTTACAGCAGCCCACGATCGTGGCATCCCTTCCTGTGCGCGTTGAGCAGACGTTGGTGGGCTATCACCAACGTGTTTCCTCCGTTTCAATTTCTTTTCTCTAGACTGAGCGGAAGAGTCCAAGGCTGGTCCAGCATCCCGCTTTCGCTTCGAACCTGGTTTGGGGACAGGTGTCTCATTTGAAGAGACCTTTTCAGCTCCGTCCGAAACACTCGTCGTCGTGACAGGCGATTGAGACTTGGAATCTGCCTCTGGTACAGCTGCACCTTCACCTTTACCGGCTTCAACCTCCTCGTCCCCCTGAGAGGCGGTTGATTGCGCATCAAGCTGAGCCTGAAACAATTCCTCAACTACCCGGATCATGTTATGATCAGACTCTTCCTCGTGCTCATCCGAGACTTGCGCATTATCCTCATCAACATCCTTGCCGTCGTCCGATTCGAGTAGGTCTTGGGAACTCTCTCGAGGGGTTCGATATTCGGGTGATTTTTCGTCTTGTGGCTCTTCGATCTGGTCTTCGAAGAATGAAGCCTTCAAATCGGCTGCCGTCTGTGCAGCAGGGTCCTCCTGTACTCTCTGGCGGGCGTCCGCAGATATATTCTCGCTCCCTTCATGAGTCGCCATGTGTCTCTGGAGCGTGTCCTTCCTAGCCAAGTTTTTGCCACAGATGGTGCAAGTAAAAGCGGCCTCATGAAGTGCGCCATGACGTTTGGCACCTTTCTTTTGACTGAAAGTGATCTCGCAGTTGTGGGTTTCTGCATAAGGGCATCGCCATCGTCCATACATTTTCAACGGCTCGGGTGCCGGCTGTGTCGCTGGGACGAGATCGATGTCATCCTGAGCAGGTGAGAACTTTGTGCTCGCGACAGATGGAGAGTGAAAGGCATCCACCACAGGCGAAAACTTAACGTCCGTCGGAGGCTCGCCGGCCACCTCGCGGTCGTTACTGTCGGTGTCGTCCTCAGCCTCCACATCTGCTGAAGTCACGTCCCGGGAATCGCTGTCACCATCCAGTGCTCTGCTGTCGTCATCGTCGTCACCGACCTGAGAAGAATCATAGACGTCGAAGGCCTCGGGCTCTCGTTCTCTGAGTAGCTGTATCTCCTCTTCATTCGGAACGTGTTGGCTCAGTCTGCGCTCTTCCCCGTCCCCAGAAGACCTGCGTCCTTTCTTTTTCTTTTTCTTTTTCCGTTTCTGCTTCTGGGTTTTTCGTCGCGGGGGCTTCGTGTCAGGGGAGCCTACAGTCATGATCGTGTCCTCGTCATTGGGAGCAGGGTCCAGGTCTCGGTCGTCGGGGATGTCGGAGAGGTCTGTCTCTGCACGTGCATCAGTCTCGATTCGAAGATCCGCCACTATTCTTTGCGGGACACTTACGCTCCGGGTCCTCCTGCTTTGGTTGCGCGCTGGATTCCTGACTTTGCTCGTTTCCCATGGCTGCGGTGTGGGATGCTGCCAATTATACCATGTTTGATGTCCCTTTGCGGGGAAGGTGCGGTCTAGACTCGATCGCAAGGGATGCGCGACAGTGGCAACAGCCGCAACAGCCGCAACAACCAGAAAACAGCGCGAACCAGGCCCTTCAGCAGTGCAAGTGAAGGCGCATGCGTCTTGTATAATACGAGCACTGGTCAAGGACCCGCGGTGGTGGCTAGCGCGAACTGTTGGTGGAGAAATTTAATAGCTTGCGGTGCATACGGATATTGTTCCTACTCGTGCGGCGACGATTAAATGTCCTACAGCCTTACCGCGATACAAGGCTGTTACTAAAACTTACAGCATGTCTATTCACTAAACTCGTGGAGCATACGACAGTAACTCCTTGCGACCAAGGCCCAGTTGAGGCTCAAGACGCCAACATGGTCGTCCTGACCACCACGCCACGCATTCTGGCAGTGCTTTCCACCCTCCCTGCATCAACTCTTTCATCTCTCGGTCTCGACCCGGTGCCTGCAACACCCGGAGCGCCGATCGAGCACACCATCCTCCTCGCCATTTCGAAGGCCACCCAGTCCAGTCTGAACTCGCTCCTGCGTGGGACAAAGGTTTACACGCCCCCACCTCCTCCCAAGCCCGAACACTCCCCAGAATACGTCGCCCTGATGGCGCGCCTGCGCAAGGAAGAGGAGCGACGAGAATATGCGCAACTCGTTTCGAGAAAGCCTGGAGACATCTACCTGGATACGGACGACGAAGACGACATATCGCCGTCACTTGTTTTCAACATCCTCCTTAGCATAGTCATGTGTGCGGGCACCATGTTCTACCTGACTCGCTGGTGGACAAACGATGGCCTGCGAGTCCTGGTATCTCTGGGTGCGGCAGTTCTAGTTGGCGTCGCAGAAGTCACGGTCTACGCTGGCTATCTGCGGAAAGTGCGACAAAGCAAAGACAAAGAACGGAGCAAGCGCGAGAAGAAAGAATTCATTGGCGAGTATACTGGGGAAGGGGCGGAACCCGATGGCCACATGGAGTCCGTGGATAAGCTGGAGATCTGGGGTCGAGGTATCAACGGCGGAATGAGGCGACGAGTCAGGGAAAAATGGGACAAGGAGCAAGAATCTGAGACGTGAAACGAGAATAAGGAATTCATAATGAATAATATCCTGGAGGTTATCTCATAAGCTGAAGACCAGACATTCCAGTACATGCTGGTCTCATATATGATCGAAACAAGGCATTACCAGCTTAGGCGTCGTAATCGTAAATCCATCTCTTGAACCAACTCTTCACCTTTTTTAACTCCTTCGCCCGAGGTTCGAGCAGCAACTGTCCTGTGCAGGCTTTGCCCACAAAACCGGCGTTCGCTCCATCCCGAACGAAGATCGTCTGGCCCCTCAGCAAGGTCTCCTTGACCATACCCTTCATAACTCGACCTTGATATGGACTGCACTTGTTTCTGAACAACATCGTGCTGGGCTCGACAACCCATTCGGCCTCGTCATCGAACACGCAAATGTCCGCATCAAAGCCGACTGCAAGCTCGCCCTTGGTTTTCTCCAGCCCGACCTGTGCAGAGGTGTTAACGCAGCACCACTTCGCAACGTTCATAAGCGCCTTGTCTCTCAGCAGATCATCTGCGATCAATCCTCTTCTCGACATCTCAGTCCACAATATTGGAAGCCCCAAACCGACACTACTGATGCCACCCCACGCGCTGAAGAAATCTCCACTGCCGTCCTGATCGACAGGTAGTGTTCCGGCCACTCCTTTCACTGGTGGCACATGCCCCGGCACGTGAGCCGGAAGCATCTTCAAATCCGGCGTACACGGACTGTGGTCGCTTACCACCGTCTTGATGACGCCTTCGCTTTCGTGTTCGATCAGCTCCTCCCACAATCGGTCTTGATTGCTTTGCGTGCGAATGGGCGGACAGCATTTGTGCCTCGTGTCACCGAGTGCAACCTGCTCCGCTGCAAGGGACAAGTAATGGGGGCAGGTCTCGGCAGTGATGTTGATACCCTGTGCTCTCGCTTTCCGAAGTAATGGAATCGCTTGCATCGCGCTGAGGTGCACAATATGCAGAGGGAGATTAGGTGCAAGATGAGCAAGAGACAAGATCTCCTCGACGGCATAAGTCTCGAAACTCGGCGGCCGAGATTCGAGGAACGTACTGTAAGCATTCAAGGGTCCATGCGGCGCGAGGGGGGGTAAAGATGTCTGTACGTCGTCGCCCACACTGTCGGCAATAGGTGGAATCATTTCTGCGTGAAACATGACGGTGGTGGGCTCGTCCGCGAGTTCGGCGAAGACTTTGGCAATATCACCGGAGGACACCGCGGGGAATTCCTCGACACCCGAGTCGATCAGGAAGCCCTTGAACCCGCGTACACCTTCACGCACGAGGGCCTTCAGTTCCCCTTGGTTACCCGGAATAATGCCACCGTAGAAGCCAACATCAACCCAGCATTTGCCTTGTGCAGCCTTGATCTTCTCCTGCAGGCCAGCTACTGTTGTCGTAGGGGGGATTGCGTTCAGCGGCATATCCACGACAGTAGTGACGCCCCCAAATGCCGCGGCTTGGGTACCAGTATAGAAACCCTCCCATTCTGTCCGGCCTGGCTCGTTGAGATGCACGTGTGCATCCACCAGACCCGGCAGAAGGACATGCGGGGAGTAGTCTGTATAAGGTGTGTTGGGTGGAAAATCGGACTGCGGGAGTACACTGTCGAATGTGGCTGTGATCTTGCCTGTGGCATTAGATATGACAATTGTGGCTGCGGAAAGGCGTCCCGAGCGTATTGCGCGAGAAGACGCGATTACAGTGATGGGTGAGCCATTCCAGGCATCAGACTCGCCGTTCGGAGGAGAGCGAGGAGGAGTCGGGTACGCATCAGCCATTTCGGACGGTGATCTGGACATGATGAGGTATAGGCTTGCCGGTTACGGTCTGGTCCGTCCTGGTCTCATATAAAGAGTAGATAAGTGAAAGGGGAGTAAGAGTAACTAGGAAGGGGTCCTGAGTGTGCTGAGTGTTCTGAGCATGTGAGCGAGGGAGTCTTTTGTGCTTATCTACAGTTGATAAGCAATCTCCTTTCGTGCACCCTTGTGATTTTGAACGATAAGCGAAAGATTACAACCTGGAGAAGTATTGGGGGTGAACCCTTGCGGGGGGGAAAGAGGAACAAAGGGAAGTTCTGGACACTCTTTCATATACAATAAACGGAGTCCTGCCATCTTCATTCAAGGCCGGGTTCGTCGACCTAGGCGTCGACTCATTTCGGGTGAATTAGCAACTCCCCAGGGCGACCATGATTTCAAAGGGCCCTTCCGGATCCCAAAGGAAGCAGTGGAGAGATCGAGGCGGCCGAGTCCGATAGAGACAGAGTCGGCCGGGCATGGTACGCGTATGTCAATTGGACCGTAGCATTGTGTACGGCGCAGTACGTAGACCGCAAACCATATCTGTTACTCGATAGGATCGAGTAGAGATAAGGGGAAGAGGCAAAGGCCGAACTGCTAAAAGGAGAGTGGCACCCGCGCGGGTTGGGGGCAGCAGAAAGCGGTGGGTGTTGGTTGGCGCAAGCTGTCAACAGGGCGCAATTTTGGCGTTATCGTTGGGAAAAGTCAGCAGCGAATGCGCTTGGACCTCGCCAGCGTCCGTCCAGATTTTGTTCTCGGCGACATCGGGACTGACTTTGGATCGCCCTAAACCCTTTTGGACCCGACCAGGGTCGCGGTCCGTGTCGCTATTACTCGATATATGCCTCTCTTTTACTCGATCAAAATTCCTGACTGGCATTTGAGGGAAGAATGTCTCTGGCTCCTCTTCAGCTGGCGTGTCTTCGACATGAGACACACGTAAATTTCTCCTTTGACTTTCAGAACTGACGACTGATGACTGCCGACAACTGCCAGTGGTGCGCAGTCTGTCCGCATGAGGCTTGGTCCGAAGAGGCATGCGGCGGCCATTGGGAGTGCGAGGAGGGACGGGGATTCAAGTGAAGATGTCGTCGTCATTATGTGCGCACTGTTGAGACACTGCATCCGAGTCTCGCCAGGTGAGGTTGCAGCGTCGGTCACTGCCGCTCGTGCTTTATCTGGTGTCTGGTAACAGTCACTTGATTTTCGCTGACCGACTTACCTTCGAATGCTGTGTTCTCACGGTAGGTATCTTGACGACGCGTCAGGAACCTCTAGAACCTTCACTCCTCGATGAGCAGACGGTGAAGTCTGGCAAAAGAGTGAAATGAGGAGAAAAAGGGCCCTGGAGCAGACTAAGTCACGTGGGTCGGGTCACCTGGTTTTGGTGTGGTTTTCATTACGCAAGAGTCTGTCCCAATGGTGACATACAACAGTACGGACAATATTGTGCCACCGCAGTTCTTTCGCGAACTCGCACTCGTCAGGCATCAAATCCACGACGCTCGACAGAGGTGCCTACGCGTAGGAAGCCACAGCCCAACCAGCGTCACCCTTCCCATCTTGGCCCGTGGGAGAAGCCCTACCCGGCCAGCTGGATACATTGAAGCGGCTCGCCGAGTTTGTCGGACTGGATGGCTAGAGCAACAAATCGAGACCACCAGCGTGCCTGAGGCGCGGTGCCTCCAAACATCCACAATCCGGGAGCTGTATACCGTCAGCGCCAGCGCTACACAGATGTCCAACGTTGACCAACTTACCTGCTGGTTTCATCACGTTGCGTAGTTCTCCTTCTTCATCCAGTCCCCAGAACTCCCCCAGCTGCGAGGCAAAGTCTCGTCCAACAATATCCCCAACCTGATGACGATAGTCATGATCCTGTCCGACAGCAATGACCACGACATCGGCCTTGAGCTCGCTCCCGTCCTGAAACCTTAGACCTTCAGGCGTGAAAGCGGCGATTGGAACGCCGGATTTGACCTTGATCTCGCCCCTGACAATATGTGCTGATGCCCCGATGTCGATATAGTAACCACCATATCGCATCATGATGTTGTCCATCAAGGGTGTTGTGCGATCGACACGGAACCCAGCCCGCTCTAGTGCATCAAAACGTTCAGATTCGGCCTTGGTCGCCATGTCGTATTGGATTTTGACAATGTCGCGTGAAATCTTATTAGGTAGTCCGGCTGACATGACATCTGCTGCGGCAGTGGGGACTTCGAGATTGTAGTGACCTTGAAGACGTATTAGCCTCGCAGCGAAAAAAAGTCACAAACACAGGTTCTTAACGCATACTGGATTGGCCTTTGATCACCCATTCTATTGGATAGACGCACGTCCTGTTACGCTGAATCATATGGATAGATCGCAAGCCCGCTCTGTACATGTCTTCGGCGATGTCGTGTGCCATGGTGCCAGATCCAATGACGATGCCATTCTTTGCTACCCAGTCCCGACTATGCTTGTAAGCTCCCGAGTGTAAGAGAATGCCTTCGTACCGCTCGGTTCCTGGAATCTTGGGGTCCCTATCGACGCTCATGCCGGCACCAACAGAGATAACAAGATGGCGACAGACGAGTGTCCGTTTCTCGGCTCCTTTGACCGTCACATCCAGTGTCCATACTCGGCCCTCCTCCACCCACTTGGCTCCTGTGGTCTCTGCATTCGTCCACAGATTGATGTTGTACTTTGTAACATAGTTTTCGAACCCTTCGGCCACGATTTTCCCGGGAAGCAGCAGCGGATCGGTGGGATGCCAGGTGCGCTCGAATGGCAGGTTATTGTACTCACGGACAGTGTGCTGTCTCACCGACTCATACCGCCCGATCCAATTATGTCCTATCGAGGCCCGCTTTTCCAGAAGCACATATCTCAGACCCAACGCTCCGACGCGACCAGCCACGGACAGGCCACACTGTCCTGCTCCGATGATGACAACATCGAAGGTATGCTGACTATCGTGGGAACGATTGTTGGACTCGACGACGCCTTTAGTGACGGAATCACCATTCACGCCGAGCGACTTTTCAGTTAGGAGTGGGACATCTGGGTGCCCGTGGCCTGCGAAATTCTCGAGCAAAGTCACCAGCATCCAGATTGTCCAGCTCCCATCCTCATCCAGAATGAAACAGGCGAAACCGGTGCACTCGCCCACTAGCCCGTTGATCGCGTGAGTCGTAAACGTGAATGGCACTTGAATCCACGAGCTACCTGGCACAGGTGTGACAATGAACGCGGGTTTAGTCCTGAAGCTGGACAGGGACAACCGCTTGGCCTGACTGTTCCACTCCTCCGCAATCTTCACGTGGCCGTCGAAGGTTCGTGCCTGTCCGGTCAGCGCAAAATGGTCTCTCCAGAGTGCGGTGGGCTGCAGAGCATTTGCATCAAGAGTCCCATTTTCTAGTGTTTTCTGAGCCAACTTCTCAGGTTCTTGGATGTCACAGTTATCTGGAACCAGCCGGGAAGGCAGCATGCCCGGAAGGCAGTCTAAGTTGTATCCAGGCCTCATAGTAAATAAGCTGGGGAAAGAGAATAATTGTCGGTGTTCATTCACTTTCTCCTCGACAGGCAAGTGGAAAAGCTGTCTGAATTGGTGTAGGGTATTACCGTGAATAGATAGATCTCCCAGATGGATGGCCACAAGAAGGATGAAAAACGATTAGAACCTGAATACCAGTCTGAGACCCTCAATTGCCGCCATCTTCTGTGATCGAAATCAGCCATCGGGAGTCGACAGTCCGGCAGTTCAAATCATCACCCAATGTTGTGATGGGTTTCATGATGGGGTAATGCGGGGGATCAGACTGGGAATTTCCTCGACGCAGGAGGCCAGTAGATGAAGTATGTGTCCTGAATCGGCGACCTCCAGGTTTTCTCCACTGCTAGTGCCGTTCCCATGACCGGGCTTACCGACTTGTCTCCAATCTTGACACCTCAAAAGAGGCGACGATAGGAGAACCTGTGAGCATGTCTGGGGTATATCGCTGACGAAGGTAAGAGGCATTCACGAGCTGATACTTGAAAATATGCGTAGGTGAAACCCGGTCGGCAATCGGTGTGTATGTGATTTGGGCACACGTCCAAAGAAGGCCTCATTTAGTCGAAAGGGGGTGCGGCACTTCAAACGCTGCAGACAGCTTTGAGTTAAAAAAAAAGCTCCTGTGCCCGGGTTCTCAGCCTGCTTGAGGGTCGATTTGGGATGTCACCCGAAGATGGAATTCGTAGGGTGCCTAACATAAGGTTGATCTCTCTCGTTCAATGGATGGCAGCATCAACGATTCGTCTGCGAATATTGTCGAGAACACTGAGTTCGTCTTGACCTTCGACGCTCATCTCGGCGTCGACAGCTGCCTCATAAGCCCTGACCACGGTGTCTTCATCGACTCTGACGGCATTCTCTGCGAGAATCCTGATACATTCGGCAATTCTGGCAATCTCTCTCCTGGTACCCTCCTCGATGCTGTCATTCTGACTTGAGTAGATGGAGCTGCTGACCATATCGTCAAGATTCGATATACTGACACCTCCACTCATCTTGCCTTGATCCTCGGCTTGCTCAATATGCTTACTTAACCAGACATAGCCGTTGACTCCGAGGATGACATCCACATCGCCGCCTCCTTGAGCGCCACTATTAATAGTAAAGACCTGTCTTCTGCTGCGCACGACGCCTCCGCCGCCGCCAGTGCCGGAAACAGAGAGGAAAGTGCCATTGCGTAGTTTGCCATATTTCAGACTTCGTGTATGTAAGCTGGCCGTGCCATCGCTACTTCCAATCTGTTGAACCTCCGCGACCAGTAGGTCCCCTTCTTGAAAATAGTTGCGCATCTGAAGTTCGTCGGCGGTGGTTCTTCTTCGAAGCACACCGCCGGGCAGATTGATAGAGGAGAGCGGTAACTGTGCCAGCAGTGGTGCAGCCACGTCTACTTTCCACCTGCTCTTCTGGACTTCGACAATGCGCCCTACAACAAGGTCGCCAATCTCGGGGTTATAGCGTGCTCTTAAAGGTGCGACGGATAGTAATTTGTTCGTCTTCAGCAGCGGTCCTGCGAGGGTAGCAGTCATTATCGTTGAAGAATCATTCATGTAGGTACCATGTCCTCTGCGCCCTTGTTAGAAGCTGTACAGTGAACCTAATAAAACATTGATTTCACACGTACCGCATCCATGAGGATTCGTCGGTAATCACTTCTCCAGGGAGGACAATAGTCCGTGAAGTCGAGGAGGATAGACGGGCGCGTTTGGAGGGCCGACTGGGCTCGTCATTCATAGATTCGTCGCTGTCTGATATGATGTCCACGTCTTGGGCGTGTTTTTGCACCGGCGCATCATCTTCCGAGTCTGGTGGAAGGACGGCGAGACCCATGATGACTGTTCAACTGCTTAATTATGTTTCCTGTCCCCAAGTCGAGTCTTTGGATTTTCGGCAGACAAAAGATGGATAGTTACGGGAAAACGTCGGGAGTCGATCATTCACGTGCTGATAACGTTCTTGGCTCGGATATCGCGCATTGCTGAGGTCATGAATGGCGGCGGCAACTTTTTCTTGCTGCACGCTATGTATTTTATCAAACACTCCTCGACGTCCCCTACCACATCTCATTAATAACTGATCATACCAAAAATGGTTCGCCATAAGAAAGATAACTCTTCCAAAGCGAAGAAATACTCTACGAAACCTCGACCTCCGCCGCGAGCCTCAGGACGAGGCGCCGACGAAGGTGGCGGTGGTGAACGTCCCCCTTTCAAGGCAGCGTGCTGGGATTTTGGACACTGTGACGCGAAGCGATGCAGCGGGAAACGTCTAATGCACTTTGGGATGATGCGCGAGTTACCCATCGGCCAGAAGTATCCCGGAGTCGTTATCTCGTAAGTCCGGTCCGCCGCTCCATGGACTGCGTGAGTTGACAGTGCTCACAGACCCAACGCTAAACGCGTACTATCCCCAGCAGACAAGGAGCTACTAGAACAATACGGGGCAGCAGTGGTCGAATGTTCGTGGGTCCGAGTAGAGGAAATTCCCTGGTCACGGATCGGTGGGAAATGTGAACGCCTCCTCCCCTATCTCGTTGCCGCAAATCCTGTCAATTATGGGCGGCCGTGGCGTCTTAATTGTGTCGAGGCCCTTGCGGCGTGCTTTTGCATATGTGGACACCAGGATTGGGCTGAAATCGCTCTGCAGCATTTTCCCTACGGAAAGCCGTTCTTGGAGATCAACTCCCAGCTGTTCAAGCGCTACGCAGCTTGTCAAAGCGAGGATGAGATCAAAAAGGCCGAAGAGACTTGGTTAGCGAAGCTAGAGAAGGAATACACCAACAGCAGACTCAAGGGACCGTCAGACGAAGGCGATGATTGGGCCGGAGGCAACCTCAACAGACGGGAAGTGTTTGACTCGGATGAAGAGGGTGATGACGACAACAACGAAGAGTCCGAAGAATCCGAAAATGACAATATCACACATCAGCAAGGTGTGTCGTTGATGCCTCCTGATACAGACGATGAGGACGAAGAGGCGGAGATGGCTGAGATCCGGCGAAAGATACTTGCATCGAAGCCTTTTAGTGACTCTATATCAACCGAGGCGCGGATGGGTGACCCGCAACAGCCGCACCTTGAGAAGCAGAGCACTGACAGCGGTTTGGGTTCGGCGATCCCAGAGTCAGCGGCAATACTTGTCGACTCTGACGCTGAGTCAGGCTCGGGTGAAGAAGACTACGACGACTTTGATCAGATCGCCAATGCCACGCCTGTCACTGATCGGATAGGTATCGTGGCACGGGAGAGACAGAAGAAGCTGGAGCAAGCCAGTGCGTCCTTTTCGCGGACCATAATCTCTGCACCAAAGAAGTGGTAGTTCAAGAACATCGAGATTTCTTTCTGCAGACGAATTCAGACAGAGTTTCGAGTTTCTTCAATGGTGTGCTACTCCTTTCGGATGAGATGATACCCCCTTTCTGTTCCGGCCTCCTTCGAATTTGCACTTGCACTCGCACTTGGAATGCAAGGATCCGAATCCGTCTTCTCACACAAGAGAAGCGGCTTTGTTGGCCCGTCGCCGCTCTACACCGAAAAAGTGCTAGTCCGGAACGCGATTCTCTCTGGAGTAACAAGCAAACAAGGTCTGAAACGCGTGGCTTGCTGGCTTCGTATGGATGAAGACACCTTTTCAGGACTCGCGTGAGGTAGGTAATACCAAGGGCGTACATCCGTCCTCGCCGAACGACAGGGGGGCAGACACCGGTTCAGGAACCCCGGTTATGAAGCAGTCTATCTCCGCCTGCGTTGACGCCGATCAGAGTGGCTATCGTATACCGTACGTACTAGTACGTGTTATTCGATGTGCCAACGTCAACTTAGGATAAGTCATGCCGGGGATGCCATCCGTACTACCCGGGGTATCAAACATCCACTTTTACTCACTCCGAGCCGATCATGCAGACATTCAGTTACTTACTTTTTAGCAGTCGACGGGACAATTCCAGCCCGTCGCTTTGCTAACTCTGTGTAGAGGTTTCCAGATCACACTTGACTTTTTCCAGTGCCTCTGTCTGACAGAGTTTGACATATGAAAGTCACCGACTCGCGAGGACTGAGATTTGGTCACTCTGCACGAGAAACGTTATGCTAGTGAGGGGTGGGGACTCTTTTTTGGTAGTCTAAGAAGACCAGATCCGACGACGTTTGCACTTCTCCCGTGGAAACATATCGCCATTATAAGAACCTAACGGGTCACAGCTTCACTGTACGGTGATGCTTTTGTGGAGCTGGTCTGAAATACCAAACACCGACAAACCTGACCTGACACTATTCCCGAGACCCTGTCTAGCTAGGTTGTCGCATCTGCAACTAAAAGCCAGGGGTACCTGCAATACTCGTGGCTGGCTGATGTTCCTAGCCCAAACTATCAACTTTGTACGAGTAGGAACATAGGTAGGGACGAGGACGGGTTTTTGGACTCCGTTATCATACCTCCGATCCTAGATCCAACCTTTCCACGGACCCTCTTCTACCCCAGTACGAGTTTGTACTGGCGTCTGGGTATCTCAACCTACCAAATCATGGACAGTGGTGGTTCAGGGGTTGTCTCAAAAGCCACAGCTGGCCCCATCCCGTGGAGCCTCAAGTGGCTATCCGTCTACGGTACTGGGACGCCATAATACCAGTTACTCATCCTGGCAATGGCCATGGGGGCCTTGCCGCGGGCACAAAATAGGTCTAACGTACGAGTAGAAGATAGTCAGAATCCTTCCCTCGATACCGAGAGACATAGCCTCGACGCAAGTGGCAATTGCGTGCGCCAGTCTGCCCCGGCCTGTCTCATCCGACCAATACTACTGCTCGCCGTTCTCAACGGGTTTGACCAAGTCAGAGAACGCGAGTAATTTCACATGCCACTTACTTCCTGCGGGGGTTGTGAGTTCGAGTCAGGGCTCGTGTGCGTTTGACGATCGCTCAACGGCCAGCAAATGCTAAGCGAACCCTTCTGGCCCATAACGGTTTCCTTTATCAGTTCACCCTAGACACTCATTCGTCCGGTTACGGATTGTCCAGTTGTACAATGAGATAGGGATTCGAGACTGACGCCCTGGTCTGCCGTCCTATGAAGCTTGAGCTTGTAACAAATTCGAATGAAAGCAGACCAGTGGGTCACCGTCCTCAACACTCAAAGGATGTCGGGATTCACAAAGGGTATGTAGCTATAACAGAGGGGTAACTTTTGACATGTTCGCTTGCAAGCGAAAACCGCTTCCGCGAGACCCCCAGTGTACGAGGTACCTGATGCCGGTATGTACTAGTTAGAGGGGTAGACGGCGAGTAAGCGAGTCCGCCACTATGTCCCACGGAATGCCGCATATGCAAGACTGTGGGTTCTGTAATACTCGAGTAACTGAGTGCTCGTAGGTCTGTAGGGCAAGGGTTGGAAGGGTTAGGAATTACTCAACCAAACCGGAGAAAAACACCGTTGGCCTCTGACTGGTCTAAATTATACGTACAGCCCAGCCCCTGCCCTGCCTGCTCTGCCCTACAGGTCGAGTCTCTCGAACTCGAACGGATGGGATTGGAGTATGAGTACCTACGTGTACGGGAACGGTACCAGCATGACCACGACCACAAGCACGTTGAACGGAGTATGTGTGGTATGAGTTGCAAGGCTAACCTCCTTTTCGCCGCATAGCACAGCTGACCATGTAGGAAGGGATGTTGGCAAGAACACGTTAAGTTAATATGTACAAAATCTCCATACCAGGACCATACTCCATAGTGTCATCGGGATACATTCGAGAGCGCCAGAGTATGACAAGGATAGTGAAAGAGGGTTGAGAACACAAAAGTCCGCCAACGCCAGCGTCCCAAACGTCTCTCGTCTCTCTCTCCCCCCCTCCCTCTCTCTTTCCCGGTAAAATAGAGATGGAAATATACAAAGACAATCTGCAGCTTTTTGAAACCCCTCGTCAACAGAGAGGTTTCGAGATGTCAGACACTAGGGAGCCGAGGAATAGACGGCAGCCAACGAACCAGGCCATGGTGAAAGATAGCCATCACCTTTCGTAGGGGAAAACGTTTGCTGTCCAGGAAATAACGACCCGTTGACATGACCACCATGGTGGCTCTTGAAGGTCATTGCGTCGTTAAAAATGCCCATTGAGACAGATGCATCAGAGTCGGGCATGCCGCAGAAGTTTGCGTCTAGAAACGCATCGACGTTCAGATAAGATTCGACGTCGACTCCGTAGCAAGTATGATTATTGGTCATTGTCGGCGTCGCCGTCATGCTGTCAAGATTTGTTGACCGGGACGAAGCGGACGAGGAATAGTGTATACCCTGCGGCGGAGCATCTACATTCATGTCAAAGCCCATGTCGGCCGTTGTCGCTGTCGTCGTCACCTGGGTGAGCGAAGGCACTGAGCTCATCGCAGAGCCATCGTACGATCGTGAGGACGAGGAGAATGAGGATCGCGTAGTCGTTGGTGACAAGTCGCCCTGATCGTTCGGTGTAGAGCCCTCTGCGGTGGAAAGCCTTGTCAAAAGCTGGTGGTGGTCCTGGTCAGGACCAATCTCCTCAGCCGAGGAATCGGCGTCCTTGCGAGTCTCTCCGGCAGCCATTGGTACAGTGGGATCTTCATGGCCCGGTCCAATCAAGCCCAGACCATGAAGGATGGCATCTGTGGTGACTGCCCCCATGGATTCATCGGGGACGTCGCCTGGAAAATCACGGCGACGTCGGCAAGCCCAGTATAATCGCTGAACTGCTTCATCGTAAACATCCCGCATGCGGCAGTAACTGTAGTTGAAGCCTGGGGTCAGTGGTGGTAGCTCAGAAGGACCAACATCGTGCATCAACTCACTAACTTCTAGCATCGCGTCCCCTTCGAGCGGTGTAGGTGCAAGGAGAATCGTTCGCTTTGCAAGTCTTGCATCTCGATCCTCCATCGCACTGATTTGTTAAGGTACCAGGGTCAGAAACGATGCCTCAAAGTCGAAGCAGGAGACTGAGGTTCACATACCTTCGCCTTCTTGATCCTGCAACGGTCACAGGCACGTCGTGTCCGGCGCTTGGAAGTATCGCCTCCTCTCCCATTGATATTAGACTTGTTCCTCGACATCTTGATTGCCGGGTTCAAATCGTTGTTTCTCAAAAGTCGGTATGTGTCGTCGTGTTGATTCGTACTCCTACGTAAGCCGTCTTTTAAGATCTCAAAAGTAGTTCCTGGGTCGAGCAACGTATAATAAAGAGGCAAAGACGCTAGTGTTGATTGCAGATGAATGGGTCCTAAGTATCCCTGCACATGAGGACTCAGTGGCCCTCCTTTACATCACGGGGAACCGTGAGCGCAACGACGCAGGAGGGTCAGGAACATGTCCCACGAGTGGAGAGGGGTAGGACTGCCAGGGTACCAGTACATTACGATTTGCAGCTAGACGCCCACATCAGTGCATCATTTGAAGTCATAGTCATGGACATAAAGAGAGATGTCTATTCGCGCGTTGCTGTTGTCAGGTTAGGGCAGCAGAAGCGCCGTTGGACTTGTAGTCGAGCTGACGCCGAACGTTAGATTCGATAGTCTCAGTCGTGGAGCCCAGCTGTGGTGTGAGTTACGACACAGGGTAGACACTTTCGGCAAACTCGTGGAGGGTGCAAGACTGAACGAGGACGGCATAGCGCGGATGCGAGTATCGACATTGGGAGTTGGCGCCAGTGGTCAGTCGACGCAATCCGTCGAATGAACTGGCCGGTAGCGATAACGAGCACAGGTGCCTAGTTGTAGAGATGATCTTCACGAATCGAAGATTCTGCTGGATTCTTGTTCCAGCATAATAACAATGTTGATCCGTGGAGTCTTGGTTCCCCATACTCGTACTACGAGAACTGTATGTAGGTTTGCACACTCAGACTAGGACCCGCTAGTACGGCGCACTGACCAATCACGGAGCGAGGGAAGTAAATCTCCCTTCGACTACGACAGACACTACGAGCCTCTGACCCCTGTACCGTGCTGTGCGCAGCAGCATCTCAATACCGACTGGTGCAATGCCCGGAGAAAATTGCCAGTGCCTCGATCCTGCACAACTCGCGTCGCTCTGACGTCGACCTCAGTCCACGCACAGAGATCTGCTTTCGCTCTGTAGCAAGTTAGTGTTATCAGACCGGCGCTGTTGTTTCGCCGCTGCGGCTCACGCGTATCCTGGCTCAGCTGTTATGGAATCACACTATCACGCGAAGGTGGACCGCTGTCCGGAGAGGATATCCTGGGTCGTCGAAGCGCTAGTGAGGCTCATCAGCCAGTTACTTTGCTTTTGGGTATCGCATCCGGCTGCTCGTACCTTGTTCGTTCTCGACATATCATCGAGCATTCATCGAGCCTCCAGGGCTCGCGTGTCGGACCCTACTCTTGCTTTCAACAAAGAGCAAGCCTTACGAGGTCCACAGGGTGCCACGCCGGTAACATGCCCGTTAGATTAGGTAGGCTTGCCTGGTACGCAAAGCGACATCTCTCAACTTGTGGACGGCCTTTCTGTCGTTTTCCCACCCCGCAACACCGGATTGTATGCACGAATCCCCTGGCGGATAAAGCCCCCGACCCTGATATTACTGTCGATCGCAGTCGCTGGAAAAGAATGGCCTAGACAACCAGCATGTGGCGGGCAGACATGACGACACAAATGGCAGTCGAGCTCAAAGGGTATTTGAGGTATTCCAGCCCTCTATACATATTCCTCTCTGGATTGGCTTCCCTCAGGCCTCGTCCAATTCAAAATTCTTCCGTGGCTTTTCTTTTTGGATGGTTACAGAGAGACACACTAAAGTGTTTCTCAGACCACAAAGCCAAGTTTACAGCCTCCTGCTCAATCAGCAAGAGCATCTTGCAACCCGGATACACATCAAGCACATTGGGACACACTTCATCAAACTCCCTAGGCTGAGTCAGCCCGACGATCATGGGTACGCAGTCAAGCTTCTCACAGCCGCCCATCGACGAGATCAAGATGTGGCCTTTCGAGCTCGGCCCAGATGCGTCCGTGGCACCACACCAGACTCTCCATTTTAACGAACTCTTCATGTCGCCGGCTCACCACCCGGACCCATTCTCTCAGTCTTCGGCAGCGGAGCTGTCGTCGACGCTCCTCCCCGCCGCTGAGCCCATGGCCAATTTCATCCACCCGCAAGAACTGCACGTCTCGTCGTCAGGATCCGAGTCGTCCCGGTCCCCGCAAAGCCAGCACGGCTCTCTGGACCTCACCCACCGCGGGTCGTTTGATTCTTCTTCTTCTTCTTCTTCTTCATCATCAGTAGCCACCGACTACCTTTCTCTGGACCGCCAACGGGCGATCCGACGACTGTCGCTCGCCACCTCGGACCTGTCCAACGACACGTACAGACCTCGCAATACGCCCGCGCGACCGCGCAAGTCGGCGTCGAGTCGAATCACACCGCGCTCCCAGAAGCACGCCCGCGAACTCGAGCTCAACCGGAAAGCCGCCACCAAATGTCGAAACCGCCAAAAGGCCTTTGTCGAAAACCTCCAAGCCCGCTGCAAGCGCGAGGAGGAGAAGATGCACGTGCAGACCTCGCTTCTCCATGCGCTGCACGATGAAGTTGTCGCTCTGAGGAATGAGATCATGAGGCAGAGCTTTTGCGATTGCCAGTTCCTCAAAGGCGCCGCGAGCGTGCTGTTGACATAGCTGTCTTGTCACTCAACTCGGTCTGTCGAGCCTGGTCTAGGAGGCACGGCTTTGCTCCTAGATTTTGTTTTATCGTCTCGTCTCTTTTCTCGCCGCCCACGAAAACATGAGGGGATGATCAGGTGGATCGTCGTTCTTTCGACTTGAGAGCCTGACTAACTTAGATCCTGAGCCGGCACGCAAACAACATTGTATTTCTATTGGAATTTCCAGTACAACCACCCCGTGTTTCCTTTTGACTCATGGGGGGGTTGCCCGAGGAAAATTAAAAAGCAAGGAGTCAGTATTGAAGGAGAGTCGAAACGAAGGCATTTTCGTTCTTGTGTTGATGTAGGCCCGTTAGCAGGCGGTACTCGTGTGGGACCCGGAGCTTGGGATGGGATGAGAGGGGATCATTCGAAAAAGCGATTTGGGGTCCTTCGTTCTGTAGTGAAGAGAACATTAACCGTGCTAAACGTCATGTATACTATTGCTACCCATGCACCCATCTACCTTCAGAGCCTTTTTTATCTCCAAGACAAGACAATCGATCGCTCGTACTCGGCAACCTCATATGGTATCTAAGAGGCATGTGCAGTGAGTTCCCCTGCCCCCGGGGCCCCGGACCCCGGATTAGTCCTGATCTAGTTTTAAGGTATACATGTAAAGAGCAGGTAGACGAATACAAGTACGGGACCCTTCGAAATGATGGTGACCTGAAGCCGTCTATGATCCCGAGTAGGTGTTCTGAAGGTCTGTTATCTAGACATCTAAAATCTACCTACCTACCTACCTACCCTGCCGTTGCGGGAACACCACGACTCGTGCTTTCGTCTCCGTATGACGTTCTTCATCGAGTAGACGCCGACTCTGATATGCTCCGGAGGTGCGCTACTTTGGGCACTAAAATCATAACAACATTCACATCTTAGCAGCAGCGCCCGCCCTCTCTTTCTTCGCCTCATCTCTCAGGATCCTCTTGAGGATCTTGCCCGAGGCGTTCTTGGGTATCGCATCCACAAACTTGACCCCACCCTCGAGGCGCTTGTACTTGGACAGCGCCTGGCCCGCGTACTCGACGACGTCGGCCGGGGTCAGATTCGAACCCTTCGCCCCCGGTCTGCGCACGACGTAGGCACGTGGGGCTTCGCCGTCGAGCTCGCTCGCTGCGGGGACGCCGATGACGGCGGCGTCGACGATGTCCGGGTGGTTCAGCAACACGGCCTCGATCTCGGGCGGGGCCACCTGGAACCCGCGCACTTTGATCATCTCCTTCTTGCGGTCGACTACGTACCACAGCTTCGTGCGGCCGTCGCAGTACATGACGTCGCCGGTGTGGAAGAAGCCGTCGCGGTCGAACGTCTCGGCGTTGGCCTCCGGGTTGTCGAAGTAGCCGCCGATCACCGTCGGCCCCCTGATGCACAGCTCGCCCTGGACGTCGTGGCCGGAGATGTCGCGGCCGCGGTCGTCCACCAACTTGACGTCGATGCCCGGCCTCACGCGGCCGACGGACCCCGTCTCGTCGTCCTCCGGGTAGTCGAACCACGTGAGGATGCACGTGCTCTCGGTCATGCCCATGACCTGCGTGAACGGCGCCCCGGGCCTCAGGTACTTGCGGATCCCCGCCTGGGTCTCCTTGCTCAGCGGCGCCGCGCCGGCGAGCCCCTGCCTGACCGACCTGAGCGAGTACTTCTGGATCAGGGGCGACATGCAGATTGCCACGGCCATGGCGGAAACAATGTACAGTTCCGTCACTTGGAACCGCTCTATGTTTGCCAGGAAGGGTTCCAGTTCGAAGCGCCGCATGACGTACGACCTCTCCCCGTTTTTGAAGGCCGTGGTGTGCACGCGCGGGCCGACGGCAGCGTGGAACATGGGCGCCGCAAAGAGATTGACAATCTCGTAGGGTCGTTTGGGACTGGAGATGCCGTAGACCAGTTCATGCTGAGCTATCAGGTTGAGGTGCGAGGTCATCGTCGCTTTGGGAAGACCCGTCGTGCCGGAGCTCGTCAGACGGGCCGCCGTGCCGGAGCTCGTCAGACGGGCCGCCGTGGTGTTTGCGCACACATCGTGGCCCTCGAAGCGCACCCAGTCCGATTCACCGTGCCGTAACAGGTCGTGCCAGCTGACAAATCCGTCCGGACAGGTCTGGCTGGGTTGAGTGTTGAAGATGCGGATATTGTAGTCGGGGATGCCCGTCCCTTTGGCCGCTTGCAGCAACGACGCCAGCAGCTCGGGTTCGCAGATGAGGAACTTGGCCTGGGTGATCTTGACGTGGTGTTGAAGCTCGAGCGGCGTGTATCCTGGGTTCGTCCCCGCGAAGATGGCTCCAGACCCGATAATGGCCAGCACAAGAAGAGTGTAGTAGATATCGTTGAACGAGTGCACGATGACACAGTCTCCTCGCCGCACGCCCATGTGACGAAGACCTGCTATGATTTTCCGGATCGTTGTACGGGCGTGAATATGTGAGATGAAGCGCTCTGGTTGAGAGGCATCCACGAGGATCTGGGCTCAGTCAGTGTCAGCATCACGATAACTACAGGGACCTATTTGCCGAGAAGTCGAGACTTGGCACATAGGCTCAGTGCGAGGTGCGAGTTATCTCACCGGTTTGTCCACATCGTAGTCCGGGGCGTCAAAGATCCAAGAGAGGATGTCTTTGGTGGGCAGTTCAGGTGCCGGCTGAGCTTGGAAGAAGACCATGGCACCCAAGGGAACATGTACGAGTATTAGGTGTCGGTACTGGCGCTACAATGTACACAAAACAGAAGAACGAAGAGCTATGAAGTCCAGATGAAACCGAGAAGCCCGTGGACGGCCTGAAGGATTCAACGAGGTAAGCATCATGTTGGGAGGGGTATGTAGTATGGAGTGTCTACCCATGGAGGCGAGATACGGGTAGTACCCATAATATGTGAGATCTTAGCATCAGGTACCGAGTATAGAAGTCCGCAATAGGGGGAGATCAACAAGTACAGTAGGTGATTCTGTAGGGACCTAGTCAGACCATTTGCCTCGGAGAGACTCCGTTACCCCGTACTTCGCGCTTCTGCTCGTACTCGCAGTGTACGCGTATACTCATTTCACGCCCGCTCACCTGCACCGTCTCTGCCGTCAGCGTCAGTTGGGTACCATATAGATTCAGGTATTGCAACGGCCACCGACCTAACTGGGAAATGATCCGTCGAGAAAACCACGGTAGACTGGCCGAGTACATCTTTGGGCTCTCGCTGACCCACGATCACTGGTGATCAACACTCCCCGCCTCCTTCACAACAATGGTGCTGACGTGAGTGGAAGCTGAACAACAAAACATTGACACCTCTACCTCTCTTACAGTGGTTCTAGACACCGCCCTCCCCTTTGCGGACACATTGCAACTATTTCTCGCTGACGCCAAGGAATCAGCGTGATGCGCTGTACTCAATATGTTATTCAATAGCGTACTCTAAAACTTTCTCCAATCATTGACTTGCAAATTTTCCTATTTGTATGTATCTTCAAGAGGGGTATAGCTTTATGTCATCTAAGGTGCTTGTTTACTGGTATAGTCATTCCCGAAACCATCCTCCCTCTTCAAGACAACGCTGTGACTTTCTTCAGTGAGAGGTTAGGGAATGAGTGGATCGGTTTTTGCCAATGATCAATAGCGCTAACAACCCTTTTTAAAGAGTCCAATTCTAATCACGTGTTGCCTCCCGGACAAGATTGAGAGTGCGCGCTTTAAACTCCTGCCCCTCCCCAAAGCCCGAGATTTATTAGGATAGAGAACCAGAGACCTAAGGTACTGTCCTATTCCCTTTAGGAACGGAACGCGCCTCTCTCTTTTTCGCAGAAGATCCGGATTAGGCGGGGTGAAGTAGAGTGAGGAGTTGTAGGCTGTCAGATGTGCGTGTTCCTCATGAATGACACCTATTCGTAAAACATGAGCTCTGCTAATACTGTAATAGGTAAGCAGAGGTCACCTTGTTTTAAGCCTGGGGTCAGCCTGTGATGAGCCTGGGGTGAGCCTGGGGGGAGCCTCGGATAAGTCTGCGATCAGCCTTGCTAGGCAGTAAGGGAGGCCTTCTGAGCAAGCCTATTAGGTTTCAGTTTCGCATAGCGCTCAGTGGCAGTGCCGATTTCAGCTCAGCCTTACTGATAAGTGTAAGTGGACATTTTGTTACTACCTTACAGTAGTTTCCTGCGGCCATTTAGGCGCTAAGTTCGATAGGTTGGTTGTACAGTACGAATCAAGCACTGGCTGCTTTGAAAAGCTACTTATGTAGCGTAGCTGAATAACATTCTTCGTGACTCGCGCCTCACTATCGTCACAATGGGTTGCAGCCTAGAGTTCATTTATTCTGCGCCTTTTTACCATGGCAAGTAGTATAAAAATGATCACGCATTTTCATCAATCCCAAGTATCATGTCCTTGAAAGTTCCAGACAACCATGGCGGCTCCCTCACAGCATCTGCATACACAATCAGCAAATCCCCAAAATCACCGTCATCGCAACAGAGCTGACGGACTTCAGACCCTTTGTAAGATATTTATCAATATGAGATCTGATAATATTACAGATGTCTAACTTGTATCAAACCTTCCCGAAGATCCAGGGAAACCTCCTTTCTCCATCTCTACTGAATATGGCCCTCAGATACAAAACCAAACTCTCGAAGAGCTTGCTTTCGCTTTATCCAATATTGATCAATTTGTTCTCTCCATGGCCAGTCGGTATTGTAAAGCTCTAGCAGAGCACGGTCGACCAGATAACAAGAGGTCCGATATCGTTGAAACGTACCTTCAGCAGATCGAGGATGTCCAACTAGGACGCCGGAAGTTCAGCGCAGAATATTTAGAGAGCAGAGAGCTGCTGGAGTATTGGGACTTGGTTCAGGCCATGTATCGGGAGTTTTTCAATGACCACCCCAGCTACACAGAAGTCGGAGGGGGGAAATTGAACGAGCTCGAAATCTTTGAAAAAGACGTAGAACAACTAACTACTACGTTATTGGCAGCAGTGAATTCTGGGTCACTCAACCATGATGGCCGAGTCACCATTCGACGGAGATGGTCGATTTTAGACAGACTGATGCAGGAACATTACTCCAGAACTAACACAAAGAGAACTTCTCTTTCATGGTAATACCACTTTCCCGAAAAAATTGCAAAGCTTACCTATTATCATTAGGTCTGATATTGCCAGCCAGTTTCGGGAAGCACGAAGTCCAAATGAAAGCAAGGAGCTCAATGTCGATGTGAGTTTCCCATCCGTCTCTATTATTTTGAACATGACAGCCCATATTTGTTCGCTAACCCTTTTCACTCAAAGTGGACATCGACTTGTATGTGGCTTACCTTTACCGCCACTGTCATTGTTGCTCTTCCTACGTTCGCTCTTGCTTTTCAATACTCACCTCACGCGCGCGGATCGACACTCGACGCCGACTTTTGGTTTCTTCTCCAATCCTGCAGCATGCAATTTCTCGGGTTCCTAACTGTTGGTATACCTATGTGGAAGGGAAAATTGCTATCTGTTCATGTCTGGTATTGGACCTGGGGTTTCATCGGCTTGGCAATGAGCTGCACGCTTGCGGCGCCGTTCATATACTGCAAGCTGCGCACAGAATGGAGCGCTTTCTTGGTGATAGTCGCAGGGACCATTCAAGCGTTTGTGACTTTGCAGATCACACTCATCGCGAATCACAGTCTATAGCGATGAATGAAGACAGCATAGTTTGACTAGCGGCGTGTGATGTAGCAGGCTAGATATTGTACCGCTGGCCGAAGAAAAAAGCTGGTTGAATAACTAAAGGGTGGAGTCCGGATCTCCGCGATGTCTGTAGCATTTCCCCTCCTCGCTACTTTTTGCGTGAGAAAGTTACTATGTGTTAGCAACGGGGAGGGTGTGCTCGGGAACAGAAATACCACGAACATGATGCATGCACCCCGAGTCGAAGTGACCTGCATAATCATAGCGACTTGACCAACCAGATGGCGCCTTCAGTTCTGCCTTGCTCTCCCGACACGCCATCGTCGACAACAGCAGGGAACCGTGTAAACCCTACACGGTCATAGAACTTTCCAGCGTTGTCATTCGTCGCAGCCATACCTAGATGCACGCCCTTTGCGCCTTGCTTCCGGGCTACGTCACAGAATCTTTCGATGAGTTGTTGACCGTAACCTTTCCGCTGATACTCCGGCAGGAGGTCGATGTGCAGATGCGCGGGCCAGGACTTCATCAGCTCGGGCCAGTCTTGATGCAGCATGCCTTCCGGGTTGAACATGATGTTTCTGAGGGCATTCGGCAGGTTCTCACTCCATCCCACCGGTTCACCTGGCCGCGGCTCTTCGATGCCTTCTCGCTCAATGTACGGTATGAAGGCAGCCCGGTACTTAGTTACAAACGATGGCGTGTCGCAAACACCCAGAAGATATCCCACCGCTCGCCCGTTGCCGTCGTCCAGAACGAAACACGTGTCGGGTTGCAACGTGTAGTACGGCCGACACCAAAGATAGGACGCATAGTGCAAAACTGGGTCTCCTGCTGCTCGCAGGTCGGGTGCCGCAGTCTCCCTGAACTAAGGTATATATAGTCAGACGTGAAGCCTGCTTGGTGCGTGTTTGGTTTGAGCAGCTCACAATATGGACCATGGCCTCCTGGTCCGCCTCCACGAACGGGCGAATAAAGGCCATCTTTGGTGAGTAGGATTCACCACGAGCCAAGCGGATAGTCAGCCTGATAGTCAGCCTGCAGAGCGGTAAAATCCGTATTCAGAGGCAGCTCGCTGACAGAGTAGTCATTCATGAGATCGCCATAAAAGTTCAAAGACAAGAAAGACTCTGTGTTGAGTTGTTGGCGGGTCGTTCGCGAGCCTGTTCTCATGGAAGAAGTTCAGCCTCAGATAAAACAGAGAAAAGCAGATCCAAAGCCGAAGATACGGCGAGCTTCTAGTTAGCATGTGCTCTACTGCATACAAGTACGTGATGATTTACTCTGTACATCGCTTAGTGCTCGCTGGTGTTTATTAGCCGGGAATATTTGATTGTTGAGGCGATTAAGTTTAGGCATCACCAGATCAGGCCCGGACATACTTGTTCCGACCTGCGACAGTGGTTTAACTGTTCTTCCGTACACTATATGGTATACCAACCTACAGGAACCGACCTCGCTTCTAGTAGGATTAGGCGTGCTACAGCCCAGCCGATTGTGACAATGTCTCTAGCACGGGGCCTCCCCACCAGCACGCCTAGGGAGGTCGCTTCAGTTCTTGGATTCCAGCAGACAGCCGCGTGTGTCGGCAACTTTGCAGGTATCATTCTTACTACCTCGGAAGTGCATACTAACCTCTTCCCAAAGTCAAGAAGAGACTTAGAACTCGCCCTTACTATCCTGACCCTGGCGCTTGAAATCATTCCCGTCAACATTGTTTCCATCAATGATGTAAACACCGGCGTGAAGGGCTTCGTTCCGCCTTTGATTGAGCAGTTCAAAATCGATATGTGGGCCGGTAAACACTCCTCTCTTGGTCGTAAACCACAAAATCACCACAAAGCCAACCAGTCCCACCGTCACCACTGACACATAGCTCATGTTCTGTGGCGTCACGGGCATGGTCGTAGGGAAACAGTATAGGACGTTCAAGAAGCACACCCAAGCAACCGCCAGCCCGTTGACAAAAGGCCCAAGTCTTCCGAGGTTGAAGTATCGCTCAGGCAAAACCTTGTCGCGACCTCGATAGAGAAGGATAGCTTGTGGGATGATACAAGAGGTCTGCTGGAAGATGATCGCAGCGCTGACCATGGCGGCGAAAGCGGTGGATGAACCAATGAAGATGACGCCGTAGATCTGCACCAAATGTGAAAGTGAGTTTGGTATTAATACAAACAGTTACAGGACAAAAACTGACCGAAATGCAGATTCCAGAAAGTACCATGGCGTTGAGAGGCATCTTGAACCTGGGATGCACATGGGCCCATATGTGCGAATAAGGGAAAGTGTTGTCTCGAGACACTGCCCAGAGAGTTCGGGAGCACGTTGTTGCTAAAGACTCAAGTCAGCTTTTGGACAAGCCCAAACTCAATAATTCTGCGGACTCACCATTAGCCACAAGATTTGCAAAGAAGCAGAAGGCAAAGATGGCCATGAGGACAGAGGCTGCCGCGTAGGAACCGGTACCTTGGTAATAGATTTCGACCAAGGGCAACCCAGTAACAGTGTCAAGAACGGCCTCAAGGTCGGTGATGGAATACATGAGTGCCGCAGTGAAGGGAAAGGCAGTCAACAATCCCATTGCGAGAGGGTACAAGATGACTCTGGGCACATTTTTCGAGGGATTGTCAATCTCTTCCGCCAAATGAGCACCGCAGTCAGACCCGAGATAGCTGTACACGGCGTTGCCAATCGCCAGCATAAATGCCCACCCATCACTAGACCAGCCAGTACTGTTGGTGTTGTCGGAAAAGATCCATGATCCCGAGGCGTGGTGGTCGCGGGCGACGACGAACAACGTGATCATTGTGGATGTGAGCGTCACCACAGCCAACACAAATATCATCTTGTTAAAGAGAGGCAAAAAACCAGACCCGAACACGTTGATGGCGACCGCCAGCCAGGTGAGTCCAACGTAGATCAGGTATTGCTGCCAGTGCTGTGGAGTATAATTGGGATACCAGACAGTCACGATTGCCAGAATCATTGATGCCACAAAGTTGGCGACCGAAGCAGCTCCAAGCCACCAACCAAGAATACTGATCCATCCATTGCTACAGATATCAGGTGTCAGAGAATGTAAATCTGGGATCGATGTGATAATGCAAACCTACAGGAATGATGCAAACGGCTTGTACTTGTCGCTGGCCACCATGAAGGACCAGTAGTATTGCGCGCCAGCGACGGGATATGCTGAAGCCAGCTCTGCCATTCCAGCGGCGACCACCATAGTCATGCATCCGGCGATAGGCAGTGACCACAGTGTTCCAGCAGAGGAGGCTTCCGTCAAACTGATTCCGATAGAGGATCCGGCTCCTAACCAGGTGCAAGTCAGAGTGAAGGAAAGGGCGCCAAGAGACCACAGAGAGAACTGTCGTGGCATGACCCTCTTGTAGCCCGCCGCCTCAAGCTCGAGGTCGTCCATGCGGCCGACGGGGACGTCGGTATTTGTGATCTCGTGATCCATGGTCGGTGCCAGTAGAACTTTGACACGTCCCAGTACAAGGGGCTTTCCGGTGATGTCTTGCTGTATTTTGTTGAGCTTTGTTGTTTGTGAACCAGGCTTGCGTCTCACGAAGTGGATTGAGGTTGGGAACCAAGATATATATCGCTAAGATCAGTTCCTCTCCGAAGCGATGCCCATGAGGTTTGCGTGCCGGCTGCTCCTATCAGTCGCTACAGTACTAAACTGGGTAATATTTTCTGGCATCGGCAATGAACAGGCCTGGGAGATAGCGAGAGCATCCATAACGGGGAATACATCTGCTCTGGACTTGATCACTTTGATAAGTTGAAGACCCAGGAGCCTCACAAGCCGCATGATAAGACGAGGGGTGTCGAATGAGGAATAATCATCTCAAGTACCGCAGGGGACGAAGTCGAGAACGCTCGAGGAAGAACAGTAAAAGAAGGGCAAAAATTTGCCCATATAGGAAGGCGAGGTAGACTCCAACTGATCAAAGGCGGCTGGCTGGGCACAAGTCTAAGAGACTCGAAGACGGTCAATACTCGTGTGGCGCATCAATCTCGGCTTCTTAAAAGAGTAATATTTTGACCTTCCGGGGGAGGGACCCACGCTTCCATCCGCGTGGCGCGCCAGATACAACAGTTCACCCAAAGCAGGCCGAACAACCTAGCCTAGGAGGACCTGCATAGGCAATTCGCTGCTTTCGCCTGTTGTGCCGTTACCGTTGTTGAGACCGACTTTGAGGCCCCACCAATATGATCCTCTTGTTGATGAGTCCCAGTCTCCCCAAATATCTTCCAAGAGGAATCTGGTAGATTCAAACATGTAGAATCGGGCTGCAGCACTCCAATGTTTGCAGTATTCCCGTATAAATGCACGATCTTGCTCGTCGCTGACTTCCGACCCAGCCAAGAACACAGGCAGGAGAACCTGTTTCTGGATGAACGATCTCCGAGAGATGCAGCGTACATGGTCAAGAATGACACGGGTCAAGTGACTGATCACTCGAAGGCCCATCGACTCTTGCGGACGGTCGAACACCCGACAGGTGTAGAGAAGAATCGCATGCCTCCAAGCTTCGATACAATGAAAGCGATCTCGCTGCGCATCGATATCATCTTCTGCGAGCCCAATATCTATCAAAGTTGCATCTTCCTTGTTGACAAAGTCTTTGACCTCGGTGATGACCTGGTCCACGGGAGTTCTGTCAAATATTGTCCATTCCATCTGTTGAGTCTTCTCATAGATCGACGCCAATTTTGCGAGTTTCGCCATGGCGACCACGAGTTCGATCGGGCACCCATTCAGTGCAAAGAATGACCAGTCTGGACTGTCACCATGCTCCACCAACATATCGAGGTAGGACAGTGGAAGGTGCAGGTCATCTCGAGATATGAAGGCGAGTGTGACGTCCCACCTGCGATCAAGGTCAGTGGTCACAACCATCAACACATGCGCATACTGGACAAGAAGCTATTACCAAACTAGGAATGCGATTTGTGCCCGTATGCGAGCGCTCCTCTGACTAATTTGTAGGGCATTGGCAGCCTCAAGGAGCCTTCGAGCCCCATCCAAGTGAATACCCCAGGTCCCCAAAGCAGACTGGGTGAGCTTCCAGAGTCAGCACGGGCAAAAGATTTTGGTAGGAGTATTCCTTACATCAAGACTGACGATCAAGAGAAGTCCATCTAGAAGGGTGAATGGGTCTGACTGACAAAGAGCTTGGGCAAAGAGTTGGATAGCCGTTGAACGGTGATTGTGTACTTGGAGGGTCAGGTCTGCTCGATTGGTTTGTTTTGCAAGATGCTGTGAAGCCATGGCCACTATGGCGTGTAGAAGGAAGTCGGACTCTCCTCCGCGGATTTTGCGGACCCGGAATGGATTAATCGGACAGTCCATGGTGAGAGGGAACATGGAGAATTCTTCATTGTCTAGGGAAGTTAGTCGCAATTTGTGAGCACTATTCCGCTTCGGAAGACCTACACATTGTAAGTATTGATTCATATTTATGCGCAGTGTCTTGGTGGAGAACACCCATAGCAAGATGATACTGTTCACCGGTGATGTCTTCATCGTCCTCATCCATCAACGAGTACGTGGGATGTTCGAGTGGACGTGGGCTGAAGCCTGCTGCAAGGTGGCCGCCCAAGAACAATTCGCCGTTTCCCGACATGGCAGGGTGTAACATATTCACAGCATTTGTGACTTGGGACAGCATGGTAGGCAAATGAGACATAGCACTCGGTGAAGGAGGGGAGTCCGACCAAGACATCTCACTTGTGGTGCCACAGAACACGTCTGAAAACAAAAAGACGGTCAGTGACGAAGGAGAACGTATGAGAGAGACCGGTCGTACCGTTTTCAAAGGATTGTGATATGCAATCTGGACGGTCCAGTTCACAAGCTTCTCTCGTGCAAATGGATAGATTAGTTGTCGTTCCAGGGCTCGTGAGCCACGATGAGAGATGTATCTCTGGCAGTTCATTTTGGCCGATCAAGTGAAGCTCCTCACACCCGTCCGCGATCGATAGGGACTCGGATTCTAAAGTAGGCCTTTTTGGCGTACGCTTTCTCTTCATTCGGCCTTTTACGAATTTAAAGCCACGATTCTTCCTCGTTGTAGCGTCATTTTGGTGAGCCGTTGAATATGATGTTGAATTATCAACACCAGGACTCTGTACTGAATCCTCTGCAGGCTGAGAAATTTCGACGTCCTTCCAGACGAGTTTCGTAGCGAAGCCGCCACATCTTTGGCGATTGGAAAGACAAGGCCCACAGCGTGGCCGCTGGCGGTCGCAAGGTCTCCTCAGAGCCGCACATGTATGGCAATCATGCTTTGCGAATCCGAGAGAATTCGTTCTTTGACCCTGGCTGTTGACGGTGGTTCTAGTGGCTGAAGATGCCATGCATGCAGTCGAGTGGCTATGCCGTCCTTGAAGCGAGCAGGGCGCTGCTGAAGCGCAGCATTCTTCGAATCGTGATGTTTGAAGAAGTGATGAATCCAGATGCTGATAAGTTGAGGTGCCTCCTCGGCAGTGGCGGGGTTGACGGGCATAAAGCGTGGGGACACCTAAGGCAGGTGTAGGTTCACTGACAAACTTAACTAGTTAGTTAACTCAGATAGGCGGTGCTAACTTAGTTATTAGCTGGGCTAGATGACATTTCCCCAGGCCTTATCAGGTGGCCTAGACCACCCAAGGAAAATAGATTTACGACGAGTACGCGGGAAGCTACCTAAGTAGATAGAGGCTTGCCACCCAACCTTAGGTACCTTAGTTAGCAGGAATCCTGACTTATAGGCGGCGTTCGCCAACTAAACGTCTGCAGCATTTGGGAAGTAATTAGGCTGACTCATGGCCTGGGTACGCAATCTCCCCCTATACTCTTGATCCAATGACTTTAGGTAAGTCAGGCTGTGTAGCTGCAAACATCCATCCTTTTATTGCCTCAAGTTCTAGTTAGACATGATCAACTCGGTTTCACATTCCCAGCACTACAGCCGTGGTCGGGGCTGCAAGGCCTCTTCAACCAGCTTCACCGCCGCCTCAGCACATCCATAAGACGATTGGTACTAGATGACCAGTCAGTGTTTCCGTTTCTTTCAATGAGAAGGCCAAATAACTTACTCCTGCTCCTCCGGCGCCGTAGTTATGCACGACCCAAGTGCCACCAATCTTCTCCTTTTCGATCCTTGTACCTCCCTCTCTCACGGGTCTTAATCCTACCCCATGCCTCACAATATCGAGGTGTTCGATACCTTTACCTCCAGTTAAGGCAGGATTCAACTGGACTGCTCGCTTCATGATCCGCACAGCAAGACTTGGGTCAACCTGGGAATCCCAGTTGCCCTTCTGATAGCATCCACCAAGGATGGTTCCTCCTCCAGCCGCACGAGTCATCATATACCCAGCTTCATCCTCTCCGTCATCGGTACCGGAAACGTCAACCATTTTGCCGGCGTCATTGCGTACGACGACGATCTGTCCCCGAGCCGGCACCACAGATTTGTCCTCGACGCCGCCCAATCTGCACGCCATCAGGCCTGTACAGTTGACGACGAGGTCGACTTTCTTGGATGGATGAACATCCGGCAAAGCTGCATGTGAGATGTGTTTGAAGACTGCTCGTTTGAAGACCACTCCGTTCTTGAGGCACTGCGAGACCAGCCATGGCAAATATATCGCTGTGTTGATGCACACCGAAGTGAACACTGTCCCACTATCGACCCCGGAAGGAAGAGATTCCTTGGGGAGGACTCGGAACTGCTGTGTGTGAGCAAGTATCGAGTACGAAGTTTTATCTCGTGGGAGCGCCAGGTCCGACACTTACACTAGGCACCACATCCTTGAACCACGGATTCGGAGAAAGCAGTTCTGCAAACCAGGTTGCAGTCGCCGTGCCGAGATCTTTCTTGCGACTGTAGATCTCGCATTCTGGAGGGAAATCTCAGCTTCGAGCGCATCAATCAAGAGCACGAATTTCATACCTTGGAAATGCACCCCAGCGTCAGGGTGATTCCGCGCCAGATCCTCTAGAGGTCCCCAAGTTGCTTTATCCCATTCTGCAGCATCGGTACCACGAACAGAAACACTAGCGACGGGTCAGGCGGAGGGTTGGCGGCGACGAAGGGGAGAAAGAGACGCATCAGAGTCCACGTCGATGACCACTTACGGCATATAGTTCGCTCCAGCCCAGGGTGAAGCATATTCGATATCGTAGTCGCCGGGCATGTGCTTCGCTGCTACCACAATTTTATATCCTGGCTTTCTCGACAAAAGGAGCGCCGTGGTCAACCCAGCTACTCCGGCACTATGCAGACAAGTTAGACGGTGGTTAGACTAGCTGGTGTCATCAAGGACATACCCAACGACGACCACATTCTTTTGTGCCATGCTGTGTGAGTGTCTTGAGTGTAGAACCCAGCACTATCGAGCATTCAGTTCTAGAGGCAGCAGTAGGGATTTTTTTGATGTGGCCTGGTCGAATCGCGGATTCTTATATCAATGTCGCCGATCTCCGAGGTTTCCCGACGGAAAGCTGGGAGATATGATACGCAGACACGCTCATGCGACAAACAATCGTCCCAAACACGGTATCGAGTTGAAAGAGCGTCAAGTGGTATGACTTCTGCCAAAGCCCTCTGAGAGGCACGGCCGATGTCCCATTTGCCAATCACTCATCAAGTGCGGCGTTGCCCTGCGCGAGTACCCTTACCGGATCCTCTGATGGATTGGGAATTTGATCAATCGAGAAAAATACCCTTCTAGGAAGGTGAGTTACAGTAGCGCCCCTGGGCCTGATCTCTCGTCAACGACATCTGGACTCGTACAGCTTCTTTTGCCTCCTGAACATTGCCCGTTCAAGTAATTGAGGAGACCGTCTTCTTTTTCATTGAGCGTGCAGATCTCGTGGCCGGACAGTGTACGGATGCAAAGTACTCGTTTTTCCAATCAGTGTTCAAAATGCATTTAAGTCCCAGCGATTTCTCGACACTGCCGGAATGCATTCCTCAGACTCGCAACCATCGAGACAGACACCAGCTAGTTCTTGAGCACCATATCCGGTCTGGACTCTATCCTCTCAGGATCTAAGACCACCTAACAGGTTGAAGGCATAGCTCGAATTCAAGATGGCGACCATGGAGAAGGTCTTTGCGGCATACAACGCACGCAAAGCCGCCCTCGAAACGACCTTCGAAACCAACCGCTTCGCACGAGGCATAGCCTGGGTGGAAGGAGAGCTGGTCCCCCTCTCCGAGGCCCGCATCCCTCTGATCGACCAGGGCTTCATGCACAGCGACCTGACCTACGACGTCCCGTCGGTCTGGGACGGCCGGTTCTTCCGTCTGGACGACCACCTCACGCGCCTCGAGACCAGCTGCACCAAGATGCGTCTTCGGTTCCCCATTCCACGCGACGAGATCCGTCGGGTCCTCGTACAGATGGTCGCCAAGTCCGGGATTCGCGACGCGTTTGTCGAACTCATCGTCACGCGAGGTCTCAAGGCCGTGCGAGAGGCCAAGCAGGGCGAAGTTCTCCAGAACAACCTGTATCTCTTTCTCCAGCCGTACGTGTGGGTCATGGAGCCCGAGATGCAGCTCACGGGTGGGACTGCGATCGTGGCCCGAACGGTGCGTCGAGTCCCGCCCGGCGCGATCGACCCGACCATCAAGAACCTGCAGTGGGGCGATCTCGTGCGAGGGATCTTTGAGGCACGCGACCGTGGCGCAGATTATCCGTTCCTGACGGACGGTGACAGCCATTTCACCGAAGGATCAGGGTTCAACGTCCTCTTCGTCAAGAACGGGGTCATCTATACGCCGGACCGGGGATGTTTGGAAGGCGTGACGCGGAAGAGTGTCATTGACGCGGCGAGGATGCTCGGGATCGAAGTCCGTGTCGAGATCGTTCCTGTCTCTCTGGCGTACGAGGCGGATGAGGTGTTCATGTCGACCACGGCCGGAGGGATCATGCCCATCACGCGGCTTGACGGAGAAGCTATCAATGGAGGCGAGTTAGGCCCTGTAACCAGCAAGATCTGGGATAAGTATTGGGCCATGCATTATGACGACACGTATAGTTTCAGGATTGATTATGAAAAGGGGATGCAGGCCGAGGCTGTGAATGGATTTGCGAACGGGCATTGACATGGATATTATAACATCGACATCAACGAGGACATTTCCATAAAATGGTATACCATGCATGGCAAGCTCAGTTGAACCAGAAGGTCTCGTCAGCCGCCATGTTCTTACTGTTCGTTGTGATATCGAATGTCAACCATACCTGTGTAGCAGTCACTTTGCCCTTCACTCCTACATCCCTCAACATCCTTGCACGAGCGTCCATCACGATGAAAATTGCGACAAGCCTATCCCAACGTGGCTCCGTCATAGTACTTTACAGCTCTTTGTCAACCTCTCAGCTGAGACCACGAGTCCTTTTCCATTCGCCGACAATATTGTCCCTTTCGATTGCAGAGCAAGATTGAAGCTCTTCTCTTCCTTGCAGCGCCCGAGCGAGCGCAATGCGACTTTCGACATTCTCACCAAAAGCCTTGTGTATTTCTTGAGACAAGCCCTGCAGAGCGTACCCGGGAAGACCACATATTCCTAGGAAGGGTTGGTCAGCAAACGAACATCACCGGAACTTGAGAGAGGGCATTCCCAAGAATTGCATTGGCGAGGGGGAGTAAAAAACAGAAGAGCTTACCTGCTCCAGGCTTCAAGATCAAACCCCCCAAGCCCTTACCGACCCCAGCTACCAGGCCACCTATGTTGTTCTCTTTGTATCCTTGAATCGGCTGCGTCGCGACCCCTGTTACGCCGTCGTAAAGGCCAAAAACGAGTTCCTAGGAGTATGCCCGTGTCAACCATTGCTCGTGACATTAAAAGAAGACCATGAGATGTTCATTGGTCAGTGTCGAGTGACTGACTGACCTTGACACCGACTGTGACCCCTGTCAGAACTCCGGACACCTTCGGCCGGGATCGTTGGCTTTTGTCGCCGTATGCAATTGGGATGTTTTGGAAACCTCTTGCCATTCCAAGACAGAAATCCATGGGAATCGAGGCGATAGCCTTGCTCAAGTGCCCTGCACTTTTCAGGATCTGAGACGAGCCGACATCTTTAGATCCGGCCGGGACGTTAGCATTGCCATCAATGTCGTTGTTATGTCCTGAAGAGGACTGTCGTCCAGAGGTAGATTTTTTTGCGTCATCCCTGTCCTGGTTGCTCCCGACGCCTTCTTTCACATTTTCGATTTCCGTCCGAGCATTCCGAGATGAAGCTGCTCTGGCAATATTCTTGGACAAATTATAACTCTCCTCGACAATTTCTTGACAAGATCCAAGGACAGCAAATGCTCCCCCTGACAAAGGGTCGGTTGGCCTGTCTTCCATTTCGTACTCACCGTGTCTCAATCTAAAGCCCAATGCTGTATTAGTAGTAGTTTCGTCCGCAGGAAGAAGAAGCAGCACGAGCATTTACAACATACAGTCTCAATTGACTGTACCGTAGGTGGCCACGTTCCTCCAAGGCTGCGGCAGCGAGGGCGCTCATGCGAACTGGATACGAGCCTCTGGTCTCCCACACGGCGATGCGATCTCGAGTCAATTGGCATCTCGATGCGTCGAAGTCGAGGGCATTGTGCAGCGTTCTCGCCCCGGCTTCACATCCGTTTTCGGTTTTGATGGTGGCACCGACCTCTGCCGCTTTTGCTTTGATGACGGGCTCTAGTGCTGCGCTGATCTGACTGGCAAGCTTCTCAGGGGTGAGCTGAAGAAACGGAATTGGCTTCGGGCCGCAACCGGCAGTGTAAACCACCTGACCCCAAAAGTGTTGCTGTAAGGATGCGAATTAGCGGGATGGCGTCTCTTGTATTGTTATGTCCCGTGAAAGGAGACAAGACTCACGTCGCCGAAGAAAGGGACTACGACACTTGGCTTTCCAGCACGTAAGCTGGCCGCAGTGGTGCCGGCGCCTCCATGATGTACAACAGCAGAAACATGCTCGAAGAGCCAACTGTGTGGCACATCGCTTATCGAGTAGACATTTTCGTTGGAGGTCTGAATATCGTCGCCCAGGCCCAGCCATCCTTTGGATATCAAGGCTCTCACACCAGCAAGCTTCACGGCGTGGAGGACAAGCTCGGTCAATCTTTCCGGGTTGTCGACGACAATCGAGCCAAAGCCGATGTAAATGGGAGGTTCTCTACTTTCGAGAAATTTACAGAGGCCTGGAGGTGGATCAAAGGAAGGGTCTTGATCATCTAAGGTGAAATATCCTGCCACTGATATGTGTTCACCCCAGTCGCTCGGCTTCGGTAACAAGGAGGGAGACCTCAAAGCAAGTGTCAAGAGTGTTCAGAACTTGAACAACCGGGGAGCATTTGGTCTCACCAGCAATAAGTGTGAGGTATCTTTAACTTTGTCACTTGATTCGGAGCTCGTGAGAGATTAATCGCTTGCAGATGGAGCACATTCTGTCGAAAGCGGTTCAGATCGTCCCCTAGTCCCAACCATACCAACCATTCCACAATGTAGTACGATAGACGATTCATGCCAGAGTTATTGAGTCTGTCGCTACCGACTCGAGTGAGCGGGTGAGGGAAAGCGCCGCTGGGGCTGTAGGGCATTCTAGACGCGTTCAGCTGCTCCAGCCTCGCGTCAGCACTTGATGCAGTAGGAACTCACGTGAACATCAAGTGAAGCGGGATCCCAAGTCTCTCGGCACAATGAATGTGAGCAAAACTCGGTGGGTTTGCGATTATGAGGTCAGCAACAAAAGGGGTGCCATCAGGCCCTTCACAAGTCATGTTAGTCAGGAAACCTTCGGCACCGCGGGACAAACTCATCCAGACCGTTCTCAAAGCATGATCTCCAAATCAGTTTCCACATTTTGTACATTGTCTGACGATGTTGCTTGATTTCTCCCGCACGGAGGGCCTTGTAACTCGGCAGCAGTCCGGGGTTGCGGACCATGAAACTCATCAGTTGCTCAGGGTCGCCTCCGATGTCGAAGAAAAGGAGCCCGTTTCGTTCAACAAGGTTTTGAAAGACGCCATGGGTCGCTATGCGGACTCGATGTCCGTAGTAGCGCTTCAGATGTATTCCCAGGGCAATGAAAGGTTGGATATCACCTCGAGAGCCAATAAGCTGTACCAACACATTCAACGGCGGTGGGGGAGTCTCTGACCGGCGAGAAAGAGTGCTACTAGCCTTGGCTTCATCAAAAAACTGTGAAGTCTTTGGACCCTTGTTACGGCCGGTAAGGAATCTGCTGAACAACCTATTGATGTCGTCGTATGCGTATGCCTCGAGGTCGAGTCTTCCTGTCTCTGTACGTCTGTTAGTGCGTGATTCGATATTTAAACCTCATTATGGCGCCTCACCGTCAAAGGGCGGTAGGGATTCATATGAGGCCACTCTGGTTAATCTTGCACTGCCTGAGACCTCCATCTGCGACAGTAGAAGGCTGAAAGAGCGGGTTGTAGTGCCCCAACACAGGAGTAGGCATACGCTTTAAATAGTCATAGTAGGCAAGAAAACGCTCTGACTATTGTGGAAAGCATTAGACGCCATGGCCAATCAGAGGAATATATGCTGTGGGTCAAGCGGCTTCGTTGATGGACGTTTCTGGTGTACGTCAAAATCCAGGCTGCCTCTTTTTCTAACATTTAAACACTGAGACAACTTGACCTCCTCCAACCTCCCATAGGACACCTCTAGCCACTACTGCCATCCTCGGCACGGCATCGTTGACGGCATGGGAAAGATCAGGAGGCGTTTTCTTCATCTCTCGTATTCGTACTGATCTACGAATAGAGTTCAGCGGGCCAAGTGTAATGAGAACAAATGTGCTTGTCAACAATGCACCCTGACTGGACGCAAGTGCGATGCTATGTAGCGCCCAGCTCCCGAAAGTCAATCGAAAAGCTACCGAAGCGTAGGCTAAAATGTCGACGACCAGTTGACTTTTGCAGGGCGAGCTCTGGAATTGAAGACTGCCATGCCTATCAGTGACCAGGCTCAGCGTTTGCACCGCGGTGGTGCGGACCCACACAGCCGGCAAGAAACATTTCACAACAATGTACAGTCGAGCTCGTAGTCAAAGCATTGGCATTGCGAAACATAAAGGCTGAATAGGCCAAGTTGCGTCTCATCCCTTTCAGTTCAGATGGTGTTTTCTCAGAACTTCAATAGCAAGAAATCTAGAAGCCAGGTTTTGAGAAACTATTGTTCGATCTTGAAGAAATTACCTTGATTGCTGTTGCCTTCATATCTCGCTCCCTATAATTGTCAGTCAAGCTCGCAGGCGACTAGTTACTATCATTTAATGCGAGGGAATGTGCACAAGTTCAGTCAAGACTTCGTTTTGGTACAGTCCTACTTGATTAATCAGACTTGAAGAGGTTCCGCGTCTGACCAACAGGGTGAAATACTTCTGTTGGCGGAGAGAGCATTTAGTCATCGCTGCATATTCAGGATCTTCATTCATTGCCAGAGTGGTTACTCAGCTGTTAGCTAGTTCATTTCGAAAATACTCAAGCCATTCCTCAGAATTCTTTCGATAGGGATGATCTTCTGCTAGGACCTCCTTCCGTACCTCCACAACGTGCTCCATCAGCTGAAGCGCTGCTTCACGCTGTCCAAGATCCCAGTACACTGTAGCCAGTTGTTCTTGCGACATCAGTCGACTTGGATGATTTACCTTGAGTGTCTGCTCCTTGATCTTAATCACCTCTTTCAGTAGTGTTACTGCCTCCTCAAATTGTCCATTCGCTTGATATGCCCCGGCCAGATTATGTTGCGATGCCAGTCGATCTAGATGATCCACTTTGAGTGTTTGCTTCTGGATCTTAATCACCTCTTTTAGTAGTGTTATTGCCTCCTCAATTTGTCCATTCTCTAAGTATATCACGGCCAGTGTATACTGCGATTCTAGGCGGGATGCATCATCGGGAGGAAGACGGTCTCGTCGCCAATGACAGGACTCTTCTAAGTACCTCACAGCGTCCTTGATCTGACCATCGACCCGAAAACATAACCCGACCTTGTTGCAAAGATTGTATCTCTTCGCTAGCTCGACCGTGTTGTCTCCCTGAAGAAGCCGAAGAGCATGTGGCATGTACTCTCGCCATTGGTGCTGATTCTGATAGTCCGGCGACGGGAAGATCGTCGACACGTGCCCTGTGGCTTCCCGCTCCGCCTGGGATGTCCGCCCCTCCCTCCCAATCCAGATTCTCGTCGCCAAGTGCACCAGGCGGTGCATATCAAACACGCCCGTGTCGCCCCGCTGCACCAGAAACGCGTAACCATCGAGCGTCCCAATCGCGTACACCATCGCCTCTTCTGAAGCCAATGGAGGTAGGATCGACTGCGGGATGGCTTTCGGTTCAATCAGGACAGAAATGATAACAGCTCGATGGCAGCGGCGTCCGTCTTCTGGATCTGCTGGAACGATACCAGCCACGTCGTCGCCATGGCATTCCCCACTCCTGAATACCGAGTGGGATCGTGGAACTCTCGGCTCAACAATTTGACAACGTCTTGTTCCGTGCCTTGAAGGAGTTCGACATACTTCGCAATGGATATTGCATTCCGGTTAAGGTAGGCCCCGACCTGCGTGATCGCCAGCGAGAGATATGTCAACTACTCCAACAGTGTTGTCACTCCCTTCTCATCGTCCAGTAGAGTCTTCTTCATTACCGACTTCGTTAATAGACTCTTGCTCTCTTCCAGAGTCATCTCTGACAGTCCGACCACTTCGCCGCCGATGGCCACAGCCACCTCCCTCGACCGCGTTGTCACCAGGATAACGCCCTTATCACTCTGGGGAAGGTATTGATAGAGACCATTAGGATTCCCCGACGACCCGAAAAAGACCTCCATATCGTCCGCATTGTCTACCACTAGGAGCCACTTCCCACTGTCTTCTGTTTAAAGATACCGTCGCACTGATTCTCGGACCTCCTCATCTTCCGAAGTCTTGCGAATGGCCAGCCTCTTGAAGATCTCCGCGTAGGCCTGATCAAACGACGCCCCGTTGATGGCCGGTACCCAGAAGACCGAATAGTCGGGTTTGTTCTCTCTCGTCCAATGTGCAATTTGAAGAACGACCTGTGTTTTTCCCACGCCGCCCAAACCCACCAGAGCGACGGTTTGGACTTCAGCCGATGAGAACAGCTGCTGGCGGAGGCCATCTACAACACTTTCCCGTCCCACGAAGCGTTTGTTCTTGGGAAGGGGGATATAGTGGGAGGGAAGGGAGGAACGATCTATGGTGGAGTGGGTGATTAGAATGAGTGAAACACGCGAGAAAAGGTAAGGTTTAGACATACGCAAGTTATTGCGGTTCTGGCTGTGGTTATATACCTATCGAAATTCAGCCTAATCAGTGAACGAGGAGACGACGCCTTACTTGGATGCGTTTCGCCAGCATAGTATCGCTCTTCCCTGTCACAGATCCATCAGCTATCGAAGGCTCGGCACTAGGCGAAATCTTCCATGTACGCACTCTGCTTCTGCTTCAGGTTCTCCACACAGTCTCGCACCCGGAATATCTGCTGCTGATCGTCAAGGTAATGGTGAGTTGCTATTTCGATCGTTCCCTATTCATAGTACTCCGCCAACCCGACATCTTGAAGTCCTTAATCGACATTCAGACGGAAGTATCGCTTGTCGTCGTATTCTTCTCGCCACCGGCCCAAGAACCTTTTGGCCGTCTCTTCGGTCTCCGTTGCGATCTGGACAAGCGTCTTCGACAAGAACTTGAGCAATTTGTCTTCAATCGCCTTTCTCCCCGGGTTTCCTGTCCCGATTGAGATGAAGCACTTTACGAGTGGCTGCAACTTGGCGGTACCAGGACACCAGATATCTGACGCTTCCGCTTCCACCTCTTCTACGGGATTGTTCGCTCCCAACGCACCGTCTTCAAAGTGTCGCGCTCCGATCGAGACAGGATCGAAGAACCCCGTGGCGGCCGAGGTGGCCAGAGCGGCTTCGCAGATAGTGGCAGATACATTAGGCTTCTTGGGAAGGTCGTAACTTCGTAGGCGTGTGATGCCGTACAACTCCTTCGCGGCAGAGCACACAAAACTAGGTACCCATGGTAGTCAGCAGATAATACTCTATTGGTCCGGTCAATTCCGGATATGTTATTACATACACTTTACACCCGCGAGCTTTCCCGTCGTTGAATGGTTCCGTCGGGGAGTAACCTTGGTCGATGATCACCTTTTCAACGGCACCCTCCAGCTTGGTGCTGTCGAACTGTGCCTGAATTCGGCCTCTCCAGTTGATGGGGCCCCGATGCGCCCGCTCTTCAAACACCTCCTTTATGAGTCCGGTGTACGCCGTGATGCACGCATCCACATCCATCTCCAATCGACCCAACATGATGGCAATCAGGCTGTCACGTGTGCCTCAGCAAGACCGTGTCGAGTATTGGGTGTCGCGGAATACACTCACCCTCCCGTGCTGGTTCCCCCGATGAGGTCGAACAGCTCACACGGCTTGAGCGCTGGAGCTCCCAACTTCTGACGTTCATGATTCAACCGCCTCATGAGGCTCTGGAGGATGTAGAGGGTCGATAAACCGCGGACGCCGCCACCATCCAGCGACAGGAGACACAGGCCTGTGTCATCGAGCGGGTTTGAGTCTCGACCAGGCATCTGGTCGCGGGTGAGTGCTCGTGCCATGATGGCGGAAGCTCTTGGGAGACATGGCGAGGTGAGATCGGCCTACAGGCCGACGTGATGGTGTTGACATGAGACCACTGTGCTAGTGGTTGCCTACCATCGCTAGGCTGCGTCGACAGGGGAGCGCAGGGAGAGATGATAGGTAGATTTGTCGCCAGCCACGAAGCAGAACAGATCACGCTGATGATACGCGGAGTTCTGATTCTGGCCGTTCAAATGACACCAGCCTTTTCTCTGACAAGGTACATAACGGACTTTTGGACGACAAATGACAGTCAAATGTTGTATGTACCCAACCAACTATTGGATCTCCGGGACGCAGCGCACTTAACTGTGGTTAGCAGCAAATCCCAGGCTAGAGAGATTATCATCTATGGCTCCTTCATATTCCTCGACTGCGTTTCGTGACGTGAGCCACAGCAAGGCTGCGGGTGTCGATGACGATATGGTGGGCAGTTTTCCTTGACGGTTCGATATGAAGTATTCGCAATACCTTCGTATACGCTGCTGGGTAGCCTAGTTAGGGCTTACGAAGAATTCCAGCCACAAAAAAATTGAGCTTTAATTTCAGCCATACCTTCGACAACTCTACGACATTCGGAATGTTTCGCAGTGTCTAAAATGATACTCCCTAGGCGAACCAAAAGATCGTCAGGGCATCGTCAGGTCCACTAGTTGCTTCACCGTTCGCAACCCGCAAGGCTGGAATATACCCTAGCTCACTTTGTAACACTGCCGGCTATATTTTGCTTCCTGCTTTCGACTTGACCTTCCACCCGGTAAGCATGCTTCCACCGTCAAGCTCGATGACATTGCCCGTCATGTGAGCGGATGCAGTACTGCTCAAGAACAAGATCACACCCCCGAAATCAGATGGCTTGCCCACGCGTCCCGTGGGTTGTCGTTCCAAGAGGGTGTCCAAGTATTTCGAGATGCCAAAATTGGTCATTCTTGAGGGAAACACACCACTGCGGACATTAGCACACTCTTCAGGGGAGGCACCTTTGGTATTGAACGGGGGCTTACGGGCAGATACAGTTGACCATGACATTCAACGGCGCAAGCTTTGAGGCTTGGATCTTTGTGAGGTGAATAGCGGCCGCTTTCGAGGGGCCATATGAATAAGTTCCTGTCCCAGGAGCAGCAAGACCACCATCATCTCCGGCTGTAACATCGCTGGTCATGAGCCCAGCCACTGAAGCAATGTTGATGACCCGGGAGGGCATGTCGACACTAGTGCCTTTGAGCAGCAGAGGATGCAATCCCGCCGTCATATAAAAGATCGATTTGACATTCAACGCCATGACCTTGTCCCAACCACTCTCGGGAAAGTCATCATAAGGAGCACCCCAAGTGACACCAGTGTTGTTGACGAGTACAGTCAATCGATCAGTCCGCTTCTTCATCTCCTTGACCAGCCCGTCACATCCGGCTTTGTCCTTCAAGTCGGCGACAATATATTCGCATGTTCCTGGGCCGAGCTTGTTGATCCGGTCCGAGGTTTTCTTCAGCTCAGACTCTTTGCGGCTTGCAATGTACACCTTGGCTCCATTCTGAACAAAAGCTTGAGCTGCCATTTCGCCCAGCCCAGTCGCGCCTCCGGTGACCAGCACGACATGGTTGCTGAAATCGAACAGGGACGATACACGGAGATCGGCTGTTGAAGTCATGGTGTCGTCGTTTTGGCAATGAGATACTGCGTGTTCAACTATAACTAAGTCGAAGTCTTATGAAGTCCTTGATAAAAAGATGGACCTGCTATGATTGCCGCGGATAAAGTCCTGGTTGGGATCTTATATCTGGGGATGCACTACTAGTTAGTTCCGTAAGCGCTGGGGAAATTAGTATTGCACGCCTAACGAGCCTCGGCTTCGGCTGTCCACGAGGTGATGACTGATCTCCCCTCAATCTTCGAAAGTACTTTGCACCTGCGGCCTGTTTCATGGGTCAGCATCTGGCACAGCAGGTGAGAACCTTGACCTTCATGCATTATCCAGCGTCTCACAGGCCAAGCTAACCATCTCTCTTTCGTCTGCATCCCTGGTGACCGAAGTCGATGGTAAACACCCAGTACGATGTCAGCAGCGGGATGTCACGGAAAAACTATTGACCGATGACGTATGGAGTTTTGATGCGCCATATTACGCCAAGGATAATTCGGTGGACCATAGGGCACTTTATGCCGAGTCACGTTGCGACTCACTCTAAAGAGTCAACAGACTCTCATTGACCAAGGGAGGTAGGTGTACAGATGAACCAACAAAGGTGGTCTCCTTTACCTTCTCGATCTCGAAATATATTGTTGACCACCAAGTGCCCCTACTCGAACCTCCCGAAGGTCCAGGCCAAGGATCATTCGCATGACACCGTTGGACGAGCATGATGAGGTGGTGTGGCTCACATGGGGCGGCAAAAAAAGTGACATGACTCACGCAACCAGATGCACGCCACCGGCCTGGATCTCACACCACAGGGCCTTTTGTTGCCTGTTGCGTGTTGGGAAACGCAGGCATACCCAACCCTCGTCACTCGACCCAATACTTAATGCTCATCCTGGGGCTCGTCTTCTCATGTGACTCACGGTGCCTGTTCCATCGACCGTCTCAGGCGGCTGTGACCAGGGCAAGTCGATCATCTATATCTCGTGCCGATGTCTAACGTTCCATCCATCCCTTATACACTCTTTTCTACTACAGCTGGCACTCACTTGACTTCGTGACAGCACATCCCTACATCTTAAACCACACATACAATGGCACACAAGCACAACCGCAGACGAATCCGCCCTCGGAACCGCAACAACATCTTGCAACTGACTTGGGATATAACTGAATACACTCCTTCCTCACTGCAGTCGTCCGCTACCTATCCCTCGACCTTTCCAAGGCCTACGCCAACACAGCCAACACAACCTGCACTGCCGCTGACTCTACGAAACTCTGGCGCCAGTCTTACATCAAAGAACTGGCACAACCGATACGTGGCCTGGCAGAACCGCGACATGGCACAAAAGCGAGAAGCCATCAAACTGGAAGACGAACAGATCAAACTCTTTGGAGGCGAGCCCGGAGACGATGTGGCGCTCTGTTACAAGATGTTGGAAGTGTTTGCGGGCATGAAATGGATCGATACCCTGGATTAAGCATATACCCCACCCTCGTCGGCGTTTTCGTTTGGTTTATTGGCATTGAGGGCGTAGGTGACTTTCCACTCACTGGAACGGCGACAAACTCAAGCTCGACTTGCAGCAATGACGGCTTGCCTAATGTGGGTTGGCCTGATTGGTCTTTTATGCTTGACCCCGTCACTGCTGGGCAAAGATGAATCTATTAGCAAGCAGTGATTGGTGCTCGCGCACATACCGTACCATGTACGAGTATGAACAGCGCTAGAGCTCGTTGCTGCAAGCGAGGACATCTGACGGAAAGAGACTGTTCTTCAGGCGCAATATCCACTCGAAGATACAAATATATACTGCTTTTCCACTCCTACTGCGATAAGCATCCTCGTAATAGTCCCTCCATGTTGTGATTGCTTGCTCCGTACTGCTCGAAGCTCATCTGGCAGCTTTGACCTATTCCCACGCGGGGCTTGGTAGATGTGTGGCTTTGTGGCGCTGGGTCGATCGTGGGTACTTACTTGGTTCCCGCACGCAGAAACCACAGTGGACTGACAGCATCATCTTTTATACTTGTTGGTTATTGAGAACGTTCACATCCCGATCACGCAGCTAGTCACTCGAATTCGAGCATCGCTTGCCCCTCTCCTCTCCTCTCCTCGTTCCGCTGCGCTGTGCGTCTCCCATCTCGATCTGGATGATCGGACAAGAGCCCCGTGTGGGAGTTTCTGGCGATCTCCTGTAAAGCCACCGCAATGCGTCAGCCAAGCCAACCTAAAGTGTTAGCGCGTATAGCCAAGTTTCCCGCTTTCTCAAGATGCCCTCGTTGATCTCGGCCTCCTTTCATTGCTGAAGACCCAATATTGCACTGTGCGTCGACAACCGAACGCTGTCACACCCAAAAACAGGGCACACCTCCTTTCTCTCCACCTGCTAATGCAGCAGCTCATGGTGAGTCTGGCGTCATACTGTTTGATCCCTTTTGATCATCATCATCAGAATCTCGTGTCTCGTTCGCTTCGCCGTGGTGTCCCGAGTAGTAAGTCGTGTCGTGTGTCAATACATATTGCTTCTGATCTCCCCTTTCACCCATTCCTGCGTTTCCTCTTCACTGCTTCAAGCCCAGGTTGTCCGCGCCCCGAGTCGTTAGAAGAGATCCGTCTAGCTTTCGGGTCAAGCAAAGAGTGGCATCTGTCTCTATCCTTTGATCCTCTCTGTCGTTTCTTTGGGAGCATTTCATCTGCAGTCATGGGTCTCTTCAGCAAACGTAGCGACAACACGACGGCGGCCACCGCCAACGGCCATCACAAGAAACATGACCGAGGAGTGTCTGGCAAGAATCACCACCAGGGCCTGTTCGATATTGATTCGGGCAATTTCAACCGCAGACCAAGCTTTGGGCAATGGTAAGATAAACCACATCCTCATTTTTATCATTCTGGGCGCTCCGTCGACTATTTACAATGGCAATGTGCTTAACAAGTCTTTCTTCCAGGCTGAAATTCACCTGGGTCGACTTGCTCACCATGGCAGCCATGGGTGCCGTTGGACTGGGAGTCTACGAAGCGAAGCCGGCGCCCAGCCGATCGTTCCCCGTCACGTTCACGGACGGGGAGATTGTGTACCCTCAATTTGCGTACCCTCTGCGACATGAGATCGTCCCCATCTGGCTCGCGGCGCTGCTCGCGTCCCTGATCCCGATCTTCGTCATCCTGTGCATGCAAGTGCGCATCCGGTCGTTCTGGGACTGCAACAACGCCATCCTGGGGCTCCTCTACTCGCTGATCGGCGCGGCCGTGTTCCAGGTCTTCGTCAAGTGGCTCATTGGCGGTCTCCGGCCTCACTTCCTGTCGGTCTGCGACCCGGACCCGGCCAAGATCGCCGCCCAGGGCGGCCAGGGTTTCCGCGGCATCATGTTCCAGCGCGACGTCTGCCGAGGGGACGTGGACCAGATCGACGACTCCCTCGAGTCGATGCCGTCGGGCCACAGCACCGCCGCGTGGGCCGGCTTCCTCTACCTCTTCTTCTACCTGAACGCGAAGATGAAGGTCTTCGGCAACCACCACCCGGCCTTTTGGAAGCTGATCGCCCTGTACGCCCCCGTGCTCGGCGCCACCCTGATCACGGGGGCCCTCACCGTCGACGAGTTCCACAACTGGTACGACTGCGTCGCCGGCGCCGTCATCGGGTCGACCTTCGCCGTCTCCTCGTACCGCATGGTCTACGCCTCCGTCTGGGACTTCCGCTTCAACCACATCCCCCTGACCCGCCACACGCCCTTCACCTACGGGGCCGGCGCCGCCGGCGCGGGCGGCTTCGAGTCCGCCGTCTTCACGCGCAAGGCGGGATGGGGCTACGAGGAGGCCCTCGGCGGCGCCCCCTTCGACGCCGCGCACGGCCTGCGGGGGACCGCCGCCACGGGCTTCGACGCCGGCGCCCACGGCCTGGGCCATCATCATCACCACCGACCTGGAGACGTCGAAAACAACGCCGGCCTGGCCGACGAGTACAAGAACGGCCGGACGAACGACCTCGCCGCCGCCGCCACCAACGGTACATCCTCGAATGGCCTCACGCAGAGCCATTCCCCCGTGGCTGCTGCGCCCGACGGCCGATACCACCACCACCACCACCGCAAGAGCATCGAGCGCAAGGCAGTTCCGACGGCCTGAAGTATAGCTGTCGTTGGCTCGCGTGGTACATCTACAGGACTCTTGTTGAGTTATTTAGTAACCCAGAATCTCATCGAGCGAATTTGAGTGTGATTTTAAATGTACCATTTGAATGTACCAAAGACCCAGAGCACGGTGGTAACGAGTATACCTTGGTGCCTTGGGTATGTTGTTTGGAGTTCCGGCGCGGAGCATGGAGTTCAGGGGTCGGGGACGTCTCGACAAGCAACAAAAACTCGGTTGCAAGTTTATCGTACGTGGGAAATGCTCTCGTGAGGATAATGATACATTAATATTTATTATCTTGATGTAGGGTATCGGATATGCCTAATTCTACTGTACTCGTATGCCGTGGTGTTTTCATATCTAGCTTCTTTAACAGACTAGATTGTCATTCCCACGGATTTCATGACCTCTCGTATCCTCATCGCGTCGCATCACATCGCACCGGATACCACGACCGTCAACTTGTCTCGAGTTTCGGATCGAAGGTTTGGCGTATTCGTCAATGAAAACTCATTCAATATCCTCAACGCTCACAATCGAGGTGCCACATAGTCGGAAAGGGATCCTGCCATTCTAGCCGACATAGGAGGCGGACATACATTCTTAGAGAAGAAAGTTCTTTCTCCAAGATGTCCATGGCCTTTAATGCATCTCTTTATGTGATCTCGGGCTGGAAGCTCGTCGAACGGCAGAATCTATCCTCCGTCCCGAGCCATTGAAACCCTCGCAATCACGTCCTTCATCTTGGGAAGAAGCTCGTGAATGCGGAACGGCTTGCTGACCACATCGTCGATACCACTCTTCAGCGTCATTTCAATCTGCTCCGCCCTCGCATTGGCCGTCACCGCTATGACTGGAATATGCGCGACGAGCTCTCCCGACTCTTGCATTTCGCGGAGTCGTTTCGCACATGTCTGGCCGTCCATAACGGGCATTTCCAAGTCCATCAGCACAATGTCGATCTCGATGCCGTCCTTGACGTGCCTTTGATCAAACTTGGATTGTTGGATCTTTTCAATTGCTTCACCACCATGGTTGGCGACATAGACCTCGCAGCCGATCTTCCGCAATTGACCAGCCAAGACCTTCTGGTTAATCAGGTTGTCCTCGACAACGAGCACATTGAGGGAACTCCTGAGAGCGGGGCTCTTTACCGATGCTGGTATGACAGTATTCTGAGGCGTCTGGGAGGGCGAGGGGTTGTGATTGCTCACTGTCATCATTAATGATGACTTTGAGCCCTTTCGAAACCAAGCTTGATCATCTTCCAATGCCCCATCGGGACGCTCGCATCTGCGGGCTTTGACGTAGAAGGCAAAAACACTCCCCTTTCCAGTCTCCGATGCAACACCAATCTCACCTCCTTGGAGCTCAACAAGCTGTCTCGAAATGAAGAGTCCCAATCCAGAACCACCATAGGTGACGTGCGTACGAGGGCTGGCTTGCGAGAATCGCTGAAAGAGTTGCTTTTTCTCCAGGTCGTCCAGACCCCTCCCGGTGTCTTGTACAGCAAAATGGAGGTATATAGGCTCTCCTAGACCCCACTCTGCACCGGCAGTCACATCGTTGTCTTTGGGGGTTGCCGATGGGATATAGGTCAACCGCCACTTGTCTTCCTGCGAAGGCCGTGACTTAGACGCCGCTACGTGCATCCGAACAATACGGCTCTCCTGAGTGGCAGTGAACTTGATAGCGTTGGTCATGAGGTTGATCAAGACTTGCGACAGCCGATGTGGATCTAGCCGCACCCATTCCACATGCAGGTCTGTATAGGATGTGTCGATGTTGACGTCGAGTTTGATATCGTTGGTTTTCAATTCTGCTTCGAACATCTTTAAAACTTTGTGCATCACGCTCATTGGTTGTGTATCTGTAGGGGACACGGCCATCATCGCAGAGTCGAGTTTCGATAGCGTGAGAACATCGTCAACGATTCTCTTTTGATGTTGAGCACACAGAGTAATCGTCTGAGCTGAGTCAATCGTGAGTTCAATGGTCTCTTTAAGCGCTGCGGCCAACTGATCTGCTTCGATCATCTCGTTCAGAGAGTTGGTGATCGAGTCAGCGCACTGGAGAATTGCAGACAGTGGGTTACGCATCTCATGTGATGTCGTATCGATATATCGCTCTTGCTGTCTCTTAAGCTCGACAGCCTCTTCCATTCTCCTAGTCTGGAGCTTCTCAGCGAACTTTTGCGCACTAATATCCGTCATCGATCCAAAAATGCGTTGGACTTGCCCGTCCTCATCCCGCTCTGGTGAGGCGCTCATCAAGACCCAGGTTGAGCCTGTGTTTCCAACCTTATCGCGCCATGGCCTTCGAAAGCGGAATTCCATCGAAATCGCGGATCTCTTGTCCACCATGCTCTTCCAAACTTCACGCACCTTCACCTGGTCTTCATCCTTGACGTACTTGATCCACTCGGCGTCCCCCACGACATCACGAGTGTACGAGGTGATTTTGTACCATGCATCGTTGGCAAAGTTGATCTTCCCGTCAGTGTCGCCGATAAACATGCCGACAGGCGCTAACTCTGCCATTCTGGTGAACTTGTTTTCTGCTTCTACCGCTTGTTGTGTCTTTGCAACCAACTGATTGTTCAATTCGATTCTGTCTTGGGCGGCTAATTGAGCCGCTCTTTCGCCCTTCCTTATCTCATCTTCAAACAAAACCACCGATGCAATTGAGGTTGCCAGCTGTCGACCAAGAAGCTGCACAAAGAGATCATAGTCTTCGTCGTATGGCCTCCTAGGATTTGTCGCCATAACAAGAAATCCCAGCGTCGACTCGCCCGTAGTGGGTCGGATGGGAGAAATGACGATGATTTTGGAAGGGTCGCCAAACCCGCGCCACTCGATACCGGTCAGCATGTCCGGTGCCAGAGTACCATCATCTACACGAAGAACGACTGGTTTGTCGGCTGTCAAAGCTTGCCGGAATGCGGCTGCAAATCCGGCTGTTCCAGTTTTCATGTCGATGGAATGTGGTGCGGCTTCATGCCCTGGAGGAATGCCTAGAGTGCCTTCCAAGGAACAGACCTTATTAGATGCGCCACCACTCGAGGCTGACGAAATCGCTTCGCTGTCAGAGGAATCATCACTGAGAGAATAGACCATGACCATAGGCGCATCGTATTCGTTGTATTTGAGGCCTTCCAGCAGCAAGCCCCAGAATTGTGATATCTTCCTCGCGGTGCCGGTACATTCACCGATTTCTCGTAGGGTGAGCATCCGTCTCTCGGCGATTTTCCGTCGGGTCTTTTCGAAAGCAGGATTGTACAGGCCGACCACACTACCGTCATCTCCAATCAATGGTATGATAGACCAGGAAAAGTAGCACTCCTCCAGAAAACCATTGCGACTGAGAAACAAGCAGTCGTCATCTTTCATTGTGGCTTGGGCATGCTTGAAGGCACTTTCAAACACCGCCTCCAGTGGCTCCCAAATCTCACTCCAGGCATCTTGGTAACGCGCACCCATGAGCCCAGGGTGCTTTTGACCAGCAAGCAGAATATAGGCTTCGTTGTAGATGGCGATATGATCCTTACCCCAATACATGGCCGATGGGTGAGGGCTGGCCATAATCAGGTTACACATACCGCGAAGATCAGCAGACCAATTCTCAATAGGCCCAAGGCTAGTCTTTGCCCAATCAACTCCACGAGCAAATTGCACATGGGGAGGGAGTGAGGGCGACAGAGGCAGCCGTGTCCAGTCAAAACCGCCTTTCTCCTGCACTGGTACTGTCATCGCCGCACCTTCGTCGGTCTGAGCAATTAAAACGGTGGTTGAAGTCCTGCCTGGGGACAACGGATCAGACGGGCCATCAGTATAGTCCATGCCGGGTGCAAGAACAGAAGAACTTGAAGCCGCCGTGCTAGGAGATACTTCGGACATGCCTTTCGCTAAATCCTCGATGAGCCGTGGAATATGTGTGCTCGGCCTCGGAGAAATATCGAAATAGCTCGTTGATGTGAGCTCGCCTCGCACATTGGCAGACGATGTTGCCGTTCCCAGGCCTTGGAAATGCTGCATATTGATACGCGTGTGATTCTCAGTCGTGGGAGATTGTGAAAAGGTATGTGGATAACCATGAATCACCTTGAGCCGTTTCCGAATCAACGATGCCTGCCATAGATGTCCTGCAAAGGGAAATTTTGTCACGACATCCAGACCGGCCAATGGAGTTAAAACCCATGATTTGAAGTCGGTGAAGGACGTCCCTATATCTAGCAGCAGTGTAGAGTCTTCTGAACGCCCATTAACATGGTCAAATAATGAACCACGAGATTTCAAGGCTGGGTTGGCGAACAAAATTTGGAGGCCATTCCTGGTATCTGCGGCCTCCTCTATGTCCACAACGAGCGTAGGGCGTTCGTCCAGTTGCAGGTACTCGACGAGAGCAACCGAATGTAGAAGCTGTGCGCCGCTCGATGATCTCGTGTCTGACGGAGCGCGATGCCTTGGCCCCGATACGAGCTCATGCACAACAGGTGCGGCATGAGGCAAAGGCCGAATAGGTATGGAGGTTGCGACAAATTCTCGACCGTGAACTGGCTCTCGGTTGGGTGTCATGGTTTCTCCTTGACCTGAATTTATCGTAGTGGCCTCGAGGAGTGAGATCGAACCTGAACCGGTCGGTGACAGGTCGTGTTGTTGGTTGGTAGAGGTGTTTTCTTCCTCCTCTTCCCTTGCATCTTCCTGGCTTTCGAGCTCTCCGTGTATTGAACTGTCTCGCCCGTGGATATGGTCCACGGTCGCTGAGGAATGTCTTGCTTGTTTCCGGGCGGGTCTCTCAGCCGACGGAGAAGTCGTCCTGGACTCTTGGGAAGGGCGGCGTTTGAGCGACTGAGTAGTACTATTGACAGCGTGAGGATGCGACGAGTGAGGGAGGTGACCGGTTGGGTCCGACGTCGTGTCCGTGGGCATATAGCCTCAGCATTCTTCACTGAACAGGTCAGTGGCAGAGAAGACGATTCGACCTCCGGAGAAAGTGCCAGGGAGGTCGAAGAAGTGCGGTATGGCAGTCTGGAGCCAGTGAAAGCACCGTGCTAAAAGGTTCGAGTATCGTCAATCAGAGCATCAGAGCGTCTGAGAAAAACGTGCAGAAGACGGAGGTTCAGCTCAAGGACGACAATCTCCGAGAGTTGCACTCGCTGGTCGAACGGCACAGAGTTCGACTAGTGCTCGTTCCAGAGTACAGTTCAATAGAGTTTCCGGCGCACCTTGAGAAAAGCGATGGTCTACCTAATTAACGAGCGGCATGGGAAAGGAACGGACTCTACGATTGTAATGGTGATTGCATCGACGGTGAGAGAAACCTTGTAACAGTGGGCACGGATGTTTGGATTTCCCAGTGACGTGCCGGTCAAATACGCGCTTGTACTGATATAATTAGGGACCAGGCTGTGCAGCATAGATGGCAACTGTCGTGCATGATAAGAATGGGTTGTCGAGTGTTGATTTTCCAGTCCTTGGAGCAGGCGGTTTGCAATTTATCCATCACTCTTCGCTCATGGCCATGGGCAATTTACTCCAGGAGGTGGGGGATACTGTACAATCTGCATCGTCCTCGGCTAGGGCACCATCTACAAACAATATCAAGTTAACCTTAGGGCCAACTAAACTGACCTGGACTGGGACACCAGATCGTGCGCTCCACCGGGCAGGCCCATTATTGACAGAACCAAGGAATAACATGCACCGCCAAAACATGGCTTGCTCGTTAGGTTTGTTAGGCCCCTTCAGGAGCGTCTCCGTAGGTCCGGTCTAGAGCTTCAACCGCCTATAGGAGGAGGCCTGTTCGTTCGTATTAGGGGGGTGGTGACGCAGATCGAGGTTGATGGTCTTTGGCAAATCCCATGAAGAGACCTGGCCCTCATCTGTCCGCTCTACGGGTACTCGCACTCGTCCCTGCCACGTGTACCAACTGTATTGTACGTACAGAGTGTTGCCCATTCAAATCGCATTTCGGCCCTTTTCCATGTGTTTACCTATCTATTGTACAGCAGTATTCTGACAGGAGACTTCCCATTGCCCAACCCACAACATGGACCAATCGTTGGGTTCGCGTTGTGACCCGTCCTTCACACCGGTCTCAAGGTTTGACAGATGAGCCAGAGGCTCTGAAATGCTGACAAGCTTCTCATTTCAACAGTGATGCAATGAACTGAGATCTTGGTTTGTCTCCGGCAGGGGCCCCAACCCAGTATTTGGCACCTGGTATTCTTTGAGCCTTCGCTGCGTTGACCGCGCCTAGACTGAGTTGTTCGCGTACCACGAGGGCTAAATGAAAGCAGAGCATGTCGAAGATTACGACCAATCTGCTGAATCCTCTCTAGTCGAGCAAAGGAAATATACTGGTTGCCATCTAGCCTGTAGGTTCTTTGGCGCAGATGCTTACCTCAGCGACACTTTCAAAATGTCCTCATAATGGCATCGACCTCACGGCTCTCTTGGTCGCAGATACAGGAACATCAGTGTCGAGTTGTGGCAGGGTAGCCTTATGCCAGTGGTGGTGCAATTGATGACAGCCACAGCGACCATGGGACTGTCTACGTACAGGCACCGTGGTTGGTCTTGGACTTTCGTCTCGCTCCAAATGCCCGGCTTCACTCAGCACATTCTCCAGGTCGGCGATGCTCTGGGACGCTGCTTTTGACCGAGTGCCATTGCTTGAAGAACCACCCTGCCACGTCTTCCTAAGTGCCAGACGGTATGGCAGGCTCAGGGCGTGGGAACATATGGGTAGTGTGGTGTCGGCGTCGGGATGAGTCAAGGGAGGTCTTTCACCACAATGAGCACGCCTCGAAAGATATTGTTAAGCTGACAACCAGGTGCATCATCGAGGCCTGGACTACGACAGACATTTGGTCATCGTTCCGAAGATACTTGCGCACCATTGGGCTATGAGCTCGAATAACACAACGGTGGTTATCTTGCATGCGAGCGAGTCATGATGCCATGACTGTAGGTCCCTCCCTGCGTGAGCCCATGGAAGCATATTCCGGATACTCTCCACTTGTCGTCGAGATTGCCCAGGCATGCACGAGTACCTCGTATCTAAGGATGGTAGCGTCATGAACTTATGCGCACTACTCGTACTCGTATAGCTGCGACTCTGAATTCCCCTGTGAACCCTGCTACCGGGAGAATGAGTAACCTGTTCGATACGCTCTTCCTCTTCTGCTCCCGCACTGTGCCCACTGTCCACAGTCGTCCCCGTCGAATAGGGATATGATGAGAGCATGTACAAGTACGAGTCATGCTCGACCGCACATGCTCATCTCCCATCGGGCAATCGTCATTAGACGAGCGAAGGCGGGGTACGTTGGCGCCAAGTTGCGATAAACAGATAAGAAGGCCAGATTAGGTATAGCAGCATGCCAGGAGGCCCAAGATGGGAAGGGACTGCTTACATGCCTTATGTACAGTGCTCAAGCGTGGCCGCCCGGGTGCCTGAGGTGCCTTTCACTGACTGCAGTAACTCAACAATCGCCATCAATTCAGAACAATCAAAGAAAGCCAGCAAACACAGCATACAATCCATCTGAAAAACCTGCCACTCTTACATCCACATCCAACTTCTTCTGCTCGCCACTGCAGTTCTGGTTAGCGACGTGGAAATCGGTTCTCTTGTCCACTGTGCAGGTACCTATCGCACATCCACGGCTTAGGGCGCTCGGCACACCTCATCCGCAGGCGGGAAACTGGGCTCGACGCGTTGTCGGTGCCACTAATCTGCACCTAAGCACCGCACAGCCTCACTTCGTTGCGCCCACTTGTCCGCCGCGACGTCGCCCAGGCGGCCAAGCAGGTGGAAGCAACAGCACCAGGCACTCCGTATACTCGCTACTGTAAGCTGGCCTGGATCTCTGGGACTCTGGCGGTGCTCGGTCTTAACAGCACGTCTTGACTCCCACTAGGCTTATTACCACTCTTCCCCACGGCCCTCCAATATCCTTCCTTCCCATACTCACACCTCGCCCCTGGCTGCGACCTGCTTTGAAAGCAAGTCTACGATACATTCCTTCCACCATTTCCCTCCACGCCTATTCATACGCCGATGGTCGACTCCGCCGACGAGCCTCCGCTGTCAAGTCATCTACACTCATGGGCTAAGAACACGTTCGCAGCAGCGTCGTCCCTGAACCCTCTCCGATCTCGTCACGAAGACCCCGTGCGACCCTCCCACCCCCGATCCGACGATACCAGTATCCGATCGAACCATGCTAGCCACGAATCCTCTGCAGCCGGCCCTGCATCCTCACAGTTGCACACAGATGCAGCGGATACAGTGCAACAAAATCCATCTGCTCTGGATAAGAAAGGAGATGGAACGCCACCTACCACCATAGGAACTACTGCTACCCAGGTCAAGGCGCCCTTGTCCCAACGTTTTGTCCGAGATGTCAAGCGCATCCTCTATTCCAGCTGGATCAACTGGCTCCTGGTCTTTGTGCCCATCGGCATCATCTTGGGAGTCCTCGTTGACTGGGTTCACACCGACCTGGTGAGCCCAAGTGCTGTATTTGCCATCAATGCTGTGGCCATCATTCCCCTGGCTTCCCTACTTGCATACGCGACAGAAAGTGTCGCTGTCAAGCTAGGCGACACCATTGGTGCTTTGTTGAATGTTACCTTCGGCAACGCTGTCGAGCTGATCATCTTCATAATCGCATTAGCTGCAAATGAAGTCCGTGTTGTCCAAGCTGCTGCTCTCGGCTCGATCCTGTCTAATCTACTTCTGATTCTGGGCATGTGCTTTGTCGCCGGAGGTCTGCGATTTCGAGAACAGCTGTATAACGCCACCGTCTCTCAAATGAGCGCCTGTTTGCTCTGTTTGAGTGTCATCAGCCTGTTGTTACCCGTAAGTTGAATGCTCTTGGACCATAATGCCATACTGACAATATCTCGTAGACAGCATTTCATGCCTCGTTCTCAAACACCAACCGTGCCGATCATGTCGTCTTGAAAGTGTCCAGAGGTACTAGCGTAGTCCTTCTACTGGTCTATATCATGTACCTCCTCTTTCAGCTCAAGTCACACGCCTTCATGTATCAAAGCACACCTCAGCATCTCATTGACGAGGAATCTCATCCTGGGCTTCTTGCTGATATCCTAAATTCGTCGAGCTCCAATGAAAGCTCCAGCTCCGGCTCCGGCGATTCGGATTCTAGCTCTGGTTCCCACACTACTGCCAAACGCTTTCGGCGTGCTCTACGTCGAAAGAGGCGCAAGTCAACCTCGAGCACCAAGGACAGTGTCACTGCCGCGGCACTCAGACGAAGTCCCTCGGTTCTTACTGGACCTGGCGGGGCAACGAACCAAAACGCTATGTCCGCCCCTCATGACCTCGAGCCTGTCTTTAGTGGTGACGAGGCGGATGTGGACGGTGAGGGCAGAACTGGCAGGCAACGCTCTCGTGTCAGAGCTGTCCATTCCCGGCAATTCGAGAGCGGAGTTCAGCAGGATCAGTTATCTGAAAAGTCGAAGAAGTATCACAAAAAGTCCAAGAAGTCGAAACGTTCCAAAAAGGAAGAGAAGCAAAAAGAGATTGACGAGAAAGGAGTAGCACTGGAAAAAGAGCCAGTCATCAAGACAACAACCACAACATCCTTATCCACTTCGAATACGCTGCTACCTCAGGTCGGATTTGCTTCCGAGGTTCAGGAGATTCCGGCTGATGGTCCACGTAAATCTTTCAACATTCGCAATATTGGTGATGCCGTGAAGCCAGCATTCAGCTCGACAGTTTTTCCTCATCATCAAGCCCTTGGTAGATCTCTGGCAATCCCTATCCGGCCACTATCACAGTCAAGATCTGGCTCTCGCGGTCTGCGCCGGGCTTCATCCATGCCCGATATGATACACCCTGTTGTTTCCGTCGGAGTGGACCAATCAAACCAAGACGGCGTAACTGTCCCTGCCCAGCCTTTAACCTCAGAATTCGGAACGGAAGTGGTTACCGAAGAAGTGGTGGAGACAAAAGAACATCTCTCACGTACTTCTGCCGTCATCCTCCTGCTCGTTTCCACTGGACTTGTGGCACTCTGTGCTGAGTTCCTCGTTGGAAGCATCGACTACCTCATTTCGAGCAGCGGAGTCTCTCAAGCATTCATTGGTCTCATCATCCTTCCCATCGTAGGCAATGCGGCAGAGCACGTCACCGCGGTGACAGTTGCCGCCAAAAACAAGATGGATCTCGCAATCAACATCGCCTTGGGCAGTAGTATTCAGATTGCTCTGTTCATCACCCCTCTCATGGTCATCCTTGGCTGGATTATCGGGACGGATATGAGTCTTTATTTCAGCCTTTTCGAAACCATCAGCTTATTTGCTAGTGCCCTCATTGTTGGGTTTTTGATGATTGATGGTCGAAGCAATTATCTTGAAGGAGCGCTGTTGATTGCAGCCTACACCATCATTGCCGTCGCCGCCTTTTTCTATCCTCCGACTTGTGATTTGAGCTCGGCCAGTGGACCGCTGGAAGGGACCACCCGTTGTTAGTTGATCAGTCCAAAGCGGCTGATCCGTGACTGTGACCTACTATGGCATGGTCTGGTCTTGGTCTCGGATCGCCCAGGACTGGTAGAGATGCGTCGGGGCATCTCGACTGGAATACAAGACGCGTTATAAACACGAAATGGCTTGAATGGTAAGAGCTGAAGAGGCTCAGATGACAAATTGTTGTGGAGGAAGGACTGAGATTGTGGTGAACAGCCGCGACATGGAAGTGTGCCTTTTCCGAGTCATTCGTTTAAGAATTTCGGTTCAAAGGATGGTGTTTTCGAGTCTTTTTTCCCTTTACATAGGTCCACATTCATTTGCAAGGATGGCAAACAGCGCCGCCTACCTTTCTCATCATCGGCCAGAATACCTGAGACGATGTACACTGCACTTGCCACTCGGTATGAGTGACGATACGAATATCCGGAACAAGATTATTCAGATTGATTGCAAGATACTCTTCTTATCTCCCTGTAGGAGGGATCAAGTTTCTTATCACTTATGGAGTACTTTGTATTGTCTCGGTAGCATAATGGCATGATGGCCTGATTGTTTCCTATTCGTACACGGAGATGTCCATTCTTCAGCCATGCGCCTGCATGTTTTTGCTCCTTACAGCAGGTCCAAGCAGGGAGGGTTGAAGCTAGCAGTGCCACCAAGCCTCAGACTGGAGTCTGTAGAGGTCTGATCAGACAACAAGCTCTCGACGGCGTCGTTGCTTATCAGGTTCAAGCGCTGGCTGCGTTTTCCTTTCCCCCGCTTCAACCCAGAAGAGGGTATCTACAGGTACATACCGTACTTGTCAAAGGTAGCTCCAACAGTACTCTTACCGTACTCGTCCGGGCTGTCCAGGTCTCTTCTCTTGCTCTCTTTTGTCTCTTTGCAGCAAAGAAGAGACGTGAATTGTCTTGCCTCCAGCGAGAAAAAGAGAGAGATAGCGAGACAAAGAAAGAGACAGAGAGCCACATATCATGTACTTTGATCACCGATTCACGCCCCCCATGCAACGGGCGCTTCTCCCCTTGTAATTTTAATGGATCACGAAGATGATCGTTGACGCTTATCGTTGCATCCCTGGCCAGTCCTCGTTATCAACTTTATCAGTGTATTATTATTGTTTGTTGTTGTTGTTATTGTTCACGCCACCACCATCACCGCCAACCAGGTACTGTAGGGTTGTGGGTGACTTCCAATCCAGTACGTTCGTCCTCCGTGTAAATCTCTCTCTCTCTCTCTCTCTCTCTCTCTCTCTCTCTCTCTCTCTCTGTGTGTGTGTGTGTGTGTACTCCATACCGTCCAGTGAAACTTTCCGTCCAGCCGAAAATGTTGGCTTTACGACTACGAGTTAGCACTCCGAGTAGATTTCTATTCCATAAATCTATCCCGGACCCTTGGGCCAACCAGTTAGGGTGGCAGTTGGTGCGACTGACTAAACAAGCCTAGGTACCTGTAGGTCACTAACCTAGGTATCTAGAATACCTCGCCTAGTAGATATCTAGCTAGTGAAGGCCACTTCGAATCAATCAATCTTGTTTGTCGATGGTCGGACACGTCCCCTCCTCGTATTCACAGCCGCCTGGACATGGGCCATCACTAAATAACTTAGCGGTGACTCGCCCGTCGCTTCAACTCTCTCTTTTAGTATGGGATGGCGATAGATTGTCTCGTGTGCTCGTCATTTCTAGTTAGTTAGGGTTGACCGCCCACGGCTAGGGGTAGGGACGACTATCTATAATACCTCGTCTATCCGTACGATAAGTTAGGGTGAGAATAGTTCTTTTACTCTCTCACAGTAAAATCTGGAGCACGCGCACCTTTTCGCTTTGCAACTCGCTTGTTGCATTGCGGTACCTCGCCTTTGGGTTTGGCTTTGCCTTTAAATACCTCCCCTGTGGCCCCCCTGGTCCTTCGCCTTTCCCGAGGCCGTTCAGTTCTTAACCCGTGTTCTCTCTATCTTTTCTGCCCTCTCCATCCCCTCTCCTTTTACCTCGGGCGTGTACAACTGTACATACACGCCCTCTCCAGCGCTATTGAGGCCGAGATCGACATCGATATTGACATTGATCGCCCGGCGGAATCGACTACATACATACTTTCACCCCTCGCGACATATACTCTGTGGTGTATATCAACAGATTCGACGGGAACGCCAGGGACGTCTATACTCGCTGTCCCCACAGGCTCTATCTCCCTACTTCACCGACAGGTACAGGTGCCCCAGTGACACGGAGCAGCTAGAGCAAGTAATCCAAACAAAAACCTTTCAACATGGTCGCCGCGACGGACTCCGACAAACTCGCCGAGGCGAATGGTCCGGCTGCACCACCCTCAGCAGGTCCTCCGTCTGAACGTCGAGGGTCACTGACGCTCGGGCTCGACCCGGCTTTGGCCAGCGAAGAAGATGCCGCCGTCCTGGCCAAGATGGGCTACAAGCAGGAACTCCGGCGCAACTTCAGCATGGTCGAGGTGTTTGGCATCGCCTTCGCCATCATGGGCCTCCTCCCTTCGATCGCGAGTACCTTGTCCTTTTCCATCCCGGCCGGCCCCGTCGGCCTGGTCTGGGGATGGTTCCTGGCGTCCATGTTCATCTTCGTCGTGGGTTTGGCCATGGCCGATTTGGGATCAAGCATGCCGACGAGTGGAGGTCAGTACCAGTACCCATTGATACGTCCTCGACATCAGTCCTCAGCAGACACCCATCAACCCATCGGCCCATCCCAAACAGTCAAAACAATCAAAAAATCGGAATCAATCATTCATTCATTCATTCGGTCAAATGGATCAAGATCCCGACCCAATTATTGACTGGGGCACAATCTTCAATCACCCTTTAATCCACACACACCCGTTCCCCCGGGGCTGTTTTTCCCCCTTTCCCTCCTTGCATTGTTGGCAATTTACCGATCGTGAAGAGTCTTCGAGCAAAAGCCTAGCTGACCACATACACACGGATTAGGATTGTACTACTGGACGCATTACTATGCTTCACCGAAGTGGCGAAACATGCTCAGTTTCATAGTCGGATACAGTAATACCCTAGGCCTGGTCGGTGGTCTCTGCTCGATCGACTGTACGTTTTATTCACGGCTATTATATACCCTTGCCCAGGTCCTAACCCAAGTCGAGCCATGTCCCATGTCCCATGTGCTTCATAATCTACACTCTTCATGACAAGAATGGTTGGAAACAAAAACTCACTACTCCACAATCGCAGATGGATTCGCCCTCCAGTTCCTGTCCGTCATTGTCATCGCCCGAGACGGCAACTGGACACCGACAAACGGTGAGATCTACGCAACGTTTCTGGCTACCGTGGTCTGCCACGGCGTCATCGCATCGACAATGGCCAAGGTCATGGGCAAGCTTCAGACCGTCTTCGTCGTCATGAATTTTGTCCTCATCTTCGCTACCATCATCGCTCTCCCGATCGGAGCAAAAGATTCCCGAAACAGTGCTTCTTACATCTTCACGCACGTCGAGAACCTTACTACCTGGCCGTCCGGGTGGGCCTTTATGCTCTCCTGGCTCAGTCCGATCTGGACCATTGGCGGATTTGATTCTGCTGTACATATAAGGTGAGTTCCCGCCCTGTCAGGAGAAGCTACCAAGAGCTCTAGAGCTCGCAGAAGAGAGGCATAATCCCCCACAGACTCTAACATCCCATGTAGTGAAGAAGCCGCCAACGCTGTCAAAGCCGTCCCGTTCGGCATTCTGTTCTCCATCGGCTCATGCTGGCTCTTTGGCTGGATTTGCTGCATCGTGATCGCTGCGTGCATGTCTCAGGACCTCGAGCACATCCTCGGGTCACCCTTTGGTCAGCCCATGGCACAGATATACTATGATGCCCTCGGCAAGAATGGCGCGCTAGGGTTCATGTCCCTTTTAATGATTGTGCAATTCCTGGTGAGTGGGACCCCCTGGGCGGGAGCTGCACTTCGAATTTCAAGAGTGCTGACTTTGTTACCTCCACAGATGGGTGTCTCAATCCTCGTTGCCGCTTCTCGACAGTCCTGGGCCTTCTCACGAGACGGAGCTCTGCCATTTTCAAGCTTCTTTCGACCCATTTCGAAGAAATTCGGATACATTCCCGTCCGCACGACCATCGGATGCGCTGTGCTGGCAGCTGTCCTCGGCTTGCTATGCTTGATCGCACCTGCAGCTGCAGCGGCGCTGTTCTCGCTTGCCGTTGCCGGAAACAATCTCGCTTGGGGAACCCCCATCTTCTGCCGCGTTGTCTGGGGTCAGAAGAAGTTTAGCCCTGGGCCGATATACACCGGCAAGCTGTCCGTGCCTATCGCCTGGCTCGCCGTACTCTTCTTGATCTTTGGCACGTTGCTGGCCATGTTCCCCTCCGGTGGACCGAATCCTACTTCGGAGACTATGAACTACACCTGTGTGATTAATTCGGCAGTCTGGGGCGGCGCACTGCTATATTATGCTGTAGATGCGCGAAAATGGTTCAGAGGCCCGCAGATCACAATCGACCTGGACCAACTGACGGAGGCTCAAGAGCAGGCGCTCCGAGACGAAGGCGTCAAGATTGAGGGCGAAGGTGCCAAGGCTGTAGTAGGCGGAAGAGGCGGGAGCACAGCTAGTAATGTTCCTGTCGAGTCAGATCTGGGCGTGTCGGGGGAGGAGTCAAAGAAGTAGTTGTAATGGCATCGATCCAGCAGCAGCCTGACGGCCGGTGACACTCAAAACTCAGTGTACCATCTACCTGCGCACCTAACCTGTTGGGAACTGGGGCCAAAAGCTGTCATCCAGAAAGTCCATCAGGCTTGTCCCGCCGGGAAACAGAAATTCATCATTGGGGATGTTTGATGCGATGGTCTCGGTCTCCCCTGACTCTGTCGACATTCGCTGCTGTGGTCGCTGTCGGTGTCTTAATTGAGATGCTCTGTAATTTTGTAGCTCCTTCCACTGCTGCATCTTAGGAACGATGTCGTTGAAAATATGAGGGACTGCAAAGGACGAAGGCGCGTCGAGGTTGTGTAACGTAGCCTGTTTGGCCGCAGCCTTAGCTTCTTCCATCCTGGCAATCACCTTGTCAACCGTAGTGCAGAAATCGATTGTGTCGCTTGCGTAGCCGGGATCCCAGCCTTGTTCATCATATAAGCATAGTTTGGACAGCACGACGCTGGCGTGGCCCAAAAGAGTCCATGGAAAGTAGCTGCTGTCCAAATATGCAGATATGGGGATTGCATACCACGTGTCGAAGAAAGACTTGGTCGAGTCCAGACAGGCGAAGAGCATCTTGAGACGGGTCATTGAGAAATCGCCGTAGCTGGCGCTGTTGTTGGTGTCGTGCACGGCGACTCCATAGAGGTATATCTCCATCAAGTGGTAATGCAGCCATAGTATATCTGTTTGGTATTAGCCCACGGGCGTAGAGTCACAGATCTTTTGAAAAGAGGCGAGGTTGGCTGAAAAAGGGAAACGATCTCGCGTACGCCACCTACCTGCTAGGATGGTACCTGAAGGCAACGTCTGCTTGATGCTTTTCAGCTCTGCATCCAGAGCTTTGACATAAGCACCCATAGGTGCTGATAACGTGGACGAATTACTCCAGTCATCTGGAGAGATGGTCCGGGCAATTCTTCCCGACATGCGAGCAATGCGGACCAGATGAACCAGGAAGTTGTCGCTGGGATACTCCGCTTCTTTCTCAAGCACTTGACAGCACTCTTCGGTGTACGCCGAAAACCTTATAGGCTCCAACTCACGTGAATTCATTGATACTCTGTGCATGAGTGACTATCGTTAATTGTACGACTCTTCGGATCATTAATGCCACGGGTAGGGTTCAGCTAGGTCTGCTGGAAAGTCAACTTACAACGTAGAGACGTAGAGGCCTCCTAAATATGCTCTTCTTTCAGGCCGCGTACGTTTGGGAAGCTGTACCTCTGGACGAAAATATCCGAAAAAGCCTGGGTGATGTCGTGGATTTGGACTTTTATTGAGCCCCAGGTCGCTTAACTGTGCCATTATGAGGTGGACGAGATTGCCGAGCTGAGAGCCGAGATGGAAATGTATGTGATACCTAGTGCGAACATTCAGTTGATGTTGCAGATATTGCGGCGTGCGTACCATGCAAGATAAATCAACAAGCCTTGCAGAATATCGAGGCTTTGCTCGCCCTTGAGAAGGATCTTTTGAGCTATAGCTTCCCGGACTTTCCTTGCTAGTGACGATTGACGCTCAAGATGATGGCGACAGGCTATTGTCATAATGGTCATGAAAAGGAAAGGCCTGAGCTTGAGCTCTTCCAGGGTCATGTCTGGCGGAACAACCACGAAGGGAAAATATTGCGCCATGGAGGTCCTGTATGTGTTGAGTATGAGAAGCGCTTCATCCTCACTCTCAAGGACCTGCTGGACGTGTTCGAGAGGCGATAGACCGAAAGGGCCAGAATGGAGGCTTTGATCGGACCGTTGCAAGCCACCGACTCGATTAGAAGTGGCAGGGATGGCTGCAACTCCATCCAGCTTCCGGTCGAGTTTTGCAACATCGCTGCCATCTGTTAGCTCATTCCGGAGAGGCCTGGTAAAGGATGACGGTAGATGACAGAGGAAGCCAGAGAGCCTCACTACCGATCCTCGTAAAGAATTGTGTATCTTGGAAGGCGACCTGAGGTGCTCGTACAGGATGACTTACGAGGGGTCCTTGAGTTTGCGGCGATGAGTGCCAGGCTCTTGTCCAGCACATGGCTTTCTGAGTCGTCGGCATCTAACAGAGGCAAATCAGCAAGTGAAGACAGACAGGACTCCTTTGGCCCAACCTTGTGCAGATGGTTGCTTCTGGGTCGAAAATGCACTTGACTTTGGCGCGAGCACAAGTCACACAAGCTTTTGGGCCGCGGACGCCAGCACTATCAGCCTCGCTGGGTGGAGTCAAATGAGACATCACGGAATCATACCCTGGAGAGCGACGCACTCAGAGCGTGGAGTGGACTATCGGGTCGCCTCTTTGCAGTCCGTTCCAATCCATGGTGCGACTGAAATGTGATAACTGATCGCAAGAAACGGTTGAACCCTAGAGTGCTTTTTCCAGTCACGAGCGGAACCGAACGGAGCAAAGGAGTCCGTTCCATTTCACTCCGTTCGACCCCGTTCAGGACAATAAGGCGCCCCAGTCATTCCGATCCCGCTATAGCGTTTGTGGCACAACCAATCAGTCTTGTCCGTGTTCGCATACTAAACTCCCCGATTCAGTCATACACGGAGCACGAACGGAATCGGTAGAGCACATAAAAGTGAATCGATCGGACAAGAGCTGTGGGCAATGCGTCAAAAGGCACTGGGCATGAACATTCGCAATGCAGAAGTCTGGCCTAGAGGTGCAAGATTCGGTCGCTACAACCGATAAACATGCTACAGGATCTCACGAGCAGCATGCAGCTAGCCACGCGGGCGAGTCTTCGCGACGAAGCAGTCAGGACAGCCCGGCTCCTTCTTCAGAAGAGAAAGGAACAGCAAAGTCCTCGATGTTGAAACTTGTTCCTCTGTTTGTTTCTGTCTTCTTCTCGGTGTTTCTTATGGCTCTCAATGGTTCGATACTTGCGACGGTGGGTTCTAATATATTAATCACCTCGTGCAGCATAAGTTGATTCTCACGACAGGCCATACCACAAATCACGACGCATTTCAGGTCATTGGAAGACATAGGCTGGTACGGGAGCACCTACCTAATTGCGACGTATGGCCCCTCTTCAGAGCGTGGATGTTATTACTAATGTCTCTCAGAGCCTGTATGCAACCCCTTGTGGGCAAGATATACACCCATGTACCGATCAAGGTCAGTCATACGGCGTAACCCAGAAAGAGCCTCATTGACAGGCATGTGCAGCAAACTTACATTACCTTTATGGCCACTTACACCGTGGGGTCAGCCATCTGTGGCTCGGCTACATCGTCGAAGATGTTGATAGGTGGAAGAGCAGTTCAGGGCGTGGGCGGCGCTGGAATATTGAACGGGGCGTTCACAGTCATTGCCTCAACTGCCCCAGAGGACCAGAAGCCCATTTTCACCGGAGTCGGCATTGCTTTGTCCACTGTTGGACAAGTCGTCGGACCACTGATAGGTGGTGTCCTGACACAAAATATCTCATGGCGTTGGTGTAGGTGGTACACTGTCTGGCAAAAACGTCTTCGTGGCTAACTATCTGTGGCCAGGCTTCTACATCAGCTTGCCTCCTGCAGGTGTCGTACTCCTCGTCCTCACGACCGTCACCATACCAGAGCAAACAGAAAAGAAGCCGCTGAAATCGAACTGGAAGAAGTTGGTCGCCTCCGAGTTGGATCTGATCGGATTTGCTCTCTTCGCACCTGCCTCAGTGATGTTGTTGCTCGCAGTGATTTGGGGAGGCGGCAAATTCGCATGGGATTCCGCCACGATCATTGGCCTTTTCTGTGGCTCTTTTGTCGAATATCTCATTTTTGCGGCATGGCAATGGCATCGGGGTGAGAAAGCAATGATTCCTCCACATGTTATCGGAAAGCGGTTGGTGTTAGCCGGTTGTGCTACCAATTTCTTTCAAATGGCTTCGAACATGACTCTTTCATATTACCTGCCTCTCTGGTTCCAGGTTGTGAAAGGAGCAACCCCAACACTGAGCGGCGCGTATATTCTGCCTACCGCAATATCTCAAAGTATCGGCGCAGTCGTGGCTGGAAAGATTGGTAAGACGCTCCGGTTCGTTCGATTCCGATTTTTCTGACATGTGAGCAGTGCAAGTGTTAAGATATTGTACTCCATGGGCTATATTTGGATCCATCGTCTCCACTATAGGGTCAGGTTTGATAACAACTTTCACGCCTACAACAAGTACTGGGAAGTGGATTGGGTATCAGATTCTTATAGGCACCGGACGTGCATCAGTCTTTCAGATGGTGAGTGCGGCAAGGAGGAGGGTATACCCTCAAGCAAGCTGACATTGTGTCAGCCGATCACTGCCATCCAGGCATTTCTCCCGAGAAAGGAACAAGCCATGGCCACTTCGCAGGTGTTCTTTTGTCAGTACCTTGGTGGCACTATATTTCTTGCCATCGCAGAGACGCTTTTCACGAGTAGTCTCCGCTCAGCTTTACACCGTGATGCCCCAGGCGTCGACGCTGAACATATCATCGATGTCGGTGCCTCTGCGGTGAGGTCAGCGGTATCGCCAGCTGATCTGCCGGGAGTGTTGAAGGCATACAACCATGCTATTGTTGAAGATTTTGTAAGTGCACGTTCCGCTTGAGATTCTGTTCCGTCGCTCACGTTTGGATTCAGTACCTTGCAGTTGGAGGCACGTGCGGAGCGTTTCTTGCTTGCTTCGGTCTGGGCTTCGAGAAACTTCCTCAGAAAGAAATTATCAAAAAGGGCGAAGAGATCGATCTCCGCAGGACAGAGAGCAACATCGCCTGAGACTGGTAAGAAAGCACCCTGAAGAGATCTTTACCCGAGCGTATGGTGCTCTCTTTACCCGAGCGTATGGTGCTCTGCTTCGCGAGATATTGTGATCATGGCCTCGGAGTCCGGACATCTTGGTCATATTGGGGACTTCATGGTTATCATGCAACGTATAGGTGCTGCTGCCCTGCTCTTCGATGAAGAGAGCTCTGTACTGGGCGGCAATCCGATGGAGGTGGGAGACCAGGCGAGGTCGAGATCTGATCAGATCCCTGGACAAGCCATACGGAACAGAAACCACCTAAGTCGGATGAGCATCAGGCCATCAGGCAGTTGAGGCCCTCGGCACAGCCTCTCACTGACAGCGTTTTAGTATGAGCAGGGCTTTAGTTGATGGAATCGAGGAAGTTTGTCCACGGCAGCGACACAATTACTAGTGCGCTTCGGAGGCTTCGTAGTGCACCGTACATGCTCTTGGGAATTAGCACGTACTCGTAGTAATCCGAACAAAGGATTTTTCCCGATCCTCATTTAACGTACCAAGACGAAGCGAAAACCATACGCACGAGCTGCGTACACTGCAGGCGCAATCTTGAGAGAGTGCTGTGCGTGAAGGCTTTGACATGACTATTTATTACGTCCCACACAAATAGAAACGGTTGACAAGCGAGCAGGCTAACTCATCAATTCCGCTTAAAGCATCATACACATCATGACGACCTCGTTCTGAACAATGCTTGCTCTTCTTGGATGCAGGGATACACACTTCGGTCTGGGTTTCACCTGAAATAGTGGTGTGGACAGATAGCCGGCAATACTATTTCCCTCACCTGGAAAATGTGCGACCTCCCTGATATGGACAATGATATGGAGCAGTTGGTCTATGACACCCGGAAGGTCACAGCATATGTTGAGATCGAGGAATGGACAAAGCTGAAGTCGAGGTTGTGTGACAGTTTATAAATGGACAGTCAAAACCGAAGCTTTGGTTCCAGTGGTACTGTCTCCCACTGTATTGCCCCAGAAAAGCCGAACAATAGGTCGGTCGGGCGACGCGTTAAGGGTCATTATCATTCGTGATAGCCGGCTGTCATCATTCAAAAATCCATGCACAGTTGTGTCGCCACTCGTTCCAAATCCTCCAGTTCCATCCATCCGCTATCTACCCTTGCCCCTGCACCACTGCTCTTCTCGCGTTCCTGCTTCTCATCGACGCACCGTCGTATGCCCTCCTTGACAAATATTTCGATGTATTTTCCCACGAGTATCCTTGCGTCTTCCGAAAGTTTAGTCTTCTCGGGCTGGTTGAAGTGAGACTGCATGATTCGATGTACCAGTGGCAACGCTATGGCTGGTTCTGGACCGAACACGTCTGAGGCTGGATTGTCGTGCGTCACCTCGGCAAGGATAAAGTCTGGTTCAGGCGACGACTGGATGCGTTCATCGTCTTCTTCGCGTGTATCGTCCTCCTCATTGTCGTCTGAGCCTTCATCCTCCCCACTGTCTTCTTCTTGATCATCAGCATCATCATTGTCTTCTTCCTCGGTCTTATCTCGATCTATCGCTTCAGGTTCGGGGTCCGATTCCGGGTCATCATCTTCATCGGCCTCATCCTCGAGGTATGCTCTGCGGATCCCTGCGCTCCCTCTGGAGAATTTCTTCTGTCTTGGTTGTCTGGACGATGCGGGTTTCTGTACTCGACCGCCGTTTGACGTCCTGTTGCTCTTTTTTATTCCGCCAGTGTTTACGCCCTTCGGCGGATGCGTAGACTTTGATTTGCCCGGTCGTGGAGGGGAAAAGGCAGGACGAGAGCGTTTCGATTGCACTGGAGCCATATTTGGCCCTGACTTTCACGAACTTGCAATTGTCACTGGTGTGAGACTCATTAGAAGGCTGAGCACAGGATTGTTAACTTCTTCAAGTCAGATTAAGTTCATTGAGCGCATCGGATGATGGATGAATTGTTTAGAATGACGTCGACACGAGACGCGTTGGGCGACGCGTTCTCAATGAGGACGCGTAGTTGGTCTTACATAAGCATGGTAGATCATCATCGAACAGCCCATGCTCCGCTATAACTCAGAGTAAACGTCGATTTTCATGAGTCTGCAGACAGGAGAAGACAGCCAGCAGTCGTGCGGTGTTCATGTCAAACACTCTCAAACCAATGTGGCCGTAGCCTGCCTGCTGCGGTGTCCTCGCTTACTGCCAGCTTTGCGGTGCCGTGTTGGTGAAGATCCTCGAGGCTGAAGGTGTCTTTCATTACCTACACTCGATCGGGGGGGCCACAGCCATCTGATCTCTCACAAAAGCCAATCATGCCATCATGTGTACTTCTGTGTTGTCGAGAACGAATGAGAGGTACAGTTCAGCCTGCTGCGACAGCCACCAAGTCCAGCTGCGGCAGCCAAGTCGCGCTGAGTATGCAGGCTGTTCCCTGCGCTGGCACAAATACGAGGCAGACACTTCAGCTCGCTTCGACGACTCCATTCTGCCTCAGAGACTCCCAAATCCCACAGGTACAAAACCCAGCCTGATTTCTTCGTCTTCACCATGGCGACCTTATCGGTAAGTGTTCTTGCTTCACCATTGTATCAATCATGTCAGTGCCCATCCCAGACCACCATGTCCCGGCCGACTCGCTCTCGTTCCAACCACAGGTGATACCCTCAAGCGTTCGGGGCATTGTTACGCCCGGCAGCACCATCGCGAACGCGAAACCCTTGGATCTGAAAACCCTTCGTTCCTTGATTGAACGCTATGCTCCCATCCTCAAACTCCACCCGGACGAACAATTCCTGCCGACATCGGTCGAAGACTTCCTCACACACTGCACCTTGATCGACAAGAAATCGCCCACCAAGGTCCCCTCTCCCAACATATCGCAGCTTCCCACGAAGGGCGAAGACCACCAATTCTACCTCGAGCTCTCTCCAGGCGGTAAACCAGGCCATCTCGACCTCGCAAAGGCCTACGTCCACGCCCTGTGGCAGCAAGGCAGCCCCTACACCGACCTCCAGTTCTGGTTCTTCTATGCCTACAATGGACCCGGGTCTCTACACGTCAGCGGTCTCGTTCTTGACACACCCACATCATCTGGAGACATTGACCTTGCTCCCATGGGCGAACATGTTGGTGACTGGGAGATGGCGATGCTTCGCGTCGACAACGCTTCACATAACCTGAACTCGATATGGCTTTCACAACACAGTCGAGGCCAGTTCTTCACCCACGACGCTATTCCGGGCACCTTCACCTTCGAAGGCACTCGACCCATTATCTACGCCAGCCGCAACGGACACGCAAACTACGCCGCAATTGGACCCAACAAGTCCGAGTACCGCAAGATAGGTGGTGTTCCAGTTGGATTGGACTTTTTCATCCGCAACGACACGGCCGGTACAGGGAAAACTCTAGACTGTGCAAAACACTATGAGCTCGTGTCTGCAGATTGGGCGGGCGTCGTTGCACCGGCATGGGCTTCCTGGCCATTCCGTTGGGGGCCGGAAGGGACTTCAACACACTTGACAAGTGTGGCTGTCTCCGAGATTGTGAGAAAATCACTAGGTGACGAATTGGCCAAGTTTTGTCCGATCAGTGTCTTGACAGTGTTGGCAAGCGAGATCCTTCCTCATTTCGTCAAGGGAGACATCAACGGTCCGACGTCACCTGGGAAACACGGGAGTTGGAATGGTACTTATCCTGTATATTGATTGAGGTGTCGTTCTGAAGTGGGCAAGGGCAATACGTGTGGTCGGGTCAGAATGGTTGTGCTATTTATTCATAGCGATTTTACCAGGTTTGAATCTCCTTTCCGTGCTGATCCCTTTTAGTCTCATTTCCGCAACACAACCATTCAAAACGCATACCCCAGAAATTCCCTCTACCGGCCAAGCGTACAACACTCATAGGCGCCTATACGCTATGTCTCGTTCATCTTGCACTATGTAAATGTTTCATTCCCAGTATAGCTTGACAAGTCGGGTTCCGATATCCCCCTGTGACTCTTCGTCATGCCATGGGGTCAAGCTCGATAAGAGAGAGCTGTAGGTGAGTAACGAGCCTTTAGCGTCAAGTGTCTCCCTCTCTCACACACACACTCTCTCTCTCTTTCGTTTCTTCCTCACTTCTCTACTCCCACCGCGTCGCTTATTACGTCTCCTCGCCGCCTCAACCACCTCAATCTCCCGCTCTAACGTAGCCCCAGCCTCCAATGCTTCGTCCACCACACGCCTTGAATAAACCAGTTGCCACAGCTCAGGCACCATCCACACACCGGTGTGATGAGTCGAAGTTAACGTTTGTCGTTTTCGGTGGCTCCTCTAGGATCACACACCGTGGATCTTTGACCGAGTCTACTCAGCCACATAAAGGCCAGGGTACTTTTTCCCCCGAGAGAGACGTGTCAATATCAATGTGAACATCGATTGCCCAATGGCAATGTATCGTTTCTAGGTAGCCATAGCTATACTGTTACTATCCCTTTTGCTTCCTTACGATATTGTGAATTCTCACTCACTCCCCCCTCTGTCCTCACCATCTACCAAGCTCCAAATCCATCCATTGTAAATTGCTCAATTGACTCCGTTCTCGAACTCTATATTGAAAAAAAAAAAAACACAACCTCTCGCAAATCCACTCTTTCTCGACGGCGCTGCAGGTCCTCTCTTCCTTCACACATTTCGTATTTTGGTGCTACCTGTACCAAACTTTCTCCATTGACTTTTTTCATTCCGATCGGGTCGATAAAGCAGCGGATATTGCCATACCTCGTATAGCAGACGCGGGTACGGAGGCTCTCATTGGCATTTCCGGGAGAAACATCCCCGTCGATCTCTCGTATCCACTCTCGACCTTGACGCCGCATCGGGAGTATACAAAGTTTCCCAAAACGGTACGCGAACCATACTATCGTCGACACAAAATGCCTCTTGAACCACCACTTTCTAAAATCTACACAATGACTCTTCATGAAGAAGTCTCCGCGTCGTTACCCACGCCAGAAAAGTCTACTCAGGTCCGCAGGAGGACCTCCCCCCCCATCATGGGAGACTACAAAGACTTCGGTCCCCCCCCGTTCCTTGAAAAAATTCCTTTTCTCTTTTCTTCATACCACTACTACACTTTCGCCACACGAACTACTCGATTTTACACAAATCAAAATGGGTTGCTTCATGAGCAAGAACGCAGTTGACGAGTCAGCACATGCTCCTCGCCCACGGCCACGCAATGTCACTTTCCAACTCTCAAAACCTGGCCAGCCCTCGAACATTCCCGAGTCATTGGGAAAGAAGGCCAAGGGCCCGAAGCGTTCGAGACTTCCCCCTCGCCAGATTGCACAATTCCAAGACACCCGCACTCTTGACCCACGTTCTGCTGTCCTATCCAACGAAGGTTCACACGTCGAGGATCCTTCGAGTCGTATGAAAGCATACTATCTACCTAAGAAGTACAACCCCAAGGGTCCTGCTCAGGTCGCTACGTTTGCTGAATACATCGAAGATCCGAGCGCATACCGAATTGTTTGGGCCAACAGACTGGAGGATTAAGTGTGTCGGCTTTTTGCTTCGTCGCTTCAGCTTCGATAGGAGTGCCATTGATGGGTAGTACCGCTATAGGGAACAACCAATGGTCGTCTCTGAGGGCTGCTAGCAGCAAGCAAAAAAAAAGTCGAGGAAGGCCTGCCTCTGCAGAGGTGAGAAAGGTTTGGTTGGAGGGAGGTGGGAGTGCGTGCCCGCCGGGGGTTCCTTCGATCTTCAGTGCCTTGTTGCACCGAGCGAAGGGCTTCAGGTTTGAATGGTTCATTCCATTGACTTGCGGCGGGGGGTTAGTCCTGTTGTGACGACGTGCTGCGGTCGACTGCAATGTTTCTTGCGCCGGCGGTAGTAGTCGGTGTCCTTCCTTTTGGGTGCTTTGTGGAAGAACCTCATCAAACACCTCGTCTCTTGGGTGACCTATTTGGACGTTAAAAACGGAAATGTGTCTCCGGCCGAAAGTGAGAGCAGAAAAGCCCTGAAAGACCGTGGACCTTGGGCGAAGTATGAAATTTTCGGGTCGTCAAAACACACCTCATCCACTTTTATGGCGGAGGGTGAGAACAGAAACGAGGTGTCAGACTGGTGAACTCACCTCAAAGTATGAAGCTCTCCGTCGCCCTCCGGGGCAACTCATTTCATTTCACTTACCCGGGCGAGAACAGAAAATGACTGGAAGAGTTTGTGGATCTCCAGAGTCAGAAGTATGAAGCCCGTGGTTCAAAGGCTTCGGCCACAACAACTTCCAAACCACATTTCTTATGGCGAAGGGCGAGAACAGAAACGAGGTGTCAGAATGGTGAACTCATCTCAAAGTATGAAGCTCTCTCGTCGCCTTCGGGCAACTCCTCCCAATTCACTTACCCGGGCGAGAACAGAAACGACTCGAGTTTGGTGGTCTCCGAGTCAAAGTATGAAGCCTGTGGTTCAAATGGCCGTCGGCCTAACCCTTCAAACCACTTCAACTATCAATACCGGGTGTTTACACAGGGCTCATGGAGGACTTTGTCTATCCCTCTGAGTATCGCTTGGACACCTGGGGGTCGCTGTTGCTGTCCACGCAAAAGTCGTGGACAGTGGCAGCCCCCATCGTGTCTTTTGCCTGGTGCAATTGCTCGGAGGGGGTTGTTGTGATTCGGCCTTTTTGTTTTCCCCCTTTTCCTTTGACGCTGCTGTTTCGTTTGTGTCCTTGTGTGCTTGTGAGAGGGCCTTTGATTCGCGGCTTGAAAGGGATGGGAAGGGAAGGGAAAGGCCGTTCATTTCATCCATTATCTATCTGTGTTCTCTCCCCTTTTTATTACAATATTGCTTCCCTCGGCCACTCTACTTACCTCTCACCCACCTCAATTCCACCACTCTACTCACCTCATTCTCCTCAATCCCACCTCGCACCAACTCACCTCTATGCCTTGTTCATGTGGATATCATCCACCAGACAAGCCCTGTCTCACCACCAGCTTGCCGATGTCGTCGTCTCTGAAAAGCAATCTCAAGGCTGCAACACAACGCGCCGATCTCGGATAAGAAGGGATTCTCTATACAGTCACGTCTCTCAGCCTTGTTCGACGGGGGGAGACTAAAAAAACGAAAAACATACAAGGGTTGAAAATCGAGAACAAACACACTGGCCATCTTCCTAACCGGGAATAGTTGTTCTTCCTTTTTACGTGCATTTTGACAACCCTCTTTTGCGGTGTGCGATTTCCTTCGTTTTAATGTTGCGTTCCGTTCAGTCTGCGAAACTACTTCTAAGTGATAGATCCTACGAGTACGGAGTAGAGATTCTTCAATAAATCAATCTTGGTCATGTTATTCGATCTCAATAGGATGAGAGACTTTATCTCATACAGTAATTCAACACAGCTAGAGATTATATAGCCAAAGTAGGAAACACTCTTTAAAAAAACATAGACTCATCAATGTGTCATTGATCATATTAATTCAAGTGTAGGACTGTTTCAAAGACCAAGTCTAACTACACATTCCAATGCATTTTCTCAACGGGTCGAAACATGCCGCTCGTAATTTTTTACCAACCCATTCCAATAACGCCGCTACGCCGCTCTGGCTTGCGCAGTTCAATCATTGTTTCATCATCTCAATTGTATGCACTTCATTTATTCGTAAAGATCCATGCCTCCGTTAGGAGCATCCTCAAGCTCGAGCATAGCATCGTCATCATCGTACATGTCTGCATCCTCCATGTCGCTGTCGGTGTGGTTTGGCAGAACGGCGACCCGGCCATCTTCCAACACAACGTTAGCAGTTTCGCCGTCCCTGATGGCCCCTCTGAGGATGAGCACAGCCAACCGGTTGAGGATCTCTTTCTCAATCAGCCGTTGTAATGGACGAGCACCATAAGCCGGCGAGTAACCAGCGGCACCAAGGTAGTCTTTGACTTCCTCAGTGGCGTTGATAGTGATCTTCTTGTCATTGGCCTCGAGACGCTTCTGGATCTCGCCCAGTCTCAGATCGACAATCTTCCTGATTTCTCTCCTAGACAACCGGTTGAAGATGACGATTGAGCTGATTCTGTTCAAGAACTCGGGCAAGAAGTAGTTGCGTAGAGCATTCATGACCAATTCGGAAGTGGTGGAGTCGATCTTGCCGTCAGATCCGTTGCTGCGGGACAAGTATTCGGCACCAAGATTGCTGGTCATTACGACAATGCAGTTCCTGGCATCGATGACACGACCTTGGCCGTCAGTGATACGACCATCGTCCATGAGCTGAAGCAAAACGGTAAGAACTTCTTTCGCCGCCTTCTCAACTTCATCGAATAACAAGATTGAGAATGGTCGTCGTCGAAGAGCCTCCGTAAGCTGACCACCAGCGTCGTGTCCAACATAACCCGGCGGGGCACCAATCATTCTCGATAGAGAATGCCGTTCTTGATATTCTGACATGTCGAATCTAATCATGGCCTTGGCATCGTCGAAGAGGAATTCGGCGAGGGCCTTGGTGAGTAGAGTTTTACCAGTGCCCGAAGGACCACAGAAAAGGAATGATGGTGGTTGGTTGGGATTTGAAAGGCCAGACCGTTGAAGCCTGATGGCATTGGAGACGGCCTTGACCGCTTCTTTCTGTCCGACGACCACTTTCTGGAGATGCTGTTCCATATGGAGAATCTTCTCCTTCTCGGAAGCCCGCAGTCTGGTCACCGGGATACCAGTCATCTTAGACACGATGGCGTTGATTTGTTCTGGTCCAACGGCGTCTGTTGGTGAGACCTCGCCCATCGCTCCAAGTCTGGCGTGCTGCTCCGCGTCGGCTTGCGCTCGAGCGTTCTCCAGCTGCTTGATTTTGGCAGTGACATCGGGGATTGCATAGTAGGTCAGATCTGAAGCGGTCTGAAGATCGTTGGATCGTTCGGCCTCGTCCCGCTTGTTCTTGAGCTGGTCGAGCTTGATCTTCATGTCTTGAAGTTCCTTTGATCGAGCCTTCTCGCGTTCATAATGTTCCTTGAGGGGTTCGAGTTCCTCTTTGCAGTTAGCTGCTTCCCGCTTGGCCTCTTCCAAACGTTCGACGGAGGCGGGGTCAGTCTCCTTCTGCAAGGCATGAATTTCAATCTCAAGTTGTCTTAGTTTTCTTTCCAGGTTGTCGAGTGCTTCGGGCTGGGATTCTCTGATTACTCGGACATCCGCAGCGGCCTCATCGATGAGATCCACGGCTGAATCAGGCAGTCTGCGCTGGGTGATATATCGAGCAGCCAGCGTTGCCGCCGCGACAATGGCACCATCGAGAATGGTAACACCGTGGTGAACTTCGTATTTCTCCTTCAGCCCACGCAGGATTGATATTGTCTCCTGCACGGTTGGCTCCTTGACAAGAACTTGCTGGAATCGTCGTTCGAAGGCCGCATCCTTCTCAATGTATTTGCGGTATTCGCTCAGGGTAGTGGCGCCAATACAGTGTAACTGACCCCGAGCCAACATGGGCTTGAGAAGGTTTGCTGCGTCCATTCCACCTTCACCGGTAGAACCTGCGCCCATGAGAAGGTGGATTTCATCCACGAACAGGACGATCATCTCGTTTGAGTTTTCAATCTCCTTCAAGACGCCTTTCATTCTCTCTTCGAATTCACCCCGGTACTTGCTACCGGCCACCAAGGATCCGACGTCGAGGGAAAGGAGTCTGCAGGCGGCCAGATTGGCGGGCACGTCCGCGTTGATGATTCGCTGTGCGAGACCTTCGATGATCGTGGTCTTTCCAACACCAGGCTCACCGATCAGAACGGGGTTGTTCTTCGTTCTTCGTGATAGAATACGAATCACGCGCCGAATCTCGTCTTCTCGTCCTATAACCGGATCTATCTTGCCTTCTCGAGCCAATTGTGTCATGTCGATTGTGAATTTCTTGAGGTTCTCATTCTCCTCCTCCGCGTCGGCGGTCTTGGAGTCGACTCTCCGTGTGCCGCGTATCTGTTGAATGGCGGCATCGACCAGTTTATTGTTTGGAATGTTGGCTTCTCGCAGACAGTCTTGGATCTTCTGATCTTGCGCCAGGGCCGTGATCAGATGGTCGACGGCGATGTAGCTGTCTTTCTGCGTCTTCTGTAGTTCTTGGGCGGATCTGATTACTTTGGAGAGGGCAGGAGACATGGTGACATGGTCTGGAGGAGGGTCTTGACTGGGTAACCGTACAAGAGCCTTCTTCAGCGCTCTGTCGAGTTGTTGAACATCGCCGTGCGCTCGCTCGACGACTTGCCGGAATAATGGGGCGGAAGCGTGTTGTTGGGAGGCATTGACAGTTGTCTGCTGGTCTTTCGACTCGTCTGCGGGAGGGTCGAAGAGGGCAACTGCGAGGTGTATAGGGAGGATTTGGGTATGGGCATACTGCTCGCAAAGGTTGGCGGCGTCGCCCAGGGCCTTTGCGGCCTTGTCAGTAAACTGAGGACCGGCTGAAGCCATAGTCTAGTAAACTGAAAGTCTAATTTTTGGATAACTGTTTCAGGAATGTAGTCTGCAGGGAGGAAGAAGAAGCAGGGACATGGTAGTGGTAACAGATATATTGTGCTGGCGGGAGGGTCTTCCGGAAGCCCAAGTGAGAGTGACGCACCTTCGAGAAGCGTCGACTGGTTTCTTGCCGACGCTGGAGGACACTGGGACCGTCTGACAGAATCTTTTTTGGGCGCTGGCCGGTCCCTGGGGGCGCTGTCCAATGGCCTCCGTCGACAGCCTTCCAGGGAATTCGAGGGCACCACAGGCATGTCTTCGGGTATCAATTCCGCCACGTCAGACAGTGCCATATACCTTTTGGGCCTGAATTCCCTCCTCCATCCGGCCCGCGCATTGAATACAGTCAATCCACCATCATACCACACAACCTCAGACAGCTCCCTGTTGCCGTTGCAGATCAATGTTGTGCCGGCAAGTTCATCCGTCAATGGAACGCAACAACTCCCCGGCAAATGAACTGTGGGGGTGGATAGAAGAGTGCGAATAGGATCATCATTGCTAAAACTAATAGCTTATTCACGTATGAAGCCTGACATTTCTCGTTCCATACCTGACCTGTGTTCCCCTAGCGCTGCGCTATCAGACCTTGAGGACGAATTGCTTCAGGTAAAGATAGTCGGCCATGTTCTTATCCACGGTGTCTCGGATCACCTTCGCAGCCTCCTCGCCGTATTTCTCTTTCCATTCGGCGTCCCACTGTGCTTCTGTCTTTGCATGTTTCTTCTGCCTCCCGTTAGCTCGAATCTCAAAGACGAGACAAGGACACGGGTGGGGACAGGGGCAGGGGGAGGGTCAGGGGTAGGGATACATGAACACGGGAAGGGTTGGAGAAAGACGTACATGAGCCCTCGGCTTCAGGTCCTTGGAGTCTATCGCATCCTCATGAAAACCCTTCCATTTCTCGAATGCTGCTTTTGCTCGTTCCTGGTCCTCTTTGTTGTCCCAGTTCAGCATATCCTGGTTGAATTCTAATCCAACACTCTCGCAGTATCGCCGGAGAACTCCTTCTGGATCATCGAGGAGGTCATCAGCATCAATCATGCAGATTTCTGGCTTGTCGGCATGACCATTGACAGCACCATCCACATGTCCAGTGACCTTGCTCCCAACCAATCCGCTGTCCTTGGCATAGTCGAAGAAGCGACGAAGCTCATCGTATCCTGCTTCACTCGGATAGAACTCGTAAAAGCCGGTCATCTTATCCAGGGGCGGGATGCAGCATCGGTAATAAGACGGAATGCTCGAATGAGGGTCTCGAATCAAGAAGGTAAAATGAAACTGCTCCAGAAGGGCTCTGGGGACGATGGTGGGATTTCCAGGTTCGCCCTCGGTAGGATATGGAAAAGGTGCTTTCTCGCCATTGGCATGACTGTTGACGCCGTTGGTGACGCCGTTGGTACCGATTCCTCGCCTCTTGGGCATTAGAGATGGAGCAATTTTGGCCGGTTGCTGATCAGGTGGAACTAGGTAATACGTGATATCCTTGATGAAGACACGTTTGCCCTAGTTCGAGGTGAGTGGAATGTTTATGGATTTGGGCAAGCACCTGCATAACAGCAGGACTTTCAGGGAGAGACTGTCACACCTCAGATCCATCTCGCTCGAGACGATCGAAAATTGACTTGTATGTCGAGTCCGCGAAGCCAGTGGCTTTCCTTGCCTCTTCATCGTTCTCGTATCGCACACTCATCCTCTCCGGACTAGAGAGGTATCAGAAATGACATCCACTCCAGTCGGTCGACTTACCCGTAATAAAAGGCATCACCAAACGGCTCGTGTACGCAGGCTAGATCCTTTCTCGTCATGAAGACCTTGAACATTGTCAGCATAGAGGCAATGGGGATGGTCCGTGGTCCGAACACGTTCAAACGCTGTGCTGCACGCACGTGGGTGCGTGGCACAGAAAATGGGCTTTGCGTTGGCCATGACCACGAATGCCTTCTCTCAACAACAATGCTACAAGTCAGTTGAGAGGTCAGACGGAATCCGTGTTGAAGCCAATAAGAGGATAACAAGGAATGTCAAGGCTCGTTCGAACCCAGATAAAATAGCCCCTTTCGGTCAGCTAGGTTGGATGTCTCAACTACTCAAGGCAGTCTGGCGAGGACGAAATAACTAGGCCATGCAGCTGAGAGAACGTCGAGGGAATATATAACATCCCTCATTTCGCCTTACGAGCAGCGCCCGAAATGCTTGGGCAAAACTCAACGCTCCCTGCACTGGAACATCGAGCTGGAACACATTTTTCCCGAGGCGAATGATGAGGCCGAAGGGAGTGAAAAATTCGTCACCAGTGCTCCATCCGTCCACTGATGCTGAGGCTGGTCAATGATGGTCCGTGGCGGTCCAAGTGGCCTGCACGGCGCGATCTGGATGGCTGACACTTGCTACGCCCCGCAAATCCGGGCTTGTCGTTGAGTCCTTCTTTATCCACCCTCGTGCCAGGAACATGCGCTGATCATCGCTCACTGGCTTCGACGTGCCTTGTTTGGAGAGGGGTGACAATCGCAAAAGATTGCCTTGGCCTGTGTGATTGGAGAAGCGAGAACACGGCCACTCGTATCAGGGCTCGTTTTCTGCATGTCTTTGAAGCATGGCACGGACAGCAGGAATCAGCCGATTGTGTCTTGTCGATGCGACGTGCCGTGAGAGAAGATCCCGGACATACTCAGCGCCAGCGCCACCACGCCACCACGCCTTGTCACGTGAGCGGCTTGGCCCAGAACATGCCCTCTGGCATCCCTGGAGTGTGGATATCTCAAAGGTTCCATGTTCTGCGGGTACAGGTCAAGTATTCATGTTCATTATCCTTTTCATGACGTCTCAATAAACAAACCCAACCGAGCGAGGCAAATACTGTCGCCGGAAGCTAGAAAAATAAGCACAAAGTATCAACCTGGGTATCACATTCTCAACGCCACCTGTGCCGTTACATTATGTAGCAGGACCTTTTTGTCGTAAATCCATTTCGATCCCTCATCCCAGCTTCATTCACCCGTAAATCCATATCTGTACGATCCACAAAGGCCAAATACCCAACCAGCTTCCTTGTTACTCGCAAACTGCAGCATATACACTGTCTCCCGTCCCATCATGACACCGCCTGTATGCCCAATAACTTCGTCCTCTTTCCACACCTTGACCGCGATGCCTGTCTGCATGATCCGTTCGAAGCAAGATTCCCCCAGTACAGCATCGAGAAGGACCACGTCCGGCGCCTTGTTGCGTACAATGAGAACGCGTTTCTCGCGTCCATTGCCGTGAACTCGATGCGGAGTATGGTTGGAACTGGGAAGTCTCGGGCCACGCCGTGCCGATCCTGGCTCGACGGTCGACGGTGATCGTGAGTGCGCATGTGCGGGCGTTGCTGGGGGCGAAGGGGCCACACTCACACTTCTGCTGCTGTCTTGCTCAGCGGCAGGGACAGATGCTGGAGCCGGTAACACACTCAATCTCGCACCACCCATGTTCTCCCAGTGCTGACCTTTGCGCATATAGAGGCGTATCTTCATGTTATTCACCATGCCGCCGCCATTTGCCGCATCGGCACTGGTTGCGGGAACGTTTGGTCCATCTTTTCCGGGCACAAAGCCCACTTGACTGGGAGCCGGAGTACTCGAGCCGGAGCCTGTGCCTGTGCGAGTACCACTGCTTGATGAATAAAGTGAAGGGCCTGTTGTGCCTGTATCCCTTCGTACAACGGACGACCGATTAATGTTGAATGCAGGCTTTGCGCTGAAACGCCTTAGGGCTGAGAACGCGCTGGCCATCGTCCCCGAGCTTTCGACAGAAACATCAATGCTCGCTGGCGTAGGCGCCGATGAGGCCCGATAACTTGATTTCTTGGCACTGCCGAAGCTGAACCATGATGATGCACGCGATCGAGTTTGGTCAGAAGAGTTGACGTTGAATGTCACACTGGGCTGGTGCGGTCTTGCGCGTTCAAGTTCGATATATGTAGGGTTGTTGCAGCGTGCCCAGTTGATCATACTATAAAGTGCCTCACACGCTTGGAGATTGCTAGAACGAAACATGATGTTGCTGCTTGTGCGAATGCGTGAATTTGGGGTTGGCGGAGAGCGAATTTGGATATCAAGCGCAGCGCCTTTCCGGAGCATCACGAGAGGTGTAAGTTCGAACCCAACGAGAGGCTGTTGGGTGGGAGTAGTCGTTCCTGGAAGCGACTTATCTAAACTTGACACGCCGGGGTTTGAGTGTTCTGCAGACATTTCGAATGCCTCGATCAAGCCTGGCGTTATGACTATCGAGCACTCATCTGGGTGTATCATCTCCCATGCACCTTTATCAGACCATGAACATATCAGTGCCGCTGCTCTTTTCTTCTTGTCAGCAGGCACAACATTGGAGGAGGGAACTCTTCGATATGGCCCTTGGGAAGCTGAATCCGAGGGTGCTAATGTTCTCGTCCCGGTGGATTGCATGGAGGACGGAGGATGTGAGCGAATCGCAAGTGGCATTGAAGACGGAGGATACGTCTGTTTTGATGGCCTTCTCTCAGTTGGATTGATGGATATTAAAGGCGTTGCTTTGTCTTGTTGCTCGGTACTGAAGTCTTCTGATGTTTCGGATGAATCACTCACACTCTCCGTGTCATAATCGGACGAACTGTCCGAGCTCGTGGATGGTGCGTACTCATGCTTCAAAGGCGAAGATGTCCTTCTTCTTGGTGCTTTTTCTGAAGATGCAGGTGTTGTTTTCAGCTCGGGCGGATGATTTTCCCTCAGCTGAGACTGCGGCTTGTCCATGGTACGGGGTGTAGCAGAAGGTGAAGGAGACAGCGCAGGGCTTTTGATGGTTGGCGAAGGTCTTCCTTCTCGTACTTGAGCGGTTGGTGGAGGCACCGGTACATCCTCAGTGAATATTTGGCTTCTGGTTGTACTTTTATCCTGCATGGGACCTCGCTTCGGTTTATTTTCAGGCAGAAATTGCCCGGTCTTCAGAGGTTCTGTGAGTGGAGAGCCCGCCGGTCCAATATCTGCTTGCGATTGCGGTCTCAGCCTAGGAACCGAGGGAAGATCTTTTGAAGGAGTCGAGGAAGGAGCCCGAGCATAGACCGGTCTTTGAGGTTGCATCCCTTGCGCTGTAACTATTGGAGTTGTGTCTCTGCTTGGTGAATTTGACGAAGAGTTTTTAACGGGAGAAGACAGCGACTGTTTGAGGTCCCTTGGGACTTGGTTTGTACCCGGAAAAGGAGAGTCGTAGATGCGACCTTCATGACGCTCCGCGGCCTGGGATTCGCGTATGCCGTCTTTCTGTGAAGGTGAACGCAGAGCATCGTTGGGTAAGCGAACTGGGATGAGAGGATCTGCCATCCTAGTAACCTGGCTCGGTTCTGGTACATAATCAGCTTTAGTAGTGATGGGTCCGTGGAATGATGCAGTCTCCACGGTCTTGATGGATTTGTCTGAGATTGTTGATCTGTCTGAAGAAAGCATAGATGGCACTGAGTGCCTACTTGCAAGGGGAGCCTGCGTCTGATACTGTACCGGTCGTGGTTTCGATGCTAGACCTCCACCAAGGTTCAACCTCAGGGAAGGCCTTTCAGACGTGATCCTCTCGGTGTTTACGTGTCGGCTTGCTTCAGTTCGTGCACCAGATACCGACGGTTCCCCAATTGGTACTTCCACGTTGGAAGGCTCTGAGCCTTGACTAATGGACTGTGTTTCTGTCCTGCTTCCCGATGAGATTTCACTCAAAGCTTGATGCACTGACAAGTCCTTTGGAGGCTGATGGCGTTTGGCGAAACTAGGGGCCCTGTTGAGCCTTGGTGGCAGAGGATTTGAGCCGAGCATACTCATCCATTCTGTTACCGCCTCTTTGTCATCAGTCTTCAGAGCCAACAGCTCCTGCCACTCCTTCCCGAGCCCAGCGCGGCCGCGAATCATTATGACAAGATCGAACTCATCTTCGCCACGCCTTGCAGATATTGAGCCCCATTGAACAGGTGGGAAGAGAAGCCACTTTCCGGTATCATCAACCTCACAGATGAGTACGTCACCCCCGGGAGCATCTCCTCGAGCATTGTCTCGGTAGATCAGTTCAATACCACAGTCCATTCGTTGCCCAGAAGAGTGGTACAATGTAAGGTTGAAGAAATCTCGTGCCTTGACGCGACGAGTCTTATCAACGGCAATGTTAGCTGTGGGCGCCATTGTTCTGATGTCTCTGGTTCTTGTAGCGTCGATATTTGCAGCTGCTTCGTCCTCCAAGCGCGCTTGTTCTTCTTGGTGCCGTCGTCTTGCGAATGCCGTCAAATCAGTGAAAGAGTCCGCCACCTGCGCTGCAAGAGGTCTGTCACTTTGGTCCCGTATCTGGACAAGAGCCCTGCTGAGAGCCTTTACCCTCAGTAGCGGCCTCTTCAAGAGATACGCGACATCGACCTTCTTGCCCTCATTGTCGACCAAGTCTCCAACCTCATCGCGTGTCAAGTCTTGATCCATTGGTGCATTATCGAGAGGAGCAAGATTAACCACCACGTCTTGAAACCCCAATCGCCATGCTTGGAGATACTCTCTGTATGCTTTTTGAGCAGTCTGTGCCCAGCTCAGAAAGCTTTCGACAGTTTGGAGGGGGATGCGCCCGTGCAAAGATTTCAGTCGTTCCAGGGCGATGCCCATATCAATAATAGGCTTTGTGTAGCTCATGTCGTGCTGAGAATTGAGAGCAGATGAAAACAGACCTGCTGCTACAGCTGCATCCGTTTTCGACAGGACGCTCTGGAGCAGAACTGGAATGACTCCATCGACTAGGGTCCTCAGCTCTCGACTGTACCTTTGCTCGTCTGAGACCAAGCTTGCGAGGATCTGGTGGGCCGAAGCGGATTCTTCAGCCATTCGCTTGCTTCTTGCTCTGCGCGCCGACCGCCGACTTCTGCGAGCTCTCGGCATTGACAAGACAGACATCAGGTCCTCGTGGGTTGTAAGTCTGCGCTTAAGACGTGATTCCGGGTTGCTAGATGTCGCCAGCTGTGGTGGTATTGGCCCATCATCTGCGTCGGGTTCCTCGGGAGGCAAAGGCGGAAGCTCATGCTGCTTGGTGAACAAGGCCGCTTGTCCGACAGACTCTGCAGCCGATAGTATCTGTTGACTGTCCGATAAACGCTCATTTTCAGGCTGTGAGGCTTTTGTTCCCTCGAAGCTAGAAATCGATCTTTTGTCAGGTGTATCTCTCCGCCGTCGTACTCTCGCACCTGCTCTGCGTAACGACGTAGGTGAGCCATCAGGATCGTCTTTTTCTCTTATTTGACGACGACGGCGCTTCGGAGTCGAATCTTGGTCGCTCCGCGGAGAGTGTCTAGGCCTGTCATTTTCAGGTTCCAGAGTGCTTCTTGGTTCGGAAGAGAGCGGCGCGTCTGGTGATTGGACAGAGTCCCAGATGTGATTGGGATCTGGCACCTTGGTGTTGTCCAACGATGACTTTTTCTTCCTAGTGCGTCTTCTCAGAGGCGCTGGCATCTCCACTGGTGGAAGTTCGTCTGTTGGCGCTTCGTCCATGAAAGGATCAGGCTGTTCGTCGAGCCAGGCTTCAATGCTGGGAATCCTATTGCTTACAGGGATTGTTGAATCCGACTTCGAGAACATGTCTCTGGTTTTCCCCAACAGCCCGGCCTTCTTCGAACGCAACCCTTCCGAAGGTGCCACTGGAGCTCTGCCCAATGTGGCCACATACTTGCTCTGTGGTCGATCCCTTTGCCTTGATTCATTGACATCAGCAGATATGTCTGATGTTGCGTCGAACTGTCTAGATAAACGGGGCTGTATCCCAAGACCACGTGGTGACTCGTCTTGATTGTAGCTGGCAGCATCAGGAACCGCAAGGGAGCCCTGATTCGAAGTGTTCAATTGTGCACTCGGGTTTGGAATGACGCGGATGCCATCATTCGCTGGAGAGTTTTGGTGCAGGTCCGGGCTCTTCTCGAAGCTATACTTTCGATGCGGCCGCGGCTGTCCATTCTGCTGCTCTTGATTTGAAGTGTATGACAAGTCGTATCTTTTGGTTTCTACCCGTCCGCGCGCGGTTACCCTGGGGTTCTTAGAGTCTTTTGCGTCTCTCTTAGCTCTCCAATGACCATCACTAATGATACGCTTCCTTGGGGCACTACTGCTTCTCTCCGTTCGCGGCTGCTCCTCTGTCTTCTCTTTCATGCGTCCTAACCTCGGCGTGTCTAGATCCCCATAATCTGACTTCGGCCTCGAGTCGAAGGAAGCGCACTCAGACCGAGGCGTCGATCGAACGCTCAGAGCATCCGGATCGACAGCACTTGCAGCACCTTGAGCTTGCCATTGCCGAATGCGATCCTGCACAGAACCGTGATCGTGGTTGTTGAAGGCTCGATCGGAGGCTACATTGGGACTTTGCGGAGAGCCGAGTACTTCGGTACGCTGGGTGCTGTAGACCTTGTGGGAGGCTTTCGCAGGGACTGCTGGTCGCATCGAGGCGCCTGATCGAGCTCTCCTCGTCGTCAAGGACCTGGTCTATCCACGGCTATCCGAATCCTGGCTCTGTTGTTGTTTTGCTGTACAAATGTTTGCATGGCTGGGGTCCAGCGTCCGACGCAGAATTCTGCTTTGTCTTCGATACCAAGCACAGTCAAATTGACCCAAGACTGCACAGATCAGCAACTTCAAGAAATGTGGAAAGGCCGATGGGTCATGCAGCAGATATTCGGGCGCACACAAGCCTGGCGGCACACCGCGTAATGCATGGATCGTTATGTGGACGATTCGCTTATCGCAGTTTTGGCCCGGCAACCGCCTTCAATGCCGTAAACATTCAGCCCAAACGCGTACAGCTGCAGCCGCTATCATTGGTCAAGAGCTGCGTCGCAGCAACTACCACGAAGAGATCATCTTTGTACCCGTGCAATATCTCGAGGAGATCTAATGCCAAAATCTATACTCGGCGGAATCTATGTGTGCTGGTCCGACCGTAGCCAAACTAAGATGATCCCTGGTACTGTTGTGTTCTCATTCCCGCACCATTTGCTAGAGACCCGCCTTGTTTTTTTCTGCCCAATTCATGCACGCTTGACGTGGCCATTTTGCTTTGGCTTCTTTGCAACTCCATTGCCTTGTAAAGTCTTGGACATTCGATTCAACGCTTTGAATGCTCGTGCTGTGGTGATGACACTGTCTGCTAGCAGGCCTGAAATGCGTCAGACACAGTTCCGCACCTGCAACCTAGTACTTACTGCCCGGTATCACAATCCAGATGAAGTTCATGAAAACGAAGTAGAACCAAAAGTAGTACGCCTCTGGTCGATAATATGTCAAATTCTTGTAGTAGTGGTCGAATAGGCTTGTAGCGTAATAGAGTACGTCGCCGTAGACCTGGCCTAGAGAGACGATGGCTTGCACAGGATAGCGCAGAGGATGAGAAGTAATGATGAGATATATCATCAGGAAGGAAAGAGGACCCCAAAAGATCTGCCAGTGCGTCAATACCTTCATTCATTGCACTGAGGATTGTCTGATGCCCTTACAGCGGTGATACTCTCCATACATAGGACAAAGGGGTCAGATGTGAGGTATCTCGAATCGGACAACGCGTATTCCTTCCAAAGCTGACCAAAAATATCTTGTGCTCCCCCCATTCGAGTGTGATTGTAGGCAAAGTACCCTTCGAAGAAGAGATGTATCGAACCAGCTTCGACTTGTCAGCCCTCTACACCAATAGACTGCAGAGAGTGGTCCTTACTCAAACAAAACCACAATACTATGACTCTGTCCATGGTCTTCAAATGGGGTGCCAATCTTCCGCTGAATAGCCATGTCGTACCCAATATCACGGCACACCCGGCAGCAAAGACAGCGAGCAGTTGGGCGACTGTCTTGTCATTGGCAACAAAGTTTGCTATCTCGACACCGACAGGATAGAAGGGATGAAGTGGTTCCAGCACTGTCACCGGCTCGGGCGGAGAGGGTGCTGTCCACTTGAAGAAATTCATGACTGCAGGCCAGCGTTTGGTTCTGGATGTACAGGTGTTTCGTACCCTAGCTGCTTGTCTAGGTGAGGTGGTGCTTGTGCTGGTCTGGCAGGAGACTTTGAGTGAAATGAAGGACAGCAGAGGGGGAAGAGAACGTGGCCAATATATTAGCTACTACAGTCAAAAAGGAGAGCGACACCTGGCGAGTCTGGAATGGGTGAATGAGTGAAATGTTCGCGAGAGTGCAGCTGGTGTTGGCTGGGCGCAGGCTGGTAAGGCACGCGCAACAAATTTCTGTGTTGAAATGCCACCCCAGACATTGGCTTCGCCTGGCCCACCCTATGCTTGGGTGGCTTGAAGGACCAACCTACAAGGTACAACCATCATCCTAGGCGGACATCATAACTGGTACGGGTGACGTTGTATCAAGTCACAAAGTAGCTGACGACATTTTTGAACATCGCTGAACATCGCAGACAGATGTTCATGTAGGTGAGACTTGACGTGATCGTGCAGATAATTACATGTACTAACAGATCGTCCCTGCTCGCCTATCTCACCTTGCTTCAGGTACCCAGGCCAGCGTGGGGAATGCCTATGTATCTCTCCATCTCGACCTAGCGACCTGACCTGCCTGGAGGGCATTCAAGGCACCTTTTGAGGTAAGCCCTCGCAGTGGGTAGGCTCATCCGTCACAGTGCACGGGACGAATACTCATTTCTGCCTTGTTTACTTGTCAAAATCCTCATCCGACCACCAGACAAGCCCGTCCAACGAGCTTCAGCATTCCGTGTTTTTCGGATAATTACGTCAAGGGATCCCGGTCAACTCTCTATGCACGTACTGCCCAGAAAGAGGCGACGACGGATCTCTATGTTCAGCCATCTATGAGAATATGGTGGCAATGCGTGATACTGAACCCACAACCCAGACGGCATTCACCTGTACCAAAGTGGAATAACATACGGGAAAGTTCGCGATCGCCCGCATAGGATTCCCCCATTAACGGGTGGGATAAGTCCTTGGGCACTTCCGCACCGCCAGACCTTGAACACGCTACCCAGTCTGCGACAAGACAGCCAACTTGGCTCATGCATTGGCGGGGTAGCCTCACTAGCAGGGCTGTTTTATACTCACCCTGACATATCGCTCCTTTACAAGCCCTTTAAGCCAGAGAAGTTGAGAGTCGGAGACTCGCCCTGCGCAAGCGCCTAAGCTATAAATGGCTAGCCCACTAGCCCATGAACTCCGGAGTGTGATGCTTGTACTGCCGTATGGAGTCCCCCGTACGGAGATAACCATAAATCATCATCACTCTACCCGAGGGTGTCGACATCTGTGAAAAGAAGTTATTCCTTCGTGGACTTTTCGTAGACGCTTCCTCAAGTATCGTGAGTCCATAACTCATCCGTGAACCCTCGGACTGGGCGTAGTTCACACCGCGAATCGCTCAGACAGAGATATAAACGACCAGAGAGCGCCTCCTTGGCCTCGTACTGATACCAGTCAGCGCTTCCGATGTGTTCACTACTGGATCTCGCCCCCGAGGTCCTACATCACATTTTCACACATGTTCACCCTACAGACCTGTCTCCATTGTCTATGACATGTCGATATTTCAACCAGGTCATCCAGAACGACGAACTTCTCTGGAAACACCATTATCTCTGCCTATTTGTAATCATCATGTCTGATGCCGGGAACCATCTTATGCTGACCGCTTCACCAGGATCTTCCTCCGGAAGATGGTACAACCTCTTGGAAAACAAGAACAACTCAGCTCGTCACCGCCATAAAGATCCTGGAGGCTGATGATGAGAGCGTCAAGGACAATGCAAGTGCACTTATTTCGCGCGGGGGTGCGAGAATACGTCTCTGACTAACCCTCCTCCTAGACCGCGGCTTTGCAGGAAGTGCTAGAGGCCACTCTCAAGCTCATTGAAGTCTCGGTCTCCCAGTCACCAAAGAACACCGACTTTCTCGCCAACCATTTCAAAAAGGCCGCGAATCTCAGCGCCTTTCTCTGCAAATCCAGCCTGTTCCCCCGCGCCGCGCCTGGAAAGTGGACTGCTGCACCCACAGCGGCGCTTCGACAGCTTTCCGCCAGGCTCCATGTGCTCGGTGGAATGAATCTTGAAGATCCGTGGCCCCGAATCGACGGACACACATGCATCCACATTGCCGCTTCTCATGATTCAAGCGCCGAGGACGACGCTGATGACGACGACAGCAGTGACAGCGAGGACGACAACACTAACGCTAACACTGGCACTGACAACAACAATAACGAGAACGATACCAACAACAACAACAACAACAACAACGAGGACGACTACAACGATATTGACGATATTGACGATGACGACGCCAACGACGACGATGGCACCGATGGTGGTGAATACCCAGAAGTTGTCAGCCCTGCAGCGGCCAGTGCAGGTGGAGACGCATCCACGCCCTCCACAAGTACATCGACGACCTTTTCGCCGCAACCCATCCGCTATGCACACCCGTATGCTCGATCCCAAGTCTACGACTTGCGCCGCTACACGCAGGCGAACAAGTGGGGTCCATTTGTGAGTTGCTCGATGCTATTCCTATTCTTGCCAGAGAAACGCAGGGATTTCCTCCCCCCTCTTACTAACATCAATGGCCTGCCTACATAGATGGACGACGGCTCCGGACGAATCGACTGGGAAAAAGTTCAAGCCATCATGATCGTCATCGGGTTCAACTACAGAATGTACGCCGAGCGCCGCGGGGCGTCGTCGTCCTCGCACTCCGGCGTTCTCCGGCCCTGGGACGAGGCCTTCTTCGGCATCGCCACCAACAGCTACGTATCCTCCCCCTTGAGCGGCAAACTCAGGCCCAGCCTTCACCCCGACCTCGACGCCGTTGACCCTTACGGCGTGACGGGGACTTGGATGCGCATCGTCTGCTTCCTGGACTTCAACGACCTCTACGCCTTCAACTTCGAATCCGGCCGACTTGACCCCACGCAGGACCGCGAACCGCTGACCACGCGCGAGGCCTTCCGTCTCATTCGACTCCAGCTCCACGTGACGGCGGTTGATGCTCCCAACCCCGACCTCGGAGACGGCGACATGCCCGTCGTCCACTTCCAGGGCACGAGCCGGAGCACCTTCATGGCCTGGGATCCTAACGCAAACAGTCGAATCCGCGGCACCGTGAGGAAGACGGCGAGTGGTGCGATCCGTTGGACCACATTTAGCATTTTCCATGGAGAGGTAAGCACCACCATTATCATCATCCTCATCCTCATCATCAATGAACCCCGCAAGCAACACATCCTCCCCAGTCGGTCGTCGGCTTTCTCTTTCATATCCTTCTCAGGTTTCCTTTTTTTCTTTTCTGACTATCGTGTCTTTTGTTTCGCGTGAAATAGGAGCGCTGGCGGTCCGAAGGCGTACAAATCGGCGGCATACGCTCCGCCCGGGGTATCCTGGGCAACTGGTTCGACAAGGACTACGACATCCACGGTCCCGCAGGGCCGACGGCCTTCTGGAAAATCAGCGACGAAATGGTCGAAGAGGCCCACCACAATCCGCCTCCCATGGTTCAAATCTTTCTGAACGGAGGTCCCTAGAGCCCCAGAACATGGAGTCATGTCAGACTCGCCGGCCCCTTAACGATCTTACACAAGCGAATATCGTCGCCCTCGCCCTCGCCCTCGCCTAGTCTTTTCCATCGTCAAACCAAACAAGGAGTGTAATGCGACATATTCAACTAACCATGCAATACCACGCTGATGACCAATGAAAATCATCATCATCACCATCATCGGCGGTGGGCAACGGGATAATGTTCTACGGCGCAAATGGCACAGTGAGTATAAGTTTGTTAAAAATACAAGAGGCAGTAAATGGGAGGGAAAGACGCCTGCCGAGTAGAATGAGGAAATGAGAGTGTGGCGGCAAGTGACGAAGGATATTCCAGGATGTCTCTGATTTATCTGTGATTCATGTATGCGTTTTCTGGAATGAATGAGTACACAAAGTAGCACTTCTCCCCGTATAGACCTGAGCAAGCGAAGTTACCTCTCTTGGATATCCAAGATAGTAGAGCACACCTTTTCCCAACTTGCATCAAAATGATTCGGGGTTGCTCTGTTTCCTTAGACGTTCGCAGTACGATCGGTCCAACGGCGCGAATTGCGAAATTTAAAAAGTGCAGGCAGAGTGACGGAGCCTTGCTCACAATCGAATTGGCGCCCTACATATTTCAGGTAGGGAGACTTGGGAGAGAAATGGATTCGCATTCGCATGTACCACGCAACCAAAAGGCTGCGACCAGGGGTCGCATAACTGACCCAAAAAGAAGTGAGATACAGTCAGAAGCCCACCGTAATATTCCATCATACCAACACAGCTTTGGGTATAAATTGTGCCGGTTCTCATCGGACAATGCCCAAAATATGACTCCTCGTGACTGAAAAAAGTTTTACATGGTCGGAAAACATGACGACCCCGAAGCAAGAAACGCCCGCTAAACCCCCTTTCAAAGTAGAAAGGAAACCATCCACATCTTAATCAATCTCCATTCTGTTTGCTGTTGGTCTTGCCGGAGGATACTTCGAACCACTGGACATTTCTGTTGCGTATTGTGCATATGCACTTCCGATTGGCTTCTCCTCATCGTCGGCGTTTGCAGATTTGTAGATATATGGTTTGAGACCCTTGTTGTAATTGCTAGCGCATAGACATGCGTTTGTGATGGTGAGGAGGATCGAGATGATGGTCAAGACGGCAAAACTGGTGAGTTCTTTGCGTGCTGGAAGGTACGGGCCTTCGTGTGAGGGTGAGTACATGCGGACCATTTTGAAGATGAAGTAAGCGAGACCACCAAAGTACAGAATCTAAGGAGATAAAGTAAGCATCAAGGTGATCATGCGCATGGTGGGAGCAGACTTACAATGACTCCAATGGTGCCCGCGAGATTCTCCCTCCGCACAAACCATGCGGCTGCCAGGAGGATGATGATGGTCACAGGTATGGCTGCGATAGTCAAGGCGAATTCGGCTCGGCGCTGAGTGACAATGACAACAAACTGGACAGTAAATCCGAGGAAGAAGAAAAAGTCGAACTTCAGCAGAGCGATATAGATCTGGTACTGGAGGTAACGTCGCTTCATCCTCAAGTCGGCCGAAATGCGCTTGTAGATCGTCCAGGCGAATTCGTCATACAGCTTCCAGGCGCAGCCGGCCAGAAGAGCTGTCCCGACGCCAATGATGGCTGGGATCGCGATCAGAAATGGCTTGGTGTCCTTCCAAACCTCCATTTGTATCGAACCATCTTCAGACAACTGGAAGACTGCGTCCTTGATCTGCGAGATCTGGACTGCTCCATATATAAGCAGACCACCATTATACATAACCAAGCCAATGACTTGAATTGTGTTTTTCATCCGGAGGGCATCCCAGACCAGGAGCAACTGGTAGAGGAAGCCGAAAATGTACAAGGTCAAGAATGTAGGAATCGTTCTTGAGGCCGTCAAGTTGGTGCTAGTGGACTCGAGATGGATTTGGAAATGAGCGAATGCATAGCTATCCGACGCGTTAGCCAGAGATCCGATATGTCTTTATGCTGACCAGGGCCTCTTACCATTCAAAAGCGAGGACGATGCATGCTTGCGTCAAGGCTATCAGGCTGAAAGCCCACGTCCACTTTGAATTCGGGACGTACATGATCGATCGGGATTTGCTCCTCTCGAAGTTTTTCACTGCATAGCCTTCACGTTGATGATAGCCTCCAGCCAGAGGTTGATAGGACTCGGGCTGGCCTCCCAGGAGGGAAGAACGAGCTTCGTGGGAACGAATTTTGGCGACTTTTGGCGCGACTAAAAGGTATGGCTCGGTGCTATTGATCAAATCCACCACAGGTCTTCAGTGGTGGTTCGGCGCAGGGGACGGGTGTCCGTAGAGAGTTGGTGGAAGGAGAGTGAAGTCTCAACACAGGATGGTCTCGAGAGTTTCTGTCGAACTCGAAAACGAGGGGGCTGTCTTGTGGTGACGGTTGGGTCAAGGCGCGAATGGATTTTGGCACCGGCGGCTGAAACGTTCAGGGAGGGGGGCGTGCGCCTATGAGAATGGTGGTCGTCCGCGATCCTGGACGACTGGCAGGCTAAGCGATGGAACGATGGAACAATTCGAAGTGTTGGACGTTAGTAAAGGTGGATATTGCGAGAGGGCGTTTGTGAGCGAGAGAATATACAAGTCAATGTGATGAGAAAGATGGTTCTACGGTAGGAAAGAATATGAGGACTGAAGTGTTGTAGAAGACTGTTGTGTGTGTGGGTGTCAGCAGTGGAACACCCAAGAGGGATGACCCTGTATAGGAGAACAGGGCAGAACGTTGACTATGGGGGCCATTTTAGGCCAGCATCCCCTACAAAGTACCCCGTAATTTGTACAGCCATGAAGCCATCCATCAGCCTCACCAGCCAGTGGCTCAGTGAGCCGTCAGGCCATGTGAAGGTTACTCTGGTGAATTCCCCTAGACTGTACTCCCTTCGAACAGAAGCTATTTATCCAAATGAAGAGTCATGCATCTTCACCAACCTTCGCGATTCCTGCGTCGAATGTGTTTGATGCTTCGGGGGCCGTAACCTCACGTCAGGGCCGGTCATAGTATTCTCGGTTGTTGTGCACTTTGGTCCTTCTCCTCGTTTTCGACTACGCCTGTGCCACAATCTTCCCTGCGCCTCAGCGTCGAGCACCCACCCAGGCCAAATTAGTGGGCTGCGCCTCATTATTGAGGCGACAACGGTGGTTTCCTGCTCCGAGACTTCGTTTTCATCCATGTGAATTCAATCGGTATCGTTGTCAATCGTCACATCGTCACATCGTCACGGCAAAAATATATCGGCCGTGATCATTGTGCAATACGGAGTTGAGTCCTTCACCTTGATCAACATGCATCGCATAAACTTTTTTCCCTGTTCCGAGTCTCGAGTACAGACGGACATAAGATTCCGGGAACAAGCTCGGCGAGGCGGCCGCGGTAGAGACTCCTCCATCCACGCCCACCTCGACAGCAATTGATATGCTCGTTCTCGACTACAGCTTCGTCCACCTTCACTCGAAATGAGACTGCCTTTCCACTCTCCCTAAGCGATGTCGTGGACATAGGGAATGCCATGACGACTAACTCCGTTGACATGATACACCCCAAGGTATATATAATCCTGCCCTCGACAGACCGTCAAGTTTCACAGACATCATAACACTCTCCTCCAAGTGATCAGATGGCGAAAACCTGGCTAATTACAGGCTCTTCCTCGGGCTTTGGGCTCTCGCTGGCCAGGTATCTGCTTGCACACGGTCAGAATGTCATCGCGACCTCTCGCAACCCGAGCAAGACCCCAGATCTGGTCAGAGAAATACAGTCAAACACTCGTGGCCGCTGGGTGACCTTGGACGTTACTTCACCTGGCCAGAAGGTTGCCAAGGTCATCGAAGATGCGTGGAAGGAGTTCGACGGCATTGATGTCCTCATAAACAATGCCGGGTATAGCATTCTTGGAGCTGCAGAGGAAATCCCCGAAGACCAAGCAAAGGCTCAATTCGAAGTGAACTTCTGGGGAGCTATTCGAGCGACCCAATCCATCCTGCCTCTAATGAGATCGCGCAATTCCGGTACAATCGTCAACATCTCGAGTATTGCTGGGATCGACGCTCTTCCAACTTGTGCCATTTATGCGGGCAGCAAATTCGCTCTCGAAGCATGGTCGGAATCCTTGTCCCGAGAGGTAGCTTCCCTTGGCTTGAGAGTGCTCATTGTCGAACCTGGCGCTTTCAAGACAAACTTTTTATCCAAAGATGCAGCACTTGTCGTAGAGCCAAGCGAGGCTTACAAGTCAACTGCGGTCGGGTCTGTGCTCGAAAAGCTCCATAAGCTCGATGGCCAACAGCAGGGTGATCCAGGCAAAGCGGCGCGGGTCATCTTCGAACTTGTCACAAATACTGGGGTTGGGGTGGGCAAGGAGAATTTCCTGAGAGTGCCACTGGGCCCTGATTGTTTTTCGAGGTTTACTGAAACCTGCCGTCGGCGACAGGAGAATTTGGACGCCATGGAGGAGATCGCAAAGTCGACGAACGTGAACGCATGATCGTTATCATATCTCCCGTTGCCAGAGTTCAGAGGGTTTAGATAGTAGAAGAAATCCCCATCTTGTTGAGTTTTCATAGTTTTACCTCTAGCCTGGCTGATGTGGCTGCGTAACGAGGCTGAGAACAGGGCGTTTAACCTGTCATCCAGGATGGTGACTCCAACAAGATTGCCTTTGACTGGCGAACTGCGGGGTCCAGTCCAGCCACGACTCGTAGCCTTACTTTAAATTCTACGTTGTGGTACTCGACTCTATCCTCCTGCGCATACGTGTACGTTCCTCGTTGCTCATCTGTCCAAATCATGTCAGTGAAGAAAGTGCCCAGCCCTGTTTCAATCGCACGAGTCATCGTTTCGCCTCCAGCTACCACATTGGCCCAATCGACGGCCATCCTCCGAGAACTACAAGCCTTCGGTCCCGTTACCTCCTTTCACAGATCGAAGCTGACGCGGAAGCACACAAGCCGTTCACCAGATAATGGACTTGTGAAACAAGAGATTGAAGTCACCTTTTCGGATCCTGAAACAACACAAATGGCGGTGAACGCAAGCCCCTTCACCGTCAACTTTACCTGCAATGTTCCCAACCCCCAGGTAGAAGATCCCTTCAATCTACGCTGTCTAAAGGCACGGGAGGTTCCTCGGTCTAGAACGATGATGTGCCGTGTTGAACCACATATCATGAAAGAATTTCACGGGCAGAACGCTCTGTCTAAAGGGTTCTCTCCCAACACACAAACCAGGCTACATCAAAGCCTCCTTGACATGAAACCGCCTCCAGCCATTGCTGACGGGCTTGGAGTATTACAACCTGGTAAATCGGATATTCTCGACACAACGCATCTCGTCGAACGTCCACCTGACCTTATGACCATGTATCGACAGCCTCATAAACAGGCAGACCAACAGTTCCAAAACGAAGATAAAAAGACAAGGGCATCCACATCAATCGACGTGTGAATGATGCCTCCCAAACTGAATGCCGAGCACACACAAACTCACAACATGGAAATATCATCACCCTCCACGTGGCAACATTTTAGCATACACGATGCAGCATTGTCAAGACTGCAAGCGATACCCTTGCTCGACTGTCAAAGATAAAGCGTTGGCGGATCCTCTCCAGCTCACGCATCAACACCTAAATTGTCAGTTATCTCGGCAGGTCAGCAGGGCAGGATGTCAGGAATTGTACTTCTGTGGCCCCTTGCGCAAACGAAATTGCCAAAAGCCGCTAGATTTTCCTCCAACGCATATTTTGCCCTGCAATGGACAGGTACCTTCTCGCGGTGCTGGGTGTGAGTAAGCCCCATTCTAAGGGCTGAAACCAAATTCTGTCTATATATATACAAATACTAGCTGCGGTGTTGACTTTTCGCGTTCTTTGCGAGCCACCTGTTCAAGAATGTCCCAACATCATTACAGACACAAGAGCATTAGGTTGCATGCCAGTAATCTCTGTCGAGCCTCTTGCTCGGACTGCAAATGACTTGAGAAATTCTTCATTCGCTAACCAACTGCCACGTGGACGAATGAAAACCATCACATTCTTCTCATTAACTACTATGGCGCACCAGTTTCTCGATCCATGACTCCAGCTGTCCATGATCTTGGGTGCTGCATATTCGGTTATCTTGGGGTCCAACTCACCATGGACGACGAGCATTGTCTTCAGCGCTTTATCCTGGTCGAGAGACACTTCAGACGCAAGCATGGCTTGATACCTTTTGTGAGATCTAACCGGCTGAGCTGAGCGAATATTGACGTGCCAGGGAGAGAGCTCATCCCGCCTTTTCTACATCCTGAACACAATCCGGAATGGTCTGGACGAGTACGACCGCGCATGCCCTCGAGCGTACATCCTGATCATGATCTCCACCAAACGATCATGATAAGTGCAGAGCAATATAATGGCGATTCCTAGGCGCCAGTTCCATGCTGCGAAAAGGACGTCGCCCTACTCGCGAGCTTCTCTTTATCGCACCCTACCTTCGACCACTCCGATTTTGGCCTTTTGGATTCCGACATCGTCGTTGCATCTCGTCCAAGGGCGATCAACTCTTTCCGGAAGCCACCTGATTCTGCAACCGGTCTCCACAAAGGAAACAGCAGCAATTGCCATTATTTCGCGATATCAATATAGTAGTCTCTAGCGGTTTTGAGAAGCGTCAATTCCCAGTAACGCACATTTTCTCTGACCCTGGCCTCCTTGGAGTCTTTCTTCTCCATCAATACTTGTGCCTTCGGGGAGCAACCATTTACTTACTATACGAGCATTATTCATATCAATCAAACCAGAATACAACTACGATTCCGAGTATCACATCCAGAGCAAAAACACAGAAGCACAAGATTCAGCAGCAAAACGCTAAGCGTCAACGATGACGGCGGTCACCAACCCAACAAGTCTCACGGCAACAAAGTCCCCTTGGGGCATGAGTGTATATACCGTGCTGTTGAGAATTTGATGCATTTGAGCCTCTCCGACAGCTAGGTGTAGCGTTATCAGAAGGCCGGCCTAGAGTAAGAAAAGCGCGGGGACGATCGTTGGTTGTTCCAGGCCTGCTAGGGCATCGATGATATTACTTTGTTTCTTGATACAGCTCCTCGGTGGTTCCTATTTAAGATGCTTTGGAGCCTCGGAAAGTGGATCCTGTCGGTAACGCACATTTTCTCTGATGTGTTTGCCGGTCGGTTCTTCGAGGAATTACCTCCTTCACGCTACAATATCATCAAGAAGCGCTTCCAAAGCTTACTCTCATGGAACTGTCGAAGCTTTGGTACATCATCTGTGAGAAGCATCTTCTCGTTTAAGTTACATTAAAATCACATATCGATATCATTTCGAGTCTTCCGAGCCCTCATGGCCATTGCGGCGTTCTTTGACCTCGAAATATGGCAGGCTGACGCCGTCAATGCCTTCCTCAATTCACCGAGGCCAATAGAAGTTTATATCGAATACCCAGCTGGCTATTCTAGTCCAGGCAAGATCTTAAGGCTGTTAAAAGCCCTCTATGGGTTGAAAGAATCATACGACGCATTCACTGCGGCCCTGAAGGAACTCGGGCTTACGGGTGTGCCCACTATCAACTGTCTCTTTCACAACTCACACTTCCTAGTGTTCTTTGACGTTGACGACATCATGATCCTATATCACAGGAGCAAGGAGCACTCATTTCACCTATTCGCCAAGCAATTGCAGGAGCGCTTTAAGTTCAGGGTCATGGAAGACGTCAACTGGTTCCATGGAATCCGCATTTGCAGGGACCGAAACAACCTCTTTACCCTGTCGTCTACTTTCAACAGTAAAAGCCTCCTGTACGGGGGTGGCTCTTTGCAGGAGCCCGGTTACCGCCTCTGCCTCGACCAGGCCAGGAACGTGAAGAACTATAAACACTCAACCAGGAGTCCTTGCAAATCTTCGATCGATGGGCAATTGATCTCATCGATATCCTGCCGAAAACGCGAGCAGGTAATCGTTGGACCAAATATATTGACATTAAGGACTTAGGAGAGATCGACGAATTCCTAGGGATCAAAATCATCAGGGATAGAAAAAACAAAACTATATCTCTAAGTCAAGGCCTCTATATCGAGAAAATCCTTAAAGGGTTTGAACCCTTTAAAACAGGAAAAAAAGGGCTGCCCTATACCTCAGGGCTTAAAACTCGAACCCCTAGAAGGACAGACTAAAAAGGAAGATATAAAGGCCTATCAACAATAAATCTGGGCCCTCTTATATCTATCAACAAAGACTACTTCTAGCCCTAGGGGCCTCCCTAGACTGGGAAATCCAACAATGGGATATCAAAACAGCCTTAAAGAAAAGGTCTATATAAGCCAACCAACAGGCTTTAAAGACCCTAACCACCCTGACTATATATGTCAACTAAATAAAGCTCTATATGGCCTTAGACAGTCAGGGCGCGAATGGGAAGCACACCTCCGAGGACTATTAAACGATCAAGGACTTATCACTGCCATTAAGTACCTAACCGGTTGGCCTGTTGCGTTAGCTGTCTCAGATGCAAAAGCAGAAACAATTGCAAAGTTCCTCCACAATCAGATTACGATGGTTTACGGAGCGCCACAAGAGATTCTGTCCTACAACGGATCATTAGTCAAATCTAACTACTTCCTGAACACAACGACTGAGAGGTATGACCTCGCAGTCACCTGCTTCCAAATGGGACGACCTTTTAAACAGCAAAATCCCGGGTCCCGAGATGCAAGTTATGCGAAATTGATCAATTCTTCACGGATTGCCTTTATATAGTCGAAGCATTACGAGAAGACGGTTAGAAACCTGACCCACAAAAACTCCTTATGCTAGAAGAAATGGAGAAGAACCCTCGCTATACTAGGGCTATCAGGAAGGCACAGGATAAAGGCAAGAACCTTACTAAGTCCACCAATGATAGACAATCCAAGGAGAAGACCAAGGAGGCGGCGTTCACAGCGACCATGGCCTATTCAGTCTCCGCCTATCACAAGGCTTTACCAGACCATTAACTGATAGGTGTTTCAGGCGAAATCGGTAACCAGGCTCATAACTGTAAGCGGCACATCTTGCTATACTTCCTCAACAATAACCTCAACATGTCGGAACTAAATCTCGAGTCTCAACCAACGAAATCAATCACAGTCACCCTTTCCAAGTTCTCTGATTGGAATAACTAGTTCACTTCCATCAAACTATATACCAAACACCGAGGGATATAAGAATATATTGACCCCGATGTCAGCAATCCTCCTACTCCAAAGTATCCACCTATTCCAGACTTACAGGACTTGCACCAAGATAGGCAGACCCCAGAACAACAGCGAATGAATCTTCGCTTTGTAAAACGGTAATGGGAGCAACAATGTAAGCGATATGAAGACAAACTTAAGGCCATCGATGCCCTAGGTATTCAGATCACTGGAACGGTCTTAGTCAATCTCATGGTATACCTAGAAGGAGAACACTCCCCTTATATAACTCTTCGATGTCTTCGCCAAAGGTTTGGTCCCACTGATTGAGCTAGGGAACGAGATATATTGGCTAGATAGAAGGATATTGTCAAGACTTTGAGGATCTATCAACAAATAGATGACTGGCTAGATAAATGGCTAAAAGCCTATAATGATATCTAGTGTCTAAATATATTAATCGCCGTAGAAAGATCTTTAATCTATAAGTTTCTATAAGCCGTCAAGACACTTAACTTAACCTTACAAGATCTATTAATATAAGTCTTTATAATGAGTAGATTCTAGACTCAGGATTCGACGTTTATATATATCGGCTAAATATATCAGGCTATATTTCTCAATGTTCTCCTCGCCCTGATGAGTCGCTAACTTGCGGCGTCGACAAGTATCTAATCGAGTTCATTGAGACTATCACCATAGACATGATGTCTCCCATAGGACCCTCTCAAATCGTTCTCACAGTCGTTCTCTGCGTTCGAGGCTTCATGACCAAAGTGGTTCTCATTATCAAGGATAGTAGTCAAGGGTATCCACTTCACAACTCAGGCACCTCCCAGAATAGAAGGAATATTCACCCGAGACGGAACCCCTGTTGGTTACGTGTATAATTATCACAATCACTTAACCTTCACACCTTGCGAATACTCAACATTCGCAACAACAACGCAACAACACAAGGAATATGAATATTCTGCATCTAAATGGCATCAGATGTTAGGGCACCCCGGTCCGGACGCCGTCAAGCATTTAGCGAGCGCGCCGCCGAGGGTATTAAAGTCACCGAGAAGGATGCTCCAACAACGACAGAATGCGAGACCCGTGTACTTGCAAAATCCAAACAACAGATTTCAAGGCAACTCCATAATGGTGAGAGGAACGGCGTAGACGACCCAGCTAGGCAGCATCGCCTATGATATAGTCTATCTCTCTAAAGGATGGGCTAGTGACAGTACCGTTCGAACGTGTCAAGTGCGCAGGCCGAGAATTTATTCTGGTTCGCGGAAACATTTGAATGAGAAGGAGCGTGCACTTCAAAAACCCTCGCGCAGGAGAATACAGAGTGCCGGGAGGACCGTTGAGAAATAAAGGAAGGGAAGAGAGCGCAGGAGCCTGGGACCGAGGAACATGCTTCCTCGCAAGATATCACAGATCAAGTCAATGAGTGGGAAGGGAGCGACGCCATCTGACAGGACAGCGAGGTGGACTGCGTCAAAAGACTCTTGAAGAGGTCTTTTTATGCAATTGAATTTAATGATTTGGTTCGTGGAGACAGTAGTAAAGAATGGAGAACAGTTCACAGTACAAGTACCCGAATTACTTTTGCCCGTGACACAATATCAGGTATCACACTCTTTTTCTCCTGGTGTTCAAAAGACATTATACTATTCTTCTGGTCAAGCGCTCCAACGAGACCACCAACTTCAAGTGCCAAAGTAGAGCTCCATCTCAAGATCCCTAAGGGGGTGGGAGGGGGGGGGGGGGGGGGGGGGGGGGGAGTGGTCGTGGCCGGAAGCGTGGTGGTGGTCGTGACAGGGGGCTTACGGGCCCGGGGGGGGGGGGGGGGGGGGGGGGGGGGGTAATTTATTATATGAATTAATTAACTATTCAGGGTGCTGGTGTGGTATCATATGAAAAAAAGAAAAAGAAAAGTAATATCGTCAAGTCGTCTGTCTGTGTCACTGTCACCGTCATCATTGTGTGCGTGTCGTGGGAAAATGGGAAAAAATTGGTTCTCTCTGATTGAACCAGAAATATGTATATGTACATGCACACAAGTCCTGATTCCTTTTTGCGTGGGTTCCCTCCGGGGTATGAGACCTCGAGGTGTATGTACCACCGTGTGCGGGCTGTGCCACCCACCCACCGACGCAAGTAGGTAGTACCCTACGAGTACCGGGACAGAGTCGATGTCGAGAGATTGAGGTCGCGATGGACGTTCACACACCCCCCGACCGCGGTCCGAAGGAGTTGCCTTGACTCGTCGACGTTTGATGAATGAATGGCATCTGGATTCGGTGTCCCTGGGGGCCCGTGGCTCGGGTGTCGCGTGATGCCCGACTCGGGGAACATGGCACCATAACGGTGGTTGAGGCAAACGTGAACGTGAACGTGCAAGGTGGTTTGATAACGGTCATGACGATCGAACGTCGGTTCAACTAGAAGCATCTATCACTCAGTCTCTGTGGACCCAGTCTCAATGGGTTTGGTATTGCGTGCAGAGCGCCATTGGGACTCGAAAGTAAAGGTGGGAAGGAAGGATACAAAAAGCAGCAAAGGTTGTTGTTGTTTCGAAGTGTAAGGGAGACCTGGGAGGATGCAGACAAGGAGGTAAAGGGGGGGAAGTGTGGAGGAAGAAGGGTAGAGACGAAGGGGTTGTGCGAAAAAAAAGTTAAAAAGCCTCAGGGTGCGAGATAAATGACGGGGACAGTTATTTCTCTCCCAGGAGGACATTTCCAGCAGATCGGGGTAAAGTAAAAACTGAAACAGAGGTAAACAAAATTACTACTCACAGTGGAAGTACAGATACACTCGTCCAAGGAAAGGCAGAGGCGCGTCCTCGAGATCGGTGGCCGAGCATGTAGAACTCCTGTTATGACGCACCAAAACATTAACAACCGAACAGAACAGACGCGCCGGTAACACAGACAGAGAAAGAGAGAGATGTGTGTGTGTGTGTGTGTGTGTGTGTGTGTGTGTGTGTGTGTTCCCCAGGTCTCTCTGTCATCATTTCACTCACACAAACAGGCGAAAGCAAAAATTATTGTTCATACATCATATCCCTCCATTGATTGTCAAGAAGGAAAACGAGAAAGGACTCGTAGGGTATTTGCTCATCAAAGTTTCAAAACCGCCAACCTGGCCATCCATAGTTCCCAAAGGGTATCCAAGAACAAAGGAGCAGTACTTCCATCTCTTCCCGTCTCGACTCTTCTCATAGTTAATTCTCATGTACATAAATATAAATAAAGCAAAAAAAGAAAAGAAAATAGGTATCACAATCGTCAAGTCGTCCTGACCTTAACATGGGACTCTCTATTTTTGGTATCGTATGCAGCTGGTTCGTCACTGAAAAAAAAACCTCCCAAAGACCTCACATTACAGCAATCAAAAAGCACAAACGTCGTGAAGAAGGAAAAAAGTAAAAGGCTCAAAAGGAACAAAAAAGAATCAAGGACTCACACTATGGGTCCTAGGTCCACCAGGCCTGTTCCCAGCGCTGTATGCGGCCCGATACTCTGGGGGAGCATTATATGACTCATCACGAACTCCTCCTCCTCCTCCTCCTCCTCCTCCTCCTGCACCTGTCCCGACCTCACCGGTACCGACTCCTTCTCCGAGTCCGACTGGAGCAATCGCGGCAATGCCCGGCTGTTGAATCAATCGAGTCGTGGCGGAGATCGAAGTCGAATCCTCTAGACTCAAGTGTCTTGTCCCCCTGAGCAGCGTGGAGTGGTACCCTCCCAGAGCAGTCATTAAAGTCGGAGTCATGGCAGTGGCCACGTCGTACCTCGGACTCTCACCGTCCACGATATCACCAATCTCCCCACGCAGAGCGCGAGCCTCGTACAGGCCGAACTGAGCCTCAATCTCGGCGGCGATGGCGGCATCCGACTCGTGAAGACCGGTGGGAGGAACACCGCCCTCGGCCGAAACCTGGATGGGCGTCTTGAGCGTGACGTGGCTGCCGCCGGGGATGGTGGAGCCAGGGGATCGGAAGCGGACGTTCAGCTCGACGGTGTACGTGCGCGAGACGATGCAGGAGTGAAACGTCGGCACAAAGACTTTGGGTTTGCTGGAGCCTGTCGAGTGCGGGAGTGCGATTGGGACGAGAACGCTGGCTGTGTAGAATGGTAGATTGACCTGGTAGGCGCTGCTGGGTTCTGGAATGATAGAGGACGCGCTGGACGACGAAGAAGAGTACGTGCTTGGTCGGCGCGAGACGTCTTCAGAGTCTTCCGTGTACGACGTCGAGGATGAAGAAGAGGAAGAAGAGCTGCAGGATGACCGTTTCCGGCAGTCCACTGACGAACCGGGCTCGTGCCGCGTCCACGCGACGGTAGAGAGGTTGCGTGAACTCAAGGGGACGGTCTCAGGGTACAGGCCGTACAGGCTCGACCAGTTGTCGTGCTTGCGGACTTCGGGCAGGAGCTTGAACGGCGCAGCGCCGAAGAACGTGTAGACTTTTAGCTTCGACGTGATTGATTGCAGTTGCGGCGGCACGTCATCTGGCGTACGCGGGTCAAAACGTAGATTGATCGTCGCCATGGACGCCACGGGTTCGGTCTGCCGTGTCCGTTTCGGGTGAGGCAGGCGCAAGCTTTTTGGTTGTGTGGTTTCGGCAGCCAGGTAGCCTGTCTTGCCGAGTTTCAACAGCCCTTTCCTCACAGATGTTTCCTTGCGCATGGCGTGGTCGCTGTAAGGCTCGTTGCTCAGGATCAGCGGCGGTGCTTCGTCGCGCGCAGGCACAATCCTGATGCGCTCAATCTGGCTGGCGAGTTGCAGCAGTCGACCGACGGCGTTGTACTTTGTCACGCGAGCACGCACGCTGTAGCATATCTGCGCCATGTCGGGGGCCAGGTCGTCCATCAGCGCGTGTCCGTCGCCTGCAATGCTGGCATCTCCAAGACTCGGCGGTAGTTGGATGTGTTCGTGCCGGATCTCCTCATGGTCAACCTTGTGCGAACAGATGTACGGAAGTAGTCGCTCTGGCACGACGAATGTGAATGGGATCCTGTATGTGTTGTTGGCTCGAAAAATGCTGTCCTCAGGCAGTAAGTAGTCGGCAATGGGTTGCTGGACTTTGAGAAAAGTATGTTGGCCTGTGGCGCGACAGGCTGCGGGCGCCGTGGCAGCTGTCCTTTCGACGTACGTTGCACCATGGCCTTCAAAAGTAATTGCTAGTTCATCAAACTCGGTGTCTTTTTCGAATTTGACCTCGATGTGTCCCTTTATCTCGTCGTGGGTTGAGTATGAATGGACAAAGTCGTTGTCACCAGCGAGAACGATATCGATCGCGTTCCTTTTGCGAAGTCCAATCGCATTGGCCAGCACCGAGCCTTTTCTTCCTTCCCGTGCGTTGGTCGGGAGCGAGCGAGAGCGCCCCGTATACGACGGCACGGGAGGTGCGGATGATAGAAAAGAAGGCATCTCGCCGGAGATGATGTGTTGGGGACTCATGACGAAGAAAGAAAAAAAGAAGAGGGAAACAACCTCCCCTCTCTTCTAACTCGTAGATGTGTTTATCTACAGCTGGATTGATCAAGCTAGTCTGGTCTGCTGATGATTCAGGATTGGGCACTGGGAGAACCAAAGAGGGGTTGATTGACGCCGACTTGCATGAGCGTCAAACCAGCTTCTGCGGGGAGTTCTGGATGGCTTGTGATTGTCAGGGTTGGCAGAGGCCGCCGAGATAACGGTCAAGGTGTATGGGACGGAAAGTCGGCAAAACCAAGAACTCGCGTGATGTCCTGCCCGGGATCGAGGCAGGTCTGCTTGGCTACTACTTGGTATGAGTGTGTACAGAAGTAGTACCGATATGGGAAGTGATAAGAGGTGATTTTCTTTCATTCAGCAGAGGAGAGGGCATTGAGATGTATGTATATATACACAGTCATAATGCTATCCGCGCCCTATACGGATGGGGACACAATATGGAGTGAATGCCTTGGGTGGTGGACCACATGTCTGGTACCGCAAATGCTGACAATTGCGACTCCCACACACAATACGCGGGCAGTTTGATGACCGCCTCTCACATCGGTGTGGCTTGCCCAGACAAAGTCTGTTGAAGGGCGTGGACGTAAGCTTGGGCAAAGATGGCGTCTTTGCGTGAGAGTGAGTCATGCGGTCCGGAGTCGAGAGCCAGCAAAGAAAAAACCTGCTATGGCACGGATCGCGTACACTAGGCCGGGTCAACTTATGTAAAGAGAAGTTGGCATGGCGCCCTTCCGTACTCGTGTTGAGTGATGCCATCAGGTTACCCAAGGTAAGAAAGGGCTGATAAAGACCGGGATGTAGGGGCACCAAGATGACGGGGAGACTAATAAGACTGGTCCTCCCTGAGAACCCTTTCTCGTGTTTGGTCCTCACTCTCACACACAACAAAGGTCCATCGAGCATGGGCTTTTCCCGAGTCCCATGTGGTCAAAGGTTTATTAATATGGAGTACTAGGAAGGGTCAACTCCACCCTGTACGCCCTTCGATGGCATACTGTACTGGTCCCTTGCAAAACCTCCACTATAGCCTCACCTCCCCAGTTTCTCTTTGTCAGTAGCCAATTTAAACCTCCACCGGTATCGCCATGTGCTCGCCTCGCTTACTCAGACCATGTCGTGATCCATTGATATCAAAGCACCACCCTCGATGTCGCGAGGCTGGATCATCGAGTAATGACTCCGTTCTCCAGACCATCCGTGCTTGCTCCTCGTTCTCCTCACACCTCGCCCGGAGCCCTGGGTCATATCCGACCTGGGCAACCGGACATCATGATTGTTGACAAGGCAGGATTATTAATACCAACACGTTATGCCCTTGATACGCGAACTTAGACTTCAGACCAACCCGTCTGCATCGTTGTGGTTGACCCCGGGAGTCATCCTTCTGGACTAGGTGTACACGGTTACTAATTGCCTTCTGAACAGTTGGCACATACAGTATGTGTGGAAGTCATTCCATTGTCGGTTTGTCGTGATATACAATCTCTAGACCTTTCTCGTGGGCCCATTCTCCCCCATGGACCGGTCCTTTCTGTAAACCCAACCAATCCAAAACCTCAGCCTCCGAGGTGAGCCTTCTTCAGTCCACCTTGACGTCGCTGTATATCCTTCGAACGAACATGTATGCCGTCAAGAACCCTATCGTTCCCGTTGCCAATGAATAAACAGCGCACGCCAGAGTGGTGTAGCTGAAAAACAAGAGGCTGCTCACGAATCCATCAATATGCAGCCTGGTGGCATAGTACCACACCGAGTAAACAAAAATCCAAAATCCAGACGAGCCGCCCACGAAAAAGGACTGCCACCACCATTGGTAGTTCTCCGCACAAAGTTGTATGTAAGTTGTAATGATTACAGTCTCGGCAATCGTGACCGAGAGAAGCGCCGAAATGATGCTCAGAAAGCCAAAGACATAATAGTAGGATGATTTGTCGAGGTAGAGTGACTTGAAGACAAAGATGAGTTCAATAAAGAGGACCGCAAAGGATGCGAGCCCGGCCCCCAGGATAAGTCCAATTTGGTGTTTGGCATACCATGCTTGGGCAGGGATTTGTCGAGGTATAGCGTTGGTCCGCGTTGGGTGTTCCCATGCTGAGGACCGATAATATCCCCAGTACGAACCGAGATGAACCAGGGGAAGCTGAATAAGGAGCCACAAACAGGCCAGACCCATGAGTGTGGTAAACGGGAGCGCGGTTGAAGAAGCCTGTGCCCAGCAAAAGAGGTTGAGCACAAAGACGAGACTGAAGACAAGGCCAGGGAAGAGCAACGCAGTCTATACGATCACGTCAGATGAAGCAATTCACTCGTGCGACACATCATGCTTACCATCATTGTGTTCTTGCGCCAATTTTGTCCTCCAAAGGTCTTGTATACCCGTCCGGAAAAGTACCCCGAGAAGGTACCGGCAACCACGAATAGACCAATGCCAACACTCCAGAATCCGCCGCGCCAGCTCGGGTTGATGACGCCAGCGCAGCTCAGCGACAAAAGCCCAACCACTACAAAGACGAGCTGCATTCCCGAGCCGATCAGGGGAGCAAGGAGTCCGCCATACGGAGGTGGTCGAAACACGTCGCCATGCAGCAATTTCCAGCCAGTGATCTCCTCGAGAGGCTCTTCGTCCGAAGACAATTCTTCGTCGGGGCCAGCGTCAGTCAACTTTTCAAGAAGACCGTTGGTCGACTTCTTCTTGTCGCTTCTCTTGCCAATGCGCAGTCTGGCTTCCTCGAGCACCCCATCTCCACGACCCTTGATGTCGCCTTGCATGGTTCGCCCCCAAATCACGACGCACACGGCGCCCAGGATGCCAGAGATGATGAGGGAATTGACAATTGCAAGCCAGTGGGTGAATTTACTATCAGCCTGGTCACTGAAGTACAAATCCCATCTGCTCGCCCACTCCACCTCTTTATCTTCGCGGAAATAAACCGAGTATGTGTAGGGAATGGTCAGGGTAGCATTATCGCTCGTGTCAATCTCCTCTTCTGGCACATAAGAGGAATCGGGGAACTGCTCTCGCAAGCTGCTGGTGTTGCTGGGCATGTAGAGGGCCAGGGGCTCTTGATCTCCTGTCACGTCGCGAGGACAGCCCGTTTCGTTACGATGGCCGGCCGAGATACTCTTGGGGTAGACCTCGAAGCCAACAATAACTTTCGCGCCCTTGTCGCCTGCTGTCCCGGGAGCTGGGCGCCAGCGAACGACGAGAGTATAGTGGTTGTAGTAGAAGTACTTTGGCTTTCCGGTTGCGAGGTCAAAGTCCTTGTAGCCCATCTTGAAGCCAGCTGCGTAGTATTTCCGACTCCGATCGACCGTGACAAAGGACGTGGCGCCGGGGAGGTTGTCGAGGATCCATTCCGTGACATACTCTTCTTTTATGAGTTCCTTTGCCCATTCCATGTCCGTCCGACTGACGACTCGATCGCACAGATATTGGCAGTCCACATCTTGACCCATGTCCACCTCAATGTCCGACGTCTTGATCCTGTCGCCCCGTAGAACTTCGCCGAGATTGAGGGGGATGCTGTGTCCACTCGCGTGCGACGAGCCATGGTGCTTCTGGCCAGTGGGAGGGCAGACAAAAGGGAGGTCAAAGTAGGCGTATTGCAGCTGACTTTTGTCCGAGTAGACCTTGTTCACGAGGAGAGGAATATTGTCATTGTCCTGATAGCTTCGTATTGAGTAGCCTGGCCACGGTCAGAGGACAAGGGACAAGCCTGCGGGCGGAATGTCTCAGTACGCACCTGGAATGTAGAAGGCGTGAGATAAGCAAGCGAAGAGCAGGACGATCCGGCTCAGCCAGGAAACGAGGTCGAGTCGGACGTCAGGAGACATTATGGGCGAACAAGCAGAACAGGACTTCTTAGCGAATGGAACCCGGCATACACCGGCGGCGTGTGCAGGGCAAAAAGCAATCCAGATCAAAATCCAAAGGCAAGAGGGGAGAGCATGAAAAAGAAGAAGACAACGAAGGCCCAGAGTCCTGCTGTACTGGAGATGGAAGCGTGGAATTGAATTAGCGAGAAGGATGATTATCCACCAATCTATCTGGGGAAGAAGATTCTACTATAGGCAACGATGCTTGTTGGGGCTGCGCTGATTGCAGGTCAGTCACTCCGTACGAAGCTTCGAACAGTCCAGAAAGGCCTTTCCTCTTGTCATCTTTCGAGCAGCCGCAGCCTGCGGGTGACGAGGGCACCATGTTCTCCATAATAATAATACCTAAGATTCTCCGTCAGGTTCCTCCTGGAGGCTGGAGTCCCACCAGCGCAGTCAGGCTTGATGAGCCGCAAGCTTTCCTGTTGGCGCCGGCTTCCGAAGCCTCGCTGCCTATACAACCACAAACAGGAGGCCACCCGGGCGTGCTTTAGCCTTTAGGTCCCTTTAGGCCCGGCAAGGAGGGAGTCGACACGCGCCACTGTCACACATTGGCAGCATTGGCAGTTCTGATGTTGCTCCGGAGCTCTTATCTTTACCCGAAGAGCAGCATCTGTACAGACTCAGTGCCTGAAGTGTCTGCAACCCATGCTTACGAGGCCACACTACGCCGCCGAACCCCAGAGGCTCGAATCACAGGCGCTTGATCGAGATTGAACACAGCACTTGTGAAAGTGGCTGACCTGGGTCCAAGCAGACGTCCGGGACACGTCAACCCAGCAGGGGCCGTTCCGGATGTACAGTACAGCAAGTGCCTAAGGGAACAGGGGGCTCATTTGTCCAGAAAACGAGTAGCTCGTTGGCCGACCGTCGCCAGAGGGTCTTGTGTTGCCTCCAATCGTGATGCTGGCCAGTGGCATTCGAGATGGGGATTGCCTCAGTTGAGACATGCATGGCGTGATGCAGACACCTCTCTTCCCGACTGACCCGAAATTGAAGGCCAACCAGGTGTCTTGGAAACACACCTGCACAAAAAGCGCACGATCTGATGAGCATCTTATCTATATGGGCACATTGTTCCGATTCCCTTAACGAAAATGGGATGAAAACTGCTGAATCGAAATAAAATGATGCGAATGGCCATATCTTTTGTGCTAACAGATGACAGCTCTCACAGTACCAACACATCTTTGGGTTGGTGCTCAAGGAGAGACCATGCTACTTGTGTAACGTCACGACTTCCATCGCGTCGACCACGACGCCTCTCGCGCTTCCGTCGCCTTGATCGTGGCTTTGAGCAGCAAACAGGACCTGTCCCCTACCAAGGTAGGTGCTGGGACACCCTGGTTGTGCAGCGCAGCCTTGTTTTCAGTGTAGTTTTGGAGCGCAGCCTCGCCATGTCCTTGGCCAATACCGCTCTCCTTGTACGCACCGAACGGCCAGGACCAGTGCCTCTCAGAGCACCGGTAACTCTCATGGCACGCTCAAAGCCCTTGGTGTGGACACCAGCTGCAAGATCATGATTGGAGTTGTCAGCCAGGGTCAGGACCTACTCTCCAGTTCTTGAACTTGGCAACGGCGACGACAGGACCGAAGACGACAAATGTAGCCCATGGATACGTCACAGTGACCAAGCGCTCTTCCAGAACTATACTGCCTCGCTAGCAAAGACTTCACAGGAACATCACAGAGCTACCAACCAGAAAGACGTCAAGCACGGTGCTCGTATAGGACGACGACAACAACGACATGCAATGAAGTGCGCTACAGGGGTGTTGGAATCTACCGAGGAGCAAAAGACACAGAGCTTTGACGCATTGACCGAGATCAGAAAGAGAAACGTCGAAGGCTCGGGACCGAGGTAGGGAGGATTCCATTTTTCGACAGTCTCACTGCAATGAGCATCCATACTCTCTCATCCTCTTTCCTCCCCTATAGTTCTTCGCAAAACGTACGCACGAGAGGTCCTACCTCATCAGGTGCTTCGACGCAATGCCAGTGGCCAACACCCTCCAGGACCTCCAACCGCTTCCTTTTCTCATCCGTTCCGAACGCGTCGAATATCGTCTGGCACCCGGCCAACGGTGCACTTTTGTCGACCTCGCCGGCAATAATGAGCATGGGGCACTTCACCGCAGCATAATCCGGGGGTGTCGCGGTCTCGATGGCCTTGCAATTGGCACAATATCCCTCGGGATCTTGGGCCATCAGCATCTCCCGGATGAAGCCCTTTTGCGTCGCCGTTGCACGGGGCCCCGTGGCGGCATTGGGAATCGTGTTGGCCATGGCTTCCATGCCCTCTTCAGAGTTTGGTAAGTACAATGTAGACGTAGTTCAGGTCCGATACAGCTCTCTGTCATGGGAGAAGGAGGGGGGAACGTTACTGGTGAGGTGGTGGTGGGACACGGTGGATGATGCTTCGGCAGAGTAAACTGACTAGAGTAGGACTTACCCTTCTGGACGACGGGGATGCGCTGCTTGAAGACGTTGGCGACCGCCTCGTTCGGATGGACCGGCCCTATACATATCCCTGCAACCACGCGGTCTGGACGCGTTGCCGCGAGGAACGACGGCACCATGCCACCCATGGAATAACCTATGACCACGGCCTTTTCGACGCTGAGATGGTCGAGGAGGCCGGTCACGTCCTCGGCGATGGCTGCGACGGACGTTGCGGTGCTGGGCACATACTTCGACCGGCCGGCGCCGTAGTTGTCGAAGATGATGCACCGGAACGACGTCAGGTGCGAAAAGATGGGAAAGTAGTAGTTTTGTGTAGACCCGAGCCCGTGGACGAAGACCAGCGTCGCCGCGGACTCTGCCCTGCCGCCGGAGGGAGCAATGTCCGTGTAGTGCAACTCGTGAGAATTGATGGTGGCGAAAGGCATGATCCCGCCGCACTATCCTCCCGGGGTGAGCAGGCTCTGGATGATGAGTATTATGCTCCGTGCCTTTGATCGACTTTGCCGGCTACATAATAATATCGAACAAGCAAAGATAGATTGTTCCAACGTTGGTAAAAAACGCACGACTGGGGTTGATGCTGCTGGCTTTCGGAAGAAGCTTCGGATGCCCCGAAACACCATTGTCGAACAACATGCAAGTCAATGCAGGAACCCGGCCCGACGACACACGCCGCCATCGATATGAAGTCATCTATATTCCGTATACAATGCATGTCTGGCTGCATTCTTGTTATCGGTAAGAAATCCCTAGGTGTCTACGAAATATATGAGTCTGGAACAATATCCGTGGACATTCTCCTGCTCAGCTTCCCCTCGCCGCTCTCGACCTAGGCGCTCCATGCTGTAGCACCCAAAAAGCCTTTCAAGACCGAACGATCAAATCATCCCTGTCGCAGCCGAAATGTCTGCTCGTCTTCTCAAAGCTTCAATCGAACTCCCTTGCTGAACTCAGGTACCAGCCATTAGACTGTACAAGTGTATGTCTCCCAATGAAACAAGCCCATTTTCCACGCCTGATCACTCCGGGTATTTTATTTCCTCCTCGTTCGCGGGTCAGCAAAATTGGATTCACGCCTGCAATATGCAAATCAATGTTCAAGATAAAAACAAAAGAAACAACAACCCTGGCAGACGTGGCTCGCCAACACGACTTGCCCACTCAAGGTTTCGAAGAGACTGCCAAAAGTCTTGTAAGGTGAAAGCATGCTATCCCATCCCAATGCCATTAGATTGGTTAATTTTTGTGTCGCGGATTCTTTTCTTTTGGACTTCCACAGTCCCTCAGTCCCTGGTCTGGCACCCACGCATGGAGGTCCCAGTGAACTCGAGCTTGAGGTCTACTCAGCATCAAGCCGTGGGATCAATGCCAATAGAATTTTAATAGATGCCGTTCTAATACGAACAAAAGAAGATGTGATGTTGATCAGCACGTTGGTTGGCTGGTTGCCCAAACCTCGCAGAGTTCACAGGGCCACATCCAGTACCAGACTGACATCCTGTACTTGAGGGCCTGCAAGATCCTCCAGGACCGGAATTAGGTCCAACAGCTCGTTATCATGGGCGTCAGAAAACCAGGAGCTGATCGGGACCGCGTGTTGAGGATGAAAAATGTACGACGTGGGTGAATTGTCGATAATGATCGTATCCTTCAAATCTCGTCCCACTTGTGAAAGGTCCTGTAATACTTTAGCAAGAGCTGGAAATGTTGTCGCAAAGGCTTACCTTGACGTAGTTCCCTTGATGGTTGCAACAGCTTTCTCTGAATAACCTGTGATGTACGACTTTATGAATATCAAGCTGATCCAGCAATGGATCGCCATACTTCGAGACGGATGCTGTGAAGACGACGACTTCGTACAATTCGCCCACCCTTTTCATGAATTGATCCACTCCTGGGCGTTTGATCACGTATACATTGTGATATTGGCCTTCGATCTCAACAGGAATGGTGAAATCGGCCTGGTTGAGAATCTTGAAACTACTGTGCACCAGAGTTTCGTCCAGATCAAGAATCAGGCATTTTCGTCCCTTCAGAGGAGCTTTGGCAGGAGGCAAAAGCCACGTCTGCTTTTCTAGAGCCGCATCCGGGACTGGAGGGATGTCGTTGGGGCTGACCTGCTCTTGCCGCTTAGATAGGGGAGGCGGAGGAGGTAGGGGTACCTGAGGTTGAAGTTCCGCAGGCTGTATCGGCTCATCTACTGGTTCAGGATCGACCTCTGGGACGGCAGGAGGGGCCTCATCCATGTCGACATCACTTGCGTCCGCGCTGTCGGCCTCCGGACCTTTCCTTGGGTGTTCTGGTTCTATCGGTGTCGCCGCGATAATGTTGACGTCTGGGTTGCTTGTCTTCTCGGGCGCAGATACAGTGGAAGTCTTGATATTCTGCTGACTAGCAGCACCCTCTGACCCAAATCCGCTCTTGCCGCCCGATGCCCGTACCGCTATGGCGGTGGTCTCACTGGGGAGAGGGGCTTTCTCATGGTAAGCCAGTTCTCGCGATATCCTGGGTCGTGAACCCTCGGCTGCTTGTTTCTCGGATATTGCTGGGTTCTCTCCTTCTACAGCTCGTCCAGGTATTACTGACTGATCAGTCGAGGGTTTCCCTGCAATGGGCTTCTCATTCTCAGCCACTTCTACCTCATCTTGTGGCCGGGAAACAGTTCTCTGCGGCGGGGGTTGGATCTTGATCTTCTTCGCCGCGACCTCGGGATCATCAGATTTGTTATCGCCCGGCGGCTCGTGGGGAATACAGCAATTCAGGATGGCAAGGAAACCACCTCGAGCTTTCTGACTGGTTTTTGAAGCTGGGCTTTGAGGCAGAGGTGGGACGGGCTCTTTAGAGGCATCGTCGGCTCGAGAGGCTTTTGCTGATCGTCTGCTGCTTCTGCTATTATTCCTACTACGACTCAGTAGACTTCTCTTGGAAGCTCGTCTGGGGAACGAGGGTGTGTCATTCGTTGCGGTGGACGGAGCAGGAGCAGTGGGGTTCTTTTCTGTCGACTTGATATGGGACGACGTGCGAGAAGGTATAGTGACCAGCGACGGTTGCTGGTTGACCTTATCTGTCATTGTTTCATTGTCCTGAGTCTCGTGCGAGGATGCGGCGGGAGGAGCAGTTGAGCTGTCGGTCGGGTTAGGGTCTTGTGCCGAAGCGCCTAATGAGATGGTGTTAGAACACAGCCGCGCGAATGCGATGAAGCAGTAGAAGAACACTGCTTCTCACAATATTCGAACTATCCTACCTGACGAAGGCTGAGTGGCAGCGCTGCCGCTCATGTGGGGCGAGCGGTGGCCGACGAAGACCTGATCGTTTGGCGTGCGCGCAGACGAAGGTAGCGGACAGATAGGAGCACCATGCGCCGGACCTTAGACCAGGAGGTAGGGGTCTGAAGAAGGAACTTCCGAAGTGGTCGCAAAGGGGCCCAAGGTCGAACAAACGGCCAGCGACGATGCGGCTGCGTAGGACCTCGAGATTGACGACGGGGGCGAATTGGGGAGGTGATGTGATGAGGCGTGAGAAGGATGTGGCTGGTTGGGAGAAGATCGGGGAAACGAGCTGGCAACTCGGGTAAATTAGATGGCGTGAGGATGGACGAAGTCGATCGGTAGAGGGAACAGGATGCCCGAAGACGAAGTACAGTCGATGCAAGTCTTTCTCGAGGGCGCAAAGGCGATGGAACCGAAAGTGTCGAAGTTGGCAAAAGGTCGTTTGCAGGTGGTGACCGGGTCAGACTCTCAAAGTGACCAGGTTTGATGACTGTCGGGATTTGAGATCAGCAAGGCAAGAGCAGCAAGAGGGAGAAGGTGCAATCGCCCGCGTCTGGGAGCGAATCGAGAGTTGGCGGCGTGTTGTATCGTCCTCCGCGACTACTGCAATCGTCGGACGCCACCTGAATTAAGTACCTTCAGGTGGCTAGTTCGAACGGAGCACTCCCTAGGTAAAGTCACTCCTGTGCTAAGTTAAGTACCTCCCTACGATACGGAGTACAGGTACCTATGGCCGCTGTTAGAAGGGCCAGTCACCGAACACCAGGGCGCCTGGGCTCACTAACCAGGCTTGGAGACGCCGCTTGAGGCTACAATATTGTAACTTAGAGCGCCTCGGGCTGCTGCTCTAGGCGGCTTTCCCGCCTGGCACTTCCGGGGCGAATAATGGAGGTGGCTGGCAGCGACTCACTCTCTCTTCTGAGCCTCTCGTTTGTTAGATTCTCCTGCCAGGACAGCGTCCCTGCTACGAGTCTCCGTCTGTATCTGTACCTGAACTCCTGTGTTCTCTGGCTGCTGAAGTAGCCGCCGACTCGACTCCGCCCTCGCACGAGTAACATGGTCCGTTGGCTGCCCTCTCCGTTCCCCACCATTCCACCTTGCTTATCTGCTGCCTCTTGTCTATACTCGTACTATATGATACTGCATGCACTGAGAGCCTACTGTACGAGCTACAACCTGGAGAGAGCTTCTACTTTGCTACTGGACTTCCCCCTCCGTAAGTAGATGATTTATTATCCACCATCACGCGCCTGAGGTCCCGATGCATCTTCCACTTCCTTGATTCCGGTACATGTCTGTGACAGACTCGCCCACAATCTCTCCCTGTCAGCCACTGGCCATGGCCATCCCGGTTTTCCAGATGCTTTGCATCATTCATCTCTCCTCCTTCTCCGTATCAAATCTTCACATCGTGTCGACGGGGTAAAGTATCGCCACAGATCTCCACTTTCCACCGGACAGCCGATGTGCTTTAGGCTCTCATTGAAGGCACTATCCCCTAGCTCCAGGGCAAGCCCCCCGGAAGGAAATTGGGCGATGAAGGCCGTAGCCAGGTATACTCCGTATAGCTTTGCCCACTTGGACAGCCACTCTTACAGTACATCAATACAGCGTGGACTGCGTTGGACGACTTCGGGGAGCGCGCCATCAGGCAGCTGTGTCGTTGAGGAGATTCGTGGCGCAGATACCCCTCAATCGACTCAACCCAAAGCTGGTGTGTGTCTACAGTATGTCAGTAAGGAGTACATGGTCCGGCCATCAACCCACCTCGGTCTGTGGCGAGAGCCACTCCCACGCTAGCTTGCAGTGCTAGTTTGTGATAGATCCGCCTCTAGCGTTCTTGTAGCCGCCAGTCTCCAGCTTGCACTTCACTTCATCTCGTCGATTGGACTCTCCGCTCGGAAACGTTTCAACTGACCGACCTATGGACTCAGCACCGAGGACGGAGTACGATTTATTGCCCTGCGCGAAGATAGTACGACTTCCTCGCGCCGAGGCTGGTTGTCTACAGCAGCGTAAAGGAAGAGGGACGACGTCGATGCTATTGAGATACTTGCGTTCATGTCAAGATGTCAACCACATGCAGACCACGGACCCATAAGTTACAACCCCCGACCTGTGTGCACACCCTCAACCGCCACAACTCTTGTTAGTCCTTAGGTTGATGTGATGTCAAATCGGTCCGAAACCGTTGCTGGTCGGGCGAAGAATGGTATAGGTAGTGCTCAGCTAGGCATTTTGCTAACCTCCTTCAGGTCGTCTCCAACACTATCACAAGACGGATACATATGGACCACTTCCCATCACCTGCTCGTCACTCAAGTACTTGATCCCTGTCTCGACTGAGTCGAGATTCGAAGGCATGCAAGGGACGGATGCCAGGACAAAAACGCTAAGCACACTTCTATCGCCTACGGCTAGAAATCGATCACTACCATGACTATAGTGACCAGACAACCATGTACACATAGTTGGAAGTCAAGCTATGTGCCTGTGTTGCAGAAGGTACCACGGTCACTGATTTCATCCTTCAGTGCGGACTTTGACTTTCACATGGAAGTCGGTTGGCTTGATGAACCAGTTGTTCTCCGTCGTCCAAGGACGATCAGGATGCTCGAGTTCAAAATCGAACTTTCTCACGATCTGAGGTATCAGTTTCGACATCTCCAAGAACGAAATGTGGCGCCCTATACAAGTTCGCGACCCCAGACCGAACTTGAAGCAATCGGGTCAGTCTCGATCATGAAATCATACACTGAAATGACGATACATACCGGCATATAATAGGCCTCCATGCTCTTCAGTCTGTCGCCCCCTTCTTTCTCAGCTTCGAGCCACCTTTCAGGGCGGAAGTGTTCTGCGTCAGGCCCAAAGACGTCCTCATTATAATGCGCGCACCAGGTATTGATGCCAATGTGAGTTCCCTCGGGAAAATAATAGCCACAAACTTCAACACCACCTTCGGGAACCACCCTCCATAGCGGCAGGCCTGTCGCGGCATGGATTCTCAGCGCCTCTTTCATGACTGCCTGAAGATACGGCATGTCCTGACTTTCTTTGAACGAGACGTCGGGGTTGCCGCACCGACCCTGTTCCTCAAACTCCTTGATCTCGTCCCTCAACTTTTTCATTGTGTTTGGGTATTTGAGCAAATTATACAAGATGGAAGATAGACTGACGGCCGTCGTATCCGAACCGGCGATGATATTCGACAGCCCCATCATGAAGACATGATACGGCGTCACCCTTTCGGGATCCTCTTGGTTCGCAGTCATCAGCTTCTCCAGAAAGTCCATTGGGCTGTTCTCATCCCTTTCACCAGCCTTCTCGACGTCCTCCGGCGTTTTAGTCTGGTCCCGCACCTTCCTTTGCTCGATCCGTTGCTGCACGTACTGCATCAAATAATTCCTGCCAGACGCGCCGCCCATGCCCAAGCGACTCGAGATGGCAAAAACAAAAGGATGCCACGAGGCGTACACGCCCACCAGGGCTCCGTACCTCAGCACGCCATGCAGCGCCTTCAATAGGCCAGCAATATCCTCTCCCTTGTCCAGGAAGCCGAACCGTTGCGAATATGTGATGTTCCCAATGACATCAAACGCATAGCACTGCAGCCAATGCGCCATGTCGATGGTTTCGCCACTTTCGGCGAACTCGGTCAACCTTTTGCGGAAGATGGAAGCGCATTCGTCGACGTACCCTTCGTAGCTGACCAGGCTGGACATGGAGTACATGGCTTGAAACCGCTTGCGCGTCTCGGCGTGGCGCTTCATGTCGCGATCGGGGAACAGGGTCCATCGACTTGGGTCGGGATGTCTCCAGGCATCATACCAATCCGACTTTGGGAATTTGGAGCCAATGCCATAGACCTTCTTCACGATTTCGGGGGAGTCGATGCTGTACATGTCCGCGCCCACGCGCACCACAGGCCCGTAGCGTCGGTGCAGGGCTATATCGTCATGTTCCCAGCGGCCCAGAGAGACACGGACAAAGTAATATATCCGCCCGAAACGCGCGAGAAACGGGCCCGGTACGGAGCGTAGAGGAGACGTGAGTGTCTTGTACAGAAAGACGGCGACCTGCGTCGTTAGAACGATACCGAGTGCCCAAAGCGTGTATCGCAGGAGACTGTCGTGGTTGAAACCGGCCATGTCGGGTACAAGAAATTGTTACGGTGGCTCGTACGTGAGTGTTCTACTAGATAACCGTACGACCTTGTACCCCTCGAATTGTGTGACAAGATGGTCCTCCTTTGAAGGATTGACGAGACGGATACAAGCGCAACATAAGATCTCACCGCGAGGAGAAGTACCGATCAGCGTAGCTCAGATTTTGAGGTCCCGCCGGCAGTTATCAGACTGAGAAGGCGCCATGACTTTCGGTTGGTCTTCCGGACACGTCGGAACCCAGGAAGTGAACCAGTTGGGTGAGACAGTGTGGGGGAGGATGAAGCGGAGGAGGAGGAGGAGGAGGAGGAGGACGACGATAATCTGGGACTTCAGAGCCTCGGTACTCGTTTAATATCACACTGCGGCCCACTAGAAGTGGTGGTTGTCATCTCAACATCAGTGCCAACTTACGGTATGTACCTAGTACAGGTATAGCATTTATGCGAGTGCGAGTTCACAATTGATGTCTCTGACTCGCAATGTAATTTATGGTAGGCCTGCTTGGATCATTGATCACTTTTATTCTTGTATGTCGATGTGAGCGTGGCAGCAGCGGGGAATGAATATATTCATGCGAGTGCGGGCAAAAGGTTAAGACAACAATATCTCTGTAGCGTTGACCCGTCAGACTTTCCCTCTAGAATCGGATCAGGGATATATGCTAATCTCCCAGTGCCAGACTTGAACTTTGTGTGAGATTATCTACCGCGAAATCCATAGTCGAGTGTGCCATGGCTCGAAAGCAACGATCCCAGCTAGTCTTCGTCACCTTCAGCTCCCTGTCTCGAGATTGGGCAGCCCTATTCCGCCTTCCACATACAGATCCTCACGTTCACCTGCTTACGTTGACCTCCTTAAAATGAGATGACAGTTATTCAGAGTGTTCGCACATGCTCTTCTGCTATCCAACCGACAGCTGCGGTGGCTGAGGTGGGTGTATTCAGGACATTGTGTATAGGGGAGCCTGCGCTTTGAGTTCCACCACGTTGAGTCGCCGCTCGTACGGAGTAGGATTGCGGTAGCACTGTAATGAGCTCTTCTTTCACATGGCCTGCACTGCGTTCCGCAGGACGGTACTCGTAGTCCCAGTAATCGCAGTAGGCCTGCTAGAATGTACTAGAACGCGAGGCTCTGCGGTGGATGCCGGTTCGATTCTTGCGGAAGTCGTAGGTGGCCCGATGATCAGGAGCTGTGGCATCAACAAAGCGAAAGCACGAGAGGAAGCTGTTACGTAGACAGTGGACCTTAGCAGGGCGTCAAAGACGACGATAGAAAACAACACGAAGTTTATTACAGCTCGTGGCTGGTGATGATGCTCCCCCCGCCCGGTGGAGTGAAGTTGCCCTGATGATCGATTTATTCGCAAGGTCCCCACTGACGTCATTTCCACCCATGGTGTAAGAGTGACTTGAGACCTGGGAAACACACGCTCAGCCCTCATTCAAAGGTGCGAGCTTTTCTCTTTGTACCTCATCCTAGAATCCAAGTCAACTAACTGCCATATTCCCATTATTCTTTCACCAAAATCCTCAATCTAAACCTCGGAAGTACGCTCATTCCCACGGCACACTTCCTGTCCCCTTCACATCACTAACCCATCTCACAGCACATCATCACATCCAACCCAACGTACTCGCGTGATCAGCTCCCCCGAATCTCAAATCTCAGATCTCAATCCTCAATCCTTGATTGATTTTCACACATACCTCCTTCGACTCACCTCTCACCCATCGACATGCCTCGCGGAAACGGACCAGTCACCAAGGTCTTCTTCAAGGGCTCGACCGATGACTTCATCGTCTTCATTGAGTCTCCCGAAGATCTCGCCAGATGGAAGCAGGACAAGTCGATTCCGCTTGCCGAAGTGGTGAACTCGTTCAAGATCATGGTGACGCACAAGCACGGAGCCCAAGGTCAGCTGGACGGCGCGTCCAAGGCGAGCCTGGAGAACGAATTCGGCACGTCCAACGAGGACGAGGTGATCAAGAAGATCCTCGAGCAAGGTCAACCACAGATTGTCCAGGTGAGTAACACAAGAGCCTACGAAGACGAAGACAGGACGCAGACACCCATGAACCCAACTACACTACAAAGTCCCGACCAGAAACAAGGCGCCCCCCCCCCCCCCCCCCCCGGGGAGGATTCTGAGCCTATATCCTACATGCCCCGAGAGCACGTCTCAGCTAACATATTTTTTTCTCTCCTACTAGAATCCCGAACGTCACGGAGATCGAAATGAGACCATGGGTCCACGACAAGGACATCCTACGGCATAAGAAAATCGCCCTTCAGTCAGAAGCGGCCCGGCACAATACATGCTGAACAGAAGACTGCTTTTGACGAGATACGAGCCAGGAATCTCAAGGAGTGGTGCTATGTGCTTAACAAACTAACGAAGCGGTCATAAGGTCGAAATGCAGGCGTTGTAAGTGATACCATGGGGCGGTTGAACCATGTCTGTGAAACAGGTGGAAAAAAAATACAAAACAACATTGAGACCTGGCGAGCTAAGTAGACAGCTCACCTAAGCTAGTTCAGCAGCGTATTGGTGGCGAGGAAAAAGACACAAAAAAAGGGCAAGGCCTTGGTACGTGGCATGATTCTCTAGACAGATCCATCAAGTTGCCTTTTGACTCAATCATGAAGCAAGCACACTTTTGGATCCTGTGGGAGAGACAAAAGTAGTATCGTGACGAGATTGAGTTCTCTCCTCTTCGTGCTCGTAACGTGATCGTCGTAGTCGCCGCACTAAAACGAGTACTCCTTACACCTCATCCAGGTCGAGGGCTACGTGATTACGTGACCACATAAGGTAGGTACCGAGAGTTGGTCAGTCTCACGGAATGGCTCGCGGAGGGCGACGACGTTCCACAGACAGGATCGCCGAACGCGGCGCCTTATATTCCTTCCATGCTTTGTTCAATCTTCAATTGACATATACCTTGGTGAACGACTAGGATCCGATCTCGGGTCTCGGGATCTCGTTTCTTTTCTTGCACGAATTTTTTTTTCTTGTTTCTCTCCACTGCCTATGTACTGTTACTTTACTCCGTAAGAGGGAGCTCGGATACTTTCTGTTTATAAAACATGTCAGAAAGGGGGAAAATTGTCATCTTCTCCCTCGTCCTGTTTGTTTCCTTCGCCCGCCACAGCCGGGCCACCCCCACCTTCAACAAAAAGCCGAAAAAATCGTAAGAATACTGGTCGTTCTAATTGTACATGGATTGATTGGAGCCTCCCCCTGAACGAGGGGCTCTTTCCGGTGCCAGTCTCTCTCCCTGGCCTCCTTGATTGTTTCCTCACTCCCGAGACTTCTTCCTGTCCTTCCAGACAAACGGGAAGAAAGTAAGGGTTTGCTGCGAACTCTTCATCATCGTGATGGTATGGGGTTATGGGCATGGGTATGGGTATCGGTAGTAAGCATCTCTTTTCGCTCGCTTGCTCAAAATTCAACAATGGGTTCCAAAGGGGTTCCAAAAGAAAAAGAAAAGGTGAGGAGGGCAAGAACAGAGCCAAAAACACTTTCCATGGGACAATCAATCACACTCCGCCTCCCATGACAAGTATCTAGGCAGCCTGTACAATGACTTCGAAGACTCGACATAACTCAGATTGGACGCTGTGGCAGGGAACAACCTCCCAAATGTCCCAGAAACGACCCAACCAGCTGACACCCCCATCCCCGCTGCAACTTGATACGACTCTAGAAATGTTCCTTCCAGAACCTGAACTTGACCAGGTCATTGCTGGTGTATTTGCAAGCGTCCTTGATTTCACGGGCTGCCACGCTAGGACCGCAAAAGTACACACCGACCGTAGCCTTCATTTGTGCCGTGATGCTTGCTTCTTTGACATCCAAGTACGTCTGGTCCATGAGGCCATCTCGCATTGCGCCAAACAGACGTTTGAAGTCTGGGCGGCCGTACTGTGTCTTGGTGCGGAGTTCAGTGAGCGGATCGACCTCATTGCCCACCGTGTTGAGGTAAATGTTGGCCGCAGTGTTTTGATCGACCTTCTGTGTGAGATATGTGTGGATGCGAAGGAACTCAGGTCCACCCACGGATTGGGCTGCTTGGGCAGATTGCTGTTCGAGAGATGAGAGAAGGGTCTGGAACCATTCGAAAGACTCAATGCTCCGGGTAACCCATAGGAACTCGACTCGTTTAAGACGTCGGGGTGGGTTAGGGCCTGCGCGAATGTTGTAGATGTGCTTGAGCACTGAGGCCCACGGGGTAACTCCGATACCTGTACCGATGAGAACAGCAATTTCGTTGTCGAATACGTCCTCGGCGGGAGCGCCGTATGGTCCATCGATTCGGATGGCAGGCATCTCCTGGCCAGCTGACAGTGCGATTTCGTAAATTCCATTGTTGCCCTCCACCTCAAATTGCTTCGCCTGCGCGGGTCCACAACCCAGTGCATCACCCACTGCTTTGGTCCAGTCACCAACTTGGCGGACGTGGATGGAGATGTATGGGTCAAACGGGCACGATGTGATGGTGAAAGGATGCCACTGTTGGCTTGACACAGCTGGGATATTGATAAAGAGCCACTGGCCAGCCTTGTATTTCATGCTTGGCTTCTGGAACTGAATCTCCATTGCATCGTAGGGATGGCGAATGACCTTGTAGATCTTGGTGTCTCGCCTTGCTCGGATCTCTCTGTAGAGACGCTCGCCGAGGTAGAGACCACCTCCCCAGAGTTCCCATCGCCATCCTTGGTAGCCGATGCAGTGAGTCCAGAAATTCTTGCCTGCAAAGGGAGAGAATGGGAGAGCCGTGTCTCGGACAAAGCACCCCGTCGCATGGGTATACAGGCCTAGGAAAAAGGGGATGAAGAGGTGATGTGTGTACCAAAAGGTTTCGAAAGATTGCTGCCGGATCCTGTAGTGTGCAGTGGTGTACATGAGGAGCATGCACAGGAGCATGATGTGGCCCGTGATGCCGCCAGGCTCGGTGTAGTGGATTTGGATGGCCGACACGGGTCGAATTTGAGTCCTTTCGACGTTGAAAAAGTTGACGTAGTGGGCACTGGTGTGCACAATGGTGAAGACCAGCAGTGCATAGGCACACTGCCTATGAAACCATATCGTTTCGTCAAGAGGGAGGAACTTGAATTTTGGTCGGATAAAACGCATAATGTTGCGGCACATGGGCAGAAGGATGAACAAGCAATCGAATGAAAGGACTAGACCGGCACCTCGAGAGAGCCATACTGAGAAGGTGAGGGTGTTGAGGCCTGCTAGTCTAGGATCCGATGCTTGTTTGTACCTGTCCCTCTGGTCAACACTGCCGTTGCGTCCTTTCCTGAAAGAAGCTTGCTTACCAGCCAAACGCAAACAGGCCCCAATGGAGTCCCCACCACAGGACATAGAAGATGATCTTGCTCGGGGCGAAGTGAGATTTCAGAGTCGCCATGGCTGCGAATTGATTCCAAGTCGTAGGCAACTGACCTCTTCGGAGGCGTAACGATCGTAAGTTTCCGGGTCTCGAGTCCGCAATTTACTGCGCTTGCATATCAGGTGTGACTTGGTTTGGTTAAAAAAAGGAATGGAAGAAGTCGACCAGCGAACGAAGAACTGAAGGAGAGGCGTTGTCGCTTCAACTGGGACCTGCGATGGACGAAGACAAGCTCTGGAAATGAGCCGCACGCGGGAGCTTTAGAGATAAAGGGCTGGGCAGACGTAGGATCTCCGGAGACTGGGGACCCGAGATATGAATCCGATCAGTCGATCATGTGCCTGACCATAGTAGGAGAGTGGTATCAATGGTAAATTGGAGTGGTGAGAGTCAAGGGATGAGGCAGAGGGTAAAACAAGACAGTTGCCCGGTGAGGTTCTGCTAGTATGGAAAATGGTCGAGGTCGAAACAGACTTGAGGTGGAACCTGGGACAGTAGATGTAACAGGGGAGGTTTGGGACTTGTAGTCGCGAAAAGGAGGGAGTTTTCCCGTTCTGATAAAATGTCTTGCATGCAAATTCAAGAGCTATCATGAATAAGGGCACTAGAGTGTGATAACAAGATCCAAGAGAGAACAATTGTGAAAGTGATCGAGCCATGATTCTGGCGAGGTATAGTATGTCTGCAGGACGAGCGCGCGTGCAGTGATATGCATGAGGCCGCGGCGATAAAGGCCAACCAGCGTGGCGAGCCAGGGTGTCGGTGGTGGTTGTGGAGAAGACCCTGGCCGCAGAATCGCCCACGTTTGACCCTTTGCGGACACCACGGCGGCTACTGGACGGTGGACACTGGACGAGAATCGAGAGGCTGGATGAGACGAAGACACGATCGGAGCTTGTTGCAAGCTAGGTACCTGTACAAGGGTTCGCGAGGGGGATGGGATACAGTGGCAGGTGGACAGGTGATCGGGAGGAATACGGAGACGGGTACTCGCCTCGGCTCGGCGGCGTGCGGGAGACAGATTGTAGAGTTACCACTCTGGTGGTGGTGGTGTCGGCGGTGAGGGTGTCGGGCAGAGAAGAAGTTTCCTAATTCCTATCACCATCGTCGTTAGTGATTAGTAGCATCACCATGTTCTTCTTGAATTGGGTGTTGATGCCATGTCGAGATCGTGGCATGACGGTGATTGATGAAACGGCGTGCATCGGCTCGACAAATGATGGTGAAGATGAAGGCGGTAACGTATCAGATCGAGTCTGCAACCGCCAGCGACAGCGCAGAAGCGAGTCTAGTGCGCCTAAGACGGATCTGGTTAGGGCCCCCGACGCCCCTGCGGTCTCTCACTGGCTGCTTTTACGCCGCCTTAGACTGCGCTCTTCTCGAATCACTCGCCTGCCATTTTTAGTTTCTGCTGCAGTGGTCGATGTCCTGTATCACATCCTGGTCTCTGTGTCTTCATTCGTTCGATGGCCTCATCGAGTCGTCCAGTTCCTCGATACAAGGCACAAACCTGCATTTGCCTGTCGAGCTATCTATTTTGAGCGCTTATGCATTCCGCCCAGTCCCTTGCGAGCCTGCCTCTGCATGTCCAATCCCCGCCCTCATCATCCCACCACCACAAATCACCACCATCGTGTGTGAGAAGAAATGCCAGATCTGGTGAGTCCAGCAACAAGACTATTGACAGGTGGAGTGCGAGGCCCATGGCAATATCGATCGTAACCAATGGCCATTGCAGCTCTACTCGCCGGCCGTGTTTTCACCGTAGATCACTCATTCGGTGCTGTCGTGCATCATGGTAGAAATGGCCAACCTTGGACCACAAGACAATGCAATATCTCATTTCCAACACCACCTCTGCTCTTGTTCTTCTCATCTTGCTCAACCTTGACATTCTACATCTCTGCTCTGCGGATAATTCCTGAGCAGATCTCGCAACATCGATCTCGTGGCGAGACCAGACAAGTCGCTCCACACCTGTGACACTTACTGTCTCCAAAGTGCTTCAACCACCATTCTGTGACAAGACCTCATCTGCAACCAATCTGCTACGCGCCAATACACTGCCATCTGACTCTGAGGACAGAGACAGTCTCAGGCTCACCTTTCCACCACCCTAGCCTCGTGCTCTGACTGTTGCTCCCTCGACGTCAACTGGGACCCCAGTCTGCGCTGTGACCGGTACGGCCGTGGACCGAGATCACCAGAGGCTCCTTGACAGAGGGGCGGGCTCTTCGGTTTCCTCAAATACCCTCACAGCCTCGATGTCCTGTTCGTGACCTTCAGGCGCAGGTCGTCAATCTCTGCGTGCTCCTGAACCCAGTCATTACATCCACACCGACCTTCGTTTCTTGGATTGCCATTTTTTGCTTGCTTCAAGCATTAACAAACTTCACTTCACCTCGACCACGTCGACTTCTTTTTCTCTCGACATATTTTTTCCATCTTCACCATGGGTAAACTCATCAAGAACCACTGGGCACGCCTCATCGTCCTCACGGCTTCTGCTTATATGATTGCCGCCGCCCTCGAGGGTTTCTTCTGGCCCAAAATCTTTTTCGACTTCCTTACTAAGAACCTTGATGGTGCCGTCAAGCCGTTCCCTGTGTTGCAAATTATCAACTTGGTGCTGGGCATATTGACCTTGGCGTGGGAATGGCCACTCAAGTTCATTGTCAGAACGGCTCCAGGCCTGCACAGAAGCATCGAAGCCAGACTGGTGTTATACCCTCTTTGTGCCTTGTGTGGAGTGCTGCAATACCAAGCCACCAATGCCGCCCTTTATTACCTTATCGGAGTGATTGTGTATTTCTGGGCCTTTTCAGAAGGAGAGGTAAGCCCACCTGTCGTGCTCACCTTGACTTACATCTTGCTGATCTCATGTTCTCCAGATGATTTGTGGGGAACCCTGGACGGTCCCGAAGCGAGGCGGTCGACAGCCCGGCAAAGTATGAGTGGAAAGATGGCTTGAGATGATGCAACGAATGAGTGAAGACAGCATCCATCGTATGGAGTATGAGTTGCTTTTGTTGGTATGGCTGTCCACTGGATGGGCCACACAATGGGCCAGGACTTTCAAAGCAAGATTATGATTGTCATTAGTAGCAAGCATGTACAGATTAGGACTTGATGCCTTTTGTATGGCACACGAGTATAAATTTTCCGGCTGGACGAAGTATTTTTTTTTTTGTGTCAATGCGCACAGTGTTGTCCATAAATTCTGGATGATGGTGGTAGTTGAAGTTTGGGCAGGGGCCCATACGACTTGGTGGGCAAGGCTGGGGAATGTATATGTACCAAGCTTGATACAAGATCGTGATTGAGAGGGGCCAAGTCAGGCGTCCGGACCTAGTCTCCAAAGGATGCCAGGACATTCCATCCACGTTGGAATCTGATCTTTCCGAACGATTTAAGAAGAGATCGACTCAGACGACACGGAGTACTCGTGGTGGACATCAGCAAAGCTCTCCCCAGGTGACTGTCTACTGATGTTGCCCTTTCACCTTTTTGATAGGCCGTGTCACGTTGGACAACACACTCGATAGGAACGCATCGTGAACCATCCTCTGTTCCAAGAAGCAGAAGCAGGGTTAGAAGAAGAGGAGCCAAAGGGGGGCATGCCCCGTAAGGTGCGGACAGTTAGCAGCAATTCAAAGGCGTAAAAAGCTAGCAGAGGTGACAGCTACCTTGAGGGATACGGTCACCAAGGTGCCGTGTTCGGTTTTTCGGTGAATCAGCGATTATGAGATTGCGAGCTCGAAGTAGCGCAGCAGCGGGTATTTTGGGGCCGTTAAAGGGACAGAGGAATCAAGTGAGAATCACAGATTTCACGACAACCCGGACTCCGAGGAACAGTTCGTTAGGATTTTGTCCTTGGGACATTATTGTTACTGGGGGCCTAGTATCCGTATATCACTGTGCCCTTCGACGAACCAAGTGCAATCAGTAGAGGGCAATGTTTGTTGTCTGCATCATGCACTCACTCGGTGCCTCACGGTCGTACGTCGTATAAATAGCTTGTGCGGTTTAAGCTTCCCATGGCCGCTACGAGACTAATAAGAAACTAACAGTGACAGTTTGACACCCGTCAAATTATGCGTTGCTTCTGCGTATTGTACATAGGCAACTGGTCCCTTAATCCACACTTCTGCCCGCTCGTCCAAAGCTTTCAACAACAAACAACAAAACATCATCCATGTACAACTTGCCCATACAATGACAAGGTTTGTTCTCATGAGCTGTGAACACATGGCAATGGAGAAATCTTGCAAGTTAAACCCTTGCTTGTGAAAAGTTTGACCACTTTCGCTAAAGACCTCGATGGCCTACTCTGGACTCCATCGTACAGATCTCTTCCGTGTCGAACAACAAACTCCACGGCGCGCCCCAAAGCTTGCGGATCTCAAGCTCAAGCAAGCAACAAGCTTTGAACCCATGTTTAATTGCGCCCTCTGGCGCCACCGTCGGGGACCCTCACAGATTTGTACGGACGAGGAGCTGGTCCAATTTCCAGAACCCCCTGGTCAGTGGGGACCCGTCGTCTCAACCGGCGCACGAGGCTGTCCCAGATTAGAACGACACGCCTACCAGAGGACGGCACCAGGACTCCTCCCCCAGTCTTTCGAATCTTCCCCTATTATATCCATCGGCGTGGTCTGTTTTCCCATTTTCCTACATCTTGTTTCCCTTTTCCTCTTCTCTCGTTGATTGATCAGACACGTAAATACTAAAACGTCCATTCTCTCGCTCAACCGTTACCACATTCTTTCTCCCCCCTTTTTGGGTCCTCAGTGCTTCCTCGTCGAACACATCCACTCGTTACCAACTACACCTTACACGCACGCACGCAAGCACACACAGACACGAACGAGAAACCCCAGAACCAGAACCAAAAATGAAGGCATTCTTCGCTGTCCCCGCGCTCTTCGCAGCCGCCGCCGTCGCCGCGGCCGACCCAAGCTGGTCCTTCACCTTCACCTTCTCCGACGCCCAAAGCACCTGGACGTCTGCCACCGTGGCAACCGCCGCTCCCAACGCGACCACGGCCGTGCCGACGTCCAGCGCCTGGGACCATCCGTCGGACTGGATCTCGACCACCAAGTACAACGCGACGTACAGCTCCGGAACCAGCACCTGGCTGGTCCCCCAGACCATCTCCTACAGCGTCGGCGAGACTCGCACCAGCATGCTGGCCGCGACCGTCACTCCTCCGTCCAGCGGCAGCAACGCCACCGTGGCCACCAAGACTCCCACTGCGTCCACCACCAAGACTGCCCCGGCCTCGACCTTCACCGGTGCCGCCAACACCATCAACGGCAAGATGGCGGGTGGTGCAGCTTTGGCTTTCGCCGGTCTCGCTTTGGCCTTGTAAGAACAGAAAACCAAGCAGCCAAAAACGGGGACCTGAAATCTTTTTGGAACCGAAGAAACTTTGTGTGGTCACTTTGTTTGATGTTTTTCCCTCCAAAGCGAGCAGAGCCTTTATAACTTAGTCCGTATATATACATACATCATCAAAGAAGTGTGCCGCCTCCAGTTTGCCTCGCTCTGGCAAGTGTTCAGTCAGTCAACTAATTAGGGGAGGGGGGGAGTTGTTGTCGAGTCCATTTACGATTCCCCATACCCCGTTCTCCGTGACCACTCTCAGCAGCACAATGCAGAGCCAAAGTGACGCAATGCGAAGCAAAAAGGCAGGGGATTTTGGTTTGGAAGATGGGGAACGGTCGGTGTGTGCGTAGTGAGAAGCGTGTCTCTGGTTGTGGCAGCAGGCCAAATGGTAAACCAACCAAATGGGCAAAAAACTTAGGTGTGCATTGTCTTGTCCTGTTATTGTCACCAGCTCGACACCTACTACACCTACAGTACCTGACGTTAAACCATCAGGAGCGATTTCACAATATTTGTACTTTGTAACTAGGTAGTTTGAAAATTGGCGTACGCGAAGGCTGTCTCTCTTTTTGTCCACTGTAACAGTGCCCTCCACAAAAGAAAATCAATGTTGAAGAATATCAATGTCGATGTATCCGTACTACCAACAGTTCAACCACCGTAGGTATTGTAGGTACGGAGTACAGCAAGGGTAGCTTTTTCCGGACCCTGCCTACAGTACAGTACCTTATCTTGCTTGCTTGCTTGCTTGCTTGAAACCCGACCTCCCTCGCCTCGGTGACCACCGACCGGCGACCCCCAGTCAGTCCACGGCGGCCAAGGGGAAATTGCATTTCGCACAGGACAGATACAGTACAAACGATGATAATAGCCTTACAGTAGATATCCGTACAGTACATACCAACTCCGTACCGTAGGTCCCTTCTTTTTTTTTTCAGTTTGGTTGCCCCCATCTACAGTACGGTACGGAGTACAGAGATACAAGTCACAACACGACCTGGAACACGAGACAAACCATTGATCATGTAATTATAATAATCAACCGAACTGCGTACAAAACCACAGAAAACTCTCGTGGAGTAACTTGCCTGACGCTGAGTAAACGTACAGTACCGGTAGCTTTCCCGTGCCGTTCCAAGTTAGACTCTAAAAGTAGTTACTACCCACTGTACGGATACCTACGGAGTACCTACTGTACAATAGGTACATAATAAACCACAAAAAATGGTCCGACGATTGATTGGTCGTGGGGCTCGTTTGCCCCTGAAATTCGTCGATTCGCCTGGTGAGCGACAAATTTGACCTCTCGAGTTTCTCCTCGAGTCTCCTCTCGCGCGAGGCCCCCCCATCGGCTATGGCGTGGCGTTACTGTACTTGTACGGACTACGACAGAAGCTTATAACCAAAACGCTCTTTCGCTTCAGCCGTGGCGTTCGACCCGAAACGCGCGCCGCTGCCCTTACAAGAGACTAAATAACATAACTCCCGTGGAAGGGGACAATACAACTCTCTGCTAACTTATTAGGGTGGGATCCTTTCCTCTTCCGCTCATGCCTAACAGTCTACTGTACAAAAGCTTGTCTGGACTCTTCTCATGGAGAATGTCATGTCATGGACAACATGTCACTTCACAGAGCCTGGAATAGAATGACCGACATTATAGGTACATTCAATTCATCTGTGACAACTGACGAGAGCCGCTTTCAACACTCGTGCAGTATAATGCTACTCCAGGTATCCATTTCGAATCTCCAACCTTTGAAGCCTAATCTTTTACTTTGTCGAATACAGCATGTTGCGAAACCCTTCAGCAGACAACCCTTTCAGTATTCCAAAAGGGTTGCTCCATCGTTTCTTCTTGCTGCTCAATCCTTCTTCCACGGTTTCGTACTTTCCACGTCGTTCTTTGTCATCCGAATAAAACATGTCTGCAGGATCCTCCGGTCCTACTTCTGGTGTCGAATGCTGTATTGATCGCATATGTTTCGAGCTTTTGCTCAACAAGCTGCCCTCGCCATGTGAGAAGGAGATCTTCTTGGCTCCGCTGCCTATCATCCGACTGACCACACTTTCCATGGTATCGAGCTCCGGCAACTCATGCGACTTCTTCCTAGCAGGCGTAGCATCGTCCAGGCTGTCTTTGCGCACCTCAAATATTGGCACAGATTGTTTGGATCTGCTCCGCCTGCCTTCTGTAAAGGCTTCGTATGATTTTCGGCTGGCCAGCGATATGCTACCAGAACGTCTTGAGAACGGAGCGTGAATCGACGCCAAACTCAGTTTGCGTACCAGCGATCCTGCCGAAGCTCGAATAATCTGGCCACCAAGAGATCCGCTCATCCCAGGATACGGCAATCTGTCTTTTGTCCAAACATCGCTCAGAGTCGTCTCGAGCCTGGCGCGGACTGATCTTTTGGGCGACAGGACAATCAGACGATTTGACGACATGTGAGACTGTGATCGATTGATCGCTGTTGTCGGTGTTGGCTGTCGAAAATCGTGCAAGTCTTGGGGATTGTGCGTATTCCGTATCATGACCTGGCAGATATTGGCTCGGTTCCCCACGGTCGCTGCTCGTTGAACCGAGAGCTGCCTACTTAGGGCAGAACTTTGCTGACCGTAAACCAGGCCGACAGACCTCAAGTCAAGTCCAACAGAAGAAGGGACTTCGCTTAGATGCTCCTTCGTCTTCCTACCCAGAGGATCCTTGCTTTGCATACCCTCTTTCCAAGCTTGCTCCTCCGGCGCAGAACATGCACTAAAGATGAATTCGTGCAGGTGACTGTTAACTTCACAGCAGATTTTCCAAGTATGTAGAGCTGAATGGCACTGGAGCCCTAGAGATGATTAATCAGACTGCTGTAACCCATTTGGAAAAACTCACCTCGCCCATCACTTGCGGAACACACTGTCAAGACCGAGAGGTGTAATACGGCCACCACCTCGAAAGTTGGACTTGTGCTAGCGGGAAGGGCGATCATTAGACTGTTGTCGAATAATACGCAAAGGGCGTAACAGCCATCGACCCGGCTCTTTGTCTGCCAGGTGACATACAAAACACCGCACAGCTGGATATTACCCAGGAACCGAAAATGCTCAGGGCCCATCAACACTTTGCCGTATGCTAGCTTCGATTGAAGTGCCCATCGGCGGTGTACTTGTTCACGCGTCTCCTGATTATCGGTGGCTTTATTGACCGACTGAACGAGCGCCTTCAAACACTTCAATGTTTCCTCCACTTCAATATGAGTAATGGGGCAATCGGCAACTGGCGTATGTTTCAAGAGATCTTCGAACAGTAATGGATATTTCGTCACCCGTTGAATTGGTTTGATGAGGAGATCACCAACGGTCAGGCCTTTCTTGTCGTGTTTGTGCCGGTATTCCAACGCTACCAGGGATCGGGACAATGACTCGATGCCGGACTCATACGTTGACCACAAAGTAGGTGCGTGTCTTTGCAGCTCATGTGCGATCAAGCCATGATTAGCACAATATTCTTCATATACGAAGAAGTCGTTGAGGAAATCTCTGAAAATGGCCGCTATGTCAGATACATCTCTCGGATCGGCACATCCCAGATGAGTCCGACCACGGCTGACCTCAGAAGAATCTAATGAGCTGCGTGTGTGCCGGTGGCCTCGACCGGGTTGGAAGGGTGCATACGATTCCATACTACGCCAGCGCCTGTGCCGACGTGGTGAGCCGAGATGCCGTGGTGATGTGGTGTCCGCCCACTTGCGTGCCGCAGCCTCGTAAGCAGCTTGATGGAGACATTCTAGCAGCTTTTCATGCGTATGCAGGAGGTCTTGTACATTGCGCAAGATGGAAGACCTGATCTTGTTTGATATCGTCGTGGTAGACGCCAACAACGTAGAATAGAGATAGATGAGGGCTTTCAAATCCAAAATATAGCTCTCTTCAGTGGCCATGAGTTCAGCGAGTATTTGTCGTCTTTTCATGCCTCTCCGAAATGCTGCTTCATCCACAGACGCACTAGTGCCTGGACGCTCACTGTCATTGGAATGTCTAATATGGGAGCCGAAGAGACCGTAGCTGTCCGTCGACCTGCCGAACCTCAACGATCGAGGGACAATGCTGAAACTTGCATTGCTCACACTGGCAGTTTTCATCGTATGGACAAACGCAGATGATGCTTGAGAAAGACGCTTCCGATGGGCTTTGTGTCTCCGAGAAGATCCTGCCAAATGACTTGTCTCTTCGGGCATGGCGATATCCGCGCACAACTCCATAGACCCTTCAAGCATGTCTCCTGAGACAGACAGAGGCTCTTTCTCCTCCCCAGATGCAACGTCCGGAAGTGCGTGTTGACCCACCGGAGTCAAGGATTGACGGGTCGAGGGACATCCAGCTCGGTTAGATGAGCATGGTCTTTGCGGGGTCTTCGTTGATAATCCTGCAGCTGTTTCTATTTTCCCATTGTGTAATTCCGTCAACGATTGAAGATGTCTTGACGCATGTGAGGACTGGGGCGACGAGCTTTGCGCGATCTTCCGATTTTGAATAGCATGATGTCTACCGTAAGTATTGCTAGGAGGACACGCTCTCTTGGCTTCAGTGGGAAGCCTGGGAGATACAGATCGAGCGGAACTAGTAGAGTCAAGGTCCGGAAAGAACGGCTCTTCATTTTCATGATTCGTCGGTTTTGGTGTTGACAGACCTGGAGCTGAACTGGAGGATACCTGGCGATCTTGATGAATGAGGTAGGGTGCCGCGGAGGCCGACGAAGCTGCCGAAAGACCGGTATAAGGAGAATCGGCGCCATTGAACAACCCTGTTTCCGTGCTGAAATGCCTGCCGAAAGGGCTTGGGACGATTGAGGGTAAGATATGTGCAGTCATTGTGTATTGATAGAAGATATATTGTAGTCAGCAAAACAATAAACTCCAGTGATGAATCAAGATGAAAGCCAAAGGTCCAAATTGTCTCATTGGGAAGACCAAACAACCAAAGTCGACAAGTCCAAAAGCTGCGAAATAGAGCATGGCAAGAATGGAAAAGAAGGAGAAGAGGCTCAAGAAATCTGTAAACAGGCACATTCTCAACTTGTCTGATGAAGGAAGGATGACATGCGCAAAGCAAGGGTTGAGGAAGGAACAAGGCTGTGGCAGAAAACCAAGAGCAACAAGGCTCATTTCGAGATAGTGTAACCTATAGTTCATCACGCATCGATGGTGCGATGTGGAAAACATGGCGTAGTCAGTGAAAATGGACCATTGGATTCTTGTGAAACGTGGGCGTCGAAGCCAGGGTATGTTTAATGAGAAGAACATAGATAGGTACACCATAAACGTCGAGAAGACGCCATTCATCGTTGCGCCTTTGATAGTCCACGCTTGTTATCAGCAGCCACTCTGGGAAATAGTATGATAACTGGTGACGGACTGGAGGCCCAAAGCAGAATCAACTGTCAACGGAAACAGAGTACTCGTAAGATTTGTAACTGATGACGGATTAACCTCGGATAAATATACGTCGCCCCCGCGTGTTCAGGCTGCGTCACCTTGCACAGCGTGTTGCATTGGGAGCCTGGCACAAGGACGACGACTGGAATGATGGATCGACGTCTGCAACATTTCAGAGAATAACCTCCCACCAACATAGTCACAGTCACAAAGACCATGGGATTACCGATGGATCCAAATCTTGCAGAAATCCACGTTCCCAGTGGACCAACATCAGTGCAACAAGGACAATCCTTCGAGGGCCTGTCGCTTCAACAACTGATTGCTCGGAAGGACGATCTGGAAGCAGAATTGAAAGCACTTGGTGCAGTCCTGGACAGCCATGGAGTCACCATGCAAACGAGTCTGACAACATTCGACGGCTACCCTCGTTCAGATATCGACGTGGCACAAGTTCGAGTAACAAGAGCAAGGATCATCACACTGCGAAATGATTGGAAAGACCTTATGGACAGAATAGAGAAGGGGCTACATAAACACCATGCCGAGTACCAAGCTTCCGATGACTATAAGAATTCATTACTTCAACCGGAGGAGCAGCAGGCAACACCGCAGGCTACCTCGAGTCAACCCCAACAGTCATCTTCCGTCCCAGAAACACCCTTTGCCAAAGTGAATAGTGTGGAACCCGGCAGTCCTGCACATGAAGCAGGACTGAAAGCCGGTGACCTGATTAGAAAGTTTGGTTCTGCGATATGGTCGAACCACGAGAGATTACGCAAAGTGGGAGAGGTGGTTGGACAGAATCTCAACAGACCCATACCAGTCAAGGTATCAAGAGGAGTAGGAGCCGATGCACAAGAACTGGAGCTGAGGTTAACCCCGAGACAAAACTGGGGTGGAAGAGGTACTCTTGGATGTCATATCGTCCCTATCTGACCTCAGACATGTCTCATGTTATGTGGAAGGCCCGGAGATTATGCAGACAACCGGCGAAATCACAAGCAGAGGGAGAGGAAAGCCTGGTTGTGTATTGAGCGCAGGGTCTTAGTATCTCATAGGCTCTGTCAACCACACACGAGCCGTTGGGTTCATGCGAGGCACAGTAGATGACATGAGTCGTCAAAATCTTACGAGGGGTGATGGGAGGCCAGCAGCTGTCGGGCTTTGGGCAGCTGTAGTCATCAGGACAGCCTATCCTGTCAAAAGTGATGCAGGAGACGTTAGTACCTGAATAAAGTTACAACCGATGGAGAGTGGTGAGATTGTGCTGTACAACAACAAACACCCAATATCCTGCATGTGAATTAACTAGGTAGCACACCTAGTGGTATCCTGATAAATCCCTAGGTGATAATGATTATATTACATGATCTGTGGCTGGCGGATGGTGCGAATTGTGACTGTGCCGGTAAAAGTATCCGGACCAGGTACATGTCAAGTGTATGTTGTTTCCACCAAATAACAAGTACCTGGGACTTCGATGAACAAGTACGGCAGACAATGGGGGAGCACGTGACGAGATTCTGTCACTGTGGCAGCAATCAAGATCGTGGTGCAGGCAAAAGTCGGGCTCGAATGACGGAGGAGCAGGACAAACAAATGCCCGAACATCCCTCAACAGCCCCAGCAAATTGACGACAAGCGCCAAGGCCTTCAAGTGAAAACATTCAGTCCCGTTCCGCCTCTTCTACCTGCGCTGCCTTCTTGCCAACGACCTTTTTCAGATTCCATCCACCAAGGTTTTTCTCTCTTCCCCCATTGCCCTCGCGCAGACATTTGCATCCCGACATCTTCTAGGCGTCACCCTAGTCTCCTCGTCGAGCTAGATCTCATATTCTGGCGTTCCTCTAGACTCTTCCTACATACCAACCACAACAATCACAATGGCGGAAGCTCAATCAGGCGTTCCTACTTTCAAGCTCGTCTTGGTCGGTGACGGTGGTACTGGCAAGGTAAGATCTTCCTCACTGACTTGGTTCCGCCCATTATCGCATCGAACGCAAGGATCACATCATTTGCGATCAGCCGGGCTAACTTATCATTTGACATAGACCACTTTCGTCAAGCGACATCTCACAGGCGAATTCGAAAAGAAGTACATCGCCACTCTCGGTGTAGAAGTTCACCCTCTAGGTTTCTCAACCGTATGTTTGTCCTGGACGAAAACATTTGAGGGCACGATCTAATATCAGCACAGAACTTGGGTCAAATCCAATTCGACGTGTGGGATACCGCAGGTCAAGAAAAGTTCGGTGGTCTGAGAGATGGCTACTATATCAACGGTCAATGTGGTATCATCATGGTACATATTCCCCTCTTCGATCGGGACCTGAGGGTGCAGAATGCTGATCTTTTCTTAGTTCGACGTCACGTCCAGAATCACCTACAAGAACGTACCCAACTGGCACCGTAAGTTTCGTGCGCTTCGTTTTGATTTCAAGACCAGCTTCTGACCAATTCACCCAGGTGATCTTGTCCGTGTCTGCGAAAACATCCCCATCGTCCTCTGCGGCAACAAAGTCGATGTCAAGGAGCGAAAAGTCAAGGCAAAGACCATCACTTTCCACCGCAAGAAGAACCTCCAATACTACGATATTTCTGCCAAGTCTAACTATAACTTCGAGAAGCCTTTCCTCTGGCTCGCCCGTAAACTGGTCGGCAACCCTCAACTCGAGTTCGTCGCCGCGCCAGCTCTCGCGCCACCCGAGGTCCAGGTCAACCAAGAATTGCTCGATCAATACCAGAAGGAGATGACCGAGGCTGCTGCCATGCCTCTTCCTGATGAGGAGGACCCGGACTTGTAAACGACCCGCCTTCCAGACGATGTCGAAAGTCAGAACTCTTTCTCCCTTTGTCAATGGAATCGCAGCGAGGATAGGGATTTGGGTTAGCGAGACGATAAACCAGAAGGTCGTATTGATTTCCAACCAAAGATGAAGCAATCTTGGAGGTCGTGCAATATTTGTTGAGGGAAAGTGCCAGGAAGTCCTTTTGCTCGCCATCATGGGACAGCAACAAAGACTGGTGTCACTCCTGGCTGACGAAATGAAACGAACGACAATGAGCTTGCTTTTTTCTCAAGACTATTACCAAAAAAAGCAAGTGCATGATACAGAAAGTTTTCCTTTTTTTGCTCATTCTACAATAGGTCTAGACATCACCACGATAGCATAGCGAGAATGAATTCAATCAACTAAAACAAATCCTCGAGGCGGTCTGAAGACAAACCTAGGGCACTTGGTACCGTGCTTATGTAATATAGGGGCATTTTGCTGGGGGAGGCGGAGTGTCAACTTCGCTATTGTTACAGCTCAGAGGTGCTTTGGGTATCAGTGCGAATTTCTTTTGATTGCCTCTATCTAATTGCTCCTTGCTGGAGAAACAAAGAGCAGGAACCATAATATGTCGTGGTGAAGGGATGACCAGACATATATATATGCCTTACGACGGATGTTCAAAGTCGAGAGACCGCAGACTGACTGACTGACTGACTGTACACAGTGTCTTGAAAACCAATCCAACCAATATTCCGTTCCATCATCCTGGCATTTCCCCTGGGCCCGACATGCTCAACATGTTGACCCTGTCCTCTCCCTTCTTCAACGTCTCGAGAAAGTTCCTACTCCTCGAGGAGCGTGCATCGATTCTGGCGTTGAATCGATCTTCAGGGTCGATGATGATAAAGAAATCCCGTAGTTTGCAAATAGTGAGACCGGGTCCGACTCCCCATAAATGCCAGCGAATAGCTATCCTGAAGGAAACGCAAAGCCAACCATCATCCACACGAAGCCTTTAGCACATAGAAGGTCTATGCTTCGCCTTTGCAGGCTGATCCAACTCTTGTGGCACGCGCACCTCGCGCTTCACTAACCACGTAGCCAAATGCGGAAAACTTGAAATCCGGACTCCCATTGCGAGAGATGCCTCACTTTTCAAATGGATGCGCATCCTCAAACGTGAAGAGAGCAGATTCTCGTGTGAGCCTAGCTTTTCCAAACTGAAGAGCGTTGGAATGCCCAGGAAGGTGTCCGTTGACATGTGGTGTGAAATACGCAAGCCGCGGTGGGCTGCTGACCCTCTATCGCTGAAAGGCCACTGGCAAGATGCGCCGGGGGAAGCGCAGCCCTTGTGGTTCAGTATGGAGGCAGAGGGGCCTGGTGGATTAGCCAGCCTCAGAACCACGTTAGATTGATCAATTGGCATCCAGAAGAATCCGTAAATGTCCACTGTCGATGCTACCACGACGTGGGACTGGTCCGCGACGATCTTCTCATCTCAAATGAACGTCAGCCATACCACTGAATGAGCGAACACGCGTATTGCTTCATGTCAGGGGATGGACTGTAGCATACATCGAAGCATCTTTCAGCCTTCTTCTCTCACAGGTGGCTGAAGCTCTAGAGCTGGTCTTGTCGCACGGGGCTTCTTTCGAGACTGTGCTCCCCCTCTGCCACCACCTCTGTATGGCTCGGGTCTCCAAGCTGTCGGTGCGGGTGTGCCGGCGTTCGTGCCCCCTGCTACCTCTGGGCCAGCATTTCCTCGAGGTGCCGTACTATCGTTCACTCCACTCTTGGTATTTCGAGACCATGGCCATGGTGACTTTACACGATCCTTGTCCTCTTGGCCACCAATATGCGGTATTGACGATGATATGGCTTGATTCAGTGGAGGAGGTACTGGAGTATATCCTGGTTGTCGCTCCAGTTCTTTGGTCTTTGCTTTCCATTGATTCTTGACAGTCGTAAAATTTTGTGATAGAAGCTGTTTAGTCTCCTCCTTGTCGAAAGTCAATTCAAGGAGTGTGCATTCGAACAAGACTTCTGACCGCTGTTCCAGCATGCGGAGAGTTTGAGGACATAGAGGTATACCTGGGAAGGGATTTCGATCTTGAGGATGCAGTGGTCGAAAGATCGAGGCGGGGAATGACGGATCACGGGTGGGTTTTCGTGGGACAAAACGGATCGTGTTTGGAGCCACACCTGTTCCGTCTGGATCTTCATACCAGTTCTTGTCCACTGTGCAACAATGTTAGCCTTGGCCCTTTAGGCTGCCCTGAAAAGACAACAATAGGGACACTTGCCTGGGATAGTTATATATGCCCTTAGCTTATGAATATACACCACTAGACGACGAGGAGGAACCACTTTGTAATCGGCTCGCTGATGAGGCTGCATCCTTACAGGTCGTTTGGGTTTCGTGGGAATACCAAGGTTGTCTTGCCTAGCCTTACTTGAACGTCAGCCGTCGCCCATGTTCAGGGTGGAGATTTCCACATACCTCAGGAGCCGAGGGTGTTTGTTCAACCCAAAGTTGGACCCATCCGACACCGAGATCTGCACCGTCCTCTTCGTCTTCCTGTCTCTGTATGAAACGTGCAAGTTGTTTAGTGAAGGACTTGTGCCTTCGATATCTGATCTTCATTAAAGGAAAGCTAAGTTCCGGTCAGCCTCGATGCAAAGTATAGGTAAGGTGGCATACTTTGCTTCGATCTTCTGCATGGTCAATACTTCTTGCATGGTGACAATGTCTGCAAAGTCATTAGCTCTGGCAGTTGTAAGTGTGGAATTGCTCTACAACCTTTTGCTTCCACGAAGGAGAATCTTGACCCGGGATACTTTGATATGCCAGAGGGTTCAATGTTGGAAAAGTAAATAGCTTCCTCGGCGTTAGACGAAGCGGAAGGGTTGAAGAATGCATAGGCAGGAACCAATTGATCCCTCGTTCTGATGACTGCGAATTGTCAGTGTGAACAGAAAGATGGCTTCGAGGGGCTGCTGACGATAATCTGACTCTACGGCATGATGTACCATAGTGCAGATTCTCAAGATTCTCAAGTTTGACTGAGCATCCTCAAATACTGCAAGCTTGGCTGGCTTCCAATCGTTACGGCGGAAATTCCATAAACTTACGTTTGGTCAGCGAAGAACATTCCGATACGTGCGCCAGTATCTCGTCGCGGTTCCAACTCACCGAATGCATTGTAGCTCAAGCTCACCAATAGGAACTTCCCCATCGTTTGGAGTCATATCTAAGGGCTGCGTTTGGTCGTTCGACTCCTCTATGGCAGCTTCCAACAGCCGGACAACCTCACCGATATCAATACGATCATCAGCTACCGGCTCCAACATCTTCGTGATTAGGTCAATAATCCTGTTCACGAAGGATAGGCTGCTTGGCCGATGCTGTAAAGGCTCGGCCCTCAATAAGAACTGCATGAACTCGAACACTGCGGGCTTGACCCTGTATTTCTTATCGTCGTCCTGATACCACAAAGCACTGTCTTCTTGCCCACTAGTCAAGTTATTAGTACGCCGTACTGCGTCCAAGCCTTGGTACGCTTCGCAGCCATTCAAGCCGTGGGTGCCATGAATAGCAAAGGCGAGAACCTCCAACGTGATGCAACCAAGCGACCAGATGTCGTAACGCCGGCTTGATTTGGCATCAATGTTCATCTCTGGGGGTGCATAAGCTAACGTTCCCCCTTGGTTGACCATACGAGAACTTGTGTCACCCGTTGGTTTAAAGACGGCTTGTCCGAAATCAGATATCATCCAGATATTATCCTTGTCGATCAATATGTTTGCTGGTTTGAGGTCGAAATGAACGCCCAGGTGTTCCGGACGGGAAGTTTGGCCAAAAAGATATTGATTTCCGCGTGGTCCTCCGATCTTACTGAGAGCTCTCGCGACCCCCAACAATTGCTTCCATTCACGGCGAGACTCAACAGGACTAGGCCCGGCTTCAGCGAGATCTGGCCCTGACTTCCGAAGAATATCATCGAGGTTAGCTTTGGCATATGCGAAGATGAGGTTGAAGGTATCGCCGTGCTTATAAGGCTTGATCATTTTCACAATGTGGTCGTCCTTCAGCATCGTTGCGAGGTTCAGATTCCTGTTCTCCATGTGAAAGGCTAACTCGCTATCCTTGTCGAGTTCCTTCCTTGCGTACATTGCGACTTCTCCTGCATGCTACCTTATGTTAATTGTCGTGTCCGAGACAGGATATGGGAGTTCACATACAGGGAACTTGCGATACTCGTCATATATTTTGAAAGCATATACTTTGCTGTTCGCCCCTTGTAAACTCAGTCTCCGCTGTTCAAAAAAAGGCAGGATCCTGTCACTGGCGTAGACAGAATAGGTACCCGACTCCATGGTCGGGATTGCAAAATGCCGCAGGAAGATACTGAACTGGTTTTCGAAGGAGTTGAAGGCGTGTTGTCCTTCTTCGCGGAAAAAAGCATCACACACTCGCTTCAGAGATTCAGCCGAGAACGACTCCCCTGAGATGTTCACATCGTAAACTTCTTTCATCATGAATCCAATGATGAGAAGTGCATGCTCAATGTATATAAGAAGGCCGAAAAGAGAGTACGCCGTTCTGGCGGGATTGTGACAGGCTTCGACATCGTTCTCTGGGCCGACGATTCGATCGAGGAACTCTGTGGGAGCGTGATTCCTACGAAAGACCTCGTACTGGCGGCGGCATTTGCGACACGGGCACTGGAGAATTTTTGCAACATTTTCTCGCGTGAGGTACGTGCGAAGTCGGTCCCGTGGATAGAAGAACTGACTCGGGCTTTCACTATCCCTGACATTCAGGTTAAGTATCTCACGGCGAGCGACGGTACACGGTGTGTCAGTGTTTGTAACCGACATGATAGCGTTCGTGATGCATTTAAAAATTCGGGAGATCGGGGTCGATATGATATGACTTCTGCAACACACAGAATAGGATCGCAAGTCAACAACGTCGACAAGGCAAGGCTCCTCTGTAGCCTGTTGGAGTGCTCTTCGAAAGCCGCTGACGTCGTCGGGGACAGAGGACCCCAGGAAGGGGCTGTGCAACAAGTTACAAGCCTCAATAACCCAAGACTTGGGCCCTTGGTCCGCAGCAGCGGTGGTACTCGGTACAGAAGAGCCCTTGCGAAGACCAAACTGGACTGCAGATTTCTTGAAGTCTCCGACAGGGGACAGTGGGCTCAAATACGAGAATCCCCACGAGTGTGGAGCAAGTGTCGCCTGGCGTGCGGGTTTGATAAGGGGGCAAAAGAGGTCTGGGTGGGATAGGGCAGCCTTTGACGATTGATGCAGCCACCTCAAGCCACGTCGTCTCGAGAGTGAGACATGCAAACAAGTGCAACTCTGAACCCCCTCATCTTTGCAGTATGACAGATAAACGCACGAGCAGTGACTATCAATCTTCGCTTCGCAGACCCACGGAATATTGCTCGACATCCGTGGTCCGCGCATGCAACAAAAGATCTCTCCGTTGCCTTCGACGCCTTTCGAGCCAAAGCCAAGAACCAATGGTGACGCCTAAGAGGATTACTGTGAGAATACCAAAAATCCACATCTCGCCTGCAAAGTGGAGGCTTATTGTGTGCTGCCCGTAACGGATGTCCAGGTATCCCATACTAAGGAACTGCTGATCCTGAATGTCAGAAGGATCGTGCAGGATGCCGGACACATTACTCACCGAGACAAACGCTGCCGGCAAATATATCATAGTCAAGATGGTTATTGTCTTCAGGATTTGCGCGTCATCTCGCGATTTGGTGGCCAGGTCCACCATGATCTTATTATCGCTTTGTGCCAGACGTGCGATCTCTGTCGACATTGAACTACTCGTTTTCAGCGCCGCAAGAGCTCGGAATGCAATAATTTTCTGCATCTAATGGCCAAGTCAACACTGTGGCTGTGGTTGTGACTGTGTGGGGGAAAATTACCAGGTCAGACACTGCTTCAGTTCTTTGCTTCAGGGTAAGTATCCGTTCGAGCTGGATCTCGATCTCCGCAATGAAGCCAAAGGTTGCTGGATCCGAGGGACAGGTGGCTGGCATAATACCTGGATCGCAGCTCTGCCTGTACTGAGTAAATAGCACGCCGACTTCTCTGCAGACTTGCAAGTTCATGTTCAAGACATGGCGTAGACGGTACAATTTGTCTTCAAGGACCTTGACGTCTTGCGTATCTTCGAATTCAATTCTGATCGTGGGCAGAGAACCCGTCGGTTCCTTGTCCGAGACACTCGATAAGTGAGCTCTTGTTTTCTGCAAAGATGGCCGGCTGTTAGAACACGTTTCTGCTAACTCGTCTAATGTTTCTTTGGGGCTACTTTTGGAAAAGGTGGACGCACTAATTGGGTCATTTGGGTTTCTAGGTAGCTTGTGTACTGTCTCCAGGGCGTTGTCGAAGATGACAATGCGAGTCGATGGATGTCACGCCATGCTGGCGGCTCACCCGTGCCAGCTTGAGCGTCTTTGAGCCGCTGTAAGAAGGTCTGCAGGGGGTTGATGATGATGAAGGTAGTGGCCTCCTTATTCGCTTCCCTCTGGGAGTAAATGCCCATCTGGCGGATGGACCAAGGATCCTCGTCGTCATCACGACCATGTTCCTCGACTGTTTTGGCCAGATACGCGCACTCTGGGAAGATGGTCAGTGTGGGTTCAACTTAGGTTTCGCTCCAGCGGAGCTCGTCTGATTAAAACACGGACCGAATGCTTGGCCACCGGAATGTGAACGGAAGCCCCCAACTGAGTCGCTGTCGGAGACGATGCGTTCGCCAAATGCTGTAACGACATCGAGGAACTCTGGGAAGATGCCAAAATGGTGCGCGAGCCTCCGCAGAGCGCGATCCGAGATCATCAATCGGTCCCAGGAAAACCTCTGAGGTATCAGACTGCCATCATCAGCACTCCCTCATTGGAAAAGGCACAGTTCGGCCTTTGAAGCTTCACTGACATGAGACGGAGGCCAGAGTATCGAGAAGTCGTCAAATAATTGTCTAGACCTTCGAAGCTGCTAATGATCAATTCTTCAGCTTTCCATTAGCAACTCATCATCCTCCAGAGTCTCGCCCACCTACCTCGTATTCCCACTTCGATGACCTTTATTCGCCTTTCTCCATCTTCCATGAAGAGACGCTTGGAGTTTTGCTCCAGGATTCTGCTGTAATGCGCCAGATCACAAGCATACGGATTGCATATTTCTGGCGACAAGGAAAGGGGGTAACGAGCCCAGCTTGGTACGTCTTCAGTCATGTTCTGCCAATATGAGGTTCATCAATTGTGCGCTCAAAAAGGGAGAGTCATGGAAATGGATAATATATCGCTTTCTTCGAGCCCGGCCTTGGATCTCTGGACAGGACTTCGGACGACATCAAAGTGCGTTACACTAAAACGCCTCTCCACGAATCTCAACGCGCAGGGGAACGCCTCAAATTGTACACTGCCACCAGCCATGACAGCCTAAGAGTTGTCCTGCTGGGCGCCTCCATGCCTATTAACCCCCGGTCCCTTGCAGGCGCACCACTACCAGTAGGCCGGCGTAGGCTCACTAGGCCACTGGGCGAGGCTGAAGACTGTCCCTTACTCTAACTACTAAGCCTAACCGAGCTCACGAACCAGAATTCCAAGTTACTTGGCTGGAATCCTGCGTTTGCGAACCTCTGCCGATAAGCAGGCCATATGGGCCAGTTCCCGGTACCTGCGGCGCCCCGACCCTGGATTCCGAAAACGCCTCTCCAACCCTCATCGCTTCGATTTGCTCCCACTCCGTTCTGGACTGAGAGTTTACGTGAAAGGATCGCGAAACATCTCAGGATAGCTTTGCTTCCGAAGATCCAAAATCTCAGACTATTTCGTCACAAGTCAGCAACTCCGAAAACATCCACACCTGTAGCAGTACCGCCTGATTCTGAATGATGGATTCACCTCTGTCAGTTGACGCAAGGCGGTCACAGTGATTTTGTTATCACGTTCAACCTGCCCCGGAATTAGTATGCCTTTCCCTTCCACCAGGTTAGAGCCCCCGCCCACCTTTACGAAGCGTTGAGCACCGAATGTGGTTGCGTTGTCGTCAAGAAATTTCTTAAGGACCGCTGGTTTTATATACCTATGCGTTGCAAGAATGTGAGAGAAGCATATTTCCCCTCTTGAACCGGTCCTTACCTTTCCTCCAACACCTGGATAGTATAGACCGTTGCCATGATATTCCAATACCAGAACTCGAGCTTCAGTACAGAGTTGGATGTGAGACATCCGACGGTACCAGGCTTGATTTATCTCTGCCAGGGGAGGCGCCGGGTGGAAGCCAAGAAGCAATACATGCCAGCTGTGGCTTGAAGTAGCTCGGTCGCCTTTTCACGTTCTCTGCACCTTCGTTGGTTGGGAAGTCCTGCAAGGCGTCTGGTTCGGCGCAAGGCAGACAACATGACGAAATGACTCACCGGTCATGTTTGGTGCTCGAGGCCAGTCGCTCAAGGAGATTCGCGCCACCACCATGTCGCAGTTGGCTGGGACCTTGAAGGCTCCCCCTTCCCCCAGTCTGATGGTCGATGCATGTAGCCCTGGGGTACAACTGCAGGTCTAACCCCTGAATCACCCCATCTAACGTATTCCTGTGAGTAGGAAACTTTTTACAGTAGCTTTACTTCCCGTCTAAGCAGTAACTTGGGCGGTCCAACCGACGACATGTCGACTCGATTTTCGGATTCTTTACTTCCACCGGGCCACGAGCTGGAGAGACTCACACGTCGAGCGCGTCGAGCGAAACTCGGTAGCTCAGTAAGGTCAAGGTCTGTTCCCAACATTCACGATGCTACTGGTAGCGACAACGGCAGTAGACCAAGTCCTGTGATCTATGCTCAGGACTACGAGAATTCAAATGCGGCTGTACCCCTTCAAATCGATGACCCGGACACCACCGTTCCAACTACCGATGGTAGCCATGATACAACGGAGCTTCAGGGGGTAGCATTGAACGATGGAAGCAGTTCATCGATGTCTAAACTTGCTTCTGAAAGGGACGATATGACATTTTCCATGCAAAGATCACACAGCCGGCAGGCCGATAGCCGGCAGGACTCCGACCAGCAAAGCGAGACGGAAACCATCGTACCAAGGAGAAATCTCACAGCCCTTGATGTCGCTTCACTTATATTAAACAAGATGGTTAGCGCGACCGTCACCGGCATGTCCTTGTCAGCTGACAGTTGTTCTGTAGGTTGGTACCGGGATCTTCACGACTCCGGGAGCTGTGCTTGGGTATACGAGGTCAAAGCCTGTGAGCCTGGCCCTGTGGCTTGTCGGAGGTGTGTTCACGCTTCTGTTGTAAGGCGGAACAACTCTCTCACTTGCCACCAACAAGCAATTTGACAATGAGAACAGTATCCTCGTCTACCTTGAGTTTGGTAGTGCCCTCCCTTTCAACGGAGGAGAGCTCATTTACGTAAGTATCCAATATGATCGAGGACTCCACGCTGAATACCCGAACTAGCTGGATGAAGTCTACCCGGCGCCTGAACTCCTTTCAACCATCCTGTTCTCAGCATTCTTCTTGTGTCTGGGAAATTCGTACGGCAATTCGGTGACATTCTCCAAGCAAACCATATTAGCCAGCGATCCGTCTGCCACCAAGATGGCCGGGCTCGATTCTCGGCTTGTGAGGTTTATTGCGATTAGTGTGCTGTCGGTCGTCTGCCTCCTGCACTATTTCTCCAACCGATTCGGCCTTTTCTTGAACAAGCTTTTCGCCATCTTCAAGACCGTACTCCTGCTTACGGTATTCATTGCCGGGGTGAAGGCATCAAGCAAAAACGGATCCGGGCTGGCCGACTTTGGCAAGACTCATGGCGACAGGGGTGCAACAGATGGTCTTTCTGCTCTTGTGCTCATATTTTATGCGTATCAAGGATGGGAGAATGCCAACTACGTATGAATCCATTGTGAACTTGGCAGTTCACCGCCTGCCCAGTTTTTGATACCTTATGGTTCCGAAACTCACTCTTCGCAGGTTGCTGGAGAGATCAGAGCTCCCACCAAGACACTTAGAAGAGGTGCATTTCTGGCCGTTGGTCTCGTCACCCTTTTATATCTTCTAGTGACAGTCGCATATGTATGAGCACTTTCCTGTCCTCAGCCCAGGATGGAGTATGAATTAACGCTGTTTAGTATGTCGCTTGTGACTATGAAACCATAACAGATAGCGACACTGATCTCGGTATCGCGATTCTATTCGCTCCAAGGGTATACAAGACTTCAAATGGTGCTTTGCCTCAGCTAACCTTCAAACCAGGCATTCGGGTCAACCATGGGCCTGAAAGTGTGCATAGCTCTGTCTGCATTTGGAAACCTCCTGGCGGTCACTTTTACCAGTTCCAAAGGTGAGTTAATCGTCTCTGCGACTGGAGTCTTCACTGATATGCTTCAGTCAAGCAAGCCATTGCCGTCCAAAGGATTATACCATTTTACAAATTCTTCCAAAAGGACATCAACACTCCAAAAGGGGCCCTTGTCTTGCATTGGCTGTCCTCGACAATGCTCATAATCTTCTGTCCGGTCAGTGCTGATGGCTACACTTTTGCGGTCGGACTCTTCACCTATGGTCATATTATTGTTGGCAGTAAGTTGCATACCTCCTGCTTCTTGTCACCAACCATGCTCGTTTGATGTTGACCCTAAGAACAGCGTTGGTAACTCTTGGGCTGTATCGGCTCACTTCACGCATGCAGCAGACGTGGCCTGGGTGGCGACCGATGATATTCACGAACAAGTTCGTCCTCTACACCTTACCCCTGATCTTCACGGCAGGTAACCTCATAATCTTGATATGGGGAGCAAAGCCACGTAATCCGGGAAAGATTCCTCGATTTTGGTGGCCTGTGATATTCTTCCTCATCATACTTGGCGGGGCTATATACTGGACTTGCATGGTCGCGACGCAGATCCGAATCAATCGTCGAGGGAAAGAAACGACCATTGGGGAGGTCATTGGATTTCAGGTAAAGATATACAACGAAACCGACGAGGTGGTACCTGCGAATATGGAAGAGGCCATCGTTCAATCGCGGCTCGATGGATCAAGACGACGGGTCGGCTATCAGGTAGGAATTCCAGAATCCCGATCCGGGACACTTTTGAGCTGATGCATGGCAGTTTTCCGGCTTGTTTGCAAAGGCTGGTAAAGCGTACTCACAGACTGTCGACTTTGTCACCAAGTTTTTGTTCTAGGAATCGCGTTGGATGACTGTCAACGTTGGTGAGGTGATCCTTAGGGTACCAAGATGTGCCCTCGGGAATCTCCCTGGGATCTTCAGATACATCGACTCGCTGTTGGACTTGGTAAGACGATGAAGAGTTAATCATGTAGTCTCAGCGTCTGCTCGACTTGGCTGTACTACAAGAGTTTGGGATAGTTGCATGCGGAGTGTTGTCCCTTGTTTCCAAGTTGGTACGGCCTATCTCATGGTAGATTCTCACATGTCGATAATCTTTGCTGGATATCTCCTTGCATCAAGAATATTTCGTACGCTTGCTGAAAGGGAAAAGGGATCTATGTGCCAGGATGTCGTCCGTTGTTGGTGGCCAGTGCTAATTATAGCGGCCGCCACCAGAAGTGGCCAACTAAGTTATTGTCGCATCCTCAACACGAGCAAAACCTTGACTTCACCCATTGCGATGTGACCCCTTCTTGTTTCCGATAACGAACCACCAAGCCATCCCTGTATCAAGCCGAACAACGAGGTTTAATAAAATCCCTTTCCTTTCCTTTCCTTAGTGCGTTCGTTTCTCAGAAACTAAGCCATTTGACGCTATTGGCGACCAAACCTCATTCATGACCTTCTTCCTCGGGTCGGCAGCTTATCGACATCGTACTCTAGGCAATCCAAGTCGGAGACCTTGTGAAGTCCACACGTTGTCGTAAAGTTCCATGACACAAAATGGAGTCTCCCAAGGGCAGCCGCGACGATCCGTTGAAGTCAGTCGGGCTTCTCAGGATGTCCAAGACGACTACGCGCACGCAAGAATTGACGAGAAGACGGAGACGGTAAAGCCAGAAACTTATGCATCTTCCAAGGTCGATCCAGAGGCCAGTAGGGGCTCACTCGAGGATGTGGTGGTTGAGAAGGACGAAAGAACACTCTCTTCTTCCTCCCCATGTCTTGCTACCGTCGCTATCAACACCAATCCTGCGAACGATACGTTCATGGTCAGCAATTCTCCTCTGAAATTCATCCAACAGAAATCGAGACTCACAGGTCGACAATCCTTCATCTCTGTCTCACAGAACGAACTCCGCAACAGCCTTCTCCCATTGATTGGGTATCTCGAACTTGCAAATGCAGGCGACTTTGCCGCCAACGTCTTCAACACGATTCCCGTGCCCACCTTCGCCGCAGCTCTGATGGGAGTCGGAGGCTGTGTTGCTCTGTGTTTTTCTGTCGTCGCCATCTGGGATGCGCGGTTGAGCGCCCGGAACATCAAGGTCCTCAAACGAGAACGAAGGGCTCTGTTGTCCCTGCGTCGTCTTATCCAGCGGATTCTCACCACCCAATTAGCTCCGTCATCATCACAACACCCTTCTTCTGCCAGCAACAACGACGACGACGACGACGAAAAGTCCTCCCCGCGACCATCGATCCCGTCCGACAATCTCGCCGTGTCGGTCTACCTCGATGTCAACACGTTTGAAACCAGGACTGAACTGGTCGACCGACTATTGATGGATGTCACGATGGGATTTGGCGCCCTCCTCGTCGGAGTCGGCACGCTAATGGCCATTGGCGGCGCCAACCCCAGAGTGTTCCGCGCCTCCAATCTACTGTCTGGGTACATTGGCAACGGGCCGGCAGCGTTGTACGGCCTGCTACGCACAATCTGGTCGACGTACGTCTACATTCGAACAACGCGACATCAGCGCGCGGTCCGACGCAAAGTCACCGTGACCCTCACACCGGAGGTAGGCACAGCTCTCGACCAACGGTACGCCTGGGTCAAGCTTTACGCATTTCTATCCGGTCCGACGAGTTTAGTCGCTGGTGCGGCATCCCTGGTCACGGCGACGAGGTGGTGGGGTTACACCATGCTCGCACCTTGTATTGTTCTCTCGTGGGTGTGTAACACCATGTACAGGACGCGGATCGGCTACACGAGGCCTATTTTGGCAATTCCTGCTTTGGGGGACGAGGAAGGTGCACCGTCATGCTACAGAAGAACACGACAGTCCGATGCTGCGGTTGACGGTCTGGGACTGTCCAAGATGAACGAGCAAATGCTGTCGAACGAATTGAACGAAGTCGTGACGATGAGGAAGAGTTTCGAGTTTGCGAAGAAGCACGCAAAGGCGGCCAGCAAGAAGAACACCGGGAACAGAACCACGGGAACAAGAACAAGCACAAGTACGATCCCGGCCGAGGGCAATGCGACACGCACGGCAGTGTCGGCGGCGGTACCTAGTGTCGCTGCGTCACCGTCGAGCGAGCTCACCTTCAAGATTCTCACAAAGCTGAATCTCGTCGAACCGTTGTTTCTCGGCCATGTCAACAACCTTTTATCGATGTCACCAGTCTCTCCCTCTTCCGGTTCTTCTTCACCGGGTACCGGCGATGAAGAGAGACGGGCACGAACGGCACTCGTCGGCTTCCTCGGCGCCGCAGCGTCGTCGTCTGTCGACTCGACGTTGATCACCGAGTCTAGAATATCACCATCACCGTCACCGTTGCAACCTCGATCGCCTCCATTTCTCGAGCGTGAACCAGAGCCAGGGACGACTTTAAATTCACGATCCGCCACCGCCACCGCCACCGTCAAGACCAAAGCCAACAATCTCAGCAACAACAACAACAACAGCAGCAGCAGCAGCAGCAGCAGCAGCGGCAGCAGCGGCAGCAGCGGCAGCAACGACGGCGACCATAAAGAAGACGAAAATATTATTACCCCTCCCGGCGGCACAAGTACAAGTACAGACCTCGACACCGGCACGATCACGATCCACGACCCTCATTCTCTTCTGGCGAGCACTCTACTTTTCCAGGGTTCCCAATGGCCCCAAAATCCTCGAGATCAACACCACCACCAAACACAAGAATTTCTCAACCTCGCCAATTCGACCATAACAACCCACGGCCTCGTCTTTGCAAAGTACCGCGAACGCTACACGATAGAGTTCCTGGGTAGTCTACTTCACCGTCAATGAAACACATACAGTATAGACAGACAGATAACGAGCGCTACCTACCTAGTTACACCGGCCGCGGCGCTGGCTAGGAAAGAAAGGCCTCGACGCGTTCAGGAAAAGTCTGAGCGAATAGACCAGCTCTTTCTTGGTTGGGGGGGATCGATGATGAAAATTATTAATTTCGTTAATGCTTGCCTGACCTATTCAGACATTTCTATCCCTTGCGCTCCGCCCACCAAGTCTCAGAAGTCCCTACCTCCATCAGGTACACTTAGACTTATGCGGTACCCAACGTGGGTACAACATCAAAAGAAACTCACATGCCTGTTCACCATGTCCGTGTGATGGTGATGCGATGTTTCCAACTCGGTCTAATGCCCGTTGAGGACCGAACTTTCCTCTCCTTTGACTCCTCTCAAGACTCAAGCGGCCACTTTTATATTCAAAAAAAAGTCCCTTGGTGTTTATGGTTGGAAACCGCAATTCGGAAAAATTGCTTGTATGTCCAACATCTACCACCGTCCTGACAATCCGGACAGAGCCATCTCACACGTCCTCCTCATCCTTGACCGGAAGGTATTTCTCTCCCTTCAACCTGTCTCCCGTAGTAGGAACGGGCTTGTCAACCCGCAGTATCCAACACAACACATCTTCGGCCGGAAGAAGGAACATCCAAATCTTGTTGCACAGCAAAGACAAGGTGGTCGTCATCATGGCCACCACAGCATCAAGCCAGTAGTGATTGGCCGTCGCGACAATCACAGTCAGCACCAACAGGGGGTAACAGATACCCGCAACCAAGTAGAAGATTTGCATAAACGTCGATTTTCGCGGCTCGTTACGTTGGGCGCGTCGGAACAGGCCCGAGTGGTATAGAAAGGTGCATCCAATAACAAATGCGTAGGTAAAGTGTAGACTGGGCATGGCCGCCAGTTGATTGACATAGTTTCCACCGACCCACACCGATTCGGCGTTATCTTGTCGGACTGTATCGTGGAAACCAAACTCCTGGGGCAGTAATCGAGGAGGCATGGTGGGGAAAACGGTAAAGATGGCGAAGGCGGCAAAATTTCCCAACGTCATTGTTCGGCGGACTGTTGCAAAGGTCGCGTGATTAGGAGCTGAGTAGTAGTACCATGATAGAAAGCTAGGACACCAAGTCAGCAAACAATCAGACAATCAAAAAATGGGAAAAGGACGTACGCGACGGTTCCGGGTATATGTACAAGTGAATAAATTCGGTTGAGAAATGTAATGGCTGTGAGATGGCCGTTCAAGAACCAGCCTTGGAATGCTGCTTCCCGGATCGGAAACAGAAAGCTCAACCAGGATTTGTGCTCGATATCCAAAATCAGAATACCGTGGTCTTGGGCGAGGTCACGGAGGCCGTCATCTCCAGACATGGTGAGTTGAGCAATGGCCTTGGTGAGCACGTAGAACAACAGGTTTAGAACCCAATAAAACATTTCGATGAGAAAGGGAAATTTCTGTAGAATCCGACTGTGGACGTGGTCGGAAAAGCGGGATGAGTTGGGTGTCCGGATGACCATGCCGCAGCAGTCGCGTTTCTTTGGTGGGTATTTCGACGAGGTCAAGACATCAGATTCACTGGACTCGTAGGAGTCCAGTTCGCCCAGGCTGTCGGGGGAATACTCCTGGCTTTCGTGAGGGAGGAGAGACCGCGTGGGTGATCGGCCCCGGTTGGAATCCAAAATGCGATAGTTTCGTTTTCGATTGACAGTCAATGAGGTGATCATGATTGAAACAACGATCTAGCCAGTTAGAACAAGAAAATCTGAAACAACGAAGCTTTCCACCTACAATGGGCTCTACCCAAGCATGAGAGGCGAACTGGGCGCCGCCCATGTTGGGCTGTGCGGCCACAGCGGCCTCGGTAACGTTAACAACAGCAGCTGCCATGGTGTATATGGTCTGGTATTATGATAGTATAGTCGATATCATGAGTTGTGGCAAGCGAGCAGGGATCGATGTTTCCTCGGCGGCTTGAGCCGTCGTCTGGCTCGCTGGTCACGTGAGACGGAGCAGAGTTGGCTCAGCTCGAGATGGAGCGATCGAATTCACCGACAAGAACGTGACGAGAACTTCGCGTACTGTCGAGGAATCTTTCGGCGAGGCGAGTCGGGCGTTATTGAGGTTGTTCTGGCCGTGACGCGGGAATTAGATCGGGACGCGTGTCGTTTCTGGAGGAGATTGCACCAGAAAAAAGCCGCAACCCAGGAGTCGTCAAGGGGTAAATCCAGCGGAGAGAGAATCGCCAGCTGCCAGGAACCACAAACAAGATTCAAAAGAGGGATTAAAAGAAGGTACAGGATGATGCCGAAGAGAATGGAGGGTTGAATGGGAAAAAGACGTTGAATTAGAGGGAAAGGAAGAGCGGTTGAAGTGCCAGGTGGTGTGAAGGCGTCTGTTCTTCGATGATGATGAGTGAGAGGTTTGAGGATTAAGGATTAGGATTTTGGCCTAGTTCGACGTGTCGGCAGAATTAAGCCGCCGCAGGTGCAAAGTGAAGTTTAGCCCCCGAGAGCCGAAACGAGGCGGAGCAACGACCGGCGAGTCTTGCCCCTAGAACAGCCTAGTGGGAGATTCCAGGGTTGCGTAAAAACGAGTACGATGAGCATAACAGGAGCCGTGAGCCTGTGCAATAGGGAGACGCCCTCCACATACTGTACAGTAGTACATAACGTAGGCATGCCCGAAGAGGGAGTCCTCGGGCACCTCCAGAGCCTACGGACCTGCAGCAGTAGCCTAGTAGGCGCTCTGTGGCTGCTGAGAGAAAACTCAGTCAGCCCTGTACAGGGCAAACGTCAGCAGGCATAAGATAATCCGTTCCAGACGGCCGTAATCCTAATTCCCATTTACGATAAGGATCATCGGTGCCTGTCAAAGGGGGAGCAGCTTATCCAGGTCTCCATTTGACCCCCAATAACCGCCCCTAACACGACTTTATGCAGCTGGTATTCGCCGAATCGCTGGCCACTACGCCCAGGCCACCAATTGCCTCAAGGTCATCTGCACAGTAAGCACTCTGGCCTTTAACTCGTTTCAGGTCTTGTTGCGACATAATTACTAGTGTACTTGACAACTGCGCTGTGTACTCGTACTGTCCTGTACATAAGGCACACACGTACTGTACTTGTACGGAATCCGGGCCCTGTAGGGAAAGCCTCCGAGGATCTAGCAGTAGAGACTGATGTCAGTAGAAAGACCCAACCTGTCCACCGTTCTCAGTAGTCTGTCAAACGTCCTGCAACCAACTCCGATTCGCAAACTCAAAACGACCACAGCCTGAAAGAGACTTTCGAAAGGCCGGCCCTCTTCAGCGACAGTACCTTACTAGTCAAAGGTGGAGGATGCCGCCCGGATCTGTTGATCCTAAAATGCGCCTTGAGGGCTTTCATTAGGTAGTGAAGCCAATGCTCGGCAAGCCACTGATGAAATTTTTTCCGCATAGACCAAGTTCCCCAGCACTCGTCGACCGTGAAGCACCGGAACCACGATTTCCCATATCCGAGTCACCGTGCTGTTGCGACAACCCTATAAGTACGTGCCTATCGTAGGGCACAGGAGTAGTAGGGATATTTGTTATACTGAGAACGTACAATGAGGACTCTTGTGTAGACGAATAATGATCGCACGTGTATTCGGTGCTCCCTCTCTCTATCTCTAGCCACCAAGGTCTTCTCCGATGCTACCGCAGAAATAATCTGGATGTACCGCTAGATTCTGAATCATTGTGCCACCATGCCAAAAAAAGGAAACCTCATGTGCCGTTTGGTCAAATGCACTCCCAAGAATGCTATACTCGTATACGAGATTCGGATACCCCTTACCATCTTTATGGTTCCAGCAAATCCCCCGAGATAAATCGTCGATTGTCGCGAAATCGTCCCTTGGTGACCTTGTTGCCCAATCCTCTCCGTGGACTGCGCAAAGCCTCGTCTCCGGTTGCTCGCATGATCATTGGCAAAGCGTCCAGCACCTGTTTGTTGCCTTCATAGTAGTGATTGACGAAACCGCTGGCCAGCAGTCGACGGATTGCGTTCAGGCGCATCAACTTCCACCACTTGTCCACTTTCATCTCCCCTTCCCGGTGCACCCGAACTGTCATCTTGGACGCATTGTTGGACTGCAGGCCAAGCTTCGGGTTTTCCACGGTGGTCACCACGCAGGCAAAGGCTTGATGAAGGTCTCTCTTGTCTCGTCGATTCATGGATTTGGTGCTCAGGGATGACAAAGCCTTGACACGCTCGAGCACCTCGTGCGCATTGTGATAGGCATTGTATCGTTTGACGAGTCCCGATCGGTCAGGCTCTGCGTCGGATCCTGAGCTCTCCCCATCTTCATCCGTCGATGAATCATCATCTTCACGAGGGGTGTAGCTCTTCTCGAACAGCAGAGCGATGGCCTCTCCGGCTGCAATCTGCACTCTGGCGTCGCTGGAATCAAGCTGGTCAAGGAAGGTCGCTACCGCATCTTCCGACTCATGCTCCAGGTCTTCAACGTAGGTAGCAAGGAATGCGTATGTATTTATTGCCGCGGCCACGACCTCGGAACTGTCATCAGCGTCAATGAACGATCCGTCGCTGGATGCAACCTCCAGGAGGAACGTCATGACCTGTTCCAGTTCTTCCTCTCCCGCTCCGCCAAAAGACAGGCAAATGCCCAGAGAATAAATGGCGGCCGTCTTGATTGTCAAGGACTGGGAGTCGGAGATGCTTCGTTTCAACACCGGCGCCATGCTCTCATACACGCCACCGTCCTCGAAAGTGATGGCAACCAGGGAAACTGCACGTAGAGCTAAGATGGCTTCTTTTTCGCTGGTTTCCGCTTTGATACTTCTTTCAAAAGAGTCAAGGAGATCCGGTACGCGGCGGTAGAGCACTTCGGCAAGATAGTGAGACGTCAAGCACCGAACAAAGGTCGTCAGATTGGTTTCGCGACCAGTAACACTACTACCTTTCCGCTCCAACAAATTATCGATCGCAGTGATCAACTGTGTCCGCATGACATCGGTGGTTTGTTCGTTGAAATCATCGCTGTCAAGCAGGGCATCGATGGAGTTGATGCTGGGGAATTGCCACCATTAGTGAGCGAACCCGCTGTGGGAGATCGAGACAACTTACCTTTGGTTGGTGTCATCGCTGAGGTTGCCATTGCCATAGTCTTCGTCATCCGACACATCACGGCTTTGGATGCGAGATGCCGCTCTTGAATTTGTTGCTGAATTCGCTTTGGAACTTCCACGAGAGGATTGTTTGGATCGGGCTTTGCTCGATACCGTCTTGCCGCTCTCCAGAGCGCGTCGTCGTAGATCTTCGTGCATGGTGATAGACCCTGACCTAGCGAGAGGCCGAGGCTAGCGGTGCGACGAACGACAGGTACAAACGATGAACAGCGCACGTGCTGAGGGCGTGACGCTGATTGTGGTTTTCTGTTACCCTTTGGGTAGAGAGGCACGATAAGACCAGTGATGTGGTGGAAGGCGTTGAATTTCCATAAGGAAGAGGGCTCGACTCGATTTGGAAAGGTTCTCGCGCACAACAGACGAAGACAGGAACCAAACAATGAGAGTGAATGGTCTGTAAGGGTCCCTCAATAGAAGCAGAGATTTCAAGGGGACCGAACAATAGGTAACGGGCGGTGAGGGCAAGAAGAGATTATATTCGTCAGGCCGTCGATCGAGAGACATTGCCAGCACATGCACGGTAAAGAGTTGCCGCCTATTCGTCACTGTTGTACCTACGAAACCTGGAGGGGGGCGCACCCGAGGAGTCGCAGCTTTCAGCCTAACTAACTAGTTAATTAGTGGCCCGCCTGCGGCCTCTTTCCCCAGATACTGAGCCTTTCAAGCTGCCGCCCATGACGACAGCGAGCCTGCTGAACCCGCCACACCATGATGCATCATGCCACTGCCCAGTTCTCACCCGCATCATCACCATCACCACCACCACCACCTCCTCCTCCTCCTCCTCCACCCGTCCCAATTCCCAATGACGGACAGGTGTCGCCACCGCAATTACGCATGCAAAGGAGCTCGATTATAGGGAAGTCACAAACAAAATAAAACTGGGATTCAATTCTGACATTGTTTTCCGGCATTCGGTAAGCAAGATAGTAGTCGCACACAGAGTTCATGTGGCTCATTCAAAGGAGCGAGATATTGGGTCATTTGCCGTATTCAAGTGCAAACAGTCAACAAGTAAAAAGCACTCCATCCCTCAGACTCCACCCTTCCAACCTATCCCAATAGATCCTTTCGCCCAGCCAGGTCATTGTCGTCCCGCTTCGCTCTCATTCTGATGGTTTTGGTTTCGCGGGTTGAGCTTCACCCTTGTTGTCGTCTTGCAGCCTCGTCAGGACGTTCTACATTGCGCTGTCGGTGAGTTACCGGCTTGATTTGCATCTTTACTTGCTTCTCTCAGTCTGTGCATCCAAGAAGTCTTCGTCGCTAGCGTCTAAGATGTCGTATTCCTCATCTGTCAAGAAACCGGCTTCGTCGCTGTCCGAGTCTTCGAGCTCCAGGCTCTCCACATCGTCCAACAAGTCTTGCCCTTCAGTCTTGGTCGTTGGTTCCATGGTGGCAGCTGGTACTTCAACGTGCGTCCGGCTTACATCGTGGATGCTGGACACGGGAGATTCTTTCTCGAGCTTGGGGAAGATCATCGTGGAGCTGCTCTGTGAGCTGCCCTCGTCCTTGAGCTCGGTCTCGGTCTCCAGAGAGCCAGCTACGGCCGGCAAAGGCGCTGGGCGGATTGGCAATTCCACCGGAGCAGACTTAACCTCGATATCGACCCAAAGTTTGTGGCCGAATGGTAATCCTTCAGGAGTCTTCAAGCGCCAGTAGGAAATGGCTCGTCCTTCACGAGAAGGAGCTTTCAGCAGCACGGTAAAGACCGCATTCTTACCTGGCTCCAAGCTGGTCTCGAGCACGTTGGTTGAGTTCGCTGCACTCAGGGAGCTGACACTTGAGGGGTGAAGCAAATCAAGGTTGCGCATGTCATCTCCACCGACGTAATATACGGCGCAACCAGCAGGCCATGCGTCAGGCCCAGGGTTGCGAACAGTCCAGGATTGCATGACCATATGGTTGGGCATAACTCTGGTCCCATCAGGGGTCAGGTCGTTGACATACCAAGCTTGGAGGTCATTCGAGGCCGCCTTTTCTGGAACGGCATTACTGGTCGCAGGCGTTTCTGGAGTCGCAGGAGCGTTCTCGGCCGGCTCGACTTCGGCGACTGTCTGGACTTGCGTAGCAGCATTAGCAGATGTTGCCCGTGTAGTCTCTGTCGCAGCATGCTTGGCCACAGGTCGATCTCCCAACTGTGCGAGCTTCTCGCCTGATTCTGTCTCGTGTGCCGTGGTGATGGAGACACGATTAACGGGAGTCTTGAATTTGATCAATGGGTGAGTCGGGTTATGGCCATTGTTGGGAAGGGCCTCGCAGTTGGCACAAAAGTCAGTATCATCGCACACGGCGCACTTGTATCGATCACCAGCGATGTATCCCTTGTAGTTGGCGCAGAGAGGCCCGTCACAGTAGACACCTCGGTGGTATGGTCTTGCAGTACGCACGTACGCAAGAGGAGTATACAGAGCCGCAAATCGATGGCCTGGGTGCTTCTCGCCGGCAGTCACTACACACGTCGAGCAATAATCAAAATCGGGACAAGACAAGCACTTGTGGCGGGCACCGTAAATGCTCTGTACAAAACGTTAGGTTTGAAACCACAGCAATACTGAAGTCAAGCCTACCTTGTCACAGCCATCGCAAAGAGCATCATGGCGAATGCCGCGGCCCGGCGCACAGAGGCTCCTGATCTCGGCGGTGCTCTCCGTGTTATCTTGTGGCTCAAAGCTGTGAGATGGATCATGGCCATGTTCACCCTCATCGAAGCAGCCGAGGCACAGGTCGAAGTCAGGGCAATCCTGGCAGGTCACAAATTGCTGGTTTGGCAATTCTAAACAGTCGTCAGTGTATGTTCAGTGGAAACTTCCTGAGAACTTACGGCGAATGCAAGAATTGCATGTTCGCTCACCATGCTCATGAGAACCAAGAGGTGTGACAAGTTCTTCGGCCTCGGTTGAGATAGCCTCGAACGGCTTCTTGGATGGCAAGGTAGTTGTCTCACTTGGAATGACGATTCCATTACGAATGTGTCTCTTCACCAACCAGTGTTCGTCACCATCGCAAGTGAGCCCATCGGCAACGCAGCTCTTACACAAATCGAAGTCGCCGTTCTCGCAGATACCACAATGGTAGTGCTCATCGGGCACAGACTTGCCGCAATGGTTACAGTCAATCGAGTAAGAGGTTGACGGGAAATCGTTGAGGGACGGTAAGGTCGGAAGGCTGAAGAGATCGGTGGCGCAGTCTCGAGGAGCCTTGATGACCGGATCCATGCCGGATGTATTGACGTCAAAAGCCCCTGGGATCGTGCAAGTCGGGGAGTATGGACAGTTCTTCTGGAACGACTTGAATGATTGAACTGGGGGCTGAGAGAGAACTGTATCAAGGAAACTGTGTCTGGGTTCTGCTGGAGCACCTGAAGCTGCGGCCTGGGGCAACTTCAGATCAGGTGAGGGTGTTTCGCTGACTTCCATCTTTGCGGGTTTAACGACAGTAGCCTTCAAACGCAACTTGAGCTTAGCTTTGGCTGCTCGGTACAGTTGTTTGTAGACGCCGGGATTGTTACTGTCGAGTGTAACGTATGCACCGGCCGAATCGGAAAAGCGTTCAAACTTGACGTCGTAGTCTTCAGGAATGGCAAGCAGGAAACGAAGCTGTAAATGAGTAGATTAGCGTAGGTTTTCAACGAGATGCGTTTCGAATAGTTTGGACTGGTGACCACAGCCGAGGCTGACAAACATGGGCCATTACATACCTTCTGAGGGAGGGTATTCGCTCCTAGGTCACGAAGAGCAAGCTTGAAGCGTCGATTAGTGCCTTCGATGAAGACTTTGACAGTAATCAGAGTGTCAGGACTAACAGGCCCGGTGGGAGGATGAGGTGTGGCCATGATGGAGATAAGAGCCTTGGGAGGCGGTGTCGGGCAGACTGGGCTAGGGCAAGGTGCAAAGACTCGGTCAAGATCGTTGAAGAGATCTCAAGAGAGGAAAATCATGGATACTTGAAACACCGACAACGCCTCTGCCTACTCTCGAGACGATGAAGAGAGGTTCAAGCACAGGCAGAGAGATGGAAGGCTGGTGAGGGTGAGAGGAAGAGACGACGAAGGCGAGGTTAGATGACGGCAGGGTGCAGCCTAACACAGTGAAGCCAGCCCAGGGCGGGGAAAGCAGTTGCACTCTGGTTCCCTCCTGCGGCGCCCTTTGCACGTGAGCAGGCAGCATCCAATTCACGTCCAGCAATTACTTCGGCTCATTGCGGATCTGTGGACGCTATTCCCCTTGGAGACGGGCACTGTTGCTGCTTGCTGGTGCCGCTCACCGGTCACGGGTGGTTGACCATACAAGGCCTCACCCCTCGCAGAGTGTGGTCGTCTATGATGAGATGCTACATCAGAATACAGTGGTTGTGGTGGATCGCGTCCCGTTACTCCCAAAGCTTTACTCCTTATTTGACCGATGGAGGGTAACTCAATTACTGACCAGATATTGTGACATGCCGGATACGCCAATCACTATGTGAACCGTCAGATCAGCCTTTGTACGCACACCTGTTTTCTCGAAACCTCTGTAGCCATGCTCAGTCCGCCTTGTCACGCCTTGTCCCGCATCTTCACCTCGCGTGCGACTCAAACCCGAATACTGTACATTAGCGAGAATGGAAGTTCTTTCTCGACTCGACAGTGAGCAGCGACAGATGAAATGGTCAGCACTTTTGAAACCGGTCAACCTCAGGCAAACCCGCTTGTCCTGCAAAATGCTAGATGCAAAATCAACTCCACACCCGCTAATCAAACCAAACGGAAATGTATCTAAAGAGACTAGACCGCCCAATGGTTCAACCCGTCTGCGCCGGATAGAACATACCATTGGATACCCCAGGATAATAAAGAGGTTGAGATGGCAACCCATTGGCCATTGGCATCACGTTTCCAGCGACACTGGGATATTGCTGAAAGCCGCCTTGACTGTCAGTGGGATACGCCGGCGGATTGTAGTAGTACACCATGCCATTGGACTCATGAGCCATCAAATTATTACCTGTGCCACCTTCGGCTGGGCCTGGAGCGTGCACGTAATTGACGGGATGTGCTTGGGAGCCTGGTATGAAGCTAGGGGCCATGGCCGGGCCTGTGATGGGAACGCTGAAAGAACCATTACCGCCCATCCCTGGATAGTAGAGAAGTCCATTGGCATAGGGTGTGGTGAAATACCCCGGTCCTCCCATGACGGGATACGGTTGGAAGCCCTGCGCAAACACTGCACCCTCTGGTATCTGGGAAAGAGGTGTCGTGCCAGCCATTCCTGGTAAAGTTTGTGGGGCCGGGGGAACTCTCTCGTCTGCTTGAGAAGCAGCCATGTGAGCTGGCACTTGCTGATGGAATGGGAGGTCTTGTTGTTGTTGAGGTGCTTTGACCGAATACGCCGCAGGCGATTCGATATCAGCAACAGAGACGGTTTTTTGGGGTCTAGGTTGATGCATAGGTATGGCAGTACTGTGGCTACCATAGAAAGGCGGAGGTGGGATATTTGGCGGCACGGTATTAAGTCCCATAGGTCCATTGACAATCGGCATTCCTGTCCTCGAGACTGACGGAGTTGGAACGCCAGAAGGCATTCGTACGATGGGCCGAGCAAATTCCATTCCAGAAGCGCCCATGCGGGATATGACGGAATCTGCAGGAGATCTGATTCCATCCCTCATGGTCGAGCCGCCAATTGAAGACTTCCGGCTCATTGCAATGCTTGGAGTATAAACGCTGCCATATACGCTGGGTCTTCGACTACCATGGAAGCTTCCTCTACCACGGCCCCGATGGTAGTTCTGTTGGTTTGGTCGCATCGCACGAGGGATGAAGATGAATGATCTTTCGGTGCTAGGAAAAACATACTTGGCCTGTTGATCTGGGATCGAAATTCGTACAGGCTTGTCCCGTCGTAGGGGTGGACGGTGTTGTGGAAGCAGCGTGTGATGCTTTTTGACAACATTCGAGACAATCTTCTTCTTTTCCATCCCTGGGAACGATATCTGAACGCTGACGTTGCCCAATACAGTGGTGAACGAAAAGGACCTGTTCGGTAGTGCTGCGGCGGGCGAGTTTCGAGCTCGGGTTGTCCGTTCACCAGGAACTGGTTGGGTTTGTGATGGCACCGGGCTCGGACCCAGCTCGTGGCCCTCGTGCAAATCATGAGCCCACGGCCTGTCTGTCGGTTCGTTGATACCAAAACCCCTGCTGCAAGATGTTAGCTACTGCGATTCCAGTGCTGTCACGCACACATACCCAGCATTCATCGGAGAGGCATAGCCTCGACCTCTGCCCCGAAAGAGCGGCCTTGAGAGGGCCCCATTTGACGCTGCAGTACGATCATCATGGAGGAAGAATTTGCCTCTGTTCGGTACAAACGCAGGGTTGGTATTACGCTGCTGGATGTATTCTTGGTGTTCCCTTAAGCTACGCTGGGCTGGTGTCTCGTTGCGTGTTGCTCGAGGAGCAGCGGCCGCTGACTCAGAGGCGGCGTCATCTCCAGCATGTAGATCGTCGAAGTCGACTTGTTCCATCTCTTCCGGGTGCTGTTGCCGACCTAATCCGTGCAACATAGCTTGTGTTTCGGCGCTCGTCGTGAAAGCTCCATTTGATGTGGCGTCAGATTCCTGAGGTATGTTGACGGCCGATCGTTGGTTCTCCTGTTCAGTGATGATTGCTTTCCTCCCGGCGGCGCTCTTGGTCGGTTCGTGCTCATCACCACTAGACTCACTGCCCTCGGCTTCCGCTTCGTCGTCACCATCGCTGACAGCAGAGTCTTCACTTGAGGAGTCGTCGTAATCTCCGGCGATTGATCCATCGTCTTCTCCTTCATCCGCCCGCCGCCGTCTGCGAGATAGCAGATCCTTTCTCCGAAGCGCAGGCATGTCTTGACGAGTCGAAGGGCAGGTATATTAAGTGGGACGGTTTGAGAGCAGATGTGCATGAATTGTCTAGGAAAGACGAGCTTCGTTCATCGTTGAGGTTCTAATATTAAAACTCCCGTCCGAAAGGTGAGGTGAGGTTCTTTGTAGTTGGCCGAATCAAGCTAACAACATGGTTTGTCAGCGAGAAGAGGAAGATGGACAGATTTGATGATAGATTACGAGTAAAAGGACATAAGTGGTTGATCAAGAAGGTCAGGTAGATGAATGCTCATGCGTGCAGCAACAACGGGCTGTTCGAAGGCGGTTTGGTTGAGTCGAGCCTCGAATGATTTCTAAATCGTCCGAGACTTGCTGCCCCAGATTTTGCGTCACGCGGCCAAGCTAACCGACTGGTACCTTTATCTACCAGCACCAAAAGTACCGTACCACCATAGCACCACTCTGCTGATACCTGCGCCGTATATCTCGTGCTTCCATGCATTCTATGCCCTTTTGGATTTATTATTTCGAGCTGCTTCGGAAGACTGTGACCCGGGAATCTGTTTGAGACAATTTCATGGATCTGGAGCACAGTCCTACTTCAATCAAACACCACCTTTTGGCCCTTACTCTCGATGATGGCGCCGGTCAATCTCTGCACCGTCTCCTCTGCGTATTTTCCGCTGCTTCTTGTTCGCTTCCCCCTCTTTTGATCAAAGCTCTTCGGCTCAGCGACTGGCTCGTCGCCAACTTCTCTTATTGCCTCTTGCTGGCCATCGTCTGCTGCTGCAGATGTTCCCTTTGCGTTCTTTCCAAACCTCTTTTGGTAACGTGTCGCTTTGTCTTCTGCAAACTCCATTCTCAACTTCCGACCGTTGATCTTTCCGAGCCATATTCTGTTTTTACCTGATCTGGGGCCCGATGACGATCCCGTGAGGGTATCCCCGGCTTCTATCCAGCCTCGCATGGCCGCCTCGGCGGAGGCCAACTGCTCAAATTCGATCCAGGCATAGCCTTTACACTTCCCGCTGTCCTCGAATGTAGCCATATGGGTATGAGAGATAGGGCCACATGCTTCGAAATGGCTCTCAATATCTTCCACCGTCGTGTCGAAATCTAGATTGCCAACGAAGATCCGCTTGCTGGCCGTCTTGGTCTGACCTTCTTCCTGGTCCATTTTCCGCTCAGGTCTGCCTCCGAAATCTTTCGCATTCTTGATCAGGACTCGTCGTCCTCCTAGGAGACCTTCGCTCAACTCGAGTGCCGCACTGAGGGAATCTTCCGTCGAGAAATCCACATAGCTGAAACCTTTATTCATTGCTTTGCCGTGCTTCGGTGGTCCTTGAGGAAGATGAACTCTCGTAATATGGCCCTGCTGAATGTGACCTTTGGACTTCTCGGTGAAAAATTTGATCAGGTCATCCTTAGTCGTGGTGAAAGTCAAATTCCCAATCCAAATTCCATAGGGCGACCTTTTGGGGGAATCCTGAGACGAGGCTACTGGCGTCGTCGTGGTGGTGGCTAAACTAGGCGCCACCTCTTCCAAGCCATTCTTCGTTGTCGACTTGATTCTTTTAGCCTTTCGCAAAGCCTTCTTTGATGGCGGCTCTGGGGCATCGACATCGATCTCAATTTCTGCAACCTCTGCGTTTCTCTTGCGACTCTGAGTCTGGTCCTGCGGTTCCATCGTCTCAACCTCGGTCGCGCTCATTATGACCGTGCCCACTTTAGATTCTATTGCTCGTTAAAGTCGAAGACAAATGAGAGTCTCACATGACGAACATGCAAAAAAGTCTAGAATTTATCCCCCAGAAGTTGAATCGCCATAATTTCTGCCGAAGAAGAGCCGGCGCTGCGCTCGCTTCTCACGTACCATCTTTTGAACATCCCTAAACACAGACCTACCTGATTTACGACTCCCCAACAGTATTGCTTTACGATCGCGTCGCAAAAAAGATCTTTGCAATAACACATCCTAAATTTTGTCCTCAAGAACCGCGAACATGTCTGCATCAGGTGCTCCTGATACCCCTCCTGCACCCGAGCAAGCCAGCCCTCCTGACGGTACTGCCGCGTCCAGGAAATCTTACAGGTGCAACCAAACCTCTCACAGAGAATGTCGTGGCTACTGACACAATGCGATAGACGCAAGTACCGCAAGATCATGGTCACGTTTGAAGAGAAGATGAGGGAGAGCACGTCTTTATTCAAAGAGGAACAACGAATTCAGGACATCTCGCAACGTTTGGCAGAGCAGACCGAGTAAGATATCCTAAGACAAGTTTAATCTCTTTACACGGCTAACCATCAACCTCAGTCAGCTCCTTCAGTTGTTGACCGAACTAAATGCTTGCCCTCAAGTGCCTCCACGGCTGCGTTATGATCTCGAATCGTCCCCCAATCATGACCCTGCAGCAGCGCCTGGACTTGATGTGAAGACCGAGGATGAAGGCCATCTCGCCCTGCGGAAAGCGAGGAGTCAACTACAAACCGGAGAAATCGACCTTACCCGTTATCGCGAAGTGGAACATTCATTACTCAAATCAGAGGCATTCGCTCCTAAACGATCATACGTGAAGTTAGTTGCAGAGACACATCTGCCTCGGCCCAGGGAAAAGGTGAAATCTGGGTCAGAAGCCGCGGCTGGAGGGTTCTTGTCTGTTGGACAAGAAGAGCTGTATCTCGACTCGCTCGACGCGTTCTTAGAAGGCACGGCAACACACCCTCGATCGCACGCAGCCAACGGTCTAGGCACCCGAAATGCAGAAAAGACTACAGAGCGTGAACGGGAAATGCAGTTGAGAAACCCTGTTTCAGTGTACAATTGGCTTCGCAAGCACCAGCCACAGGTGTTTCTTCAAGACAATGAAGCTGCTGCTGAGAAGGCGGCCAGACCTGCAGGATCAAGAAGTTCTGCCCGCAAGTCAGCAAGCAAAGATGTAGTCAAGCTGGAGCAAGATCTATATGACGACGACGGAATTGCCTCAGAAGTCGCCTCTTCGGCGCGAGGAAAACGCAAGAGAGATGACGACGGGGGCTATCGGCCAAAGGGAGGCAACTCGCGGGGCACCAAACGCAGGAAGGACCCCAAGGAAGACTCCAGTGGTCGGAACAAACGAGTCAAGAAGCTGTCCATGGATGCGAGATAGCGATGGCGATTGAGGCTTTGAGGTATTTTGCACGTGTAATTTTGTACAAAGCTGCACACGGAAAGGTTGCGGCGGATGGATGCTTAGTGAGCCATCATGTGGCGCGGAAGAGCCAGCGTCCCCAGAGAATCCTCCAAAGTGAGGGAACCTCGTGCTCCCAAGACGCGCGCAGACAGTATCATGACCAGCGCGAGAACATGTTTCCTGACCTTCATATTCGTAAGTCAGGAGGATTGACGAGATGAGAAAGATTATGTCAGATGCCAGAAGTGCCAATTTATGATGGCCGGGGCCAGCCTCTGGTGCTTTCGCTCGCCGGTTTCATAAAAAACACCCGGACCCTCGCATTACGCCCTCCTTCTCGGCATGTTTAGTGTCTCTCCTCCGACCGGACACAAGTGTACTCGTGTCCCCTTTCTGTCTTGCAGCATTCAGAATCCTTGCAAACCTGCTCGCAGTTGAATATCTCTAGAACAACGACCCCTCTTTCTCACTGTGACACGCGCTGCACACCTATTATGTCCTGAACGACACGCAATCGTCACAGGTCGGAATGGCCGGACTTGAACAGATTGAAGTTCACTCGCGGGTGCGCTGACTCTGCTGTGCGGTAGCGTTCGGGCGCTTTGTTGCTGACCATATCTATGTAGAACTATCTCGTACGCTGGGTCAACGTGAAACAAGAACATACAATCTCGTGGACCGTCCTACCTCACAAAAAGTCCATCAACTTTGGCTTGTTCAAACATCCCGGACCTCTGTCCAATCAACATTCCTCCTCGACTTCCCTCCCTCTTCCCTCTCCCAACCCCTCTGCTGTTGACGAAGACAAGTCAGAGATCAATTCTACCGCGATCGAGAAGCTCACCGGGATTGGGCTCAAACAGATCAAATGGGTGGGAAAGTACGAAGCTGACAGGGTCAGCCATGGCAGACATGAAGTACGCCTCGGGGAAGCTGGCAACTATGCGCTAGTATTCGATAACACCTTTTCGAAGAGCATATCGAAGACAGCAACGGTCTTTTTGCTCACATATCCAACGGCATGTCAGTCTCAGATCCAGTTTGGCGCACAACCACAACAGGGCCAGTCAATGGCCTCTGCTATGGCGATTGCGTCGGCATCGGGTCCTTTATTCAGGAGAAGTCCAAAGTTGAGGGCCAAGGACAAGGAATCCGTGGATTCTCTGCGACAGGCGTCGATCAGCCAATCTTTCAATGGAAGTATCGCGCCTGTGGCAGAGAAGTTGCGGCTAGATTCTGCCTCTATTCATACAGGTGTTCTACAGAAGCGCAGGCGTAAGAAACACCAGGGCTATGCGCGACGCTTCTTTTGCTTGGATTACACCTCTTCCACCCTGTCCTATTACCGAGATCGAAGCTCTTCCGCTTTGAGAGGCGCTATACCCTTATCATTGGCTGCGATATCAGCGAACACAAAGTCACGCGAGATTACCATTGATTCTGGCGCAGAAATATGGCATTTGAAGGCCAACAACGAAGCAGACTTTGAGGTTTGGAAGAAGGCTTTGGAAACTGCCGCTCGAATTATGCTGCAGTCACACACTCCGGGTGATAGGCTGCAGATCGAGACCGGCGAGGAAGGGCGTGTTGAAGCTGCGAGCAATCTTGATGACCTGGAATGGATCCGACTAGAGACTTTGCTGAGTAGAATCTCTGGTACGAGAGATGCTGTTCGAAGACTTTGTCTGGAGACATTGGCGCAAGGCTTGCCTCCCCCTTCCCCTCGACTCGGGTCACCTTCTGCAGGCTCTACTCCGACTGAGGGCCCAGCCTCCGACGACTACTTCAAGCAGGACGACAAAAGGCCCTTTTGGAAGAGGAAACAAAGCGCGGCTAACAGCCAGACAAATATCTTTAAACGAAGTGTTTCCGCCCAGCTCGCCGTTCCTGTTCCTGGTGTCGAACCAGTTTTGAGGAATGGTCTGCCTTCTCCGCATGCTCTTCCCAATGGGCAGAGCAGGACCCACCTACCTTATGAAGAGAACATGCATGATCATTGTAAGGCAGTGTTACACGACCTCGACTCGGTTGTGAGCGAATTTTCCACCCTCATCACGGAGACCAAGATCCGGAGAACAACACCCCCGAAATCTGCCGTTTCCCGACTAAGTCTTCAGTCAGTAGACTCTCAGGAGTATTTCGACGCCGAGGACATCTCGCGCGTCCTCGACGTCCATTCTGATACTGATCACGAAGCCACCGACGAAGGAATCGGCGAGGATGAGGATTCGGCCACGAGCAGCGACATTGGTGAAGATTCGTTAGGGGTGGTGGATTGGAAGTCGGGAAGTGTTTCGACATTTCTCCCTCCCCGGTCAAAGAACCTGGCTCCCCTACCCCTACAGCCGATTCCACGTCGACGTCAAATAGCGCCTCCAACTATCATGCCACCCAGTCTAATCGGCTTTCTCCGCAAAAACGTTGGGAAAGATTTGTCGACAATATCGATGCCTGTGTCTGCAAATGAACCCCTATCGCTGCTTCAGAGGGCGGCGGAGCAACTGGAATACTCTCAATTGCTGGACAACGCCGACAAGACACAGGACGTCTTTGAGAGATTAATGTACGTGACGGCTTTTGCAGTGTCATCCTTGTCGAGTTCACGTGTCAAGGAGAGATCAATTCGAAAACCTTTCAATCCTATGCTGGGTGAGACCTACGAGTTAATACGAGAAGACCGAGGTTTCCGGTTCCTTGGAGAGAAGGTTTCTCACCGTCCAGTCCAACTTGCTTTCCACGCCGAATCAAGCCAGTGGACGTTCACCCAGTCCCCTCTCCCCTCACAGAAATTCTGGGGCAAGTCATCGGAGATCATCACCGAGGGTAAAGCGCGATTAGTGCTTCATAGTAGTGGCGAAACCTATAGCTGGTCTGCAGCCACATGTTTCCTCCGCAACATCATTGCTGGAGAAAAGTATGTCGAACCGGTTGGAAGTATGACCATCGTCAACGAAAGCTCGGGACACAAGGCGGTCGTAACATTCAAGGCTAAAGGCATGTTTTCAGGCCGAAGTGAAGATGTTGAGGTGCATACCTTCGACGGACATGGCCAGGACTTGGCAATCGGACTCACCGGGACCTGGACCAACGAGCTCCAACTCAAGGAGCCTGGCAAGGTCAACCGGTCTACGATTTGGTCCGCCGGACCCCTGGTCGACAATGCGCCCAAACATTACGGAATGACATTGTTTGCAGCCCAACTCAACGAGATTACTAAACTCGAGCAGGGAAAACTACCGCCCACGGACAGTCGCCTCCGCCCTGACCAACAGGCATTGGAACAAGGTGACCATAATAGTGCTGAGGATCTGAAGAATCGGCTTGAAGAGGCACAACGTGCCCGGCGCCGAGAGATGGAGAGCAGTGGTGAACATTGGGAGGCGAGATGGTTTTCCAAAGTCGACCTTGGCGACGAGGTTGTTTGGAAATTGAAGACGGGTAAAGAAGGCTATTGGGAAGAACGAGCACGGGGTGAGTGGACTGGAGTAATACCTGTGCTCGAAGTAGAACGATGAGTAGAGGTGACGAAAGGAGCTCTCGAGGAAGACAATGTCCTCAGAGGTCTGCGGTGTTTTTAACCTCGTTATTACCGAATATTGTCGTGTAATTCTGCATAGTTCGGACTCCGTGCGCAACAGCTTCAAACTCACGATGCCCAGTAAATTGAAATCTACTACGGAGTACTGTGGATGCGGTTATCAGGTTATCGTGTGGTGGTGGCTGGGACCCGTACACAGCAGATCTTGCCCAGGTTCCTTATCAAGCGCCCGTTCATGGGCTCGTATTCTAGAGCGCCACTTGGATGAGTCTCCGGAGCATGGTGGGATGTGACTCTAAGACCTGAGACGTGAGATCGGCCTATCTCGAGGACAGGGTGTATGTATACTGTAATTGTCACGTACTGACAGGTGCCACGTCCAACATTCTCGCGCCCAGTATCAAGAGCTATGGTATTCGACAGCTCCAGAAGACAAGCCGGATCCAATCGAAGAAGCCTTCAGCCCACGTTTCCACTCTGATCAGGCTTGTACAATACCAGTTAACGTCCCTCTTCCGCTCCGGGTGCTGGGAGCACGACGGTCCAATCACTGTAACTCACCCGGCGAACACTCTCCATTGCGCTACACCAAACGGTACTACTAGATCCGATCATGTTAAAATAAGCGACCCATGACTGATTTCCTCTCCATGTCACGAATGGGAGTGACCACAACGGCCAAAGATCAATTTGCCCTGGATTGGTGGGCGTCAAAAACCATTCCATCCCGCTTTTAAGCTTGTCGCCGTCACTTCTACGTGACAGGTTCACAGGGCCCGGGCTCATTTACCGAGATCGCTCCTCCTGGACCACATATCACATCATTAATAAGACGACCTCTCTCTCTGCGCGCGCTTCTCTGCCCTTTCTTTTCCCCAGAGCGATACGCCTCCGCGAGGTTCTGGCCCAATATACGGGAACTTACAAATTTCCAGATCCACACTGATATAATCCCGGTGCGCTGTTTCTGCCCACCATTCCGGTCGTCGTGCACTGTCTCCCGCCTGGTCCAAGCGACCACGTTTCTCTGACCACTTTATTTCTGTTTCTGCTCAAGACCACACGACTAGGGACGGGTATCCGATTCACGGGGGTTTGCCAAGTGCACCGCCCCTGAGGTACCGACCTGGCGAGGCCCAGATCCATGGTACAACGTTTTTTGAAAGAAAACCCGTTGACGCGCGACCAACTCAACACATTTTCACGCCTCTCTCTTCTTGTTCTTCTTTCTTCAGCATGTCCTTCGCCAAAATTCACTTCTGCACACGATCAACATTGACAGCCATTGCCGCAAGCTTATGACACTGGATACGAGTGATAAACCTGATACCGTAGCATCACGGCATAGCCCGCAACATATTCAGCACACAACCTTACACAAACCGAAACTATCGACTCGAACAATCTGGACAGAGAATGGTGTTCATGGTCGATATGGACGCCAGTCCTCGTAAAGCCACGCTCTTCGATCAGAGCTTAAGCACCCCTCCGGCCACCCCGACGACAGCGTGGAAAGAAAACTCAAGACCTCAGTCCAGCCATGGGTCAGTACCATCTTCAGCGATGACGCCTCCCTCGTCGCCGTGGCTATACAAATCACCGGCGCCTCCTTCTTTAATAACTCCCAAACACGAAACACGACGCCCATCGAGCCAACTGAGCCGGAGCACCACAAACGAAGACTTGTCACAAGATACCCCAGTCCCGCGGTGTCCGTTCGACTTCGAAATCCTCAAGGACGACCGTGGCCGCGACGCGACTTTTGGAAGTGGCGCCTGGTCTATCGTATTCAAAGCCAGCACGCACCCCAAGGCGGCCACATCGACGGCTCTCACACCACCCACTTCCCCGACAAAATCCCTCCCTACGGTCGTCGCGGTCAAGAAACCGTGCCGTCGCGACGCCAGCGCCATCTTGCGTTCCGAGGCACAAATGCTCTCTTACCTCCATACGATCCCATATTCGGAAAAATACGTCGTTCCCTTCCACGGCACGGCGGGACCCGACGACACGACTCTGGTCCTCGACGCCATCCCGTACAGTCTCGAAGATCATATCCGCAAATACGCCTACGAGGCCCGGCAAGATGTCATGTCCAGCCTTCGCACCATGCACGAACCCATTGTCGGGAGCGTGGCCCAGTGGCTGAACCTGGCCAACAGTCTCGTTTCGGGCCTCGCGTGGCTTCACAACATCGCATGCGTAGTCCACGGCGACGTCAAGCCGGGAAACATCCTCCTCCGGCCGCGCGCTGCTGGCTCCTCCGGGTCGTCACCGCAAGCGATCGAGGGGTACGAGCCGGTTTACGCGGATTTCAGCTCGTCGACACGTCTCGACGTCGACGACATCTCGCCGAACACCCTCGCGGCCGTGACACGCGAATACACGGCCCCCGAGCTGTTGTCGTCCAAGGTCCTCCGCGACCCGACCAGCTGCGCCACGACGAGCAGTGACGTCTTCAGCCTCGCCGTGACGCTCCTCGTCGCGGCGACGGGCGAGTTGCTCGTGTACAGCGGGAGCGTGTTCCAGCGTCAACTGATGGCCACACAAGGCTGGCTTGTGCTCAGCCATGTACGCGGTGGTGACCAGGGGAGTAGAGTGCCTACGGGTGGCGTCGTCGAAAAGGTGCTGCAACGCGCCGTGCTCAAGGACGAGTTTGCGAGAGTGAGTGCTTTGGAGTGGTTGGAAATCGTGGAGCAGCAGACGAGGACAAAGACGACAAATAAGCTTCAAGTCCGGTGAGACAAACAGCGCGACAGAGTTCCACAAGAGATTACCTTGTATGATAGCGAGGCGCCAGTGACAAGGCTGGCGAAGCGGGGGATTTTTTTGTTTTTGTGATGAAAGAAATGAGCGACGAATTTTCTTCTTCCTTTTTTGGAGTATGTGAACTCCATGGCTTGTATGAGATGATTTGCTTTTCCCTTTTCTTTTGGTTTGGGGGGACTACCAAGATCCTGCTTTGACGAACCTTGCATCGCATGAACTGAGTAAGGAGCAGAGGATAGGTGTATGTAGTCGGATCAACAACTACCCTGGTCCTGTTCACATTCGTGAATCATATGGCTTAAATGACATCTGGGATCTAAAGGCTCGCCCCTGTCCTTGCCCCATGTACCCATGCCACGTCCATATGGAGATTGAATAGAGTTCCCGTTTCTTGGGGTCGAACTGGACTCCTGCCCTAAGCCGTACTCATCGACCAGGATTCCCCTATCCGGAATCCAAGCCTTGGCTTCACATATATGCATCAAACAAAAACTGCCTCTCCTGGATTCAAGTCCCGACTTCAGACATATGCAGATGCCTCCGGAGTAACCCCAGGACGTGATACGTGACCAGTACGCCCGTGTGCTTCTGGAATCGGGTAGAGGCCGCCTGGGACTGGATAGATGGCACGCCGTCCACCTCGTCCTCCTCCTCCAGGGTAACGAGAAAGTCCGACGCTGAAGTCTAGAACCAGAGCGAGTGTGACAGTTAGTGGTCACCGTCGATAAGTATCTGGGTGTGAGAGGGAAGGGTCTTCGGGTATGTGGGTAGACAGGCAGGTACCTTCTTTTTCTTTGGATTTTGTAACCTTGTAGCTCTTGTAATTGAGATATGATCCGAATACGGCGACTGCCAAAGATAGCAGAGCAATGACGGTCGCGACGGCATTGGCAAGGCTGAAAGGTGAACCCTCGCTGGGACACTCGGAAGGCCTGCTGTTGATGATAAGGTCAAGAATGGCAGTGCCGTTGGTGGTCATGTCCACGGCAGCCAGGTTGAAGGAAGTTCGCCACCAAGTTTTGTCGGAAAGGAGTCTCGGATGGTCGGGCTTGACCTTGTAGATCACGATCTTGTGGACAAAGCTGAATTGGAAGGTCAAGAGAAGGCGTCAAATTCGCAATTCGTGGTTAGTTAGACGACGGTAACGCCAGCAAAAATTCCATCCCACAACGTCTTGTCGTGGATATGTCTGGTGTATATATATATATATACAAGGCTGAACCTTGTGGTGTTCGTGCTTGAATCACGAGGGCTGTGAAATGATAGTAGTTTTGAACTACATGGTTTAGGCCTAACATGGTTGTCGGGGTGTCGAGAGATATAGTAGTTTTGAGAAACAAGGTAAGCCTGAGAGACATAATAGTAGTTCTGAGAAGCAGGATGAGTTCACTACCCACGCCATGACGCATCTGGACTGTAGAGGCAGAGGGCATGATTCAGATAGTAGTTTTGGAAAAACAGCCTGACCTCATTGTCTTATTATGGATACCGGGAGGTTGATGCACCCAGGGCAAGGATTCTTTGTACATAAAACCTTGTCGGCCTGACACCTCCGTAGTCGATTCCATCTGCTGAGCAGGGGTCGCGGGAGTGAAAAGTTCGGGAAGTGTATCCTGCTGGTGGCAGTGGAATCGAGATAGGACTTTTGCTTAGTGCACGCCATGCCATTTGAAGTTAGTTCCATAATGACACCGCCTTGTGCCTCATGCTGGTAGCCCTTGGATAGGAGTTTTGCAGAAGCCAAAACAATCCGGGCACAGCCTTAGACGCCAGTGGCTTGTCTCACTGGTAGGCCAGCTAGGGGTACGATTGGATCTGCTCATCAACTGACAACGGCCTTGATGCTGGGCCGTTCCTTACATGATGGCACGCTCCTCACTCGAGTTGTTTTTTCCCTCTTCCATCTCAACTCTCCGCATTCTCAACGTATATGGACCACGCCCACGTCTCTGCTGTCTTGCATTCTTCGATAGTCCCAGCATTCAAGAGCGCACTGCAAGATATTCATTGATCAGTACCCGTTTATCAGAGGCTGGTGCTGCTTAGGTATCAACATGCCTATTCCAAGTCAAGTAGACATCTTCGAGCCTCAGCCTCCTGATGAACAGCTGAGCACCACTTCGTCTGTTCCAGGTCATCAACGGCATGATTGGAATTTCCAACACCATCCTGATGGGTCATACGCAGAAGTCCCTCCGAGAGGTATACCTTCCAAAAAGCGGAAACGGAAAGTGCCCACGTTACAGCCTGACAAGTGGGAGCCCTATAAAGCTCGCATTCTTGAACTTCACGTGAACAATGGTCTACCCCTGAGCGAGGTGCAACGACTCATCGAAGCAGAGACAGGTTTTGGTGCCAAGTATGTCCATGTCGGCTCCTGCAATGGTTGCTTCGCCCGCATATTGGACACTACCTAATTGACCTCATACAGTCTACGCCAGTACAGGACACGGATCAGCCAGTGGGGCTACGACAAAAACGTGAAGCCGAATGAAATGAGTGCCATTGTGAGAAAACAGCAACACAGGAGCTTGAACGAACCGGGGAAAGCACCGCTCCGCTTCAAGATCAGGGGGAACGTCGTGGAAAAGCCAAAGGTTGATCGTTGGATGCAACGCCATGGTGTTCCTCAAGACTCTTTGTACGCTCCCAGTCCTGAAGCAGGTGAGATAACAGCCACCGCCAACGTGCACATCGGTTGCTCTGTTCTGATCTACCTCAGCGACACCTTCTGCGCTCAGTTGCTGGACAATGTCTGAGAGCGGATCACCCGCTCCGAGTCCCAGCTCTTTTCCAGGTTCTGTTCCACCTACCCAACTGCCCTCCCCGACGGACATGGCGCCGGTACACCACCAAATACCACTTGGACCTTTCTCAACCGAAGTCATCAACCCGTCAAGAAACTCATTCATGAGTCAACGCCCGCCACAATTACTAGAGAATTACAAAACGTCCACTGACATGTCATGTTCGGTCGGGAAATGGACAAATCAAGTCGAAGCTCAAGATGGACTGTTGACACGGATCCACAGTGAGCAATCAGGCCTGCAGACATCACCAGGTATAACGTCGGGCGTTCTCTACAAAGGCGTGCGGGCGGACTGGACTGTTCAGCGATCCTCACCAACAGACAATGGTAACTGGACGATGGATGGGATATCTGACGAACGGAACGACAGTCCCACAACGACAGATGGGTCGGAAACGGAGTGTTCGAATCTCAGACCCCAACCTCCTGCTTCATCTGCACGCTCTGCCTCCGCATTAGAATTTGTGGTCCGCGCCCATCTTTACCCCACCCCTGGAGAAGACTTGTTGTGCAGATTTGACGACCAAATATGTAGCATTACTTGCCACAGAGAACGGCCACCTGAAATCTCGGCGTCACTGCTATGGTCATCTGCGCTACGGTGGCCAGCGCTGTTCCGTGGAATTGCTGCCATATCAGAATTTAACGACTCTCGCGAAGGAACGCATCTGCGTAGCTTCGCATTCTCCCAGTTGAAGTTGAGCATCCATATGCTCTTTTCTAAAGTTGACGACATGCATTTGGAAGCCGCTTTAGCGACTTCCCTAGTGATGGCTCAGTGCGACGGATGGTGCGGCTGCCCCGGAATGTGCTCCGAACACATTGATCTACCTGGCAGAAGACGCTGGCCCAATACCGCCATGAATATGCAGAAGCAGAGAGTACGGGAGGGAGCAAGGGGACCCCGGCCACTCGAGTTTTGTTGCAGTTCCCACGTTTACTTAGATGTTATAAGGAGCCTGATACCCTTCAGAGTGGGAAAAGTGGGTTATACGGAGATCCTCCCAGTCAACCAGTCGGACCGCGCCCGATTTGCAGTTGATCCCTTGATGGGATGTACTGCCACCCTTTTTCCGCTCATCAGCGCGACAGCAGCGCTTGTACAGCTAGTGGAGTGCAGACATCGCTACGCATGGCCTTTCCCTGGTCGGAGACCATATGGCAATTCCTCTTCTATTATCAGCCTAGCCCAGGATTTGAAGAATCAACTGGAAGAATGGTCAGTTCCTTTCGCACCTGATGTATTCCAGCACCCCGAGGACTCAGACTGCCGAATTTACCATTCGATTCAGATGGCTGAAGCTGCTCGACACGCCACGCTGCTTAATCTACATCAGGCGGTTCCTGAAGTTCCCGGCGAACCGTCCATGGTGATGGCGGGGGAGGTGCTTGGGCGGCTACTGGATGCTATGCCCGAGTCAATTCGTACATCCTTTAGAGAGATCTTCCCCTTGTTAGCTGCAGGGGCACTGATCGATGCTGAGGACATCGAATGGCTGTCGAAGAGGGCGAGCAATCATCATATCGCGACTTGAAAGTCGCGCCACTCAATCCTCTCTCCGTTCGAGGCTCTCGAACCGGAGTACGATGCCCCAGGCCGTTGTTGCATTGGGTTGTCATGATGGAAGAGCCCGCTCCACAAGGCAAGCCAGCATCGCGGTTTTCGTTATGTTTACCCTATTGCCATTTCACTGCTCCGTGTAGCATTTCTCGGACGATTGCACCTCAGAGTTCTGTGCGCAACGTTATACGGCCTGGATAGTCCTGGACCTACAAGTGCACTTTGGCAGACGATGAACGAGGCTTACAATGCCGCTCAACCACCTTCGGCTGGGCCATGGCACCTATCACCGAGAGGAATGCTATCGTGAAATGGACTGTGTTGAGACTGGTGTGGTCGCATATTCGGTGACATCTTTAGAGACGCCGACGGAGTTTTACTGGAGGTACTATCATACTGACTTCGATTGACAGCTAATATCAAGACAGTAGAATCTGGACTAATGCTGCAATTAAAATAACACATTAATTATTCAACACCCTTTCGTCCCATTCGAGTACTTTCTCCTTGCCCTAGTCGTCATATAAAGGTCTCGTTGATCTGGTTGACGCAATGGCAGATGAAGCCCCCTTGCTGCCAATAAAGTGATTTCGCATACTGTACTTGGATATCCATAAATCCACTCATTATGTAGATGACTCGAACCTCCCAACAGTCAAACCTCGAAGATTGAGCGCTAAACCCATGGATATACGGTTAACTTGCAAAAATCTCTCCTCTGGTACTGTCAAATCCTCACCCGACGAAATCTCTCCGCTCCACAGCGCCTGCCAGACTCTCACAAAACTCACCGAGCCTCTGTCCCCACTCAACCAAGCGCTCTTCAATGTACTTTGCAGAATCCTTTTTCGTCTTCTTCGCCAGCAGGCCCCTCTGGGCCTCCCAGTCCCAATACTCGCACTGCTCGGTGCCGTCGCCGCTGACGATGGGTCTGATCTCGTGCACGCGCTGGATCTGGAGCAGGAACCGCGGCAGCGCTATGGGCGGGTTGTACGTATTCTCCGTGGTCCAGACCAGCCTGTACACGCCGGACTTGGAGACGGTGTGCGTCTGCGTGCGTGTCATGTTGTCGACTGCTGACCCGGCTGGGTCGTCCGCAGGGTCGTCGGGCCGCGACACTTCGGTCACGACTACGTTCACGGGCTTCACTTCGGGGCTCTTGGGGAGCTTCATCTTGGTATAAAACCTCAGTTTCGTGCCGAGCTGGATGCGCACGCTGGGTTCGCCGTACAGTGCGTTGATGTTGAGTTGGGGCCGGGACGACGTGCTTTTGCGAGAGCCGCCATCCTTACTGTGGCGAAGGTGGTTGTGTAAGACGGCGAGCGCCGTCGACGCCGTGTTGGCTGGCGCGGGCATTAGAACGGACGGGTCGTGGGGGGCTTCGAGCAGGACGGCGTTCTGGGGAGCTTGGGGCGTTTCACCGGCTTCCATAGATGCTTTGCGAGCTTCTTGCGCCGCTTGGAACTTTTGCGCCCCCGAGTGTTCGTTCGTCGCCGAGGCTGGTCTGGCTGGTGAGCCTGCTGAAGAACCCGGGCGACCGGGCCGGTCAGATTGCTCAGACCGACGGCCTGCGTGGAGTTGCTGGCGTGTGACAGGGGGGAAGAGGTGGCCGTCAGTGCTCCTTCTCCCCTCGCCTTCACCACCTTGGGATTCAATCACGTCTCGGGCCAGGCTGCGGCGCAGCGCGGCTTGTTGCTGAGCATGGTTGGGGGCCGCACCGTCCGTGATGTCAGAGTCGTAGCTGACGGCGATGGAAGTGTTGCGCACCAGTTCTTCGACTTCGGCCAGGGTCGCATCGTCTTCGTCGTCGGGTTGGTGGGTTACCCTGACGCGAGGGATCCAGCGATTCCAGTCCTTCCATGTTTCAGTGTTGCGCAGAGTGCGAAACACCAGAGAGGCAGGTGCATTGATTCGCGTACATGCCGAACAGTAAAATGTCGCCTCTGACATGGGAATGTCGGGCGTCGAGAAGTCGGTTTTGGTAGTCATGATTGCGCTAGGCCCTGTCTCACTGGCAAAGACAAGACACTCGAAACTATTGACTCTGGTCTGTGATGGACGGCTGCAATAGCGTTATAACCTCAGTTGAGGTCTATGTAATTTGCAAGTGCTTGCAACCAAGGCGTCTGCTATTCTTGATTCGGTGGAGCGTTGCTGAAATTCTAAGAGAGCGGCGTGATCACCCAACACGGCGCTTTCCGCGGAAGTCTGTTTCTCAGGGACACTGGAATCGTCCACTGATCTGGCCATGCAAGGACACTGTATGGTTCAGTCGCCACTTCAGTATGGTTGTTCTGTGAAAATTTTGAGTGGCTGGAAGAATTGCTAGTGGGATACAATGCAGGTAGTCACTGATAGGCTGGAAGCTGATTTTTGCTTTGCGCTTTTTTTCTCCTACTGCAATGCGCCAAAATTCAGGTCGAGCGCATGACTCCGAGGGGTTCAATGCTTGGGCCGATGCGGAGGTCAACGCGAGCTGTGCCCGCGCTTCAACGTGAGGCTGGTGGTGCCGGTGTATACAGTGTGAGAAGACCTGGCGGTGTAACTGAAAACCACAGCCACGTGAACGGTGCTGGGAGAGTAGAAGAATCGTCGTAAAGGTGACATATTGAATGAGTAACCAAGTAGTCAGCGAAGAGGACAGGAAAAATGGAGATCAAAGTGCGGGAAAAAAATGTGGGGGATTTGAAGATTGATCGATGGTGTTGAGTGATTTATACCACCGCAGAAGCTAATTATACGATGAGTCGATGACAACAGGGCGCACCCGCCTTACGCTGTTGTCATCTTCCACTTATTCCATCTCGCATGGTCTGTCCTTCCAACTACCTCCTCTCCCAGCTGAGTTCATGTCCAGGAGCCCGAGGTTGAATTGTATCTCGAGTATGGCTCTGTATGGGGGAAACCAGGTTGTTGGCCTTTACACATCTGAAATGAGCCTTGAGGACGTCTTCATTGTCTATCGAAAAGCCCAAGTTGGCGCGTCTAGCAAGGGCCATTGCGCCTGCTGACGGCCTCGTATCTTTCATCCCTTTCTCATAATAGATTTGACAAAAGCACGGCTTTATAAAGAGTGCCTAGTATCATCTACCCGAACTTATGCCTCCCTCTTCTCCTTCCTCTCATGTTTCGAAGCAGTCGCACTTTCGGAGGTGCATCGAGCTGAGATTGTTGAAGGAAAAGCCACACACCGGTCAATCGTATGTCGTCGCAGTGATCACAACCCAACCTCAGCAAGTCTCCGAAATGCATCATAGATGGACCTGATGTGCACATTATCGACCGGTCTTAGGTCGTTTTGGAGGTATTGTTTGATTGGTTTTTTGCGCCATGATCATCATTAGAACGTCCATCGATATACTGATTTCGAACTCTCGCTCTCTTCGAAAGTGACCGCAACTGCCGCCAGCAGCCGCATCGCTGCGGCGTAGACATGGGCTGGAAAGTTGTAAGGTGTCGGGTAGTGACCTTTGGATGGCCCTGTAGACTCCTCGTTGATATGGAAACGCCATCATTCATCGAACAACCATGGGTATCATAGACAAGAGAAAAAGGCTCTACTTTCGCGCTTGTTCTCGTTCCACCTCGTACATGAAGTCAAAGTATGACTTGTCGAAGACGTGCATCCGTACGTATCCATCCTCGCCACCGCTCGCATATGCAGTACCTTGGGGATGTACAGCAATAGTGTTCAATGGACCGAAATGGCCTCGCACACGACCGATTTCGTCCTCAAAGATTTTGTGATAGAAACGAGCCTCAAATTTGCCCTGACGCGCAGAGGTCGTCGTGACATCCATTGCCGCCTGGCCACCTCCGAGAATCACAAAATCCTTCTTGGACGTGATTGCAGCTGTGTTGAGAGGTGTATCAGCAACATATGTTTTCAGAACGCTCAGGTCTCTCGTCGACAATATCTAAGAGGGAATTAGTAGTCGTCGAAATGTGTGGAAGGCAAATACAAACCCTGGCAGTTTTGTCTTTACCCGCGGTAATAAAGTATGTCCGGTCCGGGGAGAATTGCAGGTCGTTGATAGCAGTGTCATACTCGTGGGCTTCCACGCTCATGAGGTTTTCTCCAGTCTGTTATGAGAATTAGTTGTGAAATCAAATTTCCTTCTCGTTATCCCTCATACCTTTGCATCCCACTGCGTGACAGTTCCATCCTCGTGTCCAGAGATGATGTACTTGTCGAGGTAGCTCCAGCCTGCAACGGTAGCTTTGCTGTCTTCGCAGGTGATTCTCAAGCTGTGCTCATTTGTCTGATCCGTCAAGTCGTCTCCATATCGAACGTCGTAAACTACAATCGTTCCTAGGTAACCCATTCGCTTTTCTGTAACTCCTAGAAGTTGTTTTCCATCCTCACTAAACTGGACTCTCTTGACAGCAGTGGGAAACTCCCACGTCTTGACGTTCTCGCCCGTCCGGACGTTCCATAACCGAATTGTGTTGTCGGCAGATCCGGAAGCAAGAAGTTCGCAGTTGGGAGAAACGTCCACGGTCCAGATGGCACCCTGGTGTCCCGTGTATGTTCCTAATCGCTCGCCATTGCTCGTAAACCATGCACAAATGACCTTGTCTTTGGAGACTGAAAATAACAAATCGCCGTCTGAATTGTATTTGATCTGGTTGAGGGACCGCTCCTGGATTTCCCGTTAGCGAGTCTTGATTGAAATTTTGTTTCGAGCAGAACGCACATGGCCCTGAAGAAGGGTTGGTCTCATTGTGGCAGGGGAGTATGGTACTCTGAATGACGGTCTGTGGATCCTGAAAGGTATCAGGAGTTCTATGTCTTGAGATGTCTACAACGGAGAGAAGTCTGATGCCTGCGCGATGTCCTGGATGAATTTGCCCGTGGATGCGCTTCTGAGTGAGCGGCGATGTGGGCAGTTGGCCAAGACTTGCATGAGTCGCGCGGATTTTCTCTCGGCTGTGATTTGTCCCGATGACTGACTCGTGGGACCAAAAATTGGTTATGACACACGAATTCGATGAAAGAAAGTCAGTCAGTGTGGCATGGACTTCTGACAAGGTAGATTTCGTCAAACCGATTTCAAGCTGACAAGACCGACATCAGCGAGTCTTCTCGGTCGGTTTGTCTACTCTCGTTGAGTCCTACAACCTCATGGCCAGTCGAGTCCTCGGTACACGTATCACATCTCCTACTTCTGCAGGTACCACACTTTTTTACTCCAAAAACCCTCTCCACGTGTCGATATCACGTTGTCGGGCTTCCTTTTTTCCGCATCTGGCAATCAGGTCCGCGAAGAGGACTCTTGTCACTTCTAGCTTCTCTTATAGGGACACACAGCACCCTCTCTCTGCTACACAACGAGCTACGTCTTCTTGTTCCTCAGTTTCAGATCGGGCGAGACGCTTCTCGAGCACGAGAGCCATGGGTGCAACTAGGATAGATGGAAAGGCGATCGCGCAGAAGATCAGAGAACGTCTGGCGAACGAGATACGAGACAAGCAGAAGTCCAATCCGCGTTACAAACCGTGCTTGAAGATCATACAGGTGGGAGAACGACCAGACTCAACCACGTATGTACGCATGAAGTTGAAGGCGGCCGAGGAGGCTGGCATTGACTGTACACTGTCACACCTTCCTTCCGAGATCTCTGAGCCTGAGCTATTGCAACAAATCTCCGACTTCAACAATGATCCCTCTGTCCACGGTATCCTTGTCCAGCTACCTCTCCCGAAGCACATCTCGGAACACGCCATCACTTCTGCTGTATCGGACGAGAAAGACGTGGATGGCTTTGGTACTTACAATATTGGTGAGCTTGCCAAAAGAGGGGGAAAGCCATTCTTCGTCCCCTGCACACCGAAGGGAGTCATGGTATTGTTGGAAGAAAGCGGCGTCGAGATCAAAGGCAAAACAGCTGTAGTCCTTGGGCGCAGTGATATCGTAGGCAGCCCAGTGAGCTATCTGCTCAAGAATGCAGACGCTACTGTCACGGTCTGCCATTCCAAGACACAGAATCTCAAGGAGGTGGTCAAGCAAGCTGATATTCTAGTTGCTGCAATTGGTCAAGCCCATTTTGTCAAGGGGGACTGGCTGAAGCCTGGCGTTGTGGTAATCGACGTCGGAACAAACTATATCTCAGACGCTTCGAAGCCCTCAGGCCAGCGTCTGGTTGGTGACGTTGATTTTGATGCTGCAGTCGAGGTCGCTTCCCAGATCACTCCAGTTCCCGGCGGCGTTGGCCCGATGACGGTTGCAATGCTGATGCAGAACGTAGTCGAGTCGGCCTCTGCTTCCTTTGATCGCCTGAAAAGTCGGCACATCACGCCATTGCCCATCAAATTGCAGTCACCTGTTCCTTCCGACATCGCTATCTCGAGGTCGCAGCACCCCCGGCACATCACCCACATTGCTGCTGATGTCGGCATCGCTCCCAACGAATTGGAGCCTTACGGTGCGTACAAAGCAAAGGTTGACCTTTCCCTCCTCTCCAGGCTGCAACACCGTAAGAATGGAAAGTATATCCTGGTCAGTGGCATCACTCCTACTCCTTTGGGAGAAGGCAAATCGACAACGACTATGGGTCTGACACAGGCTCTGGGTGCGCATTTGGGCAAAGTCACATTTGCAAACGTCAGACAGCCCAGTATGGGACCAACCTTTGGTATCAAGGGAGGTGCAGCTGGAGGTGGCTACAGTCAAGTCATTCCGATGGATGAGTTCAACCTTCATCTTACTGGTGACATTCATGCTATCACCGCTGCAAACAACCTGCTTGCCGCTGCGATTGATACTCGCATGTTTCATGAGTCAACGCAGAAGGACGGCCCGCTCTACAAGCGCTTGGTCCCAAGCAAGAAAGGAAAACGAGAATTTGCTCCGGTCATGTTGCGAAGATTGAAGAAGCTTGGGATTGACAAGACCGACCCCAATGACTTGACCGAAGATGAAATTCGTCGCTTTGCCCGGTTGGACATTGATCCCGAAACCATCACCTGGAGGAGAGTGCTTGATGTCAACGATAGGCACCTGAGAGGAATCACGATCGGTCAAGCCCCCACAGAAAAGGGGCACACACGACAGACTGCGTTTGACATCTCTGTCGCTAGTGAATGTATGGCGATTCTTGCGCTCAGCAACGACCTCAACGATCTTCGCGAACGTCTTGGCAGAATGGTGATCGGGTTTTCCAAATCTGGCGACCCCGTCACTTGTGATGACATTGGTGCGGGTGGCGCACTGACAGCCCTTATGAGAGATGCCATCAAGCCCAATCTCATGCAAAGTCTCGAAGGCACTCCGGTCTTCGTGCATGCCGGTCCATTCGCCAACATCAGTATCGGAAACAGCTCTGTGCTAGCCGACAAATTGGCGCTGAAGTTGGCCGGAACTGAGCCAGATGAGGATCACGAAGCCAAGGCTGGATTTGTCGTAACCGAGGCTGGCTTCGACTTCACCATGGGTGGTGAAAGATTCTTCAACATCAAGTGTAGGTCTTCTGGCCTTGTGCCTGATGTTGTGGTAGTAGTTGCCACGATTCGAGCCTTGAAAGTTCACGGTGGCGGCCCCGAGATCTCAGCTGGTGCAGCACTTCCCGAGGCATACCGCACTGAGAACATTGATATGCTCAGGGCTGGCTGTGTGAACCTCAAGAAACATATTGCCAATGCGAAATCGTACGGCGTACCCGTCGTCGTTGCCATCAACAAATTCGAGACAGATACTGAGGCTGAACTCAAGGTCATTGAGGAAGAAGCTCTCTCCGCCGGAGCCGAGGCCGCTGTACCTGCCAACCACTGGGCAGAAGGTGGTGCCGGTGCCGTAGATCTAGCCAAAGCCGTCATCGAAGCCTCATCCAAACCCAAGAACTTCAAGCTTCTGTACGAGCTTGATGGCAGCGTCCAGGAGCGCATCGAGAAGATCGGCAAGGAGATGTACGGCGCCGCAGCGGTCGAATTTAGCGAGGTCGCGCAGAAAAAGGTGGACATGTACAACAAGACTGGGTTTGGAAATCTGCCCATCTGCATCGCAAAGACACAATACAGTCTCAGTCACGACCCGGCGCTGAAAGGTGCTCCATCCGGCTTCACCGTCCCTATTCGGGATGTCAGACTTGCTGCTGGAGCTTCGTATTTATGTGAGTCTTTTGTCTTCTTCCTCTCCGTCTCACTTCCTTTTTGCGTGCAGCCTACTGACTCTTTCTATCACCAGATGCTCTTGCTGCCGATATCCAAACGATCCCAGGCCTTCCAAGTAAGTTCTTTTTTCCCCTCCTTCTTTTTCTGCTGGCGCCCAAGCACTCTCCATTACTGGTTCGGATCACTAACGCTCTCGCAGCCGCACCGGGGTATTTGAATGTAGATGTGGACTCTGAAACCGGCGAAATCGACGGATTGTTCTAGTCAAGTCTTTGCAGATGGGATGGATGGATTTTGGGCAGTTCGGAGATTTCGCCTATGTATATATGATTGATTTGTAACGACTTTCAACAACGGCAACACAACACAACACAACACAGAGATACCCAACATTCACCATATTGGTAGACAAAAAATTCGGACGAATATGTTTTCTATGCACAATAGCCTGATTAGTCGTTCGCCGTCGACCTTGTTTCGTCAACCGAGTATTAGAGCGTTGCACATTCCTCGCCACGTTCAATGTGGACTAATAGAGGATCATCAATTTGGTGTTGTATTCATTTACACATGACCTCAGTAAGGTACGCGAGAGAAAGCTCCGTCCGGAGTACAGCACAGCGTCTCGAAAGTTCCCATCACACAAAACGTCTTCCGTCAATCCGTCTGTTGAAGAGCGCCTATGAGCCAGCGAACGATGGCAGCAAACCCAGTCAGGACCACGTGGGTGGATGATGGAGCAGGTGCAGGTTGACTCCGGTACATGATCACGCTGGAACGATGGGTGCTCCCACCACTTCCGTCGACACCCTCGTGTCCAACGAATCAGATGGCTTTTCAGCATTTGGTGTCGTCTTCGTCGTCGTCGGTCGAACCGAATCTCCCTCCCCTAAGAGGCCTTCAGGGCTTTCATCTGCCTCGTTAGCTCCACTTCGAGCCACGCAGTCGGGATTCCGTTGAGCGCACACTTCCCGATCAAGGTGGTAGATGGCATTTTCAAATAGGGATCTCCTCTTCTCCGCCGACGACGCCTCCGCCCGTCCTGTTTTCGTCTCGTCGCTCTGCAGATTGGGAGTGGGCTGACCATCTTCATCACCACCATGACCACCCCTTGTCTCGTCGATCGTCTCGATCATCCAGTCGATCTTTGACTGAGGTCTGCTCTTGAACACCCTTCTGTGCCTCAGGTACCCGTACGCATACGCCGCCAGGCCCAGGACAATCAACACGAAGACCAGAAGCACGAAAGCCAAAAACGCGGCCGAAAGTTGCACAATGCCAACCTGCACGCTGATGCTCCTCGCGACCGTCAGGAGATTCTGCGTGTCTTTCGTCGCCATCCAGACCTGCGTGAATCTCACAAGGTCCTCCGGCGCGACTATGCCGGGTGGTTTCCCATTGACACTCTCGCTGATGAACCGCGCCTGGTAGTTCTGCACGGCGGCCTGGGCCAAGCAGCTGGGTACCATGCCATCTGGGAACGCAGCATACTCGTCGTCCATGCGCCCCGGAAGTCGACGCACTACGCACTGTATCTTTGTGTAGCTCGCCGACTGGACGGGTCCTGTTCCAAAGTCGCAAGCACTGTCTTCGTCTTCGGGCTTGACGTTCACATTGTGCATGTGGACAGCAGCGAGCTCCAACGCGATCTCGTGAACCTGATCACTTGTGTCGTCTATTTCCGTAGTCTTCACGGCCGCGATAAGCATGAGCACGTCTTTCAAGACGTTGTCCTCGCGGTAGTCGCCATGCCACCAACCCATCTCGCCATTACTGGTGTTGAACATTTCCGTTGAGATAATTCTTTGCAGGCCCGGGATCTCATCGGGCATGTTGCTGGTGCAGTTGCCGACGTCTTCGAGGTCGATAGCTGTCTCGTGGGTCGGTAGGCAGTCGAAAGACCACGACGAATTCCATTCTTCGGCTCGGTATCGCCAGTCGACTGTTGTGTCGGGAACGAAGTCGAGGAGTTGATCGTGCGGAAACCGTGCTCGGTCGAGGCTTGTGAAGGTAGCATTCCAAGTCACCGGTGCGCTGATGATGCAGTCGTGGAAACGCCATGCAACGGATCCTGATATCTCGAGGGGATTGAGCTTGAAGCTGTGGCGACTGGAGTATCGCGCTATTGGTCCAGACACAAGTGCAACGACCGAAAAGAAGACCACAACGACGCATTGTCCGAGTAACTTTGAATTTTGAATAGAGAGCGATCGCCACCTGAGGAGCATGACCACATCCAGAGCTTCGCCCAGTGTGCCAATCGTCAACAAATCTTTAAGAGGCACACTGCGCTGGCCTATCTTGGGAAAGCTAGACTGCCAGCACCAGCGCGCACAAACAAATATTGCGATGGCGCTGAGCGTGGCGATAACCACGTTCAATACTGCCTGTACATCTTGAAGTCTCCATCCCTGTGGAAGGTCTATCCAGCCAACAGCCATAATGATAATGAGCGAGCCTCGTACATTTGTAAGACGAAAGTAGTCTTGCTCGACTTGGTCGGACCCGGCGCGCCATTGCGGTTGCCGATGTTGTATATATACCTCAGCTTGGTTGCGGTCATGCCTCGGCCAAGGAGGGGGATGTCTAGGCAGCTGTACTTGCACGCTTGGAGGAGCTGAGGGCGTGAGAGCAAGTCTCGTCTCGAGGCTTTGTGGCATTCAATGAGGGCTAAGGATAAGCGAAGGGTGTTGCCATGTTTGGTGGTCCAAGAAAACTGGCGCCAAAACGGTACGCAATTTATGTCATAGTCAGCCTGATCATCTGTCCCGAACTCGTATACAGGCGCACCAGGTGGCCCTGATGAGAATTTCATCGTGTAGGTGTCAAAGCTGCACAGGCATTATTCAGAGCCAAACGCCACCGCCTTTGACAATCACCTCAGAGCATAGGTATTGTGTCTGGTTCGGCTGTGGTGAGGGCTGCACGATCTCGAGAGACTCCCAGGATCCGCCTTTTTTCGCGTACGACGCATTCACATGGTGTCATAGGTCCATACCAGGAAAATATGATGCTCATGGAAGAAGCTGTAGCCCTGCGAACGCTATAGCGATCAGCGTGCCTTTAGTCGTCTTCGAGTCGCGACCTCCCATCGTCTCTTCCAATGTTGTGCCAAGAAGTCATTCCACAAAAACCGTCGAAGAATTTTATCGAGTGTTTCCCATCTGCTAGTTTCGGTAGGATATCTATCCAGCGTCTGTTCAAGTACCATAGATTTGCGTGAGAATGGTGGCGACATTTCTAGGGCATCTGCGGCAGCGAAAGCGATCCAAAGGAGGCAATCTTTGTGCTCTTTGTAGAATTTTTCAAGGTCTTGCTGAGGCCTTGGTTTCCCGCGGCCCACTAGCGTGTCTTCCAGTCCTTGTATTATTTCGTCAAAGTCATCTCCTAGCTTCTCCTCCCGAAAATGCAACCTCAAACAGAAGCCGATGAGGCCATGACATAGAAGGTGTTCGATTGGTACGGTTCCCAACATAGATAAACATCGGAGGTCGGCGATGATGTGGAGGAGGTTGCGCTCACTGGGCGAATTTGGCCCTGAGCTCGCAGGACTGCTCGTGCTTGGGCTGCCCAGGCCGAGGCTACCACCACTTTCATTCTTCATCATGGTAGACAAGGTGGCGATGATTCCGATCATCTGAATTGACAATTGTCCTGCTATTGCCATGTCGTTGAACGCAGACGAGACTTTCGACAACGACTCGCATACCTTGATGCTGAAAGGTAATGAAGGGTAGAGAGGCAGATCGTTCCGCAAGGGGGACTCCATAGTGAGTTGAGACATGCTTGACAGTGCTGCATTTCGCTGTTTGACGAAGTTCCAAAGTGAGAAGTAACTAGGCTGGTCAGCTTGCTCAGGCATTGTGGCTAGGGACCTCATACGCGTCCAAGGAGGCGTTCACAAAATGCTGCCAAGGTGTATCACCCTTCAAATCTGTCCTAATTGTTCGGATCCTTTGCATGGCATTAATATGATTTTCTGCGCCTTCATGAATACCAAGCATGTACTGCAGTTTCCATCAGCATGTGTCCCACGGGGTTATGACAGAAGTCAGGAGAGCTCACATCTATCGTTGTCAGCGCAGCAATCGTCACAATTGTAGCATCATCCGCGCATGTCTCTCTTGATAATAGCCGGAGTCGAAGCTGAGCGAAGGCGTTGGAACGGTGAAGAGCCAATGCATTGTCTTTGGACCAAGGCAGCCTCTCCTGTAACAGCCACGACGCGCGACTCAGAGCCACTATGGCTTCGAACACAACTGCGCGCTCGAGTGCAAAGGGGAATACCAAGGATTGGTATGGCATTGGGTGACCTTCGAATGCAAATGCCCTTCCATGCTGCGGTGCCCAGACCTGCAGGTCTATAGATCTTGTCAGTATAGTAGACTCAGCACGAGATGGAAGGGCGAAAGCTACAGTGTTTGATCATGCGAGGCACACATCCTTCCGATGGAATTGGGAAATTGTTGAGTGGTTCTGTGTGGAATATATTGACCGAGAATCTGGGTAGCCGAGCCGCCCTTCTCAGTTCCACAGCCTGATGGTCATCAACAGGAGATTTTCGTTTTCGAGGATGGCGGATGGACGCCAGTTCTTTCTTATCGAACTCCCAGGAAAAGCGTTCAATTGCAGACAACGTTGTTTGAACCTTGCTGTTTGAGGTCTGGACCACGAGTTGGGGACGAGAGACTGACGGAGGCTCCGCATTGTCATGTTTTAGACGGGAAACTGGCCGGAAAGCAGCCTGAACAGAGCCAGTCTCGTTATGGCTCTCAAGCACTATAAGTCCTGTAGCTTGATCGACATCGCCATCCCGCCGTAGTGGCTCTAGAAACATCGTACAGCTGTGTGGTGTCGTTGTGCTCAACAAGATATCAAGCCAACAAACCTCGAGACGGTACTCCGTATGGCTCATGACATGCTTAAATACCGAAATAGGTCAACGGTCCATGGCCGGAGTTCCATGTGCAGAGCCCCAGAGCAGCCGCTTACGCTTGGTCAGCTAGATTAATTTATTTGACTGGTTTTTGCTTGACTTCGTCCGAATGCCAACGCCGAAAGAGCGACATGCGGCGACTTGTTCTAGCTAGATTTGTGGCATAGAACGACTGCCTTCTCGTGGAAACGGAAACTGTGCTGATGTCCGAGGGTGATTGGCTCGTAAGCCGAAGGGAAACTTGTCGCATTCTTTAAGGTAAATGGAGACAGAGTGGAGGTGACCCATAACTAATCACTGCATCAATGATCAGGCTTGGAGTTGCCCTGGCGTGAAGGAGTCAAACAGCCACGGTGAGCACTGAGCAGTGAGTGGTCGAATCAGCTGGTGGATATAGGTGAGCAGGGAATACAGAGCGTCAACCCACAAAAAGAACCATTGCGTGAGTTGCTCCACTGCTCCCTGCTGAGAGTCCTGACATCCGGTTGTTCGGGTCGAAATCGGACAACGCGGGGTCAGGTAACAGACTGAAATGGCCAAGGCGGTTCCCAGAAGATGTTGACAAGCTCATCCAACATTCTGCCAAACATTTGGCTGGTGGCCTTGATTGGGTCGCATCCATCAAGCGAAATCAGACCACGGGGCTGGAGGCGCCAGTTTTCCGCCCTGGTGCTCATCCGCCAACCATGCTTGATGTTTCCCTCCTCGGCCGAAACACATGGCTCACGCTGACGGTGGATCGAAGCCTGCTGTGCGCGCATTCCGAAGTTGAGCTAGGGAACGAAAGCCTTCAAGCAAGTTGGAGTGGGAGCATCAGATTTTGGATCGGAAACCAGAATATCAGCCTGTTCGCTTTCCGTGACGGTGATCATCGTCAACACCTCGCCTCCGACCGTTCCTGCATGGATGCTGCATGGATGGAGCCGGTGAGCCATAGCACCAAGCCAAGGAATGCAGCTCGAAGCATTCGTCAGCCTGTCCTTGCAGCCTTAGGCAGTCCGTCTGGTAGGCGTCAGCATTGCTACAGTACAAATGAGCCTCAGCCCTAAGTGCACGGATATGAACTATGCAATTGGAATTGTAGATCTGTGCTGGAGTGTATCGCTGCGAGCCACGGTCGCTCAGAATTTACCAATGTCTGATGAGAGGGATAGTAGTCGCCTGAATGTGTATCCTGTAGACCGTCTCCAAGCAAATGGCCTCGAATCATGTCTCTCATAAGGCTGTCACAACGCTCGAGTGCGCACACGCTAAAATGGGTAATAGTAGTATTGGAACCAGGCAATTTTGATCTGGAGAACGGAGGGCCTCAATGAGCTCCTCATCTATGTTGTACATATATGCATTCATATCCACCTGGGGATGGAGCGAAGATTGTATGCCCGGGGAGTCGATCCGGTAGGGGACATCTCGAAAAGCAGGTTCCAACGTTCGAACTAAGTCAATCAAAATGGATGGGTCGTATCGTCCTGGAAGGAATGCAAGTGGTGAGACGTGGAGCTTGTGCTTCTTCAAGGTTTGAATATACTGGAAGTCTTGTGTCCGCTCAAACGGCGGCACTGATACACGACGCCCTAACTAGGCGCTTTCGCTACAGAAGCCATCGCCCATTCATACCAAGTGAAGGAAGAAATTCTTAGCCTCGTATTGCCCTATTTCTTCACCTCGGACGAAGAAGTTGATCCTTGAGCTGCTCCCTGTTCCTTATCTTCTTTTTTGATCTCGATTATCTGTCGAATGAATCAGTCTCCGAGTGTATTCCCGGGGCATAACTCCCCTACATTGTTGCCTTCTTGCCGTCGTCAGTATTTGCAGTTGTAAGTCAAAAGGGCTTAGACGACGGAATAACATACAATCAGCGCAATGGCCCCAGTCTCCATCCTTCGTTACATCAACCCGTCCGCCGCAGTTTGGACATTTAGCCATGATTTCAACGACTTGATCCTGAGCGATGGTAGAAAGGAGATCAGCGAGGAGCAGAGGCTACTGGTATGCGATGAGCGCCTGCAAGAAACATATATTCAGTGATGAAGAGGAAGGATGAAGATGAACAATGAAGGCGACGGAGCAAAACCAAGGAGGCAGGAGAATGGTATCAAAAGAGGCCGTTCGATGACGTAAGCAAGATGTCTGGCGGACAGGAGCAAGGCGGCTGCAGCTTACTGGGGGTCAGGCGTTGTAACAAATCTATGCCTTATCCATGAATTCTGCATTGATCATGAGTCTACTGCCACTGTCTACTCATCGCCCGTCCAAGCGTATCTAATGACGCTTGTCGATTGAGAGATTTTGCTACCGTCCCATTGACCGGAGCCGATTCCGACTCTCTTAGGTTTTTCCACACTTCGGAGATAGTTGCTCGTTCTCGAGGGAGAGCAGAGTACTGAAGTCCGTACATCTCACTTCTACCAAGGGGGGGTACAAACCGCCCGGAGCAGAGTCTGAAGACGACCTTGGGAGAAAGATAATGTTGGCGGATGCGGGCCCCCAGCTGGAAATACTGCTCGAAAATTTGGCGCAGAGACAGCGGTGTGGATGATAGTCTGATATAGGCCACACTTGTGGCCAATGCCTCGTCATCGTCATATTCGGCGTGGTCCCTTGACGTGCTCTCAGGGTGTTCTGTCCCGTTTTGGCGAGGTGGTTGGGACTGCTCCGCGTTGAGAAGTTCAAAATGAACACCACCTGGGAGTCTTTTGCTGTCTTTGATCCTGAGCATCAGAGCAAACAAGGGAAAGTGATTCAGACAGGCCAAGCAGGTATCTAAGGTCGCTTTCAATGAGATAATCGCCATCCGAGCAAGGGCGAACGTGAGATAGAACACCATAACTGTGGGCAACAGGAAAAATAACAAGGTGAACAAGATAGTCCCAAGTAGAAGTTGGTCGAGGTCATAGTCGCAATTATCAATTCTGTTGCGGAGGACATTTCGTTTCTTCCCCCGGAAAAGGTGGAACAGACTGACAATAATGGTCAGTTGCCAATTGAATATACGCGCACTGGCGACATAGAAGGAATAGATGTGGATTGTTGTCAGACTCAGAAGGTCTGAGAGAATGGCGATAGGCATGCTGGCACCGGCAAAAGAGGAGAACGCGATAAAGTAGACAATCATGGGCAATCTTGGAAGGATCAACATCACTATGGTCGAAGACCAATACTCGATGACCCACAAGAACAAATCGCCCATGAATGCGGCGAGCTCAGTGTTCAATTTGAGGCCACCAGGATATGACATGAGCCAGCGGATAACGCGTTTAAGCCCCTCAACCGTATATTCATTGAGAACGGCCCCAATAAACTGGGCTGTGGCTGCTGCATTATCACTCAAGAAACTTCCGAGAGCGATACCGATAATGACATCGTTGGCAACTAGCCAGAGAGAGTTGTAGAAGCGTATGTAGTCGCTGTTGGTGGTAGGAAATGATGACCACGTTGCATGGCGTCGCCGGAGCAGCGAATATTGCGTTGGATAGTATGAAAATTGCTGGAGCCGAAGGTGGACTTGCTGACAGCAGGCCGAGATGTCTTTCAGGGCAAACACACCGTGTATAGACTGACGACTCTCTGGTAAGTGTAGCCGTTTCAGGGGTAACGGCCATTCTAGGACTTGCAAGACGCCCTCGGCAAGTATGCGGTGACCAATAAGGGCAATTTTGAAGAGATATAGCAGTGTCGGGAAGGCATAAGTCATGAATAGAGTCCAAAGAGACCATGCTGCAAAGGCGTAGAGTGACTGAGCAGATTCAACAACCCTCTCACTGACTGACAGGCTTCTTTTCCGGCGCGGGCCTACGAGGGGTGTGTTCTTCTGCAGGAGATCCGCCACCTCCTGCGCGCAGTTGATTTGACGGAGAATTGATGTAAGAGCCGTCTCTTTTCTTGTTGGCGCGTGTCTGACAACAGTATGAAAGCGTAGTTTAGCAACCAAGTGCTCAACTCTGTCCTTCTCTTGCTCTTCCTGGATCTCGACTTCATCTGCGAGCCAACGAGGTCTCTGAGCCGTACGACCTAGTGCGAGAGATATGGGCTCAAGGGACACGTATTGCATCTGAGTAGGGTTTGGCGGGTCGAAGAGAACTATTTGCACAGACAGTCCGGAATCTGGTGGGCAATAAATGTAGGGTCGTTTCCCGCCAGGAACGGTGAAAGCACAGATCTTGCTGGGCTCGAAGCGATCTGGCAGATCCGGATAGTTCAGAGTGCCCAAAACGTGCATATTCGTGCGGTCACACAACTGAAATATTCGTACCACCGGATATGGGCTGTTACGAAACAGAGTGCCCATCCTGAGTGCGCCCTCGACACTGCGAACCTATGCCAATTAGAGTCGCGTGCAGGATTTCTTATTGGGAGACAATACCTCGACATCTTCAAGGACCGTAATAACAAACAAGTCCAGTTCTGAGTTCCTCCATCCCACAATCACACCAGGTGTTGTTGTCCGAGTAAGGCTATTTGGCCAAAATACTCGAAGCATGCCATCGTTGCTCTCAACCATGATAGCATTGTGTCAAGGGTCAAAAAGAACCTCGTCGGCGTAGTTGTTCTCGCGCTGATATTCCATGCGCAGGCATGCGCGGATGCTGTACACCACTCAGTTCCTCCGTGATTTTAAGCTCCAACACTGTCTCGGACTCACAACTGTTCCTTCGTGCGCAGCAAGGCGATCTAGGGGGATAGCGAGGGCGATGAAAATTAGGGTAAGGATGGCAAAGCCTCTCGTGGCTCGAGCCTGCGCATTTGCATCAGCTTGATCGCCAGAATCCCAAGATTACACTTACCACAACACCGTGATCCCACGCAAATACGGACAGTTCGTAGAGCCTTGTGACGAGATCCCAGCGCGCTGTAATGTACCCGGCAACGAAGATGCCAATTGTCAAGGAGGAGAAAGGGTGCATTCACGCGGCCTGGCGTTGATGTAAGGGGATAATAGCAAGCAGCTAGGGCATCAAATTGCCTTCTTTTAGGGTTTCAGTTTAGCAATACAAAGCATTGTGCCATGGTTATAACCTTGGGAGACCATGGCCCATTTTATTAGAGCCACGACAGCAAGGACCAATCTTCCCGCACTTTCAACCGCGGTTTAGCCGTAGACACTTCATCAAGGCGGCATCGAACTCACAACACCTCAGTGTGTTGTTGCACAGCGTTCCTGGATAATGCTCCGAGATACAGAAAGATAACCTCCATAAGGGAAAGTCTACGTCTACGAAGCTGATTCCAGAAAGTCCACGCGCCTGCTCTTTGAGATAGAGAGGACTGCCCTTGCAGTACTGGCCGTCCTCGGGAGCAGCTCTTCCCGATCCACGCTCTGTATCAAAGGGGTGTATAAACAACAACAACGACGAAGATTTTCATGGGCATAGAGAAGCGCCAAAACCTCATAGTCATTGAACATTCTGCTCTACTAGGTAGCCACGAGGGCCGGCCACTGTGCCAAATCTCCAGTGACGAACAGAGCCTTGTGCCCAACATGAGTATACAGACATGGTCTCCTGATATGACATGTAGGGTGGCATACTTGAGCCGCACTCTCCACAAGCCCATGAATGCAATTCCTCGTTCAAGAGCATAGATAGAAGTCCTCAGCATTTCTCCTCCTCCGCCACAGCCTCGTCCAAGAACAAGATATGCCAAGTTAGGCGCTAACGATAATTGGATTAGCGTCTTCGGGTATAGCCGCCGCTAAGCAGATCGCATCTCTTCTTGCCCACCTCGTGCGTAGACTCCTCTTGCTTCTGTATCACAATGATAACTGTAATCCGACAAAGCCGCACAGAACCCTTGTGAATCTGTGGCACAGGAAACCTCGCTTGCCGTCGAAGAGTGCGGCAGATCTGTGAAGAAGGTGGGAAGGTCGAGATGAGACTGTGCAGGTAGCCGACGCTAGGCACTGCCGCCTCTCAGGGTTGGGCTCAAAAGATCGACTAGAGAGAATCCTTTTCTGCTATCCGACATATGACAGAGGTGAGCCTGCTAATTGTGTTGGACAGAGCGATCAGAAGTAAGTGAAAGCTGCAGACAGACTCTGATCTGGGGTCGTGGTGTTTGTAATTGTCGATCTACTGCTGCCCCCGGGTGCTTGCATGCCGTATGAAACTGATCAGCCCAACGCTCCTCGCCGCGCTCTGGGATCAATCAACTTTCTGAGTCTCCTCCAAACCTCTTCAGATCACAGGAAACGTCGCCAAGGTCATCGTCGCTCCTTCTATTGATCACCTGCGGCGAATCAGAGGACAGGATCGATTGCAGGCGCCGAACGAGGTTAGTGCCACCCTGGGTCGATCTGAGGCACTGTTCTTGCAACTACTTAAACCTCCCACGTTCTTCTCCCGCGAAAACTTGAACTTACACCTCTATTCTACCCATCGCCTCAATCCTCTCTGTCTCTTTTGGATCCAGACTCCATCAGCTTGGATACGCATCCTCATCTGCAACTCTTACTCAATACCTCCTTACCATCCAATCCCATCCACTCCGCATCGTCAACATGAAGAGCGAACGCCTCCTCGCGCTTGCCGCCCTCGACTTGAATGTCTTTGGCTCGGGTAAGGATGCCACGCAACTTCACTTCGAAGTTTTCCTCGCTGACTGAAGTGTAGCCGCTACCCCCATGGAACGTACCAATCGTGCTGATGCGAAAGACGCTGCCGTTGCCATCTTGCAAGGTGAGAACAAATGATTGACTTGCTCTTCAACAATCTTTGCAAATGCTAAGTGACCTTACAGCTCGTGGCTATGAGGCTGCAGAAGCCAAGGACATCGTCAATCTCGTCGCGCGTGGTAAGCCAGATTCCATTCCCTTTGCCGAAAATTTGTGGACTAATTTAATTTCTTCTTCAGGCACCGTCACTGTGACTGCCTCTGCTGATTGCGGAGTCTCCTTCGCTTCCTATGGCGAACCGTCTACCACCACCATGTCTACGGTGTACTCGACTTACATGCCACCTGCAATTCCCACTACTGGAAGTACTGCGGCCACTGTTGTCACCACCACTTCTGTCGCTGCGCCGAGCACCACTAGCATTGTCGCCTCAGTTGACACTGCAAGTGTTGCGACTACTGAAGTCACCACTACTGCTGTCACCACTACTGCTGTCACCACTTCTGATGTTAGCACCGCTGGAACAACCGCTCCCCCTGAGACCATCACTCCACCTGGATTCAGCTCTGGCACTGAGACTACCTCTGAGACCACTTCCTCTGTCACTCTTGAGACCACTCTTGAGACCACTCTTGAGACCACTCCAGCCACTGTCCCGACTTCCAGCGAGAGTGCCACTGCTACGACTGACAACAACCCACCTGCACCCACTGCGAATGTTGCTGGCATTGCAGGCGCTCATGTCGGCTTGGCCCTCATTGGTCTCCTGACTGCCCTGGTCATGGCCTAAGCGTGACACAACGCGATACCCTGACACTCTCTGCAGCTATGTCTGCCATGTATTCAACATGCTACATAAGCATCTGCAAGTGAGTCAGCAATCACATCTCATCAATTGAGATTTCTACTGGAGGCAAGGTCACAAAGAGCTTTTGCAAATGTTTCCCATGGGGAGGCTCACCACACTGCACTTGGGTTGCCACATTATGTACTATGTTTTCAAGCTGGGCCAATTGGTTTGGTGGACAATCGTGGTCATGGGTGTACAGCGCCTTTGCAAGGTGGATGAGGGATCGGTTTATGCTATTGCACCTTGATAGGTTCGCATCTCAACACGTTTTCATAATCAAAGGTTCCTTGACCTCCATAATCAAAAAACAAAAATCCTATTCCACATAAAAATCTTCCATTCCTTGCTTCTCCATGTCTGAGTTTTCTACGCTGGTGACAGCTTCGCGAAATCCATGTAAACGTGTCTGAAGCCGACGATGGAAGGACTCGAAAAGACTCGAAAGACTCGACAGGAGGCGGACGCTTCTCTGGTACCATATGAATGTTTTCTCTTGATTGCGGCCATGCTTCATCCCTTTATCCCTTTCACGCTCCAGCCTGGCATAGATCAAACCCGTCCCTACTCCTGAAAATTCCGCCTTGTGTGTTGACGAGGCTGTCGGTTAATCCTCGGGTGATATTCGTCCGGGGCGTTCACGTCGTGGCACTGCCCCGTGGGGGAGTTCTTTTGTACGTATATGGAGGAGTCGTGTGGCGATAGAGACAAAGAAGAGAAGGCGAGCGGATGTCGACGACGAGAGCACGAACTTTCACTTTTCTCTCAGTTTCGATGTGATGGGAGCTGTGAAGAGTCGGTGCAGGGAACTGATCAAATTCTTGGACGGGAGAGGACATCTGGTTGTTTTTGTTGCTCTGCCGCGTGGTGTGAAATGGAGAGAAGAGAGTTCGGTATTTAATTTTATCTCTAGGTACAGCTTCTAACCGGGCCATCTAGATCATTGAGACATTGACACTCTGCATTGTGACATGATACTAGACGGTCGAAAAAAACTTCGTCTTTGCTCTCCCAGGAGTTGCACTGCCCAAGCTTCAAGAATCAGCAGCCTCTTCGAGGATCCTGTCCGACTCGTGTTTCTTAGAGGCACGGCTGCGCCCTCTGCTCTCTTCCCAAACCTCCTCCCAGAACCCCTCTTTCCACAGCCGCAGAACTTCAAAGCCGACCTCGACTGCGATGAGCACGATGATCATCCACTCGAGGAACAAGCCGTGCTTCTCGCTCAGTCTCTCCCGAAGAACGGTCGCGATCTCCGCTGCATAGTCCATCTTCTCGTTCAACACCTTGATTCGAATTCCGACGTCCAAAGCTCGTCCAACTTGGTCGTAATAGTTCTCCAGGTTCAGCTCGTGGCGAGAGTCCCAGAATATATCCGGTAACGAGTCCGTGAGTTCGGAATAGAGGTTCAGTTGTGCGCGGAGGAGAAGGAGTTGGCCTGTCTTGCGTAGGATGAAGCCTCGGGACAACTTGAACGGGAGACGCGAGCCCTTGGAGAGAAGAGCGGGAATGTCGGCGGTCGATGTGAGATAGGTGGACAAGTTTGTCTCGAGAACTGCTAGTTTCGTGCTACGTGCGAAACCTGACGAGAAGGCGATCTTGGTGAGCACCGTGTCGACCGACTGGTACTGGTACTCACGCGAGAGGTCGCTTGTCATGTCAGCGGAGCCGGAGTTGTTCTGCTTCGTACCCAGTATAATGGTCTCACCCCTGATGAGGCTATCTTTCCGCGTTGGATCTTCAATATAGTCTAGGTCTTCGGTCTCGATAGGCTCTTTGTGAGGATTCTCGGCGGCCGGTAGAAGTGTGCGTGTCGCAAAGTACGATGTGAATCCTTCTGGCAGGGCCCAGGTGACGAGTGTGCCGGAGGGGAATATGAACGCATCCCCGACCTCGGTGGATGACAAGTCTACGGCAGCTGGATTCGTCGAGCGGTATATCGAAGATATAGGAATCTGGACGTGCACGACCTGGGGAAAGAGGCCGGTGCCGAGAGGGTCGGGTTCGTAGCCCTTGCTGCGGAGGATATCAACGACTTTGGTCAGGTCAAATGTATCGGCGACTGCGTATGCTGTCACCAACTTGGGTGTGCCGATATCTTCTTGGGACTTTCCGCTCGAGCGGGCAAGATTGCCGGCTTTTGAACGTTGCGCCTCGAGGCCGATCCTGCGAAGGGAGGTTTTGGTACCTGCGGATCGAGCTGTTTTCCTCTTCTGTGCTTGTATGTTTGCAGAGTCTTCTTTCGGTTCATCTCTCAACTGAGCCGACTGGCTGAGAAGGGAAGGGTTCGACGAGAAGAACTCTCGTCGCCGAGGACGCTGGAAGATTGGAGACGCATGGAGCGGGCGGAAACCAGGCTGGCGGACGGCATCGTAGCCAGGTCGTCGACAGCTTGAGCAGACGTACTGACTACCCAAAGCCAAAGTTGGCCGCACGGAAGTCGGCCGCATGTCTCATGAATGCGCACCGGAGCAACGAAGCATTCTGCTGGAAATGCATACTCTGGATGCACGCAGCTTAAAACTTTCTGAATCATATCGGGTGATCAATGTTTCACAGTAGAGGGTCGTCGGAGCTACGGTGGATCTTTTGTGCACTTTGGCATCCCTCGGCGCTCGTCATTCAGCATTGGAGTGTCAATTGCCAGCAATGCTCCGCATGAGCGTGTTCTAGCAGTCTTGAACAGATGACGCGATAGCGCCTGAACCTCCCCCTTGATGGCCGCTGGTGATGGCTCGTCTGAGCCGGGCAAAGAGGAGCAGCCTCAAAATGAGACCACAACTCCTGGAAAGCCAACAGAAGCAGAGTCGACGGCAGACGAGTCTGAAGACGACGAGGAAGACGAAGAAGAGGAAGAGCCACAGCTGAAATATGCCACCCTGACGAAGGCTGTGAGCTCAATATATCGCAACGGTGACGCGACGAGCACTTTCCTGGTAGCAGGGGACAAATTGGCAAGTAGACTTCGCGCCCTCTCAATCTTCCAAGACACCTTCTAATAGGACTCCTTCAGATCGTTGGGACTCATAATGGAAACATCGTAAGTCAGGCTCTTCTATGCTACAACTACTCGCTGACATGGGACCAGCACGTTTTCGCCCTTCCCTCCTTCAGTCCGTTGAGAGTATATCATGCGCATACCGCCAGCGTATCTGCGATATCAATATCCCCACCTATTCCTGCTATCTCGATCCTTCGGCCGGAACCTCCTCCCAAGCCAACAGCTGAGCATCCACTATCAAGAAGCAGATCTCCCACAGGCTCTCCAGCGGCGAAAGGCAAACAGCAACCGCGGCAATTACCTCCCGTGCCGAACACTCCTTCGAATCAGATCTACATAGCCACATCCTCCATAGACGGGAATGTCTGTATCGCTTCGCTAGTGGATGCTCGAGATGTGCAACTACGCAACTTTGGCCGACCAGTGCAGAGCGTCGCACTTTCACCCGAGTATAAGTCAGACCGAAGCTACTTGTCTGGCGGCCAAGCTGATAGTTTGGTATTGACAACTGGAGGACAGGCTGGCAAAAGTGCGAATGCAACTACAACTGGTGCCGCAGCGGCGGCCTCAAGTTGGTTGGGCTCACTTGGACTAACTGCCAATACCGGTACAGACAAAGTCCTGCACAGTGGGGAAGGGATCATTAGCACAGTCAAGTGGTCGCTTTCGGGGAAATATGTTCTCTGGGTCAATGAGCATGGCATCAAGATCAAAAGGTCACATCTGAAGCTAGAGGCTAGTGAATCAGGCACTGAATGGAAGACGATAAGCCACATTGACAGGCCAACCCGGGCAGGATGGGAAGACATGGCTGGGGTTTGGAAAGCTCGTGCTGAATGGATAGACAGAGATAACTTGGAGACTGTTGATGAATCACCGACACCCGCAGCCAATGGAACCCCATCGAAGCCAGACCTTAACAAGGTCAAAGTTGAGGAGGCTCTCGTTGGCTGGGGAGACTCGGCGTGGATAATCAAGGTTTATCCAGGCACTGCTGAAGACTCGGAACACAAAACTGGACGCGCAGAGGTCGCTACGATGCAAGTATGCTCCTTTTTGGAAAGAACTCTCGCTAACTTTTCCGCAGTATACGATTTGATGACTGTATTATATCTGGAATTTCGCTTTATACCCCAAATCTGCTTTTGGTACTCGCATATATGGAGAAGAAAGGGCCCAACCCGGCAACTCATGGTAATGGAGAAGGTAGAAAGGGCCGCCGGACGCGGCACAACGCATTGGAACCGGAGCTGCGCTTGATCGATATACACACCAAGGAGGAGGTTGACACTGATACTCTAACAGTGAGCAGATATGAGACTTTGTCAGCCTCAGACTATCATCTAGGTGTTCTCCCTCCAATCAGGGTGCCAACCTTCATGGTACAAAAAGGCTACCTGGGTGCCATTGGCTCAAGCATGAGCACTGTTGGGTCCAGTCTCTATACTGGAGTGGAAACTGTAGGCCAAGGCGTATGGGATGCCACCATGTTTGGTCCACGAATGTTGGGTGCGAATCGGATCTTCAGTGGTGCTGATAGCATCAAGAGTGGTACCACTGGACCAGAGCGTGGAAGCACCAAGGACCGGAAAAACCTGGCTGGCTGGATCCCAGGATTCGGCTCTGCTGACGGCACGACCGAGGAAGAAACACAGTTAACGACAGCACAGGGCATGAAGATCTTTATCTTCAGCCCCTATGACTGTATAGTGGCTGTTAAACGCAATCTCAATGACAGGATTCAGTGGCTGAAAAGTGTCAAGCGTTACCAGCAAGCATGGGAGTTGATCGATGACCATCCTGAAGCAGCAGGAGGCTCTCTCGAAAGTCCCGAAGCAGAAACTCCACAAACTCCGTCCAAGGCAAGCTCCATAACCAGATCGGCCACGGGAACAATCTCAAGTCCTGACAAAAGCCGTCAGCATGCGACGTTGGCTGAGTTTTTCACTGATTCCAATTCCATCACGAGCTCAGCACAAGTGAAGTCCAACGGCAAATTCTCGGCTGCAGAGAAGGAGAAGCGAAAAATAGGCGAACTCTGGTTGAGGCAATTGACCGATGCAAATAACTGGCAGGAAGCTGGAGAAGTGGCTGCAAAGGTCCTTAACACCACAACACGGTGGGAGCACTGGATCTGGCTGTTCATTAAAAGGCAGAAGTTTGACGAGATATCTCCATACGTCCCGACTTTGGAATTGATGCCCCCCCTACCGTCGTCTATCTATGAGATCATCCTCGGACACTATGTTGAGACAGACAAAAGTCGGTTCAAAGAACTACTGGATCAGTGGCCGTCGGATCTCTTCGAAATCAGCAACATCACAACAGCGATCGAGGACCAACTTCGTACCGGGAGTGCGCCAAAGGGCTCAAATGATTGGAGACTCTTACAAGAATATTTGGCGAGATTATTCCTTGCCGACGGACGTTATAATGACGCCTTAAAATGTTACATCCACCTTCAAGATGCAGACACTGCTCTATCACTTATCAAAGATCACCATTTGGTCGAGGCAATCGTTGATGATATCCCAAGCTTTGTCACGCTCAGGGTGACAGCAGATCAGTTGAAATCTGCATCTACAAGCGAACTAGACGAACTGTCTATGGATTCTATCCAACTGCTTGTGGACGAAGCCACCGCCGGCGTGGTTGAGGCTGACGAGGTTGTTTCACAGCTTAATACTTCCAAGTTAAGACCATTTTTGTTTTTTTATTTCCGCGCTCTGTGGCGAGGCGAAGGCTCACACAGCGAAGCTAAGGGCCCGCGCGTTGGCCATTCAGCAGTAGCAACGGCCCTGATCGCGGATACCGGCAAGCAGCTAGTGGAGCAATTTGCAGATACGGCAGTTGAAGTGTTCTCGGAATACGATCGATCGTTACTCATGGAGTTCCTCCAGTCATCTACAGCATATGCTTTCGAGAAAGCTGTCAAGCTATGCGAGAAGAAACATTACGTCGAAGAGCTCGTGTTCTTACTCAGTAAGACCGGTCAAATGAAGAAAGCATTATATTTGATCATCGATGACCTCAAAGATGCAAAGAAGGCGATAGCATTTGCAAAGGAGCAGGACGACAAAGGTCTATGGGATGACCTATTGGAGTATAGCATGTCTCGACCACGGTTTATCTCGGAACTCCTCGCTGAGGTAGGAACGGCGATCGACCCAATTACCCTGGTTAAACGAATACCGAGCGGCCTCGAGATCGAGGGCCTAAAGGACGGCTTAAGGAAGATGCTCCGTGAATATGATCTTCAAGATAGCATCAGCTCGGGTGTGGCGAAAGTGCTGAGCAGTGAAGTTGCCGTCGGGATGGAGACCCTCAGACAAGGTCGAAGGAAGGGCATCAAGTTTGAGGTGGTGTCGCATCATCCCCGGAAGCCTGTACACAACCCAGAGCATACTGCAAATGATGTTGAGAAGGGGACAAATCCCGAAGAAGCTGCACAGAAACCTGAGGTGGAACCAGGTCACTGTGGAAGCTGTCAGAGGGCATTTATCCAGGATGAGAAGGAGACGCTTGTGGGCTTTGCGTGTGGTCATGTATATCACATTTCACACTTGTTACACGGACCGGAAGCGGAGGGAGACGAAGCTCTCCTCCCTGATTCTGCCACGAGGAAGGACCGTGATAGTGAAGGAGCACTGGACGATTTCAGGTTCTCGAGGAGCGTCGGCCCAAAGGTCACGAATGCGCGGCTTCTGAAGGATAAGATTCAGGCGGTGGGTGGGTGTAAAATTTGTAGGACATAGTCACAAAACGAGCAGACACCCTAGTGCCTGGTACACGTACAGTTTGTCCGCACCAGCTATATCATACTACATGGATTTGGAGGACCGCATAATACTAATGAAGGAATATTGTTGCGTAGGAGGATAATGACATGGAAGTGGAAAGATATCTGGGATCGTTGTTATTGTTACACTAGTTAGAAGTGTTCGTGCTATCTAGACCGTTTGTGTTGTCATGATATTATGCCAACGGTAACTCGGTCCTCGACGGGACTCCCTAGAAGAAAGCGCCTTTGTCATTCTCCTGTCACTGCGATATCGAAGATTGATGCAAGCCATTCCACGTCGCCTCGCACGTGCTGGGAACCCGTGCCAGAAACATCGAAGCTATCCAGGACGAATTCCACCGCACCCGAAGAAGACAGCTTCGAATCTCGTGGCAAATTCAGACCAACGATGCTTGATGCTGAAGCATAGTCGAGGAGAAAGCTGCGCGCTAAGTCAGTGTTTCACGTGTGCCCGGGAGAGGATGGATACGTTATCCAAGGCGGTAGTTATCCAGCCGATCCGTAATGGAGGACCTTGGGAATGGAGAAGGACACATGGCAACAACGGCGTTGTTGTGCCACGGTCGCATTGCCCTGGATGACGCAGATCGAGGACCACCAGGCCCCCGGCAGGATCTTGGCCTCGTAGAGCATAACGTCTGCGTCCTTGCTGCACCAAGAGCATCTGTCCGGGTGTCGTCTGCACCTGTCACGTTGACGATGCATTGCGCTTGCCACTCTGTCAGGGAAGAAGACCAAAGCGATCACTGATTTGACGACGTCTCGTATCGCGCGGATCCGGCTGTCCGCTCTCATATTTGACGTATCATTGACGTACTCCCGTACAAGATGAAAATTCAAATGTTGACAGCAGAGACCGTCTCAGCCTTGGGCGCTTGCCCTCCTATCCGCCATGAACTGTCGTACGCCTTCAATGCGGTTCACGAAGAACATGCGCTTCTTGTCGCTCTTCCAAACCAAAACGCCGGTTTCATCGGCATAGCGGCATGGAGCCTCATAGTCGGCATTGTTGGAGAAGTCCTTGAGTAGGAATCCATGTGTGGTGGTCATTCTATCACGTTCCAGCTGCCAGAGATGGATCTGATCCAATATGGTGGCAGGCAGGATGGGGACAACGCGTCCCTGGTCGGTGTTCCGGGCTTGCAGTTGAGCTTGTTCGGCTTGTGCGTGCCGGCGCATCTGCGGATGGGCGTGAGCGGTCAGGTACGAGATGATTTGCTCCGCAGTAATCCCGGCTTGTACTGCGCGTTGGACGGACGATTTACTCATTTTGCCGGCAACGAGATTTGGGTGGCGAGAGCGTAGATTGACAAACAGTGACAGCAGCGCAATCTGCAGGGGTGACGAGGTGTAAGCGTAGACACGGTAGTTGGTCTCCACGATGATGAAGCCCTTAGAAGCGCCTGAAGACGACGGGGACAGGGAAGAGCCTATCGTGGTATTCGTTGCTGACAGTGCCGTTGTCGAGTCGGATGTGAGAGTCGTGGCTAGGCGAGTTGGGTAGAAGTAATCCATGGGAGTGCCGTCCTCGAGCATCGGCTGATACACTATTCCGAACGATACTAGATCGGAAAGACACCGCTGCTGAGTCTCGTCCAGCGTTGACGTCGAATATGCCAGACCAAGCTCTAGAGACGATACTAGGAAGAGGAAGGACAAGACATCGACCTTGTCCATATCGAAAACTTCCGCATTGTCGACATACAGAAACAGCAGCGCCCAGATTTGCGTGTTGATGTCCTGGAGCACGAAGGCGAAGCCTTCTTTCGTGATCTTTGCGGCTTGTCCCCGGCTATAGGTGCCTGAGACCTCGATGAGGTGGCCCGCTTTGAGAAGCTCGATGACTCCAGGTGACGGCGCGATTGCAGCCTGCCCTGTGTCGAGCGGTGTGGCTGAGGATCCCACCATGTACCCCAATATCCCTTCCCATCGCTGGCGTGAATACTCGTCCAGCTCTGATACGGGAACCTTGTCGTTGTCGGGAACGTTCGCAACTTGCCCAAATGACTTGCTGTCACCGGCACCTGTTAATGCCTTTCGGAGAGATCTGGCGAAATCCGGGGTGAGACTGTACGCCTTTCCTGAGGTGGATGTGACGTCTCTGAAGATGTGATAGCGGTGTAGCAGATCCAAGGCATGCTCTCGTTCACCGCGGCTACCGTCCTTGACGAACAATTCCAATTGCTTCACAGTCATCGGCTGCGGCATGTAAAGAAGCATCATGACAAATGTCTTGGCCAGGCTGGAGAGTCTTTTCCTGAATATGGCCAGAGCTGATGCGGGACTTCTGTATAGCCGGTAGAACTGGGTTCCCGGGAGCGTTTCCAGGTATTCCCATGATTGCAGCGTGGTGTCCGCCATCTTGAGAAACCTGCACAACCGATTCTGAAGCGACTCGAAATACAACTAAACCATATCGTAGCACACGGAGACAGGAATACTCATATAACGGGTTTTGCGTCCAGCACTGAGACAGATAGAGAGGAGGAGTTGACGAGAGTGAGATATTGTTGAAGCAGGCGACAGGAAGAAGCAGCCTCGATATTAAAGAGCCAGAAGGCCAAGACACGCTAAACTACTTCCGTCGGTGCCTCAGTCTGCCCTTATTCTACTGTAACTCCAAATGATGTTTGACATGATACGTGTTAATACATATCTCCCCATGCCCTGCTAAGTTCGATTCTTGCAATTTGACTGCTTATGGTCTGATCCGTTGGGACTTGCCACATCGCGGAACCTTCTCTGCGTACGCGCCAGGAATGGCCGCCCGCCCTTTGCTCTGACTGCAAAGGCACTCCAACAACCCACCATAAGAGTGACCGAAATCTCAAGATATGGGATAATGCTCTTCCGACCGCAATATTCGGATTCTCCTTAGGGGGCACGGATTGCGAGAACGTTTCTCTGCTCCAGAAGCACATGAAGACCAACTTAACCCCACACGGACTCAAAAGCTAACTAGTCAGGAGTAACTAACTAGAGCGTATAGGCTACCGACAACCCAGGACCCTCCCGCCTCTTTAAGCCTATTGCTTATTTCCACCGACTATATCCCCCCTAAAAACCATCTAAACCCTTGTTAACTCCGGGTGCTGCCATCACCTGAGGCCACCAGCCTGGTGCTCTCTCTGCTTGCTTAAAGGCTGGTGGGCCTTGGATAGCATGAAACCAGATCTCCCCAATAACTAGAGTCGAATAAGTTGATCTCTACGATTCATGTTCGTCCCCCTCTCGCCTTATCCAAGAGCATTGCAGCGCGCTTCAATTACTATCGCAAAAGTCGAAAGGACAGTAATCTTTACATCATGAATGCTTCTACTGCGACGGGCGTACAATCTCACAAGGGCGACGCCGCCATCTCGAGGAAGAGGAAGATTCACAGAAAATCGCGGCTCGGATGTCGGAATTGTAAACTTCGACGCATCAAGTGCGACGAACAGCGGCCCATGTGTGAGAAATGCGTCAGCTTCGGTGTAACTTGTAACTATAACGCACTCGTCCCGGACCTTCAGCCGAGTGCAAATGTCACACATACGCTCGCCAACGACCAAACAAGCGACGAACGCCTCGTCTCAACATGTTTCTCGGCCAATAGACATATGCTGAGTATGGTGAACATGTACCTGAATGTAGACATCGAGAGCGACGCCGCGCTTCAGAGAGACTTGACTAGCAGCGACATGGACCGTTTGAACAGATTCCAAAGCAGGACCATCACAACGATGGGGACCAAGTCGACCGCTCGCCATTACCGCAAAGAGATGATACACTTGGCCTTCAATAATCGATACCTTATGCATCTGGTTCAGTCCATGACCGCCTTACATGACCGGTTCCTCGCTGGCAAGGCGATTGCGAAACAGACGCCGGACGAGAACTACCACATGGCCCAGGGACTGAGGGGTGTCCAGGCTAAACTCAGTCATCCCCTCAAAGCGGAAGATAGGGATGCTTTGTTCGTATCTGCGTCTCTGATTGGAGTCATTACCTTCTTCTACATCGAAGCAGAGTCCATGGGTGATGTCTGGCCGCTTGCCGATGGTGACTTGTCGTGGGTGAGTCTCAGTGACGGCAAGAGAGCGATCTGGAGGGCGACCAATCCTCTGCGCGCCGACAGCGTATGGCGACCGATTGCCGAATTCTACGAACGCGACTTTATGTCTGGACAGCAGGTTACCCCTGCACAGGTGTTGTCGCCCTTCGACCATCTCTGTAGTGAGAGGGACGACTCGATCGACGCTCTCACCAACCCATACCACAAAACAGCAAAGTATCTCATTTCGTTGCTGGGCTTGGAGATGAACGATGCCACCTGGATCAGATTTCTGGCTTTCATCTGTCATGTCGATCCTCCCTTCAAGCAATTACTTGAAGCCAAAGACCCGTGGGCTTTGTTGATGCTGGCATACTGGTTCATGAAGATATGTCGAGGCGCATGGTGGGCGTCAACACGAGCTGTGGTTCAAGGACAAGCAATCTGTCTGTATTTAGAGCGCCACCATGCCGACGACCAAGACTTACAAAAGGCCATTCCTCTAGCAAAGAAGGAACTGGAATCGGCCCAGAAAGAAGGCTGGGCAGGGCTCGAGGATGTCTTGTTATTTGGACCCGAATACGTACAACATGTCAAGCCGGCAGGCTTACTTTGAAGCGGATGTTTTTAGGTTAAGTGAATGAATATGCAACTTTGGTGCCGTGGCAGAAACAAGTGCAGACATTGTACTGAGTGCTGTGCGAGCAGGGTTTGCCTCAACGTCATTTCACTCGGGCCATAGTTTTCCCGACCCCGGACTTGACCATCTCCATGCCCATTCGTTCATGCTGTGTTACTTGGACCTGCTTGAGGCTGTGAACGAGCTATAATACGGATCACAAACCCAGCAATGTCGGCGTTGAAATTCGTTCGTTCCGTAAGGCTCCTAAAATGATACCGTTGCATTGCAATTGTTTCTAACATTAGCAGGTGTGGGAGTCGTTTCGAACGACTTCCGGGGTCGAGCCACGGTAGATCGCATTCCTCCTTTTATATCAACCACTCACTGAGATGATATAGATTGATTGACGCCGTAGGTTGAAATTGGTGCCTCGGCTTCGATTGAGCCACTTGTTGAACTACGTGGCAATGAGAGGCGATAACGATCTGTTCCGCATCGAGGATCTGTCTGACACATTGTTTTGGCCAGATGCGAATAACGGCTGCCGAACCAGGCAAAGTCAACTTCGAGCTACCGATTGAGAAACACCACACGAACCGATTAGGGATTTTGCACGGCGCGACGCTCGCCACGATGGTGGACACGAGCGGTTCATTAGCACTGGCTTCCCGAGGACTTTACTCGACCGGCGTGTCGACGGACCTGAGCGTCACTTATCTCAACGCTGGCGGTAAGATTGGCGACTTGATCAAGGGCGAGGTCATCTGCGACAAGTGTAAGTCGTCTAGCTCTCGCCACGGCGTCCAGGAAGAGAGGTCTTGTACTAAAGTCCAGCAGTTGGAAAGACGCTTGCCTATACCTCGGTCAAGTTCATGAACAGCAAGGATGAAATAGTGGCTCGGGGCAGCCACACCAAATTCGTTGCTCTTGCATGGAAAGATGACAGGAACATCACGGAAGACTTGAAGCCAGCAGTCAACGAGTCAAAAGCAAGCGAAGCCACCCGAACGAGCTTCGGTGGACGTAATCATGTTGTAGGCGAATAGACTGTACACGTACATACACCTGGTTCCTTACGCAGAATACAATATAGATGACATCTTTGGATGGGATCAATATTTACGGATCTTCCCAGTGGCTTCTTGCGTCCCACGGCGTCGTACAATGGTACCTCAGAGCTGCGCCTTTGACTGAGCTGCAACAAGTCGCGAGGCTGCGCAAGGCTGCGTTCACGGAAAATACTCGCTTCTACGTCAGCTCATTGGCGGATTTTCGGTGACTGCGCGCGCTCATCCACCTTTTTTGAGAATCAATATTACACGCCGGGCCTGTCTCTGAACAATGCGATGCGCCTCACTCTCATCTTGTTGAGCTGAAGCGCAGCAACATGATCTACAGAAGCGACCATGCCGCGCCAATCTAAGGCTTCCACGCGTCACGTCCCAGGCCTCCCGTCCACGGCTTTCGTCCTCGACAATGGAGGCTACACAATCAAAGCAGGCTTCGCGCCCACAGATGCAGCAGCCGCCGACGACGGCGCGGCACTCGCCCGGTGTCACACAATACCCAACGCAATTGTACGGAGCCGAGAAAGAAAGACCTACGTTGGCTCTGAGAGCGCACAAATCACACAATGGAGCGAGGCCCTGTTTCGCCGACCTGTCGAGAATGGCCAGGTGGTGAGCTGGGAAGCAGAGAAGGAGATCTGGGATCGATCGTTCTTCGACGAGAAGACGGCTGGGAAGGATGTTCTGGTCAAAAGCCCTGAAGACACGACCCTGATTTTCACGGAGCCGCCGAACAGTATGCCGGCGCTCCGGAAGAATGCGGACGAAATCATCATGGAAGAATGGGGGTTTGGTGGCTACTCCAGAATGATCGGTAGGTCCTATCTCGATTCGGGTATGTACTACTCTGTGGCCGATGGTATGCTGACGTTGATTACCAGGTCCTTCGCTGAACGCATACAATGATCTTCATCCTCTGTTTGAAGACGTACCCAGCGCGTCACACGACCCCTCCTTCGCACAGTTGCCTATGGAGTGTCTGATGGTCATTGATGCCGGTTACAGCCACACCATCATCACCCCTCTGTACAAAGGGCGGCCTCTCCATCGAGCGGTACGCCGTCTGGATTTTGGTGGAAAGCACCTGACAAACTTGCTGAAAGAGATGATTTCCGTCCGGCACTTTGATCTACATCAGGACACTAAGATCGTCAACGACATCAAAGAGGAGGTGTGTTATGTTAGCAAAAGCTTCCGAGAAGACCTCGAGAAGACGTGGAAAGGCAATAAAGGCCGTTCAAAGCCCGCTTCCGCGAAGGCTGTACTACGGGATGCTGGTGGCGGTGTCGGTTCGATGGAACTTGATGAGCGGCAAGACGACGAAATCCGCGTCGACTACGTCCTACCGGATGGCATACATTTACTCAAGGGCTTCAGTCGTCCTCACGACCCTACTCCTGCGGCGAAGAAGCGCAAACAAGCCGCCCTGGCTGGCGCAACCAGTGTTGACTCGGAGATTACAATGACTCTGGGCAACGAGCGCTTCACCGTCCCCGAGATGTTGATGTCGCCGAGTGATATCGGATCCAAGCAGCCTGGGATCCCGGATATCGTCATGCAGTCGCTGTCGGTGCTTCCTCCACTGGTGCAAGCCACGATGCTGAGCAACGTCCTAGTTGTGGGCGGATGTGCCAAGATTCCGGGGTTTGTCGAACGTATCGAGGCGGAACTCAGGGCGCAAATCAAGACGGACTGGGAGGTTCGCGTGCGCAAAATGAACGACCCCGTTACTTCGACTTGGCTCGGGGGTGCGAGGATGGCCAGTCACTTCCCGTCTGTGGTGCGGGAATACGGCATTACCAAAGAGGAGTATTGGGAACATGGCAGTGCCTGGGCCACGAGGCGCTTTGCCTATGGCAGTAAGTAGATGTTGGCTGTGGTAGTTGGAAGAACATGATGGTCATGATATCATGATGAGAATGATACTGCCCACGCGGGTTATGAATGAGGTCGATGATACCCATGCTTTTTGACGTCTGACGGTGTTGGCGAGGGATACAGTATACTACCCCCCCACCCCTGCGCCCTACTTGATGCCCTAAGGTGGTCAAGTCACTGAGACTGACGTCTTGACTACCTACTTAGGGAGGGGCGTACGAGAGGAAGAAGTCACGTCGAGAATGTCCGGGAGTGAAAAAGGCATGTTGGAAATGCTGGACTGTCGGTACATACGTAGGTAGGTACATGGGCACCTCGGTCGAGCGCGATGCTTCTTTTGCACAACGCGCCGCGCGCCCCCGGAGAGGTGTGAGTCTTCCGTCGCCGGGTTCGGTGATACTGTGTTTCCAGCCATTACCAAAGTAACATTTGGCTCAACGTGCTCTTTACGGATGGATATACGGCGGGCAGGACGCTCTCCTCTACTTCCTCACCTGCTACTTACTCGTGGGATCGAGTACCCTGTAGTCGATTGATTCTCTTCTTCACGCCGCCACAAATGCCCATGATGATCACCCGGGGGGTTTCGATCTGTCTGATTCATCATTCTCCCCCTGGAAAGGGGCATAACATACACGCCCGTCCGTCTGGAGTCGTGAGAGCCCCAACGCACACCGTCGACAAGACAGAGAGACAAAGCAACCGACCTCTTCTGATCCACGTCATGTCGTCGTTATTATCATCGTAGTGTCTGCGCAAAACTTCCGAGTGAAGGGGATCCGGTGGACCTCTTCTCTTTTTCTCTTCGGACTGAATCGATCACGTCACAGCCCCCGCCATTCAACTGTCTGTCTGCCTGAAAGTGTGTACGTATCTTGGATGTTTCCGGTGTCATTTTCAAGGCCGTCTTGGAACGTGATGCCCTCGTGTCGTCGACCTGGCTCATCTCACCGCGATGTGGCGGGTTCACTCATTGTAGGACGCCGCAGCCCATCCATCGACCACGTCACCACCACCTTTCACACCAAACTTGAAAATAAACATGGAGGGCGTTTTCTCGTATGCGTGTACCTATGCAAAGGGCAGACGCTCTGGGTTCACTGGGAGTTCACTGGGTTCACCAGGCTCACTGGGCTCACTGGGCTCACGACGGTCGACAGCGATTCAAGTGTCTCAAAAGTCACGAAAGGAAAGGTACGTGTTTTGTTTTTTTCGGCAAGCAAGTCTTCTCATTGTCACTCTCTCATCTCTCTGCTTGCTCGCTTGCTTGCTTGCTCCCTTCATTGACAAAGGAGGTTTCTCATCACCATTGTCGTCGTCGTCGTCGTTGTCATCGTCGTCACCGCCACCGCCACCGCCATCACTGGCACAACCACCACCACCACCAGTAAATGCTCCAGAGGAGCTTCAGAAGCCGCCAGCCAACCGCCACGGCCCACAGGACCCACAGGAGCGCCCACACGGCCAGGATGAACGAGTAGACCGAAAACAAAATCCCCCAGAGATAGCCGCTGATTCTGAGGCGCGGATAGCGCCGGTCGAGCCACCAGATGCCGATGACCACGGCCCAGACAGCAGGGAAAAAGCCGACGATGCACAGCAACACCAAGGACACCGGCCACAAGAGCCAAAAGAGGGCGAGGAAACCGAGGGCAACAATGATCAAAAAGATTTCAAGAATCATTGTTGTTGAGGAGGTGGTGGTTTTTGTTGTTGTTGTTGGTGGTGTTGGTGTTGGAGAGGGAGGAGGCTGTCGTTGTTGGTGTTGATGTTGGACAGGAGGAAAGTGTCTTTGCCGCTGCTGCTGCTGCTTGAGAGGAGGGAGGTTGCTGTTGGACAGGAGGAGGCTGTTGTTGTTATTATTGTTCTTGTTGTTGATGCTGCTGTTTCTCCTCGCTGGGGAAAAAAGAAAAGAGAAAGGAGAGAAGAAAAGTGAGAGAAGAGAGGGTTATTTATAGGAAAGCTGCGTGCCGAGCCAAAAACGTGGTAATGGTATGAACGATGCGCAGAATGCGGTGAGAAATGGAAAGTGTAGAGGGGAGCGTTTGTGATGGGAGCGGCAATAACAAAGTAAACACAGACAACTCCCGAAGAGAGGGTTCCCCGAAACGAAGACAGACGAGGAGATGTAAGGAAAGTAGACGAGACCAGGTAAAAATCAAGTAATTAGTATTGGATGATGATGATGATGATGAATGGTTTCTTCCTCAAACACGGCCCCTCTTTTCTTGTATAGTGTCAGTACAGCATGTCGAATGCTCAAAAGGTGGACGTGCAGTCAAACACAATAATCCAGCTGGCATCAAAGCCAGTGTTCAAGGATATCTATCGTCCATGTCGACGTAGATGTCAAAAAGGTAACCACCGTCCTGAATGAAAGTCTTTTTGTGTGTGGACATTGTGAAAACATGATAAACCCTGTTTGTTGCACCGAGTGTGGTTGGTTGATAAAACGATCCTTTCCGTCTCTAAACCCAACAACAAAAAAAGAAACTCGCTCTTCATTTTTTCATGCATACCCCCCCGGCGGAACTCATGAACATGATCACAAACGTACTCGTGAATGGTGACAGACTGATGGATCGTGACTTATCGTGACCAAGCAGGTAGGTCGTATCGTCGTCCAGGTGGGATCCTTGGCTCGGGTGGCTCGATGTTCTTGATGGCTATACGTGAAAAAAAAGAGGTACAATGTCAGACAATGTTCACGTCAACGACGATGGGGAGGAAGAGGAAGAGGGACCTCGGTGTGTCTGTGAAGGAATAAAGAGGATATGGGTAGAGGAGTGGTCATACCTGTTACGGCCCTTTTGAGCAACGATGGCTTCTTCTTTGGGTCGGCTTGAGCCCTTTCCTTCTCGCTGGCAATAGAGGAGGTGGAGATGGAAGCAGCGTCAAAAGACGTCTGGGGTTTTTCGTTGGAAGACATTGTTGAAGAGTGAGGTGTGATGTGAGATTGTAGGTTTGGTGTAGATGGTGGAATGGTCAGGGGGGGATGAGGGTATCTCTTCTGGTTGTTTCGTCGAAGCGAATCTCGCCAGGTTATGGATATTTGGTGAGAGGCAAACCACCGAAAAAGGGTGTCTTGATCTTTGGTATGATATGTATGAAGAGAGAAAGCTTCATAACTTCCTCAGGCATACTCCCAGCACACCTTTATACTTCTTCTTCGTCCTCCTCCTCCACCTCCTCCTCGGTGCTGGATCGGTCGAATCACATTGGCCCTAGCGTATTCAGGCAACAAGCATGACTATTCCACTTACCCTCTTCTTCCTGGGGACATGTAGGAGGATCTCAGGCCTTACCTTGCAGGGTAATCTCCAGGGCGTATTGTTCCCAGTGACCGGAGTGATGGGAAACCCGAATACGAATAGTGGGCCCGATTATCGGCGCACTTCACTGTGCTGCACTGGGCCCGTGTGTGTGTTCGTGTGAGAGAGGGATACATACACACCCATAACAATAATGCCCGGGACGGCTTCTGTCCAACTGGTTGCCTATCAGGGCTGGCGAGGTATCCATAAGTTGTGGAGATGGGGGAGCCCACTGCCACGCCTGAACAAGGTCCTCTTTCCCTGTAGCAACTATGACGCGAGTATCACAAACAGGTACGGTACGAAGGGGAATGTCGACGCAATGATCTGACTCATTTTGGTCCGGCCCGGTGCCATTTCTCGTGTCAGCGTGGAATCTGTGGTGGGGGGAGGGGGCAATGCAAATGGGATGTGACGGGGACGGGATGAGACCAGGACAATTCGACGCAAAGTGAAGGAAGGCGTGAGAGTAAGAGAAGCAGGGAGTAGAGCGATCCCTGGTGACTCGCGTACAACACTGTAATGGGATCAGGTTCACCATGACCTACGTACATAACGCGAGATTGTCCCGGATTGGTGGGTGGGTGAGCGACTGACTGAGCGGCAGATTGATCCACCTACAACGAACGGTAGACCGTAGTAGACCACCTTCAGTGCTAACTGGTTACATAGGTAAGAGTCATGTCTGTGTGAAAAGACTCATGCAAGCTTTTCCACTGCCGCGCCTAGAACCCCTACTAGTCAGAGCCTCGACGCACTCGGAGCTTGTCGTGATTACCAACAAAACTCGAGCCAATGGTGGTGGGCGTGGCGCATACCGCGGAGTGGGGAGATTCACAGGATCCCAATTGGCCGTTGGCCTCCTCCGTAAAAATGAATTATTCGGATGAGCGACCACGCAGCGATGGAGCCTGGAGCTAGTTGACTTGGTTGTTGTGCTGCTAGTACAGGTTGAGATATTATGACTCGGGAGCAGAGCCGCCATCATCATATGGTGCCTGCCTGAGTCACACATCTCTCCATCAGGAATGGGACTGATGAACAGCCAGACGCATGGGTGTGAAAAAGGTGACAACACGTTGAAATTCCCAGATGCCGGTTCTGGGAACTGGAACATCATTCAACCATGGCCCCGACCACGGTTGACGACGTTATTCAACCATCATGGGCACCGATCACGCTTAACGGCGTTATTCAACCATCATGGCATTGACCACGATGAACGTTATGCCATCACACTGCGACGAGTTGTGCCAGACGACATCGTTCCTCGTTCTCCTCTCCCACCACTTCCCCTGCAGCAGTAGTCTGTAGTCATTCTAACTATTCTCTTGCTTTCGAGATCGGCATTGACGGCCAGGCAGTCACAATACTTCGTCACCGGGTTGGGCCTCTGGCGACAGGCCTACCTACTCCCCGTCTTCAGCTCGGGCCACCATCATTCCCCAATGTCGCACGCAATGAATCAAAAGAGAACGTTCGGTACGAACCACGAAAGAACCTCAGAGAAATACATCATGCGCAGGCTGCTTCCTTCTGCGTCAAGCGACGGGGGTATGCTATCCACTGGACCCCGTGTAGATCAAACCACCCGAACCATTTAGAAGTGAAGGCTTATCAGAAATTGAGTATTTTCTAACACGGACAGTACGGTAACGATTCAATAGATGAATGAGTAGGAGGTACCTCACCCAGGTGGTTCAGGGTATGTAAGTAGATAGCGTCGGCGTGTCGTCCACATCAAAACAAATCAGTCACAGCTCCGTGACTGGCATCACTAACCAAAGCAGCATACTTCGCCAATGTCCCTCTTGTAACCACCATCCTGGGCGGAGTCCACGCCGCCCTTCTCCTCTCCAGCTCATCGGCGCCGACGTCCATGGAGATGGTGTTGGTCTCTGCATCGATGGTCACCTCGTCACCGTCCTTGACCAAAGCGATGGGCCCGCCGACTGCAGCTTCAGGACACACGTGTCCCACGATAAACCCATGCGATGCCCCAGAGTATCTTCCGTCCGTCACGAGCGCGATATTCGTGAGCCCCGCGCCCATGATGGCCGCGCTGGCTTTGAGCTGTTCCGGCATGCCCGGGCCGCCCTTGGGGCCTTCGTAGCGCACGATGAGGACGAGATTCTCGCCTCGGGGGATCTCGCCGCGGTTCAGGGCTTCGTTGAGCTGCACCTCCTTGTCGAAACAGCGCGCCTTGCCCGTGAACTTCAACCCTTCCTTCCCCGTGATCTTGGCCACGGCGCCCGAGGGCGCAAAGTTGCCCTTCAGGATCTGGATGTGGCCGCTCTTCTTGATCGGGTCGTTGAGGCTGCGGATCATGACCTGGTCGCTGGGCAGACTGGGCCAGCTCGCGACGTTCTCGGCGAGCGTCTTCCCCGTCACCGTCGGGATCGAGCCGTCCAGCAACCCCGCCGCGATGAGCAGCTTCTGCACGCTGGGAACGCCGCCGATCTCGTACAGGTCGGCCATCAAGTACTTGCCCGACGGCGCGAGGTCGGCGATGAACGGAATCTTGTTGCTGACTCTCTGGAAGTCGTCGAGCGTCAGTTCAACCCCTGCAGTCACGGCCATGGCAAGAAAGTGCAGCACTGCGTTCGTGCTGCCTCCCAGCGCCATCGTGATGACGAGGGCGTTCTCGAACGATATTTTGGTCAGTAGCTGCTTGGGCGTGATGTCCTTCTCGAGGCACACCTTGATGGCGTCGGCCGCTTTGGCGCACTCTCGCATCTTCGCAGGCGACGTCGCCGGCGTTGAGCTCGATCCCGGCAGCGACAGCCCCATGGTTTCAATCGCCGTCGCCATCGTGTTGGCCGTGTACATGCCGCCGCAAGCCCCCGCGCCCGGGCACGCGTGTTGCTCCAGGTCTTCCATGATCTCGTCTTTGGTCTTGGACGTGTCGCCGCCGTCGTTGGGCTGCTTGAGCGTGTTGTACTGGTAGGCGCCAAAGGCCTCGTAGCAGGTCGCGACGTTGACGGGCTTGCGGAGCGTCTTGGAGTAGCCCTTGTCGATGGTGCCGCCGTAGATCATCAGGCTCGGCCGGTTGTGGCGTGCCATGCCCATGATGCAACCAGGCATGTTCTTGTCGCAGCCCGGGATGGTGATGTTGGCGTCGTGGGCCTGCGCGCACGTCACCGTCTCGACCGAGTCGGCGATGATCTCGCGCGTCTGCAGACTGAACCGCATTCCCTGGTTGCCCATGGTGATTGCGTCGCTGACTCCGATCGTGTTGTACTGCCAGCCGAGCATGCCGCGCGCCGTCACTGCCCTTTTGACTTCGCGTCCGAGGTCGTAGAGGTGCATGTTGCACGGGTTCCCCTCCCACCAGACGCTGGCGATGCCGACGTGCGGCGCCGTTTGCATCGTCTGTCGATCCGGCACGCCGGCCCCAAAGAGCATGGCTTGCGCTCCCGGGAAGTCATGTTCGCGCGTGAGATGGGTCGAGTAGCGGTTCAACAGGGGCTTCCCATCGACGCCGGTGGTTTCGGAAGACCGTACAAATTCGAGGTACCGGGCTTCTTGGAACCCACCTTTCTTGGTGTCCATGGTGGCTAGCTGCTGGAATGGCGGGATGGCTGGATAGCGGCTCACGGAGGCCACAGATTGTTCAGGATTGCTGATTGTGACTCGCTTTTCGGAGCAGGTCGAAATACAATCCAGATTGATTTCGCTGGCAACCGGAAAATGTGCTCGGGCCCAGTATGTGGTTGGCGAAAACGGGTGAAATTTATCGAGTCAGGAACGGCGGCTTGTTTTGGGGAAGATTCTCTTTTGAAGCTTGATGAAAGCTCGGTCAATGTGTGAAAGGAATATACATACAGAGTAGAAAATAATCCAAGGACTCGTGCCACGTCAACATGAGAAGTCTTTGCTTTCTTTCTCAAGGGCGCAAAGACATGATCTGTTCCGTCCCAGACACATGTTGACTTCCCCCGCATCTTGCTTGATCGGAGTTGATGCCGGTGTTGACGACGAGCATCTCGTACCCGTATCCGTATCCCGGTCGGGAATGAGGACAATGCACCATCTCGACCAATGACAAGATACATGATTCCAATGCCCACGCAAGGGAGAAAGTCGGAAGACGGCGTCGCTCCCCGGCCACCTTCTTGTTGCTGTGAGAAAGATGAATCAATGACACCGCTTCCTTTTCCAAGAGTAATAACAACAATTCATTCTTCTCTAGGTTGCTGTTACGAAGTTCCAGCTCCAACTCTCCTGCGGCACCAAGCTTTGTGGCCACCTACCGCGCATCTTCAAGATCAGCACAGCATTAGAGAATCAATATACTAGGGAATCTGCGAGGAATCGGTCGAGACAGCCACTACTCCCAAATGCTCACGGAGTACAGAGTAGTTGCCATATTCTTTCTGTACCGACATCTCAAGGGTTTCTGATTCTCTACTCGTTTAACTAATAGCGCGAGAGATGCCTCGAGCCACGTTCCACGCTAAAAGTGACTTGAAACTGAACAGCGTCTCATTCGGTAAACGTAACAACGACGGTATTCAGAATGCAAATCTCAAAACCCAGCGCATTTCGAGACAATACAGGCCAGGTCTCCGTTCACGAGATCGCGTCAAGGAGACGACAGTCGTCCCAAATCATTGAGCCTTTTTTTTCGAGACGTTCTTCTCGATCTTATCTGCGAACTAACAACCACCTCAACTGGCCTTTTGACCTCTTTGCCCCTTCCTTCTCTCTATGTTTCCGCCTGGCCCCTCGCACGGCTCCTCCTCCTCCTCCACTCTCTCCCCGTGCGTTTGGGTATCTTGACCTCCAGTTAGGGCCCTTTTCCCTTTGCGCCATACACAAATAGACAAAAACACAAAAAGTAGTAGCCATAGTTTCGTGAATGAGAGTCGTGAAAGTTAAGATAAAAACCCTGGATGGACCTCTGCTCAGACGGATCCAAAGTAGTGGTGGTAGTAAGAGATGGCATGATAAGTCACCGCAACCTTTCGTCCCCCCTTTTCCACTCAACAAGACTTTGGTGCAAAATGCTGGGTAGTCATTGACCACAAAGCGCTAGTGAAGCCAAACATGGTTTCTAGGCCACGTTAGATAGTCGGCGCTGATAGCCTGGGAAATTTTAAAATCCAAGCTGTGGTAGAGACGGGGCAACTAGAAACACCCAAGTTAGCACAAGATGACCCTATCACCGGGCGAAGAATGATGGCAACTGACCTTCCACGATACCAGGCCCGAAGAGGACGTCCGAGTCCTTGAGAGTCCGGCCGGAGATATCGACGACAGTAATGAAAACGAAGACTTGGCCGCCAATGCCACTGGGAATGGGCACGCCAAATCCACCGCCGCCAATGACGCCCGAGTTGATGCCAACGGCGACAGAAATGACATTCAGACCTTCAACGAAAGTGACAAAGATCTCCGTGACGCGGCTGAAATCATGACGAGAGGACTTGAAATCAGGTGACAGCTTGAGTATCGAGCCTGAGCTAATCACTGAGCAGCTAGCACCGGAGCTGACACTAGCGACGGAGACTTCGGTGGCAGAGGCGACTGCACCATCGCTGCTGGTGGTAGTGGTAGAAGAAAGAGCAGCAGAATCAGTGGTAGAGGCGTTGGCTTCTTCCTGGCGCACACGGAGTTTCATTGCAGGTGGGGCTGTTGTTTCTGCTGCAGCAGATTCTGTGGTGGTGGTGGTGGTGCTGGAGGAAGAGGCAGCAGCTGTTTCGGTGGCACTGGCAGTATCAGTGGTGGAAATGGCAGCAATGTCAGCGACGGTAGTGTCCGTGCTGTCCGCCCAGGTCCTGGTGGCATAATCGGCAGTCGTGGTCTCGGTTGCTGACACAGCAGCCTCGACTTGGGAGGCACCAAAGCTTCCTACTTCGTCGAAACATTGTTGAGCATCAATCGTGAGGCTTGGGAATGCGGTGAATGGCAACGGTGGGTTGGATGGCGGACATGCGGTAATGAATTGAGCCGCAAGCGTGAAGACAGAGTTGGGGTCGAGAGGCTACCTCACATGATCAGTAAATCAATTCATAACGACAGGACTGAGCAGAATCACAGTGAAGAATGGATCAGGAGCACCGATGGCACCAAGCGAGCTTCTCTGGAGGGCAGTGTGCAAGCCTTCAGTGGCCATGATGCTGGCAGCTATGGTGAGGATATCCTTGGATCCGACAAAACCGGCCGCTCCCAAGTAGGCACTGGTGCCGATACTCTCGAGAACTGCCGAGAGGGTCACGAAGCTCGCCACATCGGTGACTGGGAAGTGGTACGAGCAGGGCAGGACAGGAATGACGCCGGCAGAAGAAATGGCAGCTTGCAGAATCTGAACATGGGTAGCTTCGTCGAAGGCGATGAATTGCAGATTGACAAAGAACTCCTCGCTGAACCCCGCGTTGATAAAGTCCTGCAGTTTGAAAGTGTTGAAAGCTTCCTGGTAAAAGGTGTTCTCGAGATGTTCAAGCTAGGCGCGAAGAGTTAGAGAACGTGAAAGGCACTGTCCACCGGAGTCTCAACATACGGTCAGGGCGAATTGCAAAATAGTGATGTCACTCTGGGAGAATTTACTCTTCCCAGAGCCATTGCCCCGGGAGGGATCCCTCTGTTCAATCGGAGCCGCCAGCGTCAAGCCGGCAAGGGAGGCCAATGCGGTGATGGTAGAGAACTTCATTTTGATGCTGATTTTTTGCTTTCTGAACGGAAGTAGAGAATACGATCCAGTCAAGGGGTGAAATGAGGGTGTCCGGCACAAGTCAAAAGAACTGAAAAGACTTATCAAAAGCCTAGCAAGGAAAAGATTGGAGGGGACTTGTCAAAAGTCTCTGAAAGGAATGAAGTCGCTTGTGCAGTGGGATGGAGAATCTTTGGAGATGGACCCAAAGGTGAATATATATACTTGCAGAGTAGAGCCCAAGATCATGGAAGTGTTAAGATCCGAAGTCTCCCATGTCAATCTGGCCGCTCGCAAATGCTCACTTACTACAAATCATGATACAGAAAGCGAGAACTTTCAGTTTCAGCCTTCAATGCAGCAAAGTCCCAGAGACCAACACCGAGAACAGTTCGGGAAGCCTCAAGTGTGCGGCTGGTGAGATATCCGGAGCAGACTGGAGTAACCTAGGCAATAGAGCGTTAGAGTCACCTAGCAAACGAGGGTTCGGCGGCTGGTCAGAGAGATCTAACGGTCTCTGGACCCAGCTCTAGATCTGCAAATTGACCGAAAGTGGCAGGCAGGGTGTTTGCCTTCTGACCACTGCAATCTGCAAGCGACGAGCAAGGAGGACAGGGAGTGTTTCTGGGAGTCGGGAACACGCCGCTTAAAGACAAGGCGTTGTCGGCTAGGCCCAAATAGGAGGGTCCAAAGCCCGAATCTGGTACTGAGCACGGGGTACTGGAACTGCTTGAGACACTCGGCCGTCTCTCGATGACTTCAGAGAGAGATGCCTCCTCCGGAGACGCGAACAACCGACAGATGGTGAGGCTGATCCAGTGTTTCAGCGACGAAAAGACGAGGAGATGCCAAGACCCGCGTCACGTGGACCAGTGCTTGGCGAGGCTTCGGATCCTTGCAGTCCCGTAAACTGCGTCTCAGCTTCGGCCTCCTGTGGCTTTGATGAAATGCCCCCTCCATGAGGAGGCGCATCGTGACTTACCCAAAGCACGCGGAGTGTATGACGCTGTTCCCATTCAAGCTCCTCCAAACCATCGCTTCTTGGATTGTCGAGGTAACAACGGGGCCGACATCTCGACTTGGTCTGGAACTGCCCGTCACCTTCCCAACTAGCACAGGGACAAGCCACCTCCTCTACGAGTACCTTGAAATAAAGTGGCATCGTTGATCGACTCTGCGGCAACTCCGTCACATCGAAGAACGGTGACGTGCCGGCGATATTCAACCCCCGTTTGCTTGGGCGACTCCAGTGTCCAACCGGCTTTCCCGTTCCTGGTTGGCTCTGCGGATCAGAGATCGCACTCGGATGTCCAAGCAGGTGCGAGATCACCTTTGGATGACCTATATCCGAAGAGTAGCTGAATCTTTCAAGCTTGAATGGACAATATCGTGGATCATGGAGTTGTCAAGGAGAAGTTATTACAGTATACGTGCCAGCTGTCATCTATACAATGCCACTTACTTCGTCATATATTGAGCAATCATTGGTCTCTTCACGTAAATTATCTGGTCCTTTTGGGCAGTTGCTGACACTTGTCGCTTCCATGAAAACGTTTGGAGACACCTGACAGACCGTGCCACCGGCCTCAGGCACGAGCCCAATGATCTCCGGGACACAGACCCCCAGTCTCAATAACAACGACGATCAGTCGAGCACGTCCCGGGAGAGGGTACGACGTTGCCCAACGAACTGGGGGCCTGTGGCCTCTGGTAGATGGCTTCATCTGTGCTCATCCAGGAACCCGATCCAGAATTGCCAGGCTATAAAAGAGGGAAGGGCTTTTGCCATCAAGTCGCAGACAAAGTCCTAGAGCCAAAATCCCAGAACCAAACTCGAAGAACCAGCCTCCACACAGCATGAAATCTGTGTCTGTCTTAAGTTTGTGCTTGGCCATCACAGGGCTTCCTGTTGCTTTTGCGCAGGACTCTGGCCAGCCAGAGCATCACCATTCCCGTCACCGAGCCATCCTCGTTGTTACCTACTTCGTCAGACAGTCAGAGTATCACTATCCCAGTCACCGAGCCATCCTCGTTGTTACCGACTTCCTCGGACAGCCAGAGCATCACCATTCCGGTCACGGAGCCGTCCTCATTGCTACCTACCTCCTCGAAAAGCCAGAACACCACCATTCCAGTCACGGAGCCATCCTCATTGCTACCTACTTCATCGAGCAGCCAGAAGAGCAGCAAGAGCGTCACCACCCCGCAACCCACGCCGACCAGCCACAGCACCACTTCTCAAGGGCAGGGAACTCCTGTAGTCACAAGCAAAGCTACGCCAATAACACAGACGTCCGGCGGATCGACGTTCACCACAGACACGACTGTGCCTGTCACGGCCTCCATCAGTTCAGCAACTTTTACTGGAGCAGCGGCCCCGGCAAGAGGAGGAGGTTCCGTGATGGGTGGGATTCTGGCGGTTATTGTTGCGCTGCTGTGATCGATCGTCCATATCCAAAAATCTCTCTGAAACTGTGCCCAGAAGATATTGGATTTGGAAGAGACGCTGACAATAAATGGCTCCAGAATATGTGTCATGGAGACGTAATATGAGGTACGGAGTGCGAGTAAAGATATAAGTAATTAGAACAGTAGGTACCTAGCAAGTAAAATAATAGGTATCAACTGAAATACAGTACAGATGCCAGAACAGAATCCCCCATTTATTATGCCTCGGATCCCATTGATTCCTATGATATGGCGCTTTACCGGAGGTGGCTTAGCCCCGATCGACAGCGATTGTCACTTGTTTTGAAGGCGCCGATGACGTTGTTGTCTCTCGCTTTGAGAAACGAAGACGATGTGCCACCATCCACCACGACCACCCAACTACTCGTATCCAGGGCTGCGCTGAGCTCCAAGCAAGCTTTGTCCCTTGTTCTGCGACACGAACTTGCCAATAAGGCGCCCTGGAACTAGACGCACAACCCTCGCTTCATTCCGGATGATCCTACATACCCACATAGATTGGCCGATGATTGGTGTGGTGTACCGCACCCTGGCCCTCATCGAGCTGAGTATGATGCCATAGCGGTGCGCGTTCAGCGAGAGACCTTATCGTCCCATCCATGGGTACGACGAGTACGTACTCGCACTCGTTAGGGTATATAGTATTTCACATGTTCCCTGTTTCCTACACTCTCCCGCTCTCTCTCTCTCTCTCTCCATCAGATATTCCAAAACAGCAACTTCCCCCACAAAAACAGCCCAAATATCGACTTGACACATACCGAGTCTACGTCTTCAAAGGACATCTTGAAACAACATGAACAACCAGGGACAAGCAGCCGGCCAGAAAGAGGACTACCTCGACAAGGGTACGTTTGCCCCTAGGATCGACGCTGTCGCCATGACCAGACGCAGGCACTGAGTGTTATTTTGGGGTGTAGGACTTGATGCCGTCGAGAAGAAGTTCGGACAAGGTACGCAGCGCGACCGTCGCACGAGATCGTCCTGTTGGATCTGCGAGTGCGCGCGGCCTACTAACACCTTTTCACCTTCTCCAGGCAAGATCGACCCTCAAAAGTCCCGCGGTATGAACGAGAAGATCACCGACTCGGCCCGAGAGATGTTTGAGAAGGCCACGGGCAAGAATGTTCCAGAGAAGGTTTGTTCAGGATCAAACTTTCATCACGACCCTCTGCGGTCGGCCATGCGAGGATGCTGACTCTGCTACAGTTCAGCAACTAGGTTACCCGTCGTGAACCGTGACTGATCGCTTGGGCGTCGACGTGGATGGGAAACTCAGAACACAGATGTAGTATTGTTAACTGAACAGAGGTCACCACCACTGTATACTTCATCGTGTCTCCTTTGACTCTTGCTCTCTTCTTTCTTTGGTGACCGGGGTTGCCTTCTTCGGGATGGTCTTTGGCGTTGGGCTTCGCCTTCGTCGTCGTCGCCGCCGCCGCCGTAGTCTACTTCTTGTTGACAATCACAGTCTTGAAAGCGGTCGCTTTGCCACAGCTACCGCGGCCCTCACCGCGACCAGACTTCTTGACCTTTTTCTTCACTAGATCCGCCTTTGTCAATCGTGAAAGAAGCCAGCCCCGGACTATGGACCGGAATGGAACAGGCACAATCGACTTTGCGGATTTTCGGCGCATAGCAAAAGAAAAGGTCTAGAGTCCAGCTTGGCTAGTGTTATACGGAGGTGACCGTAAGCTGCAGCGTGACCGAATCGAGAGGAAGCGAGGCGTGGAAGGGAACAGGAGAGGGCTAAAAATGTTCCCGCACAGAAACAGGCACGCTCCACTCAGCCGACGTAGTGAACAAAGAGAAGCCCTTGGTCACACCAACCCACCAGAGGGAAGTGTTGATCGAGGACTATTCTCTTCTTAGCCAACAAGAAAAACAATGGTGGCTGATGAAGGGGGTCAAGCAAAGCAATGGTGGTTACTGTGCACGTCAAGGGGAAACACGAGTCGAGGAATGCGGGCAATAAAACCAAACATTCCAGAGGATGGGAACATCTCTTTTCTCCCGGCTACGGGACCATACTGTCTCGTATTCAAGATGAGACTCCAGCGCAACTTTCGCTATTCCCAACCATAAAGTTAAAGCAATATACTCGTACATGAGTTCCTCATAGATTCGTCAAGTCGTAGAACATCTCCTACTATGTGCGCAATATATGGCCGCCGCGATACAACGTTGGTATATCGACGGTCTAGATGTCGAATAAATTTCAGCCGCCGAGGCCACCGCCATCAGCATTTCTCAGTTTCGCCGCGAGAGGGGTATCGTAAAAGTTGTAATAAGGGTCTGGAACGCAGAAGGAAGAGTGCCGTAGTAATGTCTCTGCTGTGGGTCTATCGCTGGGGTTGCTAATTCACCGAGTTAGCACTGAGGTAGAATTTAAGGTGGCCTCAACTTACACTTGGAAACAGTCGTACATGAAGTTCAGGCCGTCCACTGTCGCGGTTGATTGTACGTCTTCGGGAATTGGGGGTGCCTGACTGAGACTTCCCAACTTGAATATCGCGCCAATGGCTTCCTCTCGGCTCCAGGGTCTCTTGCCGGCAAACATCTCCAGAACCACACAACCAAGGGACCATATGTCTACCTTGGCGCTGTAGCCTTTTCCTTGCGATCTGACTACTTCTGGAGCCATCCAGAAGACAGATCCCTGCATGCTGTTGGTAATGTCGTTGCCATAAATGTTGTCCGATTTCTTGGAAATTCCAAAGTCAGAAATCTTGCAGGTGCCATCAAGATCAAGCAGGATGTTATCAGCTTTCAAGTCTCGGTGCAGGATTCCCTCGTGGTGAAGATAAGCCAGCCCCTCAAGGGTCTGTCGGGTAAGGGACCGCACCACCGACTCTTCGAATTTACCATGTTTGCGTAGACAGCTGCCAATAGAGCCACCGGGAATGTACTCAAGGTAGATGCTGACAGAAAACTCTTTTCGTTCGAATCCCAGGTATTGGACAATGTTGGGATGCTCCAAGTCTTTCATGGTCTCGATCTCTTGATCAAGAGCAGCTACCATTTCTTTGATACGTTCCTTGTCGTGCCCAGCGGCTTTCTGGTTGACTTCGACTTGCTTGACTGCCAAAAAGTCACCAGTCGTCGCGTTCATACCTAGATATACACGACCATAGGTGCCTTTACCAATCAGCTGGCCACGAATGATCTTAAAAGTCGCCTGTCGCTTAGGCATATCTTCAGAAGGTACTTCTTCTTGTGGTATCGGATCCAGAGTTGACAGTCGATTACCCGGCCTAGGCTTGATCTGTACAATGTTGGCTCCAAACATCTTTGTACTTTTGCGACGGACAATGCTGCTGGCATTGGCCTGTTCAACCCTTTGCGCCACCGACGGACCTCTCCTGATATCGTTGCGCTTCTGCGCCACTTCTCGAATGGACTTCATACGTGAGATGCCGCCTGCGGCCCGCTCGACTTGCCTCTGCGCAACACCCGCGACTCTGTCGCGGTCTCGGGCTTTGAGGGTAGATTCATCTGAACCTAGAGTATCAGACTCGCTCTTACGCTTGAAATCGAGATCCAAGCCCGTGGTGCCATAGGTTGTGGAAGACACTGACGCGTTTTGTCCGCTTTCGAGGGGATTTTGATCTACTGATTTCATCGGCGAGTTGTTATCACCTTTCTCTTCCAGGTAGGGCTCATCGAGATTGACACCTGGAAAGAATTCGTCGAGGTGGTGCACCACGTTCTCCACTGCTGGACGATTTGCCCATATGTCACTGATGAAGGAGTCTCTGCGACCCATCCTGGCGTCATCAGGAGACTGTGCAGAACCACTAAAACTGCTTTCAGATAGGCTGCGCTCATAACCGTCACCACTGGCTGTGGCGCTATCTTCGGCACCAGTATGGTGCATAGATTGACCACCTGACGAGGCTGGTGATTTGAATCGAACATTCTTCCCAGCATAGTGGTCTGTGTCGACAGTCAGTGCTGGTCTTTGCTCTTTGTTTCCCGTTGTTTGGTCTATATTCTTTGGCAAAGACTTATTGGTCAAGGGAATCGCGAATAAACCATCGTCCGAGTCTTCATCCGAGTCTTCCTGTTTGAGAGGATTGGGTGACGGGGCAAATGTCACGTTGGTCTCCTTAAATTCTAGGTCTGGTCCATATGATTTTCTGGTCTGCAGGCGAGGTCTGGGTGCGTCATCTGAAGGACTAATCTCACGGGAAGATGCGGACTGCCGTGTGCTGTTGATGGTAGGGGTGCGGTTCTGAGCGTCTTGGAAGCCTGTATAGCTTCGCTGGTTAAAATGACCTCCGACGGAGGCAGGGGCACCAGCCATTCTGCCAACATTGGCCAGTGCAGCTCCAATGCCTCCAGATGCGACGGCTGAGGAGCTGGACTTTTTCTTCAGTCTATTAGCTTCTTCCTCCGCGATAGGATCAGATATTTGTTTCAAGGCATCCAGAGAAGACCGAGTCCCAGATCCCCTGGCTCTCAGAGAGTTGACTTTGGCCAACGTGGTTGACTCAGACGGTGCTGTGGGAGGCTTTCGAACTGGAACCAGAGGCTCAACTTTCTTATCTTCAAATGGTGACATTCGTGGACTATCAAAGTCGATCACAGTACTTCCACGGATGCCACCACCATTATATGTGGAGCTCTGTTCCTTTTGCGCTCGGCGAGATTCTAGGTAAGCCTTGTGCTTGGCCTCAGTTTGTCGCCGATACTCTTCTGCCTGTTTCTGAAGTAGCGCTGGGTCCGTCGAGGGCTGTTCGCCCGCAGAGCTAGGAGCTGATGGATAGCCATTACGACTGACCCCGCTAGTAGAGTTCGACTTCAGCATCGGTAAGCCTTGTGCTATGTCACTTTGAGCTCTTTGGGCGAATGAGAACCCTAATCCGGTGGAAGTTGGCCCTGAAACGGCTGATAAGGTTGGGCTCTGTACATACAACTTCAAGCTTCCTGAGTAGTCGGTCCGGCTACGTACCGAGATCAAGGCGCTATCAGAAAGGGGGTTGTCATGCTCTGATTGTCCGGGTTCGGTCACGAATACCTGTGCATACTCGGCATCGGCAATTCCCAGCTCAAGACAGATGAGGCTCCGCAAGGCAACCGCTGACTCAACGTCCGTGACATCGACAAGCCGATAATTCCAGCCGTCGGGAGTAACAAAGATATATTTTCGCGAGATATTGATCGGTCGTCTTTGGGTATAAGAAGATCTTTCGTCCTCGCTAGCCACGCTAGTAGAAGAGGGTCGTTGCTGCAATGCTGAGTCGCTCCCATTCGCACTGGGTTTGGAAAATAGACGAAAACCCCCCGGACTTGTTGGCGACTCCAAAGCATGATCATCTGCAGGAGGCTGACTGTGGTCGTGTCGTTTTCTCATGAATTTGCTCCATATGCCCGGTTTCTGATCCTTCGCGCTTGATCCAGCAGGATAGTCGTTGCTCCAGGTGCGATGCGTATCAAGAGGCGAATGCCTCGACATCTCTTGGGCGTCCCGGCGATCAGCATAAAATCTTCCGGAGTATGTGTTTTCCGTTAACGCTGCACCGCTCCTGCTGGGGTCGGTGTGACTTGCGGGAGCGTTCAGCCTCGACGCCCCATTCACTTTCAGCATAGAGTCTGTGCTATTACTTTTGTTATGATCGGGTCGATATGACTGCGAGGACGTACTTGTGGCAGAGGTAGGTACCGCGCTACTAAGGCCTGGGCTCGCATTTGGCGACGTTTCAAAACCTTTTGGTAATAGACCAGTTGAGCCGTCACCAGATAGATTAGGGCTGTGACGCCCACGATTGTTGACGGTAGTCAGCACACCTCTTGTGTAATCTGCACGACTGGAACCATGAAAGCTGTCAGGTGGCTTTGCATCATTGGGAGTTGAGGAGCTACTGCTGTGTTTGCTGAAGACAGGCATTGTGCTGCTCCTATTCTGGGAATTGCGCGGAGCGAGCCCTGCGGGAAAAAGAGCTGCTGGCTTTCCTGGGCTTCCTTCAGGCCCGGAAACACTAGAAGGATTGCCGAATTCAGCGCGAGGGAGATGAGGAGAATTTTCCACTGTACCATCTGTGGACGCGCTTGGTATGATTCCCGATTCACGCCTTCGATGGCCCATGCCTGCACTCGCCGGCCCTTCACCTCCCTGCTCCACAAGCCGTGATATTAGTTTTCGCAGCCGTTTGCCTTCCTCACGTTCCCGGCCTTGGTCCCATCCGGTATTGCTACCAGAACAAACCTTGGCTAATTGAGGGTAGATGGTCTGATGCATCATTCCAAGATTGCCACGACCATTGGGACCACGTCCTAGGTCCAGAAAATCCGAGCCTTGCAACTTTAGCAGCTTGAAAGTCTCCTGCCAATCCTTTGAGAATCCGTTTGCGGCAAGCCAGACCAGAACTCTGTCCAACGGCCACTGCAAAGACAATTCGCTAGCGCCCCCTGTCGCAACGGCTGCGCTATAAGCTCGTTGACGATTGTGATCGTTGCCAGTCTGAGGATCACGTAGCGTTGCTGTAGGCGGGCCAGGAGAAATCGGTTCGTTTCCATCGCGGAGCGGCAGGGTGAATGAAGGCCTACCAGAAGAAGCAGATGATGCGCGAACCTCCCTATTGGCGATATCCGGATTTGGGTGAGTCGGGTTCGGATAGGAATAGCTGTGTGAGGTCGTGTTGCCCTCAGAATGTCTTTGCTCCGATTGCGACAGATTTGGCTCGTTTGTGAATTGCATGTCATATCCAGAAAACGAGGAGAAGTCGTCAAGAGGAGGTATACCGACGCCTGGACCAAAGGAGTCTCCAGTCGGGATGAAGGTTGCTGAAAGAATGGGCTTATCATTCTGTGGAGGAGGAGGAGGAATGTTCAAGTGTGAAGGCTGCCGCATGCCATACTGCATGTTTTGATTCTGCGACATGGGAGGAGGTGGTGGTGGTATATTTTGGCCCAACCCCGGTCTTCCCCATGGCTGTGGCTGCCATCCTCCGGTCGGTAAGCCATACACGGTGCCCAAGGGTAAAGAATTCGGGTGCGGTCCTGGGGGAGGAGGAGGGAGGGTCGATTGCGGGTGCGGTCGAGGTGGAGGAGGTGGCAGGTGGCTCAAGATGCCTTGACCTGGGGGTGGCGGCGGGCCAGGTATATATTGTTGACGTTGATTATCCATTATCTGGCTGTTCAAGACCATCGTCTGGTGCACACTGCCTTTTCCGACACAACTCCGTTTCACCTGGAGGCGCCTATCACACTTGCAAGTGTGACCTATTTACCACCAGGAGACGTAGCTAGTCACCATTTTATCCTTGTCGGCGCAAACCACCTTCAGACCTCTTCACGTCGACACTGTCGAATGTTCGCGGCGGCCAGAACGGGACTCTACTAGTGTACCGCAGTCGCTCCGAACACGGCGCTGACCAACAACCTTTTGGCGGAGAAGAACCCGTGAGGTGTCGTGGCTTTGAAGGTTAAAGGCGACGGAGTGTTGTACAGTCTAGCATGCGGTTCGCTGGCTGAGGATGGACTCGTAGTCAGAGGTCGCAGGGGTGTAACGGTGCAGAGATGGGGAAAAAGAACGCGCGGGACCCTCGTAGGCGAACGTGTTGCTTGTTGCGATGCCCGGGAGATACTCATCGAAGCCCTTCAGGCGCAATCTTGAAGGAACGGAAGAATCTGCGATGAGCGACGCATGAGAAAAGGTGAGAGGGTGTGTGAGGCCTAGTGAGCCTGTGCTCGTACATTGGCTGGTCTTCATGTCAGAGCCAATGGATGCCCGGAATAAGCGACACGAGAATAGCATCAACAACCACAAACGACCTACCTGCCTTGCCTTTATTAAGCATAGCGCACAATCGACGCCCCTAGAGACGATCGGGTTAAGCTGCCAACGCCCGTCTCGCACCCCTAAGATGTAGCCTATAGGTACTGTAGCTCACCACGCATCCCGCCCGTCGCTGCATGTGCTGTGTATACTCACCTGCCCCTAGGATAGTAGTCACTCTACCAGATACCCAAGCATCATACTCCCCAACAAGTCTGTAGTATAGGCAGCATCGAAAGGTGCCTAGTGAGCCTTATCAACCCAAGCCGCCAATACAGCCTCGCCAGAACGCTCAACCACATTCGTCTTCGCGCCAAAGCGAGGAGCTGTGCTCCCAGTAAAAGTACGGCAGAGTGTCGTGCAGCAACACGCTGTATTCAGCCCTGTATCGAGGAACGAGTGAAGGTTAAATCAACCGGCTCTTCTTCTGGGCTTTTGTAGGACTTGCACAGATAATTCCACTGCTTCTGTACGAGTACTACATCACACCATGATCTGCGATTGATCCGGCGAGAGACAATGGTTGGAGGGTCGCAAAAACAGCTCCCGCCGACTTCCACCATCAGACCACCTGCAACCATCATCCATGCCATGCGTCATTTGGCCAATTGCTTGTCACTGAGTGTACCAGCATGCCCACCCCGATTCTTGAAAATTGTCTCGGTGGCCCATGTCTAGATTGAACTCAGGCTCGCGGCCCGGGCAACGTGTTGATTACGTTGGGTTCACATGTACATGTGTATATATAGGTGGAGGACTGTCTCCAAAGATGCCCTACTCTCAACCGTCCTTCTATGCAAGAACTTTGATACCCAATCATGGCTGCTAACACTGACATTCGCTCAAGCGAGCTCAGAGAGCCCGTGGATGTTGCTACGTATCTGTTTACTCGACTGAAACAGCTAGGCATCGACTCCCTACATGGACTACCGGGTGACTTCAACCTGGTGGCTCTTGACTATATCTCCGAGTGTGGTCTCAAGTGGGTGGGCAATTGCAATGAGCTCAATGCAGGTTACGCCGCAGATGGATATGCCCGGATCAAAGGCATATCAGCCGTTGTCACCACATTTGGTGTGGGAGAGCTGTCGCTCCCTAACGCCATTGCAGGAGCGTAAGTCCTGGCCACCCTTGTCGAGGTCGCACGTGGAATCTCACTGTGGTGCAGGTATGCAGAATTTGTCCCTGTCGTCCACATAGTTGGAACACCAAGCACCATCTCCCAGAAGAATGGAATGCTGCTGCACCACACCCTGGGCAATGGGAATTTTACAGTTTTTGCAGACATGGCCGCCAAACTGGCAGTGGACGTGGCCAAGTTGACAGATCCTCGGGACATTCCAGCCCAAATCGACCATGCTCTGGCCGAGTGTTACCTCCAAAGCAGGCCGGTATACATCTCCCTTCCCACCGACATGGTTCAGAAGAAGGTCGAAGGCGAAAGGCTGAAGACGAATATCGACCTCACCCCTCACCAGAACGACCCTGAAAAGGAAGACTACGTGGTCGATGTCATCCTGAAGTACCTGACCGCTGCAAAGAATCCCGTCATCCTAGTGGACAGCTGTGCTATTCGGCATGGAGTTCTGAAGGAGACACACGAGTTCATCCGGAAATCCGAGCTTCCAGTGTTCGTAGCCCCCATGGGCAAAGGAGCCGTGGATGAGACGATGCCCACGTTTGGCGGTGTTTATGCCGGTGATGCCTCACTGCCTGGGATTCGGGAGCGAGTTGAGGGTTCTGACCTTCTTGTGAGCATTGGAGGCCTCAAATCAGATTTCAACACCGCTGGCTTCTCATATCGGACTTCACAACTACGCACCATTGACTTGCACAGCACCTGGACCACTGTCCGTTATTCCGAATACCCAGGAGTCGGCATGAAAGGGGTCCTTCGCAAGCTCACCGAACGATTGCCGAAGCTGAACGTCACACCAGGACCAAAACCTCCAGAGAACCTCGTTCCTACAGATAAACTCACAGCAGACCCGGCCATTACTCACGACTGGTTGTGGCCCACAGTCGGTCAGTGGCTACAGGAGGGCGACATTGTGGTAACCGAAACCGGCACCTCGAGCTGGGGGTTCTGGGGTGCGCGGTTGCCAAAGAACGTCATAAACATCAGTCAGATCTTGTGGGGAAGTATTGGCTATGCCACTGGTGCTACTCAAGGAGTAGCGCTCGCTGCAAAGGAGCTCGGGGGCAAGCGTCGAACGATTCTGTTCACTGGAGACGGTTCATTTCAACTCACGGCTCAGGAAGTCAGTACCATGATCCGGCATAACCTTAACCCCATCATTTTCATTATCTGCAATGATGGATATACCGTCGAACGACTCATCCATGGTATGGACGCAGGCTACAACGACATCCAGAACTGGAGGTACAAAGAATTGCCCTCGGCCTTTGGTGCCAAAGAAGGTACCTACAAGACGTACCAGGTCAAGACTAAGGATGAAGTGACAGCTCTGTTCGCAGATGAAAAGTTCTCCAGCGCGCCATACCTGCAACTGGTCGAGGTATACATGCCGCAGAAAGATGCCCCGGAGGCACTGAAGTTGACTGCGGCGGCCGCTGCTCGGGTCAATGCCGCACTGAAATGAGCCGAGTAAGGCCAGGGGACGTTTGGGACGGACGGTACATGGGTTGTCGGGAACAGTGTTCTGGGATGATAGAATAGCAATGAAATGATCTTGGATACCTGTACTCTTGAAGACCCCCAAATCCTCTCGTCGTGTAACCGGTGACATGGTGCGTGGGCGTGAGGAATGTGCAGCCGATGCTCGCCTAAAACTTCCGTCTTAGGATTCCACATGCCGTTTACCTTGCGGTCGCTTCGCTTCGCGTGCATCTCGAGTCAAGTCGCCTTGAGCCACGAAAGCACCAATCCACTATACTTATCCCTATAGAGGCGACGATGTTAGGCATCATAAGAGTTACTTGCGGCCTCCTGGGACAACCACTTGTTACTCTGTGAAGTTCATCATGTCCGGATCACCACGGCTTCACCTTCTTGTGCATGAGAATTCTCGATAAATGGTCGTCTGTCAGGTGAGCCGTAAGATGCGGCGCCTGTGACTCTAGCATCAGATCAGACGAATCTTGGTCCATCTTTGCATACAGATGGTGCGATCAGTGCTCACAGATTAAAGCGGTCCGCTGGCCCACGCCGCAGCCTACATACAGACAAATAGCCTTGTTCCCAGACCTAACGCCGAGCACGCAAGCCTCACAGATTCTCGATTCACTATGGCAAGCCTCGAGGATACCTCCAGACGGAGAGATACCTCCCAACGGACCGACGGTCACAAGCCTCAAAAGCGCAACCCGCGTTTTCCTCGACTGCCCTCTCCCAGCATGCCCTCTCGGCTGAACCTGGGTGCAGATGCCCACGAGGATGTGACAGCGCCATCAAGAGGAAGAAATGCCCCGGCACAATACATGAATCAGTCCATCTTCTCTATGATCGCTGCAGCGGGATCGCGAACAGATTTCAATGCCAGATTTGACGAGTCTAGTGACAGTGAAGAGGAGGCGGCCCAAACAAAGCCGTCATTTGTTGGCAGCAAAGAAACATCCGTGAAGGAGAGACAAACAGCGCCAGCTACCGAAGCAAAAGATGACTCCCCGTCCTTCATGAAGAGAAGCAAGTACCCTTCACCAGATCACCTGTCCGAAAATCTCCCGCCCTCCCCAGCAAGAGCACCAAAACCTAAAGACAAAGACAAAGCATCAACTCCACAACCAGAGTTAAGCCAAGAGAGTGACTCTGCCTCAGATTCAGGGAAGAGCAATCCAAGAGACGCCCCTGTTCTCAGTAGACTGTTGACTGCCGAGGCCGAGTTCACAGAAGGCGATGACCATCCCCCGAGTATGCCACCCTCCGAAACCGTACCCGAAAGCGTTCTTGCTACACGATTGATGGAGATATTTGGATTTGACGCTCCAGAAAAAGTGGTGGCAGAATACCCATGTTGGCTACTTCAAAGTGTACTTCTCCAGGGCTATCTCTACATAACTACAAACCACATCTGCTTCTATGCATACCTGCAAAGAAAATCACATAACGTCACCAAAATCGGCTATTTAGAGAAGAAAGGTCGGACAACCTCGAAGTATAAGAGATATTGGTTCTCATTAAAGGGAGATGTGCTCTCATACTATTCTGATCCCTCCAACCTTTACTTTCCATCCGGCAATATTGATCTGAGATATGGCATATCTGCGCATGCCTCCTCAGAAAAACGCAAACAGAAAGAATGCAAAGATTTTTGTCTGACGACCGATCATCGCACATATCACTTCCGCGCAGATAGTGCTTCAAGTGCAAGAGAATGGGTGCAAACATTACAAAAGACGATTTTCCGGTCTCATAATGATGGAGATAGTGTCAAGATATCGTTGCCAGTGCAAAACATCATCGACTTTGAGGAGAGTCCTGTGGTCGAATTCGCCGAGACGATCAAATTCCGGGTACTAGAAAGCGAAGACGCATATGCTGTTGGGGCTGTGGACGAGGTGAGTGGTTACGATGCCAGTGCCCATGTGCAACTGTGCAACTGTACTAAGTTTACATAGTATTTCTTCTCCTTCTTCAGCTTCGGACAAGATGCGCTGCAGAATTTTCGCACTCTGTTCCCAGAAGGAGATGGGGCGAGAACTTCTGATGAACTATTATCTGGAACTCGAAAGGATGTCAGCACGTTCAGCCCACAAGGCAGACTGAATATGCGCAACGTGTCTCCACGCCGAACACCCGATAACGAACCAACGAAATCCTCCCCTGCCCTCCAAGAGAACGTGCGAGCAACGCTCTTGGCACATCCCGCTCTGAGAAGCAGGGACATCTCTCCCAGGATGAGTGGCGAGTTTTCTCACGGTAATAGTCCATCGCGTTCAAGTGGTGAGTATGGCCGAGGCAGCTTCGAACGAGGCCGCAGAAGCGGAAGCACCAGTCGACTTGAAGGGAACATATCCAGAAGGAGACCTGATTCGTCTTTTGCTCATCATCATGACTCGGAGGATTCGTACGTTCATTCCATTGACAAAGAGACCGATTCGTCTACAGCACCACTGTCTCCGCGAGCCGAAGCACAGATGTCGGCCAGCCAGATCCTCGACCGCAGCGATCTGTTCCACCCACCTATTATCCAGCGGATGACAACACTTGCATCTATGTCCTCTGAAGCCAACTCCGAAGGTGGAACAGTCCTATCCAGGTCGCACCCCAACGACGCAGCCTCACCCATTCCCGTTCGAGGTGCTGGTACTCACTGGAAGAACAAACACTCGATATCACAAGAAGAGGGCGTCGCGCATACCAATACACCGCCAACGCTACAAGACTTTGTCCGAGCTGGTTCATCTCGCCTTCAACGTGCAGGGCAACTCGCTGGGTTTCTCAAAAACCCGTCTAAGTCAGTGCTAAAGTACTTGCCAACAGAGCCAATGTCATACATCGAGAAAGTATCGGACATGTGGACAGGGGATAGGAAACATTATGGTGATAACGAAGGTGTTGTACCTGGCGACAAGGGCATCGATCCCGAGGATGAAGAAGCGAACGTCGGCCACGGAGACCGCTTTCGCGCTCATTTCGCTCTCCCACCTACGGAAAAGCTGCGTGCCACCTATTTTGCTTTCCTGCACCGAGTACTTCCACTCTACGGCAAGATCTACATCAGCAATCGCAAGTTCTGCTTTCGTAGCCTCCTTCCAGGTACTAGAACAAAGCTTGTTCTCCCCCTGAAAGACATCGAGAATGCTACCAAGGAGAAGGGCTTTCGTTTCGGGTATCATGGGCTAGTGCTGGTCATTCGAGGCTACGAAGAACTATTCTTCGAGTTCAACTCGAGTGACCACCGAGATGACTGCACCGTGACTCTGTTACGAAGCCTCGAGAGCGTACGAGATATGGAGGAGTCCGGCATGCTTGCGAAAGAGGAGGAAGACGACGCTGAGGCTGCCAAGGAAGAGCACCGGATGCTACAAGAGGCGCGGCGGAGCTCGACTGGTGATCACCAGCTCGCGTTGCCTGATACAGCGGAAGCCATCTACAGCCATGAAGACGCCCGGCCTGTATTGTTTGAGGGGCCACGAGCGTCCATCTCTAGCTCCAAACCTACCACGCCGTTGAAGATTACGTGTCTAACGATTGGGTCTCGAGGAGACGTGCAACCATACATTGCCCTGTGCAAAGCGCTGCTTGCCGAAGGCCATAAGCCCAGGATAGCCACACACGCAGAATTTGGCCCTTGGGTGCTGAAGCATGGTATCGATTTTGCCCCGGTCGAGGGCGACCCGGCGGAGCTCATGAGAATCTGTGTCGAAAACGGCATGTTCACCTATTCCTTCCTACGAGAGGCATCCGCGAAATTCCGCAGCTGGATTGACGAATTGCTCAGCTCGGCATGGCAAGCGTGTCAGGATAGCGATCTCTTGATTGAGTCGCCCAGTGCCATGGCTGGCCTCCATATTGCGGAAGCGCTCAAGATACCGTACTTTCGGGCCTTTACTATGCCATGGACTCGGACCCGGGCATACCCTCATGCATTTGCTGTACCCGAGCACAAGATCGGTGGCGCGTACAACTATTATTCGTACGTCATGTTTGACAATGTGTTTTGGAAAGCCATTTCCGGACAGGTCAACCGATGGCGCAAGAAGGAACTGGGGCTACGGAGTACCAACATGGACAAGATGCAACCCAACAAGGTGCCCTTTCTGTACAACTTCTCGCCTCATGTGGTTGTACCGCCTCTGGACTACCCTGACTGGGTACGAGTCACAGGTTACTGGTTCCTCGACGAAGCACAGACTTGGACGCCACCAGCCGAGCTCCAGAGATTCATCGAAAAGGCCCACAAGGACGGCAAGAAGCTGGTGTACATTGGATTCGGGTCCATTGTGGTCTCCGACCCGGCGGCGCTGACCAAAACGGTAGTCGAATCGGTCCTCAAAGCAGGCGTGAGATGCATTCTATCTAAGGGATGGAGTGACCGCCTCGGCGACCCGACGGCAGTCAAAACCGAAGTACCTTTACCGGCAGACATTCTTCAAATCAAGTCCGCGCCACACGATTGGCTGTTTAGACAGATCGATGCCGCTGTCCACCACGGAGGTGCCGGCACGACTGGAGCAAGTCTCCGGGCGGGGGTACCCACCGTCATCAAGCCATTTTTCGGGGATCAATTCTTTTTCGGATCGAGAGTTGAAGACCTCGGGGTGGGCATTTGCATGAAGAAGGTCAATGTCAGCTTGTTCTCACGCGCACTCTGGGAAGCAACCCACTCGGAACGGATGATTGTAAAGGCGCGGCTTCTCGGAGAACAAATCCGCAAGGTAAGTTTCGTGGCTTTGGGGTCTCTCGGAGATGGAGGGCGAGCTAACTCTGAGATAGGAGAATGGAGTGCAGACGGCAATCCAAGCCATTTATCGTGACTTGGACTACGCCAAGTCCATCGTGGCTGAAAGAGCGAGCAAGCAAGGAGTTCCCGCTGACGACAGCGTGCCTCTGGACGAGGGCGACAATGAAGAAAGCTGGACTTTTATCGGAGATGAGAGTGACCCTGAGCTTCAGAGACAAGTGCAAGACTGGGAGTCACCGATTCGAGTGAGCGTGGGCCGGGCCAGCCTGCGCAGTATGCAGGGAGTTGAGCCGGTCAGGAAGAGCAGTGTGAGATTATGAGAGGGACTCGAGAGCGGAAAGGACTTTCAAGAAGAAGCTTCTCTCGATCAGCTGGTACGCCGCACATTGTGGTTACTTCCTGAGGGGCGAGCGACATGAAGATCCGGGGTGCGTGTTCATGTGCAGGCGTATGAGCCCCATGCCTGCTGAAGCGTGTTTCCTTCTGACGGTATTTGATTTATTTCCCCTATTGTTTCTCTGTGGCTTGAACGGGTAATTGAGGGCTTATGAGACAGGAGGCTTTTGGGGTTGATGATGGCGATCATGACAACGACGATGATGATTGATGGGTGAAAGGTTTCACAGTGGCGTTTCTCGAAGCGAGCTATCATAATTCAGAATTGCTAATGCCACTTTACGACGATGGGAAGTACGAGAAGGTTTAATTTGAGACATGATTAGACATGGGTAGACCTAGATAGGGATCCTATTGTCTCAAGCGAGACGGTTAATGCAGAGTCCCCAGTTGTGAGTGAGTCTCTCCTTGGACAGAGAGGACTCTCAGTCACTCCGGTGTACCCAACAGTAATACTGTGCCTGGGTCCTTTGCTGGTACTATAGGGTGGATTGAAAAAGGATATCATATACCCGACAGAGGGCGCAAGTGTAGAAAAGTGCGTCTCTTCTACGAGCAGTGAGAGGGTGGGCAGTGGGTGGTGGTTGGTACGGAGAAGATATCCAGCAACCTTTCTTATCCCTAGTTAGAGGGCCAGACATTCCGATAGGTAGCTAGGTAAGTAGTATCCAGGCATTTTTATTGTTCTCTTTGGACAGGCATCACATTACCGCCGAGTTTTGGCATTTTTCATAGTGATACACAAGGTAAGGTACGTACAGGTAACGATCGCTGCGGCCCAAGGATTGGGTGTTCTGGATACGATACGAGGACGAGACGGACACCGGAACTTGGAGGATACCTCAGGTAGCAACAGGTAGGATACGAAGAAGACAGGTACCTTAGCTCGAGTACCTATGGAGTACCTACTCACCTAACTAGTTAGGGGGAGACGGAAACAAAATCCAGAGGGAGGAGACTGGAATTGGTTGGGTAAGTTTAATAGTTACAGTACCTGGATAGATGCCCTGTAAGCTCCTCGTAGGTACCTAACGCCCGCCCTACAAGCCCCCTAAGGTGCCTAAGTAAGTATCTCTAGCCGGGCTATTTGCTGGGTTTTCCGGTGGGCAATAGGTACTCGTACTTATTAAATTTAGTACGGTAACGGTACAGCCCTACAGCCTCAAAGCTTCAACCATCTGTCGGCTACATTTTCCGACTCTTGGAAGCATTTCTTTATCCACTTATACAGGTACTCGTAGGTAATAACTCAACCCTCAGGTGATGATGATCTCCCTGCTGAGGCTTCTGCGTGTTGGTCACCTTGATCTTCTTCTGATCTTCTGATCTTCTGCACATCCGCCCACTGCACGCACTCACAGTCTCACTCTCTCTTTGACCATGACTCTTTTCTTTTCCCTGAATCACTCCATCCTTGTGAGCAACATTATTCAATGCACGTCGGATGTGAGCGGCCTTCTGTGACCTGTCGCACCCGGCAGGACGGCAACGAAGAGCCACTAAAAGATCACCCGCCGCCATCTCCGACATCCGTTAATTTCCAGGTGGCTTGTGGTTACAGCTGGAGAATCTGCCTTAGGGAGTCTTAAGTAGCCTTAAGTAGCCTTAAGCAGCCTTAGGCCTCGATCTAGGTACAGCGTACCGTGTTATTATCGCACTTGGCCTGTGCCCTCCGTACCCGCCACCCCGTGGTCACCGGAACTGGTCTTCCAGGGCTCCATTCGCCCCCTTTACTCGCCCGGAGGAGGGAGCATCTTATATTACGAGTGCACTTGTACCGTTCCCTGACGAGAGGACGAGACAGCCCACGGCATGCCAAGGGTTCGCCGTAGCTCAAAGATCTTAGATGGTATTGTAGAGTGAGAGCCAAGGAGCCGTACGGAGTACTGTAATACCAACTGCCGTAGGCTACGAAAGACCTACAGTTCCTTGACGAGCCACTATTGTCCCACCGCCGCCACCACCACCACATAACACCACCACCGACTACTCCGTACTGATTGCGTCTCTTCCCAGCGTCGTTTTCCTTGCTCCGAGTGCCTCGTCTGGAGAAAAGTCTAGACAGCGTCCCGGGTACTTGTTAGCACGAGCACGAGTACCACACACACCTTTCCCCATCATTCCACCGCGCTTCACGTTACTCCACCACGGTGATCCGAAACTTCTGGGTTCTGCCACACGACAGCCAGAAAAACTTTCCCTCCCCAAGTTAATCCCGGCTTGCCATCGCGTGTATTATTGTTGTATCGCCCGACGAACCCCCCTCCCCCCTTCGCCTGCTCCCGAGATCGTGTCCTGGACGGCGCAAGGGTTATTTATTTATCCTTCCCATTTGCCAAGTCATCCGGAAAGCAGAAAAAGGCAAAAGGTGCCTTCGCCTTTCCTTTCTCTTTTCGAGAAAAATCACTACTCTGGACTTTTGACCCATTCTCGACTCTCTCCAGCTTTCATGTCCGTGTGACCAGAAGGTTCCTTCAGATCGAAGGCCACCGACCCTTTCGTCTTCGGAGTTCGGCATGAACCCGTCCACCACCACCACCACCACCACCACCAGTCTGTCTCCGCCAAACACGCCAGGGAACAGCAGTCTTCTCGTCGCCCACCCTCACCCCAACAACGGCGTCGCCTCGCTGCCCATATCGCGCTTCATCAATCCAGCATGGGAGAAGCCAGAAAGGGCCCGCACCAGCCATGCCTGTGAGCCGTGTCGCGAGCGCAAGACAAAATGCGACGGCTCTCGCCCAGCGTGTCGTCGATGTCTGCACACGGGCACCACCTGCTATTACGGTTATGGAAAAGGATGGCGGAAACGAAAGTGAGTGGCCTTATGGCGAGCCGTCGCTGAACATGCTAACTTTCTTCGCCCTCTGTAGGACCGCCGAAGATCTGACTGCCACCAGTAGGCGCCTGGCCCGGTATGAGAGTCTACTCAACGACATCTTGCCCATGGTGTCTCCCGAGGTTCGAGCCCTGATCGACGAGGCACGTGAGAATGTAAGTCCCCCTCGTAAAGCCCGTCCGGCGCCGCATGCTTACAACCGCCAGGACACTTCGAATGGATCAGAAACGAACGACAACGACTATAATCCTGGTCCTCCACGGCTGGACGGGAGTATTTCGGGAGCTCCTGGCGGTCGCATCATACTACCGCTGCCAGTCCCCAGTCCCCATGTGCCCGGGGTGTCGCGGTCATCGACATCGTCGAGCACTTTTGAACCTGCTGGGCCGCCAGCGACACTTTCCACCGCCAGTTCTCAAACGTCCCAGCGGCTCTCACCCGACTCTAATCAACTGACACGTCTCCCGTCCATCACCGCCGGTGGCATTTTGATCGAAGAGGAACGCGCCGCCGACTTTTCACCGCCCAAGGCGCCGGGTGTGGACACGAGTGCAATGCCTGGCCTGGAACGGCTGGTGCCCCTGCCTACGTCTCCCAGTCACTCTCCACATGGAGGTTGGTCTACCGAGCCACCCCTAGGGCATTTCCTTGCTGACAATCGGACAAGACGTGACGCGACCTCATCAGTTCTCCCCTGGTTAAAGACCAATGAAGCCACCGTCGACCCCCATTGATACATGAGATATGATGGATCTGGGTACTACACAAGCGACGCGAATTCGAAGGCCTATGGCGCGGACAGTAAATCCGACTGCGTCCCCTCAGGGTGGTTTTCTTCTTCTAATGCACCCCCCCTTTCGAGAAGGCTCTGACTCGCTCTCCGCGCAACAAAAGGAAGAGCGAGTCGCCCTCACAGCTACCCCGTACACACTAGATCCGATGACGAAGTTCCATCCTTCGGAAGCAAGCAACCCCCTCTTGCATCAAAAGGACCAAAAAAAAAAGTAATTGGAATGGACTAGACCAACCATGGCCAGATTCTCTGGCACGAAACGGCCGATGATCATGGTCTCGACTGGCGAGCTGCCGTCAGCAGCGACTACCCCTCGGCGCACAGCACGATGGACCAGTAAAATTCATTGATTTTATACCCGGCTCGAGAAGATGGCGTTTCTCGCAAACCTGCATATTTCTTCGCTACAGTTACTCAATCGTTCCAACCAAGAATTCCTCGCCGGAGCCTGCGAAGATCTTCGTCTGGACCCTGATTTCGATTTACAGTAGGATTATTCCACACACAACGAAGAGAATGTTACTCCGTAGCCTGGAGCACTAACTAGGGACCGGGGCAAGGTCACGACTGGATGGATTTGCTGGGGGTGTTTTGTGGACCCTGGACTTATATGTACTCGTATGTATGGTGGCCGGATCAGCGCTGCGAGACGGCACGGACTTGACTTGGCTTGGCTTTTGGGGCTGGCCCTTTGACCCCCTTTGACCCTGTCTTCGGAACACCAGCGCCGCCGCTAGAAAAACACCCGTCCAAACTGGACAGCGGGGGGATCATTGGCCGGATCGGTGAAATTTGCCCTCGGTCATCCAAGGCCTCTGGAGTGACGGATTCTTCTTCCGTCCGGCGCCTTTCCATTTTCACGTCATCCTCCTTTCTGACAGGTCTGGCCCGGACTGTTGTGCTACGAATACGAGAGCGTACGTACGTACAATAGGTCTGCCGAAAGTGCCCTTTCGTCCATACCGTCTCGATAAACTCCTGGTATGGCGGAGTATTGATGGACGAAATGCGGAATTTGGTCTTGTGCGCCTCGACAGTCCTGGACCGAGGGAGCAACGAATGGCTAGGGTGAACCTGGAAAAGCGCTTACCCTTCACCAGTCGCGGGTTGGGGCTTGTTTGTCATGGGTAGTCCGGGTCGGTAGAGTCTAGAACCCAAGCACCAATTCCTACTGTACGGGACTAACTAACTAGTTACTTGTACAATAGGTACCTGGTAAGCTAAGGGGAGGAAACTCCGCAGGCACTTTCTTTTTTATCGTACTCTTTTCCTTTACTGACATACTTCGGACTGCAGTCTGTACCTCCCGACCCATGGATCGTCTCGTCTTGACAAATACTTATCGACACGTACTTGCAACTTGTACGGTATGTAATTGCTACATATGTTATCGACGTCCCGAGTGCAGCTGACCTGCACTGTAGTTAGTATGTACGCCAGACCAGACCATCGTTTGTCAACCTCGCCTATCACATTTGACCCCAAACCTCCATTCTCGGGCCTATTCGTTTTGCGCGCCCGCGACGCATTTCCCGCCCTGCGAGAAACTTTAGAAACAATGGCCATTCTTTTCAACTGTTTTTTCCCCATCATTGTCTGCAGCATTATCCAGTGAAACTTCCGGTGTCATCTCGAGTTTCGCCCTCGGGAGCCAGCGCCCACCCCCATGACGATCAGTCGTCAATTGCCGAGGTGTGCGACGGATTTCCGTTTTTCGTGCCCAATTGCCGCCCGCCCACCCGATCATCAAACAAAATTCCGCTCTTTGGAAATCGCAAGCCCGCAAAGCTCGGCTTCCCTCGAAAGGCTGGTGGTTACTCGTAATGGTCGTTTGGTTCGTTCCCACTCATACGAGGTAGTTGTTCGTGTTGAGTGCCGATCATCAAAGTACGAGTACAGTACCAGAAACTTGAGAAATTGATTAGTCTATTACCTCGTACTCGCCAAAATAAAAGCGTGCTAGAGCCTACGATATAATTCATCAGCCTATTTACCCTCTGGGCTCCCTAGTTAATTAATGCTGGCGGTGGCCAGTGATTCGAACGGAAACTCATAGCCGGGAGATTTGCCAGTCAGTGAGTCGTACCGAGTACCACTCGTAAGTCAACAGCAATGGTCACCTGTCTAGGTAACCGACTACGTACATAGGTACCAAATGGACTGACTGACTGTAACCTGAGTGCGGCGCCAGAGCCAAATGTAAAGAACGGGATTCCCGTGTCAGTTGTGTCACGCCATCAAAATGCCAAAAACTCTGTCAAAGATTACATACACTTATACAGTATGTACGACTCGTCGAGTACGGAGGAGTAAACAATGAAGAACAGCAGGTTACATAGGTAGCGAGATCGGCAATCGGTTGACCACCACGGGGTACGGATGGGATTCTCTCTCTTCTTACAAAAAGTTAAAGTTGTCACTCCGTCCTGGCTGGTGTCAAACAATCTCATCTCGACCGAGGGGCTACAACACAAAGTCAAATCTCGCAACTCGGAGGCACGGATACGAGTCGCCTCCCTGGTGGTTCTCTGGGTAGGTTACCTACTACCCAAAATTGTTGTAGGGAAGGTATAGTACCCACCGAGCCGTCACCACCTACGGCACAAACAACCCAACCCCAGATACTATAATAGTTCTGAGTCTCCGAGTGTTCACCTCATTTATTACGTACACGACAAAGTCCCGCGTAGGTCTTCTTTTTATATGTTAAAAACAAAACAAAGTTTTTATCCAACCGAATTCTAACCTTCCCCGTACAGAGAGTCCTCGTCTGTACGTACTTACATACTTGAAAAAATCAATAGTATTCGAACGAGGCGATCCTTTCCTTGGACAACACCCACCAGTCAGTCCCCCGAGGTACGGATCACTAATTTTTTTTTTAGTTTACCCCGTGGTACATCCCCTGACTGTTGTATGTACAGTAAGTAAGTACTGCCTAGTATCTGGTGACAATAAAGAAGAAAAAGAAAAAGAAAAAGGGAATCTTTGACGGCAAACCAAACTACCGTCCCGTCTCGGAGAAGGAAATGATATTCGCTTCCCAACAACCATGTCTTTACGAAAAAGTAAATCAACCCTGGAGCGTCAACTCTAACATCCACCGTTATCGCGAGGGGGGAGGGCCAGTGTCGACTGTATGTGTGATCGGTTGATGATCAAGATGACGATGACGATGGCCCGACCCAACATAAAAACCCCATGGAATGAGAACTTTGTTCCGTGATTTTCTGCGACTTGACCGACCGCCGACGGGAAGGGCAAATCTTGACATGGTCGAGTCGAGTCGAGTCTAATTGAGCCCCATGGACGGCAATAGTGACAAATAATAAAACTGACAATGGACACACGAGGGCGGGTGCTCTAACTCGGAATTCCCCCTTTTTTTTGGCCCTCTCTTCTTCACAGCCACAGACTTCTTTCGACTACGGTTCGAGCAAATCCTTGTACGGGGTACTTTGGACTAAACATTTTCCAACTAGCTTTGAACCTTAAGCGGCGGGCAACAACAACAACAAGCATTTGCAGAGCGGGAGAGAGAAAGCAAAACAGGGAGAGAAAAAAAAACAGTCGACAAAAGTTATGTATGCATCTACAGTACCGAGTCAGTACAGTGTACTCCGTACTGCATACGAGAAAAGTCAGGCCACATGGTTTTTTTCTGAGCTCTCTGAACTTCTTCCCCGTTGGGTACATACACGCCGATTGCCGTCAGTGCATCAAGGTAGGTGACTCCGGATCAATGAGGTTTCAACAAGTAGGCCATGATCCCATTTGTCTCTTTTGACTTCTCCGGTTCGCCGAGTGCTCCACGACGCGCGCGCAGGGGATTCTCTTACTTGTCGTCGTCTCGGGCTACACTCTCGCAGCTACCCAAGGCGTCTATCTATCTATCTATCTACCTACCTACCTACCTACCTACTCACCTACCTGTGCCTAGGTGGTCGATCCCTCGATACGAGTGCGGGCAAGTGTACAAAGACAAGGGGGGTTGCCCGGTATGGAATACTTGTACTCGTTACCTAGTGGGCAGGTAGGTAGGTAGGTACAGAAGGAACAGTAGGTAGGTACGGGTACGAGTACTTGTGAACAGAGGGTTCTGTCGTGTTTCCCGACTTGTTCACACAATACCCCCCTTTTCTTTGATGTTGCTTTGACCCTACAGGGCCCCTGAATCGGGCAGGAACCTCAAACTCTGTACCAGACTTTCCAGCTTCGCCTTGGACCTTCCTCATATTGTCAGGAGAATCCCTATCCCCCTCCACAACAATTCAAGTCGGTTCATTAAGTTCCCCCGTTCGGTATTATGTCCATGTCGGAAAAGGCCAGATCCCAGTCCGTCCAGAACATGTCATTTGCCGGAAAATCGAGTGTGTTTAATAATAAACCAACTGTTCCAATGTCTGGTTCGCTCTCAAATCCATCATCGCGCGTGCCTGGTGGGAGTGAGGACAGTGCCATATTCGCGCCCACGACATCTACGTCCGTTCCTTTCGCGGTACCACTACTCGCAGCAGAATTCGTTGACTGGTTTCTCCTGTCATCGATTTCAACTCTCGTTGTGCCGTCATCACCATTATCGTCATCGGCCGTGATGTTGATGTTGCTGCCTTTGCTGGAATAAGGGTACTTCTTGCCCCCTTCTTCGCCTTCAAATCGTGAGAGGGCCGATCTGACGATGTCATAAGCGAGGTTCTGGCTCATTCTTGAGCGCACCTGTCGTCCTCCTGGTCTCGATAACGACGACGAGGTTGCTTCGGTTCCGGCTGCATCAAGTCGTCGTTGTCCCCCTCCCCCTTTGTGGGCTTCACTGTCCGACGGCAATCGACACACAAACTCGATAATATCGCAGATTCGCGAGACGCCATCGTGTTTGAGAGTGGTTCTGTCCCCCTTTAGGACCGTGAGACCCTTCCGGATCGCATTGTCAGCAAGCTTGCTTCCACGAGCCGGAAATGATAAAAAGCGACTCAGTTTCAAAAGGTACATGATGGCGTACACCAGGGCTGCTCTCTCGAAACCCGTCCACGGTCGCCCAAGGTCCACCGTGTTGTCCACAAAGCTGCTGTTAGTGTTTTGCAATGAAGAATTATTTCCACGGGGAGGGACGCTCTTCGGAGCATCACAGACCATGTCAATGGCAGAGGTCGCTGCCGAAAACGCTCGCGAAGCCATAAAAGCCACTCTCTCGCGCTTCATAGCTCCGAGGGGGTCGACGCTCGATGAATCCTCCTGGAGAGATGTCACAGAGAAGGAATAGAGACGGAGTCTGGTCCAGACGAAGAAGATTCGCACTGTGGGATCCCACTCGTCCCAAAATCGGGCCTCGAGAGCGTCCAGATCTGCTTCAAAAACCGGCATTACCAGATCTGACTCGGGGAAAAGGCCGTCCGGAGTGCCGTCGAAATGGCCCAGGGTATGGGTAAATGAGGATGAAATGATAGATATATTGAGCAAGTGTTTCAGAATGACGGGTAGCTGCTCTGGCCACTCTCTCAAGGCTTTGTTGATGGTATGGTCGACCTTTATCGTTGCAGGAATTCCTAGAATGCTGCTCACGCTGTTTCTCCCCAATCAAACACACATGCCTCAGTGTCAGTATGATTTGGATCTACGCACAATGGCTTCCTAGGAGGGAGCAAACGAGAGTTCTGTGATGACATACATTTGGTTGACGATAAAGCATGCAATCCACGTCTTTTGACGTGTCAGGATTGCCTTTGGGTTCGGAAGGCTCCAATTGACAAAGTCGGCCAGAAAAGCCGGTCGATGCAAGCCCAGAGCAAGAGCCTTGTGGACAGCCGCTCCACAGTAGAGCCACGACGGGTCTTCGCTCGACGCGCTGTACGGAAGCGGCCAGTACGACAGAATCAGAAGAGCATGGATGAGTGTCATGGATGGAGTTGCGTTCCGAAACAGCTCGCTCCCTGCGAGTCTTTTGATCGCATCAGTCAGCCCAACAGCCAGGTCACGACGAGTGATGCCGACGACGGCCCAGAAGAGCAATGGACACGACTGGCAGTCTTTGACGACAGTTGTGATGTCTTGGAGGAGAGGGAAAAGCAGGTGGTGGCGAGAATAGTACCTATCGGAAGAGACCAAAAGTCAGCAAGCAAGCAGACAAACAGAGCAACGCGCTGGATTTTGCGTTTATCAGAGAGAGTTGTTTTTTACTCCAAGAAGATGACACAAGCGTCGTCGATGCTTATTGCCGTGGTTTCAAGAACTGGGCCGGATCCAACAGAAAAGAACTCGATGGTCGACAGCAGCAAGTATAGTTCTTCTTTGCTCGGTAGAACCTCATCCTCGTAGTGGTCCTCGGCTGCTGCTGCTGCTGCTGCTGCTGCCGCCGCTGCAGGGTCGCTTTGATGGCCGGCACCCTCGCTCGCGGCGGTCTGGGCACCTGACACCATGATTTTCGACGTCGATGGAGAGCCGAATGCCTCTCGAATGCCTTGGACCTCTCTTTCGAGCGTGTGTAGCCGACTGTGAAAGCGACCCACAAAAGAACGTCGTTGGCGTTAGCAAGCAACTACCTCAAGGAAGAAGAAGAAGAAGAAGAAGAAGAAGAAGAAGAAGAAGAAGAAGAGCCACAAAGAAGTCTGTCACTGACTCTCTCACTCCGGTCCGGTGGAAGTCGGGGTCGACGACACAGCTTCTGCCAATCTTTGCACACCTTGAACATGCTGCCGGGAACATGTCATTGGCGTCACATTTCATCTGGACGGTGGTCGTCAGGATTTCTTGCGTATGGGAAAGGGGGAAGGCGAAGAGGAAGAAGAGCCTCTCGTGAGGCCACAAGGCTTTTAGGGGGGGGGAGGGAGGGGTTTTGTCCCGTGCTTCAGGTTCTTACCTTCATCTGCCGACAGTGAACACAGGCAGCACCTTTGTGCCTTTTACGCTTCTCGGGCGAAGAAGGCATGGGTGCAGATTCTATCTCAGAGGATGGTTCAACTGTTTGGTTCAACAGTATGTCAAGTCGGTGGACGAGCTGGACCGTTCATTGGTCATACAGAACATGAATGACGCCCACGCCACATCTCAGCGCGCAAAAACTCCCCGGGCGGCGGGGTTCAGGAGCAAGTCTTTTATGGACTGTGAAAGCTGTATAGAGGGATGGAGTCTCCGGAAGGTAAATGGATGATTGATTATTGCGCCTGTCAAAGGAAGATTGCACGATGAAAACCTAAAACTGATTGATTTGGCCCCCCCCGCTCCCTCAGTCGGAGGTTGCCTTTCTACTATATATACTTCGTTAGGAGGCTCTGACTAACTAGTCTAGGTAGCTGGGCACTCATCCTCTCATTCTCTTACAGCCTTATCTATTCCGTGCAGACTATGCCTTGTCCCAGATGACCACAGCCCCGACGCCTCACTACTAACTAGCCTTGACCTCTCGGCATCTTCCTTGTCCCTGTGTAGGTAGGTGGTACCTTGACCCATTAGGCTACTACCGCCCCCAAAACTCAGTTAAACCCGATACGGGTTTTCGTCACGCGCAGCTTCTGACGGCGTTCATTGCCGACACACGTTCTTAATCCAACTGTTCTCGACATACCGAAGCAGGGTACCACATGAATGCAACATAATCCTGATTAGGCACAGATAACATTTTCAAATCGCCGTAAGTCCCTTCTAGCGCGATGCCACGCCCTTTGCACCCAGCCGGCTTCTCAGAGCATGTACTGAAACAGCGGGCTCTTGTCTCCCATCTTGTCGAGTTGCTCATCGGTGAACTCTTGCCGGACATCGGCCTCGGACAAGCGCTGCTTCCTCTTATTGGCCATCGTCAAAGACACCTCTAGCACGACTGCAGCGGCCAGACCGAGACAAATGAAGCCCAAAGTCGTGCCGTAACCCGTTTCGTACCGAGGAGCTTCCTTGTCAAGGAAGATGTTGGTGCCCACCACGCTGCCTATGTTCCCACCGGCGAGAGTCATCGCTAGACCAATGGACCGTTTCCAGGATGGTGCCAGATTATTTCCTGTCCACGCAGAGATACATGGTAGAAGTGGATACGTGCCGATCTGCGCGAGAATGATGGCAAAGTAGAGCGGTCCGACATTGCTTTTGATTTTGTTGGCGAGACCGAATAGCACGGCCAGCGAAATCGTCGACAGGATCATTGGTCCTGCAATGAAGGGGAACCGCCACTTGTATCTGTCTGCGAGCCGGCCAGTGATCCAAGCTGCCAGAGCACCACAGAAGTAAGGCGGGATTGTCAGGAGTTGTGCGTTGGAGGAGGAGAATCCTAGGTTTTTGATGATCTGAGGCATGGTGAACTTGAACGCTGCATTGGGCACTGCATTTGCCCACGCCATCACGATAGCGGCCCAGACTTTCGGGTCGAGCACTGCTGCGAAAAACAACTTCCATGAGAACTTGTCGCCCTCTTTGGTGGTCGAAATCACGCCATCAAGAGTGAGACGTGCTGTAATGAAGGCCTTTTCATCCTCAGATAGCCAGGATGCAAGCTCCGGGCTATCCACAATGAGGAAGTAGACGGCGATGCCAATCGCAACCGTGACCGCACCTTCGATGATGAAGATCCATCTCCAGCCAGCGATGCCGCGTGCGCCGTCCATGTTTGCGATAGCATATGCCAGCAACCCAGAGAAGGCGCCGGATAAAGCCGACGCTGTGTAAAAGAGTGCGACCCGTTGTTGGAGCTCACTTCGTCGATACCTGTGTTCAGCAGGTGTTAGGTTAAGGTTAAGTCCGCACAGCTCGAGCTCCTACTCACCAGCACGAGACCAGGAACACCGCCCCAGGAAAGAAGCCTGCTTCGAATGTGCCAAGCAGTACGCGACAGGCAACGAGTTCTCGGAAATTTTTGACGACGCCCATGCATGTCATCACGACACCCCATGCGATGACCAAGAAGGCTAGCCAGATACTCGGGCGCACCTTCTTGAGCACAACATTGGATGGAACCTCGAAGATGATGTATGGTACAAACTGTCGAACAGAGTCAGTCAGACGTAATCTCATAGATGAGTGGAAGGACAAGAACTCACGAAGATGGTGCTGGCAATGTTGTACTGGTTTCCAGTCAAACCCAGGTCCTTGTCCAGACCCTCGATCTTCGCATTGCCGAGGTTCGCTCTGTCGACTTGACTGACCACGTACAAAAGCGCCATGACCGGAACCAGGCGTACGTCGATCTAAATGAAAATATAAGCGTCTTTGATGAGCAGCGAGCGCTTATCAACAAGTGGCACAGAGGAAAGACTTTTGCGGGCAGTTAGGCAGGCGTACCTTTCTCAACACTCGCTTCCGTTCCTTTGAGTCTTCATATCGCTGCACGATCTCTTGATGCTCTGTTCGCGATTGCTCGATGTGAGGATGTGGACCGGTGAGCTCCTTCTCGCATAGCATCTCCTCATTCTTGTTGTCGTCGTTGAGTCTATTCGCCATGTTGACAATCTGGCTGGATTTGGTCGAAGTGGTCCTATCCGAGCTGCGGATGATGGTCTCGCAGAGCCCGCTGGGACTTTATAGAGCTATAAGTGCTTGGATCCCATCTCGCCCGAGGTTGTCAGTGATTGGGATTTGCGCTAGCCAACCCCGTAGAAAACCCCGTGGGATCGGACCAACACCGAAAGCCAGGTCTCCAAAGTGCCGAAACGTCCGACGACGTGTTGCGAGCCATCTTGCCCAAGGTTGTCAGTGCTTGGGATTCGCGCTAGCCACCCCGTACAAAACCCCGTGGGATCGGATCACCACCGAAAGCCCAAGTCTCCAAAGTGACGAAGCGTCCGACGTCGTGTTACGAGTCGTGTCTACTGAGCGGAAGGATGCCTCCAAAGTCAAAGCCACGTGTACAGTAGATTCCCCTCACGAACAATTATTGCCACGACCTGATGCCGCTGAAGAGATGCTTTTGCCCCGACTTTCGCATTGGAAGTCTGGGTCTTCGGCACAATGCCGAAAGTACGGCCTTCTAGGTAGACGAGCGCATCGCTTGAAGTACGACCGACGCGGCCACCGGGCGTGTAGAGACCTCTGTGTCGCGGCATACTTGCCTCTCGTGCCACAGACAGTCGGCGGACAATCCTTCCGCCTCTCGACCACTGTAGTCTCTTTGAATCAACCACAAAGCAAACCACGAATACCGTACAATCGAATCCTCCAGCTTACATCTGCTTCTTTTCATCACCACCCTCGCCCACCATGACAACGATGACCCGCCAGTACCCTGCCTTCTCCGACCTGCCCCTTACGCCCGGGCCACGTGGGAATGCCTGGTCTCTCTGGGGTGCCCATGACGAGCTCGGCACCCTCAACCACCTCACGCCTGAGCGTGTGGCCGCCGCGGCGCAATCACAGATTCGCAATGGTGAGCGCATTGGCCTCAATTGGACGATGCGCGGCGCCGAATTTCCGCGCTTTCAGCATCCCAGGCGGAGTTTTCAGGTAAAGTTGGTGAACAAGGCGAAGGAAGGGAAGGGCGCTGTGGCGTGTGATGATGAGTGGACCTTCAACACTCAGATAAGTAGTCAGTGGGATGGCTGTAGACATTATGCCTATCAGGAGGAGAGGCTTTTTTATATGGGAAGGACGGCGGAAGAGTTTGAGAAGGACGACACGCCCGGTGGGGTTCAGCATATGGCCAAGAGAGGAATTGCTGGGAAGGCCCTCCTGGTAGACTGGTGGACTTGGAAGGTGAGGGCATTGAACAAGGAGGGCAAGACTGAGCAGGAAGTGGACGCATTCAGTGCGTATGCGATTCCGTGGGAGGAGCTGGTGATGGCGGCGGAAGAGCAAGGAAGTCCCTTGGAAAAGATGGACCCGGGGGATGTGCTGATTGTGAGGTCTGGGTTCCTGGCGCAGTATGAGACAATGGAGGACACGAAGAGGAGGAGACTGGACGAGTTGTATGAGCATACGAAGCCGTCAAATATCGGTGTGAGGGCATGTCCGGAGCTGCTGCAATTCTTGTGGGACAAGCAGATTGCGGCCGTGGCAGGTGATTCCAGGTCGTTTGAGAGGTGGCCTTGTCCAGCGGAGGACCAAAATTGGCATTTGCACCAGTGGCTTCTGGCCGGCTGGGCAATGCCAATCGGTGAGCTATGGGACCTCGAGACGTTGAGTGAAATGTGCGAGAAGCACAAGAGGTGGACGTTCTTCCTGAGCAGCGCGCCGATGAATGTGCCGGGTGGAGTAGCGAGTCCTCCCAACGCATTGGCATTCTTCTAGATCAACGTAGTCACCCACAGTGGCTGAAGCCCGGAGCCTTGACCTCACGAGAATTCGCAATGTACGCGCTGAAGAAGCTCATCGGTGTCAATCTCCTTTGCTGGCGGCGAGTCCAATGCTCTGCCCGGTGTCAATGAAAGGTCCGCGACAGGAGAGAATTTTGGGACGTGAAGAATAGCTGATCGATACTGAGTAAATTACACTACATCCAACATGACATCCGCCGCCGCATATACCGCTGACTGCACTGGCGGTGGGGTCCTGGGCAGTATTGCCAATACATATATAAAGACGCTCCAGTACATCTCAAGCTACTGACAGTCCGGAGTGTCTTACCGAACTTCGAACATTTCCGGCTCAATATCCTCGACCTGCTGCACATACGCCCACAGCCTCTCCACTGCGGCGAGTGCCGTCTCTCTTTGTGTCTGTGCCGTGGCTGCTCCCACATGCGGCAGAGAGATGACGTTGGGATGCTGCCACAACTCTTCGTACCTTTCTCTGGTCGGTGGCTCCTGTTCATGGCAGTCCAAGCCAGCGCCCCAGATATAGCCGGCATTTAGTGCCTGGACCAGGTCCTTCTCGTTCACGATGCCTCCTCGCGCCGTGTTAATCAGCAGCGCATTGGGCTTCATAGTACGCATCTGCTCCAGCCCGATGAGGTCTTTGGTCTCTGATGTCAATGGCACGTGGATCGTAACGACATCTGAAATTGCGAGCAGATCTTCCAGGTTGCGGACTCGCTTGTGAGGCAGGTCCTCCCAGGCCCCTTCGGGCATGTACGGATCGTATGCTACGATGTCGCTCTCGTAGCCGCCCTTGAAGATCTTGGCCACCGTTTTGCCAATATTGCCCATTCCAATGATACCGATGGTCGACTTGTGCAATATGAGACCGCTGCATTGCTCCTTCCTGACTACTTGGCCCTCGTGCAGCTTCAAGCTGACGGGCCGGATCTGGCGGGCCAATCCCGTCGTGAGTGCAACAACGAGCTCAGCAACAGCACGGGCGTTGACGCCGGGTGTGTTGAAGACTTTGATACCTTTTGCTGTGCAAGCCGCCACGTCGATCTTGTCGATACCCACGCCTTGCTTGCCAATAGCCCGGAGGAGCGGTGCCTGGGCGATGTCATCGGCGGTAACGTACGAGCCGCGAACAAGGAGGTATTTCGCGTTGTCTCTCCATGAAGCATGGCCAGGATCTGATGGATGTATACACCTGAAGAATGATTCCGCACGCGCGGTCGCGGTGGAATCGAAGCTATCCAGAAAGTAGACCGTGGGCTTGACTTCGCTACTCGGACTGAGTGGCGGAGTGACTGCGGCAGGAGCCATTGTGATGAGTACTTGGGTGAAGGTCGCAGGTATCAAAGCGCACAACAAACTGAACGGAAACGTTCTTGTGAGATGCTGCGTTCTAGAGAACGCGCTGAGGAAGAGGCAGATGGCATTGATCTAGAAGAGCACACGGATGGCCTATAGCTGGAATCATCCGCCATTGCCTGACTCATTATTCCGTGTCCAGATCGATTGTCTGCTCGCATACTGCTACGTGGATCCATCTTCCGATGCGCGGAGTTGATCATTGGTACCTCTAGCGAGGAAGTGATAGGCCCTTCGTTCGGTCGTGTCCGATGATGCTGGCGGTGATTCTCGGCCCCATCGGAGGTTGGTCCCATCGTTATTTCGGGGATGCGGTTGGATCCACGGGAACATTGAACCAGAGTGAGATCGAGTGCAAGACTTAGGCGTCGGACCTCGTCCGCGCTCAAGTGCCATTCCACCAGCGGCGCTAACGGATGCTGCGTAAATTTAAGCAGATAGGCAATTCTCGCGATCTTGCCCGGTTGACGGAGGGCTTCAAGGGAGCAGTGGGGCGACGGATGGCTGTCCGAGCACGCAGCGCAAGCGTGGAGAACAGTGTTGATATAACTCACTTGGCGCATTGAAATGCATTGCAGATCCTCGTCTTTGCCAAAATACCAGCCAGACTCTTCTGAAGCACACGACAAGATTTCAGCGGAAAGAAAAGATTCATCATTCACTATGTCCTTCGCAGTGTCAAACCCCTGGCGAGATCGCATCCTCCGTGGCGAAGTATGCTCAGTAATGAGCGTCAAATACGCCATTGGCAATGAAATTGCGATGATGACGAAGATGGCCGGCATGGATGGCATGTTTATCGATATGGAGCACTCAGTACTCACCATTCGTGAGGTGTCACAGCTAGTGACAGCTTGCAACTACGTGGGTGTTTCACCCATTGTGAGGGTACCGTCCAAGGCACACTGGCATCTGAGTCGAATCCTAGACGCAGGAGCAGCAGCCGTGGTCATTCCTCATTGCGAGACTGTTGAGCAGGTTCAGGAGATCGTCAAAGATGCCAAATACCCCCCGCTCGGACGCCGTGGATGTGCAGGCAATCAACCCATTCTGAACTTCCAAGCAGTCCCTACTCTAGTCCAGAATGATTTACTCAATCGAGAGACCATGGTCATCCCCATGATCGAAACCCCTGGCGCAGTTGAGCTTGCGAACGAGTTTCTGGCAATTCCCGGCGTCGATGGCATCCTTGTTGGCTCCAACGACTTGTGCACAGATCTGGAAATCCCTGGCCAATATGACAATGCGCTGTACCTGGACTCGGTTACGAAGGTGATCAAAGCGGGAGTAAGAGCCAAAAAACCTATCGGGATTGGAGGCATTGGTGGTCGCTTGGACCTGCTGGAGAAGTTCTTTGAGCTAGGCGCGACATGGTCTTTGAGCGGGGCCGACGGAGCGATGCTGCAGGCAGGTATGAAGGCGCTCGGCAAGACCTATGGCGAAATCAACAACCGCGTGCAACAGCAACGCGCAGCCGTCGTTGAAAGTGCGACATCTGGACGGGATACGAAGATGCCGCAGGCGACAGCATCGGAGATCGTGGCTACTAGTATAGCCGCATGAGCGAGGCTCTAGATGCCGTTGATGGACCAAGATTCCCGTGCTCAAACACACCACCACATACGGTTCGAAGATGCTGGGTCCACGTTCACTCCAAAGGAAACAACCGTTCTGTCATGCCAACAATTAATCGACTTGGTCTCCTCCGTCGCTCAAGACGCGTCTTTATCATTCTTGAACTCGCTGCAAGCAAGGAGGTAATATTAACTCGAAATCGCGGATAGAATTTCGGAGCTAGGCAATGTCGCGCTTCGGAGATGGCGACTCAGCTGCGGGTACAAAATTCATTCCAGTTAGACATCTCAATTAGCACAACCTTGGACCAACTCGTATTACCCACCGTCATCAGCGACGCTAAGAGGCCTATGGGGTCAAGGAAGAAGAAGCAAGGGCGTGGTAGCGTCTTGTATTGTCATGATTGTGGTGTTGTAGAGACGCAGTCATGAGACGCAAGATGAGATGTATGTAACTACATAATGCTATCCCTCAACAGGGAAGGTGCGCCAAGCGCCAGAACAGGAAAGTGCCGCGGGGACTCAGCAACGCAACCCAAGGTGGGGAGAAACGGGGAGTAGTTTCAGGGTCTTCCAAATCAAACTTCGTGCAGATTGCCTGTCTTAGTTGGCGCTGACGAAAAGATCAGTAAGGCATCTTCTAGTTGAGCATATAGGCGGCTTGGTTCCATCCCTTCAGCCCGACTTCTCGTACCCTTCATCTTCTGTTTCGCTATTTTCTATCGATGAGCGTCGAGCCAGCCCTTGACCAAGCATGCCAACGATGCTGGAAGCGAAAGCAGAAGTGCGGCCGACAGCGACCGCAGTGCGCAGAGTGCGCCAGAGCTTCGACACAATGTGTGCCCCGGATCTGGGGTTACGTTATGGATACTGAGAAGGGCAATGGTGTCGGAGTCGGACTGAATATACGGCGCGTTGACCATGACAAAGTGTGGAGTGTCTCTAACTCGTGGGAATAGCAGTGGCATAAAACATCTAAAGGCTAGGATTGCCTTGCTCGAAATGCAGCAAGCTGATCGCCAACTGGAAAATTCGCCCTCATCGCCAGTTCTTGAGCACAATGTGTTTCACGCTCGACCCAGGACTGGGTCATACAATTCGCCATTGCAGGTGGATCGTCTTGATCGGTCCGGAAGCACAAATGAGGCAGACTATCTGTCAGTCGCTGCCATGGGTGAACCTCAGAAGCGAGACGCGTTCAGCCATGATCCGTCCTTCATGACGATGGTGCAGGAAGTCACGCGACTATCGACGCTGTCTCATTTACCCTCACGTTCACAGCAAGATCAAGCACTGCCAGTCGAGCTTGTGATCAGCCTGGATTCGATCCGCGACAGTCTGCAGCAGACATGTGGCCAAGGCCTGAAACAATATGCTGAGATTTATGGGCGATACCTGGGCATGCTCCTGCCTCTCATACCCGCGGACAACTGGCATTCAGTCCTAGCACTCGCTTCGTGGATAGATCGAGGAGCTGCGCATCTGCCGATGGACCAGCCGGCGTGTGAGGTGATGCTCTGTTTTTCGGCTTGCCTCGGTCTGATAAACAGTCCGGAGTACGACACGGCACGGGATACCGCGCAGATGATGGCGGCATACTGTGCTAGACAGCTTCCGATCGCGCTTCACCGCGCTTCAGACCTGGCAGCCGTGAGCTCCCTTTCCCTTGCGTCGCTATTGTGTCTGTACTTGTTCGACGAAGCATCGGCTTGGAGCTATGCCGGTCTGGCTTTAACTAAAGCAATATCCGCTGGCTTTCACAGAGCAAATGATCAGTCTGAGGTTGCAGACACGACATCCACGGCTTTCTGGAGTCTTTACACCTTGGATCGTGCATTTGCGGTTGTACTTGACCGACCGCTGAGCGTCGAAGATGGAGACATGACCATCCAACTGCCACTCGCTGCTCCACTGACACACAGTGGCCAGGTGGGTGTTGACATCCGAGCTCTATCATCGTGGACGGTTCATTATTCACACATGTTCTCTTCATGGAAGCGCAATACGGCTGCTGGCGATGATTTGGTCACTCGGCTGGCAACACTCACGTGTTGGTATGACAGCTGCCGCGAGATAGAGCTTGTTGGAGGCAGCATAAGCTCGGAGGAGAACGCCAGCTATATCTTGACACAAGCTATCGAGTCGCAACTTACCTGCCGCGCATTAGTTCACCTCTTCTACGAATCTGTCCTTGGACATGCACAGTCGACTTCACTTTTGCATTGCACCGAGAAGCTTGAAGCTGAAGTCCCGCAATTCTTCGCGGCATACAAGGCGGCTTTGGTTGCACATGTTCTTGCGCCTACCATTCTGGATTTGTGGACCATCTTCAGTACGACTGTGACCTTCGTCGCTACACGTCAACCGAAATTACTGGGACAGCTGCCGGACGCTGCGCGGCCTGCATTCGCAATCAGCGTCGCCACTATGAAAGTAGTATTAGCTTGTGAAGACCTGATCCGTGTCATCAGCGTCAGAAATCGTGCCGTATATGGCCTCCAAGAAGTCCTCTGGAGCTTCCTGGATGCCCTCGAAAAATCCAGTCAACGCCCTGCTGGTCGGGCACCGTCCACAGACAGACCCAACCACAGCGAATCCTTCAATTCAGCCGTGTCTCGATGTCAGCTGCCGATACCTCGCCCTCTAAAGCACCTCATGGATTTGGCACTAACCGCGGATTGAAGTGCGAAAATCGATACTCGGCAATCATCGTCTCAAAGACAAGGAACGAGTCACGCTTACGTCCGTCGACAACACTCGATTCCAATTCCGGCCGCACGACCTCGGCCGTGTATCAGCTGGGACTCCGGAGATAGAGATATCTCGTGTTCGAAGTCTACAACCTAGCATTCAGGGCTTCAGGATCAAGAGCAAAGAATGTGCAGCCCGCCCTGGTCTCGCAGTAAGTTAACTTTGTGGACGGCTTCGTCAGCACATTTTTTGACTTTACCAAGTCAAAGTTAACATGGTATTGCATTATGAGCTACTCAACTTCGTCAACGATTCCACCCGCCATCAGCACTCCGAAGGGCTCCAGTAACGAAGGTGCTCTCATCACTCCACAGAAACACCACAGTCGCTGTGATTTCTTCCGGCCGCCCTTTTGTCTTCTTGTCTGTGCGGTCAGATCTGGCTTCTCAATCTTGTGTGCTTTTTTCACTGCAGTCACCATGGACGTATCGATAAAACCTCAGGTAGTCTACTGATCCGGATGTTTTTTTTGGCCTCCTCCTGAACTTCCAGCCCTTATTCAGCCTGCGACGGTATGCCTGCCTGCGCAATAGATGCTGCTCTTCTCCTGGCCCAGGATTGCGAGAACGCTGTTTTGTTGTTAGTCTACGAAACCTGTATCGGTAACACCCACAAGACGGAGATTCTGGGCGACCTGAGACAGATCCGGGGAGGTACTTGCCTCGCAGTATTCACAACAGAAGCACCTGCTTTCATTAAGCTGAGTTCCTCCTGAACGCAATTGAAGACTGCTTTGACGTTATGTTCATAATCAAGTCAAACTCTTCGTTGGTCCCGTCCCTGAGTTCGGAGGTTACCGCATGGCCACCGACAACTCCTGCCAGATTGCTGCGCTGTCCAGTCTTCCAAATCGGTTTATCGTCCACTCAAAAAGCCTTTCACCTGCGCTCGGTCGGTGACATCTACCACTGTGTATATCACCTCCGTGCTCTTGCTGAGAGAAGTTGCGGCAGCTTCCAGTTGTTCTGCATTGACGTCGGCCAGTGACTGGACTGCGCCCCTGCTAGCTGAGAACTTGGCTGTCGCAAGAGCAATGCCACTCGCGGCGCGGGTCAGTGCAATCATCGATAAACCGCCACAATTTGACGGTCTTGTAGAGCTCACATTCAACCGGTACGTTCACCTATTGATCTAGATTTTGGCCCACGTTAGCCCAATACTAAATGAGAGAGTAGATGCGAAGATGCGGAGGCATTCTACAAAGATTAATTCTACTTGGACAAGATCCGATCTGATCAATGGAGTTCATCGACTTTGAGAATATTGTGTTCGGCGCTGGAAGGGACATCAACGTCTTCGATGAGGGCGAAAATGTGCAACCAGGTGAGACAGGGTATAGGCGTCAAATTGTCGGTCAGATGTAGAGTCATAAGTCAGTCGCATCTCACATACCGTCCGTTGTTTCCAACACCCCTTCTCAGTACAGGGAACGCCCAAAAAACGAACTTGAAAGTGCAAGAAAATGAGATCAGGACGTCTCTTTTGGTCTGTATCTTAGCCCAGTCCTTCGTGGAAGCTTGGTTGCACCAGTGTACAAAGTTACTGGAGACCCATTTCCACTGAAGTATTCATGTCAGTCGCTGCATGAGTCTGGCAGATGCTTCTCTCAAAACGTGAGCAGACCAGAACTACTCAGGGACATCTTTGACAAAGGTGTTATTGCAAGGAAAGGTCATTTCCGGCTAAACCAGCCCTCGATTGGTGAACACAACCTCTTCCCCCCCTCCCCCCCCCCCCCCCCAACTCCTCTCTCTCTCTCACTCACTCACTCACTCACTCACTC